ACAAACATAAACAAACCTGCAAACGCAAATAAACGGATGTATTATTCGCTTTACAAATTGTGAACCAAATTACGTTGACATTGCTTACAATTGTATTCACTAGTATTAATTCTGGTGTCCAAGCGATCATCGATATTACCCAAATAACAATGATAGCAGTTCTTGCCCGTTGAGGAGTTGATTTAAACTTCAACGGATGGCATATAGCATACCATCTTTCTATCGAAATCGTTGTCAGTGTTAAAGAAGATACTCCAACTGATAGGCCCTATTTGTAATTTGAAGACCAATGAGTTTTTGTAAATTTGGATAAAATATTTTTCGATTATTGTTTTCTATAATCTGAACTCCTAAAATACAGTTACATATAAAATGTATATGCACGTATATAAATAACGACACATCGAATAATAGGATTGCCTTTGAGCTATTGGCCTATAAATGTACAAGTAATAAATCATCTAAAAAACAATGTCAACTTCAAATGACTTGGTGTGGTCATCTGTAATAGAATATATAAAAGAAAGTGCAGCTTGTAATATAAAATGTAATCGAGATTCTATTAATTAAGGATTTTTGAGAAAAAAAATTCGTTAGAAAATGTTGGTCGAGCTTATAGATTCTTGTTGCTGCAGCAAGCTTTTTGTTTACAGACCTTTGGCATTGCATGAGGTTGAAGAGTACCTTATTGTCCCAAACAGGAAAAAAAAGTTAATGAAAAAAAGGCTCAAGAACTCTAACCGCTTAATAAAAAATTGTGAATACTCTCTTTTCTATATGAGTTGAGTTCCTATTTAATGTAGAGCATAAAAATTTGCTAAAGAAGTAGAATTTAAACAATATAAACCTGTATAAAAGCTATTATTTTACACATAGCAGCTCCAAAAAACCAGGTTTCAGTGAAATTAACCACAACCGTGAATGGAAGACAAAAGAGCATGACCAAGAAGTCAGCAGCTGCCAAATTAACAAGGAAATAATTCGTTACCGTTCGCATATTATGGTTTTTCCATACACAATAGCAGACCAAGAAATTTCCGGATAGCCCAACTGTAAACGTGATGATATAAAGTTGTACCAGGATCCATTCGTACCATTTTAGCTCCAAATAGGTGTGTATTCTATCTTCATAATCTTCTATTGTTTCACAATACTCATTTAATTCACATAATGGATTGAGTGTAGTTTGATTATCTGGATATGCTTCAGTTGTCATTTGTGATTGTTATCTATAAAGTCAAAGAAACCAAAACGGTACTTAATAACTCTAAATATTGAAGCTGTTTTTATTCGAATGATAGTTTTAAGTAAATCTGATCGAGAACGGTCTGTATATCATATATTCTTCATTTCGAGTGGAGTCCACTCAATATAAATCCATTAAAACTAATGGACTATACAGGAGTTTAGTAACAGCTGTGTATTAAACAAGCAGCAACAGCCGAATACCAATATATTTTGGGTGGTAAAACCATGGACAACGCTACACGTCAACGATTGCAATCTTAAAATTTAACAATATCTGAATCTTAAATAAAATATCGCAGTTCTACTATAAGTGGAGTAGAAAAAGCGGAAAATATGTCTATTAACTCTAATTTGATAAATAAGACGTAAGTAGCAGTAACAGTTTTAATAATCTGCTTTTCTGGATGTGTTGGTCAATTTTTGTAAATTGTTTCATATATTAGTCATCATTCTCTCCAGAAGTTTGCTAAATGGCTTGTCATAAATCAAAATCGGCTTTGTTCATTAAAGTTATTAAATTATATGAAGATAGGAAAAGGGCTAAAAAGTGTATCATTCATCAGAGTCCTATAAATGATCTTAAACTAATTGGTTCTCAGAATATTTTGGAAATTTTTACCTGTAAAAAAAGAAAATTCAAGGTAGAAAAGAAGTTTAAAACTAAATACAATTATCTCTTATTTTATTTTCTGTCACTGCAAATATAATAATTCTACTCCTGTCCAAAATAATCAGATAGATTTCTTTGCTACTTGTTCCATAGAATTAATGGATTTTGAAAGCGATTTAAGTTAAAAGAGCATACAAGGCTAAATAATCTTAATTTACTCCTATGATTTTTATAAAAATTAAAATTATACCAACGTTAATCGTAGTCTTGTAGAGAAAAGAAGTCGTTTTAGAAACTTATAAGTTTACAGTGCAGAATTTAGTGCGTAGAATATGCAGTAAAGCGTCATTTGAAGTGGGTTGAAAAAGAACTACGATTGGGCACTCGATTTTGACGTCACACCTACATAACGCTCGCTGCGTCGCCTACAAATATTTTCAACCCTTTAAATTAAGCGGTAACAAGTTTTAAAGTGTTGGAAATATTCAGAATCATCTCTTATATTTTAAAAGAAAATAAAAGATAAGACTTTATTTTAGAGCGTGCTGTAAACTCCCCGCTCGTTATACTCTATTGCCAAATTATAATCATAAAAAAACTAAAGTTTTTTTTAAAAGACTCTTAAGTGGTAAAAGGAAAGTATTACTGGCTTCGTCAATTATGTAAAATCTGTGACTGACGCAGACTTATACAGCTTGCCCTCCGGCGTTAACAATTTTATTTTCTATAAAAATATTTAAGATATAGAATCATCATCTAATTGGGGTGAGTTACTTCAAACAACGGTTTTCTCTTGGCTCTCTAAGTAGATTAAGAATAGTTGACATTTTTCTTTTGGGAAAAACGTGACAACTAAATTAAAAAATGCATTTGATGGTCGATCAACTATTAACGCCACCTAAATGAAAGTCGTTTGCTCCATCTGCAGGACAGTTGTGGAATGACTTAACGACGCCTGTGTATATTGCAGCACTTTGCAGTAGACAACTGAAATGGCGTTCTGGAGAGATAAATATACCAAGTAGGATATTCGATCGATAATAAACAGCATCACAACTTCATATCAAACATACTTTAAAATTTAAGGTATTAAATATTTTAAATTTTATTTTAAGTATTTATATAGTTATATCTAACATTAAATCGTAATTCTTTAAAATACTATGGTAAATCCAAACAATATATGTAATATTTCAAAATTTTTGCATTGTAATTTTAAAGTAGCTCATACTTTTCTTATATATATGTATATATATATATATTATATTATAGTATTATATGGAATATTCATTAGAATTCATGAATTCATATGTGAACCATACAAAATAAACATATTTTTTAAATATATTCTTTTGTTATGCAGTATGTAAGTATAATGTATTTAATATATGATACCAAGGATATACACTGCTTAAAATAGTATACTGTATTTTTTCTGAATATAGTGAATATTGAAACTTTCTGTATTATAGTATTTAAACAAAATATTACAAAAAACAGGAATCTGTAATTAAGATAAATTAATACATAATTAGGCTTTAAAGTATGCCAAAAATATATAATTGGACTAAAAATGATATTTCATTTCTCAAAACGATAAAAATATCGTTGTAGAAGATTTAAAAGTTTAATAATGTTATATTCAATTACTCTATGTTTTACTAGCAGTAAAGGGTATATGAAAGGAATGCGAGGAATCACCCTCTCTTGATAGGCCTATTATTCTATATTTGCTCTGACATCAGTGTGAGAAGATAATCCAAAAGAATGAATATGAAGCCCCTTATTAAAGTGATGGATTTTTTGGAGGTCAAAATCTAAGGATTAGCAGTTTTTTCAGTCATTTCTAATTTTAGATTATATATTAAAGGTGTTATATATTATTTATGACTCTCTATCTGGGAAGACAAGCTTAGCTATTGAACAAACTTTACAAATGAACAATGACATGGATTTCCTCTATCTAGAAAATCAATACATGTACGCATAGTCTTTTCCTATATTCCGAAACGAGAGGAATAAAAAGGAATAGAAATAACTGGAAATAGAATTGATTTTCAAGCATCATTCCGTTGAGTAAGATAATTGCACTACATTTGAAATCTAGGTATTCTTCGGGGGTTTTTCCGTACTTTTAAAGCCTGTAGAATCTCCTAATCAAGGTAAATGGAGATTTTTGCCTCAACCTATAAACATATTTATAGGATCCTAGAATTGCTTATATCTGTAAACAGTGATGAGCTTTAGAGAATTTAAAGTGGGGAGATCGATACCTAATATAAGCCCTATTTACTAAGTACGTTTCTAGGTCGAAGCCTCTGCTTTCAATCGCTAACAGTGGACGTGCAAGGAATATGAGCTAATTACAAGAATATGCGTTTAATTCAAAGGTTTTATTCTCTCGACGGAACCATCATTGGTATTGTCCCATCTAATATCATGCGCCAAAGGCGATACTGATTGATTTTGTCAAACTCAAATCATAAGCCATCATATTACCAATGGTCTAAAAAAGCAAAAACCTGTAGCTTAACAAACTGCATAATATCAAACTACAAATTCGCATATAAGCTAATCCGATTAAGTGATTCCTCATGATCAGGTACACTATTAAATTTTAGATATAGCATTGCTATCTTTGTAAATGGAATATGCACATTTTTAGCTCATTATTTTTTATTATTATTCAAATTTTAAATGTCTTCTTTTCCATAAGCCAGAGTTACTAAATTTTACTTTTATATTTTGCTTTTACTTGAGCCAACAATATCACCTGTTAGGCCTATAGTCACCACTATTTCTGTATTATTTATTTGTAAAGAAACGTTTAAATTATCTTGTTAAAGACATATCTTAAAAATTAAAAAAATAATTTTCTAGATTTTATCGATTTAAGAGAGAATTGAAAGATTTGTAAACTACTAAAAGCAGCTGAACAAAAGGTCTCTTTCGTCGGCCAATGTCATTGTATTGATCTGGAATGTACAAGTAGTTGAAAGAGCGTAAACTCCAATTGTTATTTATAAGCTATATGTGCTTTTAATATTATATCACAGCAACCTATTTTACCTATTTATAAACGCGTAGAAAAAGAAGAATAGTTCAAATTCTTCTATCGCGCTCTATAGTAAAAGAGTTTAGCATATTAACTTGGATGTCCAATATACTATAAACGAATATGACTTTATTTACTAAAAACGACGAAGAATTTCCCAGGTTTGTGGTTTTCTCACTTCCATAGTGGAAAGAAGAGATGTATGTATAAAACTAATATTGAGGCATAGCATCTGATATAAACTTAAGGAGAAAATTGTTTGTCTAATTCAGCTTCTACTTTCTTTGCTTAATTAAGTATTAGTATTAACATTAACAGAAGAAACTTTTGCTTAAGTTAATGGTAACAATTAAGCTGTTGTGAAATAGTTATTTTTATCTTTGAATAGAATAAACTGTGTCAGTTGACTTTTTCCACCAGAGGCTGGAGACTAAAGATTTCTTTAAAGATAAAGTATTCAAAAGTGTTATTCAATAAGTGATAGTAAAAAGAGATACAAAACGTATTTAAATAACATTGATTTTACTTGAAATTTAGCAATTTCTTTACAAAGGCACGAATTTTATATGAACCCAACTCATTTTATTTAACAATCAGTGTATTTATAATAGTGTAAGGTCTGAGCTAATAAACGCAATTCGTTAAGTCTCAACTGTATTGTACGCAGAAACAAACTGCAATCAAACCTTAACCGAATTGCGAAGCCTGCATATAAAAAAGCTTACGGATCTCTTATTGATTTTTCCGGCTTATCTGACAAACAGGCAAGAGGAGAATACAATGCCGAGTATCGTTAGACAAGACTCACAATCGAATGGAAATGCTGCGGGAGGTAAGCTACTTTCAATAGAGTTGTTTATTGCTAAAATAATCGACATAATTCGATATAATGTAAAGCTACCCAAGATTCAGCTCATCCAGAAACACTAACACTACCAGCAATTACGTATGATGAGGTGGAAGGTAGCCAAAGCCAACCACAGTCACCTGTTAGCCAAAAGATGGCGAATCATTCGTTACGTGGTGCCACCTCGGTGGGTGAAATTTCAATTGATACAATGATAACACCTGCGGATACGTTGATGCCTGCTAGGCCTTATCAATTGAGGGAAAGCACATTAACTGTTAATTATCCTGATTGTGGAGGTAAGATTCATATTTATAAACTCTTCACCTTTTCACTTTTTTTGGAGTGTTGTTGTTTATATTTTTACCAAATTTCTTTTTTCATTGCACCTTCACGTTGTAAATTCTAGCTTTTGTTACACTATGCACTTAGAATCTAAAGCAAAAAAAGAAGAAAATGAAGATAGCGACGATAGCGACGTCAGGGAGGAGAAAAAGCGTTATATTTCAAAAACGAGTGGTGTAATTAATAATGGTTATGCAGCTTCAACTAACAGCGTAGCAACGTTGGCAGTGAACGCTCATAGTTTGGGCGAAAGCATGCTTACTGTAAATTATACAGATATCCCAGGTATTCACAATTTTGGTACATTTTTTTGTTGCTTGTTTGGACTATCATTGTATTACTAGACTAGTGCCCTAAAACAGTTGTAGTACATTTAAGAAAGGACACTTTAGATTATTAAGTTTTTTAATTATTTAACAATCTGAAAATTTTCATCCTTTGGTTCTTTCTTATTGTCATTAATCAGAAGATCTTGGTAAGTTATTAATGCACAATAGTTGAATTAGAATTTCAGAAGAATGTATATAACTCCATTATTAGGACAACTTTCAAATATATAAGAGATTTTTATATTTTGTTTCTTGCTATTTAATTAATCTCTAACCTGCTAATGACCTTTCATTTTCTCATCTTTTTATTAGTACGCTTGTTAGGGGGTAAGTTTGTATTTGTTGTATCTTCCTCATATGATTTCCTTGTTAGTATCAAAAATATCAACATGTTTTTAATATTTTATAACAACTGCATAAATGTAAGCATCAAACTTATACGTTAGCCAATTACAAATCATATTATATATTTAGAAATGTAGCAAATACGGTATTGGTTTATATATTTTTCTTTTAACTAGAGTATTTCAGTTTTTAAACATCTGTTGTAAATGTTTACATGACAAAGAGAACTTATTCTGTGCGGATTATTTTACTCGAAAATCATCTTCTTCCTACTTTCTTCATAATTTGTAATATCATTAAAATTAATGACAATGTAAAGTAAAAATAAGGAAAATTGAAATGGTATTTTATGCAACGTTATTAGAGCAATTAAACTGATAATAAGAATATGTATAATTAATTAATAATGGTAAAAATAGTTATTTCGTTCTCTAGAGCTCAATTATTACTTGATATGATTTAATTAACATTGTTGACATAACGCTTGAGAGGACGGAACGATAAAAGAAACAGAATTTAAAAAAGTAAGGCTTTTAGAGGCCCAAAGATCTAATTTACTATAAAATGGCCACCGTTCTTGGTCGAATGAATATATCATTATATCACTCGGCCTTTGTTTATATACAGCATATGATAAGTCGTATCATAGAGTTGTCGTTCTCACGTTGCATAAAGCACTTTGAGAGATTGTAAATTTTTCAACTGAAAAAGTAGACCATGATTACGATGAAAAAAGGCATAGCCTTAGGCGTTGATTCACAAGCCTCAGAAGAAATTTCAATTAATGGAATAGACTCTAAAAAGGATTCAGATATCAAGCAGTTATTACAAATTCCTGATCAGAATCAAACCGATATGAGATCATCATCTGAGATAGATACGGAAAATTACAAGGAGGCTTCATTAACATACGAAGATCATGAAATTATCTTCAGTAAGTAATGCAAAAGAGTAATGTCTTAGCAGAAAGATTTAAATATTTACATAACAAAAAGGAATAAAGTATTAATTTCTTATTTTCTTATCTCAAAGTATAATCATTATTGATTTGCTACTGATAAAAAAAATAGATCATATAAATTTACATTAGACTAGAATTGAAAATTTTACATCTCATTTATATTCTAAATTAAAATCAACAATCAATACGAAAGGAAGAAATAATAGCATCAATGTCAATGAGCAGCTCAATAATAAATTAGTAATTTCCTAGACGTATTCAATTAAAAAACTGTCAAAGATGTCTAGAAAAAATACTATATAAATAATATCGATCGCGTTTTCAGAGCACTAAATTGTATAGTGAAATCGAAAGTTCATGCTTAGAAAATTGACTGAAATAGCAGCAATCTCTTTTAAAATTAAATAGATTATATTTAAAGGAGTCCTATTAAGTATATCTTGATACTAATTTCACAGAAATTATTTAAAAGAAAAAAGATATAGCTTGTGTTTATTTTAAAATTTTCAAGCAGTTGTAAAACTGGAAATAATATCGTATAATGATAAACAAGAAATTATAGTAAATTTAATGTAAAGCTTCTTGTTAAATTTGAAGGTTAGTAAACATATTTTCGATTAAAAATGATGGCTAACAAGTTACTTTTACAATTTTTTTCAAATTAAAATAGATATCCGCAAATTAAGTCTCTTTGCCATTTCTTTATAATTTCTTTCTAAATTTTGCCTACAATTTTAAAAATAGCATAAAATTATGTTTTGCATATTTGCAGCATAGGTCATGAATTTTTAATAAGTAAATTTAATTTAATTGTAATTAACATCACAGATGAAGGAGAAGAAGTTACTCTTATGTATTCTAGGCATGAGGTTAGTTTTTTTGTGATTCTCAGTTTTATTAAATTTTAACTTATCACATATGCATGTAACTATTTATGATAATTTTACGCTAGAAAATACCTATGAAAGATTTTGGATCAGAGATTAGGGCGTCAATGGATGTTGAGAATTTTTTAAATAGAACCCTTCTGTTTTTGGATGTTCCTGATGGAAATCCGGAAAGAGTTTTGGAAAACATGCTCAAAAATCTTCTTGAAGAGGAGTCCTGCACCGTAGATGAAGCTAAGAAAGCAATTTTCACTACCGATTCAGGTTTTATATTTTTTACATCGATCTTAGTTTTTCAACAGAATCAAATAACTAAATGAAACAGTATTAATCTATTTTATCTTGTTTATGCATTATAACTTTTATTGACCTAGATGATGGAAATGCTCGGCATACAGGTTTTGTAGGTCTTTTAGTAAGTTAAAACCATCGGTGATAGCGCTTCCCATCCAGTTTCCGATAGACAAATCTGCCAAACATATAAAAATCTATTTTTTATTGTTATTCTACTTATCTCCAAATCGATATTAAATATTTCTTTAATTCGCAGTGAAGAAGCTTGCAAAAACCATTCAAGGAACAACAACCTTTGAAGGTGGATGCGATTTAGATCAATCTTGGATATGTATTCTGTGAGTTTCTTTTTAGATTAGCAAGTTGGTGTTATAAAATACATAAATCTTTGTTAGCTGCACTTTGCCAACTATTCAGAGAAGACATGTAGCTATAGCTAGATTGAAACACCCTGCCAACTTGGGGAGGACTAGTCAGGAAGTTTTCTTTATTACTTTAATCGTTGCTCCTGCAAAATTGGTATGATTCGTGTAGTTTCAATTAAAAGCAGGAAAATATTTTAATGCTTTTATAGAAAGGAACGAAAAATGCTCTAGAAACAGGAAGAACTTTTGCAACACTTTTCGCAGACTCTGAACTACGTCACAACCTGTTAACATGCCACTCTGAGGATGAATTTAAGAAACTTTTATCTTCTCGCACTAAATTTTTGGCTGAAAGACAAAGAGATCACGAAAGACGTTTTTCTGAAGGAGAACCGGCCGCTTTTAACTTGGCAAGCACTGTGAGGAAAATTTTTTAATCAATTATTCACGCTTTATGTGACCATTTTAATTGCTATTCATTACTATAATTTCAGACAAATAAAAGCAAGTGTTGCTTTTTTGGTAGAGATTTATATGAAGACATAAAGAGGAGACTACCTCACTATGTATCAGATTATAAAGATGGGATAATAGGCCACAAGACTCTCCAAAAAACTGCAGCAACAGTAGTGTTTTTATATTTTTCTTGTTTGCTGCCATCAATAGCCTTCGGTGTATTAAATGCCAGCAATACAGATAACAAAATAGGTATTAATTTTTTTAAGAGAAAGAATTCTTCATACTTATACAACGTTTTGTATCAGATGTGACGAAAGTAATAGTTTCACAAGCATTTGGTGGGCTATTATTTGCAATTTTTGGAGGGCAACCTATGGTTATCGTTCTAACAACAGCTCCATTGGCACTCTATACTAAAGGTAACGTGAAATTTTAATTCAGCTGCTATTCTAAAATATCTTTCACAGTCTTTCTATACTTGTTTTAAGATAAAACAAGCCTGTGTTTTAAAACCTATTAATATTTAACATGCAAATGTAGCTAACTTTTGAACTGCTTTTTTCAGTGGTAGCAAACATATGTACTGACTTTGATCTAGACTTTTTTGCAATGTATGCCGCTGTGGGCTTGTGGAATATGTTTTTCTTGATAATCTACTCAGTATTTGGCTTGAGTAGGCTAATGAAATGGTCTACTAGGTAAAATAATGTAATAAAAAAAAAATAACTATATTGCAAAATTATATATATAGATCTACCGAGGAGATATTTGCTTTATTTATTTCGATCGCTTTTACAGTTGATGCAGTTAAAGCAATAGTAAAAGGTACGTATGAGACTTTATTAATTTCTTATTAAAATTGATTCAGCGTATTTTTATAAATAGATTTCGATCATAACTACGATAATCCTCTCTGTCATCACAATGTCACAGCAAACTTAGCGGCTCCTCTCCTCGAATGCCCGAGAGCTAATAGTATTCTGTATCTCTTACTGACCTTAGGCACGTTATGGCTTGGAATTTCCCTATTCAACTTTACAAAAACGTACTCTCTTATTTTTTCCCTTTATCTCGACACAAGTTATTAATAAGTTGTAAAAATGTTTCAGACCATATTTGAATGAAAATAAACGCGAAATATTAGCAGACTATGCTCTGCCTTTTTCGGTGCTTTTTATGTCTTTCATTGGTTCTTACGTCTTCAAGGATATAAAATGTATATATTCCCTTTATTCGTATAATTATTAAAAATATAAAATTTTTATCCGAGAACAGTAGACAAATTTCAATCACAAGACTTAAATATTACGACACCACCTCTCAAAGAAATGTCTTCTGGATCGATATTTGGAGCAATGGGATTAGGATTCTGCTTAAGTTTATTATTCTTTATGGATCAGAATATCTCAGCGGCTATGGTTAATAGCCCATCAAATAAGTAAGTATAAGCTTTCCTTTTTGATAAATAATCTTTTTCTTGTAATCGAATATTCAATAGGATGAAAAAAGGCTCGGCTTATCACTGGGACCTTTTGTTAATTGGTATTCTCAATGGGGCTTTGGCCTTTTGCGGTTTGCCCATGGTGCATGGAGCTCTACCTCATTCACCTCTACATGTTAGAGCTATGGCAGACGTTGAGGAGAGAGTCGACCAAGGTCATATCTCAACAAAAATTGTTCGTGTTCGTGAAACAAGATTAACAGGCATTATATCCCATATTTTTATTGGAATATCATTTTTTATGGTCCCAACGCCTTTACACTACATTCCAAAAGCCGTGCTTTATGGATTATTTCTTTACCTTGCAGTAACTGCACTCAGTTCCATTCAGATGTTTGATAGACTATTACTGCTAATTACGGAGCAGGCTGCCTATCCACCAAATCATTACATTCGCTCAGTACCACAGAGGAAAATTCATTTTTTTACACTAACTCAGATGATTCAATTAGCTGTTCTTTGTGGTTTTGGATTTGCCCCTTTTCCTTACTTGAAAATGTGTTTTCCCATTCTCATTCTCTTACTTCTGCCAATAAGGTATTATTATTTTAATTTATAATAATTAATATACTTAAATTATCGTATACTATATTTAACGAAATATTTTTTAGGCATAAGATTGTTCCTTATATAATAGAACGGAAGTATCTGAAGTTTCTGGATGGACATATGTAAACAGCACGTAACAATACTTTCAGTTACGAACCATTATTTAGCTAGTTGTCATTAAGAATGTAACAGATATCATTCTTCAACTGCAGAATCTTATAATAATAACAGTTAGAGACTTGAAAACACTGAAATCTATAGCAATAACTGCTGAATTTCAGGAAATGGTTAGCATTGTAGTGTTAAGTGTGATTTTTTTTTACAAAAATAATTTCACAAATGTACAGAAATAGTATCTAACGTTTCTGCTTATATGTCCTATTTTGTTTGCAAATTTACTATTTGCATCGTGAGCTTGAAATATTTATGCTTTTATCATTATTGTGGGGTACCAACTTGACTATGTCGTTATCTGTAGCTCAAGTAGATTAATGTAGATTATTCGTTGATATCTTTTATTGATTACAATTATAATCTTCTATCATGCTATACTTTTTATCAATATAACTTTATCAAATCTTAGAAGAAAATTTATTAGTCAAGTGTTTCTCATTTGTATTTGGAATTTAGATAAGGCAAACAATTTTATTTTATTACTCAATCTTTCCTTTATGCTCGAATTATTTTATTTGCAAGAATCAATTTTCAATCGGCGAGTCAGTTTTGCTTTCACAGCAAAACATTACCAAATGATATTTTCTAGTTTGTTAATTAAGTAGATGGTGTTCTAATCTCATATCAACTTCTTTACATAGAGTTTCTCTTTCGAATCAATTAATTACAAACTCTCAGTCGGTTAAAGTACTAGGATTTCGGTCAATCCCTTCAAAATACGTACAGCTGGAGTCTAATAAACATCTGATACGATTAATGAAATTCGTTATTTACGAAAGTTTGTGCAATTTAAAGACGTATGCTGAATATTATGACTTTCTCTATAGCAGCTGATTTTAAATTTTATTTGTTATTTTATTCTATTAATCTTAAAAAAACAGAATCAGAATGAACGAGTTAAATCTTCTACTTTGCATTCCTGATAAGACAAGTGACTTATATATTACTCAAGAATATTACAAAAATATAAGCTGGAATATTAATTATTCGCTCTGCATTTTAGAATGTATGACCTTAAAAATGGCTCTAAATTAGTTTTATTTTATAACCAGAAAGGTGAAGCACAGGTTGTGAGAAATTTACAATAAAATGGCAGTTAAAAAGAGTTGTTATTAATAAGAAAATCCAATCCCAGAATTTTAATTATCCTAAACTTTTCAGAATGATGTATACTATGAGTGTCACCTTAACGATTATTAAAGATGAATAAAGTTGTTTTCTTTATTGCTGGTTTAGTAAAAGCTAGATGAATTAGAAGCGAAATTACTTAAAACTGATTTTCTTGAAGCATCAGCTGAATATAAGCCATTAAAGTCTAAAATGCAGACATAATTTTTGCTATTTTTCTCAAACAGAAATCTCTTCTAGACTCAGTGTTAAAGATTTTTTATTTTACTCCAGATACATAATATCTCATTTAATTTTTTACAGCAAAATTTGATACATTCACTCGTTGATTGGTTTTTTAGCCTTGTGTTTAAATAGTAGATTGACTTATAGTCGAAAATATATTGATAAAGTTGTCTATAAACTATGCAAATTTTAATTCATATTATTTGTATATCGTTAAGACTATTTCTACCATTGAGTAAACAATCATATAGTACTTGATAGGCTCTCCATAATGCTGTCGATACGGACTAAATATCAAATAGAGGAAAAAGTTGTCTTAATTGTTACAAGGTAATTTATTTTTTTCTTATAAAACATAGACGAAAATAGCACTTGCTTCGCCCATCTGTGTGTATTTTGAGTATATAACTATTCAATATATTTTTTGCTTCTAATCTCTATAAAAATACAACGTATTAACTTTGCCACAAATAATTTTTTTTTTTGAGACAATCCTTGAATTAGGGGCGACTGAATATTTAATTGTAACATAGAGATTATTTGATATATACATAAAATACTAATGCTCTTTTTTACACGCAAACATTACTACATTCTTTAAGAAACTTAAAAATGTGATGATCAAGTTTTTAGACAAGGTATATTATTTAGTTTTTTATACATATTCTGCTCAGAATTTTTGGTCGTTATTTCCATTTGTTATATTCTCTTTTGCCACAACTTGAATTACATTTGAATTTACTATTTTGGTTTTTTTAAAGAAAATGTGTCTGAATATTGCATAAATAAGTTCTATTATTTCCATTAACGTAACAACGGAAACGCCAATCCATAAACCCAATTGGCCACCAAGATCAGATACTAATTGAATAAAATTATAATCGTCGGTTTCGGTAATCTTAACAACAGTCGTATCCGAAATAAATACATTCAGTCGGAGAAAATTTTTTTCCTGAATAAACTCTTTATACGCTGATATTTTTATTGGATCCTCAAGAAATTGAGAAAAATATTTTTGTCTCTTTTCTTCAGGAAAATGTTTTAGAAAGTTTTTCTTCTTTAGAATATCATCAATTAGCGTCTTCGATGTCTCTTGAATAGGCCAATCTGCTAAAGAATAATACGAACTGTAATCAGAATTCGTGCAGGGGGGTAGACATTCGCACGACTGCCAAGCTGAGAGGTTTTGAGACACATTAGATCGAGTACTCCTCATACATTCTACTCTCTCAAACCATTTTGAAAAGTAAGCTTTACATTTTTTGTAATTAGCATGGATAGTCTGCTTTCCTCGACAATCCAAAGGAATTTCATCAAACGAAGCACAAAACTTAATAGAATCCTTTACAACAAAAGGTAAACTCACATCTGCACATGAACAGCGATCAATTACAATGTCTTGCAAGCAGGCTTTCTTGCACGAAGCCATCGTATAACTATAGCTTGAACCTCGTAAATTATCCTGTTTGGTACAATTTCCATGGGGAGGGCCAAGTCTTTCATTCTGTTGAACCCTGATTCCAATATTGGCAGAAACACCTCGAGGTATATCTATTCCTTCCGTAAGTGGATAAGGTACCGTATTGATGGAATGAATAACTAGTCGTATACCTTCTCCCCCTAAAGTTAATTCATTGTACATTGCTAGACCGGAGGCAGCATAATTAGAATAATTCATTATTGACATTGTAGGATTAAATAGTATAACTGAGAGTCCATTTTCAGGACCTTCTAATATTGTTCCTCCACTTTGGGAGATATTTAGAGTATAACAATTGAAGAATGCCGGATCTAAAAACCAAGAAAAATCTGAAGAGTTACACTTAAGACCATGATATTCACAACTTGCAATAAATTCTTCCTTTCGAATACCTCCTTGTTGAGCCGCCGTTGAATTTAAATTTGCAGCCAGTGTCATTCTACTAAAGAGATTACGATCAGCTTCCCAAAGAAAGTTTGAATCCTTCGCATTTTGGGCGAATATTTCTGAATAAGTATAATAAGATGAATATTTATTGCCGTAGTCTATCATCATACGTTCAAAAGTAGAGACTGTTGATTCTCCCCTGCCTGTGTAGTCATAATCCTCTCCTACACTCCATCTGAAAGTTTCATTTTCGTGATAAACAACATCACCAAAGGTGTAGACGTCTATGGGCCTTAAATTGCAAATGGATATGGCAGGGAAAACAACAGGCTGATTAGCAACTTCGAGACGAACAGACTTCGGATAACTCTTATACTTTCTCAGCAAGCCAACTGATTGCCACGTAAAGAGAGAAACAGTTGCAAGGCACACTGTAATCCAAAAGGCAGATGCTAAATAAGTTTTCGATCGTACAACTTTAGGTAAACCATGGGAAGTTGAGTTATTCGCATAAGATCTAACAATATCCATAACAGACTTCGGCTGATTTCGAAATTTTTTCTCTGCCTCTTTTTGCGACATAATCCACGGATTTTGGTTAGTCTGAACTATCGAGATACTTCTTTGTCTTGTTTTCACAATTTTTCTCAGCATATCATCTGTAAAAAGAATTCAAGCAATGTGAAAAATATAACTAAATAGTCATCTCCTGACCGTAAAACGATAATAAGACAATTTTTTGTGTGATTCTTCTGAGTTCCATATGAAGAATTATGGTACATTGACGAATGAAAGTATAAAAAGTATAAACAAAAATAGACAAGCGATGAAAAAGGGCAAGTGTGTTTTGATCTAAGACATACCCTCTTTCAGCACTTTGTCTGTTTAAACAATGACTTTTTAAAATTCAATGCTCACCTATACTAAGAGTTTTCATTTATATACGAATTAATCCAACTTCGAATGCTAAAAATTCTTTAGTGTGGAAAGAAATTGAGATGAATAACGTTAATGAGCTGGGATGTAAACACTTAACAAACCACAAATTACAACAGATCAAAGAGTTTTTGGATAAAAAATGGTCATTCCATCCGCTAGAATTAAAGCAGTAATCAGCTGATTATTTCTCACGAATTAAGTGTGAGAAAGGAAAATATTTAGAATGTCAGAACATATCTTATTAATACAATGACCTGGAAGCAATTTCTTTTGAAATGTGTAATATTTTTTAATGTTTACTGAATACTCTTTAAAATTTAGCAATAAAGGTACAGAGCTTATTTTATGTTATCTTTTCCAACAAGACAAAATAAAAATTTTATTAAATTGTATTTTCGAGGAATAATCTTATATAGTCCATATAATTTCAATGTAGTCCAAAAGAAAAAAGTAAGCAGTAGTACAAAAGCAGTTAAAATTCTAACAAATATTAAATAGTTTATACCCTATTTTCTCTGTTAATCAAGAACGAATATAGAATTTCATTTTCTTTGTAAGTAATACACAGTTGTCGCTTTATTCTTGACAGCTTTTCATTCGTCAAATTTTCATATTTTTCGTTTCTGTAATATTTGTCATAAAATTAAGAATATAGTACCAATAGTTATATTTTTCATCAAATGTTTGCTTATTTAGTAAAGTATGTCTGTATTTCTATTAAAATTCTCATCAATACTTAACCCTATTCTGTAAAAGAAATAAATTGTTATTAGCTCCAAGAGAAGCTCAGCACCTGTAGCCAAGAACCTTTTTTATGGCTTAATGGAAAGTGTTAGTATAAACTTAAAATATTCTGTTGATCAATAGTCTATACTATTTCTGAGTTAGAATAAATTATGTTGCATTTAGGTAAGGGTCCTAAAGATTTTGCAAGTTAATAAACTCCAGGTGTAGTTTTCATTTGTAATTCTGAAGCTGTAATGTATTATGTTAACAAAATAAATAGACCTTACAAACTTTGTTTAAGTGACATAAATATAGAATTATTTGAAAAAAATTTTTTTCTCTTGACTGAAGTAACAACATTTTGCTGAATGTTCACACAATGAGATAATTATAAAACGTACAATATTTGCTTTGCTATTATCATTTATGTTGTGTATCACTTATTTATAGAAATATTTTAATCCGAAGGTCATTTGTTCATCAAATTTTATATTCTCTCTTACATGTGCTAGGTCTATTAGATTTTATAGCTTCCTTATTATATTATAACGTCATAATAAAGAGCCTTTGCGAGTTCGTAAAACTAACCTTTTTAACCTATTTTAAGCTCTTTATGAAAGCACAAAAAGTTTAATTAAAACTTTTGAACCTTCATTAGCAGCTGCCTATAGGTATCTGTTGAGTTAAAATATTCCATTCTTTTTTAAAATTTCCCAATCCATCACAAGTAGGTAAATAGTAATTCTTTCACTGAAAATAGTACACTATTTATACTTTTCTGTAATATATACCTGATTGTTAGATTAGAAAACAAGTGCTAACTTCTTTCTTTCTTTCTTTACTGTAATTAATAGATTGAATAGCTGCCAGGAGTTCTTTTCATAGCCTAGTTATTTATAATTTTTAGTAAAAACCTAAAAATGCTCTTTGATACTCATCTATTAGTAGATTATTGTTCTGTATTTATCTAGATAATAAAATAATAATACGTTATTCATTTAAGTAGAGTAATTTCAGGCATATCCTACCTTTATATATGATCCTTTATTTGATTTTCTGTTTTTAATAATTATTTTCGTATGTGTAACCCAACGAAAGTCGGTGGTAAGGGTTTTGAGATGTGTGAGAAAATGTAAATGGTATTAAATTAAATAGGAAATATGAATGGCTAAAATACTAGTTTCAAACTAATACTTGATAGTAAGCTTTCTTAACAAATTTAGCGAAGTTGGAAGATATCATGGAATATGTAATTAATACGTATCTATAATGCCATTATTCTGCACAAGCTGAATCTTAATAATCCTATAACTATAGAAATGTCTAAATTGTATATTTATATCATTTGAATATGCAAACTAAACTTCGGCTGGGTCACTTTCAGGAACTAGACTAAATAAATTAATTAGTCACTTATCATTCGAAAAATCCTGGTGTTTATATAAACAGTATTGCATTAATGGCGTAGGCCTATTGAGTTTATTCGGTATATTTTTTTTCGGTAATTTGTTTCCAAGTGCCACAGGAATCTTGTTCAAGTGATACTATCTTAATTATTTTCAGTTATTTATACATCAAGTTATGTCTCGTAAACATGTAAAAATTGATGATGACGTTGATGTTACTTATAAGGTTTGAAATTGGAAATAAACTGGAGAAATTCGTTAAAATTTTTTTTATCTAATAGGTTTTAATTATAGGAGAAACGTCCGTTGGAAAAACATGTATTTTACGTAACCTGTCTGGAAAAGGTTTCAATTTTTCAACATTATCAACAGTTGGTAATTATTACAAGTTATAATCTTAAAAATAATTTTACATTTAGAAAATTAAATACAAATATTGTTGTATTTTAGGAATTGATTTCGAAAATGTAGTATTCTCTGTTAGAGGGGTTAACATTTTACTAAAGATATGGTAAGTAATTACTGTAATTTTATCCTGTTGTTCATTAACTATTGTGATGTATATGAAAGGGATACTGCGGGGCAAGAACAGTTTAGAGCTATAACAAAGAGCTATTATAGAGGAGCAGAAGTGAGTTAAATCGTTGAATTTTTAATTAACAACTTTAGACCGGTTTTCTATGAATACTAAAGGCAGTTGTTTTGGTCTACGATGTCACAAACAAGAGTAGTTTTGATAAATTAAATTCGTGGATTGATTCTGTTGTTGAAGTAAGCTAAAAATCTTATCATTATTAAATTTATTGAATTGAATAAGATTCTCTAATAGGATCTGGTTGATAACAATATCAAAAATATCAAAATACCTTTTTACCTAATGGGAAATAAAATAGATTTAATTGAAAATCGCGTTGTAGATGCTGAAAGTGGACAAGCGGTACGTCTCCTACATTTCATACATGAACTTAATGCTTCTTTATAATGTGTTCAGTTTAGCAATATGCAAGCTGCGGATAGATTTTTTGAAGTAAGTGCCAAAACTGGATCTAACATAAGTCAGGCATTTAAAAAATTAGCTGAGGATATCCTGCTAGCAAATAATCCAGAACTCGTTAGTAAAAGACTTGCTTTCTAAAATTGTATATCATATAAAACTGATTATTTTTTTATTAGTCTTCAAAATTTTCGCCTTTTTTCACTTATAGGTCTCTGATTATGTATCTGCAGAATGTGTTATTGAAAACGATTTGCAAAGTAATTGCTTTTGTAAATGCTACTGCGAAGCTTGTACAAAGTGTGAATGCAAATCTACCCGAAATAAGGTGTCTAGAAGAGTGTTTTCTAAGTATGCGAAAAAGCCAAACTCAAAAAAAATTGGGTTAAAATCTACCCGCAGCATCGTCCGTTTAGCGTCTGAAATTGACATGAGAGATAAGAGCAAATGTTCGGATTGCAAGAAACTCTAAGAGTAATCAATGATAGCATTTCGTAGTTTTTTTTAAGAGTTTTATTGCTATTTATACGATGTTTCCATTTATTTCTGTAATAGTTAAATTTTGGCTTATTATACAGTTAACTACTCTTATTCTCAAACTTTTGAATACAGATGAAGTTGATTCGATGCTTTATTGTTTCTAAACTAAATTTATAAATTTTATTTCTTTACAAGTTCGAGTTAAAAGAAAAAAAAATTAAAAAGGAGGAAAAATCAGTTTTATTTTTACATTTCCTCCCAATTTAAAAGGGCTCAATAAGGTCGTTGAAAGAAATATAAAGTTGCTACTTTGATCGATATCCAATATCACCTTTTGCATCCGCAAATAAATAATCTTAAGGGAAGTAACACTATTATTTTAGCGGGGATTCTCAAGGAAATTCTCTCAGTTATCGCCAGGGAAATAATATTCTCTGAAATGTTATTATTTTAAAGTATCAGTATCAGATATTTTGCCGTTATTTTTTATAGTTAGAAAGACTTTATCATTAAAAACGTAATTATTCTTATTCTAGTTCCTTTTAGTTCTTTGTAAAGGATAAAAAAAATGGTACTACTATCTGACAAACAAATCATACTAGCTACTACCTTTGAGAAAATAATTATACTTGTCATTTTTTAATTAATAAGTAGAGTTTAAGTAATGCTCATTAGAAAAATGCATATCAAAAAAAGTAGGAAAGTTTACATTTTAGTCTCTTTCTCTTCCTATAGTTAGGGGTATTCGCTATTTACAGCTAATTTTGCAATTATTCTTATTTAAAAACAATTCACGATATTTATTTAATGAAAACATGCTTTATCAACAGAGATACTTAATACTGTTTAGTCTCATTCCCGTCTCCTTATTTGACTGATTAAAAACTGTAGTCAAATATTTGTTGTCTGGAGATGTAATAGTTGTAGATATTAATACAGCTGTGATAAGTTGCGAGGCATACTTTTTTTAATATCACATTAAACTAGAATTTAATCACCAACTTTATATAAAACACAATTTGCTTTCGGCCTGCCTGAGTTCTGAAATGGCTTGTCTCATTTTGATAAATTGTAAATAATGCCAAACTGTATCTGTTCTTGGTTATATTCTGGAGCTCTAAACATAAACTAATGGGATGCTAATAATATTTTATATAAAATTACTTTTATCCTCTATTGACCATAGTTCTGCTTCGTTTTATGTAATTTGTCAACCGTTTTTTAACAATAGTTAATGCCTTAAAGCCTATTTTGTAAAATAAATCAATTTCTTGATGAATCCTTTAATTGGAAATTAAATGAAATATATCAATATTCTCTACTCGAGGAAATTTCTTATCACATGATCCGGCTAGAACAAGAATAGCGATTTGACGATTAATCGTAAAAGTAATCTAATTATAAAAACTTTTAGGTTATATTTATTTTATTATCACTCTTAATAAACCTATTTTGGTCTCATATAAAACATTGTAAATACGTATGCGATAAATTGCTTTAATTTGGTCGTCTAAAAATATAGCAACCAATTGCGCTATAAGCCCCTACTGATAACTACTATGCAAATTATAGATATCACTGTAAACGCTTTACTTATTTTTGTATTGATTGTATCATCGGAAGTCACGTCTAAGCATTTAACATGCATAAGACACTTCCAGATCTGCTCCTTCAGTTTTCTATGCAAGAATAAATCCTCTTTAAAGATCTGTTTTTTATGTGCTTCGGCATTCGTCCTACTTACTAAGACTTATAAAAAAGGTTTTTAAAGCAAAGCAAAGTTTTTTCGTGAGGTTTTGACTTTAGCTATATTTTCTATTTCGTATTTTAACTACATGATTGATGTATAACATGTTGAATAAATTGAATTTCTTTATGATGTCTTAGACTAGTTCAATTTCCTTCTTTCGTTTTTTTGTTAGAAGTTACTTTATAGAAAATACAAGTAGAAACATTGCAGGAAAATAGTGTCAGGCGTCAACAGCTATGATCTATATATATGATCAATTTATATTCCTATGAGAAATAACGTGATTTGTTCTGTATTCATAGCAAATTTCTATTGCAGAGTTATATTTGCAGAAAAATATTAGTATTCGAAAAAGGTCATTTGGAAAACTTTTGTATATTTAAACTTCGAAAATATATATTTTAGGAATAAATATCATCATTAGTTTTTAGCTTCAAGAGGAATACATTTTATATACTCTTTCGATAATATTTATTATTGATTTTGTGCAAAATTTGATCAATCTTTTCAGAATGGCGGTGAGATGTGACATTAAGTAAATTTCAAGTTCAATTTTGAATCAAGAATTGAGGTATGCAGTTTTTAGGGAGACTAAAATTTTCTTTTTTTGGTTTTCATATTTTTTGTCTTTTACTTTTTTTTATACCTAAAGTTATATGTCGACAGCTGTCAGTGATTGTTCATCCTCTGATGATTTAACTTTCGAAGATGGGTTACGTCTCAAAGATTTCGCTGTCATTGGACGTAAGGCCACTCTTGCCGATTGAATTCGTGAATCTAAAAGAGAAAAATTATTAATAACAATAACCTATTTTTGATATCGCCACTTACAAGTGATATTTGATAATAATTGTGATATTAATTAGTTGATGGAGGAGGTGATTTCGAACCTGTGAAACAATCATCCTAATTTTAGCATAGTGAATTTGACTTTAAATACTTTTATCACCAATATGTGAATTAAATTAAATATATTTTAATAAACTCGAATAAATACAAACCAGTGTTTATACTAGATGTAGTGGGCTGAGGCTCTTCAACACTTGCACCCCAGTTGTCATCTGATGGCTGTAAGATTATTGTGTTACATTACATTTTTTAATACTTAGACTAATATATTCTACCTGGTTATGTTGGGCTACAACAACTTTTGAAGGCGGCTGATATCCAGGAGGTTCAGCGTCGGTATGGGCCGTAGGAAGAATTGGCGAAACAGCTCTTCTAGATTTATTTTTCATTACATAAATTGTAAGAAAAATAATCACTACTATGAGGAACAGCAAAACTATTACAACAAATGAAACAATAGCTATTCCAGTTGTAGTCTCAATCCATGGCGTGCTACTTGTTTGTGTTACAGTTGGATAAGATGTAACTTGAGAAACACTATATTGGTTAAATTCTGGTCCGTTTAAAATTCCTCCATTGCCATTGTTATTAGAGTTCAGTACTTTAAGCAAATCATCTTTTTGAATGAATGAGTCAGATGACACAGAATCATTTCCTTTTGTGGCATAGATATATATGGTAACTGTTGATGCTTGTAATAGACGTCGAGAAGTTGGAGATCCTGTCGGACTAGGATCACCGCACATTTTAACTTTTGCATCAGGAATAGACTTTTGAAGCTCATTTTGTAATTTTGATGTGAAGTCATTCTGCTTTGTGCTAAATTCTGATTCGGATATGCCTAACTTGATAGCTACACAAACTTTTACTTTTGAAAAAGTCACGACGGTGACTGTTGTTGTGTCTGAGAGTTTTGGTATTCCACCATCAGATACAGTTGCGTCAAAATTATATGTTGCTCCTTCTTGAGCTGTGGCTTTATAACTTACATTACCACTTTTTCCATCTACTTCGAAAATATCGTTGCTGTCCAATATTGAATAGGTGAGTTCAGCATTTTTTCCAGTGTCATAATCAATAGCCGTAAATTGAAATAAAATTGCTCCAATAGGCTCGTCATGAGCCATTTCATGCTTTCTGATCATACTCCTTGGAAAGAAGGGTCGATTATCATTGATATCAGCTATAGTTATATGAACAGGAACAAAAGAGTCTAATTGTGGGTTGCCCTTATCGTAGCCTCTGATTTGGAATTTGAATTCTGGCGTTTTCTCTCTATCAAAGACTTGAAGGGTTGTTAAGTTACCGGTATTTGTATCAAGCCTAAAATATTGTCCTATTGATGCGTTCTTAAAAGAATAGAAAACTATTCCATTAGCATTGGCATCCAAATCAACAGCTTGAATTAATGCAACCTGTTGACCTGATGGTGAGGTTTCTGTTACGGTGCCAGTAAACAAGGGTTTGGTAAATTTCGGAGCGTTGTCGTTCAAATCATTTACGTTAATTGTCACTCTCGTTTCAGCATACAGAGGGGGAGATCCCGAATCAGATGCTCTACACCATAGGACATATGTGGCAATTGTTTCTCGATCTATGCTAGCAATGTTAACTGATATTGTACCAGTATTTGAGTCAATTTTGAAATGATTTGCACTTCCCACTTGCGCTCTATTAATGCTATAGATCAATAGACTATTACCTCCTATATCTTTATCAGTTGCTTTAATAGTTCCAACAGGTCTGCCAACGGCAGCATTTTCAGTTAAAGAGAAAGTATAGCCGTCTGGAAATTGTGGAATTACGTCATTAACATCGAGAATAATTATTGAAACTATAGTTTCAGCTGATTTTTGGGGCACACCACTGTCTATTGCTTTAACTGTTAGTTTATAATTCCAGAATAATTCTCGATTTAGCGTTCGAAGTACTCTAATCTGGCCTGATATTGAATCAATGAAGAAATTTCCAAGGTAATCTCCATCAATGATGAAATATCTTAATTTAGCATTTTCATTTATATCAGCATCTGTCGCATGCACCGTTAATATATTTTGGCCAACTGTAGCATTTTCCCAAACTCGTAAATCATTTGGTACTGCATCAAAGATAGGACCGTTATCATTTTCGTCCAATATCTCGATATAAACAGTAGTAGTTGCAGTTCGCTGTGGAGTTCCCGCATCAACAGCATGCAGCCGAATTTCTTGCTGTTGACCATGATTTTCTCTATCTAAAACTTTAGCTGTTGTAATCTCAGCATTTCCTGATCCAGTTGTCCTTAGAGCAAAGAAATTGTTAGGGTTACTAGAGAAATCCAGTGAAATTGTTGTTTGACCGTTTAAGCCCGTATCATCATCCGTTACAAAGACGTTCGTTATAATTGTTCCGGCTGGTTGATTTTCGGCAATAGCTACTCTAACATTAGAGGGATGGAAAATTCCTGCATTATCATTCTCATCATCTACTAGAATTCTGACAAGACAAGTGGATGACTTTGGTGGATTTCCTCCATCGACTGCCTTTATAATTAAGTTATATTCCTTTTTCTTTTCATAGTCGATGTCAGGTGTAACGCCACCTCTGACTTCTCCATTAGATGCCTCAACCAAGAAATTTCCATTTCCATCCCCTCCAATCAAATAATATTCTGTATCGAAAAGATCAATTAGTTAGTTGTAATGGAAGAATATGATTTCAAAATCAAACTTACGCGTATCTCCGAAATTACTACTATCCGGGTCATTTGCAGTTACAGTTGTAATCAATTGACTACTCACGACATTCTCTTTCACATGCTTAATGTAGGTATTTTTGGTAAAGAGAGGCCAATTATCATTTACATCAGTGAGAGTGATGGTTAAGTTCATTTTGTGAGATTTGGCATTAATTGAAAGTCCCTGCATATCCATTGCTGTAATTTCTAAAGTATAGGATTTGTAAATCCCATCATAGTCAAGTTTTGTACCCACTATTACACTTCCCGTTATCGGATTAATTAAAAAGTGGGAATTCGAAGGATTGCCATTTGTTATTGAAAATCTCACATTTCCAGCTTGTCCGTTATCTGAATCTGATGCCCTGGCTGTGTAAATCAATGAACCTACTGCAATATCTTCTGATATTTGAATACTATTGCTTGTTTGAAATAGAACAGGGCTATATTCGTTGAATGATAAGACGCTAACTGTCACAAGAGCCTGAGTTGTAAGTGATGGTGTTCCACTGTCAGATACTGCTATGTGCAAAACATAATGTTTCTTTGTTTCATAATCCAACTTTTTGGCTATTGTCAAATGTTGATTTGTCAGAGCAAAAGCTGAATCTGAGTTTCCAGATATAAACGAATACGTTAATTGGGCATTGGATCCAATATCATCATCAGTACCAACTATAGAAATTATCGTCTGGCCAATCGAACTAGACTCTGATACAGACGTTGAATAAGCAGCTGGTGTTACCTTTGGATAATTATCATTTACATCAGTAATTGTAATTGTTATATTCATTGCAGCAGTTCTAACATCTCCAGCACTCTTAGCGCTATCCTCAACTTCCACTTTGAGATTGTAACTTTGAACATCTTCTCTGTCAAGTTTTGAAACTGTCTTTATTTTCCCTGAAAATTCGTCTATTACAAAGTGATTTTCATCATTCCCAGCTGTTATATAAAAACGAAGTACTCCATGTAAATTTGTAATACTATCTTGATCAGTGGCTGTTACAGTGGTTAGAACATAGCCAATATCCACATCCTCAGAAATAGAAAAGTCATAAGCTCCTGTTATCACAGGATTATGCTCATTAACAGGTAAAATATTTATTATGACGGTAGATGTTCCTGTTCTTGGTGGTCCATTGACAGCTTGATCAGTTATTTTAATAACTAAACTGTAAAATTGATCAGTTTCGTAGTCTAAAACAGCTGTTGTTGTAAGCTCTCCAGTAACGGCATCAATTTCAAATTGATTCTTTAAATCGCCGCTATATATCGAGTAACGTAGGTCTGCATTACTTCCATTATCAATATCAGAACAATCTAATGTTAAAATACTTGTTCCAACTACAGAGCTTTCGTTCATTACATGTAAATAGTTCGTTGTTGAACAATTTGGGTTATTGTCATTATAGTCGGTAACTTTCACTGTAAGAGTCGTTTCGCTGCTTAGTTCATTAGGACCTTTGTCCGTTACTCTTAAAATTAAGTTATAAGTATCGTATCTTTCCCTATCTAGTGTTCCATTTAAGTACACTAAGCCTGTATCCGAGTTAATACGAAATGCTCCCTCGGTGTTGCCTCCAACTATTGAGAAGAAAAACTTTCCGTTTATGCCCTTGTCAGTATCTGTAGCTGAAGCCAAATAGACTTTTTCATATAAGTCAGAGTTTTCTCTTAGAGTAGATGTATATGGAGCATTAGAGAATACAGGAGCAGCTTCATTGGTGTCAAGAACTTTGATACTAATGAAAACTTCTATATAATTGGCAGGTGTTCCCTGGTCAGCGACTTTTACGGTTAGGTAATGTTTTAGAGCCGCTTCTGCATTAATGGCTGTATTGTCAGCCACCCTTACTTCCCCTGTGTTGCTATCCACTTCAAATATACCTGCTTCGTTACCGTTTGTTATTGTATAAGCTATTTGAGAATTAACGCCTTCATCAATGTCTCTACAGAATTGCGATAAAGTCACAATTGTGAATCCGTTTGAAGTAACTCCTTCTGTAACTACTCCACCATATAGCGTGATATTACAAGTTGGGAAGTTGTCGTTTGTATCGATCAAGGTAATAAGCAGCGTTGCTGATCCTGTTCTATTCGGAGATCCTGCGTCAATAGCGAACAATGTTAATGAGAAACTATTGGGTAAAATATCTCTATCTAAATCGGTAGCTACTATCAAATCGCCACTGATTGAGTCGTAAATGAAGTGGTTGTCCTCATTTCCAGAAAAAATCTTATAACGCAATTCGCCATCTATTCCATGATCATCATCAACAGCTGTGTAGGATGCTACAGAAGTAGAAACAGTAGTGCTCTCGGATATATTTAAATTAAATGTAGACGATGAAAAAGCAGGACTATGCTCGTTTACTCCAGTAATTTGAATGGATACAGGAACATTTAAGAGACTACCACCGCCGTCCATTGCAGTGGATGAAAATTTGAAAGATTTTTTTGTTTCATAGTCGAAGTTTAATCCATTTCCAAGACTTATTTCTCCTGTACTGGAATCAACCTGGAAATGAGATGCGTCACTACCAGATAGTGAATATGAAATAACATTGAAATTAGAAATGGCTGAATCAAGATCCGTACAATTTAATGTGACCAAAGATCCTGTTTTATCTTCAGGGAATGAAGTTACTATTGAAGCAGGGGAGCAAACAGGTTTTTTATCGTTTCTATCTGTTACAGTTAAAACCAAAGTAGCGCTTCCAGTTTTAGAAGGAACCCCTAGATCCATTGCTTGAATAACCATAGTATATGAGTCTTTAACTTCCCTATCTAAAGAAGTCACTAATTTTATTGTGGCAGTAATTGCATCAATAGTTACAATCGATGAGTCACTACCCAGCAGGGAATATATGATTTGACCATCTATTCCATGATCACTGTCTGTTGCAATTTCTGTCTGAATGACTTGACCAATTGCAGCTAGTTCACTGATAGATTCTGTAAAATTTTGACTGAAAATTGGTGATGCCTCATTTATTCCTGTAACTCTAATATTTACGATAGCAGATGACGTTAAAGATGGTATTCCGTTATCGGCAGCATAAATGGTCAACGTATATTCTTTTGTAACTTCAAAATCTAATTCAGCTGATAAAACAAGTTGACCATTTCCATCATTGTTTTTGCTGATGGAAAATTTATTTTCTGCATTGCCGGAAAATATTGAATAATCTATGGTTCCTTCTGCATTAAGGTCATCATCGGAAGCAGAAACAACAATAACAGTATTGCCAATTGTAAAATTTTCGGCTAATGATACGACATATGTTGTGGGAGAGAAAGTTGGCCTCTCATTTATATCTCCAATGTTTACTGATAAATTATGGTCAAGATATTTAACTTCGTCTATTATACCAAAGTCGACCGCTCTAACTGTTAATAGGTAAAAGTTGATCGATTCTCTATTTAATTGTTTTAAAAGTTTAATTTGGCCAGTTCTTGTATCAATATCAAATGTTTCAGATGAGGGATGCAAGCTATAGGATATCTTTTTCTCAACATCTTCATCTGTAGCCGTTATCTGGGCAAAAGTTGACCCTACAGATAAATCTTCATTAATAGTAATGTTTGTTGTTGAGTTACCAAAGTCCGGAAAGTGTTCATTTACATCAGTGACTGTAACCATTATACTGGCAGTTGTACTCAAAGAAGGGGTACCTCGATCTGATACTCTGATGAAAATCAAGTGGTTTTGAGTAACTTCAGCATCTAAGCTTGTACCTAACGATACTTCGCCTGTTGTCGCATTTATGTTGAAATCTCCAGATGAGCCTGGAGGTGTTAAAATTGCATACTCCAATTCTGCATTACTTCCAGAATCTTCGTCTGAGCAAGATGGAGCAAGAACAATTGTTGAAGTTGGAGCGTCTTCCCTTAAGGTTTTAGTGTATAACTTAGGCGTGCAGACAGGACTTACATCATTTACGTCTGTAATCATTATTGTGAGATTTTGAGCAACACTATTAGGAGGCTGTCCCATATCAGTTGCTATAATTGTGAAGGTGAACAATCGCTCGTCTAAAATTTCATAATCAGACAAAGCTTTGACAGATATGATTCCTGTTTCAGAGTCTAGATGAAATTTAGGATGATTATTCATTGTGAAAAACAATCTGCCATCAATGTCATCATCGGCATCCGTAGCGCTAACTTGAAATACTGACGATCCCACAGGCAGATTCTCTTGTATGGACGTTGAATATGGAGTTAGTTGAAAAACTGGAATATTATCATTCGATGGTTCAATATTTATGACTACTAAGGTTGTTCCTGTTTTGGATACCGCCGATCCTTCAGAATCTACAGCTATAGTAACTATCTCATAAGATTTTATACTTTCATAGTCCAGAGATGCTGAGATGTCAATTCTGCCAGATACCGGATTAATGCTAAAAGCTGATCCAACATTTCCTGATTCGATCGAGTAAGATATGTTTCCATGAGAATTCGTTAAAGGATCATCCAAATCAGTAGCATGCACAGTGATCACGCTGCTACCAACTGTTTCGTTCTCTCTAACTGCTTTGAAGTAAGTTAGGGGATTAAATTTGGGTGTATTGTCATTTACATCTGTCACTTGGATCGTAACAGAAACAGAAGAACTTAGTTGACCATCTGACGCTTTGATCTCAAATTCATAGGAGTCTTTAGTTTCTCTATCGAGCCCTATATGTAAAACTTTATAAATCTTAGGGAACATACTTCAAATTATACATACCTGATGCCAAAATTATATCTGCTGTTTCTGGTTGAATGATAAATGGTTCATGTGACCCATTGCTAAATGAATAAGTTATTCTGCCGTGACTTGTGTCAGGAGAATCGATATCGGTAGCTTCTGTTCTTAATAATGTTGAACCTATGCCAGCAGATTCATTAACACTTATAAGGAAAACGTTGGCTGTGAAGTTTGGTGTTCCTTCATTCTCAGGGACAATAACAACTTTTCCTCTTATTGTGATAGTGTAATTAGTGTCTGATACACTAATAACGAGATTGAATTCTCGAAGGTTACTTGGGCCATCGAAATCAACAACAGACTTCAACTTGACTATTCCAGACGAATTTACCTCAAAATAGGAGCCATCACCAAATGTTAAAGCATAAGTCAAATTGTTTTTGTCTCTATCGGAGCAACCAAGGTTGATTAATTCATAAGGATTAACAGGAGAGACCATTGTATTTTCAGGAACAGATACAATGAAAGATTTGACAGTACAGTTTGGTATATTATCGTTCTCATTTGCAATGTTAACAGTAAGAGTTGCATTGATGGAATTTGTTTCTGCAACTTCTATTACATTTATAATTAAATGATATACTGATTGCATTTCTTTATCTAATGGACCAGCTATTTTGACTCTCCCACTAAGAGGGTCAATGAAGAATCTATTACTTGGGTCTCCGTCAACAATACTATAGATTAGTGTACCATGTGGGTGGTCATTGCTGTCAATATCAGTTCCAATCATATCTGTTACATCTGTATTGATTGGATCAGTCTCTTTCACTGTGACTATTTGATTTAATAACACAGGGCCGGCTTCATTGACAGCCTTAACTGATATGATAACTGGAATTTCTACAGATTTTAATCTTCCGTCTTGGACAGTAATTTTCAAAGTGTAGTCACGCTTCGTTTCATAATCCATGCTATTTGTCAAATTCAATTCTCCTCTCCCAGAAAAGCCTGGATTTATCGAAAAAATATTAGCACCTGAATTTTCAACGACGGTGTAGCTTAAAGCCCCATTTACACCAGAATCTGCATCAGTACAGCCAAGATCTGGAATAAGTTGTAAGGGTAAATTTCCTAAAGAAGTCGCCTCTTCTTGGACTATGACTGCTGTTTTGATTAAACAGTTTGGAGCATTATCATTTATATCTGTTACCGTCAGGTTAATGAAACCGTAAGTTTTTCTGGGAGGTGTTCCGCCATCTGTGGCTATAACAGATATAGTAAAATCTTTATTTTGCTCAAAGTCCAGTTGTTTCTTTAGTTTTATCTCTCCTGTGATACTATTTATCAGGAAGTGCATAATGCCAGAATTTGTAACACTGCTTATTTCGTAAGTAATTATACCATCAGCACCTAAATCCAAGTCTGAGGCTTGATATGTTGAAATTATTTCACCAACTGGAATATCTTCAGATTTACTGATAGTCATATTCGATGCAAATATCGGATCATTATCATTGATTGGATTGATTATTATCGTTACAAAGACAGTTGTGGATTTGCCCTTGCTTATTGCAATAACTTCCAAATTATATTGTTTATGAATCTCGTAGTCTGGAGAATTTGCAAATTTTATGACGCCTGCGGTATTATTTTCAACAATTATATCATCATTAAAATTTCCCATTACCAAGTAGATAAGGTTGTTGTCCATTGAATCTGGATCTTCGCAATTTAGGTTGGGCGAAACAATAAGCGTGTTAACTGGAGTAGTCTCATTAAATGACACAGTAACAGACTTTTCTTGACACACAGGAGGGTTATCGTCATCGTCACCAACATTAACAGTTACTTCGATTGTACCTGTCCTAGGACTTGATAAATCCGAGTCTATTGCTTGTACTTTAAAAGACAAACTACGATTTAAAGGGTTTTCATAGTCTAATTTCCTTGCTAGGAAAAGTTTTCCAGTGCCTGAGTCCACTACAAAATACCCATCAGGATCTGTACCATCTACTTTACTGTAAGTTATATCTCCAGCAGGGCCAAAGTCATCATCATTGGCTGTGAGAGTTTGAAAACTTGTTCCAACAGGTTGGGATTCTTGTAGAGGTATAGTAGTGCTCACACCAGCAACAAAGGCAGGACTGTAGTCATTTACAGAAGTGACGGTGATATGAATCGTTGCTGTTGCTGTCATTTCAGGGCTTCCATTATCTTTGCATTTAATAATTAATTGATATTGTGTAGGCTCTGGTGCATTTCCATCAGGTTCAATAGGCTCTTTTAGTAACAACTCATCAGTATTACCATTCTTTAGACTGAATTTAGCTGCTGCTACCCCTGTTGCTTGCAATTCATAACTAAAGCTCGTAGATACTGAATCTTTATCAGTCACAATAAATTTATGAATTGTAGCATTAGTTATTTCATTTTCCAAGACTGAAAAGCTGTAAGTGCTTTGATTGAAAATGGGAGAATTATCATTTACATCAGTTATAGCAACATCGACTTGTAATACAGATGTTATTGGTGATACATTCCCATCAGATGCTTGAACATATATAGAGTAAGATTTTATTGATTCATAATCAAACAACTTCGTTGTAGTAATTTTTCCTCCGATTGGATCTATTCTAAAGAACTCAATTGCATTGTTAAGGGAGCCTGAAAAAAATAGTTATCTGAAATCACGTGCTTAGTATTGAGATAGTTTTTCTTACTATCATTTGCCGATTCAATCGAATATGATATCTGTCCATCAGGACTACTATTACTATCTCCATCTGTTGCAACGACAGTGACAACTGATGTGCCAACGGAAGAATTTTCTTCAAGAGAAACAAGACTGACTGGAGAGAAACTGGGCCCGAATTCATTTACCGGAGAGACCTTTTTTTTGAACAGACTTTATAAATGATGCGACAAAGTGAATAAATTTATACAGTGCAGATAACAAATGATTTTCTAATTGACTTTTATACTTTGTTTATTTGTCTCAAATTTCTTTAATAAAATACTTCAATCTGTTAAAGCTAAATGATTAAAGTCTTTTTAAGCTATTTTTGAGAGACTTTTGCATGGAATCTAGTTATCATATTAGCGAATAGAACTCTGCTACTTCGATCAAGCCAATAAATTAATATCAACAGAGAATCTTTCATTAAAATCCATAATACAAAATGTGCAATACAATATAATATCTTTAGTATACTTTCTATCCTAAGAATTTCAACTTACATGTACTAGCAGTGTCACCGTGCCTGTTTGTTTTGGAGTTCCTGCATTGTTGTCAATCATAAACACTTCTAAAGTATATTCATTTTTCGTTTCATAATCTATTACGTTTGATGTTGTTAAAATCTGTTTTGACAAACATCTCGTGTAGTTTAAGAATTTCATATATTTTTAATCGCTTACACTTTTACCACTGACTGCAAATTTGTTTGTAACATCGTCGCCGCTATTTATCGACAATGTAAAGGTATGAAATGGTGATGTTCCATCACTATCGGTACAGTTGGATAAGTCTTTTACCAGAAGGGAGGGAGCTGAATTTTCGGCTATATGAACTGAATAGGCCGCCATCGGACATTTAGGAATATTATCATTTACGTCTTCTATATTGATTGTAACTGTGTGATTAATAGATGTCGTTTGATCAGTAGCCTCGACTACAATGTCATATGTTGTCTGAGAATCATAATCTAAGGGGCCTGCTAAAATTAATATTCCAGTAGCTGATTCTAGAGTAAATAGCGACCCTCCATTGTGAGAAACTGAGAAAAATCATTGAAAATATTTAAAGACAGAGTAAAATATAATATTTTACGATATAAAAACAAATGTTGTCGATATTTACCAGCTACGATTGAATATTTTAATTTTCCTTCTACTCCTCTATCCCCATCAACAGCAGTGCAGTTCGTTATAATGTTTCCTACGTTTTCATTTTCAGGAATGGTAACTGTTTGACTGGCTACATAAAAAACTGGATTGTTATCTTCTACTCCCGTAACGTGTAGGGTAACTGGAATGAGGACACTGTCTGCTCGAGATGACACATTAATAATAAGACTATATAGTATTTCTTCTTCATAGTCGAGATCTAGCGAAATAAAAAACTAAGTTTTAAATTTTGAAGATTGTTTTTGTATATTACCTGCTTGAAGCAGTACGTTTGCCCCGCTCATAGTAAATTTTCCTGCATCATTCCCAGATAATATTGAGTATGTTACATTTTCAAATGAATCGTGATCAGTACAATTTAAAGTCAAAATCTGTTTAATATTATATTTATGTAAATAAAAATTCTAGTGAATAATTTTACTACCATGTATCCGACAGTTGTGTTTTCTGTAATAGTTTCGCTGAACGCATATTGTTCGCAAGTAGGAGCCAAATCACCCAAATCAGTCACAGATATTGTTAAAGTTCCTGTGACCGACCTCTGTACTGAAAAAGATGAATCAACCGCCCTAATCGTGAATTCATAATGTTTCGGTATAAACGACGGATTATCGTAGTCCAATTTTCTAGCCAGGTACACTTTTCCGTTGCTACTATCTAAGGTTATAATTTTTTCTGAATTTCCATCTACAATAGTATATGTTATGATTCCATCTTGGCCATAATCTTTATCTGTGGCCTGTATCTGATGTAAACTTGTTGAAATAGACGTTCCCTCATTAACAGATATCGGGTCTAAATTTCCTGGACTGAAAGTAGGATCATAGTCGTTAGTTGGTAAAATTACTATAACAACAGATGTTGTTGCTGTAAGAGCCGCTGCTTCATTATCAGAGATGGATATATGTAAATTGTAGGTAGATGGGTCATTAGTATCTGCATCCAAGTCAAAGGCTGTCTTAACAGACAGAGCTCCTATGTTATATTATTTGTTTTAAAATTAATGAATATGAGCAACAATAATAAATAATACTAACCAGAAGATGCATTAATTTGAAATTTTTGCAGAGAGTTACCACTTTCAATGTTATATATGAAAGAGCTATCATCTGTTACATCCTGGTCCGTTGCTTTTAGTGTTAGCAAATTATGATTTACGACCGTTGATTCGGAAATAGTAATATTATAAATAGCTTGCTCAGGAATGGGAACTCGATCATTTATATCAGTTATAAGAACAATTATTGAAGTTGTTGTTACAGACGGTATTGCACCCTTATCAGCAACTGATATCAATAATGAACAATCTTTCATGCCCATCTCAGAATCTATAGTATCTCTTTCAAGCTTTCTGGATAATCTTACGATTCCTGTTGCAGAGTCAATAGTGAATAGTGCTGGTGTTGGATCAATAGCTTCAGAATTATCTGAAATAGCAAAATAGGTTCCTAACATGTTCGTGTACAAGTTATCGTCTTACCGTTAAAAGTAGCATTTATGGTAATTATAGAATAAGCAAGAACAGAATCATTTGTTCCAAATTTATCATTGTCAATTGCTTGAGCTTTAAAAACACTTGTTCCTATTGGCTTATCTTCAGAAATTGAATATTTCACTACTGGAACATACGCTGGAGTAAACGTTTGCCAAATTGGACTATGGTCATTCACTCCAGTAACCTCAACAATCAATTTTATAACGGCAGTTAGTCGAGGTACTGCCCCATTGTTATCTTGAACGTGCACAGTTAAGTCGTAATTACTTTTAACTTCATAATCAAGTTCTGTTGTAGTAGTTTGTAATTTTATACCAGTTGAATTAACAATTTTGAATTGACTATTATCGTCTCCACTAACAATGGAAAATTCAATTTCCCCCATATTTCCGAAAGTATCAATATCTGTGCATCCAGTAATGTGTAAAACATCAGTGTCAGGAGGCGTGTTTTCAGCAATTGTTCCATGGTATACATTTGCTTCACAGGATGGGACATTGTCGTTCACATCAAGAACAGAAACAGTAACCGTACCGGAGGAGAGTAAACCTCCTCCATCAGTAACCTGGATGACTAATTCAAATAATTTTTCAGAGTTGTCATAGTCCAAAGATTTACTCAAAGTAATTTTCCCGCTCAGTTGGTCAATTGTAAAACTTCCACTACCTGACGGAGGATTGGTTTGTGTGATTTCATACTTTACAATATCATGAGGAGATGCGTCTGCATCATTTGCACTATACATATGTACTACAGCGCCAATGCTAGAATCTTCGGCAATAGACACAGTTGCATTCGAAGCTATAGGATTATGCTCATTTTCGGCAACGACATTTATTGTAACAGGAATATCCACTGTATTACCACTACCGTCAGTGATATTTACAATTAGACTGTAAATCTTGGGTTTGGTAGGACTATCGTAATCAATATCTGAAAAGAACAGAAGAATTTCATAAATTTAAGATAATAAAAATAATCCAATTCGTACCACTAGTGCTTCCACCTTGATCGAAGACTTTTATATCGCCTGATCTTGGGTCTATATCGAAAGCGTTCCCAACATTCCCCATTTTTATGTTATAAGTCAAAATTTGGTCATCAAAACAGTTAAATGTTGCAATAAGTGAACCTGCTCCATCGGTCGACTCACGAACAGGGGCACTTATAGCTGCTGGTGTGCAACTTGGCACTGTGTCGTTCACGTTCATGATAGTTATTTGAACAGTTGTCGTTCCCGTCAAGGCATGAGGGGTGGCAGCGCCATCTGTTGCTTTGACAACCAGCTCAACTGTTCTTTGCTCTTGTGTTAAACTATCATAATCCAGCTGGTGCTTTAGGTATACTTGGCCAGTGGATGGATTTATACCAAAAGTGTCATTGACATCTCCACCTTCAAATAAATGATATCACTTACATGATAAAATTATGCATTTTATTTTTTACCAATCTCCGAATAGGACAAAGAAGCGTCCATTCCAAAATCATTGTCAGTAGCAGTAACTTGAAGAATATTCGTTCCCGGAACAGTGTTTTCGGGCATATTCTATATCAAAGTATTTAGTATAACTTTTATTTTATTTGATATACTCACATGAGTCCAAGGGTTGTTTGCAAATACGGGAGAATGATTGTTTATGCCATTTATATTTATAATAACTGTAGTTGTTCCTGTTTTCGTTTCCAAGCCTCCTGGAGAATCATCATAAACTGCAACTTGAAGGATGTACTTGTCAACTTTATCCATATCGGGTGTTAATGTTTTATTAACTCTTATCACTGCTATGTTGTTTGAATTAGTGATGTTGAAAAATCCTCCACTATTTCCATTAATAATAGAGAACATCCAAGCAACTTGAGTTGCGTCAGAATCAGACGCTTCGAGATCTATAATAGATGTACCAGGTATATCAGTCTCATTGACGGTCGCAATAAATGTGTCTTTGGAAAATTTTGGATGATGTTCATTTGAATCAGTAAGAGTGATTCTGAACGACGAAGTGGACATCAGACTGCCGGCATTGGACACAGATACGTTCAACACAAAATAAGATATACCGCTATCAATATCTAGTGCATTTATAGTAATAACTTCTCCTGTTCCAGAATCAACAGCAAACAGTGACCTGGCATCAAGTCCGTTAGCTGAAAATTACAATGCTTAAATCAAATCTCTGTTATTCTACAAACTAATATACTTACAATCAAGAACTGTAACAAGTCCATATATTAAAGAAGAATGAGATGTATTTATTTTGTCATTATCAATCGCTGAGAGCGTTGTAACAACTGTTCCAACGGGTACTAATTCGCTAATAGTTTGATTACTAGGTAATGGATTAAAAGTTGGAACATGCTCATTTAAACCATTTATCTGTGGCATGATACACCTTCAACTTAAAGAATAAATACTAAAAAGATATACAAACTGTTATCAAAAGTTCGTAAGTTTTTTGGAATGTTCCATCAGAAACCTGAATTGTCAATACGTATCGATCTTTTACCTCAGTGTCGAGAGGTTGGCTTGTTGTTGTTATAACTCCACTTGCTGAGTTTATGGAAAATTTCTGCAATGTATCATCGCCGCTTTGAATGGAATATATAATATTCCCATAGGATCCAGAGTTATCGTCACCATCAGAACAATACATTCCCAAATCAATAACACTTGTACCTTTGAGAAGACACATTTTAGACATTTTACTAGAAATTCAAAAACTCTTTAAAACCTGTGTTAGAGTTTTCATCTACAAAAGCATTAAAACGTGCCTGATTACACACAGGCATATTATCATTTATATCTGTAACTGACACGGTAACCGTACCAGTTCCAGAAAGACCTCCTCCATCTACAACAACGACAGTAATATCATATATTTTTGTAATTTCAAAATCTAATTCCTGAGCCAGTTTAATAGCTCCTGTAAACTGCTGTATATGAAATTTTCCATCTCCCTGGTTCGAAACTGAGGCTATTTCATATTTTTTAATATCATGCGGTGCAGCGTCTAAATCCGTAGCAATGTACGTATAGATGACTGAACCAATAGTTGAAGATTCTGGTACTGAAAGAGTGTGATTTGAAGAAAACGCAGGTCCATATTCATTCACTGGTATTAAGTTTATGGTACAAGGTATATCAGTCATTGTTCCATTTGATGTAACTCGAACTTTAAATTGATATGCTCTTGGTATTATATCGTAGTCAAGTTCTATTAAAGGGAATTGTTGTATTATATGTGGTATTTTTAAAAATAATCTTATATACTATATGTACCTCTAGCAACTGTAACAACTCCTGTTGTAGAATTTACGTAAAAATCATTGACAGCTGATACAAAACTATACACAGGAACATCCATTAGGTCAACATCCTCACAATTAATGTCAATGCCAGTCTGTTATAAAGTATATAGTATAAGTCTTTCGCTATTTAAAATGCGTTTGTCCAATGTTTTAAAATAGTTTACGGAGTGAAAATAAAATTGCCAGTAAAAGTATATTCTATTGTGTACTTTTTGTGAGAATTTCATGTTTATATCTTAAAAGAGTCACATGTCATATAGCGCCCAGTACCTATACTCTATAGTATAGTTTGTTTTTAGCAAAGGGCAATACATGAGAGGGCGATGAATTTCTGGACAAAATTGCAGCTTTTTTAGGGTAAACACATTAATGTTTTTATGGAATCCCACAGACCTACTGCCACACCAAACGGAACACTTTTATAGAAAATCGTTGATCTTTCAACGTTCACACCAACTTACTTTTTTTACTAAAAGGTATTTTCTAAGTAAGGTCAACTTGCTTGTGTCAATTATTGAATAACTTTGTTATATAAAATAAACTTACTTGGCTAGAAACTGTTGAATTTTCCAAAAGATTGACAATAAAAGAGTACTGTTGACAAGTTGGTGCTTCGTCAGAAACGTCTGTCACGGATACGGTAACCGTCGCAGTTGCAGTTTTTGCATTAGATAGTGCCTGATCTCTTGCTTCTATTACTATCTCATGCTCACTGGCATTTTCATAATTGATCGGCTTAGCTAGAGTTATGTCACCTGATATCTGATCTACGTTCCACATATTATCTGGACTGGTTTTAAAATATTTAATTTGTCCATCTATCGAATAGTCATCATCAGTGGCAGTTACACCTCCAATAACTTCTCCAACAGAAACTGTTTCTGCTATTGACGGATTGACAATAGGATTGAACACTGGGGTTGCGTCATTGGTAGGAGATACTTGTATAAAAACGGTCGCGGTTGCTGTTTTCGCTGTAGATTGACCATCTGAAACAGTAACAATTAAAGTATACGAAGCGCTGTCAGCTGTTCCATGATCAAGGTTAATGGCATTCGCTGTCGTCGATATGAGTCCTGAATTAGCATGAACTGTAAAAAATCCCTCATCTCCCGATTGTATGCTATAAGTAAACACAGGATTCTGGTCAATATCTGCAGCTGCAAGTTGTTGTACCGAAATTCCGATACCAGATCCCTCATTTACAGACGATTCATAAACAGTTTGTTGAAAAGTTGGATTATTGTCATTAACATCAGTAACTATAATTCTAATTGTGCTTTCAATTGAATTTGAAGGATTTCCCTGATCGGAGGCCATGACAACCAGCTCAAAATATTCAACTCCGGTTGAAGTATCCCGATCGATTTCTTTTGTGGTTTTAATTATTCCACTCTCAGTTTCAATTTTAAATGATTCGTCAGCAACCGAAGATGTATTTACTAAACTAGCCGTTATTAATTTTATGCTAAATGCAATTTTCGCATCGTCTGAATTAGCAGGTAAATCTGCATCAGAAGCAGCAATTCTAGCGACCGATGTTCCAACTGCTATACTTTCATCAATTGAATAGTGTGTAGCTGGGTTATATACAGGAACGAAAGCTTCAAAAACCGGAGTGTTATCATTTTCAGGAATAAGCTAATGGAAAATATACCTATACAGTGCAGTTTAAAGAAAGCTTACACACTTACATAAACTAAAACTGTAATTGTTCCAGTTTTCTTAGGAGCACTAGCAGCTCTGTCTGTCATTTTGATAATCAGAGAATACATAGATGTAGACTCATAATCCAACGTTGTTTTTGTTGATAGAGTTTTACTTGCGATTTGGAAATTACCACTATCACCAGTCATAGAAAAGTCAAATTCACCATTGACTCCATCATCGACATCGTGACAGGATGTCAAATCCATAACAAATGTATTTACAACAGACTTCTCGGATAATGTATTATTTATAAATACGCTTTGGGAACAAGTAGGAATATTATCATTTGTGTCTTGAACATTAACAGTAAGGAATCCAGTTCCATAGTTTGTCCCATCGAATGCTCGGATCTTAAGATCGTATGCCTTTGTACCTGCATCATAATCTAACAAATCTGCTATAGTAATTTCTCCTGTTTTCGAATTTATGATAAATTTTCCTTCCACATTGCCGTCTAAAATGATATAAGTTTGAATATCATGTACGTCTTTATCGACATCTGTAGCTATGAAGGTAGTAACAAGCGCTCCAATTTTGGCATCTTCTGAGATGTCAATAGAGGCATTGGTAAATACGGGGGGACCTTCATCGACAGGCATAACAGAAATGGTAATCGGAACGTTTATAGTATTGGTTCCATCAGAAACAGCCGTAATCAAATCGTAGATTCTTGTTCCAAAATCAAAATCCAAGTCTAGGATATATATATATAGAGAGAAAGATATATCAAATAGGCTTGAGTTCTATGTTTTAGACTATTTAACTTACCTGTTGAACCAGACCCAGTATCACTGACTTGTACTTGATTGTTAACCAACATGAAAGCTGAGTTTGTATTTCCGCTTGTAATTGAATATGATAAAGTTCCATCGTCTAAGCAGTCTAGTTGAACAACGATATGACCAACCAAGGCAGTCTCGCTTACATTAGGAGCTAGTGTTGCAGGGTTACAGCTTGGTGTCAGATCTGATACGTTTGTTACGTTCACTTGAACAGTAGCTGTTGCTTGATTTGTTCCATCATTTGCAATCGCTTCAAAAGTAATGTACTTTGGATCAGCTAGAGTATCATAGTCAATATGTTTCAAAAGGACAACTTTTCCATCGCTTTCAATTGCAAATTCGTTATTTGAATCTCCCGCTACAATTTATATCGTATAATTAAAAGAGCACATAGAGTACTAAAAATCACTCACATCCCTTTGAATAAGTCAAAGTGCTATCAAAGTCAACATCTGCAGCAACCACAGAAAAAAGGGTTGTTCCCGCTGGCGTATTTTCGGCCATCTTAACAAGGAGAAAAGATAATAAAGAAAGATACTCTTATGTAACGAATCTTACATTATAAGTTGCTGGGTTGCTAAAAGTTACAGGATTATCATTTATTCCAATAATATCTATTTTAGCATGAGTTGTAGCTTTCTTTTCTTCTGGAAAGGTATGGCCATCCGTAACCTCTATCTGAAAATTTTAGAATATGTAAAGGTTTTTTCAACTTGTTTCTCACTATCTCACAGTTAAATCATAAGAGGAGGCAGTTGCCCCTGAGTCAGGGTCTATGAGGGTTTTGATCTTAATAAAACCCTGATTTCCTGAAGAAATTATTTCAAAGTGTCCAGCACTATTTCCGCTTGTTATTCTGTCAAAGTAAAAGGAGTTTAGATCGAATATAAATATTTTAAATCAACAGACGCAAAAAAGAAGTTGGATGTAGCGTCCTGATCAGAGACTGTAACTGTGAGAACTGTGGATCCAACAGCTTCATTCTCCATAGAGGTATTAACATAGACGGATTTATCAAATTGTGGAGTATACTCGTTAAAGTCCTCTATGGTGTAGGTTAGCGTTACTGTCGCACTTAAGCTCATTGGAACAACTCCAGCATCCTCCACCTTAATATATAACCTGTGTTCTGTCACTCCCAAATCAGCATCCAAAGTTTGAGCAATAGATACTTCTCCAGTTAAAGGATTTATATTAAAAAGCGGTGAAGAATCTTGCCCCACTGAAAAGAAAGAAAATATAATAGATTAAGGTTCTTACTAAAAGACCTAATTACGATTCGTTGTAGAATTGATTAGTGCAAAAGTTAAACTGCTATCGACATTATTTCCTATATCTGCATCTGTAGCGTCTAGATCGATGAGAACTGCGTTTATGGAAATATTTTCTTGTATACTCGCTCCAACATAATTAGACGCCCAAACAGGCAAATTATCGTTTATTGGTTCAATCTTGCGAAAAATGTTGTATAAATATTTGAACAATTTCTAGGCAACTCAACTTACGTTTATTATCACTGTAATATTTTCACTTAGTTGGGGGGAGCTAGCAATATTATCTGTCATAGTTATTGTGAGAGTATATGATTTGTAAATATCTGTTTCATAATCAATATTATTGTTGACTGTAACTGCATTAGAATTTATTACAAATTTTCCAAATCCATTATTCAGAATAAATTCAAAATTTCCGAAATTCCCATCATCCAAGTCACTACAACTACTCAAAGACTGAACAACAGTTCCGTTTGCAGAGTTTTCTTGTAATGGGGGAGGTATAAACACGCTTTGACTACACTTTGGAAAATTGTCATTCGCATCCACTATGGTAATTGTTAAGTTTCCTTCAGCTGTCGTTGTACCGTCAGATGCTGAGACAGTTAATACGTATGACGGTATACTTTCACGATCAAGAGCTTTTGCCACCTTGATAACACCAGTAATAGAGTTAATAATGAATTGACGATTGATATCACCTGAAAGAGATCAAATATGTCTATAACCAAAGAATTACTATAAATACAAAATTAACCATTAATAATTGCATAATTATATGCGTTATGCGGACTGTAATCATTATCAACAGCTGTGAAATTTCCAACAATGGAGTCCAAAATAACATCTTCACTTACACTTATGGATTTTGCAAAAAACACAGGAGCAAATTCATTAACTGGCAACAATGTTATTTTTATTGAGATATCAAAAACTGTTGATCCATCTGTCGCACTGATTACTAAATCATAGATTGCCAATAAAGAGTCATAATCTAACACTATAAAAAAAGGATATTAACTAGCAAACCAATCAAAAAACAATACCTGAGCCAGAACCAGGATCATTAACTTTTAAGAGATTAGAATCGAGTTTGAAAGCATTACCAATATTACCCGACTTGAACGAAAAAGAAAGTGGTTCATCATCAGTACATGAAATATTAGCAATTAAAGAGTCGACGGCAACGTCTTCATTGACAGCAAAAGCGTAAGATGATGGGTTACAGCTTAATATCACATCAAGAGTATTCAAAACGGTAATTTTAACAGTTCCCGTAGCAGATGAAGTACCATCATTGACAATTGATTCAAATTCAACAACCTTATTAACACCCATTGTATCATAATCAACCTTTTTCACAAGCAGTATATCACCATTTGATAAAACATCAAAATATCCGTCACTATCGCCAACTAAAAAAAACAAATTGGCATCATAACAAAAGAAAACAATTTCTGTATACCTCCTTTGACATAAATCAAATTAGCATTAAAATCGTCATCAGTTGCAGTTGCAGTTGTTAAAACAGTGCTACCAACACTCAAACTTTCAGGGATCTGAAACAAAAACTTAAAAACTCAAAAAAAAAGAAAAAACAACTAACAGAATGCGAAAAGACTGATGGTGAAAATGAAGGATTATTATCATTTATATCCAATATTGAAATCTGAATGGTGGCTGTAGAAGTGAGTGCTGCTGGTGTAGATGACCCATCAGTCACTTTAACCTTTATAAATAAAAATGTACATTTTGTATGTATGAGATTTTAGCAAATAGAAAATATCATCTTCTGTCCCCCTACCTGCAATGTATAGAAAGAAGGTGGACTTCCACCATCAGGATCAATAGTACTTTTTATTTTCACATGGCCATTGTTAGAGGAAGTTGTTATTTCAAAATGATCCAATTCATTACCAGTTCCAAAACTATTAAAATAAGGCAAATAAATATTTGTAGAAAAATTTAACTGGACATATATTTTTGTTCACATTTATTTGCCTTGGTATAACCTATTGCTGTTGCTTTTTTTTGATGTTTAGTCAAGAAATAATAAATTAAAATGTGCATTTTGATTGGAAATCAGTTGAATTTTAGTATAAAATTCAATTAAGTCTGTTTAGGGTAAACCTGTCGTATTTTAATGAATCCTTTCTGAAACTCAATTCTTCCTTTTTCACTAAACTTCACCCACTTTAGGTGAACAACTATGAATGTTTGTTCTCTTATACAACAGCTATTGGTTCAGTATAATTGGGTTTGGTTGTACTATCTTATTATGGGTAAGATAAGCTTTGATAAATTAGAAGTTTTTGCTTGAAAATCTTTAAAACAGTGAAATATTCTTTCTATTTTTGGATGTAAAAAACAATTGTTGTCATTTCATCATTAATTGATGAAGTGAAAAGAAAATCTTTAAAGACATGCAAATATTTACAATATAAATAGAGAGAAAATCTTATTATTTAGGGTATAAAAAAAGTTTACAACTATTTGAATAGCTGCAATATAGAGAAATATTTACAAAAAATGATTAATAAGCATTTTTTTAAAAGGAAAAAGCTGGCTTTTGTCATTAAGACAATAAATAGTTGTGAAATATATATTCCTTAAACTCTTACAAATGATAAACAAAATATTCTCACCTGAAAGCAAAAGTAGAAGTTGCATCCAAATCTGAAGCAGTTAATGACAAAACAGTTGTTCCAACAGCTGCACTTTCTGCAACTGTTGTATTGTATAATAAATGATCAAATGTTGGTGTGAATTCATTATAATCTGATATTGTAAGTGTCAAGGATGCAGTCACACTCAGGACTGATGCACCAGAATCTGCTGCTTTTACAACAAGCCGGTGTTCTGTTACCCCTGCATCTCTATCCAATGAGGCTACAAGTTGTAGATGTCCAGATGATGGCCCAACTTTGAATAGATTCATTGTTGATACTGCAGCTGTTAAATTTAAATAGATGAAATTAAAAAAAAAAACTCATAGATGACTAATCTTACCTTGATCCTCAGCACTGACAATTGAATATGTAATTGAGCTATCACCAATGGACCCCTGATCAGCATCAGTGGCAGCCAATGTTAACAATGTTGTTCCAATTGTTGTACTCTCTGAAATAGTTGATCCAGTAGGGGTTGAGCTCCATGCAGGAGTATTATCATTCATTGGGGCAACCTTAAAAGAAATTTAGAAAAAAATAAATACATTTCCAAAAGAACATATTGCATTATTTCTAATTACATTGACTATAGCTGTAACAGTTCCAGTATTTGATGGACTGACACCTCCATTATCGGTCAATGTTATAATCAAAGTATAAGTTGTTGCACTTTCATAATCAAGTGGTGTTGAAGTAGTTTTAATTAACATGTTGGATACAGCAAATCGACCATTATCTCCAGTTATAGACATAGTAATTGATCCAAAATTTGATGAAGTATCAGGATCACTACATTCTGTTAAATTCAAAACCAAAGTGTCACTTGCTTCATTTTCATTTACTGCAGTAGGAATGTATAAAGATTTTGGACAGCTAGGAGTGTTATCATTTATATCTTGAACATTGACTGTCAAGATACCACTTCCAGTTGCAGTGCCATCATCTGCTTGTATAGTCAAAGCATATGTGGTGGTTGTCTCATAATCTAAAGTGTCTTTTAAAGACACTTCTCCAGTAGATGGATTTATAACAAACTTTCCTTCGCTATTTCCTGTTGGAATAGAATTTTAAATAAAATAAAGTCATGATAGATATATCAGTTACTTATTACTATTTATATACATCAGTAATATATATGAGATAAAAAAAATTGAACAAAAACCTGAGGTAATTGAGTACTTTTGAACATTGTGTGGACTTGCATCAACATCAGATGCTGCAAAAGTTGCAACACTAAAGCCAACCACCTCATTTTCATTGACATTCACTGCTGTATTAGTGAAAGTTGGTGCTCCTTCATCAACTGGATTTATTGATATTGTTACTGGTACATTGATTGTATTAGTTCCATCAGAAACATCAACAATCAAATTGTACACTTTCACTCCAGCATCATAGTCTAAGGCTGAAAATTTTCCCATTGATTAGCCTTGTTTTTATATTTGAGAATATAATTGAAAATTACCTGTAGAACCAGCTCCAATATCATTTACTTGAATTTCATTACTTACAAACTTGAATGCTGTGTTTGTATTTCCACTAGCAATAGAATATGTTAAACTGCCATCATCAGAGCAGGACAATTGAACAACTGCATCATTGACAGATGCTGTCTCACTGATGTTTGCGGATACAGCAGCTGGGTTGCAGCTTGGTGTTAAATCAGACACATCAGTAACTGTAATCTGAGCAGTAGCAGTTGCTGTATTTGAGCCATCACTAACAATTGCTTGGAGGTTAATTATTTTGCTAACTCCCATTGTATCATAGTCAATTTGTTTGAGGAGAACAATCTTTCCATCACTTTGAATGGCAAAGTTATCATTTGTATCACCAGCTGAAAAGAATAAATACAAATTTCTTATTTTCAAATCAAATTACAATAAAATAAGAAATGACATACTTCCTTCTGAAAATGTTAGTTCACTATTAAAGTCATCATCAGTGGCCACAAGGGTTATTATTGTTGTTCCTGCTGGAGTATTTTCTGGCAACTATTTAGAATATTTGATTAGAAAATTTGCAAAGCAATAATTGTAATAGGATTTTTAATACATTGTATGGTGCTGGAGCTGGAGAGAATGATGGATTATTATCATTTATATCCAATATTGAAATCTGAATGGTGGCTGTAGAAGTGAGTGCTGCTGGTGTAGATGACCCATCAGTCACTTTAACCTTTATAAATAAAAATGTACATTTTGTATGTATGAGATTTTAGCAAATAGAAAATATCATCTTCTGTCCCCCTACCTGCAATGTATAGAAAGAAGGTGGACTTCCACCATCAGGATCAATAGTACTTTTTATTTTCACATGGCCATTGTTAGAGGAAGTTGTTATTTCAAAATGATCCAATTCATTACCAGTTCCAAAACTATTAAAATAAGGCAAATAAATATTTGTAGAAAAATTTAACTGGACATATATTTTTGTTCACATTTATTTGCCTTGGTATAACCTATTGCTGTTGCTTTTTTTTGATGTTTAGTCAAGAAATAATAAATTAAAATGTGCATTTTGATTGGAAATCAGTTGAATTTTAGTATAAAATTCAATTAAGTCTGTTTAGGGTAAACCTGTCGTATTTTAATGAATCCTTTCTGAAACTCAATTCTTCCTTTTTCACTAAACTTCACCCACTTTAGGTGAACAACTATGAATGTTTGTTCTCTTATACAACAGCTATTGGTTCAGTATAATTGGGTTTGGTTGTACTATCTTATTATGGGTAAGATAAGCTTTGATAAATTAGAAGTTTTTGCTTGAAAATCTTTAAAACAGTGAAATATTCTTTCTATTTTTGGATGTAAAAAACAATTGTTGTCATTTCATCATTAATTGATGAAGTGAAAAGAAAATCTTTAAAGACATGCAAATATTTACAATATAAATAGAGAGAAAATCTTATTATTTAGGGTATAAAAAAAGTTTACAACTATTTGAATAGCTGCAATATAGAGAAATATTTACAAAAAATGATTAATAAGCATTTTTTTAAAAGGAAAAAGCTGGCTTTTGTCATTAAGACAATAAATAGTTGTGAAATATATATTCCTTAAACTCTTACAAATGATAAACAAAATATTCTCACCTGAAAGCAAAAGTAGAAGTTGCATCCAAATCTGAAGCAGTTAATGACAAAACAGTTGTTCCAACAGCTGCACTTTCTGCAACTGTTGTATTGTATAATAAATGATCAAATGTTGGTGTGAATTCATTATAATCTGATATTGTAAGTGTCAAGGATGCAGTCACACTCAGGACTGATGCACCAGAATCTGCTGCTTTTACAACAAGCCGGTGTTCTGTTACCCCTGCATCTCTATCCAATGAGGCTACAAGTTGTAGATGTCCAGATGATGGCCCAACTTTGAATAGATTCATTGTTGATACTGCAGCTGTTAAATTTAAATAGATGAAATTAAAAAAAAAAACTCATAGATGACTAATCTTACCTTGATCCTCAGCACTGACAATTGAATATGTAATTGAGCTATCACCAATGGACCCCTGATCAGCATCAGTGGCAGCCAATGTTAACAATGTTGTTCCAATTGTTGTACTCTCTGAAATAGTTGATCCAGTAGGGGTTGAGCTCCATGCAGGAGTATTATCATTCATTGGGGCAACCTTAAAAGAAATTTAGAAAAAAATAAATACATTTCCAAAAGAACATATTGCATTATTTCTAATTACATTGACTATAGCTGTAACAGTTCCAGTATTTGATGGACTGACACCTCCATTATCGGTCAATGTTATAATCAAAGTATAAGTTGTTGCACTTTCATAATCAAGTGGTGTGAAGTAGTTTTAATTAACATGTTGGATACAGCAAATCGACCATTATCTCCAGTTATAGACATAGTAATTGATCCAAAATTTGATGAAGTATCAGGATCACTACATTCTGTTAAATTCAAAACCAAAGTGTCACTTGCTTCATTTTCATTTACTGCAGTAGGAATGTATAAAGATTTTGGACAGCTAGGAGTGTTATCATTTATATCTTGAACATTGACTGTCAAGATACCACTTCCAGTTGCAAGTGCCATCATCTGCTTGTATAGTCAAAGCATATGTGGTGGTTGTCTCATAATCTAAAGTGTCTTTTAAAGACACTTCTCCAGTAGATGGATTTATAACAAACTTTCCTTCGCTATTTCCTGTTGGAATAGAATTTTAAATAAAATAAAGTCATGATAGATATATCAGTTACTTATTACTATTTATATACATCAGTAATATATATGAGATAAAAAAAATTGAACAAAAACCTGAGGTAATTGAGTACCTTTTGAACATTGTGTGGACTTGCATCAACATCAGATGCTGCAAAAGTTGCAACACTAAAGCCAACCACCTCATTTTCATTGACATTCACTGCTGTATTAGTGAAAGTTGGTGCTCCTTCATCAACTGGATTTATTGATATTGTTACTGGTACATTGATTGTATTAGTTCCATCAGAAACATCAACAATCAAATTGTACACTTTCACTCCAGCATCATAGTCTAAGGCTGAAAATTTTTCCCATTGATTAGCCTTGTTTTTATATTTGAGAATATAATTGAAAATTACCTGTAGAACCAGCTCCAATATCATTTACTTGAATTTCATTACTTACAAACTTGAATGCTGTGTTTGTATTTCCACTAGCAATAGAATATGTTAAACTGCCATCATCAGAGCAGGACAATTGAACAACTGCATCATTGACAGATGCTGTCTCACTGATGTTTGCGGATACAGCAGCTGGGTTGCAGCTTGGTGTTAAATCAGACACATCAGTAACTGTAATCTGAGCAGTAGCAGTTGCTGTATTTGAGCCATCACTAACAATTGCTTGGAGGTTAATTATTTTGCTAACTCCCATTGTATCATAGTCAATTTGTTTGAGGAGAACAATCTTTCCATCACTTTGAATGGCAAAGTTATCATTTGTATCACCAGCTGAAAAGAATAAATACAAATTTCTTATTTTCAAATCAAATTACAATAAAATAAGAAATGACATACTTCCTTCTGAAAATGTTAGTTCACTATTAAAGTCATCATCAGTGGCCACAAGGGTTATTATTGTTGTTCCTGCTGGAGTATTTTCTGGCAACTATTTAGAATATTTGATTAGAAAATTTGCAAAGCAATAATTGTAATAGGATTTTTAATACATTGTATGGTGCTGGAGCTGGAGAGAATGATGGATTATTATCATTTATATCCAATATTGAAATCTGAATGGTGGCTGTAGAAGTGAGTGCTGCTGGTGTAGATGACCCATCAGTCACTTTAACCTTTATAAATAAAAATGTACATTTTGTATGTATGAGATTTTAGCAAATAGAAAATATCATCTTCTGTCCCCCTACCTGCAATGTATAGAAAGAAGGTGGACTTCCACCATCAGGATCAATAGTACTTTTTATTTTCACATGGCCATTGTTAGAGGAAGTTGTTATTTCAAAATGATCCAATTCATTACCAGTTCCAAAACTATTAAAATAAGGCAAATAAATATTTGTAGAAAAATTTAACTGGACATATATTTTTGTTCACATTTATTTGCCTTGGTATAACCTATTGCTGTTGCTTTTTTTTGATGTTTAGTCAAGAAATAATAAATTAAAATGTGCATTTTGATTGGAAATCAGTTGAATTTTAGTATAAAATTCAATTAAGTCTGTTTAGGGTAAACCTGTCGTATTTTAATGAATCCTTTCTGAAACTCAATTCTTCCTTTTTCACTAAACTTCACCCACTTTAGGTGAACAACTATGAATGTTTGTTCTCTTATACAACAGCTATTGGTTCAGTATAATTGGGTTTGGTTGTACTATCTTATTATGGGTAAGATAAGCTTTGATAAATTAGAAGTTTTTGCTTGAAAATCTTTAAAACAGTGAAATATTCTTTCTATTTTTGGATGTAAAAAACAATTGTTGTCATTTCATCATTAATTGATGAAGTGAAAAGAAAATCTTTAAAGACATGCAAATATTTACAATATAAATAGAGAGAAAATCTTATTATTTAGGGTATAAAAAAAGTTTACAACTATTTGAATAGCTGCAATATAGAGAAATATTTACAAAAAATGATTAATAAGCATTTTTTTAAAAGGAAAAAGCTGGCTTTTGTCATTAAGACAATAAATAGTTGTGAAATATATATTCCTTAAACTCTTACAAATGATAAACAAAATATTCTCACCTGAAAGCAAAAGTAGAAGTTGCATCCAAATCTGAAGCAGTTAATGACAAAACAGTTGTTCCAACAGCTGCACTTTCTGCAACTTTGTATTGTATAATAAATGATCAAATGTTGGTGTGAATTCATTATAATCTGATATTGTAAGTGTCAAGGATGCAGTCACACTCAGGACTGATGCACCAGAATCTGCTGCTTTTACAACAAGCCGGTGTTCTGTTACCCCTGCATCTCTATCCAATGAGGCTACAAGTTGTAGATGTCCAGATGATGGCCCAACTTTGAATAGATTCATTGTTGATACTGCAGCTGTTAAATTTAAATAGATGAAATTAAAAAAAAAAACTCATAGATGACTAATCTTACCTTGATCCTCAGCACTGACAATTGAATATGTAATTGAGCTATCACCAATGGACCCCTGATCAGCATCAGTGGCAGCCAATGTTAACAATGTTGTTCCAATTGTTGTACTCTCTGAAATAGTTGATCCAGTAGGGTTGAGCTCCATGCAGGAGTATTATCATTCATTGGGCAACCTTAAAAGAAATTTAGAAAAAAATAAATACATTTCCAAAAGAACATATTGCATTATTTCTAATTACATTGACTATAGCTGTAACAGTTCCAGTATTTGATGGACTGACACCTCCATTATCGGTCAATGTTATAATCAAAGTATAAGTTGTTGCACTTTCATAATCAAGTGGTGTTGAAGTAGTTTTAATTAACATGTTGGATACAGCAAATCGACCATTATCTCCAGTTATAGACATAGTAATTGATCCAAAATTTGATGAAGTATCAGGATCACTACATTCTGTTAAATTCAAAACCAAAGTGTCACTTGCTTCATTTTCATTTACTGCAGTAGGAATGTATAAAGATTTTGGACAGCTAGGAGTGTTATCATTTATATCTTGAACATTGACTGTCAAGATACCACTTCCAGTTGCAGTGCCATCATCTGCTTGTATAGTCAAAGCATATGTGGTGGTTGTCTCATAATCTAAAGTGTCTTTTAAAGACACTTCTCCAGTAGATGGATTTATAACAAACTTTCCTTCGCTATTTCCTGTTGGAATAGAATTTTAAATAAAATAAAGTCATGATAGATATATCAGTTACTTATTACTATTTATATACATCAGTAATATATATGAGATAAAAAAAATTGAACAAAAACCTGAGGTAATTGAGTACTTTTGAACATTGTGTGGACTTGCATCAACATCAGATGCTGCAAAAGTTGCAACACTAAAGCCAACCACCTCATTTTCATTGACATTCACTGCTGTATTAGTGAAAGTTGGTGCTCCTTCATCAACTGGATTTATTGATATTGTTACTGGTACATTGATTGTATTAGTTCCATCAGAAACATCAACAATCAAATTGTACACTTTCACTCCAGCATCATAGTCTAAGGCTGAAAATTTTCCCATTGATTAGCCTTGTTTTTATATTTGAGAATATAATTGAAAATTACCTGTAGAACCAGCTCCAATATCATTTACTTGAATTTCATTACTTACAAACTTGAATGCTGTGTTTGTATTTCCACTAGCAATAGAATATGTTAAACTGCCATCATCAGAGCAGGACAATTGAACAACTGCATCATTGACAGATGCTGTCTCACTGATGTTTGCGGATACAGCAGCTGGGTTGCAGCTTGGTGTTAAATCAGACACATCAGTAACTGTAATCTGAGCAGTAGCAGTTGCTGTATTTGAGCCATCACTAACAATTGCTTGGAGGTTAATTATTTTGCTAACTCCCATTGTATCATAGTCAATTTGTTTGAGGAGAACAATCTTTCCATCACTTTGAATGGCAAAGTTATCATTTGTATCACCAGCTGAAAAGAATAAATACAAATTTCTTATTTTCAAATCAAATTACAATAAAATAAGAAATGACATACTTCCTTCTGAAAATGTTAGTTCACTATTAAAGTCATCATCAGTGGCCACAAGGGTTATTATTGTTGTTCCTGCTGGAGTATTTTCTGGCAACTATTTAGAATATTTGATTAGAAAATTTGCAAAGCAATAATTGTAATAGGATTTTTAATACATTGTATGGTGCTGGAGCTGGAGAGAATGATGGATTATTATCATTTATATCCAATATTGAAATCTGAATGGTGGCTGTAGAAGTGAGTGCTGCTGGTGTAGATGACCCATCAGTCACTTTAACCTTTATAAATAAAAATGTACATTTTGTATGTATGAGATTTTAGCAAATAGAAAATATCATCTTCTGTCCCCCTACCTGCAATGTATAGAAAGAAGGTGGACTTCCACCATCAGGATCAATAGTACTTTTTATTTTCACATGGCCATTGTTAGAGGAAGTTGTTATTTCAAAATGATCCAATTCATTACCGGTTCCAAAACTTTTTAAATAAATAAAGATTTCATTATTACTAACATGAATATTGATAAACGGATGAATTTTGTGATGATTTGCTGTTTTTATTTAATGATTGTTTGCTTACCTAAAGGTAAAGGCACTTGTGTCGTCTTGGTCAGTTGCAGTTAATGTTTGGATTGTTGTACCTACGTTGGTATTTTCATTTATACTGACAGTGTAGATTGTTTTGTCAAACGTTGGTTGAAATTCGTTGTAGTCAAGTATTGTATATGTTATGGAAGCCGTCACACTCTTTATACCAGGAGAAGTTCCGTCATCCTGTGCCTTCACTACCAGTCTGTGTTCTGTTATGCCAGTATCCTTATCTAGGGATGCGACTGTCAGAATATTTCCTGTGATTGGATCTATTTTGAATAGTGCCGAGGAATCAGCGGACGTTTGTGTAGTTGCTGAAATTATGTGATATGATAAGGTATTGTCTCCATTCGCTCCCTTGTCTGTGTCAGTAGCCTGCAATGTAGTGAGTATCTCGCCGATTGTTTGATTCTCATAAAATGACCCACCAGTGGGCGTAGATGACCACGTGGGTGTGTTGTCGTTAATAGGATTTATCTGAAATTAGTATTTTTTAGTTTTGTATGACAGTTTTTTTTTCATATGTACATTTATTATTGCTGTTATATTGACACTATTAAAGTTTGTTGTTGCATCCTTAACTGTGACAGCCAATGTATATTTTTGTTGAGTTAAGTCCTCATAGTCGCAAGATGTAGTTGTTGTATGTAATTCGTTTGTATTTGCTATTTGAAATTTTTCTGATCCCGTATCATCCCCAGAAGTTATTGAAAATGTTAAAGCTTTAAAGGAGGCGGTATTGTCAGTATCCGTGCAAGAGAATTGCAATAGTGATGTGCTGACTGTTTTTATTTTCAAATATATTTTAATTATTTAGTACAATCAAGTTTCTTACCTGCAGTGTTTTCGTTAATGGACGCATAGTACACTGAAGGATCGCATGTGGGAACGACATCATTCAAGTCATTAACAGTAACTGTGACTGCAGCAGTTGAGGTCTTTCCCGCCAAATCAGTTACTACGATTTTTACATTTGTGTAAGTTTTTCCAGAGGGATCAGCATCTAGAATTGATGATGTTTTTAAGATTCCATTTACCGCATTTATTTGAAAATACGTAGAGTCAGCCCCTGTCAAGCTATATCTTAGATTTCCATTGTCAATTGCATCGCCATCTGATGACGATATAGTTGGCGAGAGAGTTACAGCAGCACCAGGATCTTGAGATTCATCAACTGATGCTGTATAAGAAGCTGAACCGAGTTGAGGGGTTTCGTCGTTCCAATCATCCACTATAACGGTGAAAGTTACAGAAGCAGTAAGGCTGGTACCGCCAGTGCTATCAATAACTTTCAACTCAATTGTGTACGATGAAGTTGTTTCATAATCAAATAAAGCGCCAGACTTTTGACGAAAAATATCAGGATCTGGAGAAGTATCGATTTCAAACTTGCTGTCACCCCCACTTACTATTGAATAAGTATAAGGTGTTACGCCTCCATTCGATTCCAGGTTGAAAGAAATGGTAACAGGTGATGCGGCGTCACCATTATTGTTTTCAGTCAAGTGAACCTCCGAGTTAGCCGAGGGAGAAGTGAAGGATAATGTTCCTAAGAAGATTTTTATAAAATAATTATGCTATCAATAGTACTTTTTCTACAGTATAGCCTTTTTAATGTATAAAATAGACTAAGTTTTAGTATTGTATATACTGTATGCTGGATATATATGCAGGAATAGATAAATCTAATGATAAAGAAATTATCAACGGTTATTCTGAATATAAATAGAAAATTTTTAGAATTGTTACGTATTGATTTTATAAAACTTTTATGCAATTAAGTGATATGTACTGTGAGTATATTGCCATGAAAACAGTAACATACAACATAAAGTAATTGGTTGGTTTATATGGCAACAAATAAACATCAATTAGAAATCTATATTTCTATCTTCCAGCATCACTATAAACAAATCCAAATATTGATTCTAATTAACATCGATTTTAATGTTTCCCGAAAAGCTCAAACAACAACTAAAAAACTACATCTTATTACTCAAACAATTTGCGTATAACAAATCATTATTAATTAGTTTAATAGTCTAAATCCGATTGTTTCTCATATTAATTTTCGTTCAAAAAAGGGTTTTTAACAGAGTGATTTGTGAATAATCTTAAACAATCGATTTTTCAATAATCGTTTGGTTCACTTTTGGTGCAAAATTAAATTAAAAATGTCATGAATAAAACTCAGTTAATTAGGTTTTTAACTTTGCTTATTCTAACATCTATATCAAATTAATATAAATAAATCTTAAGAAAATAGAGATTATTTTCTTTTGACTATGGATACCCGCTAAATCTATTCATATATAAGTAACATATGCTCTTTTCATTCAATTACTTTATGCTTCATTCTACATTTACTGATCAGGTAATTTTAACTTAAATAAAAGGAAAAAGAGAAAAGTTAAAGAGAATTATCAAGCGTATTATTACGTTTAAATAACTGATTTCCAATCAAGAGCTAATGGCGTTAGAGCTGTCAATATTTTGAAAAAAGAACTTTCCGAACAAGAATAGCTTCCGTTCAATTCATTGGGTTTTTATTAGGGCAGCGCTTTCGATTTGCACTGTAAGAGCATCACTCCAAATAGGAAAGTGCGGTATATTTATAGCGTTTTTTCCTCTCGAAGACAATCCTTTTTCTTAAGAATATGCTTTTTGGAAATGTTTTAACTTTTTAATTTATTAAAAGTTATAATTCTAGCAAGTTTTTAATATTTGTCGTTTGGTCGTAATTTTATCTAGTTTCGTTGTTTTTAATTATAAAGAGAGGATCTTATCCTTACCTTTGACATCACAGAAAGCCAGTAAAAATACAATCAAACAACCTAAGTATTTCATACCAGGAAGGGTGTTCCCTTTCGGGAAGTTGTAGTATCAAATAAAAAAAGAAACAATTCTGTTCAGACGATTCTTTAATGATATAACTGAGCGGAAAAGTTTCAAGAATGCTGCAGAGGTGGCGCTAGTGGCTAAATTAAAATATCACATCTAATTTAAAATAAATTAGTTTTGAAATAGCTTGGTATGAATCAAGTCTAATACATGTCATACAAGCAATGCAGATTTTTTTGAAATTGATTTAATTTTCTATCGATTGCGTAATAGTTTAGTAACATAACTCAATAATGAAAAGAATTGTGAACCGTTAGCGCACAGTCTGATATCTTATTCTGTAATGATTGTTTCAAGTGTATTTTTTTAATTAAAACCTTCTGCCCAACAATTGAAATTATTATTAGAGTACGAAATAAGACTCATTCATTGTCGATTAATATAAACACATTGATATGTATAAATAGTATACATGGCAATTTTTATAAACAAATGTCTCTGGGTTAACTAGTTTACCATTCGATCTCATTGTGTGTCAACAGTTCGAGGTAGCTATATACAATGTCATAACATAATCGATAGGCATCCTTGTTTTAAAAACGAAAGGAAAAATATACATGATATATTAGCTTTTTCTAATGGAATATGTTTTAGAACTTACAGCTGAATCTATTGTCTGAGGTCTACTTCCGAGCACCAACTTTGAAGAATGAAAAATATCCACTTCTCTATTTACTTTCATTTTCTCTAAAGCTAAGGCAGCGGTTGCAAAAACGCCACTCCTTATCGTTCCGTGTCTGGGGAAATTAATATATGATTTACTTCTAATTTATATTTCTTAAAATAATCATTGCGAATTTAAAAAAAATAGTTACAAGCAATGAACAATTATTGGAGATAGTTTAATCCTCTTTTTATTATCATGGGTGAGGAAAGAAAGATTAATTAATCGGGCAAGATCAACTACCGAATCATCCGATCTATTATCTCCTGGCCAGTTTGTAAATCTATAGTGATCGACTGTCGTTGTAAATATCTGAAAAATAGTATGTATTGGTTTATTAGTTAGTTAGGAAATAAAATCCAGTAATAACCCTTTCATTTTCTGTCTGTGATATTTCTAGTTTACTGAAAATTATCGTCGAATTAAAGTTAACTTCTTGTTCCAATAGTTTTACAGTAATTGGTCCAAATTCCATATGATCTCCCTCTTGCTCTGGCCAATACTGTGGACAATCCTTGAAAACAAAAAGAGGTCATTTTAGAAGCCTATGGGAATATATTTACCTCATTATTTATTTCATTGAGCATCACCACCACCGATGATGCCGAGTCGATAACTAGTCTATAGAAATCGATTATTGTATCCTTCATGGGAGCTTGTGTAATAATAAAAGTGTTTCTAAGGGAAAAATACGTATACTTATTTTATTAATAACGTATTAGATATAGACTTATGAAGACTGCCATCCAGGCGAATGGCATTGATATAATTTGTTCGTCCAGTCATAGGCTGAAGACAAGGTCTATATCTATCTTGAGGTAGGAGGGAGAGGCGACGATTTTTTGCTTTATTTTCTTCCCGAAAGCCGTCTAAATGCATTTTTGCTTCGTGTATATCTATGTATTTGGCGGGCCTTAATTTTTTCAAACTCTACGATAAGGAAAAATATAGCCTGTGATAATTATGTACATCGTTGCAATATAACAAATTTTATACATTAAAATGACCGTGCAAAATTGACGATTGGTCAGGAGAATCAAAATTTTTAACTAATTGTGAGTAAACTCTTTTAAAATCTTCCATTTTTATGGCTGTGTCTCCTGTTTCAAGCTTCTCTACTATTGAGTTATAAGCAAATATATACTGCTCCTGTTTAATAATTGCATTATTTGTTAATAATTGAATATTATTTCCTGGTATCGTTTAATCATTAATATATTACTGACATCTGTTTGAATAAGATACATTCTCTCTCTGCGCATCTGATATAAGAACTTGAACAAATCAACATAATTTTCTTTTTTTTGCATCTTCAACATGGAATCAATTAATATGAAAGTTCCTGTCCTTCCGACGCCAGCACTTTAAAGTTATAATTATTAATGATATATCGATTGATTTAAAATACAATGAAACGTTTACCTGCAATGTACGATAAGTGGACTTGCATTTCCATAAATATCATCCTGCTTTCTAATAAATTCCCTAAATTCTAATAAGGAAGTAGGAAATTCAGGAACTCCCTTGTCTGGCCAAGCAGTATAATGATATTGACGCACTTCAGTCTCATTATCATCCTCATGCAGTTTGAAAGTTCTTACGGTAAAATCTGCATATTCGTCTTCCTTTTCCAACGTGACGTTTATATGGCCATAAGACTCTGCTTTATTAAATTCTTTGGGCCAATAATGGGTACATTTAAGCTGGACAAAAAGATATATGCATAAAAAGAATAGAAAAAACTTTTTTCAATATATTATTTCAATTACAGAAGATTCAACACATTTTGTTAGCATTACTATCCTATTTGACTTAAGAGTTGATACCATTCTCCAAAAATCTACCTCCGTATTTTCTTTTGTTCCTTGGCTAGCCACGTATTCTCTTGAACTATTGTTGTAACCCTAAATAGAAGTTTTTTAAAACGTCCTCATCAATACAAATATGTAGTATATGGTTTGTTTGAAATATTTACAGTTATGAAATTGGCATTTATGTAGTCGTTATGTAAAGTAGTTTTTAAGTTGCTTAAATTGTTATAATTTGGTTTTGTATCCATTCTTTCTATCTCTGTTTCATTAGTTTTTAATATTACTCTTGTCTGGTCATCTGAAAAAGCAATGGTTTTAAAATTATTTTGTTAAATAACTAATATACTCACAAGGTTTTATATTTAAATACTTATTTTTAGCTTTATTTTCTGCTCTTTCGAATGCTTTAGACGATAAATCAGAGAACTGAAAGGGTATATCCTACAAGATTGAAAAAATAAAACTTCATTAATTAATTTATACTTATAAACTATACGAAAGGTTTCGATCAGATAAACTTTACTAATGCCAAGAGAGCTTTACCTGAAATTGTCTAATGAGTCCTATAGTGTTTTCCTTTACATACTGAAATAAAGCCTCAGCTTTTATCCTAGTGGGTAATTTATTCTTCCCCTTTTCGGATAAATTTCTTCTATGATCTAAATTATCTCTGACAGGTGTAACTCGTTCGTTATCATTTAAATTCGGGTCTGTATACTCTTTAACAGGATTATCTTGAGCAATTACATGTTTCACAGTTCCTGAATATTAATGTAATATTATAAAGATTGAATAAAATTACTGAATATTATTACTTTTCTTTCTTTTTTTCTTATTATTACGAAAGCATAACTGTCTTTGCTTCTTTAATCTAGATATTACCAGAAAGTTAATGATTTTTAAACCTCCTACAGATTAAACATCCAAGAATATAGTTTACATTTCAGAGTAGCTTACCTCAATATTATAATTATTAGTAATATCAAAAGAATGCTTAAAATTGCTGAGAGAACTATTATTACAATTACTGCTTGATCCATTGTCTGAGAAGAATAAAAGGATGTTTAATTGAATAACAAATATATATATTTATATTATATTATCTTACGAATTAATAACAAAATATTTAAAGTAACATTTCGTCTCCTCTGAAAATCAAACCAATAACGCCCGTTTTACAGCCACAATAGCTAAAGCGACGGCCAATATTCAAGGTGATTCAATACGTTTTTTTTCATTCAATATTCCTCTTTTCTTTTTATAAAAGTCTTTGGATTTCAACAGTTCTAGTAGATCCTCCCAAAATCAAGTAGATATCAATTGTAGGTCTATCAAAAGATGCTTTATAATGGATCTATTTCAACACTGATTGTATTCAATGATTTAAAAATGTATGAGGAAGGTTAACACCCTAAAAGATTTGAAAAGGCCTGCGCTATAGGCTAAAATAAATAGTCACGATTCTGTTGAACCCTTCAAAGCATATGTACTGTGAAGGAAGGAAATTTTCGATAACTAATTTCTATACTGAAAGATTCAACTATCAATGAACTTATTTCCCTATCAACAAAGATGAGTGATATTGTAACGCTTTTTGAAATATTTTTTGTTGCATCAACATACAGATTAATTCCATGATTAAGACTGTCTACAAATAGAGCTATTAATGATATTAAATAAAACAATAAATCTAATAGTATAATTTTCTCTATTCAACTCTATACTTAGACTTTAGTATCAGGCCTATTTTATAGGATTAATCTAAAAAAAAAAGAAATTCTTGAAGAACCTCTTTCTTGAAATTGTTAATATTTACTCTTATTTAGGTGTATCTTTCAACCTTCATTGGTTTTTATGTATATGTAAAAGGCGACGATTGTAAATAAATGTTTTACATCACGTGATGCCGTCATATGACCAGAGCATATCTCACTGACAGATTCACCTAACTAGAGCCAGCAGCTACTGTTTGTATCAAAAAACTAATAAAGCATCATGGGTGGTTCCGTTTCTATTGGACAAACTGGCAGACCGACGGTGAAATAAAATTAATTAACTCTATAAAATCTAATTCAATAATTTCTTTAATTCTTTTAATTAGAATTTTCATATTATCTCTTAAACAGATTTTTGTTACATCTTAGTCATTATATATATACTAATATATATGTAATGAATACTTTTAATTTTCTTGTAACCTTTCTGTGCTATTTTTGTTACAATTTTATAAACCATTGATTGCATGCGCTAAAAATACAATATAAATTATAAACAAGCTATAAACAAAAAGCAACGTCATAAATGATCATTTTAAATGCTCCTTTTGAATTGAAATAAAAATTTATTGATTTTCATGAATATTGTTCAATTTAAAAAAACTTTAATATTTGCGTAAGACTATCCTCGTCAAACTATAAAACCAGTTCTTGTTTGAGTAAGGTCAGAGTGAATAATACATCATTTGTAATAATAAAAAATCTAGAATTTTATATTTATGATTCTTTACAATATAAATATAATATTATTGTTTTAGGTATTTCCAAAGGAAGACTTTGATCCTGCATCGTCAGCAGAGAAAGTAAAGAACGCTATTGATGGATTTGGTAAAAATAGCCTTGATAAATTTATCTTGTGAACAATTTTTTCTTACTTATCAGTGACACTTTTGCAATTTTTGCAGGTACTGACGAAAGTGCATTGATAAAAGTGTTTGCAAGCCATTCCAATTTGCAAAGACAAGAGATAGCCTCTGTTTTTAAGCAGAGTTACGGTAAAGATTTGCAAGAAGAACTGAAGGATGAGTGTGGAGGTGATTTTGAGGATGTTTTGATTGCCCTTACCACTCCATCTCGGCTGTATGAGGCACGATTGTTGCGAAATGCTATGAAAGGAGCCGGCACAGACGAAAAGGTTCTTATTGAAGTTCTTGCGACAAAAGCTAATATAGAAATGAAAGAGTTGAAAGCAATCTATGAGGAAGAATACAAAGAGGATGACAGAAAATTGGAAGTTGATGTTGAAAATGAGACGTCTGGAGATTTTAAATGTTTACTCTTATCACTTTTAAACGCTGATAGAGAAGAAATTCCAGCAGATGAAGATGTCGCTACTGAAGATGCAACTAGACTACACGAGGTAATTTTATATAATAAATTCTAGTGGTATCTTTATTATTACAGCTGAAATTTTTAGGCCGGCGAAGCTAGATTTGGAACGGATGAATCTGAGTTTAATAGAATATTGTGCCTTAGAAGTTATGACCATTTGCAACTCGTTTTATCTAAATATGAAGAAATGTTTGGCGAAAGCCTGGAGGATGTGGTTAACAATGAAACTTCCGGATCAATTCAGGACGGTTACTTGACCATTCGTTAGTAAAATACACTTTGAGAGAAAATCGATAGCAATAATATTATTGAGATTAGTAGCAATAGCAATAATTTTTATTCTTTATGAAAACAACAGTTAAATTTGTGCGAGATTCCAAGGCCTACTACGCTGAACTTTTGTACAAATCGATGAAGGGTATCGGGACTGACGATGATCAGCTCATAAGGACTATTGTAACAAGATCCGAGGTAAGATTTCTTGGATATTTTTCCAAAATTAACGTATAATACATGTATAAAATTACAAAATAGATTGATTTGGCTGATATCCAAGACAAATTCGGGGAGCTGTACGAACAAAGTTTGCAGGACTTCGTTAAGGACGATCTTGGTGGAAATTACGAAAAGATTATCCTATGCTTGCTTAACCCTAGTACTGCCTAGGTACGTGCCTTATTTTGCTTGATTTACATGATTTTAATGTAATGTAGTGTAGTAGCCAATGTACACGCAGTGTTTTGATATTCTTGCTATTAATAAAAAAGCTTTGTCGCATTTCTTAGTTCTATTTTTTAATAACGTTTCGTGTTATTAATATACGCTCTCTTCATGCAGATGCAGAAAATCTAAGTAACATCTGTATATCTAACTTGATAGCTCTCTATAGCATGTATACTTTCAATCTAGATCTCTTAGTAATCCAGATATCAGCATCTAATAGCAGGAAGATTCAGCTTCCTTAAATCCAAAGTGCTGTATGCCATACTCAAATCCTCCATGAAAAGTGCAGTCTGTATTTAACAAAAATATTTCCATACGATTTATGTTAAAAAAGGATGAAATCAGTACAGAGTAATAAATTTGCATATGAATAATGGGAACTTATATTACATACAAAGGACAGAAAAATTCTGTCCACTATTTATATTATGTAAACAATTAATGTTCTCCTAAAAGTATGTATTATCGTTACACAGAATAATATTCGTGTCATTGATTTTTTTGAGTTTCATTCTAACCTGTCTGGTTTACTCAATAAGCCTAAAATCTTCGACACTGTCTCAATCTGAAAAGCGACAAACATCTTGAAGAGAAGCAACTGACTTAATAAACTATCTCATCCAAAAATTACATTTTAGACCATTATCTGAGAAATTTGAAAGAATGAAACATAAGAATAATTCGATTTTTCTTGATACAGTAAATTATTAGATCTTCAAGTATCTGGCACGTTCCCAAATAACTTTTTAATGTTGTTGAAGATTGGGTTTCCTTCGTACAATACTATACCCGGTTGTGAATGCCAATTACAGCAAAGTTTTTTGCCTTACATGAACATTTAATGTAAGCGGCTAGTTCGAATATAATGAAACCCACTTATCCATTTAATTCTAGAATTATTCAAATCGTCATTTTCAAATTCTGTTCTACTACTGTTTGAAATTTTCTTTACTTTTGAAAGCTTATTCAAGAATTTACATCTAAAAGAGAATTTATATTAAAAATTGTACTTCTTTTACCAAGTAAATGGAAGCTTCATAAGAAAAATTATTTGTAGCTTTGCACAATAATGCGTCGATTACCATGTCTGAAAAGGAACGTTAATTTCATATTTTCTACATTTAGGCCATAATAGCTCTGGTGTCAGTATTTCAGAAATTTGCTTTCTTTTTCTCCTTCCATTTAATGATTTTCCTTAAAAGTTTCTTCATTTTTGTAAGGAAAAATTGTTACAAATAGGATATAAAATAGAACTTATTAATTAGTAATTTCAATTAAGTCTTTAAAAAGGTCAATATCACCTTGACTACTTATACTAAGAGTAACATCATTATCTTCCATCCTGTCACAGTCGAAATTCTCCCAATATATTTATTCTATATTTATTATGCTTCAATATTGAACTTTAAAAATTTCCGAAGAGATAACAAGGAGAAGGATATTGTACTTAATAATTTTACATTCATTAAAAATATCTAAACTATTAGAGGCATACGTACTAGTGAAATGTAAAAAACTCAAAGGCTAAAAGTGTTATTTTACGCACCCTCAAAATTTTAATAAAAAATTCTAAGACACGGCCTTTTTATTTTGCCTTCAGAATTCGCTAATAATTAACACAATTATTGAGAAAATATAATAAGTGTAAAGATATTAATAATTTATTATAATTTGAATTTTTACTATTATTTAATACTGCAACTGCTGATTTAAAAATTTCGCTAATTTTCCTTGGTTACGCCAACCAATAGATGGCGTTTAGAGAACATATTCATTTACGTCATGAGGCTGAGCGTTTATGGATTGCTCGTTCAATAAAACAATAGGGATTACTTTATTTTGGCTTTTTCGAAAGTAAGTATCTTATAATTTTATTCGTACATTTTATTAGCAAATACTGTTGGAAAGAGGGGCATTTTTATAATGTTTATAACTCTTCTATTTCACTTTGCAATGATAAATATTCATTAACTGTGTCATTTGGTGCATTAACTATTAAATATAACAACTTAATTCTCAACCATCGTGAACAACAGGGCGACAAATAAGTTTTATATCCTCCAAATATTTTTTCTTCAAAATTTTCCTGTAAAAATATTGAGGAAACAGATTTGTTTCCTATTTATACGTTTAAGGCTGCGTGTTTTTGAGTGTCTATTTCTAATATCGTATATTTAAACCCATAATTGTATGTTGTTGTGAAAGGACCAGGGAGAAAGGTATAAGGCATGATAACAATCTATATATGGACTATAGTTTGAGCATGGGTTAATATATTTTTGCTCATCCGCTTCCCAGCCGTCAATCTATATTAAATCATGTCTTAAAATATTTTCAATTTATTAAATTTTAACAAGAAAAGAGAATTTTTTTAAGATAAAAGCGTCGTGCAAGAGAGCAGCCCAGTAAAAATATGGAACAAGCTAGGTATTACCACTAACAATCTTTTTTTTTTCGTACTTATACATTAGCGTTGATTAGCCTTTTTTTGCGCTGATCCTACACTTCCTTCTTCACCTATAATATTTCTCTTCAGTTTTGAAGAATACAGGAATTTTACCTTTCTAGAAATTTTTAAAAAGAAAATTCAGCCCGGAAAGTAAAGAGAAATAAAAGAAGAGTAACAAATGTATTTGGTTAATTTGCTTACTTTAATTAGGATAAATTTTCCAAGAATACAATCTAAAAGGAAAAGCGTATAAAACGAAATCTAAACACTGTTGTTTCTCAGAATACAACCCCTCTTTTTGCTGAAAAGGAGTTTATATAGAAAAGTATATATCAACCATTAATAACAGTCATTTCAAGATCAATAAAAAAAAGTGAGAACAAAACTTGCTTGTTCTACCAGCGATATTAAGTCGTTAAGTATTTTTAAGCCTTACCTATTGTATTTTAAAAGGGATAAACTTTGTAGTTTACATGCCATACTTTTAAATATTATTTATCCGTAATAGCGGATATTTGTAAACTGGGAATACAAAAAAATTATATATAATATCTAAAAAATGCAATTATTCAAATATTTCTATACAGTTTTTTTTTATCAATATACTTTACTCCAATTAAGGAATATATACGTAACGAATATAGTACAGTGCGCTAGTTCTACATATAGCATACGCAAATAGGAAAATTAAATATTGCAAACACGTTAATTTTTAGGTAAGCGTTCTACGCAGCTCAGTGTTTTTTCTATGTTAGACCATTTTGAAACAATGAAGCCTTTCAATTGTAATAGTATTATTTCTACTTTTTTTCTCTAGTTTTCCCTTATTATTAACGATTATTATCGCTCATCTAAGGTTACCTTTACCAAATGGATAAAAAAAAAGTGATAGATACAATGATGATTTGATTTGCAAAATACTTGGATTTTGCAAAAAATACTGTCGATAATATTTTTTCTAAAAGCAATAATGCTCATCAATATGTTTATTGTTTAACCTCTTCCATTGTATTTGTATTTGTAAAGGAAACGAGTATTTCGTTACTCTTTCCCTTTATGTACTTTTTCCTTAACAGTAGTTCAGATGAGCTCATATTCTTTGATGTATCTCATTTACTTTTCTGGTCTATTGTATAAATATTGCTTTATCTCTTACATTCGCATTTTAAGAAAAATATACAAACCATATAATGGTTATTCGTCTAGGATTCTCTCCTTTCTAGTAAGAATAATTTTTTCTAAAATTCTTTTCTATATATAAAAATCTCGTAATCTCGTATTTCATTTGTCTAATATCATAAGCGTGTCATTTTCAGTTATAATGAAAATATTATACAAGTATATTAAAATGAGATCATGTTGTACTTTATAGAAATTTTATATATAAATAAATATTTTTATTATATGTCATTCATGATGTATGGTTAGTATTAGAAGTATTTTCCGAATCTTATAAATTTTATCTTGTTATAATAAAGCTAATTTACTACTTCAACGCGTACTTTAACTGTTACATCCTTTTATCGAATGTCGAATCTTAATTAGAGAGTCGCCCTTTGCTGTCTACAACGCTTATACACAAAACAGAGAACTTCCATTTAAAATTTATTCTCATTGCGTGTTATACAGTTAAAACTGATTTAATTTTTCTCAATGAATGATTAGTCTATCAAAAAAAGCCAGCGGGATAAAGAATAAACGCCTGGAGGCGTCACTTATCGGACAGGAAACATAGACACTTTAGGTGGACTGTACTAAATAAACGAACAATTGAGAGCAAAAACCTCGTATACAAATTGGAACGAGTGGTTGAGGTATAGTAAATGTTACAAAAGATTCCTCCTAATCCTTGAGCATAAGTACAAATGAAGAAAAGCTACAATTATAACAGCTTCAAAAGCAGAAAATATTATTTCTTTGAGTGTTAGTGTGTGTATCTGTCTAATCTGCAAAATTTACGCGGCTGTATATCAATTTCTTTTTAGATGTAGATGTCGCTGTAAACATTTATATTTAACACTTGATATATAAATACATGCTTTTCACTCTTCTCCTATTGCCCAGGTATAGCCGGCTTTTAAATATTAACCCATATTTGTGTATTTAGTTTGTTTTACAAAGCTTTGTGATGTATACTGTATGTTCAAACCCATAAATGTCAATATATCGACAACTGGTCGTTTTCTAAGGTTTTAAACTCTCTAACGACATTTAACTGGAGATTTGATTTTGTTTAGGACCGGATATATATGTATTTTTTAATTAATCGGTTGTCAATCCTTAGCCTAATTATATTTCCAGTATTCATTAGTCTTATTATTAAAACGTGCTCAGAAAGCTTGGTTTTCTGCAAGCAACATATTATCAACATTCAGCTCTTTATGTTTGTAATTTTAAATGAAAAATTGGTTCTTTCATGGTTAACTCGTTACTGTAAGGGAGAATGTTGCAGTGAACTACTTATAGCAAGGCGAATGCACCTCTCTTCGTTTTATTAACTACATACTATTGTAGAAATAGTTCAATCTAGAAATATTAATTTGGAAAACATATGCATCCTTTCCTTGAAAGGACAAAAAGAAATGTTTTTTTTTGGAACGACACATTTGTATATGTTCTTTGCTATTTTATACTTTTTCGTTAATTATATACGCCTGCGGATTTATAGACTAAACCTGATCGGCTAAATATTCCTAATGTGTCTTCAAGCAGACTACGGACTTGACTATGTTTACAAAATAAGTCATTTTGTTTTTATATATCCCTTTATCTTAAGAAATTAGTAGTTTGTACCACACAAAATTCTTAAGATAAGTAAAAAATATTTCCTTTAAGATTTTGCAACAAAGTACTTGTTTATTGTGAAAGACAATAAAAGACTTTTTCTTTTATAGGTTTATTAAATTAATTATATATGTCTTTATTTGACCTTTTTGAGAAAATATCATGTAATTTTTTATAATTTTAAATGCATAAAAATGACGTGTTGTCTAGTCAAGAAAAATAATATTTATGTATACAAGTTGATATTTCTCTGTAGGCTAATGGAATTAACATTAAATTATAACAAGTAATGTTCTATAGATATGTAATGTCTCAGGCAATAATATACAAATATTCTTCTTTTCATATAGATATTTTTATAAACTGCTACGGTACTGTCACCTTGTGCTTTTGAAATGAATTATGGCTAGAAACGTATTGAGCATCTCTTTCCTATTACTCCTTCTCATCGCTACCGCAAACTCCCAAAATATTAGCATTGCTGTGCTATTACCACTGAACAGCAGTGTTATATATCCCATGGAAATGGTGCGGTCAAGTATTGAAGTCGCCCTTCAATCTCTACAAAATGATTCAACAAAATCCAACAATTCACTATATACCATTCTTGGCGGAGAGGTGACAGTTGAACTTCTCCTTAGAGATACCAAATGCGATGTTTCGTTGGGAATTCATCAGCTCTTTTTACTTTTGCAAAAGGAAAAATTTTACATGGTTATAGGCCCAGCCTGTGATTATGTAGCGGCTCCTGTCATAAGGGAACTCAAATATTGGGGAATACCTGTAATAACAGCAGGTGCTTTCGCTTATGATTTTTCCAAAAAGAAGGATATGTACGGCCGTTTGACTAGGATTGGAGCAACAGCAAACTCACTGGCTGATGCAATTCTAACTATTGTCAATCGATTTGGCTGGAGTAGACTGTTGATATTGTATGAAAGAGAGGCATTTGAAGACAAAGTTTTTAGATTTTGTTTGCTGAGCGCAGATGCCATTGAGAAGAAATTAACTACTAAAAAAGCGGAGGTTGAATATCAAAATATTATACTGAAGAATATAGAAGATATCTTAACGAATAAATTGGGATTACGTTACGCAGGTAGGAAGATTCTTTTTTATCATCCCTAATAGGCCATTGTCGCGGTTGGTAGGTGACGCGTAAAACGGAAGCAGCAACGATTTGTGCATCAAAAAAGCTGTAGGTCGTCACTTTGATCGTGACTTACGACCGCAGACCCGAAGTGACGCATTTGTAATTGAACGCTTTTTATCTTTTTTTTTGAGTTAAAGAACAGAGCAGGGGGTTGAAGAGGCGAAAATATAGAATATAAAGATAGAAAAAGATCATAAGAAACGAGACTGTTGTTTACTCGTACCTTCTTCTCAAAACCGTATATGTACATATACAGTACGTACTGTGGAGATATTAAGATAATATCTATGTACAAACTTACATTTTCTAATATTACAAAACATTGCACGTATGAACCTATATTTCTTTGATTAACATTAAGAGCGTAAAAAAACGATGCTGCCATCTATACTCAAACGATTGATTAAAGAATAGGCAATTATTACCAAAAAACCTGCTATATGCCACTAGCCATAAGACCGAACGCATAATTGGTAAAGAATAAAAACTTGACATTTTAGAATGAATAATAGGGTACAGGTTCTTTGTCTGCAACTCGAATAAACTTCGTTAGCCTTTTAGTTAAAGGCCTATTCGAAATAATGCCAAGCAGTAAAAGAAATACTGTTCTTTTCATCGAACGTCAACAGCAATAGTTCGATATTTTGGATACTAAATTGAAATTAGAACAGTAGCGTGTCTTGCATAGTTCTTCTGTTTCTAATCAAGTAGATGAGGCTCAGTATTTTAATCAGGCAATTGATACCAGCTCTTGTTTTCTTTTCATTTTAATAAATAAGAAATAAATTTCAATTGCAAAATATGTACATAGTCTTCTTCTTTCATACTTGCGAAAAAAACCTTTATTGTTTACTTAACAATTTTTATAGGAAATAAAACAGCTAAAAGACAATAAATTGCCTCTATTGATTTTTGACCAAAGGCTCCACGAGAATTACGGTTGAAATAAGAATAGGGGGACGAATAACGAGAAACCATGCAAGAATTCCATACAATTTAGTCATCAATTCCATTTCAAGGCTTCTGTTCTATCTTTTCGTAAACACTTCTAAATTGATATTACGCTTTCTTTTTCCATTTCGTTTATTAATTTATGTCATATCTCAGTCTTTTAATAATATTTTATATAGTCAAATCTTTTGACGATAAGAAAATTAAACCGCAATCCGCTTCGAGTTCTGTTGCTTTACTATTTTACGGCAATTGTTGAAATATAGATAGAATAAGTCACGATTCGTAATCATGTAAACAAAACGCTTATCGACGTTACCGCTTTGTCGGAAATCTATGTGTATTTTTAGAATTTATTTCTAACAGACAATCATAAATTTGTACTTTAACAAGAGCATACAAGCAGTTATCTCCAGAAAGTGTTCTGAAGAGTAAATATCTAAATAACATATACTGAAGGAAAAAGAGGAGTGCATAATGAGTGATGACGTACTAATTATCTATGCACTCATAGCTAGCTCCTAAGTCTAGGGGGCGCTTAACGTCACCGTTCATTCTCAGACTTTTATTGTACTTCGGATATCGTTCACTGAATTTTATCCGCCGCTCAAACTTTATTTATATCAGAAAATTTTATGACTCCGCAAGAGTATTTATTACTCGAGAAAGTTATTCAGTAAAAGAATCAGTTACCGCGGGCCGAGATGCAGATGGAAGGACGCTGAGCATGAAAATCTCGACCTTGTTCCTGCTCCTCGTTATCGAGCCGATATTTACTAAGATTCGGCACGAAACGGGCAAAAAATATTCGAAAAGAGGATTCACAGATGAAAAAAAATTAACGATAGCAACGCTTATTCCTTTCGAGAATAAAATTTTTGGAAAAAATAAGCTGGAACCAGCAGCAGTTCTTGCACAGAAAAAAATTGTCGAATATGGCTATCTAACTCCATATAAATTGGACATAAAGTACAGAGATTCTAAATGCACCGACACGGATGGTATGAACGAAGCCATTAACTTTTATGTAAACGGTACCATCACAGGATTCTTGGGACCCATTTGCGATTACACATTAGCCCCATTGGCCCGACAGCTCAGCATCTGGAAATTTCCATTAATAACTGTTGGAGGACTAGCAAGAGATTTTGGAAAAAAAGCATCATATCCAATAACAAGAGCGGGGCCAGCATCTCCAACGTCTTTAGTAGATTTTTTCAAAAAAATAAGACAAGAAAACAAATGGAAGAAACTGAAAGCTATATGGGAGTTTGATTCCTTTTCTTCAACCTATCCAAGAATTTGTAGATTGATAACAGAAAGTTTAGTGTTAGGTGACACCGAAGCAAAATACGACACCTATAAGCTTCTCGTAACTAGGAATTCGTCAGGGCCAGTTTATACATACTCAATGCCAGATAAGTATGTGGAGGAACTGCTGAAGGAAGAAGTGGGAAATAAGTTCGCAGGTAGGGAAATCATTAATTCTTTTACAACTGTTAATACAAGGAAGGCGATTCTTATAAAAAGATTAAGCCCAATTTATAAAGAAAGAGAGTTGTATGAAAAGGGAGGGTAAGATTATTGTAGAGAAAGAACCAAAATTCTTGCTAACGCGCAGGAAATTGTTCGTTGGTTTGTAGGCCTATTTGCTTTCGGTAACTATAGTAATTGATGGAGTTCGAGCTATAGATATAAAAAAAGAGACGCGAGTACAAATCAGGTACAGTACTAGAAATTCCACCCTGTTAAATGCATATACATTATATATAGAAATATACAGTTATATATATATAAATATATTGTATATACAGTATTTGATACATATATATTTTCTACGAGAAATATTCTTATAGATACAAACGCTGTCTATATTTCATGTGCTAATAAGTTATACGTTAGTACGTCTATATATATATATATATATATATCATGAGCAGTATAATAATGATATTCTTTCTCAAAATATCAATTGTGTTCTATTGAAACATATGGTTCACGTAACGAATTAACGTGTGTTTAAAGTTTTTCTACCTGGAAAATTTCAATATGCAACACACAAAGACAAAATATTCAATATGTGAGCAAATACTTTTTTTGTATATATCCTAGCGGATGTAACATGCATAAAGATTATTTACACCCTTAAATGTATCTATTTTCGAGATAAGTTATTGGCTTTTCGCGAATAATATTCATTTATAAATATAAATAAGAGTATACAACGCGTATGATATATATATATATATATACAGCATATATATATAAACATTTATATATAATACGCTATTTATCATAAGCGTTGAATAGTTAGTTTATTTATATTTTTTATTTATTAATATATATGTTTTTAAATTATTAATATCGATGATTGCTCATGTTACGCTTTTAATATAACGACCAGCCAGCAGCGATATATCGAACTCTATAACCAACTGCATTAAATTACGATAGCTACGTAAAAACGTTAATCCAGATAAAAGTATAATCAATAGCAGGAAAAAGGCGAGAAGATATACAATGTTTACTAAACGCTTGTTTGCAAATCGATAATTAACTGTTGAGAGGGTCTACTGTCGATTTATGAAATATTATCCATGATTATGAAGCCTCCATCAAACATGGATAAACGGAATTTCCATCAAACAACAACTAATGCTCGTATTCGTATAGCATATTAAATCTTCATATAGCTTTAATTTAATCTACATCTAACAACTCTTATACACACTTTTGTATATACCAGACAATATGTTCTATTATTTGTTAGCACGCAAAATAGGATATTAATTTTAAAAACAAAACTCCCTCTAGACACAATTCAGCGCATTTTACCCCTTTCTCAACTATAACGTATGAGCTTTAAGTAATATTGTCTGACTTTTTATAAGACTTACCTTTCCTTTAAGTAGTTTACTGATGCCAATTTTTTAAATGTAATCCGAGTATATCGATTTTCGGTCAAACATTTTGTCAGACGTTTGTTTACGCTTAATTATATTTTTTTCTTTTCTATAATCGCTTTTCAACTGTTAATCCGACATATATATATAATTAAATTAAGCGGAATCCAATAGATTGTTATCATTTATCTTCTTAACTGTTTAGAAATACACTAGAATAATTCTTCATTTGTGAAAGTTTTAGTATTCATAGGATATGAGCCATTTGAGGGTAATTAATTCTTTAACTTGTCACGAAACAAAGACATGTTCATCAGATTTTATTACAAATATTTTTGCTATTTATATTTCTTTTATTTCTGTTTGATCTAGACTTATTTACTTTCATTAATAGCGTCATTACAGGTGTTCTCGATTTATTGCCACTGATACGCGAAAATAGATATTACGGTAAAATTTGATTATCTGTCATTGTTAACTTTAAGCTGTTAAGGTTAAGGATAGGTGACGACCGTAATTAAGAATTTTATTTACATTATTGATGCCTATTAGGGCTTTTCACAGCTCCTCCCACTGTTTCATCGTTTTATTATTTATCGACCTCTAAAACTTAAGGCGATTAGACGCTTACTGCAAATATAACTTCTTTTCTTTTTTGAATTTATTAACTCAATACGACACGAACATACGGGATAAAATAATTTTTTTCACTGTCGTAAACTTAGAACACGGATTCACATGTTGCTGGCACGGGTTCAGCCAGTACTAATCAATTCTTTAAGGTAGTAAAGCTACACCCTCTCAGGTATAGGTATAGGCTTTTCTTTTTTATAATGTAAAGTCAGATACGAACTGTTTTGTCTTGTACAAAAGGAAATTAGATAAAGGGATTAGATTTACTCCTTAAATTCCATACAATACGCTTCGGCGTCCACTTTGATCATCATCATATTTTCGACCTCATAGCTTTTTTTATTATATATTCTCATATAAACCCATAAGCTCTGTAATTGTAATATACATTTCACTCTCTTTTGTGTCTATGAACAATACAGTCATGCGAATATTGGCGTGTCGTTCTTAACGCACAACGACTGGAAGACATTTTTTCTTGACGTAATTGCAGTTTTCCAATAATATTTTCTCCATATTTCATTCGAGTTTTGTATCACGCCATTTCATTGCAGTTGACTGCACTTTTTTCGCTTCAGCTTCACCTAATTTTCGAAGGGTTAGTTTTGTTAGAAGAAATAACAAGGACTTATATAGAATTCGACATTGATAGAATTTAATAGGATTATTTATAAAGCTTACTAGTATTTTGAAGTATTATTATCATTACTTATTTAACTTATTGATGTTTAATGGGAAAAAATATTATATTTTTTCACTATAGTCCAACTTTTTTCTTTTCAATTGCTGTATAAAACTAGAGGCGATTAAGGCTAGTTAATGGGGTTGTTAGATGTAATTTATAGACCGCTAACGGCTCTTTAGTTTTTGAAGGGATCGTGTTTAAAAAGGCGGGTTAGATGGAAAGGCGAAAGTGAGTCCCTGGGAAAATGTTAAGGGGTAAACGAAACTCAGTTTAAACGTCTATGGGTCCTTTATAATTATTATTATATCTATAGCTACTATTTTAAAATGAACAACCCAAGGCTCCGTTTCCGCAGTGTTAAATTGCGACATGCACGACTAGAAGCTTTTTAAAGGTGAAGCTTTACACTTAGGTTGTGAAATGACAATTTGACTTTTTTCTATGTAATTATTTTTTTTTACACAAAAAAAAGCGGAGGTTGTCAATGAGATGTGTTTTTATTAGTATTTTTAGCCATTATAAACAACTGATTTATTAGTCTTACATATCCGGTAAATACTATTTGAATACAAAATAAATAGCTATCAATTTTTCTCTATTCCCCTCTTGGACTGTGGGTGGTAGTTAGTAATAGATAAAATGAGAATTATATTGCTCATTTAGAATTCCAACTAAATTTCCGTCCTAGATACGGTGTATAAGCTAATATTCTCAGCACGCTTATTTGAAACTTATACAGGAAGGCTTGTAATTGAGTAAATCACCGTGGAAGAATTAATAATAACCTATACGTACCATTTACGTTGTACATAAACTATTTAATTGCGAATATAAAGTATATAAATGGATACACTTTTACGCTGTTGTGTCACCATACCTTACTAGTTTTTTGCTCACTCATGGGAATTATAAGCTCTTAAAAACGACAAGTGTACCGGCAGATGGCGATGGATGTTCATTGAAATTGCCTTCTCGCAGTATGGTGCAAAAAAAAGGATCGCTTTCAGTCCTTAAAACCTCTTGAGACTGTGTATTAGTAGATTGAGATATTAAAGTATGCTTAAAAATCGCATAAAGGTAACAAAAACCCAACTATGTACTACAAATGAATGTTTCAATTCAATTAAGTTTGGTGTAGAGCAAGCAAGCGCTTTTAATTAACGTCTGAAAAACTACAGGCTCTGCTCTATTAAATCAACAGCGTTTATTATCTTTTCTAAGGCAAAATATACGAAATTTCATTACTGAGTAAACTATTTTCTTAATTAAAGTTATTTAAAATTCCTAATATAATAAATCTGGCATCTGATAAAATTGTTGTTAATCTCTAAAAATAACTTTTAATGTCGCAACCATTTTTTGTTGTAAATTCTTTTGTTAATTTCTATATTATCATAATTCGGCACCAGATGCGCCATCTTTTGTGCTAAGTATAATTCAGATAAGACCTCCTTTCAATAGACGTATAGAGAGCATGATGAATTCGTACATTGTAGAACATTTTTCTAATATAAATGAGTCTTTATACGAATATGAGAAAATTTTTTTCTTTATTATGAGACTACTGATAGCTATGCAAGTATCGAATCAACTAGATTTATACTTATTCTCTCTTTATTTAGTTCTTCATCAAACTTACGTTTTAATAATTGATGATAATAATTTGCTTTTTTGTGTACATTATCTCACTGAGGAAGTCCTATACAATGATAAATAATTAAGGTATTCTCTATAAAATGTAGATAACATATATATCCGATAAGAAATACCAGCTTTACTTCCGAGATCAAAACTATGCATTAACTTCTACATCAATTATTATTCATTAAAAAAAAAATAACTTTCAAGGTTCTCTCCTTGTTTTCACATAGTTTCTCTCCTTCTTCTTGTCGAGAAAACTACTCATCTAGCATCTCCTTTTATTAGTATCAAGAGCAATGTGAATTAAAACATATAGCAATAGAATAAAATATTGTCTACTCAGAAAGAGCAAGCGAGCCTTGTAACATTTTAAATCGTAGTTTCTTTACAGTAAAGTATCGTCGAGTTTAACTGTCAACGTTTGACAGCAAAGTTAATATTTCAGCAGAACGAAAACAATCGATTAATGTAAACCACTTCCTTCCCTCTATATTTCAATCTTAATTATATTAGCGCAAATTCTATTGTTCGCTTTAAACAGAATGCTATAATCGTTGACTCACTGAGTTGAATTGTAAATAAATTTTTGCATACGTAAACTTATTTTAATACTTATTACAAGTATTTTTATAAATAGCTAACCAAATTTCTCTTTAAGGATTTTAAGATAATATCTTAATCTAAATTAAGCATTATAATAAATCTATACTCATCGCGTATTCTAAAAGGAAAAAAACGTCAGAAGTTATTTTTTAACTTTGTTTCTATACATATTCACCCAAGCTCGTTATTGATAGGTGTGTTGTTAAATGAATTGTCATTTATATTGTCAATTGAAAATTACATTAATAATTGGGAATTTGATTCTGCTACTACTTTTGCATAGAGAGGAGCGGAACGAAATCTACTATTACTAAATAATTGCATCAATATTGCCATTTTAGTTCCTAAACAAGAAGATATATTATATATTTTATCAAAACGACAGCACCCTTTGTAAAGCCGGCTATTGATAAAGTTAGAGAAATGCTTCCTAAAAAAAAGATTTAATTTGTACTTTGAAGATTCCCGATCAGACTTGAGATATCCTACTATGTGAACAGTAGAGATATATACCTTCAAAGGTATATTAGTAATTATTGATCCAGCAGACGATTTAGTTCTTGCTCCAGGTGTGTGACTATTAGGATATGAAAACTTACAATTATAGCAGCACGATGTTTCTCATGATCTTTTAAACATTATTTATCTGAAAGTGTAGCTTTTACCAACGAAAGAAGAGAAATCTACAAAAGCGAAATTGCCTATCCTCTAGAAACACTATTGGCACAACTTAGTTGTTCTAAGAGACACAAGAAAAATGACAAATTCCCTTCGGGATGGAGTCCAAAATCGAAAAGAGGTAAACTAAAACTCTCTAAACCGTTTAAAAAACTAGAGAGTTTGCAGTTTGTAGATCTCTTCTATACATCTTAACATACAAAGACTAGTCAGTGTATATTATAGCGATAAACCATGAGAGATAAATCTTCACATCTCTTAAATCAAACAGTATTGAAAGGCTACAATATTTTTGTAATGACTATTCCAAAATAGAAGAGTAACATAAAAGGATGGGAATATAAATCAATACACTAGATTTCAACTCTATAAAAGAAACATCATAGGACATTTCTTTATTCAAATCACGTTTTATAAAATAGGTTAACATAATGCAATAAATTTGAAAAAGAAAAGATTCTTTTTCTAATTGTTAGTTTAATTGTTCAGAAGTCATCGTTAAACGATGAAAAACTTCCGTATGAATTAATTTTAAGGGATATTCTATATGTATTACAAGGTGAGATGTCTTGTAAAACATTTAATTAAATTTTTACCAATTTCTTTACTTTTCACAAAAAGAGTAATGTAAAGAATACACGCTTTGTCCTATTGTTTTTGATGACTACCTGACCCAACTTGTTTACAAGATTTACGCACGTTTTGGCCCTTATTCTAAGTAATTGGCCTAATCAGTTTTATTGTCCCCGAGACTTTTCACCGTGAAAGAAAGTTATGCGAAGATAAATTACATTTGAAAAGAATAAAAGACAACGCCAAATTATCTAATGGTATTATTAAAATAGGTGTGATTCTTTCCTTGAGATAGCTAGCTAGTTAGCTAATATTCCCTCCTTGTAAAGTAGCTATAACAAGTACACCACCATGATAATTTTCAAAAGTTTTTATTGTGCAGTTTTGAGAAGAAAGACTGGATATTTTACAGAAATTTTTTGATGTATGGAACAATCGTTATCCCTATAATCGTCAGCCAACACTTCGTCTTTCATCCCTCGCTGAACGTAACACTTAGGACCCGCATGCGATTACATTCCGACTTCCGTTTTTTTCTCAACTTCCGTTTTCCTCCAACCTCCCGATTTTAACCTTTAGGTAGTTTAGCGCTTGTATTCGGGAATGATAAGATGTTGCCAAATGCATATTCTTCCTGTTTTTTTTTTTATAGAAAAATCGTTGTCGTTTCGTTTTTGCATAAGATTGCTATTCGGATAGCTGAGGATTTCATTTGTAATTGTATACTGTTACCATCCACTTTTATTAGGTTTGGAGGACAAATCTTTTTAATATATTTTTTGTTCAATAGCTTGTAGCATCTCCGGAAAAGAGGTTGTAGTTAATATACTAATAGTGCAACTTATAAAAGATAAAAATCGATGGAAAAGGCCTCTTTGAAACGGACGGAGTACTTTAAAAGTGTACTTTTGGAGCACGTAGTTTGAAATTATTCAGGTGTACGTTAAGACAGATTTATTTATAAATTCATTTTGCCCTTTTCCTCTTTTCGTAAAAGTAATAGCTCTAGGAATTATTCTGTTAGAGTTCCATTTTCCTTTCATTTAAATGCCGCAAACTAATACTGCAAAAAAAATAATTAAAAGTAAACAGTATTTCCAAATTAAGTTATAAAAATAGAGTTATACTTTTAACGCATTAAACGCTTTTTATTTACGTCACTTAATAAATATCGGGATAATGTTATAAACATTCTTCATGACAAACATGAATTGCCATTAAGTTGATCAAGTGCAAAACGATTAGTCTTTTCTTTTTTGTTTTGTTAAGTTAAGCATAAAATAAGATTGGTTTTGGCACTGCGGGGGTAAAAACTACTCACTCAGAAAACCACGAGACAGGCTATATCCGACAATTTTAATATATACAAACAAATAGAAAACAACAATAATAATATTAATAGTATAAAATATGCATATTTATTGTAGATTGATCAGTAACAGTAAGCGAGACATAACATACATAGTAGTCATAGTACGTATAACGTCTATCTTAAAAAGTCGTTCTTTGAAAGGAATCAAATTAAGCTATATCTTGGAAGTTATATAGCTTTCCCATAATAGTGATTTGCTTTATTCATTTCGTTTGATTTTAGAAACAACAAAAGTATTTTTATTTGTCTGTTAAACGTATACAAAAGAAAAATATTATTAATAGAATAATACTGACTAACAGTATTAAAGTATATGCAGTTTCTGATTACGAAGAGAAGCTGAAAAAGTAGAAAGAGATGCTGAATATAACATCTAAAATGGTTGAGAAACATAAGACATGTAACAAAAGAATGCTTTAGTATGACTAGACTTCACAAATATTCCAGTAATTTACACGAACAACAAAATTGATTCCAGTTTAGTGTTTTGTCCATAAAACAGTTGAAAATATAGAATCGAACCAAATACAGCATTCTGTCATAAACCACAAGTACCCTTCACAAAGATGCTTACTCTAAGCGACCAACTGCTTAGTTTCTAATGATTTTGCTTAGTTAAAAATGCACACGACCTGAGAATGTTGTATATTTAAAAAAGAGGGAGAGGTGCTAATTCTTTTAAAATTATAAGCATTGTACAATAATCTTTGTTAAATCCATTATAATCGATTTTCTTACGTCGATTTTGTTGAAAGAATAATCTTTTTTTGTGCCTAGCTATTGTTAATATTAATTCTCATTTTGTTCTGTATGAGGGCTATTCTAATAGCAAACATTTGTGACCAAGGTCATAATTTCTAAACTAAAGCAATATAAAATATCTTATACTAAGTCATCCAGAAAAGCTTTTCTATTTGTTACTTTGGTAATCTAACTCAATGTTTACAGTAATAGTCGCTTTTGTGTAAATTGATGTATATTTATATTCATTTATTAATCCGTAAATAAAAAAGTCTTTCGCTGTAATATTTATAGCTTTATTTTGTCATGAACGAGAAAAATTACTTATAAAGACAAAGAAATATATATAAAATAGGTATCTATTTCATAATTACCTAATTTACTCAATTGTATACGTTTGATGTAAACTAGCAAACTTCAACATGTATTACGGCTACAATAGCGCCAAAGGTAGGCTGTTATCATTCCTGTCTCTGAAAGCATGAGCGCAACCACACTGCATTATCAGTTTACTGCCGTCTTTCGAAGAGGACGGTATCCTTACTAGAATGTTTTTATTTTTATCTCGTCAAAGAAACGTGTAAGTTATCTTCAATATTTATCAGAAGATAATAAAAAGTCAATGACGTAAATTCTCCTAGTGCTGCTACAAGAATATAATTAAAATGAGTCACGGGAAGCTTCTACTATTGTTCTTTATTATTTCTTTCACATTAACAAAATCAAGCCGTCGATTTAAACATTGGAAAGGACTTTTTAATGGCTCTAATATACAATATGATCATGTATGTCAAAATAGCAGCTCTAATAATGGAAAAGTGAAGATGGCTGTCATTCTACCTCGGGATAGTCGTAATTTATTCAGTATTAAAATGATAGCGCCTGGTATTGAACTTGCGCTAGATTACGCTAACAAGAAGGATATTCTAAAGAAAGAAAACGTTGAATTATTTTATCGTGACTCTAACTGCTCAGCCAAGTTGGCTATGAGAGCAGGAATGGAATTATATATGTACCATGGAATAAACGTCTTTTTTGGACCGGTTTTTGATTATGCTTTAGTGCAAATTTCCCGATTTTCTTCTGTCTGGAATATACCAACAGTTACAGCTGGAGGCATGGCTTTCGAATGGACCACAGAAAGGAAGAAATCAGACTATTCTCTAGTCACCAGATCCTCCAGCGAAATATCAACATGGTCATTAGCAGGTTTCTTTTTTAAAATATTCGAGGAAATGCAATGGAAAAAGGCTGCATTAATATACGACAACGATGCCGATCTGGGTGTACTTAATAGGTTTTGTTACATGTTCGCAAATAGTTTTGTAAAGAAGTCGAAAAAGAAATTTCTCTATCTAATCTTTGATCAGAACGACATAGAAAAGACTCTCACTAAAGCAAAAAATAATGCAAGTATGAAAATTTCTATATCAAGCATAATATATTTTAGCTCCTCTCGATTTAATCGTAATCCATTACTTCTTCTAATTCCATCTTTTTCATCTTTTCTTATACCTGGTATTAGCTCTGATCTACTTCTCTTCCCACCATTCCCTATTGTATTAGGACTATCGTTTAAAAAATTAAAAAAAGGGCAAGACAAATTAATTGCTATCAATGCTTAACAATTAATTACATTAATCAATACCGATTATTTCGTCAGTCTATTTCCCTAAAACGTAAATTGACAATCAAAGAATTATATTCTTATATTATTTCTAAATCAATGGATAAAACTTGTTTTGAAAATCTATTGGGAGAAATATGATGCAACTTATTGTCTCTTACGTTTCAGTAAATATTCGTACGCTAATTTTGAGATAAAACGAGAGAAAGTGGCATCTCTTTTAGGCCTATTTAGGGACGAGCACGTACGCGTAGAGTAATGAAATTATATTAAACAAGCCTCTGGCTTATTTTTGTTCCTACTGAAAGGTAAGAGATAAAAAAAAGAGATAAAAAAGCCGACTTGAGCTATATCCTATCTTAGAATTATGACGCCCAAGCTAGTTCAATTGATTTCTATCCAATGGTAAGCATAGTCAGTCAACGAATAAAAGGCGTCTAATTTATTCGATTGCCAGTATGTATAAGAGTTACTTTGCCTAATGCGGAGATTTTTTCATATTTTCTTTTATTGTTTACGTCTCACTTCTTTTTCCAAGTATTTTGAAAGAGAACTTGCTAGATATCTACCTGTCCATTTCCTGTTCCGTTACTTTTCCGGTAATCATGTCAATTTGCTGTCGACTTTAATTACTTTCTAACTTCAAGTCAACCGTGTTTAAGATACAATGATTAGGCCTAAGAAACAAGCTCTTGTAACTGTAAATCCCTGCAAATAAGGTTGTTTTGTATACAATTTGTAATTTTTTATTCAAAGGAATAGGCACAAATAAACTTATATTTGTAGTAAAAGATTTAAATAATCGCACGTATTTAATTAATTATTAGGCGCCCAGCAGTTAATCAAAACCAAAAAATTTTTCTAGTAAATATGTATTGGAAGAGCTTTTCCCATAAACTTAAACCGTTTGCGATGGACGTAACTTCCTTCTTACCTCTCTGCATCTTACAATAGAAAGAAAATATATCTTATCATAATTGTGATATTAGTTAATATTTGACACGCTAACCAACTGATTATTTACTACTATCGAACATTTTATGGCTTTTGCAAATCGACTACTACTCTATAGATTTAAGTAGTTCTAATTTTAACTCTAAAAATTGTCTGGTTTCGATCTTTGCTGTGGCTTAACTGTTACAGCGTATTAATTTGGTTAATTCCATCAGTAATTATGGTCACGTTTGTTAAAGCTCTCGTAATTTGAGAATTACCTCTAAAAGTTTTTCATGAGAATGAAAAACAAAAAACGAAAGAAAACTTTTAAGACAATCGCTTTTAAGATGAGAACAGAGAAAAAAGACTTTTATAAAAAGGAAAAACTAAGTCATACTATTTACAGCGTATTTTCATCAATATGCTTTTTATTACTACCTATTTATTCTATATCAGGTACATATGGTATTAAACTGAATACCTAAATAGAATATGTATGTTCGTATAATACTTTGGTAGAAACTCTATAAAACACTTGCTAAATGACTAACTGAAGTTGTAATTGACGTTTAGAAACTTCGTAATCAATATATGCGTTCTTGGTGGAAATCATTTGTATTGTATTCTATCTTTCGGTAACGAAAGTTCTTAGTAGGGAAACGAAACGCATTTATATTATCGACTCCGATCCAAACCGCTCGGGGGCGCTCAATGGAGAACGCTTTTAAAACGTTTTCAGTACGATACAGCCCTCTAACGGATATCCTAGTTCACTTAAAAATTATTTGCTTTATTAAGCACATTGTAAACAGGGATTTGAAAAATTCTTTAATTTTTGTTTTCTTTTTTTTGACTAAACGAATAATAATCGATTCTTATCAACCAACTGTCTTTTGATATGGATAAGTACTTTTTTGTCTTTTTATTTGTTTTACAGGTTATTTTTATCCATTTCAAACCTTTTCAAAGAATATTACTGTACTATTACACTAAGAAAACAGACTAGTCTTTTTTTAATTTCAACTTTCTATAAAAAGGAAAGTAAACGCCATCTATTGTTAAGAAAATTTATCCTAACTCTTTTGAAGGTGCTTTTAATTATAGGCTTTAAGTAAGGAAACACATATTTAATGTTATTAACGAGTAAGCCTGATAACTAGGAGTAACTTCTAAGCTATAAAGTTCGAGGTGATTTTCTACAACAGCCGGTCATATGTTGGTAGAGTAGTGTAAACATCTGCCCAGTTTGATCGAAAGGTCGTGTAACACTCAAAATTAACAGACAACTTCTTAAGTTTAATTAATAGATCGAAGAAGTTCCTATACAAGCGTATTTTGACCTAATCATTCAGTGAATATTATCCTAGCAGTAAATCAAAATTTGTTAACTTGATCAACACAATACAAAACGCTTATCCATTTCATATTTAGCTTTATTTACACTTTCTTTAAGCTTTACGAAAAATCGTTTCTACTTAATGAATAGGCCTAAAATCTCTACCAAGTATTTGTTACGTATGTAGTTTTTCAGTTGCAGTTTATTCGCCGCTTCGAACGTTTGTCAAGTCTCCCGAAAATTTGATATTAAATTTTTATATACATATGTTTGACTTAAGAAAACTTTTGTAATACACTTACTTAAGTAAAAGAAAGTTTTAAAGTAGTTCTACAGCTATTGATATGTAAATTTACAAATGTTCTGGACTCAAACTCTTCTTTTGTTTATGTACCTGACTATTGACGTGAATTCGAAAGTACAAAACATCAAGATCGGAATAATTCACCCAAAGAAATCAGATATTAAGGCTTGTTCTCATTATATTAAAGTTACGGCTGCAATAAATATTGCAGTGAATACTGTAAATCAAATATATAAGGATGTTTTCGCCATTGAACCTTTTTTTAAAGACTCAGAATGCAAGGATACTACGGGAATATTTTGTGCTATGGATTTTTATAATATTGATAAAGTTCACGTTTTTTTTGGACCTTGTTGTAAATTTGCCCTATCAACTGTAGCCCGCCTGAATGGCGAACGTTGGCAGTTACCCCTCATTTCTCTCGGCGGATGGAATGATGCATTTTTAGTGAAGGATGCATTCTTTCCCCTTCTAACAAGGGCTATGGGAACATTCTCAGATACGACTTACTTTTTGAAAGCCATTTTAGATAATTTCAATTACAAGCATGTAACCTTTATGTATCATGATAACTATATAACAAAATATAACGGACAGTCAACTTGCTCTGATTTAGCATCTTCTTTTGGATGGAAACATAGAGAAGTAATGAAAATAAACTTCCAGATGTTTGATGAGTTTGAGAACATTACGGTCCTGGATGACATATTTGGTACTATTCTGCAAGAGAAAGTTCGACCAAACTCCAGAGGTTGGGGTGTTTTACATTTAAGTGGTCAAACAACTAATGATTTAATCATATTTGGATTTCTAACTATAAATTTATAGAATTTGAGCCATCCACGTCAAAACCCTACTTGGTAGTACTATAACATTTCAGTCAGTATTAATCGAGAGTTTGCGCCAGTCCTTGCTGCTTTCTTTTATATCGCTACTACCGTAAATATTTGTCCGACGTTTTTATTCCATTTTGGCTAAGTAAACGAACCTAAGATTTCTTTGATAAGGATAAATTACCCTCTGTCAACGTAAAGACAAGGGAAAATGACTGATAATGCTTGTACTTAAAAAAATCGAAAGCGTCTATTACCTAGTAGCCGACTTTATATAACCGATCTCTGGTGGACCGTTTTTGTCCCGATTTGTCGATCAGGCGAGATTAAAGATTCGCTGCAGGATATCGAAATTTTAATTCAATACTGTGTCTTTTCGAGCGAATAATTCGAAAAATCGAACAGTCCCTAAATTGCTAACAATATTAATTACGAGATTAATTCATATAGTAGGCATTTTATGAATAAATCTTGTATATCTGGGTTGAGTTCCTCGATATTAAGCAAAAAGACGTATATTATATGCATATTTTAATAAAATAGTGACAATTTTTTTGTCATTGCTTTCGTTTCTGGACGACTATATAGTCGTTTATCTCAATATTTCAATAGTCAATGGAGTATATTATTCTTAGAATCAGGCATATTTGTTAGATAAATTGAAATGTTTTTTATATTGAGTGAACAGAACCTCAGGGGCAAATATAAGAGTGCACCTCATTATTATTTCATATCATAATTATAATTATCGATCTCCTTTGTTTTAATTGTTATTTTCATAACTAAATCCATTTAAAATTTTCAGTTGTTGTCCTCTGTGCCAATCCTGATTCGGTCCGCCACATCATGCTTAAAGCCGACGAGTTGGGCTTCACAAATGGGGAATATGTCTTCTTTAACATTGACCTCTTTAGCAGGTATAATTGTCATAAAAATTATAGTTTCCCTTTTGGAATAGATATAAAGTAACAATCTTTAAATAGCAGTAACCATTTTTTTTGTTGTTATGTAACGGATACTCAATTTATTTGGTCAATTTCCGTATGCTGTTTTGTACAAATTAGCCAAGGGCAAGATAACAGAATAAACTAAATAAAAGACAAGCTTACCAAATAGTTTATAATTAGCACCCACTAAGAAATATCTATATTCAAATCTTGTTCAAATAGTTAAAAGTTTCGTTTTCCTTCTTTTTTCATAGCGAAAACCAGAGTAGACAGAGTTGGGTAAGAGGTGATGGAAAAGATACGAGGGCTAAAAAGGCATACCATGCCCTCATGACAGTTACTTTAAAAAAGCCAGAAAGTGATCTGTATATGAACTTTTCGAAGGCCGTTAGAGAAAAAGCTGTAGAGATGTATGGAGATGTAGAAATGGATGAAAATGAGGAAGTTAATAGTTTTGTGGGAGCTTTTCATGATGCTGTCATTCTTTACGCTCTTGCTCTGAACGAAACTTTAGCCGAAGGTAAAAATGCAACCGACGGTGGAACTATAACTCGTCATATGTGGAATAAGACTTTCAAAGGAATTACTGGTACTGTAAGCATTGACGCTAATGGTGACCGAAATGCCGATTATTCGTTACTCGATTTGAATGCTGACGGTGAAAAATTTCATGTTGTCGCGAACTATTATGGTAATAGTAAAAAATATGAAAGTACTCCCAATAAAATACACTGGCCTGAAGGAAGAGACGCTCCTCCTCCTGATGTTCCAAAGTGTGGTTTCTCAGGCTGCAGAGAAACAAGTAATGTTATGATATTTAAATTTACTGTCTATTCTAATGCTTTTACTTTATACGACATCAGATTTTCCCAGCTACTATATTATCCTGATTATTATTGTTTCTATCTTCATCGTATTTGGATTTGTTTTTGTAGTCCTATATCGAAGGTGTGATATAAAATATTACTCTCTTGATTATGAGCTTTTATACTTTCGCATTTTTGCAGAATTTTTAAGGATAGAGTAATACCTGACAGTCTATGGAAAATTCAATGGGAGAATATCGATTTTGGTGGCGGTGATCATAATTATAGAGTTCCTAATATACATGTAATTATCTTGATGATTTACAAGCTAATGTTTTTTCAACAGAACATGATTTTTTTTTCGCATTAGCAGAGAGACTCCATAACCGAATCTACAAATACGTCGATGATTAGTTTATTAAACAACTTTAGCCGACCTCAAATGTACACCAAAGTCGGAAACTTTAAAAATTCTCATGTTGCAATAAAAAAGATATCTAAACCTGTGGCAAATCCACCTTCAAAAAGTATACTTTTGGAATTTAAAAGGGTTGGTCTACAGAAATAAGTATTATATGGAGGGTAATATAAAAAATTGTTTTGTTTTCTAAAAATTTAGATGAAGGATTTACAAAATGATCATATTGTCCGCTTCATTGGTTTTTGTATAGATGAACCTAATCAATGTATAATATCGGAATATTGCTCTAAGGGAAGTTTAGAAGATGTTCTAGGAAACGAACAACTCAAATTGGATGCTATGTTTAAATTCTCTTTAATGCAAGATATTGTAAAAGTAAGTACATATCTATGAATATAGAAATGATCTCTCTCATTCTGAATAACAAGCAGAACTGCTCGTACAGCAGTTAGTTTATAAAGACTCATTACAACTTATTGTGTTATAATAAAAATATACTTTTTCTCAATAGGGAATGTCTTACTTGCACAGTAGCGAAATAAAAACTCATGGAAACTTAAAAAGTTCTAATTGTGTAGTGGATAGCAGATTTGTTTTGAAAATCACAGATTTCGGATTATTTTCTTTGAGGTCGCGGCGTTCGAGTAATCAAGAACAGAGCATAGACACTTATGCTTATTATAAAAGTAAGAGATTAAGCATTTTAATAACGGGTAATTTCTCTTACTCTGTTTAATCTCCTTTAGGTAAATTGTGGACAGCTCCTGAGTTATTAAGGAATCCGGTTGATACTGGTAGTCAAAAGGGAGACGTTTACAGCTTCGCGATTATTTGTCAGGAAATAATTTACCGGAATGGACCATTTTGGCGGTATGGTGAAGACTTCGAGCCTCCAGAAATATATAGAAAAGTAAAGGATAGGCAAAAGCCTTTTTATAGGCCAACATTAATGGAAATTGAAACTGCTCTTGAGACGGCTGAAAGCTATCAAGAATTGGCAAATGTAATAGAAAGATGCTGGAGTGAAGATTCTCTAGAGAGGCCCGATTTTCATACTTTAAGGGCAACTTTAAAACGAGTAAATAAGTAAGTGCTACAAATCATCTTCTTCAATTTCACGCATCTGTCATTCATATTTTCACTCTTTATTTGGCTAATAGGCAGGGCAACGAACCATTAATGGAACAGTTACTCTCTCGTATGCAGCACTATGCCGAAAATTTGGAAACCCTAGTCGAAGAACGTACTGCTGATTATTTGGAAGAGAAGAAGAAAGCTGAAAACCTATTATACATGATGCTTCCAAAATCTGTTGCTGTACAGTTAATGAAGGATGGTAAAGTGGAAGCAGAGCAGTTCAACCAAGTGACTATTTATTTTTCTGACATATGCGGTTTTACCAAATTATCAGCTGAAAGTACTCCCGAACAAGTCGTTACTTTGTTAAATGAACTATATACTACTTTTGATTCCATTATCAATAATTTTGATGTATACAAGGTGCGTATTAGCTTCATCTAATCTACAAAACAACTTTAAAATTTCAAATAAAAAATATATCTTTTAAATAAAATAGGTGGAAACAATAGGAGACGCCTACATGGTTGCTTCTGGTTTACCGAAGCGAACTGATCTCCATGCTAGAGAGATTGCTAGAATGTCTTTGGCTTTGTTAAACGCCGTAAAAGCGTTCAGAATTCCCCACAGGCCAAATGATCAGTTAAAACTTCGTATAGGATTACACACTGGAGAAGTTTTAGCTGGTGTCGTTGGGTCAAAGATGCCGAGATATTGTCTATTCGGGGATACAGTTAATACTGCAAGTCGGATGGAGAGTAATGGAGAAGGTAACATATTCTGTTTTTATGTAAACTAATTAACACCTGAAACTCTTTTCAGCCCTCAAAATTCATATAAGTCCCTGGACGAAAACTGAATTAGATAAATTCCAAACCTTCCAAACAGAAGATCGAGGACCAGTTGACATGAAAGTTTGTTTCTAGTATTAGATATTATCTAGAGTTATATAAAAAATTTACGCATAGTCCTTTTCAAAACATTATTTAAAAGTAAAATAATAGAATATGATAGGGGAATATTTTCAATTCAACTAGTCTGCAATCAACAAAAACGGTAAAAGCAGATGTTACCAATTATAAATCAAGATAGTCATAAATTTTTACGCCTCTATATAATTAATTATAGTGTCTATTGATATTTTAGAATTGAGACAGCTAAATAAGGAATCATAAGCAAATATTTCTAATATAAAGAAACTACAGGATATTTAATTTGCGTTCAATTTCCTTTCAAGCGGGAATATAAGACATTTATAAGCCTTAATAATTCCTTGTAAGAGTAGTCATGTAAAAACAGGATAAAACTTTGAAAACAGAAAGCGAAGAATGCTCAAACATCTTCGCTATAAATATAGCTGTTAAATACAGGAAAAGATGGAAAATATTAATCAAAAAAGCGCCATCTATTGAATCACAACTTGTCCCTTGCATACAATATTCCCCTCAATGCATTTCGAATGATCATCGAAACGGGCACAGAATTTTTTCCTCAATAATAAGCTAATTTTCTGACTGTATGGGACGATAATATATTTAACAATTCATTAAATGTTAAAACAGGGAAAGGGCGCGATATTCACTTACTGGCTAATTGGTGAATTACATCCTGATTATCCAGATTTCGCTCCGAGAAATGCATGCGATTACCGGATTCAAACTCCTAATATTCGTCTCAACCAGTCTTCATCTTTGGATTCTACTGTTCAAAACTCCAACTTATTAGACTCATCCAACCCCGACTTACCCAGGGTTCTACAAAACGGTCACATTTTAACAGACAAGAATAGCTTACCGTAAAGAAAAAAAGAACAATTTTTATTTTAAATGAGACAGCATTCATTTTTCTTAAAATCCTTTGTTATATTCTTTCTAAATATCCTACGTTCGAAGGGTATGAGCTGTGATATTTACAAAACCCTTGAAATAATCGATTAATTTATTGGTTCACTGTTCATATTGTCTGTAGATAATTATTATCTTTAGATGTTCAGACTTACGAATTTGTTTCATATATACAGTATAAATTTATATATTTCAAAAAGACAGAGATGAAAAGAATTGCTTGCATCATCTGTAAAAGCATTATCTATGTAGAATATGGTGGTCAAAACCGTACTTTATTTGGTCAAGCGACTAATACCAAGAGAATTGTCATAATTGATAAATGTGAATACATGCAGATTGGTTTAAAATATTCAAACAAGAATGTTAATTCATTAAGTTAAACATTCTTTTAAAGCCGACGTCATCCTTTGTACTTCCAGGAAATATCCACTTTTAATTTAGTCTCAATAGATGACACCACCCGTTTTTTCCATTTCTTTTCCATCCGTTCGTTTCAATTTCAATTTACAGTTAACAAAAGATTGTCATTTGTAGGCCTAAGCCGATTTAATGACTGAATTAATGCATATTCTCTCGTAAATCAGTTTGTCTTCAATAGATGAAATTATCTTATGCAAATTTCTTCCGATTAAGAAAGGACAGTCGACGATACGTGGACAGTAGAAAAAAGTAGGGTTGATGGGATATGTAATAGAAAAGAAGAAAGAGAAAAGCTAACCATGAATGTATCGTTTATTAGTCTATACAAATGAAATTTTAGAAATAATTGACAGTCTTTTAGAAATCGAACAATGTAAATAGTTGCTGCATTGAATTATCTTATATATTTATATACAAATTTATATATCTCTAAATAGTGTGTATGCCAGTGTTTGTACGCATCTGCAAGACAAATTTTTTTCTATAGGTTTATTCTGTTGTATATAGTAATGCGCACATTCAACGATAATGTATATATTTATATACATAGTATATCCAGTATATTGAAGTGTATTCACATATGAAGGTACAAATATAAGACATACTGTATATACACGAAAATATAGTATATATTAATACATGTATACACAATATATGTATATACAGTATAGACAGTATATACTACGTATGTATATAGGGAATAGACATATTTCTATACACGTACATTATGATCTTGTAAGTTGTATACTCTGTTTATTTGCTAATGTATTTTTTTTTATTGCAAAACCTTATCGATTTTATTCAGCTACTTAAAAACTTCCTTTGTTTTTTTTTTCTTTTCGCTTATTTTCAGGAAGAAGACATGGAAAATAAATAAAAAAAAATATGTAACATCTAGCTGTAATTAAGCTAAATTGAATTTATTACGTATTAGCTTGCCCGTTTCCTGTAGACAAGGGGAATTAAATTCACTTTGAATAGGCCTTCTTCGGATACGTCATGCAGTAACTAAATCCAATGCCGTATACGACGGGAAAAAATACTCGCTTTTATAGGCCTTCTTATATATTTTATGTATGATGGGTAAACATGTATGCGACTTTAGAATACGGATAAATGGAATATACGTGGACTAATTATCGACTTCTTTCAAATAATTAGCATCATATAGAGAGTAGACGATACAGCTGTCTTCTGCGATATTCTTGTTTCCTTCCTGTCAAAGTCCAGGTAAGGAGCACTTTATACGCTGTTGAATACATCATATTCATCAGCTATCTCTATCCCATTCTCAGCCTCTGTCTCTTTCTATATCTATCTATCTACCTTTCTGTCTCTCACTCACTCTTTTTCTCCCACTCATTCGTTTTATTTCAACTCTCTCTCTCTCTCTCTCTCGCTTACTCGCTCGCTTCTATCTTTTTCTGTCTACAAACCTATCTAGCTGTCAATCGACGTATAGTACATATATATATATCTATATATTATATATATATATATGTCTACAAACAATTACGTATATAAAGATAAAAACTACATTTACATCCTCTCTCTCTCTCTCTATATATATATATATATAAATATATATATATAAATTTTATATATATTTATCCTGTATATATAGAATATATAAGTTAATATTAATTTACGTTTTTTTACTCATGTTTATACATATTTTGTATCATAAAGAGTTACATGTCCCAGATATCTGAGAGTTTCTTCAGAAAAAACGCACTTTTATGAGAAACGTAATAAAAAATGACATTGTATACCCTTTCTTTCCAACCCTATTGAACAATTGAAAAATATATATATTTATAAGTTATATTGAAGATTATCTTTTCAGAGCTCGAAACTAAATATTTGCTCATTTATCAGAGCGCATGCGCATAAAACTTTGACTTTCCTTCACACAAACGCATTTAAAGTTCGAGCAGGCGCCTGCCTATACGGCCGCAGTTTGTTACAGTAGCAGCTGCATGAGAAAGATTTTTTGAATTTATTTTATTTCTACGGCTACATAGAACGGAAAATTTTTTCATCGATTTCCCTTACTGTGAGCGCCTTTTAAGAGTAAGTCAACAATAAGAAATTCACTGTGTATTATACGTGTATTCTTATACACCTACAGGCCCTGATCGATGGATATTTAGTATTGTAAAATAGAAAAAAAAGTTACACGGAAGGATGTTAGCATACGGAATACTATATATTCTTATAAATTTGATTGCTGCTAATGAAAGGGAACCAATCAAAATAGGTGTTCTGTTGCCGGAAAGTTCAGAAGATTTCATTTATCATCAACGACACAGCTCTCCTTTGGTTAGAGCCGCTATATCGCTAGCAGTTGATTCAGTCAATAATGATCCATGGTATATCTTTCATGATAAATACGAATTCGAATTACTTTGGAAAGACACAAAATGTGATGATACCATTGGGCCATTGGCAGCCGTAGATCTAGTTTATACCGAAAGAGTAAAAGTGCTTATAGGACCAGTATGCGAATTTGTCGTAGCTGCCGTGGGTAGATATGCCACAATTTGGAAGACTCCTGTTATCACAGCTGGAGGAGCAGTTTCCAATTTTGGAAATAAGACTAAATATAATATATTTACAACATATTTTACTTACAAAGATTTGGCCAATTGGTTTGTCACAATTATGGAAAAGTTTAACTGGAACAGGATGTTATACTTACTCTTTATTGGAGGCAAAGCCAAGGCAGAGACAGGAAAGCAGCAGCTGTTCGTTTGTGAAGCTATCCATGAAGTTCATAGAAAAAATTTACAGATGAAGAATCGAAGTTTAGGTGAACATCTCAATGTGTATAAGATTCTAGACAGTGAGGATTCTAGACTGTGGGATTTGGATCTAATATTTAACGAAGTAATTAGGAAGAAAGCCAGAAGTAAGTAATATTCGTTGTTGACCCTAAATATTAGAACGTAAATGTCCGTAAGTAGCTCTAAAAGCATTCGTAACTAAGGAACTAACACCTTTCTAATGTCACGCAGCCCGAGGTTAACATTATAGTATCATATTATTACATATAACTTTGCATAAATCTCCTATTTCTCTCAAATCTCCTTATGAAAGACTACTATCTGTTTCTAGGTCTGTGTTTCGACCGATAGTACAATATGAAAGAGAATTTTTCTCAAATCTGTTCAGGGTGGGGATTGAATTGCTAATTGATCGAGAATAGAAATTTATCAAAGACCCGGCGTAGCGTGTATAAAAGATCGTGTATTGAATTAATAGAACGCGAATTAACCAAGTGCGCTTAACGACCATGAGATTTATTAGATAAATATTAAAAAAAAGACCAGTGAAAAGAACACTAAGAAATTAATTTCCGTAGATGGGTCGACACCTGTCGTTCCTTCGGAAATTCTCCCTAACAACTAGTCCTAAGCTCCCCTACTACTTACTCTTATCATCACGTGACATTCTCAACTATGTACAACTAGTAAACACGTTATACACCAATTGTATAAACGTATAAATGTATAAAATTTTTCTCCGTCTAAACATTTAGCTGGTGTCAATAAGTTTGTTTATTTAAATCCCACCTGTCTTAACGTATTATGTGGACCAATATATTAAATTGTTAAAAATGAGAATCTACAAACACGTTTGATATAACTCTTACGTTTATAATCATAAAATAATATTAATAACAATTTTAATAACATTACTATTTGTAATAGTAATGATAATAACAATATACTGAAAGTAAAAAGGAGCAGTTTTTTAACTAGACCTTTAGAAATACTTTATCAATAACTTAGCGATGGTTTTTAAATAGAAATTTGTTGACAATCGTCTAAAGGTCGTAATCTCCTCAAATCTTTCACTTCATTTTCTTTCTTTAACTTCACTTAGTATGTTTAGTCATCTGTCAATCGAAAGCCTGCAGTTATAAAATTTAAAAAATCAAAAACGTCACTTTTCAGCAATTATAGTTACCAGGTAGGAGGGAAATAGAAAACTTTTTATTTTTCTCTCTTTTTTGTCTTCATTGTTCAATTGTTCCTGTACTTTTTATACCTCTTTTTTAGTTTATTCTACTTTATTTAACTATACGTCTACTACCTAGGTTTTTTTTCTCTCAATCGCTTTCACTCTTTAGCTGTCTATTTACAAACAGAAATAGGGGCACTAAGGGGGAAAAATGGTTCGCTTATTTTATAAGAGTCATCTTTCTAATTTCGCTGAGTCGTATAAGTAAAAAGCTGAGATATTTTTGATGTCGGTCTTCCTTTCATTACACTGTTATATAGCGTTCCTTCCAAGTTTCGAAGACGAAAAAATGATGGATAGGGAATATAAGCCCTTTGAAGCGTGCTACACTATACGACTTAATTATCGTCTATTGTCTATATATAGGTTCTCATCACGTGGTTTTCATGTATAAACTACAACGTCAAAAGGCTGTTGACCGTCTGGTGTAAATACTAACGTAAATACTAATTTTAATAGAGATTAATAAAACTTTTGATTTGTGAAAGTTTGCCGTCAACGCCAAACTATTAGTTTCCCAAAACTTCGCCCCAGGAAAAATACTAGAAATCGACATACATTATATTGTTTTATTACGTATATAACCTTCATCCTCCGACATTTTTATCTCTAGTAGTCCAGACGCGCGTAAAGAGCAAAATCTCTCTAAAAGTTCGTATCTATAAATGGGTAGCATATAAATTAAAAAAAAAACCTTGATAAAAATATAGGCCGAACATATCAAATTTAACTTTATGTTTGTCTACTCTGCACCTCGTCAGTCATTACAGGGGAAAACTTTCTACTTTTACATTTCCTCGTACTCTCATCTCTAGTCTTTCGACTGCATACCGCCTTATGTAAACAAAACTAGCGTTTACACTTTCGTCCGCACGTGTATTTTATTAAAAAGGAACGAGAAGACCATTCTACACCTCGATAATAGCTATATGCCAAAAAACCGCCACTCTATAATTGTTTATCGCCAGCGAAGGGTAGTAGGTTGGAGAGAGCAGGGAGATCCTAAGATAAAAATAGGCCTTACATTAGACTACTGCAAATCTCTCTCCCTTTAGCTTTACTTTCTCTCGCTCTCTCTTTCAGTTGCTCGTTCGCTTACTTTTTTCTCTATTCTCTTCATCATTTGTTATTCTTTATATGCATCTATTTCTTCTTTTAATAGTATATATACGCGCAGGCTTATACCAGATTTATATATAGTCTACAGTATATTACTCTATATATACTAATATATATATATATCTACAAGTTACGTATTATGATGGTAATATACTGAACATGTATCATCTCCAAAGAGATTTACTTTTTTATGTCTGCAGATTAATTTATTTATCGTTTTAAGCTTCCTAATCTGTAGTTGTTAAGAGAGCAGCCCGTTTTACTTAAGTCTCTAGAACTGTAGGTAACAATAGATGAAAACAAAATAATACAAAAGTAGAGGAAAAAAGACATAGAAAACAGCATTTCCGGAGATATGTATCGGATGACCTGGTAGGCCTATGATGATGCATTCATTAAGTCGTCAAGAAAATATCCTATTTCACGAAGACGATTATCTATATGACACCTGTAACATTTCCTGCGATAAATAATGAACAGCGACAGATATATACGAGAAATGGTTCGAACCGTCAAATATCGTGAATGTTACGTCATTTTATCGAATATTTTCTGTCAGCTATAATCTTACTCAATCAAGTCAAAAGGAAAGAGAAATATAGGTCGAAAAGTGCAGTCGGCCATGCACTAGGACGAGCAGATGGTGAGGTAAGGTAGCACAGGCGATAAACCATAGAGGACAGATAGATAGAAAATAAAGAAATAATTTCGCCTTAAATAAATCTAATAAGGAAGTATGCAAAACTCTGATTAGTAGCAGATGTTTTCTGACGAATCGAATTAGATTAGGTACCACCTGAGAAGTTCGGTATGTGGGATGCCGATAAACATCGCTCGTTGTTGCTTTTTCTTCCTTTGCGGCTAGCTTATAATAAGAGTATAATTAGCAAAATGTGCAAAGCCCAGGGCGTTGAGTTGATAGGAAACTAATCCGGGATTTATAAACATCTCTCGTATGTCATTCATTTTCATCCCCTTTACCCCTCCCTTTCCGGGACTATTTGTAGCTTCTGTTATATTGTTAATTAAAAACAAAAAACACTTGGGTATTGTTAACCCTCTACAACCTTGCCAATCCCTACTATTTCACTAGTTTTTTCTGCTATTGCTTTAATGCCACGCCTACTTTTGTGTCGAGAAAAATGGTCGTCTGGGCCTAGTCCACTCGAAAATCGAAAGCTGATCGATAGAAAATCAGTACGAAGCTCTTTAGCTCTCGTAGATTATACGTAAACCTATATCGCCTACTTTTTTCTCTCTCCTATAGTGCCGCTCTAAAAGCTAAAACACGGGAAGTTTGCTACAATAGAAATTTCCTTATTTGGCGGCGATTAATTTGTGCTAGTCACGAAATGCAGCCGTCATGTTGCCCTTTCACGCGGAAAGTATACGTTTTGTTTACACGGCGAGTCAAACTAAAAAAGAACGACGGGGCGGCGAGATATGAGATTGTGTAATTATTTGTTATGCATAGGAAGAGATTGATTATGGTGGTCGCAGAAAGGCTAACACAGCAACTGTCAAGAATTTTAACACTATTGCAAATACTAGCAAAAACATATCCCTTCCTCATTTTCTCAAATCCTTTTTATTATCTTACAAGTTTACAGCTAGATTTTAAATAGGCTTTTCTCTCTATTCTCTATTTTCTTTCATTTCTTTCTTTCTTTCTGTTTTCTTTCTTTATTCTCTAGCTCTCTCTTTAATTTGCCACTGCCGAGTTTTGTGCACGATCGTCAAACTAAAGGCGTCTTATTTGCCTAGATTAATATGTATGCTGAGCGACGCCTCCGCTAGTTTGTCATTCGTTGTTAATTGACGGGCGGGTCAATTATCGAGAGACCCAAACACTCAATTTTCAAACCGTTCCTTCATTAATCAACCTTTTTTTTGTCTCATATTTCCGCACTCAGATCGTGTGTAGTTTCAACTGCAATCTTTTTATATTATAACTTTAAAGTAATTTCGACATAAATAGCCAATAGAATTTCCGCTAATTATTCTTAATTATCGATCGCAGTATAACAGTTTCAATAGATTTAGAAGAGAGATGGAATACCGTTTCCCTATGACAGATTTACGCACAAATCAATGTTAAATAAAAACGAAAAAGTATAAAGCAGGCGTAAAGCAGGGTTAAAAGTATAAAGGGTCAAACAATAAAAAGGTCGAGTGATTTCCTTTAAATCCGGATTTAAGATAATGGCGAAATATACTTGATATGTCCGTATTATGGCTTATAAAGATATAAGTCAAGTATTTAAAAAATTGGATAATAATGATTGCATGTTTTTATGCCTTTTTTATGATACAATTCTAAATTTCGATAAACTTTTCAATCAGTAGCGAAAAATGATATTTACGCTACCATTAACTCTCGACGGTCAATAACATTTACAATTCCATCCATATTAGTTAAACAAGACAGTCACGTGATTTAATAATGAAAAGGAAGTTTTTGAAAAGTCTATTATATCAGTTTCTTTTTATCTCACATTTACAGTTGTCAACGTATGCTTTAATGCCCAAGATCTCCGCTTCTTTATGCTGAAGGCGCACGAATATGGCATGACAAATGGAGAATACGTTTTCCTCTATGTCGACTTGAGCGGAATGTAAGCCTTATAGCGACATCTGTCGCCCTTGTTTTCAATCTCATCCCAACCTCTCCTTTCTTGTTTCCTTAAACCAAAAAGTTTTTAAAAATCAGTACAGCAAACGGGGAAAAAATATGGAGAGATGCTAACGATACAGATGCGAACAATGAAAAAGCCAAAGAAGCCTTTAAAGCTTTATTAGTTGTGGCCATAGGCAATCCGGAAAAAAATGCCAAATTCTCAAGAGCGGTCCTTGACAAAGCAACCGAACTGAACAAAGGAAGTTCAATCGACCTACAAAAAGAGGTTCTTTTCCAAATATAAAGAAAAAAATATACTTTATATCTATTTAAATTTTACCCAATAAAATTAAACAAGTGTTATAGAATATTATGTTTTCCAGCCGAACACGGATTTGATTCCGGCGTTCTACGATTCCATTACATTGTATGCTTTGGCTTTAAATGAAACCATGGCCAATAAAAACGATATCAATGACAATAAAGAAGTCCAGAAAAACTTAAAAAATCGTACTTTCCAGGGTAAATGATACGGATATTAAACTAAGAGAAAACCTTTTTAATCGTATTTCGTTTAGGTATTACACGAACTGTTAGTATGGATGAAAAGGGAGACAAACATGCTGATTACCTTCTGCTGGATATGAACGAAACCGGAGTTTTTAAGACAGTGGCTCATTACTTTGGAAATGAAAAAATATATGGGGAGACAGCGCAAATTCTCTGGCCTTCCGGAAGTGAAGCACCCCCAGACGTTCCTAAATGCGGCTTCGATGGATCCAAATGCGTAAAAAAGAGTTCGTTTAGTCTTCTTCATATATTTAATTAGTCTCTATAAATATATATATATATATATATATGCTGTATATATATGTACTTGTATAATTAATGGAACAATCTTTTTTTAAAAATAGAACCGTTAGATATGTATGTGTACGTCATTATTGGAGTGATGTTATTACTTACGCTGGTTATAATTGTGGCTGTTTTCATTTTTTACAAGTCAGTAATTTTTTAGGACTAGTAATGAGATTTTTTCAAGCAAACATGTTATAGGTATCGCCAAGATAAAGTTATTCCCGATTCTTTATGGAAAATCCCTTGGGATGAGATTGACTTTGGTGGCAGGGACCATGGAAAAGCAGCTAATATTAAGGTATTTTAGAACCATTCAATAGTGATTAGTGGTTATCTGTAGATGAATCAAATGCTTTAGTCGTAGTTTCTTATTTCCTACTTTTCTGATATTTTTAGCATGCAGAATCCATCAGCAAATTATCTGAAACCTCTTCAATGATAAGTTATACGCTTTTGAATACAAAACCACAAACCTTCACGAAAGTTGGGAATTATAAGGTATCTTTTTTTGGCGTCCAATCTTGAAATAATTTAACAAATCCACTAGATGACGCTAAATTATGGCGTATTTTTTTTCTTTTTTAGAGTACTTTGGTTGCTATTAAGAGGGTTGGAAAAGCGGTTTCTAATCCACCCCGAAGAGAACTGCTACAAGAGTTCAAAAAAGTATGCTTAATAATATTAGTAAATGATTTCTACTAAATTATTATTCTAATCAATATTCTTCTTTTTCTGTCAACTTGAAATAGATGAAAGATTTACAAAATGATCACGTTGCCCGGTTCATCGGTTTTTGTATAGACGAGCCGAATCAATGCATATTATCCGAATACTGTTCAAAAGGTAGTCTGGAAGACGTTCTAGAAAATGATCAAATCAAATTAGACGCGATGTTTAAATTCTCTTTAATTCAGGATATCGTAAGGGTATGTTTTGTCATATAATGAGCCCTTATAAACACGATAATTATTTGTGAAATTACTCTACCTTTTAGGGAATGTCCTGCATTCATAGTAGTGAAATTAAAGTTCATGGCAATTTGAAAAGTTCGAATTGCGTAGTAGATAGCAGATTCGTACTGAAAATAACTGATTTCGGTGTACATTCTCTTCGTGTGAAGAAATCTCAAGAAGATGAGGACAATTTTGCATACTTCAAATGTAAGGATATGCTATATCACTTTATTTACGTATATAGAATATAACGATTTCATTTTTCAGCTAAATTATGGACCGCTCCAGAGCTATTAAATAACCCTGCTGAAGAAGTAACTCAAAAGGGCGATGTATATAGCTTTGCTATAATATGTCAAGAGATAATTTATAGAAGAGGAGTATTTTGGCGACAAGATGAAAATTTTGAGCCCCAAGATATATACAAGCAAGTGAAAGAAATGAAAAAACCTTACTTTCGCCCTACTCTAGATTCGATAGATAGCATGCTGGAGAGTGACAAAAATTCAGAGAGTTATCAAGATTTAGCAAATATTATAGAGAGATGCTGGTCAAACGACCCGTTTGATAGGCCCGATTTTCACACACTCAAAACGTCATTGAGGAAGATAAATAAAAGCGGAAGTGACAATATCCTTGAGCAATTACTGTCTCGTATGGAGCAATATGCAGAAAATTTAGAATCACTCGTGGAAGAACGTACTGCTGATTATCTTGAACAGAAAAAAAGAGCAGAAAATCTTTTATACATGATGCTGCCTAAATCTGTTGCAATGCAACTAATGAAGGGAGAAAAAGTTGAAGCAGAAAGATTTGACCAAGTAACTATTTATTTTTCGGATATTTGTGGATTTACAAAATTATCAGCGGAAAGTACGCCGGAGCAAGTTGTTACGCTTCTGAATGATTTATACACAACTTTTGATTCGATTATTAACAACTTTGACGTCTATAAGGTAAGTTCACTAATTTAATATACAAAGCGTTAAGCGGTCACTGCAAAAATAAATAATCTATTAACAGGTTGAAACCATAGGCGACGCTTATATGGTCGTCTCAGGCTTACCTAAAAAGACAGACTTTCATGCCAGAGAAATTGCACGAATGTCGTTAGCTTTATTAAATGCTGTTAAAGCTTTTAAAATCTCACATAGGCCCAACGATCAATTAAAACTTCGAATAGGATTACATACAGGTATTTGATTAACAATACTTTGTCCTTTGCATATTGTATCAAATTTCTGATTAGGTGAAGTATTAGCCGGAGTTGTTGGATTAAAGATGCCAAGGTACTGCTTGTTCGGCGACACAGTCAATACAGCCAGTCGAATGGAAAGCAATGGCCAAGGTATTTATGTAAATATACACTTTTCGAATAAGGGAAAACGCTTTATTTTCTTTTAGCTCTGAAGATTCATGTAAGTCCATGGACTAAATCCGAACTCGACAAATCTGGAACATTTATTACCGAGAATAGGGGACCAGTCGAAATGAAGGGTAAAGGAGCAATTAATACTTTTTGGTTAATTGGTGAAATGAGCGAAGAAAATCCTGATTTTGCTCCACCGGATATGATAAATATTAATGATTCCATCCACAAAGGACGGTTATTGCAAAATGGTCACGTCGGTAAAAACTAATTTTCCGGCATTTATATCTTGAAGGCGGATTTCCCTGTACACATATTGCCAAAAAAACACAAACATTTGCAGCTTTTAAATAAACTGCTTTTACTGCTGTGATATGTACAATAACGTCATTATTCCACGAGCATTTACGAAGCTGTTAATGAATAAATATGTTTATAAAATTCTCAGAATTTTTAAAACCTGCATTAGAAAATATTTATTTAAAATATGATATATAGTATTGTATTAAAAGCTTTACCTAATGGATAAACAAGACATATAGACATATAAACATTTCTGTACAACGTGTTCTGGCATACTGAAGTCTATATTTTGAGATAATTGAAGTAATAAGCATAATCTTTATATGTATTAAAGTATTCTTTTTCATTTTTACTAACAGTATATCAATGTATTAAATGTTGAAAAAATTATGAGACTTGTAATGTAAATTATAGGCAGTAATACATACGCTAAATAAGTATGTTAGCTGTATAATTATAATTAAATACAGTATGTACATGAAACATATAATTATATATATACTGTATATATATGGCGTACATATTTTTAAAAAGCTTTTATTTATATATAAATATATATATATACTGTGTATATATGTTTAAATATAAGATTGTTGTGAATAAATAAATAAACGATGCTATTGAAAATTTAAATTACTCCCAAGGTATTTAATATTTATAAATATTTTCTATGAGTAAAAATTAACACAATTCGCTAAAATTTAAATAAAAAACGCTTTTTCATATATTTTAAAAGGAATACATAGAAACATCATTTGTTTGTCTGATTATTCCAAATTTATTTTATTGATAAGGTGCTGAGGGACTAACACCATAATAAGGTGGAGGTCTCTGGCAGGGAGAAGTATCTATTAAGCTTTGCTGTAGTTCTGCAGTCGTAAAATTGTTTGAAGTTGTGAACCTTTGGGGATCTGATACCAAACCATAACTTTGAATATTTACTGATTGAACTGCTTTTTGAGCATTAGGACCATGGAGCAAATACATGCCAGGCTCTAATTCTTGGACAGAAATTCCAGCAGAATCGGTCGAATTTGATACTGAAGACGATTGACCTTGTAACGGGCTGCTCACTTCTGAGTCTTTGGTCGAGCTCAGCTTATAAATAAGATATATAAGGAGAAATAATAGACCAAGAAGAACTAAAATTGAGATTGGATGCTTGAGCGTATCCTCAAAGCGCAAACTTTTCGAACTAAAATTAAATTTCTAATTACAATTTCCTCTCAAATCGACTAGAGAATAATAAAAATCTATAATTATTTTCTTAAATATTCTTACTCACTTGTCTAATATCCGATCTTGATCGGGTTCATTAAATCTTAATTCTTCCATTAAGGCAATGAATATAACTTTACTCAAAGGAAAAATAATGTACTCTATTTCTGTGCTAGTCTACGAAAATAATTTCAATGATTATGAACATAACTGTTGTGCTAATCAATTTAAATACAGCTGGTGTGTATTTCTTTGATTCATTTATTTATTTACGTTCCATTTTTCAGTTTTATTTCTTGGTCAACTTTTTTCCTGCATTTAATTATATATACAGTATATATTTCGTTAAAAAATTCTACTTTTGACCTTCAAACCCTTTTTTTCTCCCTATTTCCTAGAGGTTACGCTTCATCTCCATTTCTTCTCAAACTTCCTCTCTTCCTCTTATCGAGTCAATTCATCTTTATAATCCGACGCTCTCTCTCTCTCTCTCTTTTATCTTATCATTTATTAACGACTGCGTGTAAATATAGCATTATCTAAGGTTTTTTTTAGCCCATGAAATAGGCCTTCTCATGATCAAACATATCGATAGTCTATATGTGATATACTGTAAACATATACACACATTTATAGTGTATAGATATATTCTTTTATCATTAAAAAATGAAAAGAAAATTAACAAATAGAAATTATAGCAGAAACTCAGAAGGAGGACAAATTTTCTTAGAAAACAAGAAATTTCTTCAAACGAAATGCTGAAAGCTACAGGAAAAATTAGATTTTTACAACTTTTCAGAGTCTAAATACCCATTCCTATTGAATTAGCTGTGTTAAGATTTTTATTCAAATAATTGCCATGACAACACAAAAAAATGATATCTCTTATCAAGTTCTGCCTAGTTATAATAAAATACTACACTTTAACTATTTTATATAACATATAAGCTTTAGATATTACATTAAATTATATAATAAAGTCCTTTTGGTTTACTATTTTTTATCATATTTGTATTGAATACTGTATACACGAACATAACTTCTTATTCAGGTCACATGTTGTTATTCTAATACAAAAAAGGAATAAACGTAATTTCCTGCTATCGGTAGAGCATTGAATTTTCATAGGGAAAGGACTCTAGAAAAGAATCTAAATTTATTTTGAATAGAATCTTATTTTTCAAATGAAAAGAATGATTTTCAAAGCAGTTGTTACTTAATTTGTTATTAAGTAACTGCAAAACGCTCCTCTTCAATTGATTTATGTCTACACATTTGCTCTCTTCGTTTATAAACATATTACATATGAGAATATATATATATCGCGAAGAGTAAATAACAAAATACACAAATCATCATATATTTTTGAATAATATCTTCAATAAGCTCTTTTTTTTGGTTTTTTACTTATTTTTTTACATCTTTGGGATTATAATGATAATAATGAAAAAGAAAAATTTAACGAAATTTTTAACAAACACTATGACATCTAAACAAATTATTCATTCGGCGCAAACAATTACGAATACAACTAATTCCTCTTTTTGTTTCTCCGTGTATAATCCTTCCTAATTCTTCTTTGTTTTTTCTGAAGTTCTGAATTTGGGATCCAATTAGAAAATTGCGGGTAAATTCCTTAGCGAAATTTAAATAATCTTTTCCATTATCTTGATTGTTTAATTCTCCTGCAATTAAGAAAAGAAATAATTATAAATAAACTTGTTAAAGTTAAAGACAAAAAGTTATTAAAATGAAACTATTCCTAAATGTCAACGGTATAAGCTTAAAGGTGATAGGAAGGAAAGTTTGAAATCAATCTATTCCTAGAAAATGTCCAATAAAATGAAAAAAATGATATATTTAATATATCTGTACGAAAGAGGAATGTTCTACGTTATACGATTAGAAAATATGAAAGGAAGGAAAAAGATATTAGCTTTCTGTATCAGAACATGTTTTACCGTTATTCATCTCCCAATCGAATCGCACGGCCTGGACTCGAACCGATTTTAGGCAGAGAAGAGCTAAAGCGACATGAAAGAATATGAAGAGCTTCATCGTAACTGAATAATAACCGTGTATAGATCCAAAAAGAATTCGGTTTACTATCCAATCAAAAATTGAGAAGTTAAGCTATAAACATTTTTCTTTCTTTCTTTCTTTCAATATGTTTTTTTCTCTTTTTTTTGTTTATTATTTATTATTCCTGTTTCCAAATTTATTTTCAAGTAAACTATAAGTTTTACTTCTCTTCAACGTAGAATATTCCAGTCAACTTGATCTCTCTTTTATTTTCAATACTTTATTCTTAATCTTTTTAGGCAATATGCACCGCGTTGGAATGACGAATGCAGTTTACTTCCACTCTTATACTTTCTTCCCAGCGGCCATATTGCCGATTTTTGAGGTAGCTTAGTAACTACCCTAAGTTTGATGGACTTCATCAGACGTAATATATTGCATTTCTCGCTTTCTTCTTTTCTATTGTACATAAATATTTGAGTACTGATGCTCCAAGATAGAACTTTTTTGAGGGTAGAATTCAACTTTTTAATACCCTACACTATAAATTATTCATTATTTACGTTATTGAAATTAAACGAAGTGTGTTTATATACACTTATATTTGTTTTGACTGGAAATTTATTATGAAAACAGCTTCCGAAGTAGAGCTTACTTAACCCACTCATTTTTTAAGACCGGTTTTCCAGATCAATAATTGCTTCCTAATCGTTATTCATCTATTGATAGAATTAAGACTTAATTAAAACAACTTAATATTGTAAAGACATCCCTCTGTTCATTTTACAAGTAGTTTTTCATTGTGTCGAATGGTTAATGCGTTATATGATATTTATGAAGATTACCCCAAGACTTGGCTTTAGTCTTTGAGGCATTTCTCGTAGCTGTTTATAGAGTTGCAATACTGACAATTTTAAAAATAGAACAGCATTAAATTGTATAAATGTATAGGAACAGAACTGATACTATTAAAAACGTCATTTTCATTTTTATGTAGTTATATTTAATTAATAACTCTTTTTTTATTAGTTGACAAAAGTCTTTAATTAACCCATATTAACAATTTATTCTCTTATAAAAAGAGTAGCTGTTGTTCTAAAGTTATACAATACAATCAATCATCTAGTTGAAATAAAAATAAGGTAATTTAACGATAAAATAAAGACAATAAAGTAGCAGGTAAAAAAATATGTTAGTTCACGTAGGAATTCGAACAGCTTTATAGAATTATAGTTAGACGCTTGAATATTGACTTCTTCTTAGCTTACTCCGTACACATTAGTACAATGAGGTAAACAATCGTCATTTATTGGTTCTTCGTTCCCTTATATATCCATCTTAAGGTTTGTTACTAAGCTTAATACTATAAAGCTTTTAAATTTTCCAACGCCACTAAATATAGAAGCATCTTCTTAAACTAACTTGATGTTTGAGTAGGAAGGCTATATAAAACAACGTATAAAAGTTTTTTTCTCATAAGAAGGTCTTTTTTTTATTTTTAAATCTGCAATATCCTTAAATAAGGTGACAATTTCGTGATAATTCATAATTTCTCACACTGTAATTTTCGATACCATTTTCTTAAAAGCTTAGATGCTCCTAGTAGTTAAAGAACCTTCATTTGCCTCGTCTACGTTTAACTTAAAAGATTAATAATTAATAGAGACTAATATTTTATAAATGAATATTATTTCCTGTCTTTTTTCCCCCCGATATCTTCCTTTTTAGTAAGTTAGTTGTCACTCGTACAAACATATATATTAAATCTATGAATGTATCTTTTTGCTCTCTTATTGAATACTTAATAAAATTCCCAATAAGACCACATCTCATCTTTTAAAAACAAATAATCATAAAAGAACCAAATTTATCTTTAAGTCTATTATATCGTATTTTATTAAGAAGTGACGACTGTGCTGTCATCTATATGATATGTATACTTTATATATATATCTTTATATAGAGGCGACACCTTGTGTTTTCCTTTCTTACAAACTTTATTACACAGACAAGAAAATCTCTGTGATAAAAGTGTCCGAAATTTCTATTGTCTATACGTATTCGTCATCGTTATCGATTAAGGGTTCGTTGGTATTTACATTCCAAGTTTTCACTCGCAGCCAAAGAACTCCCTTATTAACTGTATACTTTCTTTTCAGGTAAGAATAAGTTACAATTGAAATAATCAGTAGAAGCATAATAAACGAAACGATAATTACTATTGTAAGCTTAAAATCACTCATATGACTTTTATGACTCTCTAAATTAGTTGAGAGTTTCTGCCGAATTGTTCCCTGAAAGTTTGACGCTACGCATTCGATTTCAAAACAATTTCCGCAAAATGATGCTTGGGTCAGGTACGGTTGACGACGTTCTATAGACTTGGACGTTGAACCGTAAACGATACCGTCGCACAAAAAGTAAATGGCTGCTCTGGGTGCTGCTGCAACGATACAAGTTGCACAACTATCAGACGAGTTATAAAAGGCAGGAACAGCAAATGAAGGTTGCGAACATTGGAAGGAATTATATAATAGTTCATTTCTCGTTCCATTCACGGCGGCACAATCCAATTGAGCCTTGAGTTTATTCCTTAAATTCGTCTCCATCAACCAATTACTCTGACAGTCACACAGTAACGGGTTATTACTTATTAGAATACTCGCCGTCGGTAGTAATAGTTTCACAGCTACTGGAACGTTCGTCAACAAATTTCCGGAGAGATCCAGCGTCCTTAAATTTTTTAAATTAACGAAAGCCTCTAGCTGCACGTATTCGATAAGATTTTCGGAAAGATTTAATTCCTGCACGGAAGTTAGCCGACTTAGATCCTCGTTATTAACGGAACGCAAACTACAGTTTTTCAAGAAAAAGCCACGCGTAACAGATAGACTGGAAAAATTCGAAATGATGCGTAGGGAACCGATAGGATTATGATTCAAATAGATGTAGGCCGATTTGACGCGGCGTAAAAACCGCAGGTCGTTAATACTGTCGTTATCCAACGTTAAATCGTTCAAATAAAATCCTTCGAGAAAACTTTGACTAATCGAAAAAAATGGATGAATGTTCGAGGCGGACAAAACATCTAGATGATCCCTTAAAGGCTCTATTCCCTTTAGAGTTGATAAGCCAGTTGCGTCGATGGCAAGTATTTTCAGTTTCAATTTTGCGAACACGTTCTCATCAGTCCTCTTCAATTCTTTGTTACCTTGCAAATCTAGAATCTCTAAATTCTCTAACATAGACAACGAATTATCCAAACGTCTAATTCGGTTGTAAGACAACGACAACTTTCGAAGGCGAGAGAGAGTTGCCGGAAGAAAATCTGGAATCTTTTTGATTTGATTACGATCCAGCTCAATCGTTTCTATGGCAGGTGTATCTTGAAAAGCGTCTTTTCTTATTTTCTTAATTCCACAACGTCTTGCCTCAAAAGTTCTTAAATGAGGTAGTTTTGGTAGTCTTCCCAGCACAGGTATATCACTAAACGATAAGTCGAGAGTAGTCACGTTCTTCGGTAAAATGGGGAAGATCTTGTACAAATTTGAAGTTTGGCAGCTGACTTTTATATCTGACCACTCTTCAACGGTAATACATTCTTTGTTTGCAGATACAACTCCAATAAATGTAAAGAAGAGTATCATTGTCATTTGAATGCAAAAGCCAACAATCCTCTTATTATCGTAAAATAAACGAAACAACAGGCATAAAAAAGATCGGGTAGACACCATCTACTCCTTAAGTTTAAGATGAGTCGAGTCATTAGCGAGAAAAACAAAAGACAATCTTCTATTGCCGTCCACAGTCTACCAGCTACCGGCAATCATTCTCGTCCTCTCGGTTTTTATCTATTCGACGCCAACGCCGCCTTCTAAATGTGGCTGTCTCTGCCCTCTCCTTTCGTCTGACACTAGGCCTAAATGACGAACGTGCTGATAGTTTATTATATCGTTCACGTTCAGACTGAGTTGTTAATAATCAAACAAAAAACAAGATTTCTAGACGAACGAATAAGAGCGTAATGAGTATGTCGTAGCGCAATTTGCGCTTTATCCAATTCACCAGACGCTCACACGTTGTAATGAGTGTCTTTTTCCTCTCCCCCCTCTTAAAGGTTTCCTAAGCTGTGACCTTAACCTTCCTAAATTCTCAAACAGAAAGAATATACAGTGCGATGCAGACCGAAGTTAATGGCTCATTAAATGTTCATCATGCAATCGGCGTCGGGAATTGACTATATAGCAATAAACTTCGATCAACGTTTGAGGATTCCTGCTCGTTTTTACGAAAGGGAAAGAAATATAAAATATAAATACATAGTATACAATATTATATCTTTGATTTATTTGAATAATATGTCTTTTTATCTAGTAAAATACTTCGCTTCTGCGCTATCATCGTAATCGCTATACCGAAGAATCATTCTTTATTTATGCAATTCATTTCCTTCTTAATTGTATTGCGTAATAGTTTGTTTACAAATAAAAAAGAGAAAATTCGGTCAACCAAAATAACAATATAAACAAACACTAAAAAGCATAAAACAAGGGCAAAGCGCACAATTGAAGAAGGCTGACTAAGTATAAACAATTATTCGTATTGTCTTACGGATTCAATTCAGGCATTCGGTGATAAAAGTGCCAGTATAATAAAGACAATGTTACTAAGCTATCATATAAATTTCTTACTCTCGATTTCCCTTCTTTCATCTACTATCTGTACAGGTAATTCGTTTCCTTTTGGTTAATAAAGCGTCCATAAAAATTCTGCTCTCTAAATATAGACCTGTTAAGACTACGAAAGAAGCCTAAATACCTTCGATTTTCGCCGCATCTAGAAAATGGATTCTTTACAAAATTCGCATGTGAGTAGGATTCTTTAGAAAAGTAACGTTAAGGGATAAATTTGAGCGACTTTTCCTCTTACCTTTTATAATATTTCCCTTTTTTTACTAAGAGAAAAAGCAATTAATATAAATCAATTACTTAAAGACCATATAGGAGACAAAGGCCACTTCACTTTAACTATAAAAAGAGAAAATTTTACTCGCCTTTACGGCGAAATTCTCTGGTCGTTAAAGTCCGTGAGGAATCGAAAAAACGTTGCCCTAATCCCATCCTACACGTCCGACGTCGTTCGTCCCAGCGTAATTTACTCGGATCGATTAAAAAGTCTAACTCTAAAATTTCGAGCAGTCAATCGCAATGGCACGATAAAGATTCGGGGAAAACTCAATGGAATAAATTCTTCAGTAAAACCAAGAGTTGTCGTCTATTCCCCGAATAAATTACGGAAAAAGAAAAGGTCGATTAACCAACTAACGAAAGCGGAAAGATGTGATTGTAGATTAAAAACCATCATTGTTGATTTGAAAGAGATATTTGAATTCGATTATGCGATACGACCACAAACTGTTAAATTTACATATTGCCAAGGAGAATGTGGAAATTTTATAGAACAGTTCGTTTACTCATTTGCTTACCTTTAAATAATTTAATTTCTTTTTATTTTTGCTCGCTTAGATGTGACACAACAAGAAATGCCGCAATTAGGAACAAACTAAAAGGAAATTTACCGAAAGTGAGATGTGTTGGAACAGCGTACAAACCCTTAAAATTTTTAGTTTTAACTGCCAATGGTAATTTACAATATAGTCATAACATATCTATTAAAAACTTTCAAGCAACTACCTGTGGTTGTTTGTAATTGGTTTCGTTAGTTAGTACAGTATTTTAATTGAATAACTAACAAAATGTTTTATTATCTGCTATTTCCAAAACGTACTAAGACAGCTAACTTCCCAGTTGGAAACAATTGGCATGTTTATAGTATGTAAATTAATCATTTAAAATTCTATGCAAATGATTAATTTCCAATATAGAATCACTTCATAAAATAGTTAGATAGTTTATATTTACATTTGTATATACAATACGTTCTGGTATAAAACTTATATAAAATTAAATATTTAGAGGTTTTATAGTTTTCAAACATGTGTTGAACTCCTTATGAGCTTCATTGTTAACGGTTACTTTCATTTGAAATCAATTTTTACCTGGCGAAACACTCTGAAAGACGCAATACTATGTATAGTGGCGCCGTCTTTAAACTATTCTCTTTGTGAATATTAAAAATTAAACCTCGAAGAATGGTTTCTGGCAAAGGTGTTTGTAATTGTTTTGTCTTTTTCATCTACTTGATTACTGCTATTCAAATTTCGGTGATAACTAGTCTTCCGATTACACCGCTGGCTTGTGGAAATGACACTTTTTGCAAAATTACGGATTATTGCAACAGAGAGAATATTCCTACTTGCTTACCTTGTGAAATAGTTTGTAGAGATCCTACACCTCTGTGCTTCAATTTATGTCCTCATGTTGGCTGGTTTGCACAAGGAAAAACTCAGAATGAGATTGTTAAGATTGTGGATCAACTTGTAGGATTAAAAGTAAAAAATACAAAGACTAATAATAATGCTATCGTTCATGGAAAGGCTACTCTGGTAGTAAGTGGTATTGTTGGAGGGATTTTTATACTCTTATTAATAGGTATTGGTTTAGCAGTTTATGGTATCATAAAATATCTTAAGAAGAAGAAGAAAGAAAAACGAGCAACTTCGACTGGAGTCTTTGCCGATGGCAATGAATGCGATAAAGGTCAACGACAGCCCTGTTTATGAGAATAGGAATTTTTTTTATACGCTAATCCTATTGAGGCTTAAAAGAAAAAATGAAAGTTTATCGTCATTCGTGAAACAAACTTTTTATGATGCCTTATATTTGTTTATAATATATTTTTACTATGTTTAAAGTAATCTAAAGATAGCTAGCTTACGCCTATATTAGTATGCAGTTAGCAAACCGACATAATTATCATTTGTCAAGAACTGTTGGAGAAGGATTGATAATTGTTTTATGAGAGAAAGGCTCGCTAGTTACTCCAGCTATGAACAGTAAACTTCCAGATGAAAATCGAATAAATCTGTCATTAACACATATATACTGTCCTATTTAGTATAAACTAATATTATGAGAATAAATCTTAGATATATTAGTATGTTGTAGTGAGTTTTTTACTCTTTAAACAAAAGCTTTCCATTGCGTTAAACTTAAACTCAGTTTTACTATGTATATACATATCAAGTATATATACATTATTTAAAGCATCGAATCCTAATCTCGGTATTATCATAAGCCTCTAGCCAGTAGATTTAGCATGTCTCAGATGCGTTATATCTGCATTCGTCAGTGCACGGCTGACAGATTCCTCTAAGCAACATTCGGTTATTTTATTTCTCCGGAAGATTTTTGTGTGTTTTTCCCTAATTTTACTACTCACCGATTTTCTCTCGATAACAGCTATATGATATTAAAAATGTGAAAAGTTAGATATACCAATATAACTAAATACTGTATATTGGCTTATAAATACTAAAGACTGTATAGATATTTCTAATACTGAGTAAAAATTTTACATGTCGCCTATATTTTATCGATAGATGCTAAACAAATTTACAAGATTTATCTCTCTTTGCTCAAATCTACTTCCCCGTAAATTCTTTATAAAAGCGAATATTCAATATTTAATTAACGCATTTTCCTTATCAATATTAACAGTTCCTTTTTTAATTTAACTAAGGGAAAAAATTATTAGATATTATCCAGATTGCTACGCTGATAGAAAAAAAAAAGAGAACTTTGTTCTTTTTTATTGTCGAATGCTTGATATTATAGATATACTGCCTTTTATACTAATTAAGAATATTGTTATTGAGCTCTATCTAAAATGAATGAGTTCAAAAAAATTAAATGTAGGAATGTATTGACAATACATTCAAGGCCAGTAATTCTCTAGTGTCGTTTAATTAATAATCTTTTTCGATTAATTAAATTTTATTACATTATCCGATAAATTTAATTTCTAAATAACGTGTTTTTTTGTTTCTAAAAGATATATTTACAATTTCTCTCTTTTCTAAGAAATTTATCCTTTTGAAAGCACTTAAAAATATTTGGTGTTAAAATTTAATAATAATGACATTCCCTATATTTAAATTAGTAAATTTTGTGTTTCTCATATTACAAATTCTTTGGCATTTTAAAGTTGACTGTGATGAAAATCCGAAATATGGTAAGTACTAAATGGTCATAAGACTGAATGCTTTTGTTTTTTCAATATTCTTAATTTTTGTAGGTATGGAAAAGAAACATTTCTTTGTGTCAGTTAATGAAACCATAATCTTACATTGCCGCGTACATATAAAGGATAAGCCTGAAACTACACATTTTGACTTCAATAAAAAGAGGTAAAAATTTGCTATAATTGACATCCTGTCCTCCTTGAAACGTTTTTCAATCAAGATTGAGTCCAACAAGTTCAAATTCTACCCATATAACGTATTATAAGGAGCACGCACTCTACGACGATTCAGGAGAATACTCATGCAGTAGTGAACATATCATCTCAAGTTATACAACAGTAAAGTAGTTTTTTCTTACGATGTATCACTTTCGTATTTCCTATTTAGATTAGTTAATTTTTATTAAAAATTTCTTTTTTTAAGGTCGACGTAAACTGCAAACCGCCACCACTTACAGACTATTCCTGTTTTTTTTTTGATATGAACTTTTTAGAGTGCAACTTTAACCTGGATAACAACTGTCCACGTGAACATATTCTTCAAACGGATTACACTATTGAATGGAAAAATCAGTAAGGATTTAATAACTAGCTGCTTTGTCTTTGTCTATTGAAAATTCAATCACTTAATAGTCATGGCAAATGGCTTCGCCAAAATCTATCCAGCTCAATTTCAAATCATAGCTTTCCTTTGGAAGGTGCTCAACTTTTTAATAATTTTACTCTGAAACTTACAACGATATATCCTCTACCTCTCAATAAAGTGCAAAGGATATACACTTTTTGGATAAATTCTTCTCTGGGTACGAAACAATCATCAATTATTAATATTTACTGTAAATTTATTCCTTTTGTAGCGAAGCCTACACAGATTAAAAGTACTACTGCATTTAATATTACAAAAAATTCTGTGAAACTTTCATGGAATCATCCTAAAGGAGAAAGAGTGAAATATGAAATTACATATTTTGCCGAATTTGATAGCGAAACAGAAAAAAAAGTAGTTTTTTTACCATTTGAATTAAAAGAAAGGTGAATAGTCTTCCGATGTTCTTTTTTTCACTAGACGAAAAATGTTGGTTCTAAACTAGAATATGAGTTATTCGATTTAACTCCCTACACATCTTACGAAATTTGGATACGTTCAAAACTTCTTCATGAGGGTGAACCTGTTGGTTACTGGAGCGACTATTCTATATTTAAAAGAGTGAAAACTCTAGAGTCTAGTAAAAAAGGACATTTCCTTTTAGTTACCTTTATCAGATACAATATTCAACACAGGTCCAAAAAGCCCTCCAGAAATTGTTGGTGTTTTATATAAAAGATGCATCAGAGATAACATGCCTAGGACTTGTAGAAGAATTCGTTTTTTCCTAAATATACCAAAAAGGGACAGAAATGGTATTATTCTGCATTATAATGTAACCTATATTGAAAACGGATTGGCTATGTCAACATCATCAGAAAGATTTAAAAATTATGTCCAGTTAGTTTTTCTTTTAATCAATTACTAATATATAGAAGTTAATTTCATAATTTTTAATAATTTAAGATGGGAAATGGACATGGACTCCGATACTAAAATACAAGTAAGTGCTCACACAAAACTTGGCTCCTCTCCTATTCATCACAGACTTCTACCTGGCTTAAACAATCGTAAATTTATAATTTGCTTATTTGAAATTGATTTTAACAATTACACTCCTTAGCTTCTTTAATACAATCGACTCCTAAAGTTTGGGGTGAGGAAAATCTAGAAGAAACGGAAATAAAAATAGGTTGGGAAGCAATAGAGAAAATTGAAAATATTCGTTTGGTTTATTGCACAAATTCTTCCGAATGCAGGGTATTATTACTCTGAATTTAATTAGTTTAATATAATATTCCAATTCCTTTCAGTCGGGTATTTTCTTCCAAAATGTAAACACTTCTTTAACTGAATATGTATGGAAAAAGCCGGATGTATCTACAAAATATTTTCTTGCTCTGAGTTTCACAAGGAAACATGTACCACAAATGACAGATTGGATATGCTTATATGGACATTATAGTAAGATATTTCGACATTTAGGTACTTTTAATGTTTGTTCAAGACTAATTATTATATATTTAGTACCCAGCAAAGTTTTTATAAAGCAAGTTTCATCTGAAGCGAATGCTCTTCATGTAGAATGGATCGATGGCTTTTGCCATTCATATCGTAGAGCCAAAATAACTAACTACAAATTACAATATTGTCTGCAGGATAACAATCTTAAACCTTGTTGGTAGCTACTTTCAACTGTCAGTGCTTTACATTGAAAATCTGATTGATAATTACAGGCAAAACAATAGTTGTAAACAATACTGAACCCAGATATCGTATTGTCAACTTGAAACCATACAGCCTTTATGAAATACGTCTTGCTGCTATATCTGAGGCAGGAGAGGGTGAAATTTCTGACACTTTTGAGCAGCAAACGCTAGAAGGAAAGCCTGAAACTCCACCGTATGATCTAAGAGCAGGGCAGATTACAGGAAATTCTGTTCAAATTAGTTTTAAGCCTCCAACACAGCCAAACGGAATTATAACGAAATATACAGTCTACGTTTTCGTTAGTATACTTCTTAAATGTAAACGTGTTAATAATACTCAAATTCAAGCAGAAAGAATTTGAGCAAGCCACTCTTCAAACATTTAATCACAATCGAACTGATGTACTTGTCACAAATTTACTAGGAAACGCAAAATATTTTTTTCGTATTAGAGCAGAAAATAGTTCTCCTTTTCCATCTGAATATTCCGAAGAGATTAGTGTAGTCACCATGACAAGAGGTACCTTTAGCTTTATCTTATATTTAGAATTATCTAATATATCATATCTACACACTTAGCCGCTTCTCGGCTTATGGCGTCACAAATAAGGTATCATTGGCCAAAAGACAAAAGTAATCTTGTTGAGATTTCATGGGATGAGCCAACCTCTCCAAATGGAAACATCAGCGGTTTGAAATAATATAAGCAATTGAAAATATCACACGAAATATTTACTCCTTTAGAATATCGACTAACATGGAATGGAACAATGACTGGAAATCAGACCATACCTGTACCAGAGAGGTCGGCAAGTATCGCTATACCCGAAGATTGCAAACACGTCAGTTTGAATCTAGCAATAGAATCTGTAACATATCTGAACGAAGAAGAATTCCGTTCGGAACAAAGTGAAGCAATAACAATTAATGGATATTATATAAGTGGTTCGTTTCTTTCTGGCAGCGAATTATAATATCTCAGAGCAATAAAACAAGTTTATCTATCTTTTCAGTTCCGAAACAAACAAATGACCTCCTCAATAAGACCATTGGAGGTACGATTGGAGTTGCAGGTTTATTGTAAGTTTTATTGATTAATTAGTATCACTCAGTTACTAAACCTAGCAATTTCTTAGAATAATCTATTTAGTCATCAGGAATAGAAAGGTCTGCAAGCCCTTTAGAATATACCAGGTGAGCCTTATTAGAACACAAAATATATTTGAGATATTACTTGGCTGAGGCATGCACATTGTATGATTCTAAAATGATCGGATTCAGAAAGATAATAATATAACGATAATTGTAGGGTTATCTAATCAAGTTTAAATTTTGCTATTAAGTATTAATGGGACAATGTATTAAATTTCCACTTATATTATTTCATTTCGTCAAGCCAAATATTCATTTTTATCGTTGTTGACAGTCAAGCAAAATTAGCAAGAGAACGTTGGTTGTCAAATATGTTCTTTTTTACAAGACTGTTAAGGATAATTAATTGATGTACCTAGGAAATTTGAATATATAATAACTATTAGGGATACAAATTTTTTCTAAACAAAAAACTCAACCAGTTTTCTTTCATATATAGATTTTTAGCAGAAGAGGTAGACAGGGTACTCCCATTAACGAAGCGGTCGACGATAGCTTTGAAGGGACGAATGTAAGATCATCTTATTTCGCTGAATGTTCATTAATTAATTTGGTTTTCAGATATATCAAACGGATAGCTTGGAAAATTATAATGTGAGTTTCCACGATAATGGAAGAGAGATGCTATTAGAATTACAATCAGCAGACTCTCATATTCCGAACAATTTAACAGCCGAACCATCGCATACCTATGTTGATTCACCTTCTTAAAAATAAAATTTTAATTATTTAAATTTGTGGTATATCTGCACTAAGATAAACTGATGATGTATTAGATATATATACATATCGATGTGTTATATATAGGTATATATATCTAAATATGTATTCTGTGGTCTTCCAAAATAAAGAAACTCTTTTTATCTTTTTTGTTACAAATAGAGAACGCTATTGATATCTTTAAAGCAATACAGATCAGGCTAATAAGCGGTTTTGCTATTCAATGCTTGGAAAGCTTACAGTACATAATATAAGTTTCAACATTTTACGAGAAAATATGACTAACCGCTGTTAAGGCGAACAATCTCAAAAGTATGGCATAAAAAAACGGTTCCGAAATTTGTTAAAATAAAACCACAAAAGTCAGATTCCATTGCATACCGAGTGCTGACACGAGCGGAGAAAGAAATCAAGATTTTGTACATTAGAGGCATTGTAAATATTTAAATATAAAAGTTAATTGCCCTTTTTTTAAATCTGTTACAATATATTACAAAACCACTTGCTCTTCTTATGTTTGTGATCTTTTCCTGGTTGTACAACGTCCGGAGTCTTTTCTTGTTGCTAGAAAAATATTTCTTCAGCAAGACATTAGAATTTAAGTGATTTAAACGTACTAATTTTTTATCCATTTTTGCCTTTATATCTCTTGCTAACGTGAAAAAAGCTTCTTCTACATTATGGCTTTGTTTAGCCGATGTTTCCATAAATTTTATTCCATTTTCAACGGCCAAATTCTCACCGCGTTCCTTTGAAACCTTTCGTTTATCTTCCATATCGCATTTATTGCCAAGAATCATCTTTTCTACATCAGCCGATGCATGTTCGGCAATATTTTTTATCCAGTTGTTTATATTTTGAAACGATCTTTCATTTGTGATGTCGTAAACCAACATGATTCCCTATGAAAATAGTGTCAGTAATGTTGATTAAATATAAAAGTACTCAGACAAATCCAACCATTGCTCCTCTGTAGTAAGCGGTTGTAATAGTCCTAAATCTTTCTTGGCCAGCAGTATCCCTAAATTTCAAACAAGTGTATATTCTTAAGTACAAAAGGTCTATATTTAGTCAGTCAAGTGCAAAGAAAGAAAAAATCAATTCGAATCCATGATACATACCATATTTGCAATTTAATTTTTTTAGCATCAATTTCGATTGTTCGTATCTTAAAATCGATTCCTAAGAGAAAACAAGCAACGTTGAAGAAAAAGGGAATGATTCATAACACATTATGAAAAGTTTACCTATAGTTGAGATAAATGTCGCATTGAAGGCGTCTTCTGAAAATCTGAAAAGGACACATGTCTTCCCAACTCCGGAGTCTCCTATCAATAATAATTTAAACAAATAGTCGTAGCTTCTAGACATTTTTATAACTTAATTGGTAACTCCCTTGACCATTCAGCTCTTCCGGAAATACAATTTTTTTCGTAATTAATATAATAAATATTCATGTAAATTTAGGAAAAATTCTGTAAATACAAAGATAGTTTTCTGTAGAAAAAACATATTTTGTACGAAAATGCGCTTGTAGAACCGGAACCGGTCATTTCCGTTTGTTTGCAAATCATGGGAGCCGAGGTAGTTTTCACAAATATCATAATTAAAGCCTATAATTCGTACTATAGACTTACTCATAACTATTAAATACTTTAGAATGAGTCCGATCTGCTTATTTTAGTTTATGTATATTTCACCAATTTAGCAAACGCGTACTTACTTACCAGCTAATGAAACGAGACGCCATAACTGTAATAAGCGTCTTTTTTTACCATAGGATAATTCCACACCAACATACAGCAATCCAGAGCAGCATCGCAAATTGTTTATTGGAGGTTTGAGTTTTAGTACGACAGAAGAAAAATTAAAAGGTTATTTCGAAAAATATGGTGAAGTAGTCGATTGCGTTGTTATGACCGATCCCCAATCTCATAAGTCAGTTTTTTTAAGAAAACAATTATCACTCTTTTAATAAATGTAGCTTACACAGATCACGTGGATTTGGGTTCATTACATATGCTTCAGTTGAAGAGGTAGATAAATGTCAGCAAGCTCGACCTCATAAGATTGATAATCGAACTGTCGAGCCTAAAAGAGCTATGCCTAGGGAAGACTCATCAAAAGCAAACCCAACAGTAAAAAAGATATTTGTTGGTGGGCTAAAGGATGTACTGGAAGAGGATGACTTAAGAAGCTATTTTGAAAAGTTTGGTAAAATAGAAAATGTTGAAGTTATTACAGAGAAAGGAACAGACAAAAAACGAGGTTTCGGTTTTGTTACTTTCGATGATTATGATCCAGTTGATAAAATAATTCGTAAGTAAAAACACCCAAAGAAGACAACATTTAAATTTGCATAATAATTTTTCAGTTCTAAAAAACCATAAAATAAACAACATGACTTTGGATGTTAAAAAGGCTATTCCAAAAGAGCAAATAAATGCGCAAAGAGCCGATCGGGAGCCAATGGGACGATCTGGACCTCCTGGAAGAATGGGACCGTATGGAAATAGAGGAGACTACGGTTATGAAAGGAATGGACCAGGGTACAAAGATTATGGACGAGGAGGATATGATGACTATGGCGGGGGAAGAAGAGGCTATGATGGCTATGCCGGACCAGGATACCTAGATGAACCACCAATGAGAGGCGGCTTCAGAGATTCTTGGAGTGGTGGTGGATACAGCAATTATAGGGATGGCTACGGTGGTGGACCCATGAGGAGTGGAGGATATCGATCATCAGGCCCATATAGTGCTGGTTATGGTAGTGGAAATGGAAGGTATGGTGATGGATATGGCTATGGTCGTAGATAAATGGACATTTATTTGGTATGTTTTTTTTAGTTTTTGATTCGCGAGTTATTGACTTAAAATAACTTACAGTGTGCGATATTTCTATGTTGTGTTCAATACAGAAGCGAACAGATATATATATATATATATATATATATATAAGTACATATATATACATACGTATATATACATATATATATACATATGTATATATATAAATTTATATCTGTATATATTTATTTACAGCTACATATATTTTATATTTATATTAATGGTATAAAAACAATGATCAGATGAGATTCTTTTTAATTAATGTTAAGTTATAAAGTTTAGTGCATGTTTCTTATAGCATAGCTGTCAAATAGCCTTCTATGTTTTAGTTTTGTTTCATTGAAAATTTTTATTGCATTTTTTTGAATTAAAAAGCAAATGATTACCCAAAAAAGAAAGAGTTTCGTTCTTGTTATTAACCCTTTCATTAAGACTGAACAGAGGAGTAGAGCCAGCAAAAATAGATTGTTCAAGCTAGATGGTGGCATATCTGAGAGGTTGAGCACAGATTAGACAGCAAAGAATGTGTATTATGGATACTGAGAGAGACAGGACAAGTTGATCAAGGTAAACAGAGGTGTAGTGTTTTAGGAATGTGTTTACACAATCATGTAGTAAGTTAATGGCCCTTTGTTTCAGCATATGTAAAATGATTGTGTTTTAATGCGTCTTTTTTTATTTTTATCGAAACTAATTTAGATGATTTATAGGTTTATGGACACTGCAAAGAAGCAGAAGGAGCAATGGATTACGACTTACAAGGTATGCATGTAAAAAATAAACTTATTCTTAGAAATGCAATATTTTTTTTTCACAACAGTATTTTTTAACGTATGAAGCAAACTGGCATTTGTTTGAAGGACAACCCTAGTTATAACAAACGAGCAGAAGTTCTCAAAAGTCACTTTTCGCCTCTAATATGAGGGTTTCTTGCGGACATAGTTTTAAATCTTTCAAACTTTTCGTAGGGTCTTCTATCTTGAGCTTTAATTAAAAAATAGGTTAATTATATACAGTTTCCTATAAGTAAATAAGACATACATCTCGCCTTGGAAACGTAGTTAATACTTTAAAGTCAGCAACATGGAAACCCTCTGATGTCAGATAATTAAATAGAATCTAAAAAGTGAAAAGGTTATATGAAATTTCATCAAGTAATTACAACATACCTGCAGAGGATTTGACGCTAAGAACCGACGATTAAGTATCTTATTATCTGGAGCTCTAATACGAATTCTCGACAGTTCCTGCTTACAATGTTCATCTGGTTCAGCAGGCAGCTGTTCAGCGACATTTTGTCGTATTTTCTAATAAAAAAATTAAAAAATTTGAATATATCTATTTTATAAACTGTCGGTATAGCTAGTTTAAATTACCTCTCTCTTCAGTTTCTCTTCCTTCAAACGCCTTTCCAACTCCTTTTGCTTTCTACTTTCTTCTTCTTCTCTGCGCTCATTCTCCTCTTTTTCTTTTCGCTTTTGTTCTGCCTGTAATATCAAAGATCTGAAAAGAATTGTTTGAAGTGTTTTAATTTACCTTTGCTTGATCAGCTCGAAGTGATGCTTCGTAAGCCTGGTTTTGCTGATCCAACATTGAAACACGGGCCATTCTTTGGTCCTCTTCTCTTATATCTTCCTCTTGTGTCTGTCTAAATAGTTCCTGAGCACCCAGCAATTTACTAATGACTTCATCTAAGATCGATGAACCTAGATATTTATTAAATGTCAAAACAATTCTTTAAAGAAATTATAATTCTACCATTGATGATGTAAACAACATCGTTAGTTGATCTTTGACGGGAAATTATTACTAATAGTGGATATTGATCAGGTGTAAAGTCTTTCAACTTGTTAGCTGCTATGCTTCCAAATAATTGAGAAGCATCCTGAATGAATTTATTCTTATTTGCTTCAATTGTACAATCCCATCCCCAAGTAACGAAAGAACTGCTTAATGTTGGCACAACTGCAGATGAGCATAATATTTCGGAGCAAAATACATTTACAGATATTGACTTTTCATGATGTAAATAAACTGCTAGCAACTTTCTCTGAATGTGATAAAATATGTAAAAATTAGAAAAAAAAACATAAAACATATATTCTTACATCTCTGGCACGGCAAAGTAAAGCCTCCTTCAAAGCATCGCCCAAGGATCCATTATAAAACAATGGTCCATCACTACCAAATCGATTTCTGAACTCTTGTGCAAATTGTTCGGTAGCTGCTACAGGATCAGTAGCAACAGCGGGCACTTAAATGTCAAAAGTAGGAAAATAATGTCATTTCCTATTAAAAAAAGTGTCAACCTACGTAATGCACCGAAAGCTCTTCCTGAAGCAGGAGTTTCATCAAACTCCAAATCATCATTTGCGTCGTAGATTTCCGCTACGTCGTCATCTTCGTCCATAGGTTCCTATTAAACATCACCATTAGATATTGTTCAGCATATATTGCTAATTAGGGATTATGTTAAAAAATAAGGACAGGGACCTATATAAATAAATATGCATTAAAAATCCCACTTAAGAGCATACCTCATCGCTACTGTTCAGTTCTACCACATTCCTTGATTTGCTCTAAATGAATAGCTAAATAAGGACAAGTAATTAAAAAGTTAATAGATTTCTTACAGCAATGGTAGAGTTTGTTGCATAGGACCCAGGTGGACGACTGCTCGATAAAATGAGATTATGACTTGGTAGCTGTATTGATGATCCAGCTAACGTAATCTATTTTTGATCAGTAAATATGTTTTGAAATATCCTGTAATAACAGACTATTCTTACTGAGTCAGTTACATCTGCAGGCCAACCCTCCCATCTTTGATATCGCACTGGTATGTTTGTTACATGGTATAAACTTAGCTTTATCTGTGTTAATAGTGTGTTTAGAAAAATAAAACACGAAACTTATTATTTAATGCAAACATCGTGGACGGTTTTCGAACCAGGAAATTTCAGAGTGTGAACTTTGTTTTGACACCTCACAATCAATTCAAAATGCGACTCAAGCCTTTTAAATGTTTCGTTTTCACTCATTGAGCTATAAAGTAGTTTTAAACTGTAAAAGCTTATATAGATATCATTGTGAAAATATACTTTTGGAGTGTATTAAGAGGATCATTGAATATTCCGGGTGTTGTTAAATTCAATTTAATGCTGGCTGGTAGCTGCAGTGATTTAAATGTAGCCTGTAAAGAAAAATGTTTTCACAAAATGAAAAGTCTTGCAAATCAACTATTTCTTTTCTTACCTCATCTCTTATTCTATCTAGTTGTTTAGGCCAATTTTTTAGGACCAATTTGCACTTTGGGATGTTTAATTTCTGAGAAATCAATTCTTTCAACTTTCCTTTAAAAAAATAACTTTTCAAGACTATTTTTAAGAACCAAACGATATAAAACTAACCAATTGTCTTTGAATCTTCCACATTAAAATTCAGCATTTTGCCTCTGTAATCAATATCAATCTTAAGTAATCTATCGTGTTCTTTTGATCCTGAAGCAGGCCATTTTTTTGGCGAAGCTCGAGCTTTGTTATCAGAAACAGAGCTTCCAGAGAAATGGAGGCTTGATGTTGATGGTTCTCTGAATACATGAACATTCGAACTACGATTTCTTGATGATGGGTTCGGTTGAGTTTCAATTGGAGAGTCATCCACTCCAAATTCTTGACTAGCTATGGCTGTCTGTACAGCCGACTGTTTCACAGGAAATTATTAATAATATGTATGAATCATAATAAAATTTAGTACCGATATATCCCAATCATGCTGATTCAAAAGTCCAAGACAATAAGAAGTATCATCACTGTTTATAATTTGCTGTCGAAAGATTTTTATCAATAACAAAATATACATTGGTAAAGGTGTTTCTAGACATGTTATTTCATGAAATATTGCGAACTATTATTATTTTGATTGATATATCTTTTGGTAGGAAATTTTTTGTGATTTGAAAGCGAATAATACCTGAAAATGGGTCAGAATTTCATCTTTTTTATTGTCCATTCTTTCACGAATACCCTACTAGCGACATCTATTTCCTCTTCGCGTGTATTTTCGTATGATATTTTTAAAACAACATAAAATTTTCAAAATAATATATTTTAAACAGTATAAATTGATATTTTAAAATAATAAAATAAAAATTACTATAATGGAAATCACCTTCTAAAAATAGAACACCTTCGCGCTTCCAAGTTGAAAAGAAGGGCTCATTTGGGATACTAGTTATCAAAAGTTAAGTAAGAAGGAAATTGTTAAGGCCCCGTGAGTATATTTTAAAAATAATTTAACGGTAATTGATAGGAAATTAAGACGTTTTAACTCCCTTAACAACCGCGCGTAAACAGAACAGTATCGAACGCTACGTGTCGCAGCAGGCAAAGGCGCGAAACTGATGCGGCCGATCTCATCATTCCAAGCCAGGACGCCGTGCAATAAAGTTATGCCACAGTGAAAGATGTCTAGTCGGTCTTTCAGAATACCTAGAGAAGGTGCCTTCCATCCGGTCCAACGTCGCATTCCCGAAGCTACTCCTCTCTGTCCTCTCCAGTCTTCCGAAATGGGTGTCAAGCATGTACCAATTCGTGTTGCCGAAGGTGCCGAAGTACCCGTGTTGAGTGATACTGTTTTTAGACCAGTTTCTAATGAACGGTTGTGCTTTTCTCCCTCAAAACTTCGCCAAGCACATGCTCGACGGGAATTGCGTTATACACCAGTGGAAGGTCGATCTAGTTCAAGTCCAATATCTCATCACAATTCTACTCCAAGTGGCAGACCTATTTCACAAAAAAGAGCTTGGCTGGAACATGTGTCTCCTGTCTGTGGTACTCCGGAACTTCCATCTGATGAACTTTCTTGGGCAGCAGCTTGTGGAGACTTGGAAACCGTGATTAAGTTAATTAAAGAAGGACGAAACGTGAACACCCCAAACAGCTTTGGAAGGGCACCCTTGCAGGTAAATAAATTACGCAATCGGTTGGCGTTCATTTGTTTACAAAGTACGCCACTAAATCGCTAAAGCAACAAGCCTCAAATGACGTGTTGTGCAACAAACTGAGTAGAAGGCATTAAACATTCTTTGTTAAAACGATTTCTTAATCCCCCACAAAGATGTTTACTAAGACGACTTAAAACTTATAGGTTTTTTTTATTATTAACAAGTGATTTTACGCATCGAGCGCGACTTTCGAGACTGACATTTCATCGTACCTATCAAGATAAATATTCCTATCATTTTTCTACACGCTTTATAGTATACCAAAGTATTTATCAAAGTAACAATATCTTTTGATGTGCGTGACGTGTATGTTTTCTTTACAAACAACAATCCGACTAAATGCGCAGCTGTAAAAATATTTAAAGGATGGACATCTTATTGCCTTAATTAATTTATATTGCTGTTTTTACACACGCCTATCTATTTATTTTCATTTCCATGCATTGGACTACTTATAACATTCTAATTGTTAAATATATAGAATGTTGAATGGTTTACCAAGAATTATACAACAATCCAGGGGGGCTGCGGTACATTTGATCAGCACACCCTTTTTGAACGCGTTTATACGTGACGATTATACAAATACTCAATTACCTTAATGCATATTTAGTCTCACCGGATTAACCTCTGACCGCTCAAACTTGAAAAAGAATTCTCGGTTAATTGCTTCAGTAGTCACCCCCATATACATGTGTATTTGTGGTCAATGGCGCGGTTGAATTAATTGATACGATTCGGTCGCGAGCTCCGACCGGCTCCCTCTTTGATTTTAGAACCCCTTTGTCGACTTTGACCTTTTAACCTGGCTACTTTAAAGTTTTTACATTTACCAGAGACAAGCAAACAATTCTTTACTTTGAGCTCTTGCCAATTGAGCCAAGTGAGTTCCAATGTACTTTGATTCTTATTATCCTGACAACCTATCACATCAGTAGGACTTTTTTGTGCCTTATTACCTTTAATACCCTCCTTTTAATTATACTGTTTCTAAATGGAAACGCTCGTTAATATTCAATTGTATAAAATTCATTTATTGTCAACTTGTTAAAAGCTACTATAACTTCAGGATAACTGACACTTTTATTAGGATTCGTTCGTTGCATTTTAGGAGCCAGGCGTGGATAAATTTTTTTTAGTAGCTCGCAAATTGAAAGTCTTCAAATTAGATGTCAGTTGTAAAATTTGGGGCCTATATCATTTACGACCCTACACTCCGTTTATCTCGAACAAATCCCCTCCGAGGAAACCTCTGCGTGTTCTTAAAAAATTCCATCACGCATATGTATTTACACTGCAGACTAACTCTTAGCGCGTGCGGAGATGCGGGATGATTGGTAGGTGTAGACAAGCGAATTGATGGGAGGGCAGTGGGGATTTCTTAAATATGTTGACAATTTGTTAAATATTTTTTAATAGCTTATTATGATGTAGAATTACTTTTTGGTCATTTTAGGCGAAGGCGCATATTCGCGCGCGCGGGAAACAAAGATAGCGTGTGGCGTGTTGAATCTTGATTTTGGCGCTAGAATTGTTTATTTTTACTTCGACCTTCAATGTATTCTTTGATGAGAGCAGTCGGCTTGAGGCTGATTCTTTGATTATTAATTGCATTGCCAGTTTGATTCAGTATATCATAAGGCACAGAATAATTGGTGGTTTTTTATTGCACATTAGTCCCATAAATCTCATCTCTGGTTTTCAACGGACAGTACTTTGACACCTAATTATTATGTGTGTCGAAAATATATGGCTTGCGGTTAGACACCATGCCCTATAGGTGTGTATGCATGCATGCATGCATGCATGAGATGTACATCTTCAATAGACTATAAAACACATAGAGAATATAATTATGAGACTTTAAACATTCCATCAATACAATAACCTCCTTGTGCAAATCTAAGCGAAACGAAATCATTATTCCGAGTTGATGGTTGAATGTCAACGAGTAAACAATGGCCCAATGATGGCAAAACTTTTACTCAGTAATGCGATATTATGTTAGTCATTGGCTTGAAAAGTAAATAATTACTTTAGATGTCAACGTTTAAGTGCTTTTGTGTTTTATTACGACGTTATATACTTTTGTTATTGACCGGATTTAACGTTTTATTTTTTGGGCCATACTCGTATATTCGTCTTTTATATAGGTATTACGACAACGTATTGCTAAATCCTGTGCAACCGTCCGAATTTTCACCCCAATTGTCCAATAATAGCTCGGTTCTTAATACTCGATTCATAAAGAACTCTTGCAAAATCCTCAATAGCCCCCTTATCTACCCTAATCCTTCAGTAAACAGTTTCCATAGGTGTTTGACCTATGTTTAATTGGTTTTTATGAGGCTTATCTCTACAACTTATTTATTGTTATTTACTATATAATTCTAACAACTGGAGGATAAAGAAAACTAGGAATGATTAATAATATGACAGCTTGGACAGATAAAAGATAAGCGTTAAAAGCCAAGAGAAGGTGGCAGTCAATTTTGTTGTGTTCTGCTTGATATCGCCATTGGCGAAAGATACCAACCAAAGATCTAATGGACCAATAACCTATTTATATGCGCGCAAGGAAATGAATCGCAAGGCTGATGCTGAAAAGAAAAGAGTGTTTCCTTTGTTAAGTGTTGTGAATGTAAATTAATTATTCTATTTCAAAGTGGTTGATATCAGAGAGATTTATATACGACATGCACTTCAGCACTTCATAGGAGATGTATATATGATACACCTAGTACAAAGGTAACCCGTAGCAACCCACGTTAATTTGTTGTATAAACAAACACCAACACGCGCATCTATATAGGTCGTAAACATTTTACGACATAGTGCAAACAGGTCTTTTGTGTATCTTCTTTCCATTGTCTAAGCATGTTTAAAGATAAGACCCTGTTTGCTTATTGATGGAATTGATAAGATTGAACATGTGTACACAATATCCACATATTCTTTATGTAAGAATCAAGTAACGATATGCACGTGCTTGAAAAAACTCCGCAAATAGAAATTGAATAGTATAAAACAAAATTAAACATGGAATATTGACTTGTATTAAGTTGAATAAGCATGGGAGTTTTGTCGGTACGTGCGCTAAAGAATGTGGTGGTGACATATAGAGACACTCTTGTAACGTAATATTCCTCAATTATGTCGTCAACAAGGGGCATCTTTGACAGAGCATTGTACTCATTGGCTCAAGTAGTCTAATAAAAAGAGGAACGCGACGCTTTTATAAGTAAATACGATTGAAAAAATAACGCGCGCACGAACAAACCAACGCTTGAATTACGCCTTTTTATATATAAGCATGCGAGAGTAAACTTTAATCATTTTCTTATTGACAAAAGTTTTCGCCTCGTTGCCTCCTTGATCAATTCGGGTCCTATAATCTCTAAGGTATTCAACTCAGTCGATAAATATGTCTTAATTGAATTTTTTGAACGAGACAAACAGTCATTTGTATGTATCGCACTAAATTTCCAAAGCCATACAATAAATGAACAGAGAAAGTCGGTGTCTTTGAAGTGAAGTGTGAATGTGGCAATAAATTACGGACGCCGTGCTTATGCATAGCACAAGTATGCACGTAAAAATTTCAAATATTTATATTACATTAAATGGATTAAATTGAATTATCATATCCCTGACATATTAATTTTATTGTTATCTTTTTTCCCAGGTTATGAATTTGAGCTACCCCGATGTAGCTGAGCAACTTCTAAAAGCTGGTGCGAATCCTAATGTTCAAGATCGAGGAATAGGAAATGGGAGATGTCTTTTATTGACACCTGGGCACGACGCCGCTCGGGTCGGATACGTTAGGACATTAAAGGTAATTATTAGCCCTTGCATCCTCTCGTTAAAAACGCCCCCCTCCTTATATTGATTATTATCAGGTCTTATTGAAATACGGAGCCGACACGAACATTCGAGACGGTCATGGGAATACATTAGCTCATTTAGCCGCAAAGCACGGTCAACTTTCCGTATTGAAAGTTTTAGCTCGGGGCAGCGACTTGTCTATTCGAAATCTAGCCGGTCAAACGCCCCTTGATTATTTGATGCCAGAACACGCGAGGTCTGAAAGCGAAGTAGCATTTCTTACGGAATTAAAGAGTGAGTTCACCTATTATCCTTATCTTTACCTTTATCTATGACTAATCTGTAACTTTTTCTTATAACAGCCCAACCTAGACCTCTCAAATATCTAGCCGTCACTTCGATACGAAAACATTTAGGAACTGAACGATTAGCACTCTTGCACCGGTTACCTCTTCCCCCTCCTCTTAAAGACAACTTGATTTTGAAATAATCTATTTGTGGTGAATTCATATTTACCAGACTCTTCCACAAATAGATTATCGTTTTTATTACTTATGTACAAACAATGTATATTCACTCTAGTCATATATAGTAGTTTTGTTTGCTTTTGAAATTCTATATCATGACATTTATGTACAGTTACAGACGGATATATTTTTGTTTTAATCCGACGCTCACCAATGTTGTTAATTAGCACAAATCTTAATAAAACAGGATAGACTACACTATTTATTTTTCCACAAGGAAAACTACAATAAATATGTACATATTTAAAGTTTTCTTTATCTTAGTCTGACCACTTGAGTAATTTTTAAGGCTTTTTCTCTTAGCTGTACATGTTATATAACACGTTTCGTTCAACGATTTACACTTGTGAATCGAAGTTTCTCTTTATTTTTTGCAATTGTACACGTCGGTCTAGACGTCAAGCTGAGTACTGTTCAGTGTCAAAATTATGTTGAATAGAGAATGCTACAATCTTTATGACGTTGTAATTGTATGAATAAATCAATTTGTTAAAGTCTATATTATTAAAGTTTATAAAAAGGTCGGAAAATGAAGGGTCCTTTCGTTTTCAGTTACGTGTTTTTTCTATTTATAGGAAGAATTACGTTACAAAGAGGGTCGCCGAAAAACCATACACAATGAAATCTTGTCATTTTGAATGATGATCATTATATTTACCAAGTGATACGGTTAAGTGCGAAGCACAATGGTTCATACATATTAGGTTGTATATATATTGAACTACAGTATGTATTGTTAATTGAATGTAAAGGCTTTGAAGTAGGGTATTCAAAAAAAGAGCATTAAGTATAGAGGAGACGGAAATTTGCACCACTAAAATAGGAAAGGGTCTACAGATCACCCTTTTCAAGACTTGGCACTTTCTTTTATGGAAATAGATCAAGCAGTAATAGCCAATATAAGTTAAGCGCTTGATTCCCCCTATTTTCTATGTATGTTCAATGAACTGCAAACAAGTTGGCCTTTATTATTCTCGCAACAACGAACACTTCAAATCTCTTCTTACAACGATTAAAAGGCTATTTTAATTCAGAAATAGTCAAATATTGTCCACTATATAAATAATATAGAATAATCAAAATTTAATTGTCCATCCTAATCAAAGGAATGCTATCTAGTTGCTTTATTTGGTGAAGCTTTTGACTAATTAAATCTCTCCAATCTCCTTCATTTGAGTGTTTTTCTTCAATAGGATTTCCTATCATGGTTAGCTCCCTTAAGCTGAGTACGTCGGCTAACCTTTGAACTTCAGTCAAATCTTTAACGAGGTTGTGATTAATATATAGAACTTGCAGTTTTTTCAAATTACCAACACCTTTCAATTTTTCAATCAAATTATACGATATCCACAATTCTTGTAAAGTTTCTCCTACAGCCTCAACTCCAGATAAACTTTTAATTTGATTACGACCCAGAGAAAGTATACGTAAATTTCGTAGACCGTGTAAGTTTGATATCTTTTCGATACAATTGGTTGATAAGGATAGTTTAGAACAAGCAGTCAATTGTGAAAGATTTGCATCCATTTTTTCAATGGGAGGGTATTGAGCGTTCAATAATACATCGGTAATATCAGACAATTTCTTTCCGTGTGTTTTTTCTGCTAACTTCCCTAAAGCTTCCCGTATAGTTGTCGATTTTGACATACCTTAAGCCTTGTTGTTTTTTCTTTTAAAAAGTTGAATTGTTAGGATGACGTCAAATGTAAAATGTAAATATCAACCACATATGCGCATACCACAAAGACTTGTTATTTTTTTTCTTCCAACCTTCAACCTCGCCTCTTATTTTAAATGCATAAAATGTGAAGCTTATTCAGCGGTAAAAAAGGAAAAAAAACTATTTGTTCAATTATCTACTCTAGATAGAATTATATCTCTTTATGAAAGTTTTTTTTATCAAACCTAATCCTCTTTAGAAGCTACTAGGTCAATTTAAGGAAATTTTTGACGGTATTTCACGCTTCTTCGGAATTTTTCGTGTCACCTGATTTGAGCCGATTCAAGCTGATTGCGTATACTATTACAACACAACTTCAAAACTGTCTCAACATGATATATGAGTAGCCATTCATTATTTATATAAAGTTGGCATGCGTTTATCCTGTTACTAAGTTTACTATGGAAATAAAAAAAGGGAGCTAAGAGAAGGGGTTGGCCTACGAATAATTTACTTTTTTATATTGCATTTTCAATTCTTCTTATGTGTACAGAACAATTACGCAAAAAGGACTAGAATGAACAAGGTCAACAGTTAAAAGATAAGAAGGATATAAAAAGTGATTACTTTAAAATAATTTACTTACACAAAGAATATCTAATCATAAAAAATAACAAAAAAGACATAATTAGAACACGTCAGTTCCAATACAATCTTTTTAGATGGTTTATTTTTTCTTAAATGCTCCCTTGAGCTTGTCCATGAAGGTTACATCACTCTCGCTCAGAACTTGCGCACCCTCGTTTGAAACAAGTATATTACATTCCTCCAAAGTTAAACCAGTTGCGCAAGTATTCTTCGATCTTGGGTAAGATTTTAAGTGGACGTCCTTAACTAATCTTTCGAGAGCATCCAACTGAGAATCACAGTTTGAGCTATCGTTGGCATGTTTTAATTCTCCTGACGCTTTAAACCCATCTGATACCTTTTTCCTGATTAATTCTCCCAAATCCCGATTAGTTTTTGATTTATCCAGTGGCCACGATTCAATTATTCTCAAAAAATTCTTGTAACGACTCAGGGCACTCATGGTCGGACGATAATGAGAGATATTGACATTAGACGGTAAGAAAGTTGTTTGGAGAAGGAAATGTTGTTGAACGATTCAATACTTTTTAGAAAAAAGCAATCCCTGTAGAATCTATACTATTAACAGAGTAAAATTTTATATTTATTTTGCATTCATGAACGATTTAGCGCCTGAAAGGAATTTCTTCCGAAAAGTTTACCAGTTTCTACCGGCGGCTTATGACAATTTCGGTTTACTTAGGATTAATAAGCTTGCATTTATAAATAAACTTCCACAAAAGTATTCAACCATCGTGAATAAATATAAATAGTTATATTTAAAGCTAAGAAAAGTTCACACGACATTCAAACAAGTGTTTTTGCATAATATTGATAAACCTTACATAATCACCATTGAAATTAAACGATAGAAAATTAAATTTCCTTATCATATGCCGGAGAAAAGTGTATTTTATCATCGATGCCATGTGCACCAGGTGAACGGGCAATATTTGAGAATACTACAGTTATGTAGATAAAGAATAAAAGCATGTAAAATACGAAATAATAATTTTCAAGAATACTAATTCCTTTCTGTACTTTCTTCTCATGAAGTTGTATAGCATCTTCTTCTTCAACATTTTCATTCTTCGACTTATCTTGTGCCGAATTTTCTTCATATTCGTTGACGGCATCGGTAACAGAAAGACTGCTCGATACTTTTGAATTCATGTTATTCAAGGGTGGTTTTGTTTTTGAACATGTGACAAAGTTCCATATTTGCGATAGATAAACTAAAGCTATTGGATCAATCATCTTTGGTAGAGGTTTATCAGGAGACGTAAAATATAGTCGTTGATGACATACTGTAGAAATAAGAATGATCCCCGACATTATCATATTGAGAACCAAATGTAGAGCTGTTGAAAACAATTGATATTTTTAGCTTGTTATTTCTATGATATTATATTCAAGAAAATAAGTGTTATATTTATTTTATGGCTTACCGAACCACGCATGCTTTTGAATTCTTTACGACAGACCATTTGCAAATAATTATCCTTTACATAATAAATAATAAAACTTACCCAGGATAGGAAAGTTTAATGAATTTTCGGGCATAATGCTGGACATTAATATTAATAGCATTGTATAGGATAAAAGAACGGTTATATTTAGAGAAACTTTCTCTCCACTTTTAAACGGCAGCAACAAAGTAAATCCGGTTACAATTATTATTACGAAAGATGGGACAACTATGATCATTGTATAGTATCTTGATTGTCTTGCAAGTATAAAGGTTGCATACGCGACTGTACCAGTCCCGTTGTGATCACCTATTTTAATGAACATGTCGTAAGTTCTAAGTTTTGTTTTTATTAAATTCCACTGTGGATTCTTTTTAAATGCCTACAAAAAATTTAACGTCAATTTTAATGCTTAGAGCAATAAAAACATAGGAATTCAAAGGAAATGCACTTCATACCTGCCTGCTGACTTCATTATAAGCGGGCACATATTGAATATCCTTTTGGTAAGTCATAGTTGAAAATTCTACGTGACATACTTGAACATCCCATGGAAAGTTTGTCATATCAATCTTGAAACAATAAACTTGCATGTAGTAAATTCCAAGCAATACTCAAAAAGGTATTTAAATGTAATAAAATCTAAATATTTTACATCACAACCCAATATAAAAGTAGTGATATATCGTAACTATTGGCTAATGGAATAAAATTATTTACATCGCAATGGGTTCTGACTATCATAGCAGTCGACCAACTGACACTACCGTCGCTAAATACCCGAACTCTTCTTTTTTGCTCTAATCCAATATCAATAGGTTGTTCTTTTCTAATTTATGAATGACAAATTCGTTCAAATATTCTAAAATCTTCGCTAAATTTATAACAGCTTACGTATTTCTAATTATCATCTCAGGTATCCAAAGAGTATCATGTGTAGTAGTGAACGTTGTTATATTTCCGTACGAAGAAGGATTCCATTTTAGGGTATCGTCTTTCCAGGACTGTCAAATTCAAAACGTTGAAAAAGCGATTTCTCTCTCTCTCTCTCTGTAGTATAAGAAATATTTAAAGACTTACCAATGATAGCCAAAGGTAGGAAGTGAGTTCTTGATCTTTTTCGGACTGTATATAAATGTTTACATTTTAATATTTGTATGTCATTACTTTAGCATTTTTAGGTTTATTTATTTGTGATTCATTTCAATAGAAATTTTATTTTTAAATTTTGCTTACCAACTTATCAATCCTGGCTATTAGGAGTAAGAGAGACACTTTTAATTTGTTTGAACTGTCTTTCGTAGTTAGAAAACTTTTTTCACGGCCGTGTAACAATCTTTTCTTCAACTTATAGACAGGAAGTTCATCTAAGAAATTTACAAAAGCTATCATTAAAATATTAATAAATTTCATAATAATTTTGAACTCAAAGTTGTTAACCGTATGATCCATATGATATAGCAATAGTTGAAAAGATGAGAACGGTAATAATTTGATATTTATTCATCTTTACCTCTAAATATGTTGGTAAATGCAGTGTTCAACATGCTCTTAATTATTAAATAATATATGTCTGAATCATAAAAAGCCACGCTTCGCTATATATCTACAGCATTTTAATGTGACAATACATTCTTCATTAATAGTTTTTATCCGGTCTGTCGGAAAAGTACCGTTTCGCCATCTAGTGATTAGGAACAGAAGTTGGCTGCACTCTAAAGGATGCTTCATTTTTTGTACGTTGACTAAATATGCGGTCGAAACGTTCTTGCAAAACAGTATTGTGCAATATTTACAAGTACATCTGTAGGGTTTTTGCTATATTTACTGCCATAGGTAAGTGACTTATCTGAATTTAAAAATAAACTCTTTGTTGCCTCATATTATGTAATATTACACAACAATTCAATTGCAGTATTATACGGAGTTGGAGCTGAAGAAGTTGATGATGGGAACCACATACTGCTTGGTTGTTACTTATTGTAGGTATTATGTGAAAGAAATAAAATAGTTTTTATTTATTTTAGCATATTCAAATGTTAGCAAAACAAGTATTTCGTATTCAATTGTTATCATAAATACTGAAATATCTCAGCAAAAATACCTAAGTATTTTCTGTCCATCAATTATTGAACGAAGATTCGAATAGATCAGGAAGTTGTACGCCTCTTGTTCGCACTTGCCTCATTATATTCCTTTGTCAGCTGATTGAATTATCTATCAATATTTCCAATGTATCTATAGCAGTTTTTTACAGCAAAAATTTTATAATATTACATATTGTTGTTTTTTGATTTTCTGGATTATTCTAATATAATAAAAAAACTTCTTCATTTGCAGATGCTGTGCTATAATAGTTACTCTTTTGGAAAGTTTATTTGTAATCGACTTTTGTTACACATCATTTCTAAGGTTCGTAAAGCTCCCGCAAACTGCAGAACTCTTATCTAGACGTTTATCAGTAGCTAAGGTCATTTATATTCGCCTTTTGCAATACTTTCTACTCTTTTATCTAAAGGTTATTGAAATCCAATACAATTTGTCTGCTTCTTCTTCTTACCCTCAAAAGAGAAATGCTCCATTATATTTTTTAAGCCTTCCATTCTCTTATATTTCGCTGTATCAATCATAGTATAATCAATAATTTACCTAGACGAGAACAACGACGATGCTCACATTGTTGGACGACGATATTAGTCTTTGATGATTGGAAAAGGGGATTGTTATACTCACTCTTGGGAGTAGGATCTCTCATAAAAGTTCATTTTTCTTGGCTGATTGCAGTTCCGGGTAAAAAAAAATAATCTCATAGTAGCAATTAACTTTCAATAGCCTACTTAAATTTGCGCTTGAATTTTTTAAGGTTCTATGCTGCTGCTCTCATCTGTACTTTATGTTATAAAAACGTTTAATTATGAAAGTGAAATTGCAAGCGAAGATTCCTCACCGTCGTATAGTAAGTATGAAGATGACGATATGGACGACAATTTAATTAGAACCGCACCCGAAAGTGTTTAGATCATCATATTAAAGGTGACATACAATCAATCTCTTGTGCATTAAATAAATTAACTGTACTTTTATGGAGTTGCATTTTAGCAGATTTCAATTATCGTGACTGTAAAATTTTAATGATGAAAATATAACACGAAATAATAGAACTAATTTGAGAATGATTGTATAAAATTGTGACCAACAAAGAAAGGACCCCTAAAACATCCTAAAATAGATCTTGTTACGAAAAAGAAATCCTTCAACATTTTGTAATGTAAAACGAATGAACCATATGATGCACAACAATAGGAAAACAGGTGAATTGTGTAAAAGTTCACTATAAATAGACGCTTCGGAACGTGTGATCTCTCCGTCTAAATGATTTGACAAAATATTTTCTTTTTTACCGTAAAAACGTCTGTTATTGTAAATGGAAACAAGATCGAACAATATGTTCATTGAATTGAAAAACTTTTATTCGGAGAATGAAAAATGACGCTGAAAAATGTATCAGGTACGCTTTACAAATATTGTATAAAATTTCAAGGCATGGCTAATACCAAAAGCAATATTTTTTTAATCATTATTAGGCTTTAATGAAAATAAAGTGCGAATTTCTTGTTAATTCATCCCTAAGGAGATACAACAAAAAACAGTGAAACTAGGAATTTATCTCTGCGAGATATTCAATTCAATTGGACGCATAGCTTTTGTCAAAATATCAATAGAAAATATTTTCATTAAGGAACGCCGTCAACAGTCTAGCTGTCTGCAAGTAGTAAAATGGACGTCAGGGTCAAAAGGTTGACGGAGAAAAATTAGATTTACTTTCATTTCCCACAAGCCGTTTTGTTCATAGATTTAATAAAAAATATATATATCTTGGAAGTTGCCTTTATAGTTTTTCTGCTCTTTAAACAGGAAATTTTAACAATTAAACAAATTTATTCAATATACACTAAATGAAAGACTAATAGAAAAAGGAATATTTATACGACTAGTTCTCTTATACCATTAAGTAATAGTAAAGGTTCTCTTGTAAACCATGTAAATTTTGCGTATTTAATTCAATACACATTGATATATATATTTATCTATATATATATATTCTTTAATTAATCAGAATATGCTTAAAATTCTACGTTCTTTCAATATTTTTTCTATAAGAAAATGCACGTTTGTCAATTCATTTTCTCTTCTAGTTGTTTATGAAAAATGATAAAATATAAAAAGAGACACTCTTTTTATAAATTTTCTCTCTCGTCGTTATTTATATAGTAGCTATGATAATTAAAAAGAAAAAATCTAATATGATGCTTTTACCTATTAGTAAATATTATCATGATTTTATTAGCCTAGCTTGAAAATGATAACAAGAAATTAGTCTTTCCATTTGTCATGACTATTATGAGGAGACTACGAAAGATTCTATTCTTGAATATGAATAGGTAATTAATGTTTAGTCATCCGAAATATGGGCTAAGGGGTAAATAGGACTTAATTTGGAATTTTTCTTGCCATAATCAAGCCTTTTAGCTTGGCTTGTATCAATCAACGACGGAAATATAACAAGAGTACATCAAATTATATTTTGTCCTTTCAAATAAGCTATTTTAACTACTTATTTTGCACTATATCGTAAATGTTTTCTATATAATCATAACTAGGTGCTTATTCTACGAATATTCTCCCTTTATCGTCGATTTCTTGGAATTAAATCAGAGTACACTATATGATTGGGCATATTATACCAGACGCCTTTGTAATTAAATCATTAAGATGACTTTCTTCTTATAATTATACTGACTTTTCCATGACAAATAATACCAATTAATTTCTTTAAATTCTAATGAAAAAAAGAAATACCGCTAATAGTATTTGACTTTCTCTCTTGTTACTCACAGTAAACGGTAGGTCCATCTGTTGCGCTAGCGCCATCTGTTACATAAAGTACCAAAGTTTTTGTTCATTGTTTCTATTCACATAAGTCAGTTGTTTTAATTAAGAAAAATGACTACATAAATAGAAATGAACTAATCAAATTAGTTTCGGTCCGAGTCTAGAAGCTAAAGGCTCAACATTTTCTTATTATTTATATTGTGAACCAATAAATTATTGAACAACAAAGATATTGAATGATTCTCCGGAAGTAATTAATGATATTGTCTACACACAATATTTCTATATTGTGTGCATGTTTGTCTATCTACAAAAGTAGACTTTACAAACCAATAACAATTGAGAGATATTCTATAACTGTACAACATAATTTATAATGCACATAAAAACCAAATAAATACAAGCCATAAATTAGTAAATTTCTATAAAAAGAATTAAACTCGATTTCATTTACAGTCCAAATTTTTTTATTTTCCCTTTTTTTTAGTTATGCATTGAAACAGAAAAAGGACGATTTCGAGCTTGTTTTGAATGAAATAGTTTGTCATGTTTTACCTTTTTTTTTTAAAAAAAAAGAAAAAAACGATATTATATCTAAGATAATAAATTATAAGAAAAATTAAATCTGATTAGCCTATTTATTATACAGTAGATGGCTCTGTTGGTAAAAATTCAACCATATTGTAAAAGTTTACTGAATAAATTAAGTCATTTTACTTTCATATTAATACGGTAATAGATTTCGTGCAAAAAAATATAGATTTATTGCTCATAGAGGAATAATATAGAGTTTGAAATATTTCCTCTTCTCTTCAGCCTCGAAGCATTAGTTTTTCATTCGGTACAAAGATCAAAAACTAATGCTAATTTCAGATCTGTAAACTTTTTTTTGTGATATTGGAACATTCGAAGCCCACCTATTCTCAACTAGATTTTCTTTAAACTAACTCGTACAATTGACCCACTGACCATTCCCTTATTACTTTATTTATCTTGTAGCATGAGTTTTCTGCTAGGAAAACTACAAATAATTTAATAGAGATATCGGATATTTTTGACAATATTTATTTAGTATGAGATAATTATTATAAAAGTATATATGAATATATTTCTATAAGTAGAATATTCGCTCATTTACAGAATATATATGATGTTACGTCTTCACTTCAACTTTTTTTATGAACATAATACAAACTACAAATAAAGTTTCCGAAGATAAATTTATAAGCGAGTATTTAGCAATTGTCGATCTGCAAAATCAATTAACTAATACATTATGATTATTAAACTAAATTCATCTTCTAAAATAGAAAATTAAAAGTATTCACAGATATAACTGATGCAATCCTGATTAAATTATTGAAACTTGAATATTATTCGTTCGATTAGATTTAAAATCAAGACAGCCACTTGTTTTTTTAAATAAAAAATTAACTTGGAAATAAAATACACGAACGATACTCTCTCATTTCATATTAAAATCCTGTTTGTATGCAAACTAACTGTTCAAATTAGTTTTTTGTCCTAATGTTAAGTTGAGAAATTAATAATATAATGATTACCATTATTTTAATTTTTTATAACAACTCTTATAGGACAGTCGTACAAAAACAAACAACAGCTTTTTACTGACCATAAAACTACTATATCGAAAGCAAGATGGAGTCTGGGAGGGGTTAATAAGAGCGCATTCCAGATTTGTCGTCGCTATGATCGCTTTAACAGTAATATTTTTTCTCCTTTTGAATTCTTCAATATTTCCGCCGTGCCAAACTGATTATTGTGGAAGGAACTTTCAAAGGCAATATCATTTGGCTTGTTCCATGAGAAAAAGAGGCATAGACGGATTTCGTAAGTCAATTTTCCTTGATGTCTGTTAATGTATTTGGCCCGTAAAATTATGATTTGTTCAATTGGTCTTACTCCTATATAGTAGAATAATTTTTAGCATTATATAAATATTAATTAATATCTAAAAAAAACAAACAAATCCTAAATATGTTTTTGTATCAGTACTTTTACAATTTGAAAACTTCATATTTTACAAACTATCTACATTGTATACACTTTTTATAAATTGTTTATCTAAACAACTTAACTATGGTCTATAATCTAAGATTACCTTTTATTTGATGAATGGATATTTTACAAGTCAAAATTAATTTAATATGCCTATATGGCTATAAATATATATACTGTACATATTCAAAATCTGCTTAGTGGTTAAATACGTTTCAGACTTTTTAAAATCGTCATGTTTTTTGCGAATTCATTAGAAATTCATGTAAATTAAGTATTTGGATATCATTTATAGTATAGTAGAAGCTAAACAAAAATTAATGTTCTGCTTCATAAAATAGCACTATTTGCTAATAAATTATATAAATCTAAAAAAATAGAAACTCTGTCTCTCTTTCTCTCTCTCTAGAAAAACAAGGTCTTTGCAAGGATAATTATAACTTACAGAGGATCTAATTAATTTGAATTAATAGAAGATAAACATGAAAACACATAACATTTCTCTTAACTTTTGGTTAAATTTCAACTTTTTTTTCTTGATGGTTTGACAATAAAAGCTATTTAATTTACCAAGTGAATATATATATATATATATATATATGTCTTGAGTTTTGTCTATATGAAAGAATTAAATTTCTTGTTTACTTAATAAATTAATTAATTTCTTTTTTAAATCTACAGTCAAACGCGGTAAACTCTTTCAACCTCCTCTTGCTGAGGAAATGCCAATGATGACAGTTGCGAAAAAGGAACACCTGGGAGCTTTACAAAATAGATGCTGTATAGACCCAACCCAATGTTCACTGGATATTCTTAGCAGATTTTGCTATTAAAATAAAAGAAGAGAATGTTCGTTTCTCAGTCATCATTCTACTAAATGCGTAGATATGTATCTTATTAACTTAATAATCTTTAGTTCAATAGAAAAATTATTTAAATATACATAACTCTTTAGTTTATAGATGTTTCAATTTATGACGCAACCAATAAATATGGTAGTAATTTCCTTTATCAAAACTATTTATAAGTATAACGTATAATTATTACGTTTATTATATTTAGTTTTCAAGTGCACGTACCGTAGTAAATAAATATATTTTGTTATATCTGCAACCAAATCAAACAAAGTTTGGAATCATTAAAATTCATTATAGAAATCGTTCCGCTCACTTCATACTTATGATAATATATTTTATACAATTTTTAAAAGAATAAAGCGATATAGATTTACTTCCTCAAAGCTTTTAAGCTAAATGATTTATTTGAGGAATAATGAAAGCATAATTCTGAGAAAAATTTTCTCCTGACTATTTTTTGTTTCCTCTTTATCTTTCTTAATTTTATTTTCTAATTACTATTTACGCTTTATCCGATATTTTTATTAATATACAGTGGAATATATATATATATATATATCTCAATCTTTTTCTTCTTCATTTTTACGAATTTCTTTAGTCAAGCTGTTATCATTAAGTTGATTATGGGAAGAAGAGAGTGATAGAAAGACAAAATATATAAACGTATTCAAAGTTAATCATCTTCTTAAATTTTCTTTTTATCTTCTTTTCGAATTGTAAAAGAAAATCAAAATGTGACAGAATGTTTAGAGGGCAAAAAAAACCAGTTATACCAAAATTAAGAATATATATATACATCTCATTTTAACTTTGCGGTAAAAGAAACATCGCTTTAGCATCTATTGTATGGTTTCCACCATCTCTCTTAAAAACAAGCTGTTTGTCTTATTGTTGGGATTATAATTATAAGTACTTTTGAATATAATAAGAAATTTTAAAGGTTTGAGTCTACATGCAGATTCTGAATAGTTGAAATAGATAATATACTACAAATAGTACAGTGTGTATAGAATGAGAGAACGCTATCGAAAAAAAGATTATGGAAATGTATAACAATATGTATATATAATGAAAGCTTTAATACTTATACTGTATTAAAGTAAAATTAGTTATAAACTATTTAGGCCTCTTCACTCCCCCTCTTTATCGATATTTGATACTTTTCAATAAATACCAAGCAGAGGAAGCTCTTCCTTATTTACCTTTTATTTTCAAAATCTCTTATTTTCTCTTGTGATTTACGGCTTGTCAGTTTATGCCTTCTAGTAAATAAAACAAAGATTATTTTATGAGTTAAAAAAACTAGTTCGTTTTTTTTTCTTTGACTATAATCGAATATTTTCTACTTGTATTTTTTATAGTAATACCATTTTTCAAGTGGTGATTCTTATACCGAATCTAACGTCAATGAGTTATTATTTACAGCTCATATAAAATATCCAGTTTAAAAGAAAAGAAAAAAATATCGTAAAATATAGGACTTAAAGATAAAAGCATGAAAAAAAAAAAGAAAAAAACTTCTACCTAGTTTTTCTTCAGTCGAGTATAAATATCCTATTAACGATACCTAGAAAAAAAACAAACTGTAAATAATTATATCAAAGAACACAAATTTTTATTCTTGATGTCTTAGCTAAATTGATCACCTGTGCGTATCATTTTAAAGCTTAATAATTTCACGGACAGCAGATGGAAAATTTTCTTTAAATTTATTAAAAGTCATATGATGTATGTGTAATATAGACATTATGCTGTATATTCAGTATATACATATATATAAATTGTATTTTAATAATTACTCTGATGTATTGACTTAAGAAAATCTATTTTTCTTTAAAACGTATAGGATTTTATGGAAAAAAAATGGTCTGAAAGTTTATAAGCAATGAAATTCATTTAAAAACTTAATGAAAGCACCATTTGAAAAATAAAATTCATAAAACTGACATATAGAAATATTAAACCACATGGGAACCATGTGAATTTTTAGTATTGTCATGTGTTTCTTTAGACTTGTTTACTATTATAATCAAAACTTATGATCATGCCAAGTATTGAATATAATAAACAAAAGCGGACTAATGACTTTTGAATATAGACCCTTAAGTTTGATATATTTATATACATCTATACTAATATATCACTATATGAAAGATTCGTTTAAATACATGCAATTAGTTAATAATTAAAGAAACGAAACAAAAAGAATACACTTTTGGAAAACAACAGAAATTCTAATAAATAAGTTGAATTTCTCATTTATTCTAGCAAATAAATTAATGTTTTATAATTTGTTTGATGTTTTAGAACGTGTCTTTCACTAAATAAGAAATCGTTGGGGAACAAATTGGAACAAAACAGAAAAGGTTTTATTTTTTACTCTTTTTTCATTTGGTTAAATCACCGAATAAAATTACAAAAAAGTAACTAATCCTTAAATATCTGTACTCGTATAGTTTACTTTGCTACGTAAATCTATCCTAAAGAAAGCGAATAAACTATATTTTACTGTTTTTTTTATACGTAAGCATTTAAAATAACACTTTATCAATTGATAATTGTGAATATGTTATTTATTCGTTTGTATATAAACTGTATATTCGTTTTTTAAGCACTTTGTGACTTCGATTTTCAAGAAGACTCAAAAAAGACAAACAACATGAAATACACGGTTCTCAAACTGACAAGGTCAACATTTACTACTGTAGATGGCAATACTGACATCGCCTCTTCTTACATTGTTCGCTATTCTAATGTTTGCTTGTTAGTTTGCAGGATTTAGACGTTATGATAATTCAGGCCCAAAGATGGCACCAGCAATTACTTCATTAAATAGTTTATGTGACTTTGTGTAGAAACGAGAAAGATCAATTTGTGAATAGGTTTAGAGAGCTAAATCGAAAAAGTGAATAAGTGTATAGTACGATTCAATTTTCACATCCGCCTCTTTCGCAAACGTCGGTTAAAGCTCGATTAGCTTCGTTAACCCCATTCCTTGCAGCATGTTTAATATATTCGTGGGCTTCCCTAATAAAGAGACGATTTAAAAAGCTAATTACAGCCTGAAGAGAAAATATTAGTATCCCTTTAAGTATTTACCCTGGTTTCAATAAATCTCTTCTTATGCCTTGTAAATGTCCAACAGCTACATTGTAAGCTGCATGTGGGTGACCTTGCTTAGCGGATTTCCTGCAAAGGAAAAACTCTGTTTAGGTAATTTCATCGAATAAACTTTTATATAGCTCTCGCTTTCCTATCATTCATTTGTAACACGAAGGATTTTCATTTATAGTCTCATAACCGAAAAAAAGAATATTCTATATATTATAATATTTTAATAAACGCGCTGAAAGAATACTCACTCAAACCATTCCATAGCCTTGTGAGGATTCTTTTCAACTCCCTTTCCATGTAAGTATCTTTGACCGACTTGGTGTTGAGCCGCTGAATAGCCGAGGTGCGCATACCCATGAGTAACATGAAAGTGCAAGTGATCAAAGTAATAATAAGCGTATATGGCGAATACAATGGTTCCTATCAAAGCTACAGCCTGTACATGAGTAAAACGAAATTGTCGTTATAGAAAGGTTATTGATTATAAGGAATGGTATTTTCTTTCCCTTCAATAAACGTTCTGTATATAAATATTAACCTCGACAATTTTTACCCATATTGGATCAGGTTTCTTCCTCCTAGCCAAGTAAACTTTTCCACCATAGGGTAGATTAGGATCCCAATCTGGATCCGTATCGTGTGAATATCTTTGTCGCAAAAGCGTCTCTTCTTCCGCCATTTTGAATGCAGTATGTGGACTATGCGCTGTATTGAACGGCGTTCATAAATTATTAATTATTACTCAATTAAGTAGATTTTACTCGAAAAATCAATCAAGAAGAAGATTCATATTATAAATTCTAATACGTTCAAGAAAAACGAGATGAAATTATCAAAAATTGTACGTTTATTAGAAAATGGGGAAAATTCAACTAAAAGCCAATTTATTTCGACTTAGCATAAATTCAACGATTGAATAAATATATCGTATGATCACTTATGATAACTTGTATTCTCATAAATTTTTCTTTTAGCATGGAGGAAAAACGAGATTTCAAGTTATTTTATGCATATTTCAGTCATGATAATTTATGCAGGGGAGATTCATGATAAAAGATAAAACTTTTCGAGTATTCAAATCAGTTAAGCTTTTTGTATACAATGCGTATTTACTTTAGCATTCATATACACATTGTATATCCATATAAAATGAACTCTATTTTCGATTCTTTGATTTTTTGGTTTGTCTAGCGACTTCGGCTTGTAACTTTGGTGCCAAAAGCTGGCCGGCAGATGGGGCAGGTTGATATGGCGAGAGCTGCATACTAAGAGCGTTTACAATCCACGAATCACATTTAGAGCCAATTCGGAATTCATCTTTTGTTAGTTTACCATCTCTATTCTGTGTCAAAAAAAAACAATACTTATCCAATTTTCTTTCTAAATGTAAGAGTAAACTTTTCACAGATTTGTGCACGTTTCTTTTCTAAACATCCTATATTTAGGAAATGGTACACCAAACATAGTTTCCAACCGGGTAGAAAAATGAATCTACATGGTTGTCTGAGTTTCTGAGTTCTTTCAATATTTCCCTATAATTGTGATACAAAAAACTTAGTGTCTTCGTATTTAGTAGACAAACATGACGGTTGTTTCTGCTATTAATGGTTGTATGCAATCTTAGTACAACTTCGTTAGAGTCTGATTTAGCCTGTGGTCTACAAGCAATATGCTTTTTTCTTTTCCTAATTTCTTTATCCTTCTTCTAAATGAAATACATCCCTCTTTTCCTTATTCTTTCATGTTATCATTATCATTTATTTTAGACCTCTGTAATCATATAACGAAGTTTCAATTCAAATTTATGTTCGTATTAGAATATAAGTAAACTATACAAGTTTTATTTTTCACTCTTTCTATCCAAATTTAAGAACACTGAAATTCAAAAATAAACATTCCTGCCTTCCTCTTTTTTTAACAACTATCCAGTTTCCTCTATAGGTTAAGTAATTTTTACTATTTTCTTGTATATAAAAATAAAAAGGCTTCAACTTGAAATAATAGAAAACGTAAGGCTCTAAACGAAACCTTTTCTTTAATATGAATAAAAAGTGGAAATTATTCTTTTGGGTTCATTAGGCTTATTTTTAGAGTATTCCGCTTCAAGGTGTGCATTAGGCTTATTCTATTTATACAATTATCCTGTCTATTTTGCTTAAGTAGGATGCATTCATGTATAAAAATACAGAATCTTCTTAAAAATGGCGTCCTTTTCAATCTTTTCTTGCAATATTGCTTTCGAGGTCTTGTAGCCTAACAATCCTTCTCCTCCCTAGCTATTCATTCTTCCCACCTATATCCCTTGAGGTCGTTTGTAGAAAGTTGATTAGGAAAACGTCTTTTGGAAAGAGACTATTCAATTACAAGGATATTTCTTTTTATCTATTCAGTTGTAAGAATTTTACGGGCAAACTCGGAGTGAGCCTGATGAGATTTTTTTTATTGAGATTGGCATGTTTGTGAAATTGGATTGTAATCTATGGATTATCTCCACAGCAAGGCAATTTTTGCCTTCCGTTGAGTATATTTCCTTCCTCCTTTTATAGTTTCATCCCTGATCTTTAGTATGTTAAATAAGATAAATATGGAAAGAAGCATAATCCTGATTGGGTTTATTGTTGTTTTTCACTGGGCTCAGTTAACAAACCCCGAGTATAATGAAATATCCCAATGGAGTTACTCTTAAGTAGTAGTGTTATATGTTCAATTATCAAAAGGCTTGTTTTTTTTGTTTTCATTCATATCTCACTCTATAACTTTTGCTGACGTTTTTCCGATGTTTGTCAATCTTTTTTTTTATATTCGTCATTTCCTGACGTGCATAAGAACTACTTGGCAAAAAAAATCTTTCTAGTTTGTTGTTTATTTCTTATTTTATTAGCTGCGAGCTTTGTAAATGTAAATCAACATGATTTAGGCAAACCAAATGAGATAGCTGGCATTTATTTTAGCTGTCCGAATGTTTTTCTTCTCATAAATAGAAAAGATCGAGAAGGGTGAAATGATAGATTGTAATGATTTTAGTTTGTCATTTATGTATCATTATTTATTCAGTTATATCTATCAGCAGATTTTGTCATTTTAATCTGTATTAGATATTAGAAAGCCACGTGTTAATCAACATGTTAAAATGTATATATAGGGATATACAGTGGTACCATTTTTTTTCCTTTTCCTTTCTTAATTATTTTTTGCTTTGGTTCCTTAAAAGCTACTTCAAAACTCTCAAGCATGATTCAAACGTCTGGTTAGCGTGACGTATATACTATACCAAACGTGATTTAAGTAAAAAAAAAACTTAAAAACCCTACCGTATCCATTTGGTCAAAGATTTTATCGACCCTCTTCCTAGGCGAATCTTCGTCATCGGGTAATTGAAGGAAAGATCCAACCATTGCATGTATTGCTTCCACCACACTTATCATCTCCATCCGATCGATATAGCCATCATCGTCCAAATCATACAAACTAAACGCCCAATCTAACTTTTCGTCTAAATTACCCCTTGAAGTAATGCTTAAGGCGTGAAGGAATTCTTTAAATTCGATGACGCCGTCTTTATTTTGATCGAAAACATTGAAAACAGCTAAAGCGAATTTAGAAGGATCACCGTGCGGAAAAAATTGTTGATAGATAGCCTCAAATTGATCTCTTCTAAGGGCTCCGTTTGGACAGTCTTTCAGGAAGTCTTTATGCCTGAAAGAGAAAATTTTTTTCAAAATTTACCAAAAATATTTGCATATCAAAATTCGAATCTTCGATGCAAGTAATTTCCAATTAACCACCCGAATATTAACGAACGGGACTTTGTTCTGCATTATGAATATTAATGAAAGCTAAATATAGATTTCCACCCTGTTTTCTTTGCTGTTCCCTTGACGGGGTTATCTAAAATTAAACATTCTCTACACTGTCAAGTAAGTTGAGTCGAAGAGAATAAGACAAAATGAGAACTAGAGGTTAACGGTAATTTGTTTTTCTCTTTCTTGTGTTCTGTTCGGATCAATCATTTTCGTCAATAATACCACAAGCAGAAGATGACAAACACGAGGTTTACTCTCGAAATCAATCCCAATTCTTCAGTATCCCTAACAAATCTTATCTCAAAGTCAGTCTTTCCTAACTAAAAGAAACTCTTTTCAGTCTTTCTTCAACGTAACGTGTCACCCCTATAAATGAACTCATACCACTCAAAGGAGTAAATAATAGTAAATAGATGAAATGAAGAGTCATCGTTCAATTTCTCCTTACTCATGGCTAAATAAAAGAATATTTATAGGATAATTTAATCTTCTATCAGTACATTGGATGGAGGAAAATTTTCTAATGCCGTGCAAAAGAACAATTAAGCTTACAGGTCGAAAATACTAATATATTGATGCTAGTAAAACTTGAGTACGAATTCTAAAAATTGCCCCGAGATCTTTTATTTATTAATAACATAAATACAGAAGATTACAAGACAAACTTTCAAAAAAATTATCTTTTTTGATCTAATTAAGTTTCTTAAATAATAACTGTATTTTGTTTGATCATTAAGAAGGTGAGGTGACTACATTCAACAGTAAAATAAAGAAGACGAAAAACTAAAGAATTAATGTGAAAGGAAAAAGGAACCGGAGATATCTATAGTCGTTAATTTAAGATAATAGATTTCTCTAAAATCTTACTCCAAAATTGAGAAAACAACAGTAGCCTTTCTAGAGTAGTAGCGACTTTCTCAGAAAATGATAAAGATCTCTGACGAGGAAAAAGTCGATCTTAACTTCAATCCTACTGCTTTATTTATAAATATGTTTTAAAATAAAAACAGATATTTTCATCATATTTTGTTGTTTGATTGTTAATTCGAATAAATATTATTTCTTTATCGAAGATAGGGGGTAATCCTTTGAATTGCACTGTTTATATCTAGTACAAATTCGATTTGGAAAGACGTCTCTTATCGCGTTTTTTAGACGACGAGCCACCCGATCGATGAATCAATATTGTGAAGCTTTTTTTGGCCAACTCGGAAATATTTCCGCTGACATATAATAAAAACAGCAAGCCATCATAAAAGGTCAAGAAAATAAACTACAAAAATTTAAGATACACAGAAGAATTAGTCTAATGAGCATAGGAAGGAACACAAATATTTATAATTCGTTTTCTTTTTTACGTACCATTGTTGTACTTCTTTCTTATCAACTGTCAAAAAACATTACGGTAATACTTAAACGAAAAGCGGATAATATCTAAAATTAGAATCTGTTCTCTTTCGATTTTGTATACTTACAATAAGTAATTTCCGTTAATTCCTTTATCTGTTCGGCTGAAAGTTTACTAGAGCCCCGTCCCATTTCTCAATACTGAATGACACTAGCGTTCGAAATTTTTGCCCTAGCAACGCATGCGCAGCAATTGGTCTCCATAGCAACAAAATCAAAATTGACTATATATAACTATGTCTTGACCTATCTTGAAACAGATACTCTGAAATATATGTTCAGTAGTCAAAGAGTATTATATTCCTACTAGTTACATTAAGCCTGACAGTAAATATCTTTCCAAGTACGACAAAACAGCCGTTTTTATTATTTTCACTATTTCTCTCTCTCTCTATCCCAAACTCCATCTATCTCTTTCTTTCTTTCTTCGTTCATTTTTCTCTCTCTCCTTCATGACTTCATTCCCACTCTTTCCTTACATAAAAATGCAGCAATTTACTCTAATAATGCCCTCAAGTAGCTTTCTTTCTAACTCACAAAATTATCTAATAGAAGCAGATTCGTACTTATTCACTGAAAATGGCTTATTCACAATAAAATATACAAGAGGCAGGCGAAAAATCCCCATAAAATTAAAAAAAAGCATTTATTCTCCCCACTAATCACTATTTTAAAAACAATTTAGGGGGGAGAAATTCCTAACGCAAATAGAGTTATTTAGATTTACATCTAAAGGACTAAACCTAATGTCCAATGATATTTTAAGTGTATTAAATGATACAGAAAGGGTAAAAAGCCAAATCGAATACAAGATTAGAGGAAATACACATAACCATCAATTTATTTTACAATCAGTCTCCAGTAGATGGCAGCTTTTCAAAGTATTGAATAAGAAAAGTCAAAGGATCAGTCCTATTCACTTCCGCTGTCAAGTTCAATAAAATATAGCGCCAAATAAGTTATTGGGCAATGATTTTCAATAGGTTCACGAAGAATTTCAAAAAAGGCAATAAAATCAGAACAAATGTAATAAAATTTGGACATCATCATCTAGTACGATTTTCTTTTGACAGGACTCATAATAATGAGACGCCCCATTCCTTCCCACGAGTTTTCGTGGCGAAACCGATTTAGTCTATATAAAGGACAACGTTTTACTAGTGACTAAGTCGACCATTTGGAACATTTTCGTTAGTCGACAGAAATGTCAGTCAATTTGTAGAGAGTTCCCACAAAGTAAATGACATCTTATAAATAAGCTAACATTTACCAACTTGCATGTATTACATATTTATATTAGCACTATCAATACAAATCGAAAAATAAGATGTGTCATAATGAAAAGTATGATAACTATAGTAGGCAATTGATTTATTACGAGAGTCGAACATCGTTTTTCTACTACAGGCAATCTAATTTAAGGAGTCTGAGTTTGGAGTTCCAAAGAAGCTTCATCATGCATAAATCGCGTTTTCTGCATTTGTTGGATACTCCCTCGGCGTGGAGGTGGAACATTTACGGCCGTCATTTGCCCATAATAAGCCATTCGATTATTTGGTGGCAAAACGAATCTTTGATCTTTTGAAATAGTTAATTGCCTAGCTTCTTCGGCTTCCCGCTCCATCCTCTCTTTTCTAAGCTGTTTACACCTCTTAAGTTTCCCTATCTTGTAAATGTCTATTAGGTGACTAATACTGGGGATAACAATTATAGCAACAAATAAAAGACCAAATAAAAACCAAACTACAAAATAGTTGTCATCTCGAACGCTGATTTGGAGTTTTATTCCATATTCGTTTTTGAGGGCTCGAACGGCAGTTACTGGTCTTAGAGTACTCGACATACTTAAAAAATTTGTTCCTAGAATAATTGCGAAACCTTCAATCTATAAGCATAACATATTTATAACTCGTTTCAAAAATAATAATTACAACAATGTTCAAATTTAAGCCTACTATTCTACAAATCGAATCGAATTTTCCATCTTTATTCTTACTTTATAATCCTAATCGCGTAAAGCATACAAAGAACCTTTCCTAGAACATTCTATATATAGACCTACAAATATTGTTTGCTATTGTTAAATTCTGTTTTTTAAAAATAATTTAACGATATTTTAAGAAACCAGAGAAGGCTAGCAAAGAAGATTTTTTTCAGAAATATTAATTAAACTTGTTTAAAGCAAGATCTAAATATTTAATCCTAAATAGTAAACGCTATAAATCATCCTATCCAAAACTTGTCAAAATATGCGATGATTATAATCTAAAACAGGATATCTTGAAAGCTAACTGACCTCTATGAAGGTTATAGAGTACAAATTTCTTCATTACTAAAATGAAATAGTATCTGTCTTCAACTCAATTGGAATACAATATCAAAGAAAAATATTGTCTGGTTTCCTTTAAATTGAATTTCTTCTCAGATCATGGCTATTTTTTAAAATGTCCACTAAAGGTTTTAAGAAAATCCGATAAAGGCTCCATCTATCTTTATAAATCATAATTTCTCTATAAACAAACTAAAACTTAACATCAAAAGGGATAAAAGTAATTCAATTTACAAACTTCATAAATTTTTCCCAATATATATTTTTGTCTGTAATTGACTATTATTGTAATTGTTTTGCTGTGAAAATATAGTATATCACGTAGAGATAAAAGAGAGTTAGATTGAAAGAATTCTAATTACGAATTGATAATTCCTTTTAAGAACCTTTAAAATATTTTCCAAGAATGACTCAAAATCTTACCTTTTATATGGCTCACTCAAGAATTGAGCGCTTTTTATTAAGATGTAAATTAATGAGAAAACCTTTATTACTGAAAAGTAAAATAAAAAAAAGTAGGATAAATGACCGAATGGAAAAGGGTCAAAGGGTAAAATATGACCAGAATGAATTTCGATATATTTATCAGAGCTTAAAAGACAATGTATCCTTGGGGAGTAAATTCCCTACATTGTATCACTATCTTGAGTTAAGGCTTAAGTGACGAAAAAACTGCATCACTTCTTTTCCTTTTGACAGTTTGTCAAAATAAGATTCTTTCCCTGTGGAATTCTTCTTTGAAAAACTCACTAGGAATCCGATACTAAATGATACTTAGCATGAAAAACAAAAGACCTATCAAATTAGAAGTTTGTTTCAAATTTTATCCTTGAGTCTTTAGCTTTGAATTCTTTTTTATGTCTAGATATAGAATTATCTAAAACCCTTGGCAAACTAAACTGATGCGTTAAATTGTACAATATTGATGAGATCTAATGAAGTAACTGTTATCTATTTACCTGCTAAAATTTATCGATCAACTTTTCCTTTAGAAGCGAAATCTGAGTCTAATCATTCTGCGAGAAAAGCGACATTAGGCAACTGTTGATTACTGCTATAGAGACACATCTTCTGAGTTCCTAATCCCTGAAGAATTTTCAATTAACTATACCTGTTTGAATATGAATAAAAGCGACTTTTTCGAAAGTAATTTCAGAGAATGGGAGAATTTTAAAGTGGAGGCAAGAATATACTTTGGGCTAATATCTCCGATAGGTTTTATATTAAATATTTTTCTGTTCATTATAATGATAAGAAACAAGAATATCTATAATAAAGTGAATAATTATGGACTGGTCTGTCTTAGTTGTAATGACGCATTAACATCTTTAATTGCTCTACCCGTTATCATTTATTACTCTACCTCTGTTAAAAACTACTATTCTTGTATGTATTCGCACTATCCATTGTTTACATGTTTTTTGATAGGCTTTCTGATTATCCTAATGACAACTGTCGACAGATTTATAGCCATAATATTTCCTCTGCATTATAACCTTATTATAACGGAAAGAAGAATAAAGTTTACCATTGTCTTTATAATTATACATAGCTTATTCGTGTGTGCAACACCATTGATGGGATGGAATAGGACATTAGAAAAAGACTTCTCAAGTGAAAATTTTGTGTTCTGCAATTTTTTATCTGTTCAAGGATCGCCATTTCTGAAATTGTATGTCATGGGACATCTGATTGCACTCTCTTTTCTTAGTTTATGTTTATATATTCCTATTCTAAGAATTATTTACATTAAGAGAAAGGAAATGGAAAGTAAAATTTTATCAGGAACCATATCTCTATTAGCTCAAATCGTAGTTTTAATAATTCTATGGATTCCATTCTTTTATATGGCATCCTTCATAGCCTTTATTGATCCAACTGAAAGATTTATATATATTTTAGGAAGAAATCGTTTTGTTAAGATAGTAATATATTTTTTCTGTCTGTATCCTATTTTAAATCCTCTCCTCTATGGATATACAAAAGTAGACGTTAGAAGAGATATCACTAAACTATTGAATAAACTGAAAAAAAAGAGAAGTAATGGAGGACATTCAATAACTGTTACTGTTTGTCCCGTTTAATTAATAATCTTCGTTATATTCAAATCGTGTAGTTTTATTAAAAACTTGAATACAAGTAAAAATATTTAATTACCTAAATTTTAATTAGACAGCAAGTTATTTCGAACAAGCTTGTTAAACATAAACATAAAATTCAATTTTTAGCATTATTTACATCCTTTCCAGCTAGCTTACTCAAAATTGTATCGCCTTTTGATAAATACGCAAGTAAGCCTTCGTTGTTTTCATTTGAGCCTGATGCTGAATAGTTGATTTTGTCATTTTTTGTTGTTGTCATTTTACCTCCCATGGCGTTCACAATAGCATTTCCTAAAAGAAATTGATGTAGTGAACAGTTAAATTTTATAACTGAGATTTAAATTTGTACATACCAGCACAAATATCCCATTTCTTTATTTTTGTATAATGAACATAAGCAGTTGCACCACCTGTTAGAACCTGAATAGTTTTATAACCCGCACCTCCAGCAGCTTCTATTTTGACATCTTTTCCAAATGCTTCACTTAAGATTTCCTTAACTTTCGATCCTGAATGCGATCGAGATATGATAAATTTCCAGTCAGGACTACTGGGCTGCGCGTCTTTCTTGAGATTGCTGGAAACCTTACCACCTTTAGCATAGCCCCAGAAAGTCCTTTTGTTCTCTGTAGCATATGGAAAATGAATGACTCCAAATTCCGGGACCCCTCTAATAGCTATACAAATCATTGTTGAAACATATTGGTTCAAGTCTGTTTGAAAAAAAACATATGTTATAAATTTTAATCGTTAAATAATTGATTAAATATTACCCTCAGTATATTCCTGGGTAGCATCCAATGGATCCACCCAGATTGTTATGTCTGATTTTGCAACTCTGATGTTGTTTTCGGATAATTGTTGAAATATATCTTTATTAGCCAAGTCTATTGAAGAGGTAATAGGTTGAATCTTCTCGTCGACATCTGATTTTTCCTCTGATTTTACCTAAAAAAAATCATAGAAAGGGTTTAGTAACGAGATAAAATAGAGCCGCCTTCCTTTGCTCTTACTGTTAATGTATCTCCATAAACTTTTTTGAAACCACCAGTAATTACTTCATGAGAACTTAGGTCAGCTTTCGTTTTATATTCCTTAGCTCCTTCCTTTGTTTTACCTTTCACTACAGCCTCTTTGTCATTATTTTTTACAGCTAATATTCTGTTACCCCCTTTTTCGGCCAAATCAATAGAAACGGACATTAATTCTCTCATATCTACTGTATCTGGTTTGGAAAAACTAAAAAATCCAAATTTGTAAACGAATAGTAATAGTATGAGTCCAATGATTAAGGTAATTCCAAAAGGATTTAATTTTACATTCACTGATGCCATAGTTGGCGTGGCGCTGTCAGTATGTCGTCTGCTAACTGGATAGACGTGAAAATATTTTTCTTTAGGTGAAATATCGATTAAATTAATCTATTATTTTGCTTATTTTATATCATAACTCGACTTGTCAAATTTATCTAATAAAGTTCTTCTAAAAACTTATTTATTTGAAGCTATACGCATGCGCATCACCTGTATTGTTTAAAGGGCAAAAAAGATTTGTGAATTTGTCTTTTTTCAGAGACTAAATAAAATATAAAAGTAATTCAATGTTCTATTAATTTTAAAATTAAGGAAATTTATTACAAAAGACATTTTTTCCTATAAAAAACTTGCTTTACTTATTTTTATTAACAAATATCTAACTAATGTCCAATTCTTCAATTACCTTCTGAGCTTCTTTAAGTTCTGATAAAACAAATGGATAAAAATGAATTGTAATAAAATATAAGAAATGTCGACGAACCATGCAATAGTATGTTCAATTTTTCTTCTGTCAAACTAACTGGAATTGACTGCAGTCGGCCATTTTCTCTCAATTTCAAGTTTAGTTGAAGGCAAGGCGTGTTTATCACCTACAGTTTATATTTAAAGAAAATACTACTATATGACAAATACTTGTAGAATAATCCCAATTACCTCTGTTCTACTACTGGCTAGCAAAATGTCTGCCCTCCAGTCAATTCTCTCCAGGTAGGGTACTAATATTGAAAAGTAAGTATTAAGAACCTGAGAGGAAAATAAAAGTGTTCTCATAAAAAAAAACTTATTTTTCTAACATCTCAAAGAGTTTTCTCGAAAATGATCGTGAAGTCGAGTGAAATTGTCTGAAAACGACTTTCCAAGTGATGTTGAATGCTCTATTAAAATTAATAATTGATTTTGAATAATTAGAAAAGGATGGAAAACAGTATTTTACAAGTAATCAACCTTTCGGTAAACCAAGCTGTTGTAATTCATCCACAAGAACTTTTGTATCAACGTTATAACGAACAGCGTGGCTTATTATGAAGTTTACAGTGCTTATTGTTGCCTTTATATCGTCTTCCTCTAGTAAAATATTTCATTGTGTTAATAAACATTTATAAAAAGCAGATGCTATAAATTAGCATAAAGAATTAATGCCAAATACCAAATTTTGCATCTTGTGTCAGCTTGCCAACTTTTTCGAACTGTTACAAAATAAATCACCCTTTTAGAGGAAAAGTAATAAATTATGATTATATGTCGTATAAAGATTTATCTTAAAAGCTATCGAGAATTACGAGAAACACGTAAGAAACCGATTCAGCATAATAAAAAAATAGTACTTTTAGGGATAAATCAAAAGTAAAACCGAGTTATCAATTATTGAAATATATAAGTGCTCGAGAGTGTTTCCTCTACTGAGAGAGAATTGTTTCTACATTACGATATAAGCTCGCATTGACCAATGTTGTTTTTGGAAGAAATCTAGTTTAATGACAAAACTTACATCGATTGCTCCACCAAGTAGATCATTAACAATTTGAGCACAGAGAAGTTTAACTTTTATTGAACTCTAAATAAATTGTATAAACAATAAAGGCATCATTTAATTAAACTAATATAACTCACTAATCTAGAGAGGGTTGAGATTTCTGCCAGAACCCAATCTGGACAATCCAAATCTCCGCAAAATTTAAAACGCTGCAATTAATATTACTTAAAAACTGATTACACAGCGAATTTTATTACCATTTTTAATCAAGGAGAAATGTATTTTGCAAAAAATTAGAGGAAATTAACGCCCAAAATTTTATTTCGGTCTACAGAATGGAGGCTGACATTTTTGTTTTAAAAAAAGTATTGCATCTGCTATCAGTTCTTATTTGACGCCATTTTAAAATTTCTTCACTTGTGTGTTAATCTTACTCTATGATTAAAGTTCAAGGCTGAATGTTGTTTATGGCGGGAAAGAGTTCTAAAGAGAAAAAGACACAAAAATTTATTTAACTTAATGATCAAGTATAGTTGCAGTTTTATTTCTTAAAAACTTGTTCAAACTGTTGCAATAGTATTAAAAAAAACGAAAAACTTTTAAAAAACAAAAAATAGTAAAAAAAGTATTAATTTCTCATATTAAAAAATGACGTTAACTGGAGCTGTCCAGAGATCTGTTGAAGAGGTTTGCGCTTAATTACTTTTTGATCCTTTTTCTTTTTGTTGTCGGTCGCATTTAATGAATTGGCAATGTTTCTTTTAGCTGTTTTCTTTTTCGGCTTTTTTGCGCAAGGTGATGAGTTTGGTTCCAAATTCTCCTTATCCGCTTCTAAGTCGTTTGTATAAAGAGAATTTAAGTTTACGTGAACAGATTTCTTTTGTGCCTTGTTTTGATCTTTCTGAACGATTTTCCTAAATAAAGAAAAACATAAGTGAAAATAATGTATAACAAAAATTTCATTGAAAATTTACTTTTTTGGAGGTGTTATTGGTTTTGGAACATTTTTCAAGTCTAAAGAATCAGGTAATGCCCAATCCAGAAATGATTTACATTTACTCTTCTGAAATTTAATAGGAGATTCTTTAACTTCCGTGACTGTCGCGAGTTTTTCATCTACGCTTTCACTCTCTTTTTCCTCGGGAGATCTTAAGAACAAATTTTTCAGTTTATAATTTATACATTTAATGCTTTTTCTATCAGTCTTACTGGAATTTATAAATTACACTGCACATTGGCAGTGGCGTTTTTCTACTTGATTCTCCCTGTATAATTTTCTTTAGAGATGAACTGCATCGACTTGCATAGTCGTCCAAGATTCTTTGAATTATCGTCATAGCTTCAACCCCTTCGTAATTACAAGTTTCCTGAAGAAAACAAAGAGAATAAATACAAACTTGTTATCTTTCTTTAAAATATTAAGTTTATTTACCAATTCCTTTTTATTTGAATTGCTAATGTCAACTCTCTCAATTTTCGCTATAGTACGCTCACAGGTGGATGCAACCTTATCTTTCTTAACTTTACAATCTTTACATTTCAATATGGCTTTCTTAATCGCGTTGACCACTGACTTTATAGCTTTTCTGATATTGGTTTTGGGACTAAATGAAAAGTAAAGATATAATATGAGTTTATTACCTGCTGTTCTTTTCATCCTCCACAATCGAATGCAATTTATGAATAAAATCTGTAAAATCTCCTAAAGCTTTCAAATAATGCGATAGGGGATCATTTTCATCAGGTGCGTAGCTTTTACCACCGAGACGAGTTTTCATTACGTACGAAACGGCAGTCTAAAATGACAGGAAATAAGTGGTGAAAAATTGTGGGTTTTATATAAAACAAACCTGATAGAGGCTCATTTCTTCCGAACGATGCTTGAGAACAGTAAACGCTTTTTGATCAAATTCCCTCTCTGGAACATTGATTGCTCTTGCTAAAGCCAACTCGTTTCTTGTGTTTACTGTCAATTCTAGATATGCCATCAAGGCTTCTTCAGTATAAAGCTATAATAGAGAAGCATACAGAGAGTTAATATATTTATATATATCTTTCATAAATATATGGATATATGTATAAAGCATGTATGTTTCAAGTAAAAAATTAACCTCAGAATTAGAAAGCGAATTTTGTGACGTTGAATCATTTGTAAAATTAATTGCATCGGTCTTACATCTTGAAGTAATAATATTAATTTCGCTCAATGCTTCTTCGCAAAAACTAGCATTTAGAGGAACTTCCACAGATAAATTAAAACATTTAAGTAGCTTCATTAATTCCTTCAACATTTCAAGCTGAAATGCAATAAAACAAGTTAGTAAATAATTAACATCTTGAAATGAATAAAGGATATTTACTTCCACACAATTTGAAGGTTTACCAATAAAAAAAAAACACTTTTCTTTTAAATATAAATTAACTGGACTAGAATTGAGGAGCTCTTTAACTGATTTATATAAATCTATTGCATCGAACATATTGCAACGCTGAAGATATTTTGTATATTTTTCGACTAGAACGTTTGACAGACTTCCAACATCTCTTTCGTATAACTTCTTTGATAAAAATTGCTCATGTAAGTCTTTCAGTTCATTGAAGCTGATTTCACTCTCTTTGTTTTCCTACAGATTTTATATTAAAACGAATAAATTTTATACTTCGAAAAGAAGCAGACATACCTCTTTTTGGCTTTCGAATAAGCAAAGTTGTAAAACAACAAGCTGGTCGTCATGTGAAAGTAATGTTCTGTTTGATTTTGAATTTGAACTAAAATGTCTGAATAATGATGTATAATACGATGTAATAGTTTGTCCACAATTATAAGAGTCAGATAAAACAATAAATAAAGTAGATCGCTCGTCTGAAATAAAATAAACAACTAAAGTAGCTTGACAAATTATCCAAAACAACTTACCGTTTTTCCCACCAAGTATTTCGTCTTTTTGTTCGTCATCTATGTTCACAGCTTTCTCTTTAAATCTATTTACGATTGTATCTACTAGGCTAATCTCAACATTCTCCGCCAGAAATATCTTCCCTGCATAATCCTTCATAGTGTTTATCTCCAGTTAACTACTAAACTCTTATTAAATTGAAATTAAAACGTTCCTGTTTTTGAATATGGTGGTGTAAACAAGGCGTTAGTGTGGTTCTATGTTCTAATAAAAGGGCCGCTTTATCATACTTTGTGCGTAACCGGATACCAGCCTTGTAATATAAGCCTAGGAAAGGGTTCAATACTCCCGTTCATAACAAAGTTTTAAAAACCATGGAACAGCTAACCTAGCTAAATAAAGGTAGCAGACAGATATCTACAGTACAAAGTTAATAATTTTAAAAGTGTGCGATTTATGGCTTGATATAAAAGGAAATTTATTGAAAATGCTAAAACTAAGTAGGGGAATTATTTTTAGGGATTATTTCAGATTATATGATTGCAAGCTTGGACCCTTCATTAGAAAAGTTCCGGAGGTGATATCAATTTCTGGGACTCGGTACTCTAGTTCATTATCAGCTGAAAGGAGAAGTCATTTTAAGGTTATTAAAAGCGATATTGACACGAATTCGGTAGAGTTTAAGACTAATTACTCCTACAACGAGTCTGTGAATTCTAAGTATAATGAAGCATTGAAAGTATCCTTGGCTGGTGGAAGTGATAAAGCCAAGTCGCGACATTTAAAGCAAAGAAAACTTCTTATTGATCAAAGGTTACACATATTATTTGATAGTTACGATGAAATTTTGGAACTATCACCAGTCGCGGGACTCCAAATGGAATATGGTGATGTACCTAGAGCAGGCACAGTTACAGGTAAATTACGACGGATATATATGAATGTTTTGCAGTTTAATGCCTAACTTTTTAATTAGCTATTGGTAAGGTAAATGGTATATATTGTATGGTTATTGGGCAAGATGCCACAGTTAAAGCAGGAACAATATATCCCATATCCTTAAAAAAGCAATTGAGAGCTCATGATATAGTCATGCGGCACAACATTCCATGCATCTATTTGGTGGATAGCGGTGGTGCTTTTCTCCCTCTGCAGGTTTCTTTAATTTCAACTTAATGTACAGCAATTTATAAATTTTCCAAATACAAGGCCGAAATATTTCCCGATAAGAACACGGGAGGACGATCATTTTTTAATGAAGCAATTATCTCATCATTAGGGATACCTCAGGTGCTTAATCTAAATTCTAATAAGTTATTCTATAAATATGTGTATTACAGATGGCTGTTGTTTGCGGTAGTTGCACAGCCGGTGCGGCTTATATTCCTTCAATGTGTCAGGAAGCTGCTATCATAGACAAAACGGGGACAATTTTCCTTGGGGGTCCACCACTAGTTAAAGCAGCTTTAGGGGAAATAGTTACACCCGAACAACTGGGAGGAGCAACACTACATTGCTCAAAAAGTGGCGTAACTGATTACTTTTGTAAAGACGAAGAAGAAGGATTGTCTACGGCGAGGGAAGTGGCACTTACTTTCAATATGAAGGAAGTTGACGATCCGAAGATGTACGATGTGCCACTCTATGGACCTGACGAATTACTTGGCTTGATTTCAAAAGATAACCAAATAGATTCTAGACAAGTGTTAGCAAGATTATTAGATGGTTCTAGGTTTCATGAATTTAAAGCTTTATATGGGAAAGAGCTTATTACAGGATTTGGTCATTTAGAAGGGTAGATAGAATACATAGACTCATCAAAATAACAACTTTCAATTATTTTTTTTTATCAGGCGTTTAATTGGAATCGTTGCAAATAATGGTAAAGTAGGCTATGAAGAAGGTACTAAAGGAGCTCATTTTGTTCAGTTATGCGATCAAAGGAGTATTCCTGTTGTTTTCATACAAAATACACCTAAGGAAGACACTTTTTTTGGTTCGTAAACCATATTTTTCTTTGTAAACGAGTGTTTTATCTCTTTATAACTTTTTAGAAGCAGAAGATATTAAGGCTCATGCCCAATTAATGTCAGCCGTCGCGTGCTCAAAATCGACAAAAATCACTGTGATCATTGGCGACTCTTTTGGAGTTCACAATTATTTAACGGTAAAATTCTATATTACAAGTCAAAACTAAAAGAAGGGTTACTCTAGATTTAAAATAATCACATCACTTCATTATTGGCTAAAAAATGAAACATCTATTCATCATAACAAAACAAATCGAAAAAGGTTTTTTTTTCCAGGGTGGGAGAAGTTTCGAACCAGATTTTCTCTTCTTGTGGCCAAATGCTCGAGTAGCTATAGAAAATCCCAGCAGATTGTCTAATGTTGACGAAAAGGAGACACTGGAACGAACATCATCGGCCCTCTACTCTACTAGTAGATGCTGGGATGACGGTATAATTCTACCGCAACAAACCAGAAAGGTATATTAGGAGTTTTTCTAAGGGTTCTCCATTAAAACGTGTTTTTCGTTTCAGACGCTATCAAAATGTCTAAGCATAGTAGAACAATCTAAAGGCGTGCGTCGAGAAGATATGCAACATGCAGTTCATAGATTATAACAACACTAAAATTTGTCAATATGATCTAATTGATAAAAAAAGAAATGTTTAAAATACATGAATTAAATTGGCGTACACTTCTATTTATTTTTTTTATACGTTCATAACATTCGATAAATATATCTCTTTGTATTAATATGTAAATATTTTCATATATTCATACGTACATACATAGAGATATATTCATATGTTGTACGAATTTTGCATTGATCTCAATAACACCGTGGATAAATAGATATTCAACTTGCACTACTCTTCCACGCTAGACGCTCCCGTTGTAAATGGCAAAAAAAAGGTCTGATTTTTGTATTTAGTATATTTATCACTTGACCTACTTTTTTTATACATTATGACCAACTTTCTGATGATATAGTCAACGTCGAATATCTCATTTATCTACAGCAACACACGTCTACTAATAAAACGACGACTAAAGCGAACTAAAACGTCTTTTTACATTTCGTCAAACGTCTTTTTCCTGACTTTACGAAAAAAGCGTACTTAATGCGAAAGCTGCACTGGTTAAGAGAAGGATGCAAGTCGTCTTGGACGTCTTTTTAGGCTTATCTTTTTCGGTGGCGTTACTGTTTACCAGAAAAGCAATGAACTTTCATATATAAAATAGAAAACTCAACTCGAAAATAGAATGTGACAATTCAGCTTAACATAAATAAAACTTGTTAACGAATGACTATGATCGTAGTTTGTTGTAACAGACGATTGTCTAAGTTTCATATGATTGATGTTTCCTTACGTTTGCACTCGAAACGTTTCCTAAGTATATTTATACGTGGCCAATATATATACCTAGAGAAGATATCGACCTAAATATAGCTGTTAATGAAATTACGCTGGCTCCTCGGTTTAATTTCTTAATTACCAGCTAGACCCGACATTTCTAGTTTGGATTAGCGTCGAGCCTTTGATACGACGAATGGTAGGCCTACAATGAGCAATAAAAGATGCCCTTGAGAATAGCTCTATTGTCTTTAGTCACATTGAATAAACTAATTTAGAAGCTTTTAGCGATTAATTTATACCTTTTCGTATTCTTTTCTGGTACCTTTGAAGCTTCACAGAGGCTATTTTTCTTCGTAGGTGTACTAAATCTCCTAGGTGGAGCCGAATAACTTCCCCGATGGCTTGAAGACGCTATAGCTCCACTAAGGCTCATTGTCTAATCAAGGATAACAAGCATTAAATATTATATTAATTCTCTAGCATATATACTTACTTTGAGTTTAATGAGACGTCGAAGTTTTTATTAGGGGCGTCTACAACATGCTTCGGAATATATAGCTTTTCGACGGGGCGTCCAACGATACCGACGCCACCTGACGTTTTTGTCGATGACTATCGCAATTAGATTTCGTGAATAACAGCATAATACCACCTGACTTGGTGTTACGCTACTATACACGACACCCATTGCAACCTCTCTTATTTTTATTATTATAGAATCGAGAAAAGAATATATTCCATGTAAGAAATGTGTTGATAAGAGCAATTATTAGAATTTACGGTCATCTATTCGTGTAATAACATTGTTCTGATTCTCAGTAACATCGCAGTATCAATCCATTAGACTTACCAAAACTGATTTCTGATCCAAAGTGTTGAAAGTTAGGCATTTTTATAGCCAAAAAATCAGATATTGAATGAGGACAAGCCTCTCTTTACATACCAGTCATAAAGTTGACAATTCACTGATAACATTCAACATTTCGACGTGAGTGAATTTCGTTTGTCTACAGATAAGCGCTATCTTCTTCTGTTTATTGATGCCTACGCTCTAGCCAATATTCTACATTATTTTATTATTAGATTCAATTAGGCCTAACACACAAATCTTAAGCCGTTTTTTTTAATTAAAGAACAATTAAGTGGTTGTTCGTTTTACAAAATAGTCCCCGTGACGTAAGGCGGCGGGAAATGAAAGTTCCAGGTTATTCTCCGATTACGTTAATTATACACGTTACCATAATGATTTTCTCTTTTTGTTAGTTAAAAGATTGAAATGGAAGACTACGTAGTCTAAATACAACAGGCTAACTGATCTATTGAAGACGATTGAATAAATACTCAATTGTGAAGGGTTTAAAGGTATGTATATATGAAAGTACGCTCTGCTGTATTCTATGTTAGTTCGTTGATTCATTTTGAATCTAGACAACAAAAATATGGGTTCTGGAGCGAGTAAGAAAGAGAACGAGGAGGAAAATTTGAAGGCCAAGAGAGTATGGAAGAAAGTTCAAGTACTAACATATTTAAAAGGAAAAGTCGATCAGGCCTATCCGACAATGTCAAGGGACGAGATGAGGGAATTTATCAGACGAAGGTTAGTTCCATAAATATTGTGTGAATTTTATAAATATAAATCGAAATGATGTAGCAAAGAAGAGAAGGAGCTATCATGGAAAGAGATAGAGAATAGCACTGTATCGGAGCAGGCGTTCAGTAGATTCGTAAGTATAAATCGATTATCTGATACACTTATAGCCTATCATTCCTCATAAAATATTATTGTCACTTCCATAATAAGTTTATTACGCTAAATATTATTCAATTTTCAGCCAGATTTATATGAAAATAAATCGCCAAAATCTGTTTGTAAAGACTCTGAACTAGAACACGAAAATCTGATGAAGAGTCAAAGGGGAACATTAGTAAATGTATAATACTTAAATAGAGATTATTGATAGTTAAAAAAATATGACAAGTTGCTTTTTCTAATTGCCTACAGGATAGTAATTGCACTATTTGTAACAAGCTCGCTCTTAGTTCTTGCCATTCCTGTCGAATTTGCGGTAGAACTTTCCACAAAAAATGTTTGGAAAATCAGAAGGTCTTCGACGAATTTGTTAAAAATTCTAACACAGATATCGGATGGAGTTGCCCGGATTGTGTACGTGTATATATTTGATAAGCAATCATTTAATGTAAATAATCCAATTGCCTTGCTATTGACGTTATTTATCAATTACCAACAGCATTCATTTGTAGATTTTTTTAAAATATCTTTAGACGCTTCATTTTGTAAATTGTACTTTTCATTTACGATTAAGGCCAATGGCTACTCTAACATACTTACAAATATTTAGCTACCTATTGATTTTAATTGTTACCTTAATTATATTTAGGATAACATTCACGACTTGCTATCACCTCAAGAAATGAGTACAATGTGTGATGAATTTGAGGAATTAGACAAAAATAGAGGTATGTTTACTTATAAAAGAACTCTTGTCTGATGTTTATAAACAACATTTGACACCTGATGATTATTAGTTTTAATAGAAGAAACTGTCATAACAGTTATAACACATGCATTTTTGCATCTGCTATTCGATTTTAAGTTGAAGAATATTATAAGAATTGTAATTATTTTAGACGCTTCCATCTCTTTAGAAGAGTATATTGAATTCAAGAAATCTTTGTATAGAAGAGAGGAAGGAAGTGAAATGCCTGAATTCGAAGTTGAAATGAATATGTATAATTTCAGATTTATGGATTTAGATAATTCTGGATCTATTGATTACTGGGAATTTATTAAACATGAATCATTATCCTACTTGAACAGAAGAACAAAAGTAAGAAAGAAGAGATAAGAAAAGGCCCTCTGGGCTATATTGTATTATAATCCTTTCGTAAAATACTATCCTTTTGATAGTGTCATATCGAAATTGTTAATGAAACTATTATGATACAGAAAGAAGTGGTTTTATTATTAACGGTTCGAGAAGTGGAGAAACTCAGACGTCTCTTCCAAAAATTCGATGTCGACAGGAACGGAGTAATAACCGAATTAGAGGCTCATCGTGCCTATAAATCCTGGCTTGACGAGTTGGAGAGAAGTCGTTTGGCTTGTTTAGAGTAAGGATTTTTTGTGGGCCTATACAATATATTCATTAAAACAAATGAGTAAACAGAAAAAGGATAAAGAAGACTAGTGAGAATGGTATGACGAGACCCAACTACCCAGGAGCAGGAATAGCGGCTGAAAGAGCTGGCAATAGCGCTAACGTTTTCATGCAAGCTGATTTTGATAGGGACGGGTGAGTACAATAGATGGCGCCGTATAATAGCTCTTATTCCTTCTTCAACTAAGTAGAAGCGATAGGTAGATGACTTTTACGGTTTCTTTTAGGGATTGCAGCAATAGTCCTGGTCTACTAAACGTACAATTTAAAAGGTATAGCAGACGAATCATTTGCACAAATTGTCACAAAAGTTTACTTTACTGGATTCACATTAACCAATTATAAGAAAAGACTTATAGAATATACCCTGAAAAAATTTTGTCAATAGTAATAGAAATCTATACTTAACGCTTATAAATTGATAATTAGCTGGAAAACTTAAAAAAGAAGCGAACAGTTCTAACTCAATTTCAATTCACAGAATCGTTACGTGGGAAGAGTTTGTGAAAGATCAAGCGATTTATATGATTGCTGGACGTCCAAATAAAGCTATATTGCTGCATAATCCAACTCGTATGCTCCTCACGTGAACTTTAAATAAGAAAACTGCTAAAGGACAATTTTTACTCGGCTACGTATAAATAAAAAATCCCCTTAATTGAGCCCTTTTATTGCGATCGATCAAACGTTACTTTATGTTGGTCTATTCGCAACTAATGTTGAACATGGTTTTTATAGTATAGCTGCCACATCCGCCATGCTTGCTAGCGCGTCTCCCAAATCTCTCATCGAATCCTCTGATCTAACATCTTGTAGAACGACCAGGCTTTCACTTCGTCCCTCAATAGGCTTATTTTTCTTTTCGCAAAAAATTGTCCTCACGACTCGGATATAAGACTTTCGAACATCGTCATCCAATAACCAGATAAATGGGTTTACTGCGCAATTAACTGCAGCAAACCACTGAACGGCATAGGTTATGTGTGAACTTAATGGAACTGACCTCTGGCGACAAATTGCAGCAACGAAAAAAGGTAGATATAGGACAATAAAAAGGCTATGAGCAAGACATTTTACAAGGGGACTAAAAGTCATAGCAGTCCTTGGAACTTCTTGATCTTCTTCTTCTTCGGCTGATGGTCTCACGGGACGATATGTGGCCCGGGACTTGCAATATATAATGATATTTAGAATTAGCGAAACTGACGATGGCAGGAAAAAAATAACAAGCGATTGAACAATGGCCTTTATACCGCAACCGCACACCGCAACGTTCATAACTAATTTCTTCCAATCTTTCAAAGATGCTTGCTCCGCACAGTTGGAATAATAAGTAAATGTTCCGATAGCATATGCTATCCAGGCTAATGTTAGCATGAGCACGTTGACAAACGTTTTACTTCTGTTCGATAATGATGGTTTGATGACAACTATCAATCTTTCGATGTTAACGATTAATGAAGTGATGATGGACATAGATAAAAGTAATGAAGATGTTGTTAACCAAAGTTTAGTTCTCCATCGGTTGGGTAACCAATTAGAAGCTTGTCCTATATCTCCACCTATTAGGAAAGTCAGGTAGAAGGAAGCAATAAGCAAGTCGACGAAGGACATATTAAAGATGAGTAGACTTGATGCAGAGTTTCTTAGTCGCTTGTCAATCGGCAAAGATATCAGAAGACAAATATTAGTAGAGACTACGGCTAATGTTATAATCACTTTTGCTACTAGCCATAATCTTTCTTCCCAATCGGCTAGCTGGATTTCTTCTCGTCTATCGCTCATCTTTCCCACTACCACTGCAAAAATCGAGCAGCAGTAACGCCCTCTAAAATTTATTTATATAGACAGGGGCTAATGCTCTCATACTGAAGATGCCGAACCAAATTCAGGTTTCTGTTCAAGGTTTAAATATTCAGTAAGGTGTTAAAAAACTATTTCCCTTCTTATTCCGTATCATATGTAATGGTCTTTTTGGGATTTGTCTACTGTCATAAATTTACACAATGAAGCACAAATATACTATTAGTACGAAAGAATAAGAAAGAGAAGAGCCATGAGCTATTAGCTTAAGTCTCTCCTTTTAAGAAAATATTGTGTATGAAAATATCTATACATATAGACAACGCTTTCATTTTTATTATCGATTAATACGATTTTTATAACATTATACCTCATAAAGAAGCTTAATAGGATATTCATTAATAGTCATCCAATCAAAATAAAGTAAAACTTTAGCACTCGTGACTTAAAATCAAATAATTTTGAGTGAGCTATGTACAGAATTTTCACTTCCATCCTTTATTTTTTATCAGAGGTTAAAAGGATTGAGACTACTCCACAAATATGCATCAGACTGCCTAAATGGTTTTCCTATGCAAAAACTAGGCTTAAATCGTTCTCTATCATTTAAGAAATAAACATGGATTAATTATCTATTCTGCACAAATTCACGCAACCAAATGTATCGTTATATCAGCTATCGAATAACTATTTGAAGAGGAATATATCGAACGGGAAACAAATAAAACTCGTTAGTTAGTTCGCATGTCAATTTCCAGTCTTGTTGGATAGCTACGTCCTTACTATCCACTTTTACCACCAGCTTAGCCAACATGGAATAGTATAAATTTGGTTAGATGGACATTATTAACCCATTCATAAGACAATTTAATTTCCAAAATGTGAAGTATGTGCCAGAAAACGTCATTCTTTCTTTTTTTTAGTAGTTTCTACTTCCTTTCCGCTAAATGACCTTCCCTCTAAGAGTTCAACAGCTAAAATCAATTCTGAAAGAATCTGAAGGAAATCGGATTCTAATAAAGATTATGAACCGAGGATCTTTACGAGTAGCTCTCCAAAATCGGTTTAAATAAATAATCTTTATGAAATATCCATTATCGTTTTCTCACAAAATAATTCAGATCTATCAATCATACCTGAATTAATATTTATTTTTCTTCGTAAAGTCAAATATACCTCCTTCAAAAATGTAATATATTAGCCAAATTGTCATTTTTCATTGGATAGTTTTCTACTTTTAATATTGAGAAAGGAGATAGTAAATGAGTTTTTTGAATAAGAAAATGAGAATTCCACACTCTAAATCCATTACACAATTATAAACTAACAGAATGATTATACCACCTATTTGCTTAAACACGATACAAAAACAATGCGAACATTTAGAGTGTTAGGTTCCTCTTTTTTTCTTTATTTGTTTTCATTAAAGATCCCCTAGGAGCTTGCTATTTGTCTGTTGAATGGAAACAAAAGGAAATAATTAAATTTCTCCCATCGGAATGTAATTTCTCCATTAACCTTTGGTTTACTTTCTTATAATGATGATATTCTATTAATATACGCGACTTATCAAGTATGAGTAGATAATACTGTGAATGTCTATACTAAGTGCAAAAATTCGGATGAGTTTTCGCATCTTCTCTACCCCCTAATGATTAAAAATATACAGTATATATAGTGATTTTCTAACTTTATATTTAAAATTTGTAGTTAATTTAAAGACTTCGCAATTGATATAAACCGCCAGGGTAAAATATTAATTAAAAACAATCTAATTGAAGTTGTTCAAGGTGTCAAGTTAAACAACAACAATCACTTTTTGATTAAATTTTCGCTCCTTTGAGGAATATTATTGCTTTCTTGTATATTTTCTTCTTAAAATAGTCATTATTAAATCAAAAGTTGGATATAACTTGATTGTTTTCTCTCTACCCTCCCCCCCTCTCTCTCTCTCTCTCGCTTTCTCTCTCTAACTCTCTCTCTGTAGAAAAAAAACCTTTAAAGATAAGAGATTAAATTTATTACGTAAATGAAACGATCTATGTATTCTTTTATTGATCTCTAAAACATCCCCGCTTGTTTTCTTCATTTCTAACGTCGAAGCAAATTACTTGGTTTGTTGCTTATGTTGGAGGAAAAAAGGAGATAAAAGGTTCTCATCTGTTCCTTTCCGACCTAATTTGTGCAATCTCTATTCTATAAAAATGTAAATTGGTTATCAATTATCTTATCGATATTCGTTTATATTGAAGTTTTAAAGAATGCAAATTGATATGAACAATTAGTACTAGATTTTTATAGGCTTAATAAGAAAACTTATGTATGAAAGAATTCGATACAACTCTTTTTTTCCTTTCTTTTATTGAATTTACCTTATACGCCCTTATATATTGACTAGTATACCCAAATTAAACCTAGCTGTAGATGCTGCCATCTATTGTCGATTCCACTGATTTATTTTTACCACCTGTAGTAGTAAATATTGCTCAATGTTTTAACAAGTGAATTTTATAACTTGTTTATTAAACATTTTAATACTTATCAAAAACTAGGTTAAGTTCTATATATACAAAAATGTTGACTTTACAAAATTTAGATTTTGCCTATATATAGCATTTGAAATGGAGTGGGAATTGATCCAAGTAAAATTTTTTGTGCTGCAATTCTAAGACTGTAAAGAATATTTACGAAAGATGAATATAAATTGGGGACTATCTCTTGTATTAAGAGTACGGGGCGACTGGTTCCATCAACTTTCGCCAATCGATATTTTAAGAGATCGGTAGATGGCGCAACATCTTTACACCGCACCGGATATTGACATAAAACGATAATCCTTCGATTAGTAGCCAAATTTTTGACAGATAAGTTGTTTACTGTCTTCGATGTCCTTATGTATAGTACATTCAATTTAACCAAAAGTTATACTGAAGAGGAAAGCGTGCAGTCTCTTTGTTTATATAATTGAAAAAAATCGATCGACAGACTTAAAAGAACTATATAGAAGAACTAGTTTACTCTCAATAAACCAGCTTTAGTGTACAATTACATTGGCCAAATAAAAACATATTTTTGTAAGGTGATTTTGTGAATGAAATTCCTCACGTATTTTTAGCTATAGTCGTATTTTCTTTAACAAATTCATTTTTATACTTATTTATATAGCTGTAAACGTTGAATTTGAAAAAAACAGGCTTTTTTTTAGGGATTGGTGATATTTAAGTAAAAAAAAACGCATGGGAAGAAAGAAATATGTAAGGAACAAAGAACGGCAGGTGTTATTTGAGAAAATAGTCTGGTATTAGACGCCAGCGTCTTAGTTAAGCGACGCTGTTCGGCGGCAGACCACCTAACCGGCGTTTAGCGTGTCCTAATTAGATTCGTGAGGCGAAAACAAAGAAGTGCACCGGCTAGTTAGGTCGCGTAACGGTTAGGGTGACGCTTTCTAGTTTGTATACAGATGGAAAATTTTGTCCGCCTACGCTAAATTCCAATTCCATAACTATACTAATCCCTTTGTTTGCAAACGAGGATGAGGGGAGTTTCACTCAGGAACCAGGCTATATAATAAAGAATTTTATCCCGCACGTGCCTTGACAAGCAGAGAAACAATATATTTATATATTGAGCGCCATATTTTAACCGTTTTTTAGAACTAAATTAAAATCCTTATATTGCTTTGCCTAAAGAGATTAATAAGTTGAAGAAAAAAGGGTATATGAAAGCTCTAAAGTGCTTGAAGACGAGTTGGCTGGATACTACAAACATAGAGTTTGGGTTAATTATTTTCGTACTATTTTCGTATTACTTAGTGATCTTCCTCTTGCAAATCTTAATGTTTATTCGTATACATTTACTGTATATACGATATATTCATATATATAAATGCAGGGTTCTATTATATAAGGTATATATATCTGAATACCATATTGCTTTGTCAACGCGCGGGAAAATCTCTTTCAATAGCGACGAATGATAAAGGACAGAACAGAACTTCCGTACATTTATTGATGTGGCTGTAGCCTTTCGATCTCTTTGTTTAGTTAATTAACTAATTGGATTTAAAAAAAAAGAAAAAAAGGTAATAGAAATTTCCTTTTAAAATGATAGATTGTTCATTGAGAATAAAATGGTCGCCACATTGATACGTTATCCTCGTTAGCTTTGTGATCCTTTTGCTGTTGAGAAGTAGCAGGAGGTGGCATTGGTGGTGGCGGTGGAGGTGCTGGAAGAGATAGGTTCCCACCAATATAAGTGGGAGCGTTGAACGATGAATAGGAAGACGAGAAAGGAAGAAAATCATTCGGAACTTCCGTTAGATTGGAGTAACGCGGCAGAATCGGCTCAGGTGGTTCAAATGAATCAAAGGAAAAAGATGCTGTCCAGTTTGACGAAGGCTGTGGTGGAGGAGGCGGTGGTGGCGGCTGAGATGGGTGAGCGAAAGACTGGATTTCTTGCATTGGTCTCGGCACACCCAATTGTGGATCGTGAAGACGCACTGGCAATCTTCTATCATCCGTTCTCAATTTAGTCTTTGACCTTGGCTCTCTAGGACCATCAACCGTTACTTTGATGGCTTTTTGATAGCAAGCAACTTGTGGTGGACTTGTGTAAACTGTTATAACCAAATTGAAGGACTTTCCTGAAAAAGAGGTCACCAAAATAAATAAAGAGAAAAATGCTGGAAAAACTCTGTATCTAACAATTATGCCTGAGTACTCTTAAAATATATTTTTAGATCTTGCTTTAAAAAAATTACTTCATAAACTACGGTTAGATTGGTGTTTAGTTCACTTTTTTATCTTTTTTCTTTTGCACTTTTCCTTCTCTTCTGTATAAATTTCTAGTCGCTTTTATACCCTTTCTTCTATTATCTAAGATCTGTTTAAAAGTACCATCTCTTTCAGAGATTCTCCTAGTTTAAATGAAGATATGATATAATTAACGATTTATGGAAACTAAAGTTTCTCAACTAATCCGCAGTGAATCATTGTAATATCATATTATAGGTAGATATAAAGTACAAAGATATAAATTTTAATAATGTCTGATAACGTTAAAATTAAATAAAATCTCCTTATAAAACGAATTGCATTCGAGAGAAAGAAGAAAAAAATTAGGGCAGATCCATTTGTGAAATCATAAAGAAAATAAGAGAGAAACAAAGAACTGAGATGGAGGGATAAAAAGCGAAAAAAGAATGTATCTTTCAACATACACACACACACATATATATATATACACACAATTTGTTCCCGATGCTCAAAGTGCAATGCATCTACAATACTCTAATTTATTTCATTATTAAAGACTACTTGAAAGAAGTAACTTGTACTAACCTCGTCCACTTCGTCCGACAAATCTCAAATCGTTGAATTTTGCTACTTGATTCTTAACAAAGGCTGTGGAATTTCTCAATTCGGCACAATAATTTTCATCATTACCAGCCGATATTTGTACTTTTGTGCCGTCCTTAACGTCTCCCAAGGCGACAACCTTAAATGTTACCGGAAGCGTCTTGTTCGATCTCCAATGTGATGGTAAAACGGAACAAACAAAATTTGGTGATCCGGTTTTAACTAATTCACCAGGGTGCTCAGAAAGAACAGTAGATACTTGAGCATTTGATGAAGAGGTTTCTGCTATCTTCTTGGTAAATAATGGAAGTTCTCCCCTCCAACTTTCAGTACACAGCATTTCTTTTTTCTTCTTAAAAAATGATCAGCAAGAAAAAAATAATAATTGTAACCAAGTATATAAATGTTATTGATACTCTTATTATTTAATAAAAGTATCTATATATTATTTATATATCTTAATAATATATAGACAAATAACTGTAATCTTCATTAGACATATAACTGCTAATATAAGTTGAAATTTGTCTGTAGATATATTATTTTCTTCGTCAGAAAAAAATCGACGCGCCACAAAAACCGCTGCAGCTGCAGTAGTAAACCGCAATGAAATGAGGTGGTGGAGTACCGCTAGGTGGCGCAGTTTGTATTCAGTTATTAGTCATCTAGTAATATCGATTCGCTTTAGCCTTGTGTGGGAGTATGATTCAATCGGAAATAAAGTTTTTGTCTAAAATACAATATTCATTGTTAATATTTGTAAAAGTTTATTGACAAGTTCTGTAGTACGCTCTTCCAATATTTCATTCAAGCATAAAATTTCATTCTGAATTTTTTATGAATGATTAATATTTTACTCGACGTGACTATTAACCCAATTATTGGATAGCTTCCGGGCTTAATACGTCTATATTAAAACAGATTACTATCATTTTAGCTTATAATTTTTAAGAATTCCAAAGTACAGCGGAATGAAACGTGATAAGATTTTGCTAATATTGTACAAACGTTAAAACAATCTATTAATAGATGTTGGTCTATGTGAACTTCTTAGGTTCGTTTTTTATGAATTTCCGATTGAAAGCAGATTTAAAGTAAACATATATCTAAAATAATTCTTTCCACTTGTTGATTTTTTTCAACCAAAGGATTATATATCGAACGCAAACGTCACCTATAGATGGCGATTTTGAAAGGACGCCATCTATCAGTTTTATTGGTGTGTTTAATAAGAATCGTTGGAAACTCGTCAATTCTAAGATGAATTAATCAGTCTTATGGTTATAGCAAATATTTTTGTTTAGCTATTCGTATCATGTAGCTCAAGTGTTAGGAATAAGTCAAATATTTTATAAATGATAAAGAAAGCATGTAAAGTTCAATGCCTTAACGATTCGAATTATGAGAAAAAAGACTTATGGACAAAGATTAGGAAAAGTTTTATGTAATTTTAAAAGTTCAGTCTATATTGCTAAGGGTTTCCGGACTGTATGGAAAGGCCTTGACACAAACAGCTGTTCATACATGATTAAAGGAAATAATGAGTTAATTAACACAACTTTACGTATCATATATATTTTTAAAGAGGTAGCAAAAAACTATCTAAAGAATTTCTTCCTTATCTTTGATATTACGAGTTTAGTGTACTTTTGAAAGATATATTAAAACAAGTCTCTTTGAAAATGTGATTCTGGAAATGTTTGTACACAGTAATGATATATAAATGACTTTTAAGATGAAGAATACAGAGTTGGTTACTAAAATGCCAACTTTCAATATGGGCTGTCTGAGAGTTTAATATAAAAATAATCGTCATTTGAAATGAAAGATGAAATATTTTTAGGTTAAAATAAAAAGAAGCAACTTAATAATTATATATAATTTCAAAATTGCATTATTTTTAAAATTGCCACCGCAGCTATTTTTCCATTAAATTACTGTATTTTTCGGAAAAAATAACATGCATGTTAGATCTTTACATTATATAAATAATATATATATATATATATATATATATATATATATATATACATCTGCTGTATATAAGCAAATACTTTAGATATCTATTTTAATGTGAGATTCGTGTTTAAAGTACTATTGACACGTAAATTGATTCGTTCTTCCGTTTGAATAGGAAAGATATGTTGATAAACAAGTTAACACTTATCTATAGATATAATTGTTCGCAAATTGTGTTATTATGATATTAATATACACAAAACACACTTCTCTCTCTCTCTCTCTCTCTCTCTCTCTCTCTCTCTCTCTCTCTCGCTCTTTACGTCTACTAATGCACAGAACACAAAAAATAGACAGTTCTATATTAGCATCTATTGTATTGAGGGTGCAATACAACCTATTCATATAGGAGTATGAAAAAGTAGTATTGGTAAAAATTTTAGGAATTGTAATGAGAATAAAAGCTCAGAGTTCAATATTGATGTTAGTTCGTGTACCGCTTCTCTTTTCTGAATTCAGATGAGTGTTCATTTTGTTCATGTATGACGTATTTTTAAAGTCATTTAAAAGGTTTGTTGAGATATAATTTCGGTTTCAATACAGTTTATATGGCTAGTTAAATGAGTATCTGCATAGATAAGGCCTGGGCTGCTCTGATACTCTCTTTTTTTTCACTCATTTAGTCGGATAAGCTGCCTAAAGTTCGCAAATTGATGTTTTTTGACAATTCGTTATGTTTAAGAGTATACTGAGATATTTACTTTTCATCGGCGCCTTTGCCATCATCTGCGACTGCTCAACCAGAACAAATCATACTGAAACAGACTTAATAAGATATTTAATGCTTGGGTACGAAAAAAGGGCAAGACCTACGAATAATCTCAGCGAAACAGTTGAAGTGATGTACGATTTAAAACTGATTGAAATACAGAATGTTGATGAAAGAGATCAAAAGCTTAGCGTCTTCGCTTGGCAAGCTATGGTTTGTGCTACAATATTTTACCTATACATCAAAATAGAGATAGCATAAATATTATTTTTAATAATGTAATCATAATTATTTTATAAGAAAATACTAAACGAGGACAAATTTAAGAATAGCTACGTTTTTTTTTTACTTTTTATTAAGGATTTTTAAAAGAGAAAAACATAGGCCTAAACATAAATTGTTATTGGTTTTCGAATTTTTATAGGAATTTGATATCCAATAAAAAATATATTGGTTCTTTTTCTTTTCTTATAGATATGGAAAGATATCAATTTAGAGTGGAATCCAGATAATTTTAGCGGAATTCAAAGAATTGTACTACCGGCTAAAAATGTTTGGTTACCAGATTTAGTTCAAGAGAATAACGCCCTTGAATTTTATAATGAACAATTTACAAAATATTTTCAAGCCGAAGTATTTTATACTGGTGAGGTTCTTTACTCTCCAGGTGGAAGATTTACAACATCTTGTTCATTGAATATGAGAAAATTCCCATTCGATAGGCAAACTTGTGAAATAATTGTTACTGTTTGGACAAGAACTTGTAGTGAAGTTGAATTATTTGCAAATCATAGTAAAGTCAATTTAGAAAATTATAACGAAAACTCCGAATGGAATTTAGAAGATACAGACGTTGTAAAAACTAGAAGATCAGGTTTCGATGAATACGATTATTGCTCTTTAAAAGTAACATTGAAAATAAAAAGAAAACCGTTGTATTTTGTTATAATTGTTGTTTTACCATGCATTCTCTTGTCATTCATTTCTATTATTAGCTTTCTTATACCTAGTGAAGGAGGAGAGAGAATTAGCATGTGTATGACTGTAATGTTGAGTTTTACGGTATTTCTCTTGGTATTAAATGATATTTTACCGAGAAATTCCGATGAGGCACCTATTATTGCCTTATATATAATAATTATTATGGTTGTGATGAGTATATCTCTTGTCTGTACAGTCCTAATTGTAAAACTACATTATAAGAATTCAAGAGTACCTCCAAAACTAAAATATTTCGTATTTAAGATTATGGGAAGATTTGTTGGCATGAAATATGGTAACAAAACAGTTTTTGAAGTCAATAAGGATCCATCATCTTCCAGGAGTAGCGATTGGAGGAAAATAGCTGCAATTTTTGATAGATTTTGTATTATTATATTCACTTTGAGTATTACAATTATTACTTTAGTAATGTTTGCAATTTTACCATTTACTAATTAACTGAAGAAAAGATTTATTTAAACTTGAACTTGTCATTTATATCAAAATTATATGAAATTTTTGTATTATTAATAACTCAATTCTTAACTGCAAAAAAAACACCAATGGTTTATTAAAATTTAAAATGAAAAAATTCTTTATATTATATTGTGTTTTATTAGTTTCTTTCATTTGTTTCATGTTAACTAAAACATAGATTGGTCCCTTTCCTGTAGATGGCGATACCAAGCCAATTAGTTCGAAAAACAAAAGATAGGAGTGAAAAAAGAAATTGCTTATATCTTCTTATGAATAATTTCAATTCTAAAGAGAACATCCGAAATTTAATTAGATTTAGTATCCATGCTAATCAAGCTTTGATTATCCAATAATATGGTTCGTAAATTATAGTAACACCAGCATAACAATTAAATTAAAAAAATTGATTAATCAAAGGGAGTGGAGATTTAGCGTGGATGCAGTCACTCAATTCCATTCTATCAAAGTTTTGTAAATATTTAATTGAGTTATCATATAAATACAGTATTGACGAACAAAGAATGGGGAAAAAAAAACATTTATAGTGATTAATATATTTCGTATTTCTAAGAATACGAATATTTAAACTTCAGATGATAATCGGACGCTAATTTCATAATGGATTGATGTATCTACTTAAACAAAAAGAAAAAGAGTAATATATACTATATATATTTATGTCTTTTCCGTGTCCTACAAAATCTGGATTGGTCCTTCTGTGCTTGGTAAAAGCAAACAATTTTCATATAAAGTTTAAGCATAAACCTTCTTTATTTTAGCCTATAAGAAGTAGAACATAGATATATTAGAATTTATAAATTGAAACTTTGTCATTTATTTCGTTAGTAATCTTTTTATTTTCTAAAAATGATGATATTAAGCAGTGTGACTGGGCATAAATCAACTTCGAATTGATTTGTGAGATTTTATCTGTCATATCTCTTTCTTTATAATATACTAGAATAATCTTCTATTCAGAGATTTCGGCTCTTAGCAATCTAATTTACCTAATTTCGTCACAATGTTATCAAGTTTTTCGTTATGCTTAACTATTACTGATTCAATCCTTGATAACTCTTCACCTCTCAGACGGAACTCTTGAAGATGAGAATCCAAGATTTTCTGACTATTTTCACCCGTTGAACTGCTCTTACTCCTCTTGATGGTGACTTTTCTGTGAAGCTTTTGTTCTTGACTGTTGTACAAATCAGACCTCTCTGGCACGCTTATCATCGGTGGACGTAAGGTAGTAGGGTCGTGGTAGGTAGCGTAGTCTGTGTCGTTGTCAACCTCTACCGGATACTCTTCAACTTCTGTTCGAACGTTTATACGATCGGCTCCTTAGTTAGGAGGAAAATTAATATGAAATGTTTTGTTTTTTTTTTAAATATCAATAAAAAAAGAAACTACACTTTAATTTAAATTGCTATTTTTACTAGAATAAAAACCTACCTAGTTCCAACTTCTCAAGTCTTTCTCTTTCTAATTTGAAAAGATAGCGTCTAATTAATCTTTGTATAATTTCCGAATAAGTTGTTTTCTTAAACGGTAATACTAATTGAGTTAAAGCCATATCGGGTAAGCTTATATGCTCCCTCCTTCTCGTAAAATCATAACTTTTTACGTCCATATCTTCGTCATCCTTTTTAAATATACTTTTGACAAATTTTACAAACATTTTTATGGTTTTTAATGTAGGTAGAACGTTGAATGGAACTGGTAATGTAGAGCTTTCGTCGATATAGCTGAGCCATAATTTCGTACGGGCAAATTTCCATTCCACATCATTGTCACCCTGGATTGCTTCGAAAGAGTGACTCATCATTGCTATTAAAATGTTAACCAGTACTATGGAGACAACTACCATATAAATAGCAAACATAATAAAGCCTACTCTGTCAACTAGGAAAGTACTGACATTCCAATTTGGCAACAATGTTTCTGAAAGGCAGAGACACTTTATTAATATACTATATACACTTAATATATACTTTTTCCCTGTCAAATAGTAAACTAACTGGGAACATTCTTTGAACTTGGCTGATTTATCCTCAACTGCTCTAGGGGTATGAGTCCAAAGATAGCAAATATCAACGTATGAACAGTTTCCGGCAGTCCTTTAAAGGATTCCGATGCTGCTGTTCTACTCTCAGCGTTAATTTGTGTACCATAATATTTATACATGTTTGTAAGTCCAACCATAAAGGCGAAAAGGACCAGTAGAAATAGCACGACAAAGCGGGCAATGTCTCCGCACATTCTTCCCAACGAGATCTGTAATGGGCCAAGTAGTTCGTGAGACGGCATAATATAAGTTGTTCTTGCAAATGAGAGAACGTTGGCAACGGCAAAGAGGATGTCCGATATAATTTCTGGATCACTTGGAGACCAATCAAAACGAGCTGTAAGTTTACTTGATTAACTGAAATGACTTTGTTTTCTATTTAAGAAACTTACAAGCTTTAAGAAAGTAAGATTCAGTTCTAGGAGAGTTATCTATTTCTCTAAGCAATTTTTCTACTTCAGTTCTATTACCTTCTCCCAAAGCCTTTTCAACTCTAAAGGTTGCATTTAGAGCTTTGTCTGATTGCTCCACTCTTCTCCAGGCAACATATTTAAGAGTATATGAAGCCAAGTATAGTGTGATTAGAGAAAAATCCATGAAATTATAAAACTGGCGAAAATGTTCAACGAAACCAGCTCGATAAATTTGTTTGCATCCCTTCCACAGCATTCCTTTTAGTGAATAAAAAAGTAAAAAGGTTGACGTACGAAAAATACTGTAAATAACTAGTTGTATCTTAAAGGTATTAAAAAACCAACCTAAAACATAAGCTATTATTAATAGTTGAACCGTCGTTGCAACGGCTTTAAAGGGCCTCAAACGATTTTTAATCATCCGCCAATCTTCAGCTGGCGGATGAATGTACATATTTTCCTCCCAACCGAATGTTGCTACCGTTAGGAGGAAGAGGAAAATAAAATGTGAAGTCGTATGTGTTATAAATTTAGCAACGGGACACTTCATGGACAGACTCACGTAGATGAAAGGATTTATCACATATATCAGGCATAGGAAAGGAAGCAAAGGCAAAGCTAATAAGCAGAGGAAAAATTTCTTAGTTCTAGATAAAGTTTGCAAGAAACCCATTTCCTTTCCATACCAAATGCCGGTAAGATGCTGCTGGCAATTTGGGTGAGCCACAAACCTCTTTTCGCCATAATGTATTGCCAATCTCAAACGAGTTAGAGGATCTCCCGTTCCTCTACTATCCTCCGCTAGAACAGTTTGAACTTCCTGAGTACCACGGCAGAGATCCATTAATTCACACGCAAAAATCATACATTGATCTACCAAACTTAGATATTCTTTCTGTATAACTTAAAGAAAGGTAAGCATATTATAGCAAACCATGTTTTAGATTCTCACCCGAAATTCTTTCTCCACTTGAGCGACTTTCATCATTTCTTGCCTTAATTCAAAAGTGCCTGTAAAAGGATCTATGGTAGATAGAGCCAGATAAGCTGGACTGGCTAAGGCTTTATATGCATTCAACCGAGATCTAGATCTCTTTAGGCTGTCTGTATTCTGTTTAACAATACAATCATCGCATTTGCACTGGATAGCATGAGGTCTGTCAATAGTATGACCACGGGACAAAAAGATTTGAATAATTTCAGGATCATTTTTATGAGCTGCCAATATCAAAGGAGAAATATCTGGGGGAAATTGGTAGGTTTCCTCTGTACGAAAGAATGCATCTCTCTTTTTAGCGTATTTGGCTCCTTCCGATGCTTGATAAGCTGAATGATCAACTATCGCTCTAACCATATGTAAATCAGATTTATTAATTGCGTGTAAAAGGCCTTCCTGTATACATTCCGAATTGACTTTATCCAACAGTAAGTCAACAGCTTCAAAATTTTCAGAGTCAACGGCCAAATGGAGGGCATTCCTTCCCATAAAGTCAACGCAATTAAAATTGATACATTGCTTGTGCGAAGTTCCTATTATATGGTTTAATAGTGCAGTGTCACCAGTTCTGGATCCATGCAGTAAAAGTCTTTCTTCAGGATTAAGTTGTACCGTTTCAAAGTTAGCAAATATAGAATTCCTCGGTGTTCTTGTAGGCGACGGCTGTTTACCTTTGACATTTGTTTGTTCTCCTAAACAAAAATTAATGTGTTAAATTTTCTTTAATACCAAAAAGTTGTCCAATTTTAAAATTATTTTAGAGAGAAATACTTACTCTTATTCCTAACTGGGGTGTTGTTTCCCTTCCACATTTCGGTTGGCTAATGCATGTCTATTGCAAACTTTACATAGTTTAAGTGCTGCCGCCCCCTAACGGTTCGAAGTGGCATTTATAGTTAATTCAATTGAAATATTAGATGCTTACACGAAATCGTGTTTGATTAAGATTAAAAACTAAATATGGTGACATACACACACATACGTAAAATAATAAGAATAAGTATTTGACTGCCATAAATCAGAATTAATATCAATTTGTATTGATAAAGAATATACGAAATCCGTCATTCACGTCAATTATCAAGTGTTTATCCAACAAACGACTGTAGATAATTCTTTGCATAAAGCATACAATATATGGTAATGACGATAATACGATTAAATGCCCTTTAAATACTTTAATTAACAAGTTTAATTAACAATATCATTTCATCAGACAATAATAGTCTTTCTTGTTTATTTAAAACGATTCATATTAAAATTAGATACATTTATATTATCTATCTATATATACTTTGATATTTACCTAATTTATTTATAATACCTATATAGTCTTCGATAGTTTCTTAGCAATTGTATTTAATAATTCTACTGTAATACTTATTTGAAGAAAGTACAAGAAATAGGCAAAACAGTAATATAAAACCTTTAGGAAAAATTATAGAACATTTCCCTAATGATTTTATGGAATGTGATCAACTATAAATAAAGGATGTAACATATTTTAGTGTCTTTCCATCCCTATCTGTATGTTTTTTAATCATTCAACGAAATTTCATTTATAACAATAATTTCCTTTGTAAAATTAAAATGAATTTGAAAATATTCAACTTATTTTGTTTAGTTCAAGCTTAAATGTCGGATATTAACTATCTATTTAAAAATAATTTTTTAGACTAAATGAATAATTACTTAAAGACAGTAATCATCAACAAAAATATCAAATTATACTTAACCTATATTGGAGATGTCAGACTAGTGTCATTTGGGAGAAACTGAAGAATATCGCATAAAAAGACCTTTTCCTGGCCAATTTAACTTAAGACCAACATTAGATATTTTATTCAATATCAGAAATATGAATTTCATCCATCCAAGAACCAAATGTAACAATACTAGTTTCGTATTTAATATTATTTATTCTTATACAAAAAATGTTAAACATAACCTCTGACAGCTAGATTATTATAAAATCTCTTTAGAAAATGTCATTTTGTCCTTAAAATACCAATTTAGTATCTCATTCCACTCAGTTTTTGTTTATCCTTATGAGTTTTTTTTTTAGAAAATAATGAATATAGGAAATGTAGATAATCTATAGGGGAAATAAAAGTTCCGAATTTATACAGTTTCTTTTTTTGTTCTTTTTAGGCAGGAAAAAACTTCAAATTGACTTAAAAGCTCCCTTCGATCTTCTTAGTAATGAATACTAAACCAGAATACAAAAACGAAAATTTTACCCCCTACTATCATTTATAATTTTTTGTTTTGGCTTTATATCCTTTTACTTTGCAAATGTAGCTTTTTTTTTGCAGTTGGAATCTAAATAAACACCATTTCTCCTAATAGATTTGTGAAAAAGATTTCAATATCAACATCTATCTATTCAGTTAATATATTACTTAAATTACTACACTATGGATACAGTGTATACTAATATAAAGTACAGATGTGGAAATAGCCTGATTAAAACCTTAATATTCCATTTCCAAGTTGAATTACTATTTTATTCCACAAGAACATTCCAGTTATATTGCTGTGGATACGTGCTTCATTAATTTCTTTACTACTCTCTTTTTGGAAACCTTAAAAAGGTTTTTCTTATTCGAAAAAAGTAAAATAGGGAAAAACGAAAGGATGGAGAAAGAAAATAAAATATTTATTTTCTTCTTTCCCTCTTTCTTTCTATCTTTCTCTTTTTGACAAATAATTCTTCGCATATAAACCTGTTTACCCTATTTATAATATTTATATTATATATATTTCGTTATCTCTTCTTTGTATTGTTTGCTAAACAAATCCTTTCTGTGGATAATATTAGTATTTGTTTTACATATAATGCCTTTCCTTTTTTTGCATAATAACGACTAAAATATGTAAATACTTGTGCAAGTAATTTCTTTCTATTTCCTTAATACTTTTACACTGCTTTATTGAACTGAATACTGTTATTTCTACTGCAATTTTATTGCTTATGCAGTATTCTATTTTTAAAAAAATGTGTATTATTATCTCAGGTGACAAAAAGTCGCTGATGCTTAATTGCTTTCCGTAAAAACTTTAAAAATACTGATGATTCTGTATATTTTATTCATTGTTCTTGAACATTGCACCTGGGGATGGCAACTAAATATATACGTATTCCAAAAGAAAAAGTATTCATTTCTTTTCCTTTCTGCCTAATATTTGTTAGTTATCTTTTTCGTTCAGCATTCTAATTCAGACTAATAGAAATGCAATGAATATCAATCTAAAATTAGTCCTTGGAAAGTTAAAAAAACTATGCAATGATCAAATTACTATCAATTTCTCTATAATTGTTATCATAAATATTCATGATTTAGTCGTAAATCCCTTTTGCCTCCTCTAGTTCTCAACTCTTAATGAAGTGAATGAAAAAAGAGACAATAGCGATAGAGGGATCTCTTTTTTTACAAGCTGGACTTAGTACCTTCCTATAAATAGGTCATCACATCTATAGATGATGATGCAACAAATTATCATAAGTGTAATTAGAAAGATGATGTTTCAAAGCTTGTAATTAAAATAAACAATAAATATCATACAACAAAATGAACTGAATATTAAACTTCTTAAATTACATATTTAAGCCGAAAAGAAGTGAATAAATAAAAAACTGGTTTTAAAAAATGTTTAAAAGCGTTCAAGAAAGTGTCTTTTTTTACTTGAAAACGTGTCTGGATGTTGTTGTTGTTGTTGTTGTCAAATATTTAGTTTTGCTATTTAAATTATCATTTACCGAAAATTTTTATGTTGAATAATTGAATTATTTCGCCACTAATTCAAGTTTTGTATCATATTGCCTGTCGCCGTACGAGTACTAGGCATGACAAGAATCTATAATACATAGATTATTGATAAATTACTTTGTAGACTAAATAACTTGAAAGGACTATAAAAAGATTATAAATTTTCTTTAAAATAAATTTACTTTGTACGATTTTATTATTCACACATCGCACTTATATAATAAATTGATTAGGGGTTTGGCATCGTAGGGGAATAGCTGCTTATCGCACAACCTCTCAATTGATAGCCGTAATCTTATTAGACATGAGAATATTTGATCCAAATGTTCATTTAATCCAGTATTCTTTGTATTAAATTCAACCTTGAAAGTTTCAGATTCTTCCAAACAAGGCTTACAAGTATCGCTTAGGCCTGGAGATGAGAGCAAAAGCGAGTCATCTTCTTCTTCACTCGAGTCGTAAGTTTGTAAACCTTGCAGAGCCGTTTTAAAACTTGTATTCGCCGTATACCCAAAGTAGACGAGGAAATTTCTTCTTTCTTTTATTATTAGTTTCAAAATGCGGACAAAGTAGGTTAAGAATTCAGTTTCTGGCGACATTAATAAATCCAAAATGACTGTATGATCATATTCTGTACTATTTAAAAAAAATGCAAACAAATTGAAAGGATTGAGTTGACTGGATTCAATAATTTTCTTCTGAAATTCAAAACAATCAAGAGAATATAAAAGTAATTGTACAAGATGAGAATCATCCTCTAAGAAATAGGTTAATATTTTATCATTTTGTTCGATAACTCTGCATAGTTGGTCAATTAATGACGTAGTAAGATCTAGAAAAATGCCACGATGTCTTGACGACACAATGTAAAAGATGAGCAGAATTATTGCTTTTCTAACAGATCTCTTACTTAGTAAATTGCAATTATTTTTACAGTCTGCATGAGTTAGACAATTTCCGCAAACATCTTCTTCTCTTGCTGAATTTTTTAATAATGGTAAAATCCCTTTTAAAGTTTTAAATGCCTGTTCAAATCCTGAATTTCCTGCTGAACTGATCATATACTTTTCAAGGATACTTAAACATTTCAACTGTAAATTCGGGGAATTAATACGATTAAGTAGTATATATAAATTAGCTACTAATTCTGTGCAATTCATATCATTCTTTTTAGAGAAGGATAGAGTAGTTTTCAACAAAATTAGAAAGAAGTAACTACTTAATTTATTAGATTCGTACTTTCTTGTTAAGGCTGAAGAATTTGAGATAATAATAGAATTTATTTTTTTCTGTTTAAGAAGAATTTCGGACGAAACCATCTGTTTTTTTAGTGACCCGTCTAAAGCTTTTAATACAGCGATTTCGTTATCTTCCGAATTCGTATTCAGTACAATATCTATTATTTCCTGAACTCGTTCATCAAAATTGAGTAAAGCAGTATTCGGCTGAAGTAATAATTTGGTTAAGGAGTTGGAAGCAACGTGCAGCAGAAATTGGTTACTGGGCTCTTTCAATAGCTTCGTGATTTTTGTATAAGCAAGGACAGCTCCACCAGCGCTATCGAGTTGATCCGTTAAACCGCATATATCTAACAGTATCTCCTTAATATCCATTTGAACAAGTGAAAAAAGGGAATTTACTACCAAAGATTACCCGAACAAATGCCAAGGTCGGCGAAGACGACTAACGCCATCTAGAATTTTAAATTTCGCAAACGAAAGTACTCAAAAGCAAAATTAGAAAAACAAGATAATAAACTCTATAACTTATATTCAAGACAAATGAAAATTCATTTTTATTTCAATGAGAAAACACTATTATTAGCTGATTTATAAGAAATGAATTAATTTTTTTGTAAGGTTCAATTAAATCTAAATATTCGAAAATTATATAGCTTTCTTATAACAGGTTTAAGAAAACAACTTGAGTATAAACAAAGTTGGACAAGACACAATTAGATTGAAATGATAATTAAGACTCCTCCAATTCGACTAATACTCCATCACAATCTTTGGGATGGAGAAAAATTACTGGCTTTCCGTGAGCGCCAATTCTAGGTTCTTTGCCTAGCGTCCTTACATTATTTTCTCTGACAGTTTCGATGGCTTCTTTAATATCAGTTACTTCGAGACAAATATGATGCATACCTCCAGATTTGTTCTTTTCTAAGAAATTAGCTATAGGGCTATTCTCTCCCAAAGGATGTAGTAGCTGTGAAAGAGATGTTTATACTAATATTTATAGTTGTATTCAATTTCTAATCATTATGACAATTCAGGGTTAGTGAATAAAGAGGGTGTCTACCTCAATTTTAGAATCTCCCAATTGAATGAAGACCGTGTAGACTCCGTGTTCTTTTTGAGGCTTATTAAATGATTTATAGTGAATAAATAAACAAAAGGAAGAGTACGAAAATAAAGCTTAGTAGTCATTACTTACAACTGGTTCGCTGACTGTTGCTCCAAGAACATCTTTGTAAAAATTGGAAGCTTTTTGTAAATTTGGTACAGCTATGGCAACATGATTTAATTTTCCCAGTTCCCATACTCTCATCTTACCAGTTTTTACTTCCGCACTAAGACTTCTTGCCTAAAAAAATATTTTATTTATTATTTCTCGGAATACAGTAAAGTTGATACGAGGTCAACCATTTACATTTCCTGGGATAAGAGACAATAATATGAAAATGTCCTTATATTGATTGGATTTACGATATTTACATATGTAATAATCAAGAATATATAAGACAAACGTACCATAGTTCGGGTTATATTAAATGTATTTCTTACAAATCGAAACATTTTTTTTTTTGTAGATTTGTTACGCAAACTCAAGACCGCCAAGGTTAAAAACAAGTGTAAGGGCGAATTTCTCGACTCCAACGCCCTCTTTTGCATAAGTTTACGCTACCACGTTAAATGATAAAATACGTCCCTCGCTCATGTTTCCTACTTAGACTAAATCTCCTTTGTGTGTTCAATCAAAGAAGTTGATATATTGTCCCATTTCTGATTTTTCATGATTAAAATGCAAATTAGCTATAGATGTCGCCATAAGACGTTTCTGACTTTAGTACTAGTTGACACTCTTCCTATAAAATAGAAATTCTCGTTTACCACGCATGCGCAAAATATTGAAATCAAAATGGCGCGCTTTTGTGACAGATGATGCTCTTCGTTGAACAATTTTTGGATAAAAGTTAGCTTTATTTCTTCAAATAGGCGTATAGGAAGATTTTATGCAATTTTGATTTAGTCCTTATTTGAAGAAATCGTTAAAAGTATGTGTCAATGTTTTTTCAGTTTTTTCTCTAGCGTTACTCATTTGGCATATGTAATTTGTATAGATTTCTAGGACATAATCTATTGGTTTCAGATTTCAAAGCTTTAGTTCTGTTTATATAGGCAGGGAAAGCAAACTACCTTTTTGATGATCAATAAATTAGTCCTTTCGTACTCAACATATGTCGGTCTAGTATAACGACGTACAATGATAAACTTGCCTTTAAACTATTAAGACAAGATTATTTAAAATGTACATTAATATTATATTATGATAAATATTTTAAGACTCTTTATTATTCACAATTTATCATTATTTTCTTTTTATCTTCAATAAAATTTCCAGAGCACGTTGTGTCATGTCATCTGTCAAAGTAGCGGTGAGGGTTCGCCCTTTTAACAGTCGAGAGCTTCTAAAGAAGAGCCGATGTATCATACAAATGCAAGATAAGATTACAGGTAAACTAATGACTTTGATTTATTATTAAGATAATATATCATTAAAGAGTTGTTCTTAATTCATTGTATCTGTTTTTGATAATAGCTATAGAAGATTTGCGTATTGGACATGAAGGAACAAAAACATTTACATTTGATTATTCCTATTGGTCACATGGATGTGTAAGCGTTTTTTTTTCTTTCTAACGAGCGAATTGTTTAAGCCGCCCACTCACATTTACGTTGTTTTTTTTTTAGGCGAATGACCCAAACTTTTCAACGCAAAAACGTGTCTACGAAGATATTGGTGTTGAAATGCTGCAACACGCTTTTGAGGGTTACAACGTTTGCATATTTGCCTATGGGCAAACAGGAGCTGGTAAGAGATAATGACTTTTTAAAAGCTGTCAAATATTACAAATATGTCTATATCTATATCTATATATACACATATACTTAAATACCCTATAGGCAAAAGTTATACAATGATGGGCAAAGATAAGGAAGGGGAAAAGGGAATAATACCTCAACTGTGCGAGGATCTTTTTATGAGGTTAACGTCTGAAAGTGACAAGGATGTCAAATATAATGTGGAAGTTAGCTATATGGAAATATATTGCGAAAGAGTGAGAGACTTATTAAATCCAAAGAACAAGCAAAATCTACGTGTTAGAGAGCATCCATTGTTGGGTCCATATGTTGAAGATTTGTCAAAGATTGTCGTGACATCCTTTGGAGATGTAAATAATTTAATCGATGAAGGAAACAAGTCAAGAACTGTTGCTGCAACGAATATGAATGAGACTAGTTCTCGCTCGCATGCTGTTTTCACCCTCATTCTAACACAATCAAGATACGATCAGCAGTCGGGTATGACTGGTGAAAAAGTTAGTAAAATTAGTTTAGTTGATCTAGCCGGTTCTGAGAGAGCCGAGAGCACGGGTGCTCAAGGCACTAGGTTAAAAGAGGGAGCAAATATCAATAAGAGTCTGACAACTTTGGGCAAAGTAATATCAGCACTTGCTGAGCTATCTTCTGGTCAAAAAAAGAAAAGGAAAGGTGATTATATTCCATATAGAGATTCTGTTCTAACTTGGCTGCTACGAGAAAATCTTGGAGGAAATTCGAAAACAGCAATGATCGCTGCCATATCCCCAGCGGATATAAATTTTGACGAAACTCTCTCTACTCTGCGCTATGCTGATAGGGCGAAGCAAATTGTGTGCAAGGCGGTAGTTAATGAAGATCCTAATGCAAAATTAATTCGCGAACTGAAAGAGGAGGTTCAAAGGCTAAAAGATTTATTGAAAGCTGAAGGAATACAAGTTGACCGTGGTAGGCTTACAATTTCCTTAAAATAAATCCCCATGTCACGTAAATCTATTTTCCCATTCTTTTTCAGTCACAGGCCTACCAACAACGACGAAGGGGCGTACAGCGTCTGTGACGGTTGATAATGGTGAAGATGCCATAGAACGATTGCAAATGTCTGAAAAATTAATGGCTGAATTAAACGAAACTTGGGAAGAGAAGTTACAAAAAGCTGATACAATAAAGAAAGAAAGAGAAGCTGTACTATCAGAGATGGGTTTAGCATCTGTTCAAAGTGGAGAAACTGTAGGCGTTTTCTCTCCAAAAAAGACACCTCACTTAGTTAATTTAAATGAGGACCCCTTTATGTCTGAATGCCTTTTGTATTATTTAAAAGTAGGGGAGACGAAAGTAGGCAGACCCAGTATTTCGAATGGAATTCAGCTGAGCGGAAATCACATTTTGGATTATCATTGTTCCTTTTTTAATAATAATGAATCAGGCGTTACTCTTGTTCCGGCTGTAGGAGCTTTAATTTATATAAATGGTAGAGAAGTAACGGAAGAGGTTACTTTGAAAACTGGTAGCCGCGTTATTCTAGGAAAGAATCACGTTTTTCGATTTAATAGTCCTTCTGAAGCTAGACGTGAGAGAGAAACACCGTCATCTGATATGCCTGTAGACTGGTCATTTGCGCAAAATGAATTATTAGAAAAACAAGGTGTAGATTTAAAATGTGAAATGGAAGCTCGTTTGAAAGAGCTGGAAGATGAATTTAAGAAAGCCAGAGAAAAAAATGATCTTGAATTGGAAAGGCAAAGGAAGCATTACGAAACAAAAATTGTCGAATTACAAGAACAAATGGAAAGACAATCAATGGTCTCTTCTATGTTTTCGTCTATTGTCCAGGATGAAGACGAAGATACATTCGAAGAATGTAATTGGACTGAAAGAGAATTTCAATTGGCAAGTTGGGCATTTTCAAAGTGGAAATCGTACCAGTTTACCTCCTTAAGAGATAGTCTCTGGAGTAATGCTGTTTACTTGAAGGAAGCCAATGCCATTTCTGTAGAATTAAGAAAAAATGTAGAATTTCAATTTCGTTTAATGACTGATACCCTGTATTCACCTGTTCCTAATGACATAGACGATAAAAGAGTTAAAACCATTGTAGCCGTTTCTGTAAACGATAAGAAAAACGGAGCAACTCATCTCTGGAGTCTACCTAAATTATGTCATAGGTTAGAAATTATGAAAGATATGTATGATAGCTTTTCTGATGGAAATCTCCTTGAGGATTCAGAAAGTATAAGAGATGATCCGTTTTATGATCGTTTTCCCTGGTTTACTCTTATTGGTAGATCATTTCTTTATTTAACAAATCTTTCATATCCACTATCGCTTACACAAAGTCTTGCCATCATTGATGAATTAGGAAAAGTGAACGGCTACATGTTAATATCTGTTGAGATCGTTAACGACGATACTCCAAGTAATTCCATGCAATCAGGGGTAGCCAAAGTAACATTCGAAGATAATGATGAATATTTCCAAAAAGTTGCTAGTACAAGTACTGAAAATGAGAATAATATTGCCACGGTTGAAATTGGAAGTTTACTCAAGTTTAAAATTAGCGTGAAAGAAATTACTTGTTCTTCCGACCAATTTAATGATGTATTCTGTGAATTCAGGTAAGAGTTTGCTTTATCTTATTGTCATTTCATTTTTTAGATTTACTACAAAATACCTTGTTTATCATACATACTCTTTTTATAATTGTTATCTATTTTATTAATTCTTTTTAATGTTGTAAAAATTCTATAAGATTTTTTTTTTAGTATACATATTTCAATTTCAAAGCAGCAAAAACATCAAGTGAATCTTGACATTATTGCTATTTCTTTTTTATTATTTATATTTATGTAGCATGTTTGTTTCCAGCTCCACAGCAATCATTGATTCAATTTCAAGCACTGCTGATGTTGTTTATAGTTTCATCGAAATTCGATTTTTTTGTAAGTTATGTTTGATTGTTGCATTCAACCTTAATTATTTCTCTTGTTATGCCTTCATACCAAAAAAGCTTATATCCTCTTTTTTATCTCTCACTATGATAAAAATAACCTTTACTTTTCTTGCCTTATCTTGTTCCTTATCAATAATCGTCTCTTGATATGATGAACACAAAAAAATAGATTCTTGAACTTTTGAATATTTATAGTTCTGTCAAAAGAAAGATACGAATGTGCTATCTATTTAACAGCATCTTTAAAAACTTTTACTTTTTAACAATAAGACAACTAAGCGCTTTTTACGATGGACTACTTTTTCCTATTAATATTCATTTCGTCATTTGAATAAATTACAATGACTAATTCATAAACAAAAACTTCACATTTTGAGGAACAGATGATGTATTAACAAGCTTGATGAAGATTGCAATTGAACATTCAAATATTTCATTTATTTTATCATAACTGCGTGCAAATGAATGAATAATATAAAAAGTTAAATGAATATTTCATTCATTCTTACAGATTTCTTAATAGAAAAAACGAAGCTTTCTCAACCGAACCAGTGCAGAGGTCACAAACAGGAAGAATAACTTTCGAACATGCTCAAAATGTAACTAATGTTTATATTATTAGTGAAAATATTTTTTGTATTAGTTTAAATATTAAATTAATGTTTTAAAAATCATTTTTTTTTTCAGTTTTCCGTTACTGTGACAAAGGCTTTTATCAATTATGTCAAAAGTCAACCAATTGCATTTGAAATATTTGGCCACAATGAAAAGAATACAGTACAAGAAGCGTCAATTCCGAGGTTAATCATAACAAAAACAGTTGAATTAATCATTATAGTTAATCATAAAATTAACTTTTCTCTTTTTAAAGAAATTTGGAAGTTGAAGTTCATTTACCGTCCACCAATAGCTCGAAGCCAGTTCCATCCCCAAAACTCGGTTATTTAAGTCCATTGCAGTAAGTTTATATAAACGAAACAAATCCGCTTCTTGATAACGTATTTTTTGCATGAAAGTCTTTTATCTTTGCACCATTCACCTAAACGTCTCTTTTCCCATGACAATCACTTTTTTTTTGAATCGTCGTACTATAGAAACGAGGATTATCTCCAATCGTACTTCGTTCTTCTTGAACTAAAAAGTCTCCTACTAAATCCTAATGAAATGTTTAGAAGTAGACGTTCTCTGTAAATACGAGCGTACCGCAAGAAATTTCCTTTCTTGTACAATTAATTATTCTTGAACAGAGCTGGAGACATATGCCAAAAATTGGATTTGCTCGTGTGGTTCGAAATAGAAGAGCTTGCTAATAACGGAGAGTACATTCCTGTTCATGTCGATCATCATGGAGCTGCTCCCGGAAGTGGGGTTTATCTCTTAAGGCAAGGCTTGCAGAGGAGAATCGCGATTACTGTACATCATGATCCCGGAAATGAAATCGTATGGAGGGAAGTACACGAATTAGTTGTCGGAAGAATAAGAAACACACCCGAATGGACTGAAAATGACTGTGAATCAACTATTCTTTCCCTTTCACTTCTACCCGCTCGTTATATACAAAAATCCGGCGATAATACTATGCTCTTTAGATTCGAAGCTGCTTGGGATAGCTCTTTACACGATTCTCCACTTCTTAATCGCATTACTCCACATGGAGAAAAAGTTTATGTTACAATATCTGCTTATTATGGATTAGAAAATTGCGCTCAGCCTGTTTGCATAACAAAAGACTTGTGTATGATCATTTGTTCTAGGGACTTGACAACAAGTACGTCAAGGTTCGTATGTGTACTCTTTATACACCTCAAAACAGTAAATACAGGGATATAAATATATATTCTATATGTATATTATTTTATACTATAGATACTGTATGTTATAATTTTCCTTTCTCTTTTCTCTATAATCATTAAACTTAAATAATTATCTTTTGTACTTTAGATCCCTGAGAATGTTGTTTAGTGGCAGTGGATTTGGGAAACGTGATTCCAACAGGGTAACGGGAGTGTACGAAATGGCCTTGAAAAAATTTACAGACTCTGAAGGTTATTTGAACGTTTAGAGGAGAGAATTGTGTTTGTAAAATACTGTTTTCTATTTCGTAATCTAGATTCCCAGAGAAAAATCTTTGATACGTCATCAATGTATGTCAGAGGCGAAGAAAATTTAGGGGGTTGGCGTCCAAGATCCGATTCACTTATATTCGAACATCAAAATTGCCTAGAAAAATTAGAAAAATTAGAATTTGTTGAAAAGAACAAACATTTATTACTTTTTAAAGAAATCATTAAGAATAGCGGACTAAGTGAATTTAAGATTATGGAGAATGGGATAGCAACGTTAGACACTCAGTATTTCGCAGAAGAGTGCCGAATATCTAAAACAGAAAGCGCAGATAATCTTAATACCACTTTAGCCCAAGAGAAAGAATTAATTACTAGGTATTTGAAATTGATGCAAAAATGCCCAATTGCAAACCCATATAAAACGAATATATCAGAAGACGGAGACTATGGGAACAATGAGTAAGTTTAGCGCATAGTTGCATATCATTTGCTTATTATTTTCATAGAAGTTTTTCGCTACACTGCACTCACAGACCTTATTTGAGTGTTCCATCCGGCTTACCGCGATCTTCTTCTGCACCTGATGTTAGAAATATGAGGTGAGAGACACTGTATATGGCGAATGGAAAAAATGTATATTTTAATTAAGATTCTAATGGGCTAAGTGTTAAAGTTATTAAAAGACAAAATTTCTTGATTTTTCATTTTATAGTGGTGCCATCTTCAAATAAGATTTATCAATGTAAAATTGACAATTTTATTTGTATATTTTAATCAAAAAGCATACTGTACAGCGCTTTTCCCATTTAATCTTCCCCGTGTCTCTCATATTCCAAAATTTGTTTGTAATAAGTAAATAAGTAAATAAATAAATAAACACTCACCAATTTATCCTTTCACACTTTCCTATTGATATTTTAGGATTTATTTTTTTTTCGTTTTGATATGTTATTGTTGTTGGCTTCTTAACCCAAAAAAGGTATACATTACGAATGACTTTTTCAGATCTTTAAGTATGGGAACAAAAGCTAAATCGTTATCGAGCGAAAATTTAAATTCCCCTGAAGAACGGCTAGTTTCACCTCCCTCATTTATTGGAGGTCAGAATTCATACGTCGCCGAAATAGATGAGGTTCGAATATCGAATATTGTTGCAAGAAAGGGTTGGGCCAATATTCTACATGAAAAAGCTTACGGATGGCAAAAGAAATGGGTGGTACGTGCTTGAAAAGAAAATATTTTCTTTTTTTTTTAACTAAACTAAAAATCTTTGCGAAAACAGGTTGTTCGACGGCCGTATGTTTTTATTCACAACGCTGAAAAAGATCCTATTGAAAGGAGTTTAATCAATTTGGCAACTGCTCACGTCGAATATAGTGAAGAAAGCCAAGCGTTATTGAGAGTTCAAAACACCTTTTCTATAATAACACCTCAAAAAGGCTTTCTTTTCCAAACTCTCTCTGATAAAGATTTTTACGATTGGTTATATGCTATCAATCCACTCTTGGCCGGTCAGATAAGGTCAGCTTCAGAGAGCATCAACAAAAAACAAACAACATATATATATATATATATATATATATATATATATATCAGCATATATATAAATTTATATATATATATAAAATTTTATTATATATTATATATTTTTAAAATCTTTTGACACGATTTCAGATCAAAACTCTCGAGAAGACGAACTCAAACCGTTAAAACACCTGAATTAACCTAAAATTAATATATATTTTCCCATGAAATGGAGTATTATTGAATAGATGGAAGAATTACAAGAAAATGAAATTTTACTGCGTCTGCGTTTATCTTTTGAACTTTTAGTAACTGCTTTAAATGTTCGCCTACAATAAATACCCAAATTTATTCTAGACGTTCTTGTATGCATGATCGTAAAACGCATGTATTAAAGATTTACTTATAAATATTTGAATTAAGCAAAATAAAATAGGCAGGCATTGTAGAGTTAAATGGATTGTTTAAATATATTCAATAAGATATACCGTACAATATATCTGATACGTGCTTTAACAATAACAGAAACTGATTAAAGATATAAAAATGTAAAAATTTAATTAATAAACCCTTTTTTATAGAACTTTTAACGTACAACTTATTCAGTTGAGTTTACAATATTATAAAATTAATGAATATTTGAAAATAAACTATGCAAGAGATGTTTAAACTTATGGCTTACTGTAATTCTATATCATTAAAATATAGTGTGTACACTATATATACTGTATAGAGAGAGAGAGAGAGAAAGACAGGGAACAGAAATATTAAATCTAATAGTGTATATTAAAGCCAATATAGGATGCGAAATTTATCTACAACCTACAATTTAGATTAATGAACAATGTGACCTCTTGTTTTATAGTAGACTTATTCGATGAATAAGTACTCGGTTTTTTTTAAACGCGAGCTAAGCTTTTTATGATATTTACAATATTTTTTGTCATATTGTTAAAAGATTATCTACGTAGTCTCTGATCTCAACAGAATTAGTTATAGAAACAATTGTAAAAAACATTTTTAACAATTGTTTATTTTATAACGAGTTCATCTGGCAAGTATACTTTATCTAGGAAAATTTCTAGATAAATTGTTCGTCGATAAGCAGAAGAAAGCTGGGTAACAGAAAACGATATTAGAAAAATATGCTTACAGATTTTACTGTTGGCCTAATAAAAAAGAAAGGAAAGAAGTTTAACTTCTCCCATGTTACGCTGTAGTGATATATATATATATATATATATATACAATTTATACGTTTATCTCTTTATTAGATGTAAAAAAAAGAGGCTTAATTTTATTATTAAAATAAAAAATTAAAGATTAAATCAAATAGAATAATAATATAAGTAAAAAAAAATTGTATGCATTCATTCACTTGTGAACTTTTATCACAAAAATCCAATACTGTAGGTGGGAATGTTTATACGTAAAGAATACCAAATATACAGGCATTTTTTATATAGATTCTATCGGAATTATTTCATTTTATCTTCTGCAGTATCATTTTCTGCTCCTCGTTTACCTCGATTTTCAAAATGGACATCTCGAATTGCCCGTTCTTCTTTCTTTGGTAAAACTGCCTCTGCTTTATTAGATGGAATAGGGGTCCTTCTAGCTAGATGATCAGGGTTATCGACCACAATTTGAGAAGAGTAGCGTTCTCCCCTAACAATGCTGTAGAAATCGAATACAAAAAAATAAATTGAAACGTTATTTGATTGATAGAGTTCATGGCTAGAGTTAAAAAAAAGATATATATATATACTTATATATGTACCCTCACCTTGAGTATGTAAAAAAAAAAAGAATTCCAATGCAACACACACGCTGTGATTGTTTGTTAGAAACCATGCAGTTAACATTGTTGTATTACGTGACAATTTAAAAGCAACATGGTAATATGTAATTATTCAATATGTTTATTCAAGCTAGAATATATACATTGGTATATGTGCACAATGTCTTTTTACCACTTACTAAGGTACATGTCTTCTAAATTGTTGTTCTGCTGGCACTGGTATTTGAAAATATTCAACTTTTGGTACAGTGCCACTTTTATCCAAATAGTGGTCGCGCTTGGCAGATGCAAGCTAAAAAAAGAGAAAAAGATGCAAATAATACTATTATCCTCCTATTATTTTTTTAGAAATTTAATATTTTTATTATATTACAAAAGAAAACCTTATCAAGATGTATTAGATTTTCTTGTCTGTCGTGATCTCGTACATTCAACCTATATCTCGGTTCGGTTAACCAGCGGTCACGTGATCGAGTCCTATTCCCAATTACAAGGTCTGGCTTATGAGAGTAAATTGTCGGAAAGTAGCCCCCAGCCCAATACTGGTTCTTACTCTCCTCTAGAGTTTTACTCCTATAGTCCTTTTGACATTTAAAAACAACATTACGAATTGTTATTTCTAATTCAAATTTAAGTAAAAACCTGCATGTATTGGGCAGTCGCATTTCCGTACGTCTGTGCATAGCTAAACTTTAATGTGGGAACATGCCCGTGATATCTGTAAAGTTGGACCTAATTTACTATTCCTAATTTCCGAAATTAAACTAATTTTCGATACTTACCCAGGCATAAATCTAGGTGGAATATAAGTCGCCTGGTTTGTAGTAATTAGTGTACCCGCTGAACGAGACATATTTGCAGATTTCGCTAAATTTTCCCTTAGAAAACTATTCAAAACAAAATGTGTAACTAAGCAAACCGAGTAACTGCTTTCATGTAAACTATTCAAAAGTAAATAGTCCCACAATAACATTGACAATAATAGAATATATGTAAAATTTTATTTATAAAACCTTGCTATAATCGCATTATTAAAAATTCATTTACCTTAAAATTTAAAAAATTAGAATTAAATTTCTTTCAGGATGACCAACTAATAATATATCACTACGCGTAGTTGCTAAGGCTTGCGCGAAAACAGACTTCTAAACTTGTCTATGATTGGTCAAGAATAATAACGAAATAAACCAATCATCTATCGTCTTAAATAATAAATTTCGCAGGCACACACGTTTGGAAAAATCCGATTATTTTAATTCAAATAGAGAAACGAATCGGTTGCTTGTTAGATCAAAAAAGTAAATCGAAGTACGGAGTGTTTAGGCGAACTAGCAAAGCATCACCCGAATATTGTCAACAAGAATTTTGATCTTTCAAGTCACTGTACGTATAATCATCTCTATTTAATTATCGCCCCTATTAATTGGCGTTGTGATTTCTTTACTGTTCGTGCTTTTATTATAAAATTTTATTGATTAAATTTACTAAACCCGTATGCGTCATGTACTTTCATTTCCAATTTTAGCCATATGGTCGAAGAACTTACTATGCAAAATTTCATTTCAATAGAGTTGTGTTGCTTGTTGAAATTTATGTATATATTTGTTGCATTCTATTGCAATTTTACGCTTGTCAAGTTGAAAGCATCTCAAAATTGATTGCTTTACGGTGCTCCACACCGAAACTGCTCATCAACAATAGACGGCAGGTTTATTGATTATTCCATAAGACCATTCTTCTTTCGACGCCTTAACCGTCACCTGATTTTATTGATCGTTACAGAAGCATGCTCAGCTTGGAATTTAAGCGTCTTCACAGGAAATAATTTTTAGCTTATCAATCAAAGACAATCAATACTTCAACGTCTTTCAATAGATAACTATTGATATAAATATATACCGCTATAAGATCAGAGCTCTTTCTATAAAATAATCGAATAAAGAGATCGATTTTACCTTTGTTATGTCCATAAAACTACTATGTTACTTTAAACTTAAATTGTAATATAACGAATAAAAGCGCATTGTTAATACAATCGCTTTATAATTATCGTTGAACAAATCAAAGCGGATAAGTTTAAAACAAAGAAAGAATGATCAATTCATTGATTATGATATTTCACTGAGAGGAAAAAAGAAAATATATTCTATTTTAAACTTTTATTTTTCATTTTTTTTATAATCTTTGATGTATTTAGATATAGATATATGTATTTATATCTGATTTTTAAATACTTGAAAGATAGGCTCTTTACTATGTTGATTGTTGATAGAATAAGTAATTTGAATATTCTTATCAAAATTATCTAGAATTGTTGATATATAAACATTTAAAGATGGGAAAGCAACAATAAAAACTATCCTGAGTGACTAAACCATTAAAAATTGTAATAGATTAATTGGATTTACGATGTCTATTAATACTATCGAACCGATATTAAGCTCAGATCTCCTCAAAATGTGCCAATCAATTTGCGATACCCATACCTGTATATAAATGTGTTTGAAAAATTTCACTAAGCATGTACATAATAAAAGACATTACAAATAAACAAATAAAATAAACTATAAATAATGTAACTTTGGAAATTTATCATATTGTAACAATCACATCTCCAAACTAATAGATACTCTTTTTTAGCAGATAACACATTGTTAATAAGAATCGTTTGTGTTGTTTTTTTTTAATAGGGACGGAAATAACTGACTGAAAACGGAATCTTTCAAAGAATTTTAAGATGAAATTTTTTAAGGTTCGTATTTATAACTATATATATATATATATATATAAATGTATATCATATCACCTGGTTACTTCTCTCTTTTGACTCTTTTGATTTATGACTGTTAGTTGAAATATTTTAACAGCTAGGAAGATTAATCACTATTGATTTTATACTAATGTCCTACCGATTTTCTTTAATGTAAAAATAAAGGTGATATGAATTAATGATAGGAAAAAATACTGTTAAGAGAGGAAAGGGATCCCTATATCCTTCAAAGGTTATTAACTTAAATGTCTATAGCATTCTAATGAAAGATTTTGATTGCTGGCGGGCAAAATTTGCACTTCGATTACAAATCCAAGTAGCTTCGTTAACGCGCGTGTTTTCTTTATGGTCCGTGCCTTTATTCGGATCTATTTTCGAATAGGACACATCTGTTTATAATATGGTATAGGAATTACGATTGGCTCCTAGCCAGTGGAAAAAAAAGCTCACAGACAACGGTTTCTTGCTGCGCTTAGCATGAGATGATTTTGAAAACAGGATATTGACAATTTACTGTAGGAATGGCTCATATATTATTATAACTACCATTCATTTTTCTATAAATTCCACTGTCTCTCTAATTTTTCTCATTTTGTTTTTAATTAAATGATTATTATTCTGATATTTTGTTAATCAATTGACATAGTTCAATGGCTTTGTGAACTTTTGCCAACAAATTTTCTAAATTTCTTCTACTTTTTAAAAATATGTAGTATACAGAACTGTCATTCGAAAAAAAGCAACAAAGAATTTAAAGAAAACTTATAAAGAAAATAAAGCGTTATTCATTCTTTATTTCATAAATATATATTTCAATACCTTATTGAATGGAAATATTTATAAAAGATACTTTGCAAGTTGCTTTGTATTTCTATTTTTTTGTATCTATTTTTTCAATTTTCAAACAGGCGTCGCCTGAACGAGTAGAGCAGGACGGCGATGCGGACCAACTTGCGAAGGAACAAGAAATTGATGAACCACCTATGGAGGAGGGTAGTGCGGAAACAAGAGGCAATTGGACAAGACAACTCGATTTTATGCTTTCTTGTGTCGGTTACGCCGTAGGGCTTGGAAATTTGTGGCGATTTCCCTATTTGTGTATGAGAAATGGAGGAGGAGCCTTTCTTATCCCTTATTTTGGTTTCCTATTTTTATGTGGAGTTCCTCTATTTTTTATGGAATTATCCCTTGGGCAGTTTTCCTGCCTATCACCATTAGAGGTGTGGAAAATATCCCCTCTTTTTCGTGGGCTCGGCTGGGGTATGGTATTAGTAAGTGGCATTTTGTCTATTTACTACAATCTGATCATATCCTGGGTACTCTACTACCTATATAGTTCATTTAGTAATCCTTTGCCATGGGCGTCATGTGGTAATGAGTGGAATACACCGTATTGCTTAGTTAGAACACACAACTCCTCTAATAGTTCACTAGTGACCAATTCAAGCGGGCTGAATATTACTCATAAGACACCCTCTCAAGAGTTTTTTGAAAGAAAAGTATTAAATATGACAGACGGTATAGGAAATTTGGGCGGATTTAACACACATCTTTTGATATGCTTAATAATCGCTTGGGTTATAATATTCCTCTGCTTGTTTAAAGGGGTAAAATCGTCTGGTAAAGTTGTCTATGTAACGGCAATTTGTCCATATATATTCCTTTTTATTCTGTTGATTCGAGGTACTTTGCTGGACGGAGCGTGGGATGGAATTAGATTCTACATTACTCCACAATGGCATAAGCTAAAATCTATGAAAGTTTGGGGTGAAGCCTGTTTACAAATATTCTACTCTCTAGGACCTGCTTGGGGTGGTTTAATAACTATGTCATCGTACAACAAATTTAAGAACAATATGTATCATGATGCATTAATTGTTCCTGTTATCAACTGCGGTACATCTTTTTTTGCGGGTTTTGTTATATTTTCGATTATTGGTTTCATGGCGAAGGAAGCAAATCTTCCAGTAGATAAAGTAATTACAGAAGGACCTGGTTTGGCATTCGTTGCATATCCGGAAGCCTTAACTCGATTACCTTTTTCACCGGCTTGGGCTGTTATGTTCTTCGTTATGCTGCTGACCCTCGGACTCGATTCACAATTTGGGCAAGTGGAAACACTTGCCTCCGGTTTCGCCGATTCGTTTCCTCATACGCTTGGAAAACGGAAGACGTTTTTCACAGCCTTTATTTGCCTCATCGAGTTTCTCTTCGGTTTACCATTGGTCACTAGAGGTGGTATGTACATCTTTCAGATCCTCGATTGGTATTGTGCTGCTTTCAGCGTCATGGTCATTGCACTACTAGAGTGTATCGTTATAGCGTGGATATATAAAGCTAGAAGATTATATGATGAAATAGAAATGATGATTGGTTATAAGCCGTCTATTTGGTGGAAAATATGCTGGCTTTGTATAACTCCCAGTCTAATGATCTGGATTTTAATATTTACTGCTATTCATTATGCACCTCCAAAGTACGGAAAATACATCTTTCCTAAGTGGGCTATATCGCTTGGATGGAGTATTGCTATGGTTTCCATTATACCGATACCAATTGTTGCCATTTATAAATTTTTGATCACCCCTGGAACTCCATTGCAGGTCTGCTCTCTTATCAAATTTCAATATAAAATATATTAAATAGCGATGATCAATTGCAAAAAGAAATTCATAAATTTACGTTAGGTTCTGTACAAATGCGTTAAATCCAATTGTATATAATTTAGAAATTCTTGTCTTTGATCAGAATTTTGTAAAGATCCAATCAAATTCCGAACCACTAACGTGCCTGAATGTCACACTAAATAACCTTATGAACTTGAGCCATAAGGGGAAAAAAGGGAAAAACATAGTTATCCATCAATATTTCCATTTATAAGATGGATATACGAAACTTGGGTTTGACGTGACAAAAATTACAACCATTGTAGCAAAAACTCTTTTATATTCCTTCTCAAAATAAAGCTAAAATAAATTTATATAAAGTAAATAAATAATTTCTTCTATTTTTCAGAGAATAAAAAAGCTAATTCGACCTGAAAAAGATTGGGGCCCAGGACCAACCATATACAAGAAAACTTACAAATATAGAAATGGTATAAATGCTGCCAACGCAAACATAGAACTATCGTTAACGCAGAAGCTAGATACTCGCAATGAAAAGTATATTGATACCTGTAATGAACAGTGTTAATTTTCTTCATTTTCACTTGTAAATCTGTTAATTAAGAGCACGTATTTGTATAACTGCATTATATCTGCATCGCGAGCGTTCATTACTAGGCATAGATGTTATTTTTTGTTTTGTTGAAAATATTAAATTTTACATTTACGTTAAGTAACATATAAACTTAAATTTTATGTGCTGTACATGTAGCATGCATGTTACATCTACCAAGAGTTAGTGTATCGAAAAAAAATATGAATACAATGAATTGTTAACAGATAGTTTAAATTTTGTTTGACAAATACTTCTTTAGAAAAAGGTGTAAACCTAACCAAGATTGACGACTATATAATTTTTATTTTTTATACGCCACATCTAATTCTATAACATTCATTCTATCAATAGTTGAAATATCTATCTTAAACAAAATGTTAGAAAAGTGCATTTTATCTTTTTTCTTTGTTCGATGAATTTAACCTACTTTTCAAGCTTTTCATCTGCAAATCAACTAATAGTTAATGTGAATATCTTTACTTTTACAGAACAAATCTACTAAGGGATTATATGTAGTAGCAATATACAGAACTGTCACTTTATTTAAAACATGTTTTTGTTTATTGATCATTTTTGTAAGACAAGACTCTAGCGGCGACTTATCCTCAACAAACCAAGTTCAACGTTATTAACAATATATTACTGACACCTTCTTTTGTCACCTTTCAAGATTTAATTTTTTTGAAATGAAACATGATCCTAAGAAGTTAAAGAGAAAAAATCAGCTAATTCCTCCCTCTACTTTGTTACTTGTCGAACAATTTTCATCGTCAGTCGAGCTTCGTGTTTTCTTCATAGTTCTCACATTTGCATGAACATTAGGTTCTTTTATCGGCGCACTTGACGGAAAAGTTGAATTTAATTCCATCAACATTTTAGTAGTTTTTTGCAGTTTCAAAAGTTCTTGAGACAATTCAAACACGCTTTGCGTACTTTCCTTCCCTTCAGACGAAGAACTGTTTTCAATTGTCTGCTTTTTATCTACGCTTCGACTTGATGTTGATGGCGTCTTTTTCTCAAGCGCATTAGACTCTTGAGGTGGTATTTCAACTGTTTCCGTTACCCTAAAAAGTCATGATTATCAATACTAAGAAATATCAACAAAGCATTAGAGTTACCTCATATTTCCAAGTTTAGAAAGCGGAAAATTTGTATGAATTTTTTTATTTTGTCCTGTTTGTAAATCGGTTAAGGTAGTATCATTTTGTCTTTTTCTACCAAAAACGTTTTCGTTTAAGAAATTCAAAGATATTTCTGTAAAGACATCTTCATCTGAAGAAGAAAAGCAGTAGCTATATTTACTCTCAATATATAAAAAAAACTTCGGTTACAGCCACTAGGTGGCAGGAACTGATAGAATATCAAAACGTAACCTTTAGAAGTAAAATAGGAAATTAACTGTTTTTAAGCACCTACCTGCAAAAAATGTAGTTTTTTCTGGTACTTTCTGTGGCACGTCCAACTGTGAATATTTTTAAATAGCTTTAAAATATCTAAAGATATATAACAAACTCACGAAAAGTTTTTGATCATTTTCGAGAAGGATTTCTGTTTTAAGGTAAGATTAAAAAAGAGAAATAAAAATCTTTGATTACCGAAATTAATTTTCCCAAATGCATCTAGGTTACAATCTACGAAAGGAATGGAGGTCGGGTCCTGAGGACTATCTGACTGACATGGCTTTTGGATTGATGCGTTTGCTTCTAAAAAATAATCATTATATTGTCTTTTATTACAGTCTAAACCTTAAAGCCCAACCTTTAGTTTTTGATTTCCATAAGTTTGATGCACTGTTTAAAACATATTTGTTACTTGTAATTACTTAAGGAATTTTACTTACCCTGAAGTATTAATCGTCCATTCAGATTCATTTTCTGGTGTAAAAATGTATCCCATATACGTATCGGCATTAGAGGTATATTCAAACATTTCAGTTATAGGTTCTATTGCGTCGTCATCTTGTGTTGAATCATCATCCGAAAGATATAATGTATCAGAAAACAAATTAGAAAGTAGCTTATCATCAAAATCTATGAAAAAATCATTAGTATATGTTTCGTTTATTGTTTAGCCATACCATTCCAAAGTGACCCTAGTTCAATATTTTTCAATGGAAAGTTGGACAGATTTTCCAGACCTGGTAATATCACCTCTTCCTCAGGTTTAAACATATTTTTCCTATCGTCACAGATGATAAATAGAAAGCTCTCTAACTACAGAATGAGTTTAAAAAAAATTGAAAGGATCACATTTGCAAAAAGATTGTTTGAGAGTTACATCGAAGAAATATTATATAAAGTAGATAAATTTAATCATTAAACTAGAAGTTGAATTTGTTTTTCAAAGAAACTCTTTATAATAAAATGTAAAACTTAGATGCCATACATCAGGCTTCTCAGGTATATCCACTGGTAAAATAATATCTTCAACAATCTCGTTCTCACAAGTATCATAAAGCAAGAATGATTCCAAGTTGGGCCTTGAAGTGTTTGCGACTATGAATAGAAAGAAGCTTTACTAATAATATATACCCTCTGGAAATATCTTCATCATTTAACTCCAATGGGTCATCTACAGTTAACTCGTTGTGAAGACATAATTGACTTGGCATAATTCGAGGAAGCTCTACATCATCATCATCAAAAAAAAAAAAATATTCCATTTCGCCTGGCGCTTTAAAAAAAGATAAATCCGTGTAAACGATCAAGATAGATACTACTGATTACACAGCTATATATTCTGGTTACCTAAATATAAAACGATTGTTTGAGCATAAATATTTAACGCATACCTATTGGAATAAGTTCGAAAACATCTTCAGCAGTTTGACTTTCATCGTCACTGTCCATAACTAGACCAAAATCTCCAGTATTAACTGAAAAAATTACTAATATTTTATTTATTTCTAACTAACATTTTTATTTACTGTTTAGGATATGATCTTGATCGAATGAAGTCACTTTTCCATCAGTAATTCGAGCAAAGTCAATAATCGCATTTTCGTCTTCGTTTTCAAGCTCCATTGTATTAGAGAGATCTACCGATTAATTTAAATGAGTTTGAAAAGCTTTTAGCATACTTATTTAAAACGCTAACAGTTAGTAAGCTTTTCATAAGGAATTTCAGGAGCGTCTTCTATACTTTCATCAACCCTCATAACAGCTTCAGTTGCACGAAGATAGCGTTTTTTTAAAAATTCTGAGCGTTGTTTCTTTTGCTGAAAATCAATTAAGATACATACTTCGGCTTTTCCACATACTGAACCATACCATATTATAGTAGTCTAAAATCAACACTGGAGAAACTTGGGATAAGACCTTAAATCCTTTCTTTGGATCCTCCATCAGCGTGATAAGATGTGTCAATTTGCTTAACAATAAATCTGGTTCAAGAAAATTTCAGAAATTTTACTTTTAGCTTTTTGAAAAAGAAAATTGTACGAAATCTAACTTTTGTAATTTTGGAACGAATTGCAATGTTCTAGAAGGGGTGTCAACATGTGCTGGCAGCGACATCTAGCATAAAATACTATTTGTATTTAGCAAATTTTCTGCTATAAATCCCGAAGTTTATGATTAATGAGATCTGTTTAAAACCAAATATCTTGTCATAGTGAGCTGAAACTAGCAGAATATCAACATTTCAATCAAGAAATATAGACTCGTCCACTGGTTCGGAAACATTTTTCGAATCAGTCGCCTGCTGCAATCCCACAATACAATGCAATTCACAATGTCAGAAGGCCGCCATCTTGAATGTTCGCATATAGCCTTCGCTAAGAAAAAATTGCGAAATTTCATCGAAATCAAAGCTCTAAATGAAACAAACGCCCGAGCAACTGCAAAGCAAACTACTCGGAGCGTTGGATCATGACTACGAAGTATGTAATTTCGCATAATAAAAGAATTATCCCACTTCTCTATTTTTACCTTGTTTATTAACGCGTGACACAATTGCGAGAATTGGTAGAAGCCGTGGCGGTTAAAAAATATCACAACTTACTTTATCTTACTTATTTTATAAACTTAAATAGGTATTACTATAGACATAGGTTCCTACAAATATTGAAAATTATTTAATTTAATACCCATAACAAACAACTTATGGTTTTAAGGTTCAAGACATACCAACCGTCTTGGAAGTCGTGTCGATTTTGGAAAAGACTTCAATTACAAGAGATGATTTGGAGGTTTGTAGCATTTGAATTATGCTAATTAACTAAGGTATAATAAAAACTTTTTTGAATAGCGAACCAGGATGGGCTTCCACATTAATAAGTTGCGAAGGCAGTCGCAGAAGAATCATAAAGAATTGTCGAAGAGACTCAAGCTATTGGTTAAAGAATGGCAGAAATTATTACAACCATCCGCCGTGGCTAACGGGATAAGTAAAAAACCCACTAGCCCGGCTGTACAGCCAACATCACGGAGTAACAATAGTACTCCCACCAGCAATGGTATTACTAAACCTATTCCTAAATTGACTATTTCGATATCTCGGAAACGGCCTGCTGATCAGGAAAGCAATGACGTTCCCAATAAAAAAGTGCTGCTTTCAAATTCAACTTCTCAACCCCCATCTCCTGCTGATACTACATCTTCAGGTGGAACATCTACCGCCGTAAAAACGTCATCTGTTAATGGTGTTCCAAATCGACGAACTGTTCAATCGACAGCTGAATTAGTAGCAGGCATTAGAAATTTATCTGCTAGTAATTCAACTGTCAAACGAATTAGAAATAATTGCATAGAGAAGGAACGTGACGAAAATATATCAATTGTTCCTCCCGGTGCTAGACCTAGACCAAGAAAACCCCCAAGAAACGCACATTATACTCCTCCACCCGCAACTACACAAGCCGTTCTTGCAGAAAAGCAGAGAATGATTGCGGAATATGTACAATCCTCGCCTTCTCGACCTCCATCCGGTTTTTCAGATTCTATACGAGACGAAACGCCTGTACACAGTCCTCAGGAAGAGGATGAGAGTACACCTTCGCCAAAAGAGGGAGAAGTGAGAGTTCCCTCACCAGAGCCGATTGATCCCTTTTCACTGTTACCCCCTGTAGATTTTTCTGTTCTAGATGATAATGTCGGATGTGACGACACATTACCGATTACTGAACTTGAAAATGATCGGGGACAATTTGACTACCGAGGTGAGTGGAGAAACTGGACTCAAATCGTTTCAGTGAAATCGAATGAAGATAAACTATTACATTTGTTTCCTTACGTTGATATCGATTAAGTCGATTTGTACAGTGCTATATCTGTAATTAGATCATGTTAAAAAAAGCAGACTGTGATTATGATATTTCGTAATTAAAGCATATGTTTATATTTTTCTAAGGATCGACATGTCAGAGTCGGATATGTGCAAAGCGGTGTGAATTTTTTGTTGAATGTATATAAAAGTCTTGTTTATTTTTATGTTCGCTTTAGTTTCTTGGACAATAGTTCTTCATGGCCTCAAAGCGAAACCTGCAAACGATGCGCTAAAACACGTGTATAGCTTTCTTAGTCCGATTTAGTTCTCTTTTTAATATGTACAATGATAATGTGCAATCTTGAGATATGCTGAATTTGATTTATTTCGTCTATGAAATGTGATACGCCGCAAATGCATTAAGAACTTTTTGCATTTCAATGTTCACCGTGATCTGGTGTAGACGAAGGTCTATTCTGACTGTTTACACTTGTATCTATTCATAATACAGTACCAGAATGGCAATGACATAGTGTTCATTTACTATCAACTAGGTTATGAAATTAAAAACAAATAGGACTACATAAAAGGTGATTTTCGGACCTGTTTTCAAAACAATAACCTCAATCTAATTATTAAAAAAAAATTTTATTTTGAGTTTGTTCAACAAAAAAATGTTGAATCTCCATTTTTTTGAGGTGCGAACCTTGTTGAACAACAACTTCCTGTTTATAAAACCTTTATTATCGTTACAACCGCCGTTCGTTCAGAAAAATGTTTAGCATTACGACGTAGTTGTATGAACTTGTCATGTTACCTTTACATTCCAAAGATAAAGAGGCTAAAGCAAGGAATCGTATCGTTGAGAAACTGCAGGGATGGATAAGGTACAAAAATGTGTGAAAGCATGTATTAAATCCTACTATAAGTACTCATTTTTCTCTAGGCTTATATTTGCCGATAAAAACACAAGGAATCTCTTCCTTTTTCTTCTATTAAACTTAAGTTTTGCATTTGTCGAACTTCTCTATGGCGTATGGACCAATAGTTTAGGTTTAATTTCGGATTCTTTCCATATGTTCTTCGATTGCACTGCCTTATTGGCTGGTCTAGTAGCATCATTAGTAGCAAGGTGGAGAGCAAATGATAAATATTCGTACGGTTACGTACGCGCGGAAATTATAGCTGGCTTTATAAATGGATTGTTTCTGCTATTCATCGCCTTTTTTATTTTTTCTGAAGCTGTTGAAGTAAATATTGAAATATTTTATCTGTTAATGTTTGACATATTGATTTTTAGAGAGCTATCGAAACGCCAGAAATAAAACATGAGCGGTTATTAACAGTCTCTGTTTTGGGGTTCATAGTTAATTTGGTGGGGATTTTCGTTTTCCAACATGGAGGTGCACACGGTCATTCTCATGGAGGTAAATCAAAGAAATTTTTAAGCTGACAACAAAATGATTCTAAAGAATACAAATATATATATATACATATATCTTTTTTTCAGATCATGGTCACAGTCATGGAAATCATGATCATGGTCATGGTCATTCTCATAGCTCCGCGAGTGGCCAAATTTTACAAAGTGTCTTTATACATATTCTAGCTGATACTTTAGGCAGTGTAGGAGTTATTATATCTTCGTTACTTATTCGATATTTCGGATGGATGATTGCTGATCCAATATGCTCTATGATCATTGCACTTCTGATAGGTGTCAGGTTGGAGATACTTTATTAATTCAAAATTTGCAAAAAGTAACTATAAATATCTTTCAGTGTTATACCTCTGTTGAGGGATTCGTTAGGAATATTAATGATGAGACAACCTCGAGGATTAGACTCTCACCTAGGATCTTGCTATCAACGAGTGATGCAGTTAGACGGAGTTTATAGCGTTCAGGAACCTCACTTTTGGACGTTGTGTAGTGATGTTTTTTGCGGAGGAGTTAAGGTATATCACACCTTTGACATGAAAACTAATTAGTAATTTCTTTTTAAATACTCTTTCAGCTCGAAGTTTCGCCTAAGGCAGATACAAAGTATATTTTGAGTCAGACTCATAGTATTTTTACTTCCGTGGGTGTTAAGCAGTTATATGTTCAAATTGATCATGCATTGAGCTGATACTTTAGGCAATGAAAATACAATATCAAGTATTTAAAAAGTTGTTAATTTGGCGCGCCTCGTTATTTTTTTTGATACGAAAATGCGCATGAGAATAAATCTCGAATTTTCTCGTCCGCCATTCGAACGTACGAGATATCTACTTCGTGAGGTGGTAGTGTTCTAACTTGTTCTCTCTGCAGATGATTGTGTAGATTATTTAGATATCTGATCTGTTTTCTCAAATTAGTGGAATACAATTCTATAAAAATAAGTTAGAGAGTGACGCCAACAAGATTTTAAAACTATCGGAAAGGAATAAAGAAGACACTGTTTTGCGTTGGTGTAATAATAACAACGATATTCCAATATAAACGTGCTACTTTAAAGCGGTTCAGTGACTCTTATTTTCAACAACCGTAGACGGCTTGAACGAATGATTGTTTGTGCCTAGGCGGAATACCAGATTTTTATTTACCGTCCTCTAAAACGACAAGGATACGTTTAACACTTGATTGAATAAAACACATACGGAACACCCACTGATTAAAAGAAACCGTTAGTGATAATTAACAATATACTTTTGAAAACCGTTACATGATTAATGAACAAGAAATTGTGAGAAATAGAGAAGGCGAAACAGTTTCGGATAACTTGTTAAGAGTTTGAATTTAGCATTTATTGACGCTACCTCTTGGTCTTGGTATGAAATCTGCTGGAAAGAAAATGTTTTGATCCATAGTCCGCCATATTCAGTATCAATTATATTTGTATAATTGGTCGCCATTTCGTTTGACCTGGTGAAATTTATAATAGTTAGCTTTAATTGTTTGAAAAGATAGGAACAAATGAACTAGTAGCTATGTCTAGTGGTGCGAATAAAGCGCCAAAACACAACGACTTCGCACCACCTTGGCTCAAGGTACACGATGGGTTACCTCAATGTACTCGACCAACTTCAGAAATTAGGAATAGGGACGAAAATAATAAACGTGAATGCTACACAGTTGTTTCATCCAACGTGTTATTTTCCAGTCCTGAAAATAGATGGAGGGAACCAGCAAGAAGACAAAAGTCTTTCGATAACAAAAAAGAAGTTTCTCAGAACAGTCAACCACGACATCATTCCACTTCATTAGATGATTCAATAAACCAGACAAATCGGAAACTCAGCGTCTCTCGTTCGAATAAATTTAGTAAAAGAACTAACGGTATTGAATATGACCCTAGACCAGTTACTAGCATCACTCGATCGAGATCTGCGAGGCCGGCTTGTCAGAATATTGAAAATCCTTCTCTGGAAATAGAAGATCGTCCGGAAGTTGATGTCTTGCAAAAACCATCTTTGGATGAGGAATTTGTATGCTTTTTTTATATCAATTTGAGCTAGACTAATCGTATTTTATTTTGTATAAAAGCCATCATTAAGTTTGGATGATAAAACTGGTGCTTCAGTCACTTCTACTTTGCCGGTATTAATTAAGCCGAGTGGGGTATGGGGTGAGTATTAATTTAGTGCTGCTTTGGAGAGAATTATATTTTGAATATTAATAGAAAAACCGCTGAAAACTGATAAGTCTCCGTCTTCGTCTAAGTCTAAAGAAGTTGAAAATAAACCGACGATGTACAAGGCTTCCCTTAGTAACAAAGTAGATATTAAAGTTCTAATTTAATACTTTCGATGGATAAAAACTTTTTTCTTAGAACCGAGCTCGACTACCACTGCAGTCTGATAATATTGCTCCACCCTACTCTTCCACTGTAGACATCCCTCCAAAATTAAAACCCACAACGGTTTGTTTTTTTATTCCTAAAAAAGCAACTTATTCTAAATAAAATTCCAAAAAATTCAGAGTACGACAGAAAATGGTGTGAAGAACGAGCGGGAAGCTACTGAAGCACGATTATCGAACTCTCTAGAAAAAGAGAAAAAGTAGGCAAATGAGTTATTAATTGTTTTCGGATAATAAAAAGGTGTTTTACTTAACGTGTAGGTTATTAAGAGATATGGGATGGACTGAAGATGAAAATGGAGAAGAGTATATTATAACAGAAGAAGATAAAAAAGAATTTGAAATGAGATGTAAAAACCTGTACAGTCGTAGTCGAAATGGTCAGACGAATAATGTATCAGAACATGCTATCGTAAACGCTCTTCGTCGTCTAAGAAATTCTTCCTCATCGTCTGCTTCGTCCTGATTTCTTCCTGTTCCCTTTGATATGTTGCGAGGTTGAACCAGCCGCAATATTTTTGTGCGTTTTGAGCCAACGTGTATAAGTTTGTTTTATTTTTGATTTTCTATTTACGTATGGATAATGAGAAAAAAGGACATGGTTTGTGTTAGTAAACTTATTTGAGAAAACATTGATTGTGTTATAATTTTTAAGTTACTTCGATTTCTTGACGCTCCTAAAATTTCTCTGCATTATTTGTATAATACACTTGCAAACGTTATTCCATAAATTTTATAAGATCTCAAGCCCTTGATAGAATTGTCTGAATTTTGTGCCGTTCCTACGTCTTGTCATAGGATCATTTGGTTTTGTTTCTTGAAGTGCATGTATTCGCCAAGCATTGGCAAAATCTTTAACTGAGAAGAGATTGTCTTTTTCATTCTTCTTCTCTAATTCTTTTAGCTCAGAAGGAGATAGTAGGGGCAAACGAATGTGTTTTACAGCTTCCTGGCATACCTTTGACTTTGGTTTATTTAGTGAAGTCTGAAAGAAAAACTTTACTTGATGAAATTTTGCATATATTGTACATAACATTACCGATATAACATTTCCCCATTCTTGTACTTGATTGATAATATCAAGTTCATCCAACTCCAGCTTGTCGCTTCGTAAAATAGCTGCTAAAGCTTTTTCAGACAGCTCGAAGAAGGTAGAACTGTTAAATACAGCCTAGTGAAGTAAATAAAATAATATTAGAAAGAAAAAACACTTGTATTAATTTAACCATAGAATTTTGTTCAATATAGCGTAAAACATCTTTTTTTAAACTTTCTTGGTCCTGAACTACTGCTAAGGTTAAAACTTCGCATGCAGTGTTTTCATTGATATTCTGTACAAGATGTCGACTACACAATTCTTTTAAGCCAGTTAGACCATACTCAGTGGCTAAAATAAGAAGGTCACGTGCTATTTTGGAATTCAGATGACAGCCATTCGTGTAGATATATTCAATCATAGTAGAAAAACAAATTGGAGAAACTTCGGATAAGACCAAATGAATATATCCATCCTTGGTTCTGGTAAATGACGAAGAATCTGCTAACATTACTCGAAATACTTCACACCTTGCTGACAAAACGGCACGATGAGCAAAAATAACTTGGGTGTTTTTTTTCTCTCCCAAAGTGAACTTGACGTCGCTATAGGTAAAAGAAATCAGAAAATAGCCTAAGAAAAAGCTTCTAAACTGCTCATTTTGTTAGAACTATCATACCAAAATTCGTGATTTCGCAACATCTTCAACATATCGGAAGATAGATCTTTTGAATTCCCCTCCAAATATTGCTCAAATTCAGTCATGTTCTTTTTTGTTGCCATAAGGAACGAAAAATCGATGCAGTCTTTGGTTAATACGGATTATTAAAGCTCTAAACTAGGCCTTTATTAACAGTTTCGATATAGTGTATTGAAGATTTATATTTTCGTAATCTATAACGAATAGTTCTTTTATGTTTTATAGGTCAACTATTGTCTAACTGAACAACGTTTAAATAATAAGCAAGTTTTTTTCAAGATGATTATTCGCTGAAAGTTATCTTTTTAGAGTTGGGTATGTTATTCTGATTAGTCGTCATACCCTCTAGCCAATAAGTAATCATTCTTCCCTTTCCCTGTAAAATACTAAGAAATATAGTTATTTCAAATGTTTTTTAACAAAACCTTAATATCTATTTCTCCTCGAGTTCGGAAGTGAAATATTTTACTCGCTTGCACCAAAGAGTAAGTGGCAGCACTGACATGAATTTTTTGCCCTGTAAATTTTAATCTTTTAATGATTGATTATGTTTGTGAGAGAATTAATTTATAATTTATTAGTTAATTCTATTGTTATTATATGTGAAAAACCTTGACTGTGACTCTCCATTCTTGATGCTGTATTAACCTGTATGAGTTATCATATAAATGCTACTATGCTTGAACAAATTTAATAAAGAAAATCTCAACTGTATCTCCGAAGAGGCAATATCTAGGCATTTTTATTCCAACAATTCCAGCACAACATTGCCCTTACGAAAATATTAAGGATTTCAGCTTGTATTTTGATTAAATGAAGAATGTCTACCTGAATGAATTCCTATTCGAACATACAGTACTTCATCTGGGAGATGGGGAACATAGCAATGACTCAACGACTCTCTTATCTCCAACGCAAAAATACACATTTCCTGAGCGTGTTGTTTAAATGGTTCAGGTACGCCAGATGCAACCCTTAAATTAGTGATTTTTATCAGTTTCACTATCAAATATAATAATAATGTTATACAAACATATAAGCATCACCAATAGTTTCAACCTTATACAAGTTATATTTTCCAATAGTCTTATCAAACATGCTACAGTAATTGGGATAAAAGTAAAATGAATTAGTAAAAGTTATGCCCTTTTTCCTCAAGAAATTTGTTTAATCAAATTTTTTACAAAGTTTAACCTGTATAGACCGTTCAATAATTCAACTAGCTCTTGAGGGCTACTCTTTGCTGCAATCTCGGTAAATCCAACTATATCGCTGAAAAATATCGTTGCACTCTCAAAGAATTCCGCTTTAACTGGTTTCTTTTTCTTTAGAGATTCTGCAACGGATTTGGGTAGCATCTGGTAAAGTAGCACTTCTGTTTTTTTTTTTTCTTTTGCTAGTTCTTTAGACTTTTCAGCTTTATGAACTGCATACGAGGCTACTTTATATGTTAACTGAGAAATGAGCAGCGTGAGTATATATAATTGAACACGTTGGTATCATAAATACAAACCGAGTTTACGCAGTGAGTGTACCAAATACAAAGAGAAATACAAATTAAAACGACTGCTGTCAATACTGTTGTATAAATTATTTGAATTCTTTTAGTACTATTCACAATATCTTCAATTTCTTCTTTAATCTTAACGGATAATTCTACTCGAAGTTCTTGTATTTTATCCAAGTATATAGTGTTGTGTTCAAACCATTTATTAGCCAATTCATTTCTTTCTGCAGAGCTAAATTTTAAACAGTCATTTACGAAATTCGAGCCCATTAAAAACTCTTTTATTGTTAAGATGGAAGTAAAAATATTTGATATTTCCTTGATTTTCAACTTGTGTGTCTTTTCAACATATGAGCTATACATGAATGATAATCTCAACCATAGATCATTTTGATTAGTTGCTTTTGTCAAATATGCCAAATCATTTGGAGACATATTACAGCTAGTTATCCAGGAGGAACCCTGACAAGTATTATTTAAATAATTTAATCTGATAGGTTAATGTTTTCTTTTTGTGAAACATTTAGTTTAACAAAGCGAATTACTGAAATTACATTTTACAATATGATAACTTGTCAGGTTTCCAACATACAAAGCCTCTTTGAATTCCAATTTCGTTTCCAGAAGCTAAGAGAGCCACTATTGCAACTAGATCGAAATTTTTTAAACCGATTGGTAAATCTATGAAACGTGCTGTCCATGACATCAGTTCGTTGATTATATAAGTATAATAAAACATTGTGCCATTCACATTTTTTTGAGGTTTTTTTCGAAATTCAATAATTTTATTAAGAAGATCTTCTTTTGTTTCATATATTTCTTCTCTAACCTTTAATCCTCCAGATGGCCAAGTTTCTACACTGTAAAATATCTTGGTGGTAGCATTTTGTATATGAAGCATTTTTTCATAAGCATCTTTATTTGTTTCATTTGAACTCAAATATGTTGCTGTAATACCACGCTCAACTTGCAGGTTGGTTATTAACTGATCGATGAGAAAATATTGCTGTAGATCGGATGCTGCTCGCGATGCTCTTGACTCTTCTCGAATTGCTGAAGCTGTTTGTATACCGGCAAAAACTATCAAAGTTGCAACAGGTAGGATGAGAACCATCAATAGCTTTGCAATTTGCTTTATCCTCTGTCTCATTCCCGTGTCTAGTAATGTTTTGTAATCATCCAACTCGTTGCTTTCCGTTAAAGATTGAGTGCTATACATGGTCGAAGTTCTTGAGGAATTTATAGAAGTCTTACAAGGAGAGGACAAATTATTTAACTTGTCCATAGTCTCAGGAGTTCCACCTGACGGCTTTTCTTTTGAGTCGGATTCTGTAAGTGACAAGTCCTCTTAGAAGTTACTAATTAGCGAATATAGTATAAAAATTTAGAATTACTATAATCGGAAATTGAATCTTCATTCATCAAAGAGTAATAATTAATTAGTATAAAATTCTTACTCAAGGAAACTTATCCCCTCATTAACTCTTCTATAATTTTGATAGAAGTGAACTGAAAGTATACCTAGCTTTCTGTAATAAAGGAACAAGAAAATTTAAACCCAAAAAAATCTATAATTATTTATATTCCATTAATTAAAGCCCCTAGAGTATTTTACAATGCCTAATTGAACACTTGGTAACAGTTTTGATGTTTTCTAATTACAGAAATAATAATTTTTGTACCAATGTTAAGCGCTTCATTGATCTTCTCATGGACTAAAGAAACTACAGATATTACTGAGAAGAGTGGAGAATTATTATACTTCGAGCTATTCACCCGACTTAAGAATTATACTCTTCTTTGGGGCAAATAGAGAGAGAGAGAGAGTGCTTAACAATTTTAATTTCAAACAAATATCCAATCAAACAGCCTTTGTTTTTTTCATCAATATCATGTATCATGAAATTGACATATCTTTGAAGATTCGACCGAATCGGGAACAGTAGATAATTGTATGTAGCTTAGATCAATATCTACTGCATGCAAGATGCCTTTGATTTAAATTATAGAATTGAGTTGTTTTCTCTAAAAATATAAATATCATCTTTCAGTATAAAAAACAAATGACAAACTCTATTGCAGTCTAATTCTTCTAAAGAGTAAAATTTTAAGAATACAAGCGCATTTGTTTTAAATAGATTATAAATTAATATTACTATATTTCCACACACACTAAAGACAAGAGAAAAATTTTTGATTAAAAGTATGGTTTGATCTTTAACAATTAGCCTCTTCAAATAGAAAGATACCCTACTTAGTAAACCATTTAGACCCTTAAATATGAGTTTAAAAATAATGCAAAATATATTAGCTAATTCTACATTAAGGAGAAAGTTAATTTTGCATTTGAAAAGAAAGCACGAGGTAACTTACCCATGGATTCCGTATCTGTCCAGACCTTAGACTGCCAAGGTAGAGTCTCCTAACGGAAACATAATGTCGCCACAAAGAGCATTGAAACGTCATCGTATACCAAAAAGCTCAACTGGTCTTAATGCATATTTTTTGTACATCTTTTCAATTAAGTTATGTGAAATTGAAAATTGGAGAGGAGACTGTTTATAATGAAATATTATAACAGTTATTTTTTATCATCACAAGACGAAATTTCAAAGACACTTGATGAAGAAGAGATTTTAGACTATCTTTCTATTCAATACAAAGAGTAGAATGACAATTTTTTTTTATTTATATTCATTAAAAGAGGAGATAAAATAGAATAAGGCAGGTAATACAACAGAAAGTACTTAAAGAACTACATTGTCAATAGAGGTAACTTTAGCCAATAACATTCGTGAAATATTCTTTATCATATTATTCTGAAATTGCAGATGAGAGAATCTACCTCGTATTTGTATATTTTTTGTGGTATTTATCCGGTTATTTCTGAAGTTAGCATCACATTTTAAAGTATTTGGACAGAATAGCTGGATAACTTCATTCTCGAATGTAAATTTGTTAAATGAACCATCGAATACATTAAAAGATGACAATTTAAAATTTTTGGACTTCACAAACTCTGCTTGATTCGAACTGATGTTTAAATATTTTAGTTCGTATAATTTATTCGGTAGATATATAGTACTGTTTAGCAAATTAGAAGAAATATCTAAGAATCTTAACTTCTCCAAATCCGCCATTGCTTTTGGAGTTTTTCTCAAATTAATATTTCTCATATTAATGTACTCTAAATGACTATTATTTATACTGGAATCTTCAATGACGCCAATTGGATTGTTCTCCAGTATGATTTTTTTCAACCGTGCAAAACTATTGAATATATTAAATCGTTCCAGAGAGCAATGGCCAATATTTAACTCTTCAAGGTTTTTCAATTCCTTAAGATTTTTTAAGGACTCGTCTAAGTTTGATGATAGATCATTTCCCTGAAGATATAAGTAGCGTAGAGTAATTAGCTGTACGAATGAATTTAGAGGAATGTACGTTAGATCATTATAGCTTAAAGTTAGAGACTGTAGCTGTCTCATTTTAGAGATAGCTTCCAATTTATCTGATTCTAGATGATTATTCGACAAATTTAACACCATAAGTCGTTGAAACCCAATATTAAATTCGATTTTTCTGAATAGATTATTGTCCAGGTGTAGATTACGAAGTGATGCAAGAGAAGATATTGCTTTTATCGAATCATCTGTTAAGTTGTTTTGTCCTAAGTCTAACGTACGTAGGAGTTTTAATTTTGATATTGATTCGTTGCTTAACAATTGTAAATCAGCCGATCTCATCGTTAAAGTTTGTAGACTGATTAACGATAAAGGTAGGGAATTGTCATTTAATACTTTTAACGAATTTCTATTTAAATTAAGATTAGATAAGCTGCGTAAGGGATGAAATGAACTCAACATCTCGTGATTTAAATAATTTGACGACAATGATAAACTATCCAGGTAAGTTAAGCCTAGGAAAGCGTCTTTGTCCAATTTTTCCAATTCATTAAAATCCAGATACAATTTCTTTAAAGAAACTAAGGAAATGAAACATTTGTAAGGAATTGTTCGAAGCTTGTTTCGAGATAGATCCATAGTATAAATGTTGTAGAATTTCACTTGCCCATTAAATGTAATATTTTTCAAATTGTTTCCGCTGGCGTTAAAGAACATGACATTTTTTAAATTATGAAAGATCTTCTCATCCAATCTTGCAATTAAATTATCACTTACATCTAAAACAGTTAGCTGGTCTAATCCAACAAAATAAGATTTTCGAATGAGCTCTAAGCGATTATCACCTAGTTGTAGTACTTTTAAATTCTTTAAAGTCTTAAAACTTTCATTTTTTAAAAATGTAATATTATTTCTTTCGAGGAAGAGAGATGTTAGAGATGTCAGATTCTCTATTGCTTTGGTGGGTACTTCACCTAAATTATTATCTGATAGATTAAGAATCCTTAATGAGTTCAAAGAGTTGAAAGATAATGAATCAATCTGCTCGATTTTATTGTTCGCCAAATTTAAGGAATAGAGTGAAGGCAGTCGTGAAAATCCGTTATATGGTATTGTTTTAATATTATTTTTTGCCAAATGAATTTGTGTCAGTATTTTATGATCTTTAAATAGACTTGGAACATCATCAAATAGATTTCCTTCAAGCCATATTTGACTTAGGTTTCCTGGTATAGTTAGGTTAGATATCTCTTTTAATTTGTTATTGGATAACGTTAATAACTCCAAATTATGAAGTTCACTAAAAAAGTCTAATGGAAGCGAACGAAGTCTGTTAAAAGAGAGGTCTAAAGTGTTTAATCGTTTTAGACCTATAAAACTTTCCGTTCTCAAATGTTCAATCATATTTCCTTTTAGGTTTAAAGTTCTTAACTTGTTTAATTTGATAAAGGTCCTAGGAATAATGGTTGAAATTTTATTTCTTTCCAAATTGAGAATTTGTAATTGGTTGGTAGATTCGAATTGAGCTGGTCTGATCTCCTCCAGTAGATTATATTGAATGTTAAGAGTATTTAAATTAATAATCTGACTAAAATGAGAATCGTCGATTTCACTTAAAAAATTATCAGATAAATCTAGATAGTTTAATTTTGTAAGACCATTGAATATCTCCTTTGGTAGACTTTTCAGATTGTTACGACCTAATTGAAGACTTTCCAGAGTATCGGCCAAAACAGTAAAAGAAATCCTACTTAGAGTTTCCAAATTATTCATGCTTAAATCTAAAGTTGAGAGGCTACAAGATCCATTAAACGTTCCCTCCGATATAGTAGTTAGTAAGTTATGGGATAGATCTATCTCTTTTAGGTTCTTGTTCCATTTAAATATATTAGTGGGCAAATCTTGAAGAAAATTATACCCTAATTTTAGTTTTTCCAAATTTCCTAGATACTTGAAACAATCAGAATCCAATTTATCCATTCTGTTATTATTTAAATCTAAATAATTTAAATTGTGTAATTTACCGAAAGTATTTTTCGTACACGATCTTATTTTATTATTCCTAAGACGAAGCTCTTGGAGGAAGGAATGAGATCCTTTGAATGCGAAATCTTCGATTTCCTCAATGCAAATATTTTCTAACCGTATCTGCTCTAGAATTAGACTGTTAAACGATTCCTGGCCCAGTTTCTTAACACAAGTATCTCCAAAGATATTTAATTCTGTATAGAACGTATCGGATTGGCAAAAATATGGCAGAATGGTTATATCTCCCAGTGATTCGCATAAAATTTTTCTATATCGGTATCCATACGGACATGAACACTTTAAATGTTGAGGTGGACAAACAAATCGTTTTCTACAGATCGGAGGCTCTGATGTTTGAGTGCTTGCTTTTGTTGTTGTCAATTCCTCTGTCGTTTGAACTTGTTGTTTTACAGTTTTTAAACTGGAAGAAGAACTCTGATGATCTATAGAATTAGTTTGTAGGTAGGTTGTTTTGTCTGTGGTATGTTTTTCAGTCATTAATGTCTCTTTGAATTTCGTTGGTTTTGTTACCGGAGATGAGGAAGACATTTCAACGTTATAATTGAATGTTTCAGACTCTCCTTGCTTGAAAGTAATTTCCCTTGGACTTTTTGAAGATATATTAGTATCATGACTAGTTTGCGGAAAAGATACAAAACTACTTGCTGATTTAGTTGGTATAATTGTATCTTTACTCTCTGATGAATTATTATTGTCTTTAACATGTGTTGTTGCATAACTTGACTCAGTTGAAAATGTATAAGAATCATTATTTAAAGTATTTTTAGGAGACTGTTCTAATGAAGACGTTGTCAAGTTAGTTGTAATTTGATCTATTGAATTCGAGGAGATATGTAATTTAGATGCTTTACTCGTAAAAAATTCTGTGTAAACAGAGTCTGTTGTAGCTAATGGTATTTCTGTGGTTTTCATTTTTCCTGTTTTCATTTTGGTAGTGCCTCTATTGGTGATTTCCAATGTAGTCATTACCGTATTGCCAGTCTTCATTTTTGTAGTTTCCTCTCTGGTGGTTTCTAGACTGGTAGTTTCTATTTTGGCTGCTTCCGTTATGGTAGTTTCAATTTTTGTAGTTTCCATCTTAGGGGTGGTCATCCTTGTGGTTTCTAATTCGGTAGTTTCTTTTTTGGCTGTTTCCGTTATGGTAGTTTCAAGTTTTGTAGTTTCCATCTTAGGGGTGGTCATCCTTGTGGTTTCGAATTCGGTATATGCTTTAACAGTTGTTTCTAGACAGATTGTACTTGGATTTGTTTTTATTAAGCAGCTTTCTTCATCTATCGCTTCATAACAAATTAAAAGAAAATTTCTCTTTTTAGTAGGAAATTCGCAATGAGGCATGTCGAGATTTATTCTGTCAACAATTGATCTAATCCATCCTAGTTTACAGTCGCAAATCCACTGATTATTCAATAATTTCAGATCTGTTAGCTTAGTAAAATCCCTTCGAAAATCCGGAATTGTTCCTAATTTGTTGTTAGATAAATCCAAAGTGGTCAAAGATCGTTGCAATGATTCCAATACAAATTTATCATTTTCATCGATTAAACTGCTTATTTTATTGTGAGAAAAATTAGCGTACATCAATTTATCGCAAAAATCGATAGCTCTATACTCTATTGTGCTTATTCGATTTGAGCTTAAATCAATTCTTTCCAAGAATAAAAGTAAATAGAATGTCTTTTCAACGATAGTTTGTAATTGATTATGGTCTAAAGTTATTTCTTTTAAATACATCATACTATCAAAAGCCAGGCTATTCAATTTTGTTATGTTATTGTAACTTAGAAATATCCTTTCAAGATAAGTATTTCTTGATATGCCATTAATATCTGTAAGTCGGTTGTGAGATAAATCCAAAACTTTCAATATACTAACTGATCTAAGAGATGTGCTGCTTACAATTTCTAATAAATTATGAGACAAATCTATTGTTAACAAATTGTCTAATCCATTGAAAGCTTGACTTGTTATCCTTTTAATTCCATTATAGCTTAGAGCCAAATTTTCCAAACGCTTCAGGCCATTGAACATATTGCTCTTTAAATTCGCGAGTGAATTGTTCCTTAGTATTAATGTTTGTAGTTTGCCTAATCCAGAACTACTAAAGACGGACAAGGGAATGTTTTCGATTCGATTGTTTGACAGATCCAGTAATGTTAAGTAGGATAAATAGTCAAATGCTCCCGGTAAGATCATTTTCAGTCCATTGCTGCTCAAGTTCAACTTCTTTAAAAAAAAGGAGGAAGAGAAACCCGCTGAATTAATAGATGTAATTTTATTTCCACTCAGATCAACATCCTTAACGGAAGTTGGTATCATTTCGTCTCTTAAGTCGGTAAGTAGATTGTTGGATAATTTCAGTGTTGTAAGAAGAATTAATTTTTTGAATCTCATGGTAACATTTTGAATATTATTGTAAGATAAATCGATAGAATTCAAGAATGTTGAGTTGTTGAACAGTGTCTCTTCTATTGAATTAATAGAGTTATGACTTAAATCTATTTTACGTACGCTCAAAGCATGATTAAAAGCTTCCTTCTCAATATGATCAATGGAGTTGTTACTGAGATCCAAATAATACAGCTTTTTCAAATCCTTCAAGGCATCCGCTCTAATATTCTTAATGGCATTCATAGTTATTGTTAAGTTTAATAAGTATTTCCCGACTCCCTCGAACGCTTTTTCTTCAATGTTTTCGCATTCATTTTGTTGTAGATATATAGATTTCACCTTAATATTTCTAAAAGCACCTCTTTGAATTGTACGAATGCTGGAATTGCCCAAAAAGCGTATTTCATCGTAAATGATGCTAGATGGCAAAAATGTCGGTACTTTTTCATATAAACCTATATCTTTGCATATTATATTGCGCTCTAATTGTGTCTCTTGGCACTTACAAGAATTAATCGTGATCGGACACCGTGATAATGTTTCAGTAGAGCCTATTGAAGTCGATTCTTGTGACGTCAAGGCCAAGGTAGAAGTCTTTAAATTGTCCTCGTTGGTGGTGAACTTTGCTGACATAGAAGTTGGATAATTGGAACTTGAAGATTCTGCTGTAAAAGTTTTATCAGAAAATTCATCTGAAGTAGTTCCATCAATTTTTCCTTTGGTACTAGTCAATTCAGGAGTACTGGAACTTGGGCTTGAGGACAATATACGTTTTCCTTCCGTTGTTATTTTTCCTTTGGTGATTGATAAAGTTTTTATATCTTGTGTGCTTGTTAATCCTTCAGTTGTTTTATACTTTATAGTATCGGTAAGTTTCTCAATAGCTTCCGTTTCTTTAGTACTTTCCCATTTTAGTAAATTAGGAGTTGTGCTTTTGTAATCTTTCATTGTTGTCGGAGTAGCTGTTGTTACAGTTTTAATGGTGGAATGACTACTTTCCATAATTGTAGGTTCTGTTGTTATTCTCTGTTGGGTTGATGTTTCAATTTTAGCAGTGGATTTTGAAGCAGTGGAGGCAGAACCAGTAGTACTTAAATATTCCATCTGAGTTGTCCTTTCTGATTGTAATTTACACCGTTCTGCGTTTAGTTTTGCTGTATTTTCAATTGTACAGTTATCTATTAATTTCGGTTGAGAGCAGTAAACTGAAGTATGGCAATTTGTTGGTATAAACTTTCCCTCATAAATGCAAGTCGAATTCTCATAGTTCAATAAGTGACAATTACATTCCAAAGGGTTTCCTCGAATATCTATTGAATCGTACTTATCTAGACAACTTGGTACCAACGATAAAAGATTATTACGTAAATTCAAAGATATTCCCAAGAAAATTGAACTATTACCATTATCTTTAATTGTTTCAATACAATTTTCCTCAAGATTGACATTTTTAATATAGTCTAGACTTCCGCAATTAATTAGACCAATATGATTACCTTTGACATTTATTGTATCAATTTTAGTTTGAAATGTAGGTAGATCTGTTAGCTGATTGTCAGACAGGTCAATATTTCTAACACGAGCATCACTGCTTATTTTAGAAATATTACTTATAAGATTTCCATTAAAATTAATTATCTCTATTTCGCCAGCTCTGTGAGAGTCTATTTTAGGAAGTTGCTTAAGTCTATTTTTCGACAGGTCTATTGAAAAGACACTCACAATACCATTAACCTTTATTTCGTCAACATTCTTAATATGATTACCTCTTAAGGATAATTTTTGTAATTTCTTAAAAGTTTGAATGTTTGCATTGAAAACTTCAATATTATTGTTTTCCAGAAAGATTTGTTGTAGATTAATTCGATTATGGAAAAAGTTAAGATCCAATAGTTTGTTATTATTTAACGATAACAGTCTTAAATTATGTAGTCTTTCAAAAGATCTCTCTTCTATTTTGACTATTTTATTAGAATCAAGAGTTAACTCTTCCAGATACATTCCAAGTCCATTAAATAGATTTTTTCCAATTTTTTTAATATTATTCTGGCTTAGATTCAATTTTCTTACTTTATAAAGTTTAATTAGTAGCTTTTCCACATTTTCGATCAAGTTATCGGCTAAATTTAATTCCTCAAGCTCTGTTAAATTATTAATAGAGAAAGTATCCGTTAAGTTATTGCTAGTTAAACTTAATTTAATGAGGTCGGTAGGAAAGTAAAGCTGTTCTTCACTTATTCCAAGAGTATTAGATAAACTTAAGTATTTTAACGATTGGCATTTTGTTATTTTAGATATATCCACATTTTTCGTATTGATAATTATTAAACTATTTAATTGATTATTCTGATTTTGACATATATCGAAATGATTAAAATTACTCTCCTTTTCGTTTTTTCCAAATGCGAAATTTTGTATCCTAGATGAGATCTTTTCCCAATTATCAACTTGAATTATTTCGTTGTCATTTATGAAAACATCGTTAACGCTCGCCGGTAATAGAGTTGCATTAAATACATTTAACATTGTATTCTCCAAATGTAACCTTTTCAGCTTGAACATTGATATCAAAGTTGGAAATTTTTTTAAGTCATTTCCAGTTAGTATGACGTCAAATGAATTCGTTTTAAAATTTGATATACTAGAACTGTGTAGGGCGTTGAAGCTCAAATCCAGAACCGTAATTGATGTACTAGCCAATAGATTACTGTCAAGATTCTCTAGACGGTTCCGACTCAGGTTCAATTCATAAATGTTTCTGGTATTTCTAAAATAATTCCTATCAATAAAAGTAATCTTGTTATTTGATAAATTTAACAGAAACAGATTGTCCAAAATAATAGAATCAACTAGTCTCTCAAGCAAATTGGAGGAGATATCAAAAAATCGTAAATTCCTATAGTTCTCTCCGAATATCTTATTTGTAAAGGTCTTTATTTTATTATAGTTTAAATACAAATACTTTAATTTGTTTGTCGAAGAGAAACAACCATCTTCCAGTTGAGATATTTCATTACGCTTTAGAGATAGATGTATTAAGTTTACATTTTTAAATGTGTTTCTTTCAATTTTTCTTAATCTATTCTCATCCATGTATAACTGGGATACTTGAAAAGATTTTACAAACTCATCCGGAACCATTAAAAAGCGATTTTTATTTAAAATAACTTGACCTATTCGCTTAATTTTGTTAAAGGCTTTTCGAGGAATGTCCTCTAAGAGATTGTTCGTCAGATCTAATAGGTAAATAGTTCCTAGGTTTTCAAAGCTGTGAACATCGAGAAACTCTAATCGATTGTCTTCTAAGTAAATATCATTTAAATAAGGTAAATTTGAAAATGTCCTGGATTTGATTTTTCTTAAAAAATTCCCACTGAGCTTAACCTTTGATAAATCCTTTGAATTGTTAAATATTTGACTTGGTAAATCGTTTATAAAATTGTTAGATAATTCTAATGTAGATAGCTTGGGGCATAAGGTGAATAGATCAACGCTTAATTCTTTAATTTCATTATCATTCAGATTTAAATTTCGAAGATTATCCAAAGAAGAGAATGAGTTTTTTGTTATATTAACAAGCCTATTTGAATATAAATATAATGTTGATAGGAACTTTAATCCATTAAAGGTATTTGATTCCAATATCCTTAATTTATTATAATGAAGGTTTAGGGTTCTTAATGAAGATAAAGACGTAAATAGACCTTTCGGCAGAAATTTAATTAGATTGTTACTTAAGTTCAAAACTCTTAATTTCCTTGTTGATGAAAATGCTTCACTATGAATTTTATTTATATCATTCTTCGCTAGATTCAAATAAACTAAATCGCTTAGATCATTGAAAATTTCATCATCAATTGCCGTAAGATAATTTGAAGATAAATGTAATCTTGATAATTTTGTTAAATTTTTGAATAAATCTGATGGTAATTTAGTTAAATAGTTTTCCTCTAAATAGAGTGTTCTTAACTTTGCTGTTTGAGAAAACAATTTATCCGGCAGATGTCGCAAATTATTAGCTTTTAAAACTAATGTTTCTAAGTTTGAAAGTGTCCTAAAAGATTCGACGTTAATTTCCTGTATTTGGTTTCCATATAAGTTTAAATCGTATAATTTAAACATTCCTCGAAATGTATCCTTTTTAATTTCCGATAAGAAATTACTATTAATGCTTAAAACCTCTACAAAAGATAGTTTGTTAAATGTACCATTCCTTATATCCTCAATGTTATTATCATTCAAATTCAACCAAGTTAACTCTGCTTCTAACTTATTAAAAGCTCCTGCTTCTATTGTGCGTATTCTTATTTTATCCAGTATTAATGATTTTACGATTACATTAGCAAAAGCATCTTTTTGGATCGTTTCAACAATAGAATTTCCTTGTATAGTCAGTTGTTGATAAGAGCTTGACGAGGATTGAAAGGGAGATACGTTATACTGTTTCCCAATATCTTTGCAATAGATTTTTGTACCATAAAAGAAATCTTCACGACACTCGCAATTCCAATTGAAATTAACAGGACAAGAAGTAAGAGAAGAGACGAATAGAGAAAGTACTAAAAACCTTAACTTCCAGTTCATTTTCATTATTGAAATGACACGAATTCTACTCTTCTATGATTTTTAAAGTTTCTATCAAAAGAAAGGCCCTTTCTCTTCTGGCCAAAGAGAACGATTATTACCTGTATTTCAACTATAGACAGCCTATATTGAAAAGAATTTTGTAGACTTTTTAAAATACCGTACCAATATTATGAAAATGTATTATACAGTAGAAAGAGAGAGAGAGAGAGAGAGAGAGAGAGAGAGGGAGGAAGATACTATTTGGATAAGAATATAAGTATTTTTAATACAGAGCTAATATTCGAAAAATTCATATATCAGTTTAATTATGTATGTTTAATAGAATCTTTATTCCAATTGTAAAAAAGAATTCAATAAATTCAATAAAAGAATGGAAATAAACTTGAATAGCAAAATGTCTCGATAGTAAAATGACCGTTACAGTGTGGGCGTCTATCTGTCAGCATGTTTTTTTTTCTTTTTTTTTTCTTTCTAAAAGTCAACAGGTACTATTATGATACTTGTACTTTTATCGTACATTTTATATTCAACACTACGCACGATTCCTCGCAAAGCCATGATTATATTTGATTTTACATACTAAACATTCCGAGGCTCTTCTTCCAGTCTTCTTTCATTCGATATCCTTATTTGATCGTGTGCTGGTATAGTATGAAGATTTCTTCGAAAACTGTCTCTTTTAACAAAATCTTCATAGTATCTTTCCAATATGGCATCCTGTTTTTCTCTCTTTATGTATTTAATCATGAGGAGTAACATTACGGCTGCATAGAAAAGTAGAACGACTACGATATATAGAAAAGCATCTAACTCGTTACGGCTCTTAGGAATCGTATGGCAAGACGGAACTTTTGTTGTTATATCGTTGTCTGTTGAATTGCAGCTGGTAAAATTAACGAGCGACGGCATTGAAATGAAAGCCAACTAGCCGATGACCTCTAGTTGAATAAGACGAGACGCAACAATCAACTGCAATATAGACTGCAATATCCGTATTGGCGCCACAATACAAATGGCGGTTAGTGCACTATAATATTTGAATTATTTACTTACACATAATATATATCAAAATATATTTTTAGTAACGCCTGAACGTTGTAAAATGGGAAAAGCAGGGTTTTATTACTCAAACAAAGAGGTCAATTTGTATAGAGATTGAGTAAATAGCCGGAACGACTAACGCTCCAATGCGTAGGAATGCTATATTTTTTATTCGATTGTTCTTTCTAGCTCCTTCGTCTCATCTCTTCTGCATAATTTTTTTCTTATTTATTGTTAGCTCGGCATAAATCAATTTGTGTGAGAGATCAATTTCATAAACAAAAACACATGATCAGACAATGAACAGTCTACGCAACAGCTCGATTGATTTGAAAGATAAAATGATTAACGAACTCGCTTTATGACCTTTGAAGTAGACTGAATATTCCATCAAAAACGAAAAACGGCATTCTTCTAAATCATCTTATATATTTCCCCTATAGGGTATTTACAAAATGATTAATTCCGTAGCTGTAAAACGATAATGTGTGTATATAAGTATTCTTAAGTGCTTGAATCAACTGCAATATACAGCACTGCTACATTCTCTTACAAAAATTGCAAATTCATGCTACGAAGTTTACACCTAGTAAGCCGTCTTACTTTTAAGACAAACTATAGTTAATATATATTTTCCGTACAATATTTATTTAATTTTCTAAAATACCGCCTACATGATTCTATTTAATTGTTAAGTACACTTACTTCTATTGTTTAGCTTCTTTCTCTCTCTTTCTATATACCGTATCTCTATATACTGTATACGTATTCCCTATCAAACGATCTATTTTCTATAAATACACAGTAACTTTCCTTTACTTTTAAAACCGACTCTGTTTTAAAAGATATTCAATTGAAATATATATATTTATTATTCTTTCCTACAATTGAAAATTAATGAGAACAAATGAATAAATGTAAAAAAAAAATAAACAATTGTTATTATTATTTATCATTATTATCAATATTATTATTAAGATTTAAAGTTTTGCTATCGAGTAAGTCGTATCTTTTTTTTGGGTAGTTCATCTTTTGTTTGGTACTAACAGAGGTCATCCATAGTGAATACTGTGAAAGCGCCATCTGTTTTTTTCATTCAATAGTTTTATTTCGAGATTCTCTTTTCTTCCATTCTTCTAATTCTTTCTAAGAAGATTATTAAAAAGGCATATTATATATTAATATAAATATAAATATATATACTGTACAGTATATTAAACTATTGAAAATGTTGCTACCTTTGTTTCTTCAAGATATAATTCTCTTTTATTAGCTAATGATTTCTTGGAAAAAGGACCTAACTTGAAGGCTATCTGTAAAGAAGTTTACAGTTTTTTTTAACTATGTATTATCTTGAATAAGATATTACTTACATCAGCTAAAGTATGATGATCGTACAAACTACGCTGTATAATTCGCATAAAGGCATGAATTTCTGGATTTTCATTTAGTTTACAAATATCTTCTTCGATTTTCTTGAAAATTGCAATAGCAAATCGAAAGAGAATCTATTAAATGAGAAAATTAAAAAATCTAGTCAATTTTCTTGCAAGCTATTGACTATAAAATAATAGAGAAAAATAACCTTGTCACCCTCCAATAGAAATGAATCCCATATGCGAAAATACGTCTCAACGGGAAGATTCTCTACAAAAACTGCTAAGAACCAGCTTAAAGTGAAAAGCGAGAGATCAACTCTTTTTTCTTCCAGCTTGTTATAGACCTTGGGTACCAGTTTCATTATGAAATCCCTTAGGACTTTCTGGTCTGTTTGTGCTCCAAGCAAAACGTTTGTATAATAATCTTTTGGAAGAATATGCTCAACTATAGCAACCAAGCACCAAAATGCATCCTCTTCTGGTAAAACCAATAAAGCAATAGCAGCGATTCGATTCAAGCCCTAAATAAATTATATATACTATATATACTATTAGAAAAAAAACTATAAAACGTTTTAATGTATTATATGTTGAACGTTGAAGATATAGTTACCTGACAATAACCAATCTGTTCACAATGCCATGAAAAGGCAACAAGTACATTTCTCAACTTAATAACGCTGTCTGACATAAAAGTTTGAAATTTGCTATTATTCGGAAGGCTCCTTAATAAATCCAATTCAATCTGCAAAATGAAAATGTATCTTTTATTACGATAACTAATATTAAAAAAGAATGTTAGAATGTATGTCGTATAGGCTTAAAATTTTGCGGTACACGTGTATATTTAGTTTAATACAAACCTGCTTGATATTTGGATTTGATCGACCTTCGTTCCTTTTTAGTAAATTTCGGTAATAGTCTTTATTTTTATTCCTTTTTAGGCCAACTCGTTTGTTTATACAGCTGATTACCAGAATTTATAAAAGTATTAGTTTTAATGCATAAAAGAGATGTAAAAAAAAAAATAGCTTATGCAACTGTACGTACTACGTCCATATTTTTTGTCTGTAAATGGGTGTAATCCCTTTTCGGACTTGTTTTTTTAAATCCCTATCCTCCATCAGGTTATTGTTCCAAGATTCCATAAAGAATTCCCAATCTTTCTCAAATTCATTAGCTTTATGCAATTTCTTATCTATAAAACGTTGTTTCTCCTTTTCGCAATTTTTAATTGTCTTTCTTAAAGAATCTGGAATATCTTCGAAAGTAAAGTCGATATCATCATCAATCCTATAGAAGCCGTAACAATCCCGAAAATTTGGATGTTTTCTATTTATAGAAATTACAGTTAGATATAATTTTCAAGGACTGAAAAAATAATACTCTAATACTTAAGCTACTTGTTATAGATATAAACTGCAATTAGATTACAACGAAAGGATCAGTTTTAATAGAATTACCTATTAAATTTTTTATCTAACTTGATATTTTACTGCTTTGCAGCCTACATTTTTATTAAAAAGTGGATACGTGTATCTAAATTTACAGTGGAGAGAATGTTAATAAGTAATAATTACCCTTCGCGTATTTGAGTTAAGGAGCATTGGGCTTCTGCAACAGCACACTTAATTGCTTCAACAACTTCTCCACCTGATAAAGAGTTCAGAAAATTTTAAATAGAAATTATAACATTTATAAACGAGAAGTGCATATCGCGTAATCATGACTGAGCGATACGATATTTTAACAATCAATTAGTATTGAACATGAAACATAAAGAAATAGTCTTTACCAGACGATACGGAGTATACAAGTAAATCAGAAGTGCTCAAATTTTTCCTTCTATATTTAGATCTGCCATGTTCAGATTTTGATCTTTTTCTCCTTTTATTCTCATTCGTTCTACTTCTACCTATATGCACAGATTCAAAAGCTCTTTCGGCATACTGCAATGTAGACCATTTAGACTTTGCCTGATCAAATTCAATAGAAGCAATTCTTTGTAAAACTCCAAAACTTTTACGTAAAAACTCAAATTCTGAATTGCTATTCATCGCTGCTGTTTATCAATTGACATTTTAGAACTGAGACATGTGAAGAGACGCTAATCACGACATAGCAGCAGTCACGTTTCGGATCACAAATTATATAAAGACGCAAAAAAAAAACTACAGGATCAATATTTTTAAACACATGTTGGCTTTGCTAAAACTCGTGAAAAGTATCAAAACAAAAAATAAATTATCATAATGTTTTTTTCACTACAGTAAACTCAGGTCAACAGCTTATACAGTATACAATATATACTATATACTGTATATATGTATATATGTATATGTACTATACACATTATATGTTACAGATTTTATTATTTATATTATTTAAATAGAAATGAAATTTTCTTTTTTTTTCCATAAAATTCAATGATAAAATATTTTTTACGACTGTTAGCGTCACCTGTGAATAATATAGAAAAAGAAAAGTTCTATTCAGTAGATCGATATTTTGTAACCGATTCGTTTTTTATCACTTTTCTACATATTTAATTCATATTTTATATATTTTGTTGCGGTTTATCTTAAACGTTTTTGAAAATTTGTCGTATATTTTCAACATTTAAAGAGTTTTATCATATAAGATACTAATTTATCTTTTAAACTGATACCAAATTGATTTTGTCATTAGCGACCTATTATAATTATCTGGCTTTCTATCGACAGTATTAAATAACTAAATAGGGTACGGACACTTGATGAAAAGGAAGGCAGATAACAATAGAGCTTTTTCAACTTTTTAGTACACTATTACGAAATTGTATTTTAAGATATTAAGTGTTAAACGTCAACGCCATCTCTGGTTTGTCTATGAACTATTTCACTTTTCGTTATTTTCTCAAGTTTCATTACTATTTTCATACTTATAACAATTCTGAAAGTAAACATTCTTAAAGTGGAAACTGTCAAAGACTGTAAATTTAGGTCGATTAACAAAAAATATGGGTTGACATAGACCAACAATTAATATTTCAAATCAATATTTAGTGCTGAAGTCATCTCATTCGTCTTAGGTTTATTTTATTATTATTGCGAGATAATATTACTGTTACCACTAGATTGAATACTTGGAGCATAGTAATTTGTTTGAATGAGTGTTTTTTCTTCGACATCGACATCCTTTTTTGCCTTTTTTGGATTTACTCTTAAAACATGGGTTTGGTTTTCCTACAGTACAGCAGGGCCATGGATACGATTTGCATTTGCTTTTCGATTTGGCACAGAGTTCTGAAAATAAATGTACATGTCAAATTTTCAAAGTTCTTATAAATCTTACTCTGCTTTCCATTCGAATAAGCTATAACAGTTGGTAAATTATTGCCAGTACTAGATTGGGCTATCGTGGGTAGACTGTCCAGATATATGTTTTCATCAATAGTACAAATTGGAGAATGAGAAAAAGAATTCATATAAACAACATATTCGGTTGACCTAACTGTTGTGACTTGAACAGTAGTCGTAGCTAATGGTGTCGTTGTCTCTTCAACCGTAGTTGTGATCTCCGGGGTTGTAGTAACTTCCGGGGTTGTTGTAACTTCAGGCGTTGTTGTAACTTCAGGGGTTGTAGTAACTTCCGGGGTTGTTGTAACTTCAGGGGTTGTAGTTGCTTCAGGAGTTGTAGTTTCTTCGGCTGTGGTTGTTTGCTTTTCTGTTGTAGTTATTTCCATAGTAGTAGTTTCCTTAGGCGTTGTGACTCGCGCTGTAGTAGTTACTTCAGCTGTTGTTGTTTCGTCTGGTGTTGTAGTTGCTTCAGGGGTCGTCATCTTGGAAGTTGTCACATCAAGTGTTGTTAATATTTTAGTTGTGGTTTGTTCAACTGTAGTGGTTATTTCGGAAGTAGTTGTTTCCTTAATTGTGGTAGGAATTGTAACAGTACTAGGTATATTAACTGTTGTTTCAAATTCAGGCTGTTTTGAAATTTCTCTTATTAAATTTCTACAGTATTTTTGTTTAAAAATATCATTCCTACTTTCTCTACAACTGCCAGCAGTTGCTTTTTGTCAAATAACCCTTTTAAATCTTCTGGAAGAATAGAAAGCTCGAAATTCAAAAAGTGACATACTCTCTGCTCCGAACGATACTTAATTGACATACATCTAAAAATACCCATGAATCAGGAATTCAAACTCAACTTTCTTATTGTTATTATTATTATTATTCTAAAGGGAGTAAAGTTTTATTACCTTGGAATATTTTCCACGCAAAGAATTAAGCAATCTTCCAAAGTATCTAACTTCATCGTTGCATATTCAGATATTGTAAAATTATTATCGAATAGAAGATGAAAACGAGTTTTACGTATAGCATCATTTGTACACATAACCCAAATTCCAACAGAGCTGAGAAAGATGAAAATGAAAATCTTCAGATTCATTTCTTACGATTATTTTTCTACGAGTGCTACAAAGTCATCTACAGGACTGAATATGGATTGCAAAGAGACTGTACTTTTTTTCAATTATCTTTTCTATTAATCAATATTCTCGCATTTACTGGTTTCCCGATCAGATATTTTCTTTATATTTACTAATAATAGAATGTTCAACTTCTGCGAAAATTATTTACTGATCTTTTTCTTATTTAGCAATTATTCTGCGTTTAGTACATAAACACATACAGTATTGATAATATTACTAGCCCGATAAATTTACAAGTTTTACTATTCGTTATTTAAGACAAACAAGTCTTACTAAAATGTTTTTCACAAATTGCATAATTCTATTTTTTACGATTTTTAAAATGGAAACTATAATTATATTGAAAAAATTCTAAATTTACGTTTTCTATCAAATGGATATCAAATATAAATTACAGATCAATCAAAACACTATCTTATGCTAATACAATTGAACAATAACTAAGATTTTTTTTCGTGCTAGATGTATTTTACGTTTATTTATAATTTCTATTCAATCTAGTTTGCAAATAAAATGCACAATCTCCGACGGAGGAGTGTATTAGATGGTTATTGTATTACACTATCCTCATTACGTAAACAATGGCCTTGTATAATACGATTTAAAATATATGATTAGAGTTGATAAACAGTTTCTAAGTCGAGTTAATTGTGACGCAGTAAGCACTTAAAATGTGCACTTTGATAGGTTCAAAAGTGCAAAAATCCACTGTACCTTGATAAATATAGTTAGCAAAACCATTTTGATTTTTTTATCAGTAAACACGTTGACTTCGAACAGTAGAGAAAAAGCAACGGCTTTTAAAGGATCATTTCAAGGGATAAAGGTATTGTCTTATTATTTCCCATAAACAGTAAATTTCACATCTGATTTCTAAACTCACAAAAGAACTGATGTAATTTGAGAATTAACAAACAAAAAGTATTTATTTGACACATGTTTGTTCTAGATTAAATGCACGTTAATCGTTTTCTTTCGGGATAGATTTGGAATAATAGAAGAGACATTTAAGAGAATCCATGGATTATCAATGATGGATAAGGAAAATAAGAAATATGTATTTGAACAAGAAACTCAACTGATACCTAAATACAGTATAAAACATCTACTTAAACCTAAATCTTCATCGGATATATCATCTATACAATCTCCTAAATTTCAATATTCAAAACAACAATTCTACGAGGATGAACAATTTTCTTCTCATCGAAATTATCGTGGATTTGTAGAATATACTCGTTATGAAAAATTTAAATATTCCGAAAAATGTCCTTCATGTTCCTGCAATTGTTCCGTTGAAAGCTCTTCCGATACATCAAATTTAGAAACATCCTCTTCCGAGTCCAACTCAAGTCATAAAAAAGTTAAATACAGGAATAGAAAGAAATTAAATCGGAAAAGCTCTCGTCAAATCTCTTACACTGGTCTATCACCGAAATTGTACAAAATTTTAGAGAGAGAGGAAGAACAAAGGGAGAAGGCCGCTTCACTACAGCAGTATTTCTCCTTATCTATATTGATAACCTTCCTGAGATTTACTTTTTTCATACACCGAATTTTGGATAATTTAGTGACAAGTAACAACTTAAAGCGATTAACAGCTGTACTTTTTACTCTCCTTGTCGCCTGTGTTGCCATAGCGGCATGCAATTTTGCGTTGAAAATTGCGATATTTCGACTAATTCCTTTATTGTTAGCAGCCGTGAATTATCTAACGGTACTTTTTATCATTTCAGCCATATTCTTGTCTTTTTTCGTTCTTGCAATCATATAACTAATTAATATTGACCTTTGATTTATTTATGAGAGTATCTGTTGACTCTGATAACTTATTTCCTGAGTAATTTGAATGGTTTGTACATACGAATAATAAAAAAAATTATGAGAAAGAACGAGATTAATAATGATCTAATAAAGGGACAATCAATTTTTTAACACACAAAAAGAAAAACAAAAAAATTGTGACAATTGATGAAATAGATAAGAAAAAAAAAGATAAAGAATAAAAACTTACTCCTATCATTAGCATTTCCGATATTTCTCATCATTTCAATATAGAGACTTTTTAGCTTTTCTATTCTAGGTTCCATTTGTAATTGAGCTCTAAAAATTACAAATAATTCACTTTTATCCTTCATTTATCTATTTTAATATCTATAAAAAAGAATTACTTTCTAAAATTCTCATTCGATTTTGATTCGTGCTCTCGTAAATTTTGAATAGAAATTATCTCTTCATTCAATAAATTGATTTGTTTCTTAAAAGCAGCATTGATATCCTGTTATTATTTTGAAAATTGGGAAAAATTACGGTTAGTTTTATCCCAATCTATATTACAACATACCTTAAGATCATTACATTCTTGTGACAAATCTTTAACAACTTTCTGTAAAAATTTAAAGCTTTCGTGCTCTTTTTCTATATGCTGCCTGAATCTGTTATCCTTTTCTTTAACTGCCTCAACTAATAATTGTATATATCTTGTTTGATAATTAAGAATCCTTTCCAACTTTTCCGACTTTGAATACTTGGAATCGTCGCAATTCGTATTTACGGCAACGTAAAATATTGATTTCTTTGATTTATCTTTTTCAGCTTCGGCCGATTTCTCCAGATACATTCTTAGCGATTTTGTCCTATTTATAAAATGATTATCTTCTCTTTTGCGAATTTTCTCCTCAAGCGCTCTAAATAAACTTTCAACTTCTTCAATATCTCTACTCAAATCATTCTCCGAAATACTTTTCATTCGGCAATAATCATAATCCAATAATCGTAGATCGGATAAACTCTGACTCAAACGTCTATCAACTATTCATCCATAATAAAGAGGCTAATTACGTAATTGCAACTAGAAATAAATAAATAAATACCAAATGTATTGCAATTAATTTGATTATCTTCTATTTGTTTTGTTCTCGTCGGGTTTTTGTTTAATTCCAATAAAATTTTATCTTCTGCAGTATTATTATACGCAAACCCTTCGTTTTTAGTCGAACTGTCAGCTAAATGAATTCATTTTTATAATTAAAAGAATTCTCTATAAGTTATTACGTTACCCCATTCCAAATATCCCTTAAATGGTCTAAGTTGTCGTTGAAGACTCTGAACGATGAGTTAATAATTTATGATACGCCTATTGTTTGATTGAAAAAATGTATACTAACTGAATCGCAATTTAGAAACAGTTTCCTTTGTATATGTAAAATTTCTATTAAAATATTTAGCATTTGATGTTGTTCGTCACAAACTGATTTTAGGAAGTACGTTGTATTATTCGGCAACCTTAAAGATTGAACAGAAATAATGACCATCAATAATGTAGAAAATGTAACAATAACCTAATACGTAATATTGGCTGAAGGTCCTCGTATTCAATCACAAAAACAGAACTAATAATATTGATACTATCTACAATAGTATCCTTTAGCTCCGAATTCCAAAGGATAAGATTCACTGAATTATTGTTCAACGTTAAAAATCTCTTCTTCATACCGATATTCCAGATTTCCTGTTTTCTCTTGGACACGTACACAAAAGCACTAAAAAAGCATTCGTTTAGTATCATTGACATTGTTGATAATTAACCTAGACTATAATAGTATGTCTTCAAACAATACTGTAATACTCAATTTACTTGAACGTGCCAAAATTAGATAACTTCCGCAAAGGTTAATATTGAGTTACTATTTAGTATAATCAAGTATCGATTAGGAATTCAGTACCCGTCAAAAATACTTAAAAGAATCTTTCGTTCGGCCCCTAATTTTCAGTATTTCAGTTTTAAAAAACTGTTATTCTATACTTTCAGCTTACAAATTATAGATAAAGTTAAAAAACCCTATTCATAAAATGAATTTAGTTAATCAACTGTTTTCTTATTAAATAGTTTAGAATTTGAAAATATTTATTCTAATACAAATAGGCTGAAATTTTCGAGAATACGTCATAAACTTTAAGTTAATCTTCGAACATTTTGACTTTACGTTTTATTTACAAATGAGTTCGATGTCTCTTAAAGGGCGACCATTACCTAACTTTTACGATTTCGTAGAAAATTCAACAGAAAGAAATAATTGCGAATGGTCGGAATTGGTGGATAATAGCCAATTCGATTTAATTCTTACCGAAAAAACCCTTAATAAATGGTCGGATGTATGCATAAATTTAAATTTATAAATATTAAAATATTAGAAAATATCTTTTTGTTAGAATGAAAAAACGCCACCATTCAACGGTCGATTAGAAAAGGATGCGAATTTTAAACATATAAAATTTCCGAATCCTATGGAAAGTCCAATTTTGAGGAAAACTCCAAAGTCTCGTATGAAACTTGCTTTAGATTCTGAATATAAAAAATCTCCGATCTACGAATATAAGCATGGTCGACCAACAGGTTAGAAATAAAATCATTCAATGTTTTTTACACTTGCAAATAAAGCTTCATTTATTAACAAGGACCAGGTGGAGATATGAAAAGTAAATCTAGAAGTATGATGAAGCAGGAAAATTTGCAGAAAATAAAAGAGAAAGGGAACAATTCAGCGTTAAACAAAAGCAATTTCCGGTAGCTTCATTTTATTTGACACAACGTATAAATATATCTTTGGCATGGGTACAAGGTACTGTAGGACTTACTGAGCACTCTTCAGTAAATTTATCTAAATTAATTAAACTACCGAAACATGCTAAATTATGTAAATGAATCGGTTTGTTGTTGATAACGTAATAATTTTCCGCAAAAAAAGATTCATTTGAATGAGAGTATCCCATAAGACGACAAAAGGCCGTTGGCCATCCAGAAGGTACAACACTATCGTCGCATATTGTTCCCCATTTATTATTTATCTTTATTTCGGCTCTTCCGAAAAGTTCAGTGTGTGATGCTAGTCGAAAACCATCTGATTTTAAGATTCTCTTTAAAAATGTTTTAATCTAAGAGATTTCAAAATAAAATACTTACGTCTGATAAAACCCCAATCAGCTTTATTCGAAACGAAGCTTTTCCAATTATTAAATAGCTGATCTGGAACTTTCGTTGGATCAGTTTCGTATAATAAGCAATCATTTGTTCCGTAGTGAAAACTACCTTTCGAACACCTTTCTTCGTTACCGCAAATGACGTTACATTCGAGAAAACTTCGTGCTTTTCCAGTCAGAAATGGATAGACAGTACTCTCGTATCTTAAATCCGAATAAATAGTAGGCTTAAGAAGCTCAATGGATAAAGGTACAGCAACTCGACTTATACCAATTATGAATAGAGCAGTTAAACAACGATACATAGCTCGTTAAAAAAAATCTAAAGTTCACATAACCTGGTTAGAGTTTATACTATCATCACACTCTTTAATCCTCTCACCGATGTTGATACTTAACCCACAATTTTACTTTTCACTAAATTAATTTATTCATTGTAAGGGGAGTATTAATCAATTTCTCTATAAAAAGATAGATATTTTTCAAGCAATAAACAATATTAAAGTCAATATCAGAGTTTTACGAAATGCTTCTGAACATAAAAAGGTATTTTACTTTTTATTTATCATTTCAATAAAGGAAATTCATTATGGAACGAATGGAATACTTGATTAAAACTCTTTTTTTTTTTGTTGATAGAATAAATGAATAAATGGAAATTCTGAACTGATTTAAGAGAAACCTATAGATTTTTTTGATTTTCTTTTATACATTTTTTTTAAAGCTTTTACTGATTAAATTAGTAGACAAACAAAGAGATAAGTTAAAAACGTAGAATACATCAATGCAGTGAAATGTTTAAAAAACTTTTAAGAGTGGATAAACAGTCTTTTTTTCGGCTTTTATGAAATATTCCTTTGATGAATATTTTAAGAAATAGTTCTTCTGTTCAAAAGATAATAAACATAACTATATTAATAAGATAAATAAGGTATTTACGCGCCTTTCTTTAGCCATCTATAATAACTAGAGGTTCTATTTTCTATGTTATTTGATTATTTCTTCGAAAAGCTATAATCTTCAAGCTTTCAATTCAAAATGAAACGTTTTATCTTTTGTTAAAGAGAACAGAGTGAAAGAGAGCAAAAAGTGATGGTAAAGTAAGCATTGTTTTATAAAAATAAGTCAATACGTATTCTTGTAGGTTAGGTGTTTCTTATTCGAAACAAAGAATTGTTCCCAATATAATGAGTCCTTTTCTTAAAAATTGAGTAAGATTTTGATTTGAATTATACTAGCGCCATCTGTTTCCGGAAATTTGATATTGCATATTGCCAAATCAAATTTCCAAATAAACAAAAAAACTTAACGGTTTGAAAAACAACTTCTATCAAAGGTGAGATGCTAAGCCCTTGTGAAACTCTTTGTTTTTCTATTATTAGACTAAATCGAAGTTTAATTTCAGTTAAATTTAAAGTTATACAGTAAATAACAGCTATGGGATTAGCTTCTATCTTGGTATCCGTTTTCGTTTCAAATGGTTTGGGCTTTCTTTGGTGGTCTCCCGGATTATTTGGAAAAATTTGGGCTGAATGTTGCTATCCAGGAAAGTCGTTTGACGAAATTGGAAAAGATTGCTCCCCATACGTTCATCTCTCAGCCGGAATTGCCCATGCTGCCGTAGCGTTGCTTATTCAGCTCTTAATGGCGTATGTTTTTTTAATTCTTACATTTTATAAGCCATTCTTGTTTATACAAATATATATATATATATATATATATATATATATATATATATATTATTAATTCATAGTATACAAGTGCTACAAAAAAAAAATGTCAATTTCGCAATACCACCTGGTAATTACGATATAACCGACATGGCAATATTTTATCCCCCTCCATGATTATCAATTCTTCCAATATCTTTCCTCGTATAAACAGTAAAAATGACATAGACTATATATCTTTTATATTTTTCAGGATGCTGCATTTAGGCTCCCTATCTACCTTGATATGCTTAATCGGAGCTCTAAGTGGAATTGTTATAATGACGCAGATACCACATCATTTATACGGAGGAAAGCATATTATTTCTTGGTTTATTGAACAAGGATACGATTTGATGAAAATTATATTCACCTGCGTTATTATCTATTATCTAGATTATGTTCTAAAACTTCCTTTCTAGATGACGAATTTCCGATCATAAAAAGCAGCGATACTTCCTAACAAAGAAACACAATTAGCAGGCTACTTTTTTTATATGATTAAACGATTATTATATCTTGCCATTTTTTTTTAATAAAGTAAAAATAGCATCTTAAATTAATATAGTGTTGATTTTATATAACACAAAGGAGTATTTTTTATATTATGATTATTTAATTGTTGTTTATTAAAGACAAGAATTATAACTCAATATTTTAGAGTTTTTGAAGAGTATTCTATAGTCTTTTATATAAGTCTACTTTTTTACTTATTTTAAAGTAACAGCAAAACGCTAAATCTTAACAGATTATAGGATTATTGTAAAAGCGCCATCTACTTCCGGAAATTTGAAAGTGATCATTTCAAACACATTTCTTATGATGCGAAAGACAATTTGTTACTAAGGTTAAGATGCTATAGTATTTCGTTTTACAAAGTATTGACATTTAATTTTAAGTCTTCAACTGACACAATTTATTAACACACATTTCCGAGTGGTGCATTATTTGGCGGCTTCCCTTACTCTTTTGAAAACTTGGACAGCTGTTTATTTCCCCGAGAGAAACCAATGTCCTGGTAGCTACGGTCCATTACATTTACATATTAAACTAAGTGACTCTTGCTGTTGCATCATTATTAATTAAAGTGCTAATAGAGTATGATGTTGAATTATTTTACTAGTATAAACAGCATATTCTGTACATATGTTAAAATTATGTATCATAAAAGACCTGGATTTTGTCGCTATTTCTCTATTTCTAATGAAGATAAACAGTATCTTTTATAAAAAGAAATATGTTAAGTTTGCGGCAGTCATAATGTAAATAGCAAGAATTTGGAAATATATTTCACATTTCTGAAAATTTAACATATTCAAGGTTTAGGATAGATATAAATTATATCCCATTCTTAGGAATGTTATAGCACTGCAAAACATAAAAAGAATTATAGTAGCAGTATGCATGCAATTGTTTAATTTATACAAACCTCAAACTAGCAACAAGTCCCGCTGGCATAAACTTTCCAGAATTTAATGATCTATATCCCATCACTGCTCCGAGGGTACCGCTAACGCCTATGGCAAACAATAGATAGACTTAGCCTTTAAGTTTATGTTATTGGATAGCTACGTTATTAACTGTTCAGCTAAATGACACACATAAGTAAAAACTTACACAATAGAAAAAGAGCATCTTTAGGGTTTGCTGACACTTTATAGGCCCCAAATGCCGAAAGAGAGCCGAAAAGGAGTCCCATACCTAAAGAGACTGTGCTACCTGTAAAAAAATAAAGTGCAAGTTACTTTTAATGACAGTTGATATACAAGACTCTAACCTGCTTTTACATAACCAATAACACCACCAACTGTAACCAGGGCGGCATAAGCATAGCTAAATAAATCCATATCTTGGGAATCAAAATGAAGGAACCAAGTTAAATACACGAATTAACTTTTAGAGGTAACCCGTTTTGTTGTACTCCAAAAGCGTATCAATGCCAAAATGACGTCTCAAAACCAACCTCAGATAATTAATAACTTTGAAATACCTTCATGGTGAGTTTACAGTTATATATTTATTAAAGAGATTTCGTGTTTACAGATCGTTAAATCAATTTTATCAGTGTCTTTGTGCAAAAATATTAATAAATTTATAATTTTTCGTTTGGTTCATTATAATCGTTTTTTTATTTTGCTTTCGTTTTTCTCTTTAGGGCTGGCAAACCCCCACCCGGTCTTCACTTGGATGTGAAAAAAGATTCAAAAATGATACAGGTAATATTTTTTATACATAAGACTACTCAGAAATCTACTTTTAAAAACATTTTCAGAAACTCATGATTGATGAGAAGAGAGTATACTTTTTCGGTCGGAATCGGCAAATGTGCGATTTTTGTATAGATCACGCATCCTGCTCTAGAGTACATGCTGTATTGGTTTGGCATAAACAGCTGAATAGACCATTTATAATCGATCTTGGCAGCAGTGAGTTTACATAATTTTATGATTACAACGTTTTTATCATAATACCGTTTGTTTTCCAAGCTCATGGAACGTATATAGGATCTATCAGATTGGAGACAAGGAAACCGCAAGCTGTTCAAATGGACAGTGAGCTACACTTTGGGGCCTCAACTAGAATGTAAGCAGAAAATATACAAACGTTCTTAACTTAAAACTTTTTGAAAATTTTCAAACGAATAGCCTAAGCCTTTTTAATTAAATATTTTAAGAAAGCTTTAAAGCTCTTCTCAATTTAAATAGTTATGTACATTTTTCACTAATGTAATAATGATAATTTATTTCTCCATAGCTATATTATTAGGGAAAAGCCTACGTCAGTACAACAAATATTAAGGTCATCTGACCAAAAATCTGAAGAATTAGAGGGAGGTTTAATGGGCCTACCAGAAACTGAAACTGAGTTGGACGTAATAATTTTTCATATCTGAAATGTCTTTGTCTAATTATATATACTTTTCTTTAGAATTTAACAGAGTTTAATACGGCGACTAATCGTCGAATTGCAGCTATAACCGATGGATCGGACCAAAATGTCAAACGAAAAAGAAAGAGTCTTCATGTATCATTCAACGATAGTGAAGAAGTTATTAATCCAGGTAAGCAGATTACTTGATATGCATCCTATCATAAACTTTCGTTTATTTTGCAGAGGATATTGATCCAGCGGTCGGAAGATTCAGAAATCTTGTTCACACAGTGGTTGTTCCAACGAAGGTTTGCCGATTATTCTAGTTGTTTAGTTTTGTTAAACTATATACATACAGTATATATAGATATATATTTTTAATTTTATAATAGAAAGTTCGATTAGATTCTAATTTAATCGATGGACGGTCGAAGAGCTCAATGGCTGCCAGCGTGCTGCCCTCACCTGCTGCTGCAGCTGTATTCGACGAATATGATCTAGCCGGAGTGTTAGGTATTTATCAACATTATCCTAAATTGAACTATATATATTAATGAGTATTTTTCAGGTCCCCAATCTATAGGTATTGCTAAAAATTTCAACCTTCGAGCCCCTAATTTGGCACCAGATGTCGACGATATACCAGTAGAGACATTTGAACCATCACCAATTAAACACTCTAACATGATCCCACAATCACCAACGGACCCAATGGAACCAAAAAAGAAGAAATATGCAAAGGAGGCATGGCCCGGAAAAAAACCAACAGGTCCAATGGCTCCACCAGGAAATGCCTATGGATTCATGTAAAGAAAAAATTAAAAAATATATTTTTCAAATTGTTTTTTTTTTTTTATAAAACAATTCATAAAAAAGTTGACCATTTGCCAAATTTTTATGGAGTGGTTTACTGTTTCACCTCCACTATGGTTTTAATTTTACATGTACTCGATGCATCTTACAATTGTTTTCTAGTTTTCTCTAGAATGGTCAAGGCTACCGTTTTTTCTATTATAGAATCATATACTTAATTTGTTAAACTGTTGGATACAATAATTGTATGATGTCATCTAGATAGAGTATTAGTTATTTTTAATTTGTAAGCAAATTTAATTTGCCTTAATTTATGTTTGATATACTTTTGAAATAGACAGCTAAAAGTTTTTTTCGTAACAGTTTTATTGTTCTGAATATGTGACAAACGGAAGTTGTTTGTCAGAAAATGTTAGTTTATATCTATGAAATTTTCATATGCTATTTGTATATAGTTAAAATAAAAAAAGCTAAAAGCTACCAGATATCATTACTTTATGATTAACCTTGATTTATCATTGAGAATTGGCGCTTACGTTTGTACTTTTAAGCGGAGAGCATATATGATTGGTTAGTGAATAATCATAAATTATCTCTGATTCTTGTTGAAAGCGAAATCACGTCCACCTATATTTCAAATGCTTGATAAAGCAGGTCCTCTTCTAATGATTGGTGATCAGCTATTCTTTTAACTATTATAGAACAGACATATCATCAAACGTAAATATCAAGTGAAGCGAGATTTCTCCTCTGTGATAACTAAGCTGGATTATAAGCTTGTCTTAGTTCACAAAAATAGTCCTGATGAAAAGCCTACAATTGAATACATTTGTATTGTAGAAATACCGCAGTGCGACCGGCATTTAGTTGGAAACAAAAAATGAAACATCTGTCCCAAAATTTTATCTAGATTGATCTATTGAAAAGTTAAATAGCCCCTCCTTCTAATTTTGACGATAAATTCGACAGCCGTCATTGTAACATCTCGGTACTGAACAATGAACCAGTATCCCTCTTTATAATACTCTCCTACGTTCCCTATAAAATAGTGAAATAATATTTTATCTGTTCATTTCATTCTGAAATTCGGTTGCGATTATACATTTTTCTATTTTCCGTTGTCTCTTAACTTAAACAAAAGAGAAAATGACTGATGAAACAATCTTCTGCATTGATGACTTTGAAAGGCTAGCAAGAGGTGGAATCCAAGACGAGACGTTTCAGGATTATCTGTACGGTGGTTCAGGCGAGGGAGAATGCCATCAGAGAAATATAGATTCCCTTAAGAAGTAAGTTCGAACTTATGGTAGCATTATAGTATACGATTTAAATATATTTCTGTTCTTAATTCTTAGAATACTCTTGGCGCCAAGAGCTTGTGCTGGAATCACTAAGAGAGATTTATCAAAGAAAATGTTAGGAAAAACCTTGTCATGCCCAATTGGATTTGCTCCAACTCCAGCCCGTGGATGGCTCTACAGAGGAGCTGAAAAATGTTGTATGGAACTTGCCTGTGAGGAAGGCGCTTCAAACTGTTTAACGATCTTCAGTGCCTCAAAAATGGAAGAAGTGGTAAAAGGAATCCCCGAAAATGAAGGTGTTAAGCTAATTTGCACTGGATTTTTGGGTACAGAGGAACATCAATTGGAAGTTATGGAAAGAGTGGAAAAAGCCGGTTTGGACGGAATCGTTCTTAACCTGGACAGAGCTGTTCCTGGCCGTCTTAGATCTGAAGCTGGTGGACCCATCAAGTCAGCAATCATGAAAAAGATTGGATTGCCTAATTTGCCGAAAGATTTATTCCAAGCTTATATCAAGAATGAAAATGTTGATAGAACTGTATTCGGCGATGGATGTGACACATGGGAACAAGTTAAATGGTGGAAAGCAAACTCCAAATTACCATTGATCATTAAGGGAATTGCTAGAGCCTCCGACGCCCAAGAGGCCATAAATGCAGGAGTTGACGCTATTTGGATATCTAATCATGGAGGTAGACAATTATCTGATTGTCCAGCCACTATTGATCTGTTGAAGAAGATAGCTCCTGTTGTTAAAGGAACAGGAGTTGAGTTATACATCGATGGAGGTTTCAGAACAGGATCTGATATTTTAAAGGCTATTGCTCTCGGTGCTGATGTTGTCTTCCTAGGCAGACCCGTTCTTAGTGCCTTGGCTTGCGCTGTAAGAATCATTTTTTCGAATGTTTTATTATAAGTATTCAATATAGCTAATAATATTTATTTCTCTTAAAGGGAGATGACGCTCTTCGAGAAATGTTAAAAATTTTGAAAAAGGAATTAGATATCGCTATGGGACTTTGCGGCATATCTAGTTTGAGCCAAGCGGACGAAAGTCTTCTTTGGTACCCGAAAAAAAAGTAGATATACTGGAATTGAAGTAGGATCATAAATGTTCCAGCACCACATCGTAATGTCTAGTGGAAATTGTATTGTGTTTGTTAGTAGCAGATAGAATGTTACCCTATACATTTCAATCCTATACAATCATTGAAAATAATTGAAACAAATGAGTAATATACATATATAGATATATTAATAAATTATCGAATCATTTTATTAAAACTTTTAGGGGATAAATAAACACTGTAAACATTAAATACGGATGCGAAGATATCATGAATATTATAATTAATATATTCATTAACTATACGTAAGAAAATAACTACGTGTAGGGAATTTAGACGAAAATACATGAGATATACATAAAACAATCCAAAAGGATCAATATTATAAATTACAGCTTACGGAACTGATTAGTTAGGGGGTTACCGATCTCATATGTACGCGTTACTTGGAATTTTTTTAGGTAACAGTGCTAGAATCGATTATTCATTCGCTCTAAATATAAACGAACGGTATTATAATTACGCTAATTAACTTTCACACATGTAAAAAAATTTCCCCTTATTAATTAATGATTATAATTTAATATTAAAAAAAATTATTAGAACATGTTGTACTAACATAAAATAATCAATTGCACAGGAAATAATTATGTTTTTTTTCTCTCTTTTATACCTTATTAGATGTCAAATAGGCCTAAAATGTTTGCTATATTGCTAAAAGCAAACTAGCACAACTTCAGTCTGTATAGGTGTTTTTTTAATATTATTTTCTCATCTCTTTCTATTTATTTAGAAACTTGTTCTTCGAGGGTAAGGAAGAGAAAGGAATTAGATTAATCATTGATATCTAGTTTCCTCTTATACATTTAATTAGACGAATTGGTCTTCCTCCTTAAATAATCCTAAGAAATATTTGGGCATGCATATTCATATAGAAATTAGATTTAACGCATTTCAATAACATACCATAGCAACTGATTAACACCTATGTTGATGTCCATAGTAACTAATAAACAGTACATTGATTTAGATTTTCCACTTTAACGCCATTTATCATGTCGACTAATGATAAGAAGCTTAGATGGTGGGAACTCTCTGACGATGCTTCAAAAGATAGATATCGCCAGGATATTCTACTTCAGAAAAAATTTTCTTGTAAATTTCTATCATAGATAGAGTTCTCCTTAATCATTTCGCTTTTTTTATAGGTGTTGAAAAAGAGAAAAAGATGTGCTGTAGTGTTTTAGATTCGGAGAAAAGAACCTTTAAAAGTGAGATGCAAAGAGTTCTACCTAAGACAAATAAATGCAACTTTTTAAGTGTTATTGCAAAGAAACTAGAATACGAAAGACAACAACAGACTACTGAGAAAGTTCAAGCTTTTTGCGGACACGAATTTAAGCGTTCAAACACGGACTATTCGGAAGCAGAGGATGTTGTTCAATCGAGAGAATGTCATATGTCGAACTGGGAACGTTTGAGTACTCCTATTAAGAAAAATAGGTAAAAACAATAATTTAAGGCTACATCTTATAAGACCCTTATTAAGACAGTACTATTCAAATCAACAGGTGTAAAACTGTTAGATTACGACTAGAAATGGAATTGAACAACAAACCATTGACTTCTTTGAGCAGACCAAAGTCATTTCCATCTCTATTAAATCTACCAAAAAAAGACTTGAATAGTTCATTCAACAGTCCAAATCGTTACCACTAAACTTGAATGTTGAGATATAAATTCTTCATAAGCGCCATCTAATGGTTTATAAAGCACTTAGTAAAATATTTTCAACACTATGATAATAGTACCAAATGCAAATATTTAATAATACATAAGAGTGCCACAATAATGGTTTATTGTCACTTAAAAGTACGAACATATCTTTTATATATGTAGTTGTATATTTATACAACACATAAAAAACACTACAGCTCCTGTACACTTTTAGAGTTTTTCGTTAAATGAAGACATGTTTATGTATTATATATTCCTTACTAGATTTAGCTTTAAAAAGAGATAAAAGAATGTCGTAAAATTATATAATTCAAGGGTAGATGAGCTTTAATCGAATATACCAGTTCCCTACTTAGCCTTTTAATGTTTCTATAATATCATCAAGGAATACTTGGCCTGGAGGTTGGGGAATAGTCTTATTTTATTTCTTTATTCCATTTATTCTAATACTCGATCAAATTTTATTTTTTTTTGTCCCTTTTCTCTTTCAATTCAGATTTTCTTCTTATTCTTTCTATTTTATTAACATTGCGCATTTAAGAAAAATAAATTATTAATTATGTACATATTATCGTAGGGCAGCAATTTAAGATCACCTCTATAGGCTTACTAGTGAATAAAGACGTTATTTCAGTTACGTAGGAAGGGGGAAAATCTTGGTAGTTTATTTAGAATACCAATATTATTTCTTGTCTAGGCGTATGAAAATATTCCAGTGATAATAAACTAGTCTCAACAATTGAAAAAAGTGTAAATGAAAAGAATAATAGATAAAAAAAAATTACATCAATAAGGCTAATGAGAAAAGAGAGTAGGAAGAAGAAGAGAGAATAAGATCAATTATAGAATGAATTTTATTTATAACCTTGTATTTTCTAAGCTTAAATACTGCTTACATAAATCCTATATTAGCATTTTAGCGTAGAGAATAATTCTCGTTGGCTGTATAATGAAAAAAAGTTAATCTGATTCACGTTTAATTCCTTTTCACTTTCAATATTTCCGTATTGAGTTATAGTAGCAAAGAAGTCAAGCCAATAAAATTCCTCAATATGTTGGTTTAACTGGCCATATACTGTTCAAAAGGGAAGCAACAACACTTTTTTGAAATATAGATGAAAGAGCGGACGACTTTAAAGATTTAAAGCCTTGATATCGTGCTATTTTGCTGCTGACAAAGATTTAAAATAGAAGATTATTGATTTAAAGATTCGCTATTTTTTCAATAGTTATAAAATAATCAACAAACAATGGAGAAAACAACTCAAATCACTCAAATAACTCAAGTAACTCAGATCAACAACTATACAAATAATTCCAGGTGAATGTTATTCATATTGAATCCTGTTTGAGATATTATTTTTAAATAAGAATTTTACAGGATAAGAACTAAAATCCATTATTTTTCTCTCTCTCAGTCCAGGTTTAAGAGAGAAAAGTCTTAAAACATGGGGTCTTGTCGCCCTTGTTTTATTCTACGCTCTTATCGTTGTTATAGGGATAATTGCTAGCTGCTGTAGAAGACGTAAGGTATCGGGTACCAATAAAGAGGATTTGATGCTGGCAGGAAGAAACATTGGACTATTATTAGGAACTTTCACCATGACTGCCACATGGGTTGGTGGAGGTTATATTAACGGCACAGCGGAAAGTGTTTATACGAGTGGGTTAATATGGGCCCAAGCGCCCATTGGATATTCAATAAGCCTGTGTTTAGGGGGTCTAATCTTTGCGAAGTCAATGAGAAAAGCAGGATATGTAACTATGTTAGATGCTTTTGAAGCTCGGTTTGGACGAATAATGGCTGCTTTACTCTATATACCAGCACTTATGGGCGAAATATTTTGGTCTGCAGCTATTTTAAATGCTCTTGGAGCTAGTTTGTCAGTTATAATAGCCTTGGATCATAAATGGTCCATAATTATATCAGCTGGAGTAGCCATCACATATGTGTTGTTCGGAGGGTTATTTTCAGTTGCATTCACAGACGTTATTCAATTATTTTGCATATTAATTGGCTTATGGCTGGCCATACCTTTTGCACTTACAAATTCTGCAACTAGAAGCATAAGTGATACATTTACAACTTGGTGGGATGCAGACCAACTTCCAGAAAAAGAAGGATGGTCTTTGTGGTCCGAGAATGCCTTATTATTAATATTTGGAGGTATACCTTGGCAAGTATATTTTCAAAGAGTTTTATCAGCAAAAAATGAACGGGTAGCTCAGTTATTGTCATTTTTCGGTGCACTCGGTTGTTTAATTATGGCCATTCCTGCCATTTTAGTTGGTGCAATAGCAAAATCAACTAAATGGAATGAAACAGATTATAAATATTACGGGAAGCTAAAAATGGAAATGGTTGCTGGTCAACAGCAAGCAATGCCAGATGCTAGTTCTTCTTTGATTTTGCCTTATGTCCTAGAATATTTAACGCCAGTTCCAGTAGCGGTCATAGGCCTAGGAGCTATTAGTGCTGCAGTGATGTCTTCGGCTGATTCTTCTATTCTCTCGGCTTCTTCCATGTTTGCAAAAAATATCTATGATCCTTTGATGTCTGTTTGCTTTCGTCGAAACGTAAAAGATCGAGAATTAATCTGGATTGTTAGATTGGCTATTTTCTTTATAGCAGCAGCCGCCTGTGCATTAGCTATCCAGATAGATTCAGTTTATACTCTTTGGTACCTCAGCTCTGATCTGTGCTACGTAATCATTTTACCTCAGTTAATTTGTGCTGTACATGTTCCATACACAGAAAAATGGGGTTCAATTGCAGGTTTTCTTGTCGGTATTTTCTTCAGATTATCCGGAGGTGATAAAGACTTGGATATTCCTGCACTTATTGAATATCCCTATTACGATGCAGGAACTCAAAACTTCCCTTATAAAACATTATCGATGCTGATAAGTCTTATAACATTACTTCTAGTATCAGCTATCAGCTACTTATATAAGAAAAAATCGGGAAGAAGGCATAGTTTTGAGTTTGTAGCCTACGGTTCAACAGTTGATAAAGTTAAATATTGATATGATTTCAATCTTCTATATTTTACATAATTATAAACTAGTATTTCGGTTTGCTTTTGGGGTTTTAATTGTTTTTTTTTCTCGTCTACATTTATATTTGTGACTATGTGCGTGATTTTCCTTTTTAATCTATAACAAGAGATGCTTTTATGACTTTTTACGCTGCATATGATTAATATTGTTACATATCTGATTGCATCTATTGTATTTCAATGCATAAGTTATATTAAAACCTTAATAAAGTTTTGCATGTTAATTAACGTTTGAAAGGGAAGTATGTGTAAAATATATTTAGTCTTTCTTCTTACTTTTCTTTTTTTTTTTTTTCTTTTTCATCTTCTCCTCTTTCTCTTCTGTCTCTGCAGATTCACTCGATAGGGGGCTTATTAGGCCATAACCGGGCGGATGAGCAAGACCCTCCAATATTAAAGTTTTTTCAGTTTCAGAGAAGATCTTCTCTTTGCGCTTGTTAAAAATTAATTCTCTAAAAAGGAGAAACAATCCAATCAGGACCAATATCGCAATAAAACTCGATATCACTACTATGTAAATTAATATGCGATTTTCATTTTGAGGTTTTGATTGCTGGGTTGAGTCTGGATATAATCCTGCGTTAGCGTTAGCATTTTTCTTGTAAGCTTTTAAAGCTCGAATTCCGTACAGCATTGACACGTAAAATGTTTCACTATCCCCTAAACAGTAATTAAGAACACAGAGAGACGCTACTTTAGCAACTCCTGCAAAAAAATTATTACTTAAATCTTGCTATAGTCCCTTCGAACATCTAATTGTCTGTGTGAAATCGTTTTATACCTGCACATCCTTCTTTGCGTTTACACTCTCTTTGCCTGAAACACCTTTGCTTCGTCATATTACCAACAGCTTTAGAGGTTTTATAATTGCACAGACTCCAAGATTGCCAATTCTCAAATGATTTCTTTTTAAGGCATCCGGCGTTATTAAAACACTTTTCACTCATGAAAGATGTCCCGAAACAGGAATCTAGTGGACAGTCCCTCATTCTAATGCGTAGGCCTTCGCCACAAATTTCAGAACACTTAGACCACGTTCTCCAATTACCATACTGATTTGAACCTCTTACCACGGCATCAGAAATTTCCCCAGTTCTACACGGTCTCAGATTGCACACATTAACTCTAAATGTAGGACCTTTACACGGTAAACCCTTTACTACTGGTATGCAATCAATGGCCTTGTAAACTTTACAACTATATTTGACATTCATGTCAAAAATGCAACTCCTCATACTAGTTTTTTGACCAATTTGGCATCGTTTCGTGCACTGACTCCATTTTTGCCATTCTCCCCACTTACCATGTATAATACATGGATAGCGGGGACAATTCTCTGATTCAACATCTCTAGTATCTTTAACCCATAAGCCTTCTCTCGTTAATACTTGGGGGTAATCATTAATTCCAATGCCGTTATGTCTTCTTCTCCTCATTCTCTTTTGAAAGTCTTGTCTTTGACAAGGTTTACAAGTAGCAGACCATTCCGCCCATTGTTCCCATTGAGGATTTTTATAACCGCAATCTTCACCTCTGTATCCTATAGAAAACAAAGAGTGAACTTGAGCATAATATAGATACTATAAGCGACGACTCATCTTTATACCTTTAGCACAAATACATTGAGGAATTCCGTAAGAATTTAAAGCGCAATATCCTTTCTTACACACCAAATTACATTTAGGCGACTCCAAAATTTTATTCTTCTCATTACTATAGCAATTCGGTAATCTAATCGACGGATCTGAATAGAAACCTTCTGGACAGGTACAATCGTAATTAGGAGAACCAATTTGAGGTATACATGCTGCTCCTTTCAAAGCTTGTATTGTTGAATCTGTGGTTTTAACCCTGCATAGAAAATTTCCCTTGTACTTAGCAGTGTATCCATTTGGCTGAGTGTTACAAGCGTTTCTTGGTTTGTTACAGAAAACTCCTTCGTATTCTGGTAAGCATTCACATTTGATATCCCTAAAATAGGAGGGAGAAGGGTCGTGCTTATTGACTTACGAAATATTCATTATATATAAAAATCACGATTTCTACCGAGCTAAAATGTCCGCGGTCTGAATTTTCACACATTTTAATGTCCCATTTGGTTGACATGTTTTAAAATCTTGTCTAGGATTGCATAGATTAATTTCAATGCATCTGGAAACATTTCTTGCCCATTCAAACCCAAATTCGCATTTACAATAGAAATCATTCTCGAATAACCCTCTTATAAATGATAATAATTCTAGGAGAAAGCTTTTACGGATAAAAGATAAAATACATAAACTTACTTGTTTGTCTTCACACAATTCTTATCGGTTCTTTGAACGTTATTGATTAGTAAACATGGATTATCGTCCTTAGTTAATCCGCAAGGATTTGGGCACCATTTAGAAATACCTATTCAAAAGTAATACGTATTATCTAACTAAGATATTAGAATATCTCTCTCGAGATATCTAGTTATTACAATACCATTCGTTTTATCGCATTCTATATAATTAGCAAAATACGATGCAATTACATTATCAAGGAGAAAATAGCTACGACGCCATTGTCTACGGTAAGCAGATTTTATACGAGATTTAATATCTCGTTCCTGTCTGAAATTCATTAATGCTTCTTTTATTTTAAGCCAAAAGCATGTTGATATTTTTTCAACTGAGTTTCTTCCTAATAATAGAAAGATATTATACTATTTCTATAAGTGTTTTATAATATTCTATTAAAACGAAATTCTTACTAATTCTCTCACAGTAGCTATACCAATCTTTAAACCATTGAACATAGGTCTTTTTGCTTCGACGACCATCATTTGACCAATACCCTGGTCTTATATTTTTATCTATTCTTGGTAAATTTCTTTGGAAATCGGACAACCTAAAATTTTTTCCAAAGCCTTTTCTTGCTGAACTTAGGCCTAAGGGCAGTTCTACGAACGAATATCTTATATAAGTTTCGTCAATCCTAACACCGTTAGTCATACTAGCATTGGAGAGACAATGGAGTAAAGAGTAAAATAATAGGGAGGGGGGAAAAATGTATTAAAGTTAACTCATTAAACAAAGATTGATACTACTAGTACGGTTAATTTTATAGAAACTTTTCTAGGAAATAAGTAAACCTATTCACCCATATAAAAAATATATTAGGAAAGGAATGGAAAATTCCAGCATATTTTAAAATCCAACTATGACAACATCCATTTATCTATATATTAGAATCACACGATTTTAAATTCTCGTCTTTATTGTCTATGATACAAATACTGTAGATATCCTTTGTTTTTTAAAAAAAAAAACCATAGTAATAATAAAAATTGTCTATAGGATATTTCATTCATACACTTTTTGCTTTGAAAAGATTGTATTTGTAAGAATAATACTATATATATATATGTATATACATACTGTATATACTGTATATATATATAAAGGTTTTGATAATTTCACACCTGGTATAAATAACCTAAATAATAATATAGATATTATTAATATACAACACAAACATTAGATACAGTATATAAATAAAACATATACGTAATGAAGACTTTCTCCTATCAAAAGATATTTTTAGACGCTCTAACGAACGCCATCTATCGGTAGCATAACTTGGAATTGCTTTTGACGCCACGAACAAATTCTGTTAATGACATCTTCGTTTAAATGGGGTTTGGTTTTTGTAAAGAATAATGACTTTTATATGAGTTCGGCGTTAAACTACTATCATGGATATACTCTTTTTTTTGGATGCTCAGTTTTTACTTAGTTTTTCTCTGCTTTAGAGTGGACTAAAGGATTGAAGTAACTTGTTGAAATCGACCTCCAATCAACCTGTTTATCGCTATCATGCATAATGAATCACTGAGAACCCGTAGATTTCCCAATTGACGTCATAGGCGTCCTTCTTTAGTCAGTCGGCTATAAAACTTTGAGAGCTCAGAAATGACGCAGAGGTGAGAGAATTCAGACGTTTGTAACAATTTTCTCTCTTTTTTACTTAAATAATTGATAGCACTTCTTATATTTGTTGATAGTAAACTTATATTTGCATAACCTTCCCATCTTTTTGCTAAATACTTTTATACGTTTCCAAGTAGGCCTATATATAGCGCAATGCAGCCCTGTGTTGCAGTTTGACTGATGAGAGTTGCACAGTCATTTATCATACGATACAGAGTATAACAGTCAGAAATTTATTCAAAACTTATTAACGGATGTCTTTCAGTATTCTAACGGCTGGCATACTAATTCTGTAACGACATATTTTTGTGGAATCAAATTGCTCTTCTATTTTACTTTCAGTATGGATATGGAAATTATATCGATCAATGTTGGAGGTTCAAGACATGACACACTAGCTGATACACTTTTAAATAAACCGGGTACAACTTTATGTCAATTGGCTAGGAAACATTTAAATGGAACGTGTAGGAAGAAAGAATATTTTTTTGATCGTCACCCTGGTGTCTTTAGTACTGTAATGGATTATTACAGAAGTGGTGAACTTCATGTTCCTTTGGATGTCTGTGGAGCCGTAGTAAAAAGAGAATTAAATTATTGGCAAGTAGACGAACGTCTCATTGAACCGTGTTGTTGGATTAGCTATAGCTCATACATTGACAATCAGAAGACACTGTCTGATTTCACACAAAGCGTTGCAAAAGAACAAGCAGAATTAGACACTTTTAATCGATTGGCTGGATGGAGAAGGACTCAGGCTCGAATTTGGATGCTATTAGATCATCCAAGATCTAGCCGATGGGCACTTATTTATGCCGTAACGTCTTTTATATTTGTACTCACATCTATTATGGGTTTTTGTTTGGAAACGTTACCGGAAATGAGACAAGTTAGAAATGACTCAAAATCACATTGTAACCGAACGTCTGATATAGGAGTAGCAGTTTATACCACCCATCCTCTCCTTGAATATGTAGATTATGTCTGTACGGCTTTCTTTACACTGGAACTAATAATTCGAGTTGTTTTCGCTCCTAATAAGTTGGAATTTTTTAAATCTCCTATGAATATTATCGATATTCTAGCTCTACTGCCGCTTTACGCTCAAATTGTCTTAGATTGGCTCGATCATTATAAATGTTTTAAGAATGATCGTGCCGTTATCGAAACAATCTTCATCTTGCGAATTGTTAGAATCTTCCGAATTTTTCATTTGGTTAAGCATTATAAGGCACTTAAAATTTTAGTTCACGCTATACGAGCTTCCATCCAGGAGTTGCTTATGCTCTTAATATTCATATTTATAGCCATGTTAGTGTTCTCTACTCTTATCTTTTACGCCGAAAGGCCCAGTCAATCAAAAGAAGATCTTTTGCACTTTGAAGGTGAAACGAAATTCAGAACTATACCTTTGGGTTTTTGGTGGTCGATTATTACTATGACAACTGTTGGATATGGGGATATGTTTCCAAAAACTGGATTTGGATGTGTTGTCGGTTCAATGTGCGCCTTTAGCGGAGTTCTTCTCTTGGCCTTAACAGTTCCTGTAATATCTAATAACTTTGCACTTTTCTATACTCATGCGAGATCTCGAGAGCAAATTATAGCTAAGCAAGAAGGTTTCGACGAAGCCGCCGATGATGCATCACGCAAATCAGTTAGTATTGCAAGATCTAAGGATACTGGCTCAGAAGCAGGTGATGCAACAGTGGCGCTCCTGCAGAAAACAAACGACACAAGCGTCTAAAGTTTTTGGCTACTTCTACATCAACAATATAATTCAGCCTATCCCTTATGTAAATTAATTTACTTTTTTTTTACTTTATACAAAGAGTATAAATAAGACAACATAAAAATATCAAGTATAATTGCCTTTTTATTTTAAAAAACGAACGACGGACGACTGGCGACATCTACAGTCCATAGCATTAGATTTATTCACAGATCTTCCCAATGATAAAATTGATTTAAGAACACGAAAGGCTTAGGTCTAAACCTATATACAGAATCGAATAAAAACTATACATATGAAAATATATTGCACGACAGCACACACGAAAATATTTCTCCGAAACATGTTGACGATAGTCGAATCATCCGGTATTGTTATCTAGTACATAGGCCTATAAAAAACGAATTTTAAGAACGGAAAATGCATAAAATTCTGTTTGTCGAATAAATTAAAGTTTTTTCGCAGTCAGAAATGCTCACTTTTGGATAAAATAAAAAAAAAGAGAAATCAAGCGCCACAAAACACTATTCTCTTTATAATTTTGTACAATAACGATCGCAAGACTGTTCATTTCCCTTCGACAGTTTTGAAATGACTCGAATCAAAGCTGAATTTTCTTCTTTTACTTTTTGTAGTTCAATTTTAACATGATCGAATTGCTTTAGTTCTTCTTCAAGTTCCGACACGCGCCTCTCTAAAGCTCGTTTTTCTCTACGTTCAGAAGCGTCGTAATAATTTGTTGTTGACTTTCGATTTCTTTCTAATTCATTTTTTGCCTCCTCCACCTCCTCCTTTGCCTTTTTCGTATCCGCTTTGGCTTTTTCCAAGTCTCGTTTCAACTTTTCATTTTCCTCCAATATTTTTTTATGTTCTTCATCAAGCGTTTTAACATTATTCTGTAAATCATTCGATTTGTTCGATGAACTAATTGTGGAAGTAGATGTAGTATCATCTAAAGCAGCTATACGATCAGCAGTTCTGGCTGAATGCCGCCTCCTATTAGATGCTATTAGCCCAGTTCTATCTAAGGGGTATAAATCCGAATCTTTATTATATAATGATGTTGAATTAGAACTTGTAGCAGGAGTTAGTCGAATTCTTGTTGAATCTCTATAAGAATTATTGCTATAATTAGTTTCAATGTCTTTCGATTTATTTAATATTTCTTCTGATCTTTTAAGTGATTCCTCCAATCGCTGGGCTCGTTCTCGTCTTGTCTGTCGTTCCCTATCACGTTTTTCGTGGCGCAATTCAAAATCGGTATCAAGATTCTTTTTTTCTTCTGCTTCTGTCTGCCTTCGTGAAGAAAATGACTTAGATCGGTATGCAGAAATATCTGTGTTAGGAGAAACGGTTTGGGAAGTATAAGATAATTTGGGGCTTGATTTAGTTGAGATTGTGTCAAACGTAGTTGTAGGCAAATCCACCTTGTCGTCTTTATCGGTGTTTGTGCTACTACTGTTGAACACTGAAAGTTTAGTATGAGATTTCTTATCACTGTCGTCCTTTGTTTCCTCCGTCTTATCAGTATCGGTTGTTTTCTTTTCCTCAGACGCTTTTTGTTGATTTTCCTCACGTACAGATGTTATAGCTAGACTGTGGTTTTGAGATTTTTTCTTAGCGGCTTCTTCCAAAGCTTTTTCAGCTAATTGCACATCTTCCCTCGATACACCTTGAGTGGACCTTCTTGTCTTTCTTGCAGTCTTTGAAGCAATTTTCCTGACTATTTCAGCTTCGTTGCTGGCAGGGGCAAAGAGACTGCAAGGTCTCGAATCCCTGCTTTCACTTGTATCTGTGTCGCCAGTAGATTTTGAATCATTTTTTGATCTTGTGATATCTTTTATGGTATCTTCTGCCTCATCTTTTTCACTATCTTTTTCCGCTTCTTTAGTCTCGCTATCACCTTGTGAGGATCTAATTTCTTCTATGGGTCTACTACTTTCAAAATTTTGTGATTCAGGTATATATCTTTGTGCATTGGCTCCTCGAAGCGCAGAAAGACCTATTTGAGAATGGCCGAACATTTTATTATTCCATCGCTCCTTTGTGTCTTCAACAGAAGAATTAGAGAAGGATCTATATGTTTTCGGAGGGGATTCTTTCGTTTCAGTTGCTTCAGTAGATGGGAGACTATCAGCTTTCCGCAATAATCCATGCAATCGAGGTTTTATCGTGGGTAAATCTGTAATTGCATCCGATTTATTGTTGGTTATATGTTCCAGATCAGCGTTTTGCTTTTCATTTTCCTTATTTTCTTCCGACTCTTCATCAACTTTCCTCACTTTTTCGACAGGTTCTTGTTCTTCATTTTTGATATGATCAGGCGAGGTCAAACGTCTAAAGACTTCGCCTTCTTCAATAACTGATTTCTTGAGATTCTGCTTTTGGTCAGCTGATAGCCTAGTAATTGATGTCCGACGTTGTCTATTCGTCTTTACACTTTCGATTACAAGATTTTCAGCAGCGGATTTCAGCTTTTGTCTTGTCTTTAACTCCTCCAAATATGTTAATAGCTTAGATTCACAAACATCTTCAGGGGTTTGATTGTAGCTATTGAGGGCTTCTAAGTCACACAGACCTTCCATAACGAGGACAGTCAGAGCTTCCTTCTGATCCCAATGTGCTGTAGAGGTTTGGAAAGAAAGACTTTATTAATATTAGAACTGTTGGGCCGTGTTTTTAGAAAACAAATAGGAGTGTTAAACACGTGCCATAGTTGTCTGATCGATTGGAGTTGCCCTACTCAATATTGGTACAGCTTCGCTTTAATAATTTAATCTCTGTTCATATATGATTTATGTTTAATCTCAAGTCGAATTAAAGAGAATAATGATTTAAAAACGAGATTAAAAAAACTTATAGGAAAAAGCCTCTAACGGAAGCGGCATATGAATAATAATTGGAGAGATTAATGGTAACATCTCCTTTTTACAACACTAACGTACAGGCGCGCGCCGAAATCTTTCAGCAAACATTTGCGTAAAGTCTGTAGTGAATGCCCTTAGCATTTCTTTCAAAAAGTAAATTCTCTAACGATACTTAGAGATCTCGCACGGCCGCCACCGCTCCTGATCGAATCAATAAAGTCAATAGACGAGCATTCTATCATGCTCTCCGATATAATTTCACTCTAGGCACGATATATACTTTTGCCTACCGAGAATAATGTTAAGAGGCGGTTAGCATCTGGCCGGCTTACTACTCAAATATCAACATCTCTAGCATTTTGCGTATAGGCTCCCTCCTAACACGCTCTTTAGACTAACCTGCTGCATGAGCTGGGGTCCAACCGTCATAATCCTGGGCGTTTACGTCCGCACCAGCTTTCAAAAGTAAACGTAAAACTTCTGTATAACCTTTTGAGGCAGCTACGTGAAGACTAGTTGCCCCCGTTTGAGGGTCAATCAACTCCTCTATTTTACCCTGTTTCAACCATCGAGTGGCATCTTCTATCATTAAGTTTTCTTCAACATTTCTCGCAATTTCAATATTCATGTTGATTTTACGCATTTCCTCCTCTAACAGTTCATCCATCTCTTCCGATTCGCTCAGATCGAATGGTAATTCGTTATCACAGTTTACCGCCCTAATATCGGCTCCATTAGCGATAAGAATCCTAGCGATTTCTGTATATCCTTGACTAGCTGTTGCGTGTAACGGCGTCCAACCTTCGTTATCGGCCGCACTTACGTTTGCTCTTCGTTTAAGAAGAAACTCTACCATGACCGAATTATTGTCTATACAAGCTTGATGCAGAGCTGTTAATCCATCCGTATTAGTTGCATGAATATTAGCGCCATTGTCCAACAGAAGTTCAACCTCCTTTATGTTCGCCTCAGCGCAGCAGGCTATAAAAACGCAATCTCTATCGAAGTGAACTTTTTCAGATGCGTGGAACCTATCCGATTCCTTAGCCATCTCTGATAATCGCCATTTCGTTAATTGATCGCTACGCTTCCATAGCGGATTCGATCTCGGTTCTATCGCCATATTTGACTCTTTTTTTGGACGTCTATATCCGCATTTTCGCCGATTTTCAACAACAGCAACAGCACTTATCACTGTACGTTTGCAGTATATTTTTAACACTATGTGGATACGGGTTACTAGTTAAGATTGAAAACAGTAAACAGACAGTCGGACTTTGCAACCATACTATTTTCACGTGAGAGATATCTTCGTATTTTTTTCCAGTTTTAACTGTTATTATTATATAAGATGATTTGTTTCTTTTCTTCTAGTATACTTTTTTTAGTTTAATCAGTGTCTCAAAAAATGTCAAGGTCGGCTGGAAAAGCGATGTCTGAAATCGCGAAAAATTTAAGCAAGGTTCGTGATAGGATAGCTCATGCCATAAAAAATCGACCTATTTGTTATGATTCGGTAAATGTCCGTTTAGTAGCTGTGGGGAAAACGAAGCCCTCATCACAAATACAAGACGCGTATAACGCTGGTAATTTCTTTTAATACTAAAGCTGAATAATTGACCCTTGTCCCGCTTTCAGGTCAAAGAAATTTTGGCGAAAATTACGTTAACGAACTAGTGGAAAAGTCAAGGGACGATGTCTTAAACGAAGCATGTCCAGATATAAAATGGCATTTTATTGGTCATCTTCAGAGTAATAAAGTTAACAAGATTACAACAATACCAAATTTATATATGATTGAAACAATCGACAGCGAAAAGTTAGCGAACGCAGTGAATAAATCATGGCAGAGAGTAGAAGCGAAAGATGCTCTAAACGTAATGGTTCAGGTAAACACTAGCGGAGAAGATCAAAAATCAGGAATTAATCCGTCAGAGGCTCATAAACTAGTAGATCATATACGTCAAAACTGTCCAAGCTTAATGTTTAAAGGACTAATGACAATTGGAGCAATGAACTACGATTTAACTTTAGGACCTAATCCAGACTTTCAACAGTTAATTCAATGTAGGAAAAATGTTGCTGAGAAGTTGGGATTGAACGAACTCGATATAGAATTATCAATGGGAATGTCAAATGATTTTGAACACGCAATAGAAAATGGCAGCTCAAATATTAGAGTAGGCAGTACTATTTTTGGTGCTCGACAATATAATACAACATAAATATACGAAATAGAATACAGATTTCTTTTATTCTTTCTGTCTGCTTTTCTTATTTAAAACCACAATTAAAAATACATTTAACAACGTTGAAAGTGATAACAGTAAGCAAAAATGAGACAAAAAGCAAGAAACCAAGTATATCTAACATACGATAGCTAAATATAGGTAGAGTTTGTCCAGAGCTTTTTAGATGGCTCCCACCAAATTTAACTATGTTTTGTACTTCGTGAGTTATTCTGTTCAAACAACTTAGCGGTTCGGATCGGATTATATTTTTAGCCTTTTCTGCATATTTCCTATAGCCTTCGTTACTCAATACTTCAAGAATACATTCACGTAGCTTTTGCTCTTGTAAATCCATCAAACTTAACTGGCGGCCGTATTTACTGTTGTAAACTCGTTCGGCGTCATGTATTGAGATATTTCGTAAACATCACGTGATCCGTAACGAGATGCTAGGCTTAGAGTACTTTTTTGGTCTCGACTTTCTCTTTATTAGTAGCCTAATTGATTAGAAAGGTTAAAACCCACTTTTTATGTACCCCTTAATAAACATTTAATGGATGTTAAAAGAGATGGTCTCGTGATATTAGGAAATACCTCAATATAAAGCATCGGTTTACCATGGAAGATTGCTTCTATTTTACTATTTGAAGAGCCATCGGTAATTAACATATTCACTCTATCATCTCCCAAGATATCGTTGATAGGTAGTCGAGTCCATAGTCGGACGTTATCGGGCACATGTAATGTCTTCCTCTCATCAACCCCTAATTGATAATTCCAAATGAAGAAACAGTCTATTCCTTCGAATGTTTTCAATAAAAGTTTTGTTTGACTAATTGAAAATTTGCAGGAATAAAAATTAATAATCACAATACTATTCCCTTCTTGGGCTTTTAGCAAGTTATTTAGCTCTACTGGAAGTATTTTGGCGGAATGAGCTGTGACGGAATGTATATTCAGTACGTTAGGCCAAATTGGCGATGGATTATATAAGAAATAACTATTTTGTACTATAAATAACTCTGATACGGCTACTAGATCCTCCCAATGATTTATATTATCATTCTGACGGTATTTAAAGAGGATGTTTTTGTGGATAGGCTCCCGGAAATAAGGAAGAAATCTTGAGACGACATAGTTCAAACGATCCCAAAAGCTCATATGTTCATCTATTAAAGGAAAACCTCCAAAAGCTGGATCATCTAGACTATCAGCATAAGTTATATAGGGAATATTAAATCGATGGGCGATGACATGCATAAATCTGCACGAGGAAGGACCATCGATAATAGCCAAATCGAATTTATAATCTTGTATTTGGCGCATCAATCCTGAATCGGATAACATTGCCAAAGTTTCGTTAAAGTAAAATTGAATGTTGGTTCTATTAAATTTATAAAATTCATTCGTTTGACCTTCGACCCCTTCATAAGTCCAAGGTTCTACATATTTTCTGAAGCTTTTTAGTGTAGTTTTCACAGGATAAGTCGACTTCAAGACGCCAACAACCTAGTTAGTATATTTATTTAAAAAATATACCAGTATGTTATAAAACTTGATTCTTTAAATAGACTGAATATGTAAATCTACCAAAAGTTGCTTACGTCGTGGCCACTTTTTACGAGAGCGTCTCCTATCGTCCATATGGGAACTGTTCTTTCTGGAACTTGTATTGTAAGAAGAAGAATTTTTGCCGTACTTACAATATGAACGAAGGAAAGAATTAGGAGGGCACTGTTTATTTTCATCTTGAAGACCTTTAACCTTAGAAATGTACTGCCATCTGTCGACGAAACAAAATATCCAAGAGAAACGAAACACCTTTCACTTTCTTGAGATTTTTTTTTATGATTCACCGTCTATCACGTACAATATACAAACGTATACGTTTAGAGAATAGCTTCCTGTTTGTATACTACTGTAAAAACTTGCGGGCACGAGGAATAGAAATTTTATAATAGTTTTACGAAAAGAATTTTATGATAGTGGTATGCTCTTTCATCGAATAAAATTTGTTTAAAAAACAAGCCCATTCTAAATTGTTCTCTCTTTTTTTTACAGATTGATTTATTAGCAGCGAGAGAGAGAGAGAGAGAGAGAGAGAGAGAGAGCGTGCGCGAGAGGCCGGGAGTCAGAGAGAGAGAGAATAATTTAGTATGTACTATATTTGTGTGAGCATGAGTGCTAGTATATGAGTGAGCGAGAGAGAGAGAGAGAGAGAGAAAGAATTGCGCATAGTATGCATAAGAACGTTTTTATGAGAATGAAATGGGAAGATTCTTGCACAAACTCGTTTTTTAATGCACTTCGTATACTTTCTTACATACCAGAGCTATTCTAATTGATAAAGAATTGCAGAACGAACTTGACCTCTTCCCATTATTCTCGTTTTCCTGTTAGAGCGGATATTTTATATTGAATTCATTCTTAATTTTAATAGTTTATTCAAATCGTATCAAATAACAATTTTTTAGTTGTTTTGTTTGCAAATTTTGTAAGTTACTTTGTCAAAATGATCAAGAGGTGATATAAACATCAATCAAATCGTCACTTATCACTTAAGAAGACTAATTTATCTACTATATAGTTCCTTTCTTTCTAGTTTAAAAAATCTACCTAATTATTGTCAACTAATAGAAGCAGTAAAAGTATTTAAAGTGAAATAGAATTTTATTTAATAAAAGCAATAGATCTTCCCATAGTGCGAATTATGCCTAGTTATCCCCTAGAGTGGCTTCGAATAGTAGTCTCCAAACAGAGGGCAGAATCTATGTTCATCCCTGGAGGGAACTGTTCCACTAGACTGATTTGTCGAAGCCATTGATTTTGGAAGGAAAAATGAAAGCATTTTTCAGTCTGATAGGTTTTTATATAAATATATTCATATGTATATCTTATATAAAATCTTACAAGGAGATATATAAATATATATCTGTATTCGGTAACGCAAATTAGAAAACATACAACAAATTTAATATTTATTATACATTCGTGCCAAGACTTGTCTATTATTATGACCTATTCCATTTTTTTGGCTTGAATAACCTCTGGAGAATTACTTAATTCAACAAAAAAAAAAGAAAAACCTGTTCAGGTAGGATGAATTTAGGTTACAAGGAAATCAATAGGTTATTAATGAATTATTTATTCTGCAAATACACACTGGAAATTATATTAATTTATTTAAAGCGTATTTTTTATATTGTTATATAATAGGAAATTTCATTTACAAAACATTGATAGAGACTTTAAACAAGCGTAAATCAAGACATGTTCGAAAATAAAATCTGTATTTGTCAGTTATTTTTTTACCATATAACATTAAAGAAAGCTAATAATTTCATTTAAAAAGACTTTCTGACGTTTATTTTGTATATTTCAGAATTTTTACACATAAATCGCATATGAATAAATGTAAATGATAAGTATTATATATATATATATATTCATAAAGTGTATGTATGTGTATGTATGTATGTATGCATGTGTGTGTGTGTGTGTGTGTGTGTATGTGTGTATGTGTAGTAAATATAATAAAACTAATTAAATGCATTCCGCATTTAATGGGTGGTCAAGTCATATTTAGCTTGTTTACAAGCGTTATTGTTTTATAATTTCAAAAACAGTTCGGATAATTCTCTTTTTATACGTTTTTTCCATTCTATGTTTCTTTCAACTTCTTCAAGACTTTGCTTTACGGCTCTGGGGCGAGGTTTATTTCCCAAAATGGATTGAACAAAGAATTTCATCTATTAAACATTAGAGAAAATTGCAAAAATTAGCTTTAAACTTGGACGACGATTTATACTAAATACCTCTTGTAAGTCATATTCATTTGATTTTAGACTGGCACTTGCCTTAAATATTCGACTGTAGGCTTTATCGGACCACCTAAAAGATGATTGGAAAGAGAGAAAAAATATGAAATATAATAATTTTGGTATCATTGCTTTGTAAATCAGTTATATAATTTAATTAGAGAAAGATATATTGGAAATATTTTTACAACTGACGTCTTTACAATAGTCTTCCAGTTTCTCTTAATGAAATTCCAAGCTAGATCGTGACCAGCGTGAGTTTGGAGTATTTCCTTAACAACCATGTAGCCATCTTGTTTCCTGATTATTTTGGATTCTATTGACATCTTTAGTAATTTCTTTAGCAATTCAGCATCTTTCGTATCAGTTAGGGATAGTAATAATCTTCTAATTTCGGTTGGATCTTTCTCTTTCTTAAATTTATCAAAAATTTCTTCCCATTCCGCTCTACATCCGGTTTTTACATAAATTGAGTAGACAAGTCCCCGAATGGAAGAATCGATATTGCTCGTAGAACTATTTAAAAAGAACAACAAATAATTAGTTGTAAGACGTCGTTAAAATTTAGTTAAAAATCTCATTACTTTCGATTTTTTCTGTAATTATCTAAAGCTTCCTGAATGGTTTCATTATCCCCCATTGCCAAAGCTGTTGATATTAGTGTAGCATTTAAGGATTTCTTTAAATGATTTTCTTCACTTGTTTTTGAATTGGAACGAAGTGACTTAAGAGTATCCTTAATCAGTTCTCTTGTATGATTCTTTTAAGATAAAACATTTTTAATGGATAACCTTTCACCTTTTTTTTTATCAAATTTTAAAAAAAAAAAAGAGAGAGAGAGGGCTAACTTACAGTAAGGGCTGCATAAATTTCTGGATTATCCTTAAGCATACTGGTAACGTAATTAAGATTTAGAGTGGCTATCTTCCAAGGAACATAAGACTTTTCCTTCTTAAGATACTTCGTTAAGTTAAGGAATCGACTTATTTTTTCCAACCCTGCCCTACTTAATTCAAAAGAATCGGATATTAGACCAGCTCTATCCGAAGGGTTTAGTGACTGTGGGGAAGTAAATTTATTACTTTATATTCAATCAGTAAGTCAAGGAAAAAGGAAAATGAGGGAATGGCTAATATATTACACAAGATTGCGATATTTTTTTTAAAAAAAAAAAAACAAACTACTCCAACAAAGATTTACTTGAAGTATCTATTAGAAGCTAGTTACCGTATGATTGCGTTCGAGTAAGTTAATAATTGAGTTCCATCCAGCATCATCATAATTGACTCTATAAAATCCTGTTTGATTTACATTTACTTTGTACCATTCTGTACCTTTTTGTAAATTTATAGTAAAGTCTTTCTTAGGATACATTAACTGCATCCCCTTGTCTATGTTGGTTTTATACGTTATCGGAATAATCCAAGTATAACTATAAAATTATAGAATAAAATAAGAATAGAGCTGAATTGTTAACAATACAAAATTATATTCTTACTCGTCATCCTTGTATTTCCTCCTTTCGTTTTGCGATACAAAGAATCTCTCTTGAGTAAGTGATAATTTTCTATCGCCGATCTTTTTTACCATTACAACAGGAAAGCCTTTCTTCTTTACCCAAGTATTCATCATCTTCGCCACTGGTATATTTGTTGTCTATAGTAGAATAAGTAATTATTAAGAAAATTAAAAGAAAACTATTCCATACAACATAAACAAAGTATAATGATATTTTATTACTAATTAAATACATTACGTTTTCTAGTTTTCCCCATAAGTCTTTGGTTTCTGCATTACTGTATGCAAAATCTTTCAAGTACTGCCCCAAGCCCTGGTAATTTAGAATTAAAGGAGGAAATTACAAATAAGATTTGTCGAATAAATAATCTTTGCCTTTTTAAATTTTTTAGGAGTCATGGCTGTATAAAGCATGTATAAAATCGAAGAGCCTTTGTTATACGATATGGAATCGAATAATTCTCCAATTTCAGCTCCATCATTTACTTGAACGTCAATGGGATGGGAATTTGCTAAGGCATCGGCTTGTAACGCTCCCGACTGCGTTTCCGTATAGAATTGTTCTAGCTACAACAGGAAATAAAATAGATTTTTAAGTTTGTTTACAATTAAAGTGGTGAATGAAGTAATTTTAATGAAAGGATATAAGAAGTATTATAACTTACCGTTCTTAATTCTGGATTTACCGCATCTGAACCTAAAAATTCAACAAAAGATGCAAATCCTTCATTTAGCCATAAATCATTCCACCACTTCATCGTGACTAAATTCCCAAACCATTGATGGGCTAATTCGTGGGCGATAACAATGCTTACCCATTGCTTATCTCTTCCACTGCTGGTTTTTTCATCATATAAAATTGCAGTTCTTCGATAAGTAATTAGACCCCAATTTTCCATGGCACCAGCACTAAAGTCAGGTATAGCTATCATATCTGATTTCGGCAGCGGAAATTCGATGCCGAATAATTTCTCATAATGTTTTATAATCTCTCTTGTTGTATTTAAGGCGAAGTGCGTCTTGTTCACTTCAAAAGATGGTGCGTAAACTCTTACTGATATATTGTTGTGTTTTCCAGTAGTTGTTTGGACAAATCCAAAGTTTTCAAATACCACAAAAGCAACGAGATATGTACTCATTTTAACTGTTTTACTAAATGTGGTCTTCTCCCTATTATGTTTTAATGAAGCAGTTGTACCAGGCATATTAGAGATTGCTGTATACTTTTTATCATGAATTATCGAAATTGTGAATGTAGCTTTGAAAGCAGGTTCATCAAAACAGGGAAAAGCTCTTCGAGCTCCATTTGGTTCCATTTGAGTGGTTGCTAATCTGAATTTTTTACCTTTATCTGTAAAAGTACTTTGATAGAAACCGTCAAGACCGCTTGAGATAACCGATTCATATTCAATAGTTAAGTTATAAGTTTTACTTGTTTCCAGTTTACTGTTTAGTTCAATCTTTAGCTGCTGTAGCGTCTGATCGACAGTAAATGTTGCTTCCTTATGGCCAGTGACGGCAACGCTTTTAATCGTTTGGTTGACACTATGTAGAATTATGCGATTCGTTGATTTTTTAACCTTGACAAGAATTGTGACTAAACCGTTGAACGTCCAATCGCTAAGCCGAGCATCTATCTGCAGGTCGTAATGTATCGGTTGGATATTTTCTGGCAATCTTCGAGATACACTTGGAATTATGTCTTCTTGAGAGGAATTCGTAGCCTTTACAGGACTTTTTAGTTCTTCGCAATTTCTGGGCAGGAAGGCAGCCAGCATAGCTATGACAATGAAAAGGATTGCACCCATTGCAGCAAGAGCATAGATCCTTATTTTTGGGCAAACGAATTGACTCTGGTCGTACTTTGCCTTCTTGCCGCTCCTTCTGGAATCTGAAAATTCAAATTATTGAAAACTTAACTTGGTTAGATCTAAAGTTATGAAATTCAACCATGGCCTGGTTGCAGAAATGATACATCCTCAACATCGTCCATAATAAGTCTATCGAAATTGTCTGATCTATTATCCGTCATCTTCTGCTTATTATTTGCTATGCATTTTGTTGAAATATTGTTTGGTTTTTGTACAATTCACGGTTTGTCATGAGCGAATGAAGAATCGTAATCGATAAGACAAATAAGCGATTAAAGCGCCATCAACCGTATATAATGAAAACTACCGTTGTATAGGTCTATACAAATTAGTATTATAAATTTCTTGTTGCAAAAAGATGAAGCTATTTAACAGTTAAATTTTTATAAATTTTAACCTTGAAACAATAACATCGTGTTCGTCAATTAAATATCTACAAATAGTCGTCTAAAAAAAATCCATATTTTATTAAAAAGCAAAAAAATATGCATCTATAAAATTGGAAAGCTTTACAAAAATTATCGAGAAAAGTGTATTAATTTCCTTTTTATAGCTAATCCATAAAAATCATTATTAGGAATAAATCGGCTTAACTCCCTACTAAATGTGACATATTTTCAATTGAAGGAGGAGTAGTAACAGTACTTACATGAACAAGGAGCCAAATTTCTTTTACTGCTTTATAAGCTATATAAATATATCTGCATATACATAATACACATATATATATATATATATATATGTATATATATATGTATATATAGTATATTTATATATATAGATATATATATATATGCGTATATACAATTTGTTTTTTTATTTCTTTTCAATATAAATAATGAGAAAGAAAAAAATCCATCACGTTGAGTAGAAGGAAACTGCAAACACTACCACTACAATAACAACAACAATAATAACAATCTAAATTCTTAATAATTTAGTTACTTATCTATCTATTGAAACTATATTGATATAATCTGTTTAGAAAATAAATATGTACATCAGTTTGTAAACTGTTTGTTAGCTCATTTCAAATAAAATGAAGGAATCAGGAAGGGAAATTATCTGTCTTATCTTTATTACCAGAAACATAAGATCTTATCGTTAACTAACTATATATCTATATATATGTATATAAACTGCATATTTATAGGTTTTCTATTTTAATAATTACCAAAAGTTGCCACATCTTGTTGTTTTCCAACTGTTACTTTCGCGTCATTAACATTTACAAAAGTTGCGTTTTCTTCCATGCTGATAACCAGTTTGCTCGTTTGTATAAATTTAAATGAATACCAGTTTTATTTATGCGATACAACAGCTAAAGCTTACAACGTGCTTAATTTAATGGATTACGAAAACAAATCTCCTTATCATTTACAACACTCGTAATAGTCGGCGTGTATATAGATAGAAAGTATTGATTTTTTTAAAATAAATAACCATATATGCATATACAGTATATACTCTTTTAAATAGATTCTATTACTTTTCATTTATCTTTATTCTTTACCTTTTAATAATTTTTTTGTACTGATCAACGTTTCCTCATCTGTTTCGCTGCTACTAAAACGATATTGAATAGTCATCGGAAAAAGTTTTCTTTATCAATTTCCTAGTTTCTCATTCAAATTTCATTCAAATTGTTATTAGCTTGAAATATTTTTCTTTAATTAATCCAAATCTTTTCGATACAATACTATTGTTATTTATTTTATGAAAACTTTGTTAATCTCTATACAAATTGGATGATTGGCGATGAACTCTCTGTTCAATAATGAATTTTGATTTTTAACGTTAAGGAAACGTGTTGTATGATTTCCGTAACAGATGTATTTAGAAAACTTTTTTTTATTGTTAACTTAACGGCAGGTGTAGATGTTTTAATTAATTTTTTCTTTTAAATGTATAAAATGTATTAAATATCATAATGTTAGTTAATATACACTTTTCATGTATTTTATTCATCTATTTCCTCTTTGTTTCTTTTTGTTTTTATTTTCGTGTTTTCGTGATAAAAGCAAACCGTTTAGACATTAAATTAATTATCTACATTAAGTCAACCGTGAAATTTATTTAAATCTATCTTTAATACAACAATAGTTTTATTAAACTTAGTTTTTTGTCGTATAGATGGCGCTAGTGAGCTTATATATTTCAAATACGTAGATGGTTACCAAGGTCAAATATTTTCCGCTGGTAATATAGGACTTACTCCACGCATGGGAAACTTTGAAGAAATTAAAACTAGTTTATCTAATATACTCTCTCCTTTAGGGTTTAGCATTCACCCATTTAAGGTAGTCTATATTTCTTGTTGTGTGACAAATTCTTTTCACAAGATGATTGCCAAATTTATTATCTTGTTCTTATATCGCTCACAATCTTTCAGATATCTTGGTATAACGAATTGGTTCAAAAAAAGGATGAAGCATTTAAATTGCCATATCACGACGACTGTATAGCTTTTATTATTATTAGTACTCCATCTGTCTTTGAAAAAGCATTTATTCCATTTGTCAGAAGTGAACATTATAAAAATTCTTCATCTGATCCGCTTGATCAGTGTATGAATTATTATTTTAGTTTAGTAAAGGAGGTAAATACTATTTTTATTTGAAATCTTTGATTTACTATGGCTAATACTAATATAATATTCAATAATATTTTTACAAATAGACTTGCTTAGAAGAGGACGTTGATGTATTGTACGATTATGAATTAACCGCAACAAGAAGGCCGAAAATACTGGTTCAAACAGCTGGTCATTGTTCTGGAGCGGCATACTATTATCAGAAAAGCGATGTAAAAACTTGTCCATGGCCAGAAACAAAATCTATATATGGAGTTAGTATTCATCCGAAATTTGGAGGTTGGTTCGCTTATCGAGGAGTTATTGTTTTTAAAAATCTTCTCTATTCTAATTTACCTAAACTTGAACCTATTGATGTTCTATTAACTGATGAAAAGAAAATTGAAGCCCTAGAAAAGTTTAATGGAAATTGGAAAGACTGGGCATATAGGGACGTTGTCGAAGTTGTTGAAAGATACTCTGAACTACAAAAACAATACTTTATTACACCTCCAAAAGACAGATATGATTTAATTAGGAGAATTAGAGAGGGTCTATCTTAGCTTTCAATAAATGAGCTCATATTTTATTTAATCATAACACATTTACTTAATAAATCTAAGCAGATGACATTGGGATGTCATACATTCTCGCTTCTTCAAGCATTCTGTAATGAATGAAACACAATCCGGCTCCTGCAGACACTCGAACGCGCACCTCGAATCCCCAAATACATTCTTTGTGTCAATCTTTTCTGTATAGTTTACATTATATCCAAGATTAGGATCGTAAAGCGGATAAAACCACGAACTCCTAAAACGATCTTCAAATACTTCGTATGAAGAGATATTTTTTGTAATGTCGAATTCATCCCATGGTAGGCCGGCACGATACACTTTGTAGCAGCCTAAACAAAAGACAATTAGACAAACAAAAATTTCGGCATTAGAGCAGGTTTAAGGTTACAAAAAAATTATTCCCAGTGCTTACTTCTTTTACAAATAAATGGAAGTTTATCATTACAGTGATGAGGTACATAACAAATATTACCATCTACTATTTCTGCTGCCAAACACGACGTGGTTGTAACTAGATAAAAAAATAATAATTTTAAGGTATTACAAAAGCGAATTTCACTTATTTAGAAACGATTCCTACTAACCTTTCGGCAATATATTTATCAAGTTATTTTGACTGGAAGTATCAAGCCATTCCCAATTGTATCCTCTATAACTCGGCGCCAACATTCCTATCCATATCTTAGTCTGATTTTGACTATTTGTCTAGAAAAAGAGAAAGTAGAATGAATATTAATAACACTTTTAGAATATAAATTAATGCCTAAAGTCTATAAAAAAAAACTCTCTTATAACAAAACTAAGATACTATTATACAACAACGAAAAGTAGCATATTTGTCTTATTAAAAATAAAAGATAATCAAATAAATATTAGTATTAGCTTATGTAGGATATTTCTTCTTACGTTGTATTTAGTCACAAGACCATGAAATTAAAAAAGTAAGTCATCTTGAACGTTTTCATTTTATACGATCAATGAAAAAAAATCAGGTTATCTAGTCTATAATACCTAATTTATCAGTTATAATAGTAAGTTTTGTATATCTTGTTACGCAATATCGTACTAGTACAATGATTATATAACAGGATAATAATTAATAATAAAACAAATTGAATTTATAAAGGAAAGAAAAAAATCTTACCCCATTTAATATATAAGTTTCAATGAACTCTCTCTCCTCCTTAGACCATAGTGATAATAAATGCCCCTTTTGGCTTTTACAAAATTCGTTTGCATCAGTTTGGGTTCTGTTTTGCTCGAATAAAATGTAAGACATTCTATTATTCAGATGCGCCCAATTCTTTGGACATCCGTTTGGTACATCCAAAATATCTGAAAGAGTTTTAGAGTATTTTTGTTAAAGAAATATGTATTTAATAAGCAAAAACGAACCTTCGCTGGCAGCTAAAAGAACAGCGGTTAAAAAGAAAATTAGAGCTTTCATTGTAATCATCTCGCTCAGAGTGTAACAATTTCGAATCACTGCAAAGTGATGATATAAATGACCAAGCTCATTGTTTAGTGTCAGATTTCTATTGATACGGGCTAAAATAATCTCTAATTACTCTATTAAGTCCACAGCAATCGACATAACGGAAGTCATTAATTTTCAATTTAGACGTACCAATAAATTATTAAGTAATCCCAAAATCGAAAAATATATCATTGATGTCATTTAATAGTGTTCTATTTTAATAGTTTGTAAGTCAAACAATATGTAATAACAAAATATAAGTTTTTAAAAAAAAGGTCTGTTAATTTATAAATCATCGTCGCTGCTGTCAATCACCTTCGATCGTTTTCTATTAGGTTCTTCTCCATCTTCATCACTACTTGTTGCTGCCTTTTTAGTGGTTTTTCGCCTACTCTCAATGTCGCTATCATCACTGTATCGATCGGGTTCTGGTTCGTCATCATCAGAGTAGAAATCCTCTTTTGTATCTTTAAGTTTTTGTTTATAAGCATTCTTCATAGCACTAATTGAGCTGTCATCATCATCGTCATGTTCGATATAGGCTGAGCTTAATCTAGAATGTTGTTGACGTTCCCTAATTCTTTTCTGTTGGCTCTCACGGCGGAGTGAGGCGCGTAACTTCTCTTCCTCCTTTTTCATTAAAGCGTTTTTTAAGCTTTCCGGATCATTACCAGCTATCGGTAAGATTCTAATATTTCTTGTCTTGTTACTTTTGTCAGCCAGGGACATAGTCATCTTTCGATGAGTGAAAGAGTCGGTAGAATGAGGTCTGAATGTTAATTTCGAACCAAAAATAGCCTGTGCCTGAAGACCAGTGCCTTGCCGTATGAAAAGGTGGTTATAATCATTTTGTAGACTCATTGGATGAACATCAAAGATTTCTGAGCCTAAATGCATACTTAGAGATCCATCGCTCCACCGAACTATCCTTCCATTTGATTGCTTTATTGGATTTCCTTCATCGTCGAGAATTGGATTACCATCATTATCTTTAGCATACCTCCATCGGACAGTATTCTCTACTTTAAGTTTAAGTCTTGTTCGACCTTCTTCATCCATAATGTCATCATCTTCGACTTCATCTTCATAAGTTGTCGGATCAAACGGTCGTGTGTCGACTGACAAGAAGTTAGGTAATTTAACAAAATATAAATTCTTTCCTAAGTTTGTACTAATTTTTGGAATTTCAGCATGAATTGTTGTCTCTCGTACTTCAGGCACTTTTTCTTTCTGCTTTTCATCTTTATCTTCTTGGTCATCGTCATCTTCTTCTTCCGATTCTGTTGCACCACGTTTAACATTATCCTCGGAATCAGAGCTACTAATGTCACTAGCTTCCCCAAAAATATCTTCAGCTGTGGTTTCGTCCTTTTTGCGTTTAGGCTTACGTCCCACTTCACTACCCGAACTGGAGACGCTACGACTACGACTTCTGCTTTGACTCCTACTATGACTGCGGCTACGATTCGGAGTCCTACTACGACTTTTACTGCGACCTCCGCTAGGACTTTCACTTCGGCTTCTACTTCGGCTGTGACTTCGACTCGGAGATGCAGAGGGTGATCGAGATCCGGCAGGGCTGCCATTTCTACTACGAGATCCCTCACTGCCAGACACAGAGCGAGAACGGCTTCTAGAGCGACTTTGGGAGCCGCTGTGAGATGAAGTTTGAGAAGGTGTTCTTGATGCGGACCTTGATCGATTCCTTGAGCGTCTGCTACTCGTTTTCGATCCTCTCCTATTATTTCCTCTGATTACCGGCGAAGTTCCTTCACTTCCGGAGTCTGATTGTACTTCAGGTGCGGGCGAACCAGATTGAGAACGTGAACCTCCTGATGAAGAGTTATTTCTAGGGGAGCCGGGGGATCCGACTGATGCATTTTCCGACACAGAGCCTCCATCACTTTCAGAATCAGATTCATTCACACTGGACGACATTACAAAGTGGTTTTGGCCTCTTTTGGTAGCCCGCAATCTCTAAACAAAAAATAAGAAAGAAAATTGCTCTTTTCTTTCTGCTACTTAGTCTATACCGACATGTTGGATATTTCGTATTTATTATATACTATGCATGTTATATTTATTTTTTTTAATAGTTTAGGATAAATATATATTTTTTATTTATATCAAAATTTTAGAAATATACGAACAATATTTGCTACAATTTATAGATTGACGACTCTCTAAGATAGTACCATTCTAGAAGTTTATATTACCTGATTGCTGATTCGTTGCCTGGTGTATTTAGATCAATCAGCGACCTGTTAACAAATTTTCCTCTTTATTTCAGTTTCTACGTTCTAATGTTTTAGTAATCAGTGGTTCTCACTATAAATTCACCACGTGATCTCGATGACTAATCAGTTATCACACAACACGCGGCGGACAACAACACACGTAACGAGATTCAAAAAGTGTTTGTTTTTTGAACCTCGAAAACTGCTGTCGTCGTCGAAAGAATTTCAATAACCTTGCTCCTTTTGTGTGTTATAAGCAAAGAATTCTCCGAAATGGAAGGCGAACAAATACAACCAAGTGAGAGCGAAACGCTTACGGAAAATCTTACTGTACCGGCACGACCAATAACGCCGACACTTCGTGTGGAAGAATTAAAAGAAGACGAAAGAGTGAGAACAACAAGTGGAAGCGACGTTCAGAATAGCTCCCTTACAGGTCGGTTACGTAATAGCTTGTATTTATATGATGCATAATATGTTATCTTATAGGTAGTGAGGGAGAGGAGCAAACTGCTGCTGACTTTGTAGTCCCAGAAGAAGACTTGCTTCAACGAATTATTCAGCAGGTAAATATTTCTTTTATTAGAAACTCTGAAAAACAACTTTTTTTTGCCCTATTTATAGGTCGAGTTCTACTTTTCAAACGAGAGTATACTCAAAGATGCTTTTTTGTTGAAACACGTGCGTCGCAACAAACAAGGCTATGTGAGCATTAAATTAATCACGTCTTTTAAACGGGTCAAAGGCTTGACCAAAGACTACAGAGTAGTTGCTTATGCATTAAAACAATCTGATAAGTTGGAAGTGAACCCGGAAAACACCAAAGTTAGACGTCTTGAAGCCTTGCCAGACTATGACGAAACCACACCATCGAGATCAATTGTTGCTATAAATATTCCATTAGATAATCCTCAAGTTGGCGGTGTTGGTGATCTATTTAAAGATTGTGGAGAAGTGACCCTTGTTCGCCTATTGAAGGTCGGTAAGCCATATCCACCGGAAGTAAAAAAGTATGTATCGAAATATCCGGATTTGGCAGACAAGCCTTGTGCAATAATCGAATTCGAAAAACACGAATGTGCGCAGAAGGCTGTCGAGCTGTTTAACAACACTACTGATTTCCAAGGTATGAAAGTTCATGTACTCGCCACCAACAAGAAGAAAGGTGGGGATGATGAAGAGAAAAAGAAAAAATTGACAAAGAAAAAAACCAAAGTTGGAGAATTAGTAGCCAACATGGGAGGAGGAGGTGATTCAAGTTCTGAAACTGATAACCTGGAATATTATTCAAGAAATAGGAACCCTAATGGGGGTGCAATAAAAAAAGACCATCTTAGTCCCGCTATCTCGCCGAAATCTTCGCCACGTTCCAGTCCCGGACCAAGCCCAAGAAGTTCACCAATGTTTAGACGCCGAAGTAATCCTGTGCCTTCCCCTCTAGCTGCAAGTCCGGTCTTTAGTCCAAACGCGAGTCCTAGAATGCAGAGAGGCGAATTAGGAGTCTCTTGGAGGAAAAAACAGGATAACAAAGGAAATCAGAACTTTCAAATGTCGCCAAGGACCAGCCCTCGTATGGCCAGACGAATCTTAGATGGCGGAATTATAAGACAACCAAAAGGACCAGATAATACTGTTCAAGGATTCTATGGAGGAAAAGGAAGAGGAACTGTCGTGGCAACTAATTAAGTAATGTACAATTTTTATATTGGGAGGGGGACTGTTTTTAACCGCATGTTACGTTGGTGGATGGTGAAAGAATTGTTAATTTTGTTTTGCCAATCAAATATGTTATTTAAATGCTTAAAATTTTTGTTTACGAATCTTTTAAATCTCAATTCAGGCCTAAAAATATATGTTCAAAATCTTTGCTATATCTAATGCACAATTGCGATATTCATCGTCAGAACTATTGTTTACCAAAAGGTCGTGCAAAAACAACCAAACTTGATCTTCATCACATCTGGCAAAGTCTGCGTATAATTCTTTTGCGGCAATTTGAACGATTTCAGGTTGATGACAGCTCAAGTATGGTAATGCACAATAAATGAGATGGTTCAAATTCATGCCAACTATTTGAGCGTTTTTGCACAGCTTTCCAAGAGATTTTAATATGTTCAATAAATACTTGCAGGCATTTGTATACTTAAAAGAGTTTATGGAGGCCAATCTGCTTAATTGTGCTTGTTTTTCCAAAAAAGTACGGATCTTCGGTATTACGTTTGTCTTTAGACGCTGCTGAGTGAAGTCTTTTGAGACAGCAACCATCGTTTGTAGAATTTGCATTGCTCTTAAAGCCACAGGGGCTTCTTTATCATTAAAACGTTCGCAATAAGGGGGCCATATTTTATGAATAAGAGGTAGAAGGATATTTTGATGGTTCTTTAAACACTTGAACACATTATTACAAGTTTCCAATGCTAATAAACGAACTCTTGGATTCCCTTTCGATAACAAATGAACACATCTCAGGCCTACCTGTTCAACTAGTTTTATATCTTTAGTAACCTCTCTGTCTTCAGACTCTAGATTAGGATTAGATTCGGGTTCTTCGTCTGATGAAATTTCATCTGAGTTATTTAGCTCCTCTTCTAGGCGTTTCCTTTCGTTTTCTTGCTCCTGATGATATTTCAAAAGGCAATCTACTAAGTCAATATCCTCTTCCTTTTTTATCTCTTCTTTCTCAGTTTCAATAACATCTAGTGTTTTCCATTTAATAATGGATCCCACAAAGGCATGTAACACTTTTAGAAATTCTAAATTCATTTCTTCGGCTTCACAGTTATCAAGTGAGTCAAGTATCTTTAACATTATGTCATCAACAAATTCTATCATCCTTTCATCACCGTAAGTTAGAGCAACTCTTAGAATGGATGGGGAATTGGGAAACGTCGACAAATGTCTTAATTTTATAGAAATAGAATTCATAAGATAGTCCATATTATCAGAGAGGAGATGTGCGACTGACGTATAAGAACAATTCTTGGAAATGTCTTGCAGAACGTGAAACGCTTCCTCACTGACAAGATAATTGTCATTACCTATTTTTTCTAAAACAAGATATAGAATAGTCATTAAATGCAATTTAAACTTTTCCTTTAAGACTTCAGACAAATTGGCTAATCCTTCAAGTATTAAACAAACTTGAATAACGTTGTTATTTAATGCCTGGAAATTTACTATATTTGAGGTTTGTTTATTTATTGGTAGCAAATCCCAACTGTTATCACTTTTAGGAAATATAAAGTTCTGAGAAGTATTAATATCAATCAATTCTGCGTTCGAATATTCTTCAAGGAGTTTTATGTAAATATCTTCAGAATTTTTATCTGAACCTAAAATTGCATTATTAAGGATGAATAGAGCCTCCTTTCTATGAATTTCAGAATTTAGAATAAATTCCAATAGAAAATCAGACAGCATTTGGAAATTTGAATATCGTCCGAGTAATTTGGAACATTGGATAATTTCTAATAAAATTGCATTATCAGTGAAATTAACAAAGTCATATTTTCTTCTTCCACGATATATATGTAGTTCATTGTCAGTTAGTGGTATATCAAAATTCTTTACTTCCAAGTATGATAACGAAGAGCAATTGAATTTTAATAAATGAAAAAGTCCTTGTAACAGTCGATTTAAATGGCTAGTTGAGAGGAATACTGATTCAAGTTTTGAGTTTAAAAGTTCTAAGTTGGCTCTTAACAATTTCAATGTTGAAAGGTTCTTTTCATCATTAGACGCATTTACAAAGGATAGCAAAGATTTGCAAAATTCGAATAAGTTCTCTTCTAAGAGAAGATCAATGTCTGGAAAAGTCTTTTTAATTAAATCAATATTCTCCCTTGCTCTTATTTTTATCTTTTCATAATCATCATACGAAGATATTGCTATAATCTGAATTAATGCTGGAATGCATTTTTTTAACGTAGTCCGACAATTAATTAACAACTTTTCACTAAAACATAACAAAGAATATCTAACACGCCATTGATTCGGTGCAATTATTTTTAAAACAGCATCAATGCAATATTTTATTTTAAATGATGTGTTCTGGTACCACTCTTCAGTTCTGTTGATTAAAAGTTCATTCGTCTCATCACACTGAAAAGTTGTATACTTATCAGAAAGGACTAGAGCGATCAAGTCCCCTAGTAGCTGCACAGATGAAGATATAATAGCTTCCCCCAATTTGTTGTCGGCTTTTGCAATTCTTAACAAACAATTAGATATTCCAGGTAGGAATGAAGATAGTAAGTGAGATAATTTTTGAAGAATCTTCTCGTCAGTATTGTCAACCCAAGTTATAGTTCTCAAAGCGTTGATTGAGCACAATATTAAACCCCTAGACAATTCTTTTCCAGCCAATGCAATTAGTATACATACAGCATGACCTAAGGCTGGGAGAAATTTGGGTGAATAAATGCTTAAATGTAATTCTTGTTGACTACATTTAATAAGAGACATTAAAGTTGTAGTGATTTCCATCTTAAGCTCTTCAGACTTATTTATAATTTCACCCGGTTTATTCCCAATTGGTTGTAGATAAAGGCAAAGCATATTAAACACATCTTCGAAGATTTCCATTTTGGATAATTTGATATTATTGAAAACATTCTGCATAATTTTATAACACCTTATTTCTATTGACTCTTTATTTTTACCTTTTCTTAGTATCATTCGAGTTGTAAATAAGACAACTTGATACAGTTGTGTTAAAGAGAGATCATTTAAACTCTCTAACTCTGATAAAACACTTTTGCAATCTTCTTCTGATCCGCTTTGCGCAAAAGTTGCACTCTTTACTTTAATACGGAGAAAACTAGATTCGGAATCAACTGAATGAGACTTAAATAACGCACTCATGTTGATGACAGGCGATACTAGATGAATTTTGTTGGACGATAAAGGAACGAAAGTGATTCCACTTAACTTTCAATACTAAAATGCAATGACCTATTTGAGCGGCAAAACATTCAGATCTAAAAAAAACTTTTGCAGACTGTTTTATTGAAAAAAAATCAATTTGCTTACAAAAACAATAAATGTACTAAACAAATGCTTATTCGTTAAAATTGCCTCAAAAAAGGAAAGCTAAGAACCTAAATTTTCAAAAATATTGATCAAGGTATTTATTCCTAAAATATATCCATCGTCTGGACCATTATGAACAATCCTATCATCTAAAAATTTTCCATTGGTAGAGCGAGTAAAGTCAATCATTTTAATATCTATCCTAGAAGTGGAAGCTTCAAAGCCTTCATATATGATCAAGAGAGATGACGAAAAAAATCGCCAACCATCCATTTTCAATATGATCTTCCTTAGAGTTTTCAGACGTTCTACCAATATCCCTATGAGGTCGAATCGAAAATTGTTATTATGTTTCACAAACTCAAGTATACATTCTTTGAATCCTTCATCATCTAAGGCTTTGCCATGATGCTTTCCATAGCATAAATATTTATTCTGCTCCCTTTTAAACAACTGAAATGTACAAAAAAGGACTGTTAGACGGATTAACAAGCAATAATTAAATACAATATCCAACCTGCATGCCACCTACTCGAACTCCTAGCCTACAGGATGTTGTCATTTCAGATTGAATTTTATGAAAAACAACCCTCTCTTCACTAGCATCATCACCGTAAAGTCTTGTTCCCATTTTCAAGTCTAAAACGCATGGCCGACTAAAAGAATGAGTAAGATCCTCTAAAAGAGTAAAATAATGTGGCGGTTTACGATCTTTTAGTCTTTCTAAAGCTCTGACATAAGTGCTATTGCTATATGGATTGGAAATTCCAGTAGATGGTTGTAATCGGTCTGAATGAAGGAATAGTTTTTCAACTGAGGATCTATGAACCTCTTCCGTAACGTCCTTTTGCGGACAATCAGATTTCAGAAGAAATTGATTTTCTTTTTTATAGAGAAATCGGTCTTTATCAAGTAGCTGTATTTGTTGACCATAAATTTCGATATCTCCTTCACTATGTGCATATCCAACTTCCATCAGGCCTATTATATGATTATATCGTTATTCTATTTTTAATTATACCCGCTATGTTCAATAAATAGATAAAATTACCTATTAGTTTCGGTAAAAATGATTCCAGTTCAGGACTGGCAGAGATATATATAAAATATTCTCGTCTATTAAAAGCTTTACATACTGTCGAATAGCCACATTTAAAGATTGGAGTATGTCCTCCGACCTATTTAAAGTACAAATTGCTTATTAGTAGCAAAAAAAATATAGTAAATGTACCTAAGCATTTTATTATCAAAGCATGCACTTATTGCAATTTAATAATGAAAACTTTAATTTATATATTGTATTAAACTCCGTGTCAACTGACAGAGGTGTTCCAATTTTTGACAATGAGAAAAACAGATTATATTTCATTCATTCAACCATTCACCCCATAATATTGTTGTTAATTAATAGAGCTTTAAAAAAGAATACTACAAGCTACCTATATTAGTCATGATATCAGGCTAATAAAAGGTTTACACCGTGGTAGAAAAAGAAAAAAAAGACAGATATCTGAACTTTATTATAGATACCGACTGTTTAGAGAGCATCAATAAAAAGAGTGCAAGTAAGGTTATATTTTATTAGTACAATATTCAAGGTACTGCTTATTCTAGTTAAAAAGCTAACGTTCCATTGCATCGATTTCTTAAAGGAAGAATAATACGCTTGCTACAAAGTTCATTTGTAATTATTCTAGAATTAGGACTGAATATTTTATATTGAACATTGATTGAATAGCTTGGTTCATTGTTTAAGTGATATAAAAGAAAAGTAAATACCTGGTGTTGGAAAGCCTCTAATCTGATACGTTTTCCTTTTCTTATGAAAATTTGATCTTCTCCACTCATAATTTACAAATACGTAGAAACAAACTTTTTAATATAAAACTATATAGAACGAGTCGGATGTCTAAAAACAAATGACTAAATTAAGCTAAAAATTTAAAGTTATGATAGACCTACTACAAATTTAGAGGTATTCTGGTAGGTTCTTCATTTAAAATTAGAGAGCCATACTATTCCACTAAAAATAAAATATGAGTTATTAATATCTTCTTTTAGTTAATATACTTGCCATATTGAAAGATTGACTAACACGATATTTTCATAAGCGTTCTTTTAACCTAGTGTTTACTATCAATAGTAAAAAAAATAGAGATAAAACGTGTAATTTTAATGAAAATACCATTACCCACATTTGGGATAAGAACTAATGCATAGTCAACGATTAAAATGCATAGTATAACGTTACAAAATTTTTGAATTGCTTATTCTCAGTTTCGATCAATAGATCGACTCATTGTTAAGTTAAATGTTCAATATCCAATACTAATAAAAGTAAGATAGGTTTACAAATTGTCATAAGAGAGGAAAATCTATTAAAGCAATATCACTTTTAAAGCAATATCAGAAGAAGTAAGAGAAACTAGGAATCAAGTTATAAGCAGGAAGCGGAAAAATTGATATAAAAGCAAAGAAACTTATATTTATTTACAAGAATCTAAATAGACAATCACTCCCTCTATAGGACTTTACGAAATATAGAACATATTTTTTTATTTAATCCTAATATTATGCCTAAACGAAACGCTACATGCAATTTAATTATAAACATAATTTAATATCGAAAATTTGAAACTTGTTAAAATTAGGCCAGAAGAAAAATACAAGTAATAAGCAAGAATAATATTCAGAATGTGGAATGCAAGAGGGATGTTCTGTGTGCGTGTGCTTTATCACGAAAGGCGTACGCAAATTAATATTCATAATTGATATAAATGATAATTACGAAGGCGTTTGACTTCATTCTCGATTTACAGTTTTAAGTGGAATCAAGTTATTTAGTTTATTGAAGAGGCAATATGCCTTCTTTGACAGTTAATATCAATATTTCTAGAAATGAAAACCAGCAAGGTAAGCTTTTTCAGTGACTTATAATAAGATTAATAATACTATGAGCTGTTAAGTTCAAACTTGTTTAATAAACTTCTTAAAATTAGCTTTTTCTATACAAATAAGCAGTTATTATTTTACAGAGATCGTGATTAATGAAAGTTTAACAATAGTCCTATTACATAATAAGTGTTAAGTGCGAAAGATTGTTCAAAAGTGGGCGGTAATTGGTTTCTATTTTCGCATCTGATTAGAAGATAACGAGGGAATTAACAAAAATTTAGCACTGAAAAATAACATTATCTAAGGAGTCTTAGCCTTTATTTTAAACAATAATTGTTTACTGAAAAACACACACAGTTCCTCTTACGTAATCAAAATAAAACAAGAGGGAATTATATATAGTTTTTATCTATTTTTATGCTGTATAAATATTCATTAGTCAATTTCAAATTGAATAATTGTTAAAGCGTTACGAATTTCTGTTATAAACGGTTCATTTAACGCCTTCTCATCTTTCGGATAGTAGCGTGAATCTAAACCTTTACCTAATTCTATCTTGGACTTTACTACTGTAAGCTTTGAACAAATACAAATGTTTTAAAAATAGAATTTTAATCAATTTTCATAAGTAATAAGTATTAAAAGTTCATTATATTATCGATTCTGGACCTAGCTTTTGGTTATTTGAGAAGCGATTGGGAGAAAATGCACAAAGGTAGTTTCTTATTGATCTTTAACGTGGAATAGCTGGGTTTTTTTCGTCGTTTTTATTTCAGCTAAATATCTTTTTATGCTCTTAAACTTAAAAATTAATAGGAATAGGACACAGTATTTAATTGAAAATTCACCTGCGGCGATAACCATGAAGAAAAGTAGGACAAAGTATTTATAATATCAAAGAATCATTTTTTTTCTCCAGAAAAAGCTCCACTCAACCGATTCGAGGGTGAAGGAGTAGACTTCAAAGCAAAGTTAATTGGTCATGAAGAAGTAGCCGAACCAAGAGGGGATAAAATTTGTGTAGATACCATGAACAAACTAAAGTTTATAGCCCAGCAGAACCTTAGAGGCTCCGGCATTCATAAACCACGAATAATTTTAAACATAAACCTGACTGGATTACAGATACTGGACGAAAAGTCAAGGGTATTGTTCATAATTTGCAATGACCAAATATAATTTTCAATGAAAAATTTTGTTAACAGGCTGTTTTACATCAGCATCACGTCCACAGAATATCCTTCATATCTCGTGACCCAAATGACGCAAGAGCTTTTGGTTATATCTACGGGAAAGATGATGGTAAACACGAATATTTTGGAATAAAGACTATGCAAGCGGCCGATCAAGTTGTGACTGCTCTAAAAGATTTATTCCAAGTGGTTTATGAATTGAAAAAGAAAGAGATTGAAGGCACAGAAGAGACAGCTGAATCCAAGGAAGAGGAAGAAGCTAGTGTAAAAACCAACAAAACTGATTCAGAAAGCGTGCGTCTTTTTAACAGTTAATTAATCTTAGTTTACATAATTGACTAAATAGCATTGTAATATAACAGGGAGGAGCCAGTGGAACTGCTGATTTGCCCCAAAAGCCTGAAGAGAAGAAAGAAGACAACCTTTTAGACATGTTTGGAGGTCTTGGATTAGTAAGTTATTGTAAACTGTCGGAAAATTTTTAAACATTTTTTCCTATTTCAGAGCAAAGAATCTCCAACCTCGGCCCCTGAACCGTGGAATACTCCAACTCCCCAATCCAATCCCTCAGCACATCCAGCCTTTCCCGTGTCCTTTGATGTAGATAACTTTCTTCAATCAAACTACATTTATTATACAATGCAAATTTGCACTTATTTTATAGGATGATAAGCAGCAAGCAGCAATACAGCAGCAACAGACTCAACAGCCACAGCAGCCACAACAGCAACAAAAACAACAAAATTTGGACCAAGGAATGCCTACGTTCAAGAATCCCCCGCCGTTTGAAAATCTGGATGAAGACGCTGGAGGTTCTGCTCTTGCATTCAAACCAGTTGATTTACCGACCTTTAATGACCCGTTTAAAACCACAAACCCACCTATCCCTTCAAAAGGGACGGGAATTAGTTCCCAGCCTATATTTTCGGCCTCTAGCGATTCGGCTTTTAACGCCTTTCCAGCGCCCACGACTAACAGCATGATAGGTAGCATGAACACAACAAACGCAATGCCCTTTAATTCTAATCCAGCTAGCGGTACTATGAATAACATGAATAACTTTGGATTCGGTAACGCACCTGCATTCGGAGGTCCACCAGCTTTTAACAACACAAGTTTTATGCAAATGAATAACCATCAGCCGTTTCCAGTTCAGCAAAGCGGTCCCCCACCAGTACCACAACGTAATACTACTCAGCCAGAAAATGTATTACAACCAACAGTTGGAGCTATTTCGGATCCATTTTCTTCTTTAGATCCCCTCGGAAAGCCGGAGAAGACTATGTTTAAGAAGAATTCGCCAAGTATCAATGATATGCAAACTAGCACTGCGCCATTGGCTCAAAACTCGGTATTTTCATAACACAATATATCTGTTATTGTTAATTACTTTATATTTTCATTTTTAACAGAATCCTTTCGCCTGAACGACTTCAAAAAAAATTTTACTTCATATCTTTACTGATGATTTAATAAATTAACAATGTAACTTTTAATAATTAAAAGAATTTTCACTGTTACTTTGCATGCAGAATTCAAATAAACAACTCACTATCTTTCAGTTTTGTTTATTTATTCTATCATTTGACAAGCATTAAAGAATAATTTTATTCTCTTAATCCCTTTATGACAAATAATTTGTTCTTAATTTAAGAAATTTTTAATAATTCAACATCGAAAACGAGGGTTGAGTTTGGGGGAATCAATCCTGGGAATCCTTTGGAACCGTAAGCGTAATCTGGACTGCAAGTGAGCTTTGCTCTTTCTCCAACGCTCATTTGCGAAACACCTTCATCCCAACCTTTGATTACTTGACCGCAACCAAGCTTGAATGTGAATGGCTTTCCCTTGTCACGAGAAGAGTCAAATTTTTTTCCATTGGTCAATGTTCCTATTCAAAATGGTTTAATCTTAAAAACTCTGTCTGAATGTATTGCAGATTTCTTACCAGTATAATGAACATGAACTGTCTGTCCCTTTGATGGATAGCTGGCGCCTGAAAAAGACATTTCCGTAAATAGCAAGCAATAGGACAAAAATTAAAATTTGGAAATATCCAAATATAGTGAATTTAATAAGATTGGCGAGCAATATTTACCATCTCCTTGTTGGATTCTTTCAATTTGAACACCCATTGTTTATGACAAAGTAAATTACTATGAAAAGCGTGAGAAAATAGGATAATTGTTATGTTAGTCAGTGAAGCCTTCACACCGGCAAAATGGCTACACAAGTGCTAACCAGAATAAAACGTGTAAAAAAAAATTTTTTTTTAGAACTTCGCTTAAAATATATAAATATTGAGAAGATTTCTATAAAAATACTTTTTCTAAATAATATTCATAAATAATAACATATTTATTAAGATATATTTTTCATAAAACTTTATTAAATCGCGTAGTAATACTATTTTTGAATGAGTAGTTCGTTTTGGCGCGTTTTGTCTTACACATCCCCACTTTTCATTTTGTTCTACTATTCTTTTAAAATATTTTCAGGAAGACATCCTATAGTTGCAGTAGCATTATTTTAATTAAATGAAAAATGAAACTTTTGATCGTAATTGTGATTTTTACCTTGATTTCTCAGTATCAATTTAGAGAAGTTTCAGTTTGTCCTACAAACTGTAATTGCAACAACTTTGCTGTAAGATGTTCGTTTGGATTTCGTAACAATATACCTACAGGAATTTCTGAAGATGTTAAATTATTGTAAGTATGTAAAAGAGAAGTTCGGAAAAGTTTGACTTTGAGGAATGTAGGAAAGTTAGAAAGAGAACTGTTCTCTTTGGGGAAAAGTCAATATTGAAATAGTCTACTTCTCACGTGCGTTGAATGATGATCAAAGCTACTTTTGTGATTACGCGACTTTTTATGAGACCTGAGAACGTTTACTTTTAAAGTTTCACGATAGATGATAGTGCATCTGCTCTTTGGGCGCAAACATTCTATCCATTTTTATATTCATGTTTGTCTCTCAGAGCATCCTTTGATTTAAGTCTGTAACACTTTAGCAATGTCTGCTATATGTCAGAATAGAATACCACTCTTTCAATTATTTCTTAAGTGTAACCTGCTATAAGATGTTTTAAAATCAAGTAAGCAGGCTATACTTTTCGCATTCCCCCTTGTTGATTATTTTTATTTATTACTAAATACTTTTAAGTTAAATAATAGGCCCAAATAATATCAGAATCTTGACAACGTCGATGCTTCTTATACCATACAACATAAATAAGCAAAGAAATGGATTGCAGGTGTCTAATTTATTCATATTTTCAGAGACTTTCGGTCAAACAATATCAATCATCTTTCCATGGAAGACTTTAAACGATTTCGCAATCTTGAGACATTGTAAGCTTTATATATAAATGAATTTTCAGTAATTATAATAAACTGTTGTTACTAAGTAAATTATTTCATTTTTTTTCAGAATTTTAAATAATAACCATATAACCGATTTAGAAGACAATGTTTTTTTAGGTTTGCCCAATCTGAAACACTTGTAGGTTCATTTTACATAGATATCTTTTTACGCTTAACCTTATTATTCTTTTACATATGCTAGACTCTTATATAAAAATAAAATATTAAAAATTGGAACATATGCGTTTTCTGGACTACATAAATTGGAAATTTTACAATTGCATGAAAATAAAATAAACAGTCTGGTACCGGATACTTTCACTGAACTTGTCAAACTTAAAAAATTGTATGGTTCTTTTCTTTTTCTTAAACTTTAGATTTAAAGAAAAATTAATTGACATATAAAATCAAATTTTTTACAGAACTTTACAAAAAAATGCAATCGAACGTTTACCTAGAAATATATTTAAAAATTTGAATAATACCAGAATTAACTTAAATGATAATCCATTATGGTGCGATTGCCAATCTGCTTGGTTGTCTGAAATTGCTATTAAAAATCATAGGATAATTGGTTCTTGTTACTATCCTGAGAAATTAAGGCATATGAAATTAAGTTACATTGACGTGGATATGCTGAATTGTGGTTTGTTGAACAAGAAATAACTATCATTAACTTATTATATTCAATAATTTAATTCTTTCTATTCTATTTACTACGTTTAGAATTTCCAAAAATACTGATACATCCCGAAGAAACCGTAGTAGCGTTAGGAAATGAAGCTTTCTTTCGTTGTAAATCTTATGGAAATCCTCAGCCATATCAGATGTGGTATCATAATGAATTTTTATTGAAAACTGATAAATCGTCAAAATTTTCAATTTTAAATGATGGAACATTAATGATTAGTAATGTTACTCACTCAGATGTGGGATTGTATCATTGTGCTGCTCAGAATGCCGTAGGAAAAATTGAATCCGACGTGGCAAGATTACGAATTAAAGGACGGAAGAAAGAAGGTGCGGAACCCCCTGTTTTTATTGTGAAACCTCAGAGTGTTGAAGTTTTAGCTGGTGAATTCCTTACATTAAAATGTGCAGCATCCGGTAATCCACTTCCTAATATTACGTGGTTTAAAAATGGAGTTGAACTCGTTGAAAGTTCTCGAGTTTCTCACGGAGGTTCAATATTTGCTGTTTTTTTATTATAATAATTTGAATAATAAGTAAACCCTATTTACATCATAAAAAAAAACAGGATCTGGAGTCCTTGTTATACGAGACATAAGGATGGCAGACAGAGCCCACTATATTTGCGTTGCGACAAATAAACACGGTAGTATAAACAGTCATGCGTCTGTTGAAGTTTTTGAGAAACCGACAATAATTAAACGTCCAAGAGATAAAGTATTTTGGTTGTCTATGTAAGAAAGAATTGATCACTTGTTTAAACTTTTTTGTTAGGTGACCAAATTGGGTGAAATGGTAACTTTTCATTGTGATACAGAAGGTTTCCCTACACCTATTGTTGAGGTATTAAAGAATTTCAGAATTTAAGATACTCGACTAAAATCATAATTAAATACTAGTGGACCCTTAATGGCCATCCAACGCCCAGAGTTTTCGGTGATCCTCATATTAGCTTCGAGCTAGATGCTGCTATGTTACGTATTTTAGGCGTTCAAAAGTCGGATTTAGGTGTTTACCAATGCAAAGCGTCTAACTCAGTTGGAAGCGTTGTTAGGAGAGCAACTTTATCTATTAAGGAACCAGGTTTGATTGAATTCACTTGTACCAGTTCTGATTTATCAGAAAATCTTGAAAACGTACGATTCTAGTTCATTATTTAATCCCTAAAAACAGATATTCCAGTTTTTTCTGTTACTCCTTATGATGTTGTTGCACCTCAAAAATCGACAGTGTCTTTCAAGTGTTCGGCAAGAGGATCTCCTGAACCGTATATAGTAATAAGATAATTAGTCTGTTTTTCCTTTTGAAAAAGTTTACTTTCGATAGCTTTGGAAGCATAACAATAGAACAATACATTCATCAAAGAAGTTCTATGTGGAACGTGGACTACTTAAAATAAATGACCTCAGTTTGAACGATAGTGGTATTTACCTTTGCGAAGCAAGTAACGCTGCTGGCTCTATAAATACATATGCTAAACTTTTTGTAACTAACCAAGTCGCAAAAAAGGCTGAAGTGGACACTAAAGTATTAAATTTCACAATAAAAGAGGCTATGAAGAGCGTTGAATCAGCTGTCGATAAAACTGTTGAGCAATTACAATCTGGTCGATCGAGAACACCTAACGAGTTATTGGATTTATTTAGAAGGCCATCTCATCTTGTTAGATCCCTATCTGGGCCTGCTGATATTCTTGAAAGAACTTTGGAAATACTTGTGAATAAGTTAGAGGGAACACAATTAAAAAATGTAACGAATAAAGCAAAAAATCTGGATATAACGGAGGAGAACGTTTTCTTATTAGCAAATTTATCTGGCTGCATGGTTTCATTATACGAACCTAGTTGTTCGAGATTATGCTATCATAACAAGTTTCGATCAATTAATGGTTCATGTAATAATTATCAAAAAACCACATTCGGTGCTGCTCTAACCCCTCTAATACGGCTTTTACCGGCTCAATACGATAACGGTTGGACAACACCTAGAGGATGGAACGAAGAAAAATTACATAATGGTTTCCAATTAGCAAGCGCTAGGGCAATATCTATTGCCTTTACTAAGCATAGGAATACCGTCCATGATAAATATTCTCATATGCTCATGCAATGGGGTCAATTTCTTGACCACGATATAACTTTTACGCCGCAAGCCGCAAGTTTAGCCAGATTTTCTGACGGTAGATTTTGTAATGAAAGCTGCTCTAATGAAGCTCCATGCTTTCCTATAAGAATACCCGATGATGATCCAAGAATACTTAGACGAAAATGCATGGGATTTACTAGATCCTCAGCTATCTGTTCGTCAGGTTTAACATCTATTTTAACCGGTCAAGTATCATTTAGAGAGCAAATTAATCAGATAACAGGATGGATAGATGCATCAAATGTATACGGAAGTGATGAAGATGAGACTAGAATGTTAAGAGATCTTTACTCTGATTCCGGTTTATTAAAAGAGGGTATTTACTTAAATGGAAAGCCTCTTCTTCCATATCATGAAGGTCGGGGTGCTATTGATTGTCAAGTTGACCCCAATAGCGCCCATATACCTTGCTTTCACGCTGGCGATCATAGATCTAATGAGCAGCTAGGGTTATTATCAATGCATACAATCTTTTTTAGAGAACATAATAGAATAGCAAAACGTTTAAAAAGTCTGAATGTTAGATGGGACAAAGAGTTTAGTTTTTATGAAACTAGAAAAATTGTGGGAGCTCTGATGCAGCATATAACCTACAAACAATGGCTACCTAAAGTTATTGGTATTAAGGGCATGAAATTGCTAGGAGAATACAAAGGATACAATCCCACTGTAGATCCGTCAATAAGTAACGAATTTGCAACAGCTGCATTTCGTTTCGGTCACACACTTATTCAACCACAACTGTTGCGATTAAATAGCACATTTGATGAAGACACTCATGGGCATTTATCATTGCATCGAGCTTTTTTTGCTCCTTTTCGCCTTTTAGAAGAGGGTGGTATAGACCCTATTTTGAGAGGGTTGTTTCACTCAAAACTAAAGAGACCCGATGGTGGTCTAAATAAAGAATTAACCGAGAAGCTATTTAAATTTGCGCATAGAATAGCTTTAGATTTATTAGCTCTTAATATACAGAGAGGAAGAGATCACGGCCTCCCACCGTATGTAAAATATAGGGAAAAATTTGGCCTATCTCCAGTGCGAAGCTTCCGTGATCTATCTGAGATAGTGCAAGATCCAAGCATGATAACGCTATTAGAAGAGGTATATGGCTCGGTTGAAAATATTGATTTGTATATAGGCGGCATATTAGAGAAATATCCTGAAGATGCGTTAATTGGAGATACTTTCCTTCATATACTTGTAGATCAATTTAAACGTTTAAGAGACGGTGATAGGTTTTGGTACGAAAAAGAAGGTGTATTTACTAAAGATCAGTTGGCTCAAATTCAATTAACGACACTAGATGGAATTATTTGTGAAAATAGCGATAATATTAAAAACGTTACTAAAGACGTTTTTATTTTCTCGAAAAATTTTACGGATTGTAAAGCCGTACCGAAAATGAGTTTTGAGCCTTGGGCTGAATGTTGTACTGGTAAGTCGATTTAGTAACTTTAAAAACTACTCTGACAGATAAATTAATCAATAAAAATTTCATTTTCCATTTTATTAAGACTGTAAAAACGCGGGACAATTTTTTGTTCAAACTACTGATAAATATTCAACAAAATCAAGAAGAAAACGATCTACTGACACTGTAAACGATGACGAAGACGTGATGGAGACTGTTGATTTGGTTGATAGACGTATTGAGGGGATGGAAATGGCAATGAGCGAGATGAAAATGAGAGTCAGATCAATGTATAGAAAGGTCAGTTTTAGCACAATAGCGCTCTGCTTTTCATATTATTTCTTATACTACAAATCATATAATTTTTTGTTAACACAGTATCAAAACTTAGAGAAACGTCTACGAAGAGCATAATGTAAAACAACATTATCGCAATGCTTGCTTCCTAATATGGCAGTTAATTATATAAATACAGGCTAAGGGAAAAATTTTCGCGTTTTTCTTCACATGCCCTCGAATATGGCTATCCTTTCCTTTGTATAACCTCTTCGAATTTCTTTCAATGTCTTATACTTATTAACAGCAGACCAGGTTTCTATTGAATCGGGCTTTTTGGATAGCTCTTCGAATAGTTGCTGTAAAAATTAATTAGTTTTATTATTCTAACTTTAGATTGAAAAAAAAAACCAACTATAAGTTTCTTATATACGACCCTGTGCTCATCAACAAATGGATTCTTTTCTTCCTCTGGCCTTGGAGCATTTGAATTTGTTTCCAATTGCGCTTCAACAACTGGTTCATAAAGAATAATAAAATTTAGCTTTGTAGTTGTCAATTTGGCGTTTTCACACTTAAAAATACCATACCGCATAAACAAGTTGAAACATCTTCATTAATGTACTCATCAGGTGTAGGTACAAAGCTAGTTTTAGGTTTCTTTGGTCTCATAACAACTGTATAATCTTTTGCGTCAATTGACGACTTATTATCCTCCGTTTCTTCTGTCTTTTCTTTTCCTTCTATATCATAGGGCGTAGGCTCGTTATTTTCTTTTATATTTTTCTCACTTTTCTCACTAATCTCTACACTTGAATTATTACAATATTCTTCTTCGACATCCTCTGTACGCACATAAATGTAAAGGTAACGATTTTAAAAAATATATATACTCCAGAGTATACTACTCAAATAATCACTTTGCTGACTATCAACTCTCTCTTCATCCGAGGTAACACTCTGGTTACACTCTTCAATAGATTTTTCACTATCTCTATCGCATTCTTCTTTGTGTTCCGGAGTTTTTGGTAAACTGATAATATTACAAAGGAAAAATTAACTGTAAATTAATACATTATTCTATAATTCCAACCATGTCTCTACAGCGGTAAATTCATCTTCTGGCTCATTCGTTGTTTCCCGTCGCTTCCTCATATAGAGTTCGTGATAACCCATACATAATAATAATATCTCATTGCTCTTTTTCACAGTTTGGGTAAAAAATATCAGTGTTTGTTGCTATAAAGAGTAAAAGGAATTTTCTTTTGAAATACTATAAAAGTAATATAATAAGAGAGATACCATAGAATTTGGATCGTTGTCTATAGACTTGATAATGAATTTCTTTCCTGTAAAAGATATCGATTGTATTTCTGACCACGGAAACCCAACTTTTGGCGTAGTCCTATAAATGTACACAAACGAAAATCTATTATACACTTCAGAAATGTGTAAGTGTTATAAATGAATTAAAGTAAGATTTAATTGAAATTGGATACTAGCTTGTCGTGCATTTCAAATACGCTTATTCCAACTGCATCAATACCAAGATAGACAGTCGAGCCTCTCTTATTTTTTATTTGGTAATAACTCATTCCGAACGAAGGTAAATCTTGAGCAGCCTTTAAATACTCTATGCGTGCCTGGTCACTGTTCAGAGTGATTGAAATAATAATTATAGATAATCAATTTTAGTTAGCGCCATCTAAGGGTATACCCATTTTATGTTAACGTGATTTACTTATTAAAAATCAAAGCTTATTGAACGGCATAAACTCACGCACTAACGTTTTATACTCTTATCGATTAAAATGAATTTCACAAGGCGGATATGCAATTTATCTGCTTACCTATCAATATTACTATGATCTTGAAATAGTTGCAAGATTTTACTCTGCCATTCTTCAGATATTATAGCATGATAGCCCTCGAAGCTAATTTAACAGGATAAAAAGGTAAATATTGCGTAATCACTTGCATTTTCTATATTATACCTTTTTGGGAGAAAGTAGTTTTCTTTTATTAAAATTTCGTTGAAATTCTTTGCTTCGTTGTAAGGGCCATATTTTTCTATTATCGCGAATGAAGCTAACAATAAAGCATTTTCTAAAGGACACTCCCATAGACCGTTTAAAATATTATCTTTCACGTCTTCATAGTAATATTTCTAATATAAGAGACGATCGAGTATAAAAATACGTTACGTAAAAACTTTGCGTTATTTATTATTTAAATGAGAGATTAACGTTAAGGTGAAATACTAAACGAGAGAAATTGGAGATTTCAGCTCTTCCTGGACATCTTCTGGATAGAATCGAATTTTTAAATCTAAAGTAGGATTTTTCATTTTCATAACATTTTGATTTGATATCTGTGAAATATATGCTCAATAAATTTTTATATGATGAGAGGATAGAGAGAGAAAGATAGGAAGAGAAAGAGGTAAATGTGAGAGTGTGTGCGTGTGTGTATGTGTGTGCGTATGAGTGAAAAGGAAATACAAAAAAAAGAATCAAAAAGAGATCTGGAGAGATCGAGAGAGAGGTATGTATTTAGAGAATAATAAAAACAGTCTATCCAAGTAAAAACGAACCGCTTGATTCAGTTTTATCCAAGACTGCTTATTTCTTGTATCCGCGCATTGTAAAGCGAAAAAACACCTCTCGTGTAGGCCTAGAACTTGTGAGATCTAATAACGATACTTTTATTATAATAAATATTAGGAGAATTTTTTTACGGTTAACCTCATACAGTAATTGATGACCGTTTGTTGAGGGAGAGATAGAAAATTCCAATTCTGTTTCGAGTGCCTTAACCAATATTTTAATCTGAAAAGAAGTCCTCAATTTTTTATAAGATGACCTTTGTTCATCGATTGCATAGGCCTAAAAGACCTTTAGAAGAACAAGAGAAACAATAAATACAAATAACAAACTTGTTTCTCGCTTCCACTTTTCGGCATGACGGAGGAAAGTTTTTTGTAGATTTTAAATGTGCAGGTGGATTGTCGTACAAAACTGACATCGTGTCATGAAAAAGTTTATAAAGTCTTCCCTTAATAAGATAACGCACGTCTCAAACGACAATCAGGTTGTAAAATAGTGACGACGTAGTTTATATAAGAAAGCCTCAGACCAAGTAGTAGGCCTAATCATTCGTAGAAAAGATGAACGACCGACCCGCAAAACCATTGTGAATATCTGCTTTTAGATACGGGAAATGATAGATCGGGGCTTATAAATGTGACTTAATATTATCATTAGAGAAAAATAAATAAAAGCGGCATCTTTTTATCATCAAACTATCGTATAAACTGAAGGAAAAGTTAGTGAACTAGGAAAAATTTCAGCCTATATCGCTCTCTAGAGTTTAAATAGCTCAAAGAGTCAGTAGTATGCTTCGCTTATTTCAATGAATTTGTAATACTATTCTTTGAGCGCCATGTTTAAAACACGACGCATGAAGAGTTTAGTTATACGTCAGTGTGTATAGGACAGCGTAACAGTAGGACTGCATTCGATAGTGAGGTGTCAACTAAATTAGGCCAAATTTTGCAGGTGATTGTTTTTCATGTTATTCACTGCTTGAAAACAGAAAAATCGAAGGGAATTTAATGTCATCCTCTTAATAAATACACATTCTACAGTCTTCAGGCCAAATCGGTAAGTTTTATGAAACAAGAATAGGCTTGCGGAATTGCTTGCCGTAACGCGATGGTACGCCTATTATCGCTCGCGTTTCGCCCCACCCTCCAAATTTATGTCGTCGCATGCATTCCAGATCGTCTATCCTTACTATTAAACCTCATACATGTGAATTCTTACGGCTCTTTACTCCTCAGCAAGCCGAATTTCTCAAATAACGTCGTTGCAGCAAACAGGAAGTGAGCAGTATAGCTCCAAAATGGCGGAAGCACCTTATCAACAACCTTTTGCTTCATATCCAGGAGTTAATCCTAGTAAAGCACAGGAGAACGTAAGCTAATTTTTCAATTGCCTTTTACCTAAATTCCACTATTTTTTGTCGATGTTGTTGGCAAGCTGCGAACGTAGTAGTGAAAGCCTAGTTGTACCATGTGATTTTATAATTTTCATATTCGGATAACAACATAACACTTCGCTTATTTACGTATTTTAAATTTTGAATTTTATGCATATTCAAAGAATATCGTACTTTTTCAAGTGTAGAGAAAGTACAGCTGATGCACAACAGATGCCAAGAGGAAAACCTCGAATAGCACGATGCTACGAAGTAGCTTGGCCTTTCGGATACCAGTACTGTTATTACTATGTAATTCTTTTAGGCTTAAGACTAATGTTGGACAGTTCATAATAATATCTTATTTTAAGCCTAACTGACATTGAGCACGATGTTCCTTGAAATGATTATTACTGAAAGTTCTCTTTTTAAACCAGAATTCACCATCGCAACAATTGGTAGATTCGAACGCAAACGTTCACGTGACGAGATCGAATGCGACTAGTCCTCATTTAGCCTGGTCGCCGCACCCTACATATAGCCACGTCCAACAGGATAGTATGCAGAATCGGGTTATGTCGCCTCACCCGAATCCAGCATCAATTCAAAGAATTTCACCTGTGCCCATGCAACAACAGCGATCTGAAGTAACATCGCCGCATTCAGCTGTGTCACCGTCTCCTAACCAAGCAAATAACGTAGGGGCCCTGCCTCCAGGAGTTTCGAACATTTCTCCTACACCTATAGCAAAAGAAAATGAGGCTATAAACCAACAGCAACAACCTTCATTAGCTGAATGGTTGCATCCTCTTGTTGAAGCGGCCGCTCAAAAGGAATCGCAGATTGTTACTATGGCTCCGACACCGAACTGGAGCTATCCCCAACAGACTTATGCGTCGTATCCCCACGTACCACAGTTAGCAAATAATAGTAATGGGCATACTGCTTTAAAGGTAGAGAGAGCAATACAAGAAATGGAAAAAGCAGAAGGAAAACCTAGTTGTAAGTGATAGAATCAGTTCCTTTCTTTAAATTACTAGATAATTTTTTAACAGATCAGGAAAACGAAGAAGAAGATGATGAGTTAGCAAATGGTGGCATGACTATAGATGGGAAGCAATCTCAATCGGGTGAAAATGGTTCTCAGAATATGGTTGTTCATGCAGGTAATGACGGGAGTCAATTCAAGTGCGAAGAGTGCAGTTATCAATTTAAGGATAGTAAGCAGCTTGATTTGCACAGAATCATTCATTTAACAGCACCTAAGACTCTACCAGCAACAAATATGCCACATGGCATTGCCCTATTAAATTCTATGCAAAATAATGAAGTGTTAGCAAATAAGGTAATTCCTAAGTTTACACGAGAAGTTTAATCAATTCTTGATTGAATTAGGTTATTGGAGATGCCATTCGAACTGTAATGGCCGAACAACAAAGGCATCATCAGCAGCAGCACGTTGCTCCTCAAGTGGCAATAATAAAAAATGATACTTCACCGAATAGTGAAGATTTGAAGATCTCACCGAATAATGATAATAGGCCGTTCAGATGTGAAACTTGTGGAAAGGGTTTCACGCACAAATCTAACTTGGTTTGCCATAAGAGAACGCATAGTGGCGAAAAGCCGTTTCATTGCGATTTATGCGACTTTGCATGTGCACAGAAAGGTAAGAAATTGCCAAAGAAAATTTTTGTGCAACTCATATTTGGTTTTTAGGTTATCTAACGGTACATAGACGGATGCATACGGGAGAAAGACCCTTCAAATGTGAGACTTGCGAAGCTGCTTTTAGTGAAAAATCGCACCTGACGCGCCATCGTCGAACACACACTGGGGAGAAGCCATATAAATGCGAAATTTGCGTTTCTTGTTTTACGCAGAAATCGTCATTAAAAACACATATGCGAACACATACTGGAGAGAAGGCATACGTTTGTGCTACTTGCGGTGTGCATTTTCCTAATAAAATGAAACTGCGTATACATACAATGACGCATGGAGAGAGTGCAGTAAAGCAGGAAGATGCGAATTTCTTGTGTGATATTTGTAAGTTGGGATTTAGTGGCCGGGGTAATCTGCAGAGACATATTACTAGTATTCATCAAAAAGACGCAAACTATGGCGGACCTCATCATGTATCAGCAAGCCAACCCGCTACACCAAGGGCTAACACACCGGCAACTCATCCGGCACCAGTTCATCTGTCGGCTGTATCGTCTGAGAATCATGAATAAAAAGATAAATTAATAGATATACGCATATGAATTTATATATATATATTTACATATATATATGTATATACATATTATATATATCTTTGAAATATATATGTATGTACGTATATATATAAAATATATGTATAAATCTATGTGTATTTAAGTACATAAAAATTGGTATTTCGAAAAATGTTTGGGACTGAGGGCGTATTCCTTTTTTTAAAATGGCTGTTTGTTGTTTGACCGTTGTAAAAAACTGGAACGAATAGTTGAATATAGTTAAATAGTTCTTAAACGAGGAGGACTGATCGAAATACTGATATGAAGAATTGGGAATAGTTGGTTTCGGACGATGGATTCGTTTGTTATTAGAATATTAGCTTGCAATCGCACTTTCAAATTATCATTAGTGTTTTCTCCTGTTCACTTTCTGAGCTAACAACCTTCATAATGAAATTGTGCTTTCATACGCAAACTTTAACTACTGTACAAAATGGGATTAAGGAAGATATTTCAAAGAAAGGTAAACGATTTTTTGCAATTCAATTAACTGATATGTATGACGATTTTCTTTTCTTCTTTGAGTCTGTGATGCGTGGAAATGTTGATAGCGTTAGTATTTTGTATGCGTTCTATATAAATAGGAAAGATGTTGGTCTCTTAAAAATACGAATTTGAAATTCGTTGTTGTTTGCCATATTGAGAGTGTTGTTTGTAAAGCATAGGCTGGGAATGACGCGAGCATTTTTTTTATTGAATTTTAATCGAATGCTCGTTTTAAAATACCGGATATTTTCGGAATGTTTGCAGTTTGTTTTTCAATATAGATTATATTCTATATAAATTCATTAATCACGCTGTTTGTATCATATATTTCATATGCTTTTGCGGCAAATTTTTGCAGTGAGACACTGTTTTGTATACGAAGCTTGTCTTATAGTGAATGGTTTATCCTATAGTGGCTTAAATAATTGCTTGTAGGAGTCATTTCTGGGGTTAACCTTACCATTTATCTGCAGTGATATATCTTTCATGTATATATATATATATATATATATAAATATATATATATATGTATACATATATATATCTGTATCTGTATTTTATATATAAATATATATACTGTATATATATACATATATACATATATATATATTTACTTGCGTTGTATAAAATTACAATGATTAATTTCTTCAATGCAGTTATGATCGTTGTGTAAATTAAAACACAATTGCACACTGCGTTTCACCTAAACAATTATATAAGATAATCAAAAATTTGGGGTTGGTGTTTAATTTGAACATTCTCTACAAACCTGCATCTTTATGTTTATTATTTTTTTTTTGTTTCGCGATTAACTACGCGCTCGTAAAGAGTAATTTTATCGAATATTACGTATTTTAAAAACGACGTTTTACTTTCGTGGTATGAGTAACAAAAATGTTACATTTTTCACTGCTTTTTTTGTTTATGTATGCATTATATTGTATAATGAAAATAAAATGAAATAAAAATAATATATTTTTATCCCGTCTCCGGCTTGATGTCGGATAAGTATCATCTGCCTCTTATTGTGATCTTGTAGCTTTTACGTTTTATTTTTTATTTTATCCGAATACTTTGATTATACAGGGTTGTCTGTGTTTTTCTATTGAAAATCAGCTTGAAAGTAAACACTCCCTCTCATTCTAATTGGTTATCTAATTTCAATTAGTACTTTTTACATACGTTTATGAATTGGCCAAAGTTTTATAAAGAAACCCACGCGTCTTACCGATTAATGGCTTCAGACTAGAGGGTACTATTAGGCTGCACAAGTTCTTGCACTCACTTTGAACACAATCATATCTTGTCTTTCTCTTATTATAATTGCAAGAGTATATTTTCACACTAATGGGTTTCCTTCTTAAGACAATTAGATTTCATAAAATCGTTTAGTATAATAAAATTTCTGTACTAGCTTACAACTCTTATAAGAGAATAGAAAATATAAACTGTGAAGTTGTTAAAAATAAATACTATTTAAATTTGGTTGCCAATTTCCGATGATACTTTCACAGAAACAAACGAGCAAAAGCATAAGAGCTGTTAAAATCTTCCATTTAATTGTCACCTATTTCAAAGTAGCTTCAATTAATATATACATCTAATCTATGCGTAAATTTCTACAAACAATACAGCTGGAAAGAAACATTCACGTAGTTTGTTCTATCGCCTTATAGATGCAACCTTTTATAAAGAAACATTTAAGTTCACAGTGTAATGCCAAATTATGGTGCAACCTAGCAATTCCTTAATCGCGCAATTGGTGAATTTCTTACTGGGTGGGTCAGAATATGAAATTCTACCCGAAAGAAATTATTTGAGCGACATGTTGAGTAAGGGTCTGCTGTTCCTAACGCTATTTATGATTTCTATGTGCTCTTCCCAAAAATCAAAGTGTACCGAGGAAACTTGTTATCACCTGATAGAAGAGGCTTTACCATGGGAAGAAGCTAGTCAATACTGTAATGCTACGTTTTCGAATGGAACACTTATTAATCTCAGAAACGATAAAGAGCATGAATTAATTTCACAATTACTTGCAAACAATTCAGTGGTTGAAAGTTGGATAGGACTGACAGGAGAAACTGTTGAATGGGAATGGACAGGAGAAACGATTCAATCAACGTGGACTAATTGGTTCACAAATGAACCAAACGAAGATAATAAATGTGGTTACATGTCACCCTACCTTCATGATTTTGATGACGTAACCAATCAAAGATTTGGTTATGGAAAGTTCAAAACGGCCGTTTGTGCGACTAATTTTCAATTTCTTTGTCAATTTAAATATGACGAAGAAAAGTGTAATGAGATATCGGGGATGTATTTTCATGACAAATGCTTTTACTTGTATAAAAATAGGGAAGATATCAAAAGTTGGCATGATGCAAATACCTATTGTAAAAGAGATGTGTAAGAAATTTCTTTCATATAAGAAACATTTTTCCACTTTGTTTTTATCTTTTTCTAGAGGAGGTCGATTAGCGACGGTTAATTCGTTTAGTAGCGTTCAAAACGTTATAGTTTATATTAGAAAAGCGAATTTGCAGCTATCGAATGGCATATGGATTGGTCTTTCTAGACAAAAATGGTCTTGGATAAACAGAGGTTTTTTCCCATTAATAAACTCTATAGTATATATATATTAATGTATAAATGCCACTTTTTAAGGGATTTTATAAAATATATTTTCACTAATCACGTTTTAATATGACGATGAGTCATATATACTTGGTTTAAGCCTGCAAAATCATTCTGTTATATTATATATCCACTTCATACCTATATAGTTACTATTATAAGGATTATAATAAATTTCTTTTTGTTATAGGTCATGATGAAATTGGGAAATTCAGATGGGAAGATTCCTCACCTAATAACGACGGTAACTATGTTATAATGAGAAAATTCAGTGGAAGCTACTTATGGCAAAATGTAAAGAAAACAAACCCTTATAAGTTTATTTGTCAATCAGTTAAAGAACTGTCAAAGGACCCTGATGAAAGTGACTTTTGGTATTGGTTTAAAAGTACTTTATTCAGTTCCATCAAATAATAAATTACACTAGTATGTTCATAAGTAATAATATATGTTTTTCTTCTCAGTTGGCTGCATTATTGCTGGATCAATTTTGATTGTGGTTTTGATAGGCATTGCTATCTATTGTTTAAGAAGGACTATGAATGCTGATAAAAGGGATGAAAGAAAAGCAAAATCAAATAGAAAACCTTTGCCGCCCCGTAATAAACCTGCAGCTTCCATATCTGATCGATTGACACCTGCAGATCGGATCGAGGAAAGACGTACGGTAATGGTACCCCCAAGACAGCATATAACTCCCAAACCAAAATCTAGGTCGAAAAATACTGAAACATTAAAAAAAGAACAAAAACAAAAAGAAATTCAAAACGACAAAATGAGTAAATTGTTTAGCATTCAAAATAAACTGCGATTAGATAGTTCGCCGAAAAGAGAACAATATGGTTCGGTCGTGACCGGTTTTCCTCCATCAATTACAAGGTCGAACGAAGGTAGTAAACATGTAAAGGAAAAAGAGAAGAGTAGTGCAAGTGTGAAAACTGTTATTTCATCAAATCGATCGGCCAATAATAAACCTAAATTAGCAAAATATGGAAAACCAATTATAACCTACAATAGTGAAAATCGGGGTACTGGCTTCTGGCAATGGGATATGAAGAGTAAACCAACAGTATCAAAGCCTACTGGAAAATACAAAATATCAGCTAGTCAGTCGACAAGCGGATACAATAGCCGATAATTGATTATTGAATTTCTTAAAGATTTTCGAAAGTTAACGATTTCATAAACTTTTTTATATCGACAGATGCCAAAAGACAGTCGATTTTCATCTTCATATCTTTCTGCTTTGCAAAGATATTTGAGAACTTACTCCTTTAAAGATCACCATAAAAAATCCAAAAATAACCTTACGAAATATGATACAGTATAACTAATTGAAAATTTATACCAGTTTTTAACAAAAAGAAATCAGGAATACAATCTATAATATATGCTGTTAATATCTAATATAAAATGTAAAGCTTATGCTATTATTAATTTTGAACACTTGACAAAAATTTACTTAACCAATTTCCTACATAAACACCAAAATGAGATTTTGAATATAGATTTAATCTGTTTGTTTACTACAGTAAGATATTTATGGATAGGCATATGCTTTAAGGTTAATATGTACAGTTATACAGTATATATATATTTATTATATACATTCAGTATTTACTTGTTAAGTATTATATAACGATAAGTAGATTTCCTTTTTGTGTCTGTATATTTAGCATTTAATCTCGAGTCAACAATTAAATCTCTTTCATTTGTTAATTAATCAATCAGCCGATAAAGCGGTTACAAATAAGGAGAGAAAAAGAGAAAATGTCTTTTACCTAATTGATTATACAAGGTCGATAGTAAACTATCGTGATTTTACATTGTGATAGCTTTTTATTAAAGAATAATTATCAACTAGAAATAGCCTCGAAGTATATACTGTTGAACTTTTCCTACATTTCCAAGTAATGTATAGTCACTTGATATACGGAATAAAATTACTTTTTTTCTCTCTTTAAATAAGCATACATAGAAACGTTTCCAGGTAAAGAAGCAATAACTGTATTCTCAAATAACGCTTAGGATCTAAATGTCTTAGTTTTTTATAGCTGTACTTTGATGCTAATGAATTTGATTTCTATTCCGTTAAAGGATTAATTATGCAATTAAGAGGGTTTAGTGCACCCCTAGCCTTTTTTATAGAATTTTTACGAGTGTGACAGAAACCTAAGTGTCAGGTCCAAGTTGGATTTTTAATGAATAGACGTGATTACAATTGTTCTATACTTTGCACTTTGGCAGTTTAACACTATACACTGTGAAGTTAATTATTACTATTTATATACATTTGTTTTGTATGTAGAATTGCTATATATTTAAAAAAGCCATTATTTATTCATAGTATTTAGTCTAAAAGTCAAAAAAAAAAGGAGAAACATTTCATAGTTACATATGCATAAACATATCTATTACGTAAAAATAATAACAAAATATAGCAACATAATTTAACAACTTGACTTTGTTTAATACCATTTTAAATATATATTTATATATATATGTTATTCATGTTAAAATTAAAGAAACAAAAAATTCACTTTATGGTCCGATTTTTCACATGAATTTATTGTATTTACTTCTTTCTTTTCAGTTTTTGAGTTTTGAAACGTTTCGAGAATTGTAAGTAGAGTCTTTTTTATTCTTAAAGCTGATAGTCTTGCACCGGAATTCTTGTGCCAACATTCACTGACGAGATCTGTGAATTTTCGGAGAGCAAAGTCACTCTTCCACCTAATAGACAATAATTATCTTATTAATCATTGAAAAAGACGGAAAGTAATTTAAAAGATAGAGATTACCTTTCACTAAAGTTGGGTCGTTTATTTAATGTGCACACGGTATGTTTCATCTCCTCGATAGGAGGGTCACTTTGAACGGAATCGTAGTATGGCAGTTCATGCTTTTTGTGAAAAACAAAACCATCATCATCCATTCTAGAAATCAACTCCCAAAATACTAATGCAAGCGAGTAAATATCAGCTTGTCGAAAGCAATCGAAATTTGTATGATTAAAGCTGTCTTCCAGCAGCTCTGGAGCCATGTAACGCTTTGTGCCAACTCGACAACCTTGTGGGGGTATGTTTACATTTTTGGTTTGACTATCATATGTCACAGCAAGACCCAAATCGGCAATACAGCAGGTTCTTCCATCTTTCTTCACTAATATATTTCTTGACTTAATATCTCTATGAGCAATAGCCGGTTTCCTATATTCTTTATCTCCCATTGATTCGATTTCCATATGCAAATGCATAAGTCCGTTTGTAGAAGAAAGAGCCATATAGAACATATCCTCTTTTGTGACAGTTTGATTCTGAAGAACATCGAAAAGAGATCCCAGACTATGGTATTCCGTGACAAGCCAGAGTTGGGTAACAGTTCCAGTATCTTTATTATCACTGGCGATAAATCCAAGTATATTTTCGTGCCTTATCAGATTAGAGCGATATATTTCAGTCTCTCTTCTCCATGAGACTTCATCTCTACTTGAAAATATCTTAACAGCAACATCGTCCGATCTCCACGTCCCCTTGTAAACCTCACCAAACTTTCCCTTACCAATACATTGAATTAATGTGATTTGTCTAGAAAATGTTCTTTGAACAAGTAATGGAAGACCTGATCCACTACCACTTTCAGTCATCATTTCTGCCAAAGTATCTGGGGTATCAGGTATCTGGAACAAAACAGAGATAATTATGTTATTTGAATACTTTTTTAACTTACTAAAGTCTGCTCTTGATCGACTTCTTTTATCTTCACGTTCTTACTATTCTTAAATCTACACTGCAATACTTTGACTATGGCAATAGAGATTACGGCTGCACCAAAAGCAACGGCAATGGCTATGATAACAATGTAAATCGGAAAACTCTCGCTATTTTCTGCAATGATAAGAAAAAGTATTAATTTATGCAAATATTAAAATTAGGTTTCATCCCACCCGTTGGCTTTGGTGTAGTATTGATGTCTCGAAGTTTTATCTCTATTTTATCATTGCAGAAATCTTCTGTTGCACAGCATTTACTAACTCTTTTATCTGCCTTAAAACTCACAGTGTTGCAGTATTCACCAATTATCATGCCAATATGATTCTTTTGGCAACCATAATTTTCGTATTCTTTACTGTAGGAAGGTAGGTAATATAAAATAATTTTATTTAAAATAAGTCACGTGACATATAGGTCAAGGTCTTGATAGCTAAGATAATAACATATGAATGATATATGTATATACACTGTATATATATATATATATATATATAACATATATATAAATATTATACGTGTGAATGAGTGTCAACATCTTTCATTGAATATAGAAAATCGATTACGTAATTTAACTACTGAAAAGATTAAAAAATTACAGTAATGAGGAACAACTGCTAAGTATAGGATGGATATTAAATATTTATTTACCCATAAATTTTAATGATATTTTCATAGTGGGTTTCTGTCGGTTGAGCTCTATAAATGCTTTTATAGCAAAATCCATCCTCTATTTCGCAAGTGTCTCCTTTGCAATTTTGGCCATTAGCTGGAAAACCGTATCTTCCTTTGCATCTACATTTTATAGCTAGAAAACAAACTTTGTTATGATCAAGTTTATAGCATTTAAAATCATCTTACCAAAAAGACTATTTGCCAAGGAAAATAAGACGAGTAGGGCTAACTTCATATTTTTAATTTCTATAGGTTGCCAGACATAGACTATAAATATTCATGCGCTGCCGTCTGGAATTTTTTAAAACAATTTTTCCGTGAATTAATTAAGAAAACTCCAATAAAAATTTATAAACAATCAGTTCCTCTTCTTAGGCTGTGTGAACGTATAAAGTTCAGATAAAAAAATTACGCATAAACATCGGACTACGTTTCTTAGTCCTGGAAATTGTAGTCCCGCAGAAGGAACGGATACAGATGGCGCTTTACTAAGGGTCAAGGTGACGGCCAGTATTAGTCCTAATTACCTGCTATGCTTAAATAAATAATAAATCAATCGTTTTATGAGCCTATGCATAGTAGCGTTCAAAATTTGAAGCAGCAGCTTTGGTCTACTCTTTGGAAGTTTAACCAGAAAGGTTTACAATTCATTAGATCAGTTTACTGATAGTGATGGACAACTGTCTTTAAATTTTGCTACGAATGAAATTTTCTCAGCTGCTTTTGTCTCGGAATATATATTCTAAACCAATCAAATCATAATGAAGACAATCTTAAAAGTTGCATTTATAATTTTTACCAGTATTAGTCAAAGTTTTCAAGACTTGAGCAAGGATCTTACAGGTTTGATTTTTTATATTTCTAAATACATCCATCACTTATCATCGGCTTTCTTGGTAATCTGTTAGAAGCCAAGTTCCCAAACTGCTATCCGAATTACTCCATCTGTAAAGGGTATCCAAGATGCATTCTGATGAGTCAATTGTGTGATTCAAAACCCCATTGTCCAAATGGTACTGATGAGGGTCCTAATTGCAGTTAGTAAACAATAACTATAAATGTAATTACCTAATTCAAGGTCAATTGCAGCTGATTTAAAAGAAAGTCCATTACTAAATTCATCTACTTGCCTATTTCAAAAGTCATCAGATAGGGACAAGATCTGTAATCTACCCGATCGTCTTAAGTCTAGTACAATGTGTAAGATATATCATAGCAAACCACCAATTTGTTTTTGTAAAGGTTCCAGTTTAAAAGAGTCCAGTTGTAATGGTAAGTATTATTACAAAATATTGAATGATAATCGCATAATTATTATTTAAATATTTCATATTAATTCTCTTTGAATTAGATTTTAATAAGTGTGACTACGAAGGAACCTGTGACCATTATTGTGCGAAGGATGGTACCAATTATCGTTGCACTTGCCATAAATCGTTTAAAACAGTAGGCCGAGATTGTCTAGTTAAAGGTTGGTACATAAAATATGTTTTTAATTTCAACTTCTTTAACTAATTATTTATTGTGACTAAAAAAAAAACAGAGCCAAAAGACAAGGCAACCGGATTCATTGTTGGTAGTCCCCGCTCAATTATATTTCTTAAGAAAGATTTTACACGTAAATAATGAAATATTTAAATAATTCGTCTATTAATTATCTTTATTTAATCCACAGAAAGCACAAAAAAACTGTCAAAACGAAAATCAAATTCAAAAATAATTGTTATATACAATGAAAACAAAATCTGCCATGTAATATACATTTACAATTTATATATATATATATATATACATTATATATATAATATAGTAAAAACATGTTAACTTACTAAAATTATAGGAAAAGATACCAGCCCATCGAGCATTACGACAATTGCGACTGATAATTGCGTGTGATAAAATTAAAAGGTTGGACAATGGCGAAATTAAGTTGTCGTATGACGAACAAATACCAATATACGGAAAATGGTTTTTTGGAAAAAGTAAAGATTTTATTGATATATTCTTACTTAATCTAAAATGATTTTCACTTCTAGTTTTCTTATTGGGTTACGATTGGATCGGTAAAAACTGGATAATCTTAAGATATGCGAGATACAAGTTTGCAGTAAGCCTTCTATTTTGTTCAAAGAATGGAAAGGTTTGCAAAGTCACTTCAACTCATAGAGGTTTAACTCTTTGGCTAAAATGGAGGAATGGTAATCAAGTTGATTCTACTGAAGGGTATAAAATCAATAAATTTATTATATTGATTACTTAAATGTATAGTATATTAATTTTTTCAGATGTCTTTTCATGTTAACGAGATATGGATTGAACCGAGTAGAGTTTGCCTCTAATAAAACAACAACAATTGTTAAATGGTCAAAAGTTGAAAGCGATAGTGTTAAAGGTTTAACGCTGGATATGGTCAAGAAACATATCTATTTTACTTTTGCCAATAATTTATATCGATGTAATTACGATGGAAAGAGTTTACATAGGATAACATATTTCGAGAAAAAACTTATAAAACCTTCCTTACAATTCTTCAATTCGACTATGATTGTCTTCGATTTTGGTAGTCAAAAATGGTATAAAAAGGATTTGAGAAACTTTTTATATCAAACAGAAAATAAGAATTTTGAATCAGTACCCATACCTGAATCTTTAAAGAATGAAAGATATTTGTACAGTTTGCAAGGTTTTCACGAAAGTTTACAACTTCAAACGAAAATGGAGAATTGCAGTTGCAACACAGATTTAATAGTTCCGTACAAAGATCCTAAAACTGAAAATCTATCGTGTAAATGTATGTGTCAAGAAGATTTCAAAAAAACAGAGAATAATACCTGTATTGAATATGAAGTAGGTCAAAAACCATTTGTTTCTGTATTCTCTTCTGATGGCTCTCTGGTTAGTTATACGTTAAAATCCTTTGAGATAAACCACTCAAAGCGAGTTTTACCTAGTTTTAAGTCTGATGGCTCACAGAATATGATTCATACTTATCATATTTATTGGAAGGAAAAAATCGTTCTTGGCGTAAACAATTCCGAAGTACAATTTACTAAATTTGAAAATAACAATGGAATAGCTAATTGGAAAAAAATGTCAACGTCTTCGTATGATCTTAGATCATCTTGTTTTGATCAAAGAACTGGAAATCTTTATGTATTTCGTAGCTATTACGTGGATATTATTCCAATAATGGGTAACGCATATAAAAAGACAATCAAAATTAATTCTCATTTTATAATGGCGTCAACAATTAATTATAACGATAACAAATTGGAATTCTTGGATATGGATAAACATACAAGCGCTACGTTAAACGTTTGTGATTTATTTGCTAGAAACTGCAAAAAAATAGACTCTTTCGGAAGAAATTATGAATATCCTGTTGATCTCTTTCATATCAAAGATCGATTCTTTATTATATATGACAAGTTTTTTGAATCGTTAAGCTCTAATCAAAAGGGTATTAGGCAAAATGTAAAAACTTATAAATTGTCGAAGAGTCCCCTTAAGAGTTTATCAATATCCTACATCAAGAATCAATATTATATTATCGCTTCTTTGGATGGAATGTATAAAATATATAAAAATGGACAAGGATACGAAAGAATCCTCAAGCCAACTAAGGATGATGTTTCAAGAGTCATTCTAACTAATCCAGGTAAAAATTATTAATTGATAGGATTAACAGATGCTAATTACTATTGTGAATTATGTAGAATTATATCAAGATAATCCGTGTAAAGATGCAAACTGTTCCGAAATTTCCGTACCACTGGAATCTGGAAAGTGTGAATGCGCTTGTCGAAATTTTTATAAAATCTCACAAAAAGATAAGAAAACGTGTGAAAAGATGGAAATTAATGGTACAATAGACTGTAACAAACCATCTTTCCGCTGTACAAATAACTATTGTATAGAGCAAAGGTAAATTTACTACTTTATCGTGTTGATTTGTTATTAAATATTTGCTATTCATAAACTTGTTTGATAATCTATTTATACTTTATTTATTTAGCCAAAAGTGTGATGGGAAACCGGACTGTGAAGATGAAAGTGATGAATTAGAATGCGGAAAAAGTCTATGTTCAGCTTCTAAAAGATCATGTGGAAAAAACTTATGTATTCCAAGCGATAAATTTTGCGATGGAAAAGCAGACTGTCCAAATAATATAGATGAAATGCATTGTAATAAACCCCCTTGCTATAGTCATCAATTTCACTGCACATCCGACAACTCATGCATCCCTCATAGCTCGGTTTGCGATTGGTACTCTGATTGTTCAGATGGAGAGGATGAAAGAGCTAATTGTACAAAATTGAATGATAAAAAATGCCAATTTGCATGCGATGGTCACACAACCTGTTTAAAGCATGAACAGGTTTGCGATGGAGTCTTTCATTGTAGAGATGGACAAGATGAAGCGGTTTGTGGTGTCAAGAAAACGTGCTCTGCTGATGAGTTCTCGTGTTTTCCAACTAATATCTTGTGTATAAATTGGACTCTGGTATGTGACGAGATCAGCCATTGCCCTTTTTCTCAAGATGAAAATTTGTTAAATTGTCCAGCTGTGAAGAACAATAAAACTTGCCCTGCTGAATTCTTTACTTGTGGAAAAGATAGACAGTATTGTATTCCTCTTTCACTGAAATGTAATGGTATTAAAAATTGCATCGACGGAGAAGACGAAAAAGGATGTCCTAAAGATGATGATGACTGTAATAAGCCATCTAACAGATGTAACGGTCGTTACGATTGTCCAGATAAATCCGATGAAAGTAACTGCAATCAAACAGTTTGTGAGAAACCGAACTATAAATGCCTAAACAGTACAAAATGCATTAAATATACGAAAACTTGCGACCGACGAAGTGACTGTCCTTTAGGTGACGATGAAGGGGGTTTATGCAAATTTAAAATGTGCTTGTATAACAGAATAAAGTGTGAAGGGGCTTGTTTTAACTCACCTAAGGGATTCCAATGCGTTTGCCCGCCTGGCATGGCGTTACTAGACGGCTCGGATTCCAGGTGTGTGGATAACCGCAGTTGCTCAGATTATGGTACATGTTCTCAGATATGTACTAAGAAAAGACAATGTAGCTGCCTCGATAATTACACTCTGGACCCATTCGACAACTTCACATGTATACCATCTAGCGAAGACACCGCTAATGTCATTTACAGTGCAGGGCACAGTATATTTTTGTACAATGGAGATGTTTTAAATCGTAGAAAAACAATTGTTGCGTCAGGAAATTCAACTCGTTTTGAGTTAACCGACGGTTTACAGTCGATAGTTGGTTTAGATTATTACGATAATAAGACAGACGGATCGATGCAACTTTTTTTCACCGATATTGGAGAGAATTCAATCTTCAGAAGTATTTATAAAGACAATGTCAGAGTTGAAATTAAACCTATCATAAGCTATGGTTTAACGACAGCAGAAGGAATTGCTGTTGATTGGATAAATGAAAAAATATATTGGACGGATGCTGCCTTAGATCAAATTCAAGTTTCAAATTTTAATGGAGATTTTCAAATGGTTCTAGTGTCAGGTACCATTGGAAATCCGAGATCAATAGCTGTCTCACCCAAAAAAGGCTATTTATTTTGGACTGACTGGAACAGACATTCTCCAAGAATTGAAAGATGCTCTATGGATGGTTCTGACAGGATTTTTCTTACCAACTTGAAAGACATGGGTGGTAGCTGGCCGAATGGATTAACAATTGATAATACAAATGATAGGATCTATTGGGCGGACGCACACTCCCATTCGATTTATACATCAGACATGGATGGGAAGAATGTTATTCCAATCCTTACTAATCATCCTCTTTTGACCCACCCCTTCTCTATACACGTTTTTGGTTCTTTTGTCTTCTGGATTGATTGGGGTACCAGTTCTATCTTGAGAGCGAATAAGTTTGATGGTTCTGACGTCTATGTTGTCCATCGTATTAAACGCCGTCCGTACGGTTTAAAAATCTTTCATCCCCTCGTTCAAGAACCTGGCGAAAATCCCTGTAAAGATAATGGGGGTTGCGATGAAAATGCCATTTGTCTGCTGAAACATAACAATAAAACTGGCCTTAGCCAAAAAAGCTGCAAGTGTCTAAACCTCTACGAATTCTCTGAAAGTTCTAAAAAATGCACTCGTAAGATTTCTTTATTAGGTTTGATTTACGATTTTATCTTTAATATATTACTTCTATAGGTATGACTGAGTTTTTACTAATGGGAGGACAAATGAACATAAGGGGTGTTAGTTCTAAAAAAGCATCATCAAACGTCTTCCCTTCAATTCCTGGATTCTTCGTAGTAACGTAAATGTTTATACAGCAATATTTAAAATTACTGTTTACATTTTTTTATTATTATTTTTTAGACCCAAATCATTGGTTTATGACTACAAACAATACAAAATCTTTTGGGCGGATATAGGATTTCCCGGTCGATTATTTCTTTTGAGATTATTCGATATAAAAACAAACACCAGTTCAACAATATTCGAATCTGGAAGTTATAAAGTAAACGACCTAGATATTGACATCGAATCCAGAAATCTCTATTTTATAACTTACAAGTACGCAATATATTTCCCGTTTTGATTCGATAAAAATTTATTTATTTATAGCGAACGGGCTGGAGAAGGAAGCATCCGAATTATAAATCTCGATCGGAATTATTCAACTGCGATAGTTAATCATGCAAATGAAGAATCTCAAACCTTTATACCAGAAAGTTTGGCTATTGCTCCCGTTTCTAGAAAACTATATTGGATTGAGCAGAATTCAGCTGATATTCATTCTTCAAACCTTGACGGAACAGACTACACATCTATTCGTGTTAAGAATAATACTTGTTTAGGGAATCCAATCCAAATAGCTTTTGACAAATTTACTCAAAGGTTATGGTGGCATACGAACGATAATAAAGTTTCCTACTTATGTTCCTGTGATGAAAAAGGAGAAAATTTCAAGGCTAAAGTTTTGAAGGTACCGCTTAGTTCTTTTACAGTTCAAGAAGACGTTGTCTTTACGGCGGCAGGACAAAATATTTATAAATACGTTGAAAATAAAAAAGCTAGCTTTGAAAATGCTACTAGCACATTAATCAGCCTTTTTTATCATAAAGAAATGAAATTACCACCTAGTCCATGTAAAAGCAATCCATGCAGCCATATTTGTATTCCAGTGCAGACTGAAAAAACCTATGTCTGTAGGTGCAGTGAAGGTTACGAACTCGTAGATGGCAAGTGTACATTTATAAAAAGTTTTCTTATGACTGTAACAACGACAGGAATAATGAGTTTGAGTTTGGGAAGAGATTTGAAAAGTTCTATGCCCATATACAGCTCATCTCATTCCATTCAATGTGCTGCGTATGACGTTAAAAATAATTGGATATATATCTTTGATCAAATAACAAGATCAATTAAACGGTACAAAACGGATATGTCAAAGGAAGAGGTTGTGATCTCAGATGGCCTTGGCTACGTAGTAAATATGAAGTACGATTGGACTACCGATAATCTATACTTTTATGATAGAGGATACGATGTTATTGAATTAATTCACATTTCAAAAAATTTAACAGAACTCAAAAGATTTGTCATCTTCTCTCAAATGAACTTTCATTTGAGTTTTGCCTTAGATCCTATCAACGGATTCATGTATATTAATCAGAGAAGTGTCAATAGGCGAAATAGTATCAGCCGATATACTTTGGATGGAACGAATAAAGTAGTCTTAAGGAGTGAAACTAAAAATGATAAATCACAGTTTTCCTTGGCTTACGATAATAATCGGCTTTTCTTTTGCGAAAATAATGGAAAATCAATTGTTATGATGGATCTAAATTCAAATATTACAACAACTATTGTTGAGAATCCTTCTGAATTTTGCAATGAATTTGATGTCATGAATGATAACTTATATATCTTTAATTCATCAGATAAAAGCCTAAGCAAAATAAATATAAAAACAAAGGAAAATACAGTCTTAAAGAAATTTTCGGATATTAAATCGAATTTAATGCCACAACTGGTGATTTTTGATAAATCCAAGCAATCAGGACAGAGCTCTTGTTCGAAATCTACTGAAAAGTGTCAAGGAACATGTGTACCTCTAAGTAAAACGAAAAAAAAATGTATATGCTCATTTGGTATATCCAATGGAACGGAATGCAACGAACCCGATTCTTATTTAGCCTATGCCAGTGACAAATACATAAAAATAGCTCATACCCACATTTCTGAACATAGTAGTCAACACGCAGACGACAAAAAAATATCTAATGATACAGTTATGAAGGCAATTGTTGGTTTGACGGCTGATGTAAAAAATGAAGTATTTTACTATACTGACAGCGTTTTTGCCTCCATATTTTCTATTAATTTTAATGGATCAAACCCAAAAAAGCTAATGTCATTCAGTAGCTACTCCGATGGAATTGCCTTTGACGAACTTAATAAGTTTTTGTATTTTACAAGTAACTCACAATCCAGTATATTTACATACGATTTACAAAAGGGAGAAGATTACACGATGCTCATTAGACTTGGTAGAGGAGATAGACCAAGAGCAATAGTTGTCGACCCTTGCGTGAGAAAGTTATTCTGGACAAGTCTTAGAAGAGAATCGCCAAGTATTCAATCTTCTTCTCTTATTGGATGGAATAGAAAAGCAATTATTTCAACTAAAATTATAGCCCCTAATGGTCTAGCCATAGATCAAAAAGCCCAGAAACTCTACTGGGCAGATGCAAAACTTGATAAAATTGAAAGATGTGACTATGATGGTCTTAATAGGGTTGTTATTGTTGCTAGTGGCATATATCATCCATTTGGACTTACTACACTGGGAGATTATCTGTATTGGACAGACATTCAAAAGAAGGCTATCGTACGGGCTAACAAATATACAGGCGGTGAAATGAAAGTTATAAAAAGAGATATGTTTCACGCTCCTCTTGGAATAGTTGCCATTTCTGAAGATATACCAACCTGTAAGGATCACCCTTGCTATAAACACAACGGAGATTGCGAGCAAAATTGTAATACACTTGCTACTGGTGAAGTACAATGCTCTTGTTTTCCAAATTACAAATTAAATAAGGATAACAAAACTTGCTCCTATATCGACCGTTCATCAATAACTTGTGACAATAAGAGTCAATTTCGTTGTCTGGAGGATAAAAAATGTATTGCCTTTGAGGCAACCTGTGATGGGGAAAAACACTGTTCAAATGGAACTGATGAATTATATGATTATTGCCACAATCGACGCTGTCCATACGGATATTTCCTCTGCAATAATACACAATGTATCAAATCAACTCTTGTCTGCAATGGTGTAAAGAACTGTAAAGATGGATCGGACGAGTCGATATGCCCAGTTTTTAATGAAACAGCTTGTGGACAAGATAAATTTGCGTGCGCAAGCGACGGAAAATGTATCTTAAAAAAACATGTCTGCGATTCTGAAAGAGATTGCACGGATGCATCCGACGAAACAAATTGTCCTTTCATTACGCATTGTGTGAAAGACTCTAAAAGAATGATAAAATGTAATGGAACAACAGCTTGTATACTACCGGAATGGAAATGCGATGGAGTTAACGATTGTTGGAATAATGAGGATGAGATAGATTGTCCTCGAATACCTGAGAGACAGATATGTCCTGAAGGCTGGATACCATGCACTAATAGTACAGGTTTCTGTCATATGAAACAATGGTCAGTTGACGGTCAAATTGATTGTCCTAATGGAGAGGATGAGATTGGTTATACATGCCCTCCTGACACCTTTGAGTGTAGTCACTTGCATTGCATACCAAAGGATTATGTATGCGACAATATAAAAGACTGCTCAAACGGAGCAGATGAGAGAAATTGTGCTACCACTAACTGCAGTGAGACGCAGTTTCAATGTAAACAGAAAAACATAACAAGATGCATTTCAAAGAAATTAGTTTGCGATAAAGAAAGTAACTGCGACGATGGCGCTGATGAATATCCAAATCAAGATTGCAAAAATTCAAATTCTATCTGTCATGCTGATGAATTTGACTGTGGAAATGGGACGTGTATTCCCAACATTTACCGTTGTGATAATATAGTGGACTGTAGAACCAGAGCTGACGAAACAGAGAATTGTCATTATGAATGTAAAGATAATGAAGCATTATGCACACGTGGGAAACGCAGATGTGTTCCAAGATGCAATGGAAAGGTTGAATGTCCGGATGGCATAGATGAACTACTCTGCCCTACAACATTACCCGATAATAAATATCAATGCAATAATGGTAACATTATAGATGCTTCTAAATTGTGTAATACTTTCGACGATTGTGGAGACAATTCAGATGAAAATGACTGTGGAGTTGATTTATGCACTTTACGAAAACCATGCCATCATATATGTACCGTTGGAAAATACTCTAACGGCAGTATTATGAAAGGATACAAATGCAGCTGTCGTCAGGGGTATAAACTAAATGGAACGTCTTGTGAACCTTTTGACATTTGCTCATCATTAAAACCCTGCAGTCAAAAATGCATAAATAGAATAGGTAAAATTGGGTCATATAGATGTGGATGTGTAAAAGGCTACTACTTAAATATTAGTAGTCAAATATGCCTCTCAACGTCAAAGATCGAAAAACAACTAATAGTTGTCTATAAATATGATTTCCGACTCTACTCTCTAGATGGAAAACAACTAAGTAATCCAACTAAGCTCAAATTGATAAATGCCGTCGCTTTAGATTTTCACTGGCCAACTCAAACTATATATATCACTGATGTTTCTTCTGAAGGTTCTAAAATAGTCAAGTTTTTCCGTGAAAATGGAACTAGTAAAGTTCTTCATACTTCTGTAAAAAATCCAGATGGCATTGCAGTTGATTGGGTGGGGAAAAATCTTTATTGGGCAGATAAACAATCAAAAACGATTGAAGTATCGGATTTGGAAGGAAGATACAGAAAAGTATTATTGAGAAATCTTGGTAAACCTAGAGCGATAGTTCTACATCCAAAAAGAGGCTTTTTGTTTTATTCGGATTGGGGAAAACATGAAATTGTTCGAACAGGAATGGATGGATTCCATGTTAAAAGGATCGTAACGGAAGATATTGAATGGCTAAATGCTTTAACAATTGATTATACAATGGATAAACTTTATTGGGGTGATGCAAAAAATGATTTTATTGGCCAGTGTAATCTAGATGGATCTGGTAAAAGACGCATTATTCAACATAATCTTCAACATATCTTCGCTCTTACCTTCTTTGAAGGTTATCTCTACTGGTCAGACTGGGAAATGTCTCATGTTGAAAAAGCAAGGGCGAATGGCAAAGATAGACAAAAAGTTAGGGCATTCACCCATAAGCCAATGGATTTGCATGTGTTTCATCCAGCAAGACAGCCTAAGGTTCCTGATGAAGATAATCCATGTGTTCGAGAAAAGTGTGGACAAGGAGCTTTGTGCCTGATTAGACCAGGAGGCATAACTCGACAATGCGTTTGTCCCGAAAAATATTTTATGTCACCCGACAAATCAATTTGCCTACCAAACTGCACTTCTTCCGAATTTACCTGTTTTAATACTTTCAAATGTATTCCTAATTTAGCCGTATGTAATGGAGAAGATGACTGTGGGGATGGGAGTGACGAAAAAGGTCCCTGTCGAAAGTACCACTGCCGAAAACCAGGATATTTTCAGTGTGCCAACGCCAACAGTTCAGAGGGTTGCGTATCACCAGCTTCAGTTTGTGATGGATATCCTCATTGTATGGATCATTCAGACGAGAGTAATTGCGCAAATCATACATGCTTAAGATCGCAATTTAAGTGCGCAAGTCCACCGAAATGTATTCCACGATCGAAAATGTGCGATGGAAGACCTGATTGTGGTGATTATACAGATGAGAAAGACTGTGGCATAAAAAAATGCGAAGAGAACCAATTTCAATGTGACGATAAATCCTGTATTTTGTAAGTGTTTTAATATTCGTTATTTAAATTAGTCATATATTATCGTTTGCTTTATATTAGATACGTATGGAAATGCGACAATGACAACGGTTTGTATAAACATTTTACTGTTATAACATTGAATTTTCTTTATTTTACATTTCCTTAGATTGCAATGACAAATCCGATGAATCGAATTGTAAAAATGTCACTTGTAAAGAAGGTCATGTTAAGTGTCCAAAGTCTGGTAAATGTATACCAAAAGCTTGGTTGTGCGATGGAGATAATGATTGTCCGGGTATTATATGACCAGTTACATTATTAAACTTTTAATTTCTACGATTTCTATCCAATTTTTAGATCATTCTGATGAAAAGGATTGCTCAAATAAAACTTGCGAAATTACATACTTCCAGTGTCATGATAAACAACGATGTATACCTGGAAGGTAAACATTGCGTAATATTTGTTTTAACCAAAGATCTATTAAATATATTTTAAATTAGATGGAAATGCGACTATGAGAGTGATTGTCTTGATGGCAGCGACGAACAGGGCTGCAGTAAGTACTCTTAAAGGCTTGTGAATTCATTAAATAGTTTTTTAATATCATATTTTATTTTTTCAAGTTGCGAGAAATTGTTCTGAGAAAGAACTTAAATGTCAAGTGAATCAAATGTGTATACCTCCCTACCAAATTTGCGATGGAATCAACCATTGTTCAGATGGTAGTGACGAAACAATTTGCAACAACGGTACAAAAATTAGTTATTTTTGATAATTAACGATGACTAATAATAAAAAATTGAAAAATAGGTCCACTAAATTGCGGAGAGGATTTCTTCCTTTGCCAGCTAGATAATAAATGCATTCACAAAAGTCTAAGATGCGATGGGCAAGTGGATTGTTCAAAAGCAGAGGATGAAGTTAATTGTACTGGTTGCTCATCAAAAAGAAAAAAGTGTTTAAGTGGAGAATGTCTGCCTCTTGAGCAATTTTGTGATGGACATGCTGATTGTTTAGATGGATCTGATGAATTTAATTCCACGTGTATTAAATATATCTGTCTGCCTGGTCACCATCGTTGTGATAAAACAAAATGTCTCCACTTTCGTAATCTTTGCGACGGTGTTAGAGATTGCCTCGACGGTTCGGATGAAATATTTTGTGCTGAAACTAAAACTTGCGGAGCAGATTTCCCTGTATGTATGAATGGGAAATGCCTAAGCATGGATCCATCTTGTCAAGAAAATCATGTATGCAGCGCCAATAACAGTCAATATTGCGGTAACTATTCAATTTTATAAAAAGTCGAAATGTCGTTCATGAAACCAACAAAATATTTTTTAGGATGTGCTAAAAATCCAACTTTATGCGATCATTTATGTATTGATAATCCTTCAAAGCGCACTCATAGTTGTTCCTGTATTTCTAATTCACTTTACGAAAGAAAACAGCATTCATGTAAGGCTAAAACTCATCAAAAGACTCGTCTACTCTTGGGTATAAAGAATGAAGTTCATGTTATCGAAGATTTTGATAAGAGTCCTAATAAATTTAAAGTAAGGGATAAGAAACTTAAAATGATAAATGAAAGGATAATATTTTTTGTATTAATTTACTTTTAGACCCAATTAACCATCAACTTTCGCTCAATTCAAATCTATTATGAACATTCAATGTTGGCAATATTGTTTGCTAGTGCTGAAACTAAAAATGGTTCTGTCATCCTACGAAAAGACTTTCGAACAAGCTCTTTTGACAGAATTAACCTTACAACGGGATTTCATACGATAGTTAATGTAAACCTTTTAGTTGTTATTTATCTTGATTATTGTTTTAACTATTGTTTCTTTTATCAGCAATTTCAAGAAATTGATCACTTTGCTCTGGATTTCTCTCAGAGACGTATCTATTTTACGTCTTCTCTAAAAGGGCATTCAATAAGATTTTGCACATTTTTTGGTTCAAATATAACTACCATATTATACTTAAGAAATCGTCCTGTAGCTATTTCGCTAAATACAAAGTCAAGTTACAGGCACATTTATTGGATAGAAGCAGACAAACCTAGATTAGCTATGGCTTATTTAGATGGAACAAATGAAAAGACAATTTGGACTGACATGGGAACCCCTACTGACGTTAAATATGACATGTGGTCTAATAGGATATACTGGGTTGATATGAGAAGGAAAACTATCGAATTTATAAATGTTGACAGTATTTCAAAGGATAAAATTGAGCATTATATTGCATGGAAGTTTAACCATCATTCTAATTTATCACCTTATAAAATAGAGATTTATGAGACAGCAATTTTCCTAATCGCTCATCTTCAAGGAAAGGTGTTTGCATTAAAGAAAGTTGCCTATGACCATCCTATTGATATGATTGATGACACACTCTCAACCGTAGAGAATGGAGTGTTTCCCCCACCAATTTATTCAAATAATAAGCTCTCTCAAGTAGCATCTGTTAGTGTTCTGAGTACGTTGGAGGGATTATATAAGTTTAAACAACGTAAGATAAAATGATGAATTTTTTATCATAAAGAATTTTAAGTAATGGTTTTGTTTTAGCTTGCTTCTGTGGATTGGGACTGAACAGTATGTGCGTTATAAGTCATAATAAAACATCTTGCCTATGTCCCGGTCATAAAATCAGAAGAATAGGTAAGCTTAAAGAATATACTCTCCCTTCAATCTTTAATTATACTTTTAATAAAAAGAAAAAGGTCAAAGTTGCGATGACCATTTCGACGAGACAGCCGAATGCGAAAATGGAGGAACTTGCGATAAAATTGGAAATAGTAAATGTAAATGCAAGTAAGTTGTCAGATATATTTATAATATAAACTTGAATCTAATTAGATATTGAAATTTAGATGCCTACCTGGTTTTGAGGGTCCTTATTGTAGGTTAAAAAGTGAAAAATGCGAAAATATCTATTGTAAAAATGGAAAATGTCAGAATAATAAATGCAAATGCGATATTGGTTGGGAAGGAGAAAAATGTGATTATGCTGCATGCTACCGATGCGCCAATGGTGGACAGTGTTACCTTGATTCTAATAATGTTACTCGTTGCAAATGTCCTAAAGGTTTTGATCCATCGACGAATTGTAGAACTAAATGTTCATCTCATAAATGTGAGAATGAATGCGAAAAATTTGAAGGAGGAACAACTTGCAAATGCGGAGAGCATTACTCTCATAAAGAGTTCGGTTGCGTTCCTTTATGCACATATAATAAGAAATCTATATGCTCAGTGGGCGTTTGCTCAATAGATACTAAACTATGCAATTGTTCAAAATCGGGAATAATTTGTTCGATTGATAATCGATGTAATTGTACTGCTGGAGCTAAAACTTTAAATTTCGATTTTATAAAAGATAAAATTCAATGCAATTGTTTGCCTGGCTACTCGGGAGAATATTGCGAAATAGGCAAAAATATTTCTAAATGCTCTTGCTTAAATGAAGGAGTTTGTAAATCAAATGAGACCTCAACTTGGTGCATGTGCACGAAAAATTTCACAGGTAGCCAATGCGAAATTAATAAATCTACTATTACGTGCAAAAATGGAACAGGAAACAACTGTAATAAACAAATCAAGGGTGATACTAAACGTAAGTTGTCTGATTAGCAAACAACCAATAAACTTTTTATTTCACACTGTGTCTTATCTTTTCAGGTGTTTCCGCTACGATCATCATTGTTCCCGTTGTAGTTGTTCTGGGTATTTGTATTATAGCTATTGGAATATTTTTGAAAAGATGCAAAAAGTATACCTTCTTACAATTGTTTAAGGGATATAATTATTAATCATTCATTTTTCAGAAATTACAACAATAAATACTGTCAACACGATGGACCTATTGAAATAACGAATCCAATGTTTAGAAGAGATGAACTGGATGAGCCAACATTCGACGAAGGAGCACCTTTTCAAGACAAAGCAGACGATCCAGTAAATATAAATTATATACTAATATATATATTTTTAAAGACTTTTAGACAATATAACATTTTTACTATTTTTCAAAATTCCAGACAAATAGTTTTGCAAATCCTTTATACGGTGCACAATTAACTCCAAGTATGGGAGACATGAAGGAATCTGAAGGAAAGGAATTACTGCTGGGCTCTGATTAATTAAAAAAAACAAGACATAATATGTTGAATATTGTTTTTTACTTTTTTTATATTGACGGGGAAAGATTTTACAGTCATTGAAACTCGGAAGGTAACAAAGGAACGTTACAGGGATTATTAATATTTACTGGAAAATTTTCATTTTCCAGCTGTAAAATTGTTGGTATTATACTATTGGTTTGTGTAATTGTAATTTCAATTTCAAATTCTAACTCTAACTAAAAAGTTATCGCTGGTCAGTTAAACATCGTATGCTGATAAAAGATGCATTTACAAAACGATACGGTCATAGCTTTACCTAAAATACTATCGTTTTATTTATAATTATACGCCCCGTGCTAAAAGGATCAAGTACAAAGTATAATACTTGTCTATTAAATAACCGACCGATGCAATGAAAGTATCATAATCGCTAGTAAATATCAATAATCCCTCCTATAATTTTCAACCTTCCGTTACCTATACCCGAAAGATCATAATAGACTCTAATCTCTCCTCACTCTTTCTGTTTAACTAACGCATTTAAAAAAAACAAGATCTTCCCGAAAACCAAAAAGAAAAACTTGTTATTTTATTAAAATCAAATGAACTTTTACCTCAAAAAGGTTGTGAAAATATGCTTGGCTACAATTTTAATATAAATCTTTATTTTTTATCTAAAGAATCATATTGAAAGATGATGTTTTTCGTATGATTATTATGATTAGTATTAACTCTACTCAATCAAATTACTAATGGTATTATTTTCTTTTTTTTCTTAGTGAAGCTTTAAATGGTTTGTTATTTTGTTTTCTGTTTCTTTTTTTTATTCTAGTTATAAAAACAAACAAGTATTAAATTTTTGTCGTATGTAAATTATAAAACACACTAAAAAATGAATTATTATACTAATTATTACATATGTCTTGTATGTATTTGTGTATGTAATATTGTACATTTACATATAAATACTGTCTATGTTAAATTTTATCTGTATGAAGTTATTGTATTCTATTTTAAATGAAATTTGCATACTTTAGTTATTTTTTGCTTAGGAAAAATAAGCTTTTAATTCTTCTAAAGCCCTTCTTCTATGTGATATTGAATTTTTTACATCAGAATCTAGTTCAGCGTAAGTCTTATCAAAGCCATCAGGTAGAAAGCAGGGATCCCAGCCGAATTGTCTTGGTCCTCTCGCCTCAACGATCATTCCAGGTGTCTTTCCTCTAAAAATTTTCACTTCTTCACCATCTTTCTCGCAATAGGCGAATGTACATAAGGCGTAAGTTGACTTATCTTCAAAGCCAGCTAACAGTTTATGTAAATTTTCTGCAGTGAGAGCCTTTAAAAACCATTTTATATACACGCCTGGCAAATCGTTCAAAGATTTCATACATAGGGCTGTATCTTCAACCAATACAGGCCCGTTAATTACTTTAGCCGCCTCTTTGCACTTTGCAGTGGCGACTTCATCTGGTGACCCTTGAATTTCCAAAAGATCTATGTCCTTACTAATAATCTGTCTAGGAAAATCTGAACCTAATATTTTAATGATTTCCTTCAATTTATTAGCATTTCCCGTAACGAGTGTAATAGGCTTCGATGACATGTTTTTTTTTTGGTATTGAGAATGTTTGTACTCTTGAAAACTTTTATACATAATTATTATTTTATTCCAAAAGTTGGCATGAAATATACATACAACGCCATCTATATTCCTTTAGCAGACAGCAAATTTTGTTCTTAACATTACATTAACACAAAATCATTTTCCAATTGCATCACCATCATACGAAAATTTGTATGAAAAATTTCTTGATAAAAAAATTCAACGAATCTGAATATTTTTTGTAATCGTCTTAAATATAACTATTCAAAACATTAATGTACTTTCTCCTACAAGCTAGACAACTTAGACAATTAAGTCCAAAGTTTTGTGAAATTAATCAGCTGTCATTAGTTGAGCTACTACTTGTTCCCCCGCAACTACTGCCACTTGTACTGGCATCTTCTTCTTGATCAGAGGGAGACTTCTTTTCTTTAGGCCTGTTATACACCATTGACATAGCACGTGCTCGTTCCTGTATGATAACGAAAGTTAGCAGCTAATAAATGAATTCAAGTGAAAAACTTACGAAATTCTCATCATCATCGTCACTCGTATCGTCAGCAAATATTTTCATATTCTTTTCAAACGGAAAATATGTGTCATTTTTCCTCCGCTTTTCGTAATCCTTCTTCCATTCCATCATGTTGATATCATCGTTGAAAACTGTCCTATTTAATCGAGCTGAATCTTTTCTCAAACTCCCTTTTTTCCTCTTTGCTGGTGATTCTTTCCTATTTTCTGATACAGATTCATCTTGGTTTCGAATATCTTCAGCACTATTCCTTCGACTATTTTGTCTAGAAGTTCGATCAACCCTTTCAACAGCTGAGAGCCAACTTTCAAATTCCATATTTTCATTATCTCTACTATTACTGGAGGAAGGTTCTTTTGCATTAAACTTTTTATTACTAAAATCTTTACGTCTGAACGACTGGGATCTTTTTCTTTTTCTTCTTTCAATTCCAACACTGATTTCATTTGATTCACCGTTTTGTTCATTTGAAAAATTAGATGTCTCATCAACCAAATTAATACATTCTACTTCAGCTGCTTTTGACGAGATAATCTGTACTTCATCATCAGCGGCCTCTACATCTCCTAATGAAGTAGAACGTAAACTTATAACAGGTGAGCTTCTTCGTAAACCAATAGAATAATGAGGAAACCATCTAGAAGGTGGATTCGCTGATGTTCTAGATAACATCCTGTTTATGTAACTGGTTCGACGCTTTGGTCTGGATCTTCCCTGAAATACTGCAGCAGGTGTTCTATCATCCATAATTCCACTGTCGTCTGAAGATCCTAGGCATTCTATTGAGGATGAAGAAGCTCGATTACTTTTTGTGGAACGTTGAAAATGAGGATTAATTTCGTTGTCAGAACTTGAATCCAGAGAGAATGATGGTAAATTCACTGCTCGAGATGTTCGTTTTTGTGCAGGTCGTTTTCTACGGCGGCTGTTTGATTCAGTATTTACGGTCAAAGAATTATCATTAAGAACAACAACATCATCGTCTCCGTTATTTAGGTTACTGAAACAGTTACGGCTTGAGTGACCACGAGGTGCATGGTATCTTAATTTGAAAATAAATTCGTCCGTTCCATTGCCCAAATGAACTTGGAGCATATTCCTCAATGGAATGGAATCTACTGGATGTCTATCTATTGCATCAAGGACCTGTGAAACTATCTCCTCAAAACTTGAATGAAGGGAGCTATATCTACCAGAACTCGTAAAAATATTAAGTAACTCTCGTCGTACCCATTCGCTTAACTCTCTGGATGATGTCGAACTCTCTCTAAATGACTCAGAGTTCCTCCATCTACTATTCATGTGCCTCTTAAAACGAAGAGATCCAACCATAAACGACTCATGTAGCCTGCTAAGATGTGAATCTATAACTGGTTCTCGGAATCCTGGAGTTAGTGTTTCCCTGTTTGGTAAACGGGCATGTCTATGGCGAAACGCCCCGAAATAAGTGAGAGGATTGATCGAACTTAAGGTCGGTTCTATTCCTATAGGATCAGATCTATCAATCACAGGCACTATATACTCGTCACAATCAGAATAGGAGCGAATATTATACATTATTTTCTTAAATTTTCTTTTGCACAGAGGACACTCTGCTTTGACTTTGCTCCATTCCATAAGACAGACAAAGCAAAACTCATGAGAGCACTCGTCTGTAAAACATTTATTTTCTGTCTCTCCTAGACAAATTGAACAGTTCTTTGGACTTTTTGGTCGAGGTGACAATCTCTCCTCCATTTTCGCTTTCAGTCTGACTGAACGTCTCGACATATTGTTTAATGTTGAAAAGGCTCTTTAACAAACGAATAATAATTTAATTAATCAACTAATATATAATACACTCTAGAAAAATAAAGATGTACAGCGTTTTTCAAAATAGCTATTATCCTGTAGCACAATCGGCAGCGAGTTTTTTCGCTATCGCAGAATGACAGGAAACGGAAGTGTTTACATATGACGATTATTGAAAACTGTTCGATTCGATTCGCAGTATCCAGTTGTTCTCGTTGTCTTTAGTTCAAATTAAGAAATATCATTGGAAAAGTGACCATAACTTGTAAGTTATAATTTAATTAAACTTTTATTTTGTTATAAGTAGCATAATATAAAATTGTGTGATTATAGCTTATCTAATCTGTTTGAAAATTTTCAAAGAAATTCTACAATGAGCGATAATGATGTGAAAAGTAGCGAAGAAAGTGAAGAGTTGGAATTAGAACCGCCAAAATCGAAGAGAAAAAAATTGAAATTGGTTGATGACTCAAATGCAGGGATTTTATATATGAGTAGAGTACCCTCAAATATGACAGTAAAAGTTATAAGAGACTTATTCTCATCCTACGGAGAAATTGGAAGAATATTTCTTCAAGCAGATGGTAAGAAAAGTTTAATTCTCTTTTCCCTAAACAACATAGTAATATAACTGACCAACTCTTTCAGAACGAAGGATTTCACAAAGAAAAAGTAAACGATTCAATGAAGGCTGGATAGAATTTGCAGATAAAAAATTAGCCAAACGAGTTGCAGTCTCCCTAAATAATCAAATAATCGGTGGTAAACGTCACTTAAAATGGCGTGATGAAATTTGGAATTTAAAATACTTGCCGAAATTTAAGTGGACACATTTAAATGAAAGGTTGGCATATGAGAAAGCTGTTCACCAGCAAAGAATGCGCACAGAAGTCTCTCAAGCTAAAAAAGTTGCTAGTTTCTTCAAGGATAATGTAGAAAAAAGTAAAATGTTGAAGCGGAAAAAAGTTAAAACTAATCTTGAAGAAAGAGAGTGGACATTTAGTCAAAAAGAAACAGAAACAGAAATTCTATCCTCTGAAAAGCATAAAAGAACAAAAAAGAAAAAGGATAGTCTTGCTGCTTCAGAGAATACCGAGTTGATGAAATCTATCTTTTCGGGGGGGCTGTAACAATATATTTTCAGCTTATGATTGTTAATGTATATATCGAAACAGATTACTTAATATATCTAATTAATACGAGATTAGTATTGAAACTTAACCGTTAACTAAATGTTTGCATAAACATGATTCTGATGAACACATTTTAAAGGCTGCAAATAGGCCTCTTCGTCAACTTCTTCGATCGACTTATTTCCCACGGAATTTGATTTAAGTTGTAATATAATATTGTATGCTTGCATCAACCGTCCGAGAATCTCCTTGTCCAACAGTCGAAGTTGCATCTGATTAATATTTAAAATAAAGAAAAACATCTGATAAGAGTTAAATCATTCATGAATGAATACATTCTCTTGTGAATTACTCACCATGTCCGTTTTTAACTTAACAAGCTTAGATATCGGTTCATCTAATTTGGGACTGTCCATTCTCTGAGTTCCATTTTGTAGGCATAGAGGAGGAGATGGTATGCGATCCTCAACAGAACATTGACGGTGCATACTGGTCTCTAAGCTTAACAGTTTTCATTCGATTGTGTAAATATTCCAAGTTGTACATCCGAGATAAAAAAGCCAAGCTTGACCGTTTGACCCCGATCTTAGTATAAAAAGCGTCTAGTATGAGAAGAGAAAAAGTTAATACAAATTGATAGTACAAGTTTTATTTCTTAAATGTGATGATTTTTACTTTCACATAACGAATAAAGCAATAATTTAGAAATAGATACAATAAAAGTTCAGTCACACAGCATATACCTGACTTTGTTGTACAAAACAAAAAAAGCACACAGACCGAGCAATGCGTGTCACGTGCAAGATAGGCCTACATCAACATCGTAAACATAATCCACCAGATTGCGCTAGTGTCGATTTAGCGAATCCGGTGACAAACTAAGCCATGTTCTGGTAAGAGTTAAATAAAAATCCGGCATATTTGGGGAATAATCATCATAAGAGCCTCCGTCTCCAGTGGCAAGATGAGGAACAGCTTCCTCGATTTGGGTACCCTCATGCCATTCGTTAAAGGATGTAATACTTAAAATTGACGGCTTGATTTCAAAGGCCATTTTTAAAGATCTTTCGTAATATTTGCCATTGTCTCTATTTCTGTTATTTACATAATTCCACGGTCGAACTTTGCGATCATTGTAGCCTGGACCCACACTAGGAATAAACAGAACATTTTTTCTTTGAGCATATTCAGCTAAGCTCTTCCAATTGTAAAGCGTAGAGCCAAAAGAGAACTTATCAGACGCAAAGTAAGTATAAAACCCGTCAAAACCAGCTCCTATCAAGTCTATTTTGTGCTTTTCTTCTACAAGCAAACCTATAAATATACCGTCATATTTTCCTCCTCTTAAGGATAGTCCAGAGTTAGGGCGCAATAATTGAGACCAAGACGCTGCAGGGATATTATAGCTGTCATAAATATAATATACTGGTAATTCTCGACCATCTTTTGCAACCCTTCTATAAAATGCAGGATGCTTTCCATATTTATCAATAATATATTTTATATTAACGTTCATGCTTTGAGCATTACGTCCTTGATATGGCTCTATATGAAAACAGACTTTTAGTTCATGCTTGTGAGCTGAATCTAAAACTAGAATTGTAACAGGATCCAAAGGAGCACCATTCTCATCAGACGAGCCTGGGGGATACCAAGTAAGGACAAGAACGCCTACTCCTGCTTTCTTGATTTGCTCCATATGATTGTTAATTATTGTTTCGTTTTTCGAACTATATGGCCCCAACTTTGGATAAAAAGTAGATCCCAGGTCGTCAGGTGGAGAATGTCTTCCTGTTGGCCATTTTTTTTGCTCAATTTTGTTCCAATGCTCTAAATACGGATGATTCCAATGCAGCCACTTTTTATCAACTCCTGGGGTGCCGTACCAGGGATAATAGAATATGTGAACATTGTAATTGGGAAACGAAGGCTGGTTAACAATAGTTGACATCATTGCACTTGTCATTCCATCTTTGCTGCCTTTTGCTGATGGTATTTCAATCTGATGAGACTTTCGATGTGAAAAATAGTATACAGCTATTACAAACAGAATTGCTCCTCCACCTATTATCACATTTCGTAATCTTATCCTCAAAGGCCTCATTACGATAATACAGTGAATACTCTAAAGCTAACAACTAGAAGAGAAATGTATCGCTTTTTCTTTGGTAGATTGAGAAAAGTGTTAAAATTTATAATATAACGTTATTAAAACATAATTTTTCATAAAGATTTAATATTTCGAAGTCAAATAAATGAACGAGCAAGCAAACTATTATAAAAAATAAATACAGGATGTTTTGCCAAAAAGTGGCGCTAAATTCAAAATTTTTTATTGGAAATTTATGCTTAAAATACTATTAATCACAGTGTCTGCATGAACATTTTTCAATAATGGTTATGTTGAACATTTTCTTATAAGGAGGATAACAATCTAGTTCAACCATTTGATGAGATAGTTTAGAAGGCACGCAGCAGGAACATTCTTCGAATAATTCTCTCGGATTTTCGCTAAGAATATCTGTAGTAGAGTAGCAGCCACCAGCACATTTAGATGATGAAATAATTCGACTATTTTCACAAGTTGAGTCCGTTATACTCATTCTGTAAGACTGAAGATGACAAAATCGTGTAGAACTCTCAAGTTGGAAGGAGAGAGTTGTGATTAGGGAACTTAGAATAAGAGCAACACTTAGTGCTGATCGTTTCGTGAACATTTTGAGAAACGATTTACAATTGCTTACCATATGCCCACGCAATTGGAATAAACAAATTAAATCGAGACTTATTTGCGGTAATTTAAGGTTTCATTTTCTCCTTTTAGATTTCAGCGAATACTTTGATAAGTATACTCTTAAAGAAAAGCTGATTTTACACTATTTAATGTTCTCCATTCAAAAATATTTTATCATCTAAATATCATAAAATTTCTATCATTATTTTAATATTTTAACCTACATAAATCAATTATAGTTTAAAAGTTTGTGGATCTCTGCAAACATTCTCTAGGATTTCTCTGTTTCTTGACAAAAAAAAACATTACAATACCACCATTTTATAGGGACAGCTCAGCTTCCGGTTTCTCTAGCAAAATGGAGTTTCTAGATAAGTTCAGTTTTCTTGATGATGTTCGGCGTATGAATAAGCGACAGGTAATAAATTTAAAAGTGAAATCGAAATGTCATTTTAGAATTGAAAAGTGAACTACAGAACAAGTAAAGCAATTGAAACATATTGAACCGGACACTTTTTTCGTCGCGATCTTTTATTTCGTTCAAATTTGTTTTTTAAAATCTTAACAAATTGCTATAATTACACATTAAATACAGAGTATATTTTAATAATAGTTAAAATGTTCTATTTCAGCTTTATTATCAAGTATTAAACTTTGGAATGATTGTTAGTTCAGCTCTTATGATATGGAAGGGTCTCATGGTTGTTACTGGGAGTGAAAGCCCAATTGTTGTTGTTTTGAGGTATAAAATAAAATTTAATTAATTTAGAATTTATCATGGATAAATCTAATAAAATTTTATTTAGTGGTAGCATGGAACCTGCTTTTCACAGAGGAGACTTACTAGTCTTAACAAACAATAAACAAGACCCGATCAGAGTAGGAGACATCGTTGTGTTCAAAATCGAAGGACGAGAAATTCCTATAGTCCATCGTTGTTTGAAAGTTCATGAAAGGTAACTATACACAATTAAAAAAAGGCTTTTTTTCTAATCAAAGACATTACTTCAGAGAGAATGGAACCATTAAATTTCTCACGAAGGGAGACAATAATGAGGTAGATGATAGAGGATTATATGCTAAAGGACAATCATGGCTAGAAAACAAAGATGTTGTTGGAAGAGCAAAAGGGTAAGACAACTTTAGTAATTTACTCTTACGCTAATTTATAAATTAAATTGATAGATTTGTGCCTTACATTGGAATGGTCACTATATTAATGAATGATTATCCTAAATTCAAGGTATTTCTTCAATTTTCAAATCTCTAAAATCCTAAACACTTTAATTTTTTTTCAGTACTTGGTTTTAGGAGTTTTAGGTTTGTTTGTTCTTTGCCATCGAGAGTAAGATCATAAAGACGTTATTGACTCATTAAAACTTGTTAACTGAGGAAAATGTTATCATAATTTCCATAGGCGTCGATGTTCGTGTTTTATATATTATAGATTGAGAAATACATTCGTTAGATTCGTTAAATTAATGTATTGACATAAGAGTCTATCCTATTTAACACTGCTAATAAAGTCTGGACTAAGATAAATAGTTATTTTGTCTGTAAATTTTCAACAACTACGCAAAAGTTTACGATTAATGATCAACAAAAAGATAAATTGAAGGAAAATTTTACCTCAAAATTATCTATCATTAATCCAAGTTTAACTGACCAGAAGCTGTCTAGTTTCATAACAATTGCTTTATGGTTTTTGAGATCTCAAGAGGTAACCGTATTAGCAAAAGAAGCAGTGGAAAATCATAACTATTTATAAATAGCTTATGTATTTTAATGTAAAAAAATAAAGGGTTAAATGCACTTTGAAAATTTTCCGCGTCGAATAATACTGAGTTATAAAATCAAATTTTTGAAGGGCTATTTACTGGTATAGAATGAGAATTATTTTCTTTCGAATAAGTTAATCTTTTCCGTTATCAATTTGGGTGTGGTATTATGGTTGTTTGACCCTGAATCACTAGACGAGAACCACAGAGAGAGAGAGAGAGAGAGAGAGAGGTCGTACAACCCAATGTACTGTTGAAAATTGATTTCTATTGAAATATTTTTGTCCAAATTAAAATTTCGATAATTATTGAAAATGATATCACACCTTAAAAATTCTAAGGCAAAGAGTCCATTGAACTCTTCTTATTGGTATTTCTTTTTGTAGATAGATCAATTTGTTTTCAATGAAAATAATAGAAAGAAATAAGCGATCGTAATTTCATGTTCGACTCAGTTTTTCAAGAACAAAAACTATCATGATTTTTTTTCCTATCACGTTTTATACCTAATTATAACGGAGAGCGATCGGAACTTTATAAAATCTACCAAATTACTATTATAGTTTTTTTCTTAATATGATATCTTTAACCTTATATTAATTTTCAGTTTATCAGGAAATTCTCTTTGAACTGGAAAAAAAGAATTACAATATTAAAATGTTTTCAAGAAACTCTAAGTAACTTTTTCGTTATCTTCACAATAGTATAGTATAGTAGAGGTTCGCTACTTTATGTACAGTAGTCGCCGCCCGCGTCATCAATCTTCACCATCAATCATCGAAGAAGAGGATGTCGAAACTGACTCGAATCGTAGTAATCAAGTTTCTGGGTTGCCTAGTCGGCTTTTCTATGGTCTGTAAGAGGCAAACACATAGAATCTCGAAAATCCAGAACGGAAAGACAAACGAATTTTATGTTTATACACCGGATATAGGAAAGCAGGACGGAACTAATGAATGGCGTATGGACGTTGATTATCGAGAGAACATGTTCAATAGTATTAATTATTTCACTAGTGAATAAACGCGGTTTTATCAGATATATGAAATAGCATATAATATTGTTGTAAAAAAACAGAAAATTTCCAAAGGGTGATATCATCGGCAAACACCTAGTGAAACTATTAATTGCATGTTTTATGACAAAGATATGTCGGTTTTTAAGCCGGTAAAGAATACAACTAATTATGGTTTTATTCACCACTTTCAGCCAAATTCCTTTTTTGTTTCTTTCAGCCGTTATCGTATCTTATCAAGCGCAGTCTGCCAATTGAGGGGTGTGATGCTTAGAACATTTGGCGGGAACCACGCTTCCTCTTCTTGAGGCTGAACAGGAGTATAAACAGCTGCGTATGATAATTGACCGAGGCATTTGATGCCTATTCCTCTATATATTCCCTCAGTAAACCTCCTCTCTTTCCATTTTCTCTACTTTTTCAGTCATCTATTAATCTTATAACAGTACTCTCTGTTATACAAATCGCGCCATCTGTTGTCAACATATCTGTGAACCAGATACATTCTTTGAATAAAAGCTTGTAATATTTCTATTTGTAAAGGTACATCTATTTAAGGTAAACGCAGAATATATCAACTCGAGGGGTAGATTTTTTGTAGTGTAACGCTTGAGGGAAGTTAGGGAGCGTCACTGGTTCTTTTTTCCTCTTTTCTTTCTCTTTTTTTTGTATAAAATCGATGTTAATAATATACTGCATCTGTTAGTTGAAGCATTAATATTCGACTTATTTTTCGATTCATGATGACGTAAGACATATCAATAACCTTTCTATCTGTTCAAGCTGGTGTTTGGTTAGTTGTTGTTTACCTTTTTGTACCGGTTGATAATTACGATCCTGTTAGGTTTATGGTTTGCTATTCTTTCGCAAAGGTTGCATTTTTTACCTACCCCCCACGACCCTCTTGCCTCTAGTTCTCTTATTTGCTCTCGTCTATGAAATCGATGCCCTTTCCCTTCCCTTACGGTAATATTTCTTTAACAACGAAGAAAAGAAACAGGAAAACAAGGAGACAATTATGGAACACGTCTGTTTTTTTTTCTTCTCTAGCCTCCTCATTCCCATAGGGGAAAGATGAGCAAAGGTATGGAATAAAGAGGAATGCTCCCTAAATGCAAAAACACAAATATCCAGAAAGGGAAAGAGGAAAACAGATAGGAAAAGGGTTGGTGGGTCTTTTTGGCGGAAGGAACTGAAAGAATCTTGGAGGAAATTGCAGCGGAATTCACTAAACGCCCGCGGAACGTCGGGTTCGAGCCTATTAGGCCAGACAGACCGACAACGTACGGCGAACGCTTCTCAATTAATCTCATATAGGCCTAGCGGCGAAAAGAAACGATATCTGTGCGGAAGATCAGTGAGAAGGGTGAAATGGCGGGGACCGAATTAACCTGACCAAGTCCCGCTGGGGGAATGGATGACGAAGTATAATTTGGCTAAATCTTCGCTATATTTAACAATTACTAAAGTAGTAGTCATCATCGGTAGAGGTAAATTTTCCAACACGAATTTCTTTGATTTGCTGCTTTTTCCAATTCGGGTTTGACCTTACAACAATCCTCCTGCCAACTCTGGTAGCTGTAGTCTTCCGATGAGTTACCTCCGGCCTCTTTCCGATGTCGGCAGCTGTCTTTAATTTCCTACTCCATCTTAATGCTTTTAGCTTCTCTTCCAATCGCTTCTTTGGAAGAGTTTCAACGGTATCTATCAATCTGAAGAGCGTACCTTCTATCTTTTCTAATAGCTCTATTTCACTGTATTTTCTTATACAAGTTTGTTCAAATCGTGGAAAACAGGCTATGTACATCCTCTCCAGTTTTTCTCTAATCTTCCTGGAATTGAGGTATTTTGTACGGATCACGAAATTATACCTACCCGGTCACGTGACATCGCCACTATACCTCAATTCCCTATAGGGCCCTTCTATTTCGTTCTTGGCTATTTCCAGGTGGTAAAGTACAAAGTGTCTAGCCTTTTCCCTTTGTAAATGATCCAGTTGGGAATTCTTGCCTTCGAACTGCTGGAAGACGCTTTCATGCTGTTTTTTCGTTTCAAAAATGTCAAAATCATCTGTAATCTTTACGTTGAAGTTGTAGTCATCTTTCGCCGATTTATTTAATAGTTTTAGAATAGAATCCTCTTCGTCACGAAGAATATCTAAAAACTCGATCGGACTGTTAAAATACGTCTCTAATTCGTACAAGTCATCGACGTCCCACTCGCACAGTTGTTCCGTTTGAGTAGCCGCTATCGAATTATCAAAAGCGCTTAACGACAGCTCGTCCTTCGATTCCGACTTTTCACTATTCAGCTGAAAGTCGACATGTCGCCTTAACCATGAGGGCGTTTCCCTTTCTTTGATAATACTTTTCCTATTTGACCTAGAAGGTATAGATATATCGTTTACCGTCTTAAACTTGGCGATTTTCACCCGAATCCCACTTTCCCTGAAGACTCTTTTCTGCCACCAATCGGGTGCAGCTCTGAATAGGAAATGACGCAACATTTTCAGTCTCGATAGATTGTAGCGAATCTCCATCAATTCGCCCTTCAAGCTCTGTACTTTCCCCCTTTCCTTCTGTAATTCCTTCTCTAAATCCAATCGCTTCTTGCCGTATTCGTGGCTCATCTCCTCCGCCTTCAGCGCCTGCGCTCTCGATTCAATTAATTCGCCCTTCAGGCGCTTACTCTTAGTCTTGAAACGGTTCTCCTCGTCCCTCATCTTTCCCTCAGCCTCTGAGATTATTTTCCCAAATTTTTTACTTCTATCCTCCAAAATCTTCCTGCAATGATTTATCAACAAAATCTCTCTTCCAATTCTAACAAACTTATGGGCAGTAGTAAGGTTCGTTGAAGAGGTCAGCGACGGAAGGCGAGTCCCAATGTTGACTTTATCCGGTGGGAATGTGTTCGTCATTAGTGCCGTTTTGCTATTACTGCAACATTTTCCGCGATGTTTTCCAAATGAACCAGTTCTGGTTCCTCTTCCACGTTTACCTCTAGGCTTACTAAATACAAAGAAACAATGAGAAGAGTGTTTCAGTACCCTAAAATATATCTTATTACACGTTACTCTTGTTTAAAAGAGAGAGAAATTTGCTAATTCATCGCCAATAGTAATTAGAGCCTAAAACATATACACTGCAAGACTGGCGTGCTATTCTCAAAATCTTACTATGCAAAAAGGAATAATAACGGAATACGTAACCATTCTTTCTTAATAATATGCTCTCCTCCCGTGCTTGATTCTCTAGCGTCTTCCACATCTGTAAATTCTATTGTAATTTCAGGAAAGAAATGAAGGTGTTTGGAATGTTGTTTGACCATTTTCAAATGTTTTTTTGACGTTTTTTCTCGTTTCACAACCGCAGAACAACGTGTGAGATTAGTATAATCATTAGTAGCGCTTTTTTCAACTAGTAATTAGCTTAGGCAAACTGTTAAAATTTGTGTTTCGTAAAGTAATGAACTACCGCAACTTAATCTAATGATATTATGGCGACTAGTAAAACAGCCTACTACCGTCACTAATTAATTAAAAATAAATCACGATTAAGGTAAGAATGGACATGTGGATAGCGAAACCAAATACTAGTGAATATAGAAAAGTACAGGTGGCGAACATTTTTTGAGAACTACGCCGGCGGGGGGCAAAGTGCGTGTGTGTGTGTGTGTGCGGGGTGGGGGGGGAGAGAGAATGGAGAGGAGGAGGGCAATTGACCGGAAGTACCTAAGCCTATGTATACACTGTTATAGGGGCGTTCCAACGACAGATGTAGACCGCGCTTATCGGTCACGCTTCTCGCGGTCGAGTTGCTTTTGATCTAGAACGTTGGGAAACGGCGGGCGAGACGAGGTTGAAGGAGTGGCGGTGGTGGCAGCTTCCACCGTGCTCCCACACGCCCTTCCCCCTATAGTCACGTGATGGAGAGAAGGAGCGAGAAAACGAGCACCGGCGACTGCCGCTAATCACCAAGTCCACACCACCTGCACACCGTCTAGTTGATTATGCGATAAGCTGAGTCTTTCGTCGAGTTAGCCATTTTTCTTTGTCACACCATTTGCTTTTTATGCATCTTACCTAGACTTTGACGGAATGGGTTTGGACAATAAATCAACGTAGACGGTTTAAATAAAAGAAAATGGAGAGCGAAAAAGCGTGAAGAAATTATACGGTAGCGTCGAGTCGACGACGGCGATCGCGGCGGCGTAAGAGCTGTTAGGTTAGGTCGTTCTGCCGCGCGTCATTATCAGCGAAACCACGCCAGACGAGATTAAGCGCTACCTAAGAGAACCTTCAACTTAGCCGAACGCCGTTTTAAAACGTCCGCGCCACACCGCCGGCAGCGAACGGTTAGCGCACTCTGCCGCCGCAATTCCTAGGTGGAGGATGAACGACGACGACACCGAAATGGAGTGGTTAAAGTTAGAAAGAAAAGAAGGCGAAGTTGTGTTGGAAGTCGAATGTGGACAAAAACATGCTGTTATGTACGTCGACAGGCTATGCCAAGGTAGTAAGGGAAAGTGTATATACTATGACGGTTGTTGGCTAACGCCTAACGAACTGCAACGCGTTAGCGGACGGCAAACCGCAAAGGATTGGAAACGGTCGATACGTCACCGCGGTAAATCGTTAAAGCTTCTAGTCGCCAGAGGAGTTCTTCGGGTTCATGACGCTACTTGCCGATGCCGAGTTTGTGCTCCCCAAAGTCAGGTTTGTATATTACGCCTTCATTCGTCTGTTTTGCTGTTCTTTTATAAACTAGAGTCTGCGACAATAATTATAGGATTAAAAAGTTCCTATGGCGGTTGTATCGATAAGAAACCGTGTAATAAATTATAATACGTTTGTAATTATTGCGTAAGAGCATAAGAGGAGCAATAAGGCGTTTGCAACAAGCTTGACGAAAAAGGGTAGTATTTTTAAATATATGGAAGAGAACGTTGGGGAAATGTCCGCCCCTTACGACGAGCAGGTGCTTTAAAAGAGCGGCGTACGCTCTCACTCATTAAAGCCAACTATACGGCTGGCAGCTGCGACGATCAATTGATGAAAGGCGCCGTTGGCTAGCCGCCCAAACTGCCTTTGTCGCCGCTATAGAGGTATTACACGATGTCACGTGATATACTCCAGTTATATGCGATCTACATTATGTATATTACATGCATGACGTGTGTAATAATACTATTTTAAGTACGAGTACACGTTTATTCAGTAGGCTTAATTGTAACGACCGAAATAAAATCCGACACCGTTCGAAAATTTGTTGACCTCCCAACTAATGAAATTATATGTTCTTTGCTCATTTAGCGCCGAAAGAGAAGCGTTTCTGATGACGAAGAGGACGAGGTCGTCTACATCAAAGTTGCCAAAGTCGATAAACCGCCACCACCACCACCACCACCACCACCACCACCGCCACAGCCAGTCGATCGATCCGACGATAAAACACCGACGAGTGAAAAACATCCGAAACCGGTAGAGGGCGCGGGTCGAAAAAAATCCGACCTGGAAAGCGTTGTTCAGAAACTACAAAAGGATATCGAACAGAAAGTTGTAGAAGCGGAGGCGGTGGAGGCTAGAGAGACAGAAGAAACCGAACCGGAACCAACAAATGACGAAGGGGATAGTTGTATTAGAACCGACTTATCAAGGCTAGAGCAATTTATCAATAAGCGGAAGAGAACGCCGGTGAAGGCGTCGCCCGTTTCCGAGGCGTCTTCAAAGTCGGACGACCGTCCGGTTTACGATTACAACGCCCTCTACAAAGGTGTCGGTCAATGGCCTCGCTACACTATGGAATACGAATATGCCGCCTCACTCTTCCACCATTACCAGCACTTACCTTCCACTTCCTTCCTTTCGCCCTTGACGTTCTGGTCACAGCCATACAGTACTACGGCTTCAGATAATTTAATGGCGGCAGCTGCAAATTTTTATTCTCGTTTGCAGAATAAATCAACAATTTAACTTTAAAATTTTAAACAAAAAACAGAAAAAAGGGGGATGTAAGAAGTAAATCAAGACTCTCCAAAATAAAGTCTACTGATGAGAAGTTACCAACTGGAAAAAGATGGTTAAAGCGAGAGTGTGAAAAAAGGGTGTAAAGAGAAAGAAAGCAGAAAGGGTGGTGGGAGGAGATGGGGTGTGGGGAAGGGCGAGGAGGAAAGAGAAGGAATGGGTAGGGAGGAATGGTGCAGGGAATATATGAAGAGAAACGCTTTTCTGATTGTATTATATGACAAGACTGTTAATTTTAAATAATCAAACAATTGCACATGCACACTTTTTTGTATATAAAGTATATATAATTACATACGTTACATATATACGTACAAAATCGGTATACAGTATTTTACAATATATGCTGTACATATATATATATCTATATATATATATATGTATTTATATTTATATATACATACATATGTTGTATCTTTCCTAAATTATATTGAATGCTTCATAATTTTAGTATAAATTATTATAATACATTACTATACCTATGTGTATTCTCATTCGAGCCAACTATAAAATATTTTATATTTACATATGTTTTACATTTATAGCATCATTAAATGTGCTCTGAAGCGTCTTATTCATAATACATGCATGTGTCATTTATATAGCTTTACTCTAAATGGTAGAATTTCATAATCGTTCTGATAACGAATACATAATTTATAATCGATGTACTGCGCTGTTCCTATTTTCACCCTGTCATTAGAAGCTGTTAGTTTGACGTCTTTCTGTGAGGCGGAGGAGGATATTCAACGCTGTTATTTATAGTCCGTATATTAGATTTCTAGTGCTGTCCCCTCTCGCCTAATTTTACTCTTTTTCTCTTTAAACGTTGCCATCTATCGGGAGTATCACCCATGCTTTATTTCAGGCCTTCCTTAGTTCTTTTATTTTCCCATTTCAATTTTACATTATTTGGCAAATAGAATAGTACTTTTAATGGTTTGCTTCTATCTATTAGGAGGTCATTTTGTAAATCAACTATTGTTCTGCTAAAGGTCGAATAGCACTTATGCATAATGCACTACACTTTCATTATGCATCAGTCGGAGAAAACATATATATACCGGAGGTTCCCTACTCCAAAGCCAAACTTTGACTTTGATTGCTGAAAGTATTAGGTAAATAAGTGTTACTGCTGTAGTAGATCTTGATCGTTTCATGCCATGATCTGTTTAACGGATGCAATGATTACACTCAACTCAGTGTTTTTCTCACTGTTTTTCTTTCCCTCTCACTATCTCACCTCATCTTTTTTCATTATATATTCTCTCTTTCACTTAGTTGATCGGTTAGTCTAAAGTTTAACAGTTAAAGTTGCACTTTTTTTCTTTTAGTAAACAATTTCGTCTATCATGGTTCCACAAGATCATCAAGAGACAGCTTCTACATATTTTATAATAATTGCAATTTATTATTCATTCCAAGGTCAACGTTCGCAATCCTTTCAGTCGTGCTTAAAACGAAAGTAAAAGCGAACAACCGAGAAACTATTCTATTTCTTTAGATTTATCTGAAACAAACAGACATTATCCGAAAGATGGCGTTGATGAATGGTACTCTACGGAGGAGAATTTCAGGTTTCTTCCAAAAAAAAATTTATAATGGATACGAAATGCTAAAGAAATATAATCGCTTAATATCGAGTTCAATTTTTATAATAATAATACAATTGTTAAGTATTATAATATATTAATAATTGAAAAATTGTTCATACGGACATTTTTGTACGTAGAATCTTAGGATTTATTTAGAAACTGATACATCCTCCCTGTTTTATGCTCTGAAAAATTTTCTGTCTCAAATACTAAAAATAGTCTGTAAACCGTGACGAACAAACATTTATAACGCCGAAAATCAATTCGCATTTATTTCAACGCAGGCAAATGACGGAAGGTAAGTTATTTCCGCTATGCTTATGAGCCTATAGTTGAATTTTTAGGCCTACAAAAAGCCGGTGGCTATAAAAGCTATGCTTGGAACGTTCTAATTGAACATCAGTAAAAAAGGCGTCTATTTTCTAACGGCTGGCTTTGACGTCTATTGGAATGTTGGGGTGACTCTGATTGCTGATGTCGTTGAGAACGAAAAAGATTGCATACTTTACAAACAGCTTTACAAATTGAATGTTTATCCTAAAGACATGCATGAAAATTATTCATTCTTCTATTCTCATACATATGAAAACGACATAAAAAAGAAATATATATGTATCTACTGTATATATTTGTTCCTCTATCAGTACGAAAGAGACGCCCTCTTCAATAAATTTCGTGTTTTCATTTGAAAGTTGTTTATTATAAACTTTTAATTTCAAGCTCTTAAACGTATTCAATTGATTAACTATTATTTTGACGTCATCAAGTAGATCCAATTACCCGCAATGATTGAACATGCAGATATTATAACAATAATACTACCATAAACGTTACTTACAATAATCGAATTATTAAAAATGGTAAATTAGGTGTACGTTTTTCTTATAAGTGAATAGTTATCTTTTTTCTTTATACACAAAGATTTGTTTATTTAGGGAAAAGAGCTGAAGTATTGCAGGATGGTAATAAGGTTTAACTGCAAATATTTCCGAAAAGATCTACAAATGCATCAATTGACTATGAATGTTCTAGTCAAATATTTGCAATGTCGTATCTATATTTAGACGGTTGAAAAATAATAAAAAAGAGGCCATGGCAAGAACCATAAGTAAACCGTAAAGTAAAAGTTTAAGACAAACTTTGTGATTTCTATACAATTTATAGTAGAAGAAAAAAATGGAAGAGATTGTTAGTTTAGGAGAAATAGGAAATGGGTGGGTGGATAGGGTACTTGATTTACCTTATTTGTTTAAAATTTCCATAAGAAAGAGGAAATGATTTTATTAGATGATAAAAATAGAGAGAAACAAAAGAGAAATTCCTTCTTTAATTAATTCAAAAATATCTTTAGAATTATTGATTATATAACCAATTTTTACTATCAAAATTCATATAGTAATTTATGTAAAAGTAATATATTTAGGGCAAAAAAAAAGGGGGAGGGGAAGGGGCAAAGAAAATCTTTGAGTAAATTTCTTTAAATTAGTTTTGTCACTAAGAGTATTTTTAACGCCACGTAGTTATTTCATCGATCAAGTAATTTTTTCGATCTAATCTAATTAGTTAAAAGTTCAATAGGGATAAATAACAATAGCTAAAAGTTCCTTTTTTTTTCTTTCTCTCCTTTCTCAAAAGTCAGAGAACGTTTTCCTTTTTTTTTTTTATATATATTTTCCTTTTTATTCCACTTTTTAGTAAGATATTTTATATGGCGATTGGCGTCCGAATTTGTGAGCCTATATAAATAAATTACCGTCTTTTTCCTTTAGTTCTATAAATGGATGAAAAGGTGGGAGAATAGTTAGGTTTTTGTACACTTGTGATTATATTTATATGATATATTAATGAAGATTGTATGGAAGAATAGTTTTTTTAATAGTATTGTAACCTTTAGAGGACACTTGAATATCATCAACTATCCTTTAGGATAATTGGCTCTTTCAAACTATCCTCTTATTGTTTAAAAATGTTTTTTTAGAGTAACTTTTTCTGTTATTTAAAATTATGAAGCTCCGTATATTGGTGGCGAGTATCAGAAATAATAGCGTCTCATTTTAGACGCCCGCCGATACCATGATGATTAGTGACGTCACGAAAACTGGAAAAAAATCACACGGCAGATGTTTGCCGACAATAAAAAATACGGCTGACTTGCAATTTATGAATGCTTAATCACGGTCTAAGCCGGAATTCGGCCTCCTTATAAATATGCAAAAGCTTTAACTGATCATTGATCTAATTTACCGCAAATATGCATATTCATGACCGTTGATTTTTTGCAGATCGCTTTTGCAGTCGGCCGCTAAACGAATGCGACGACTCTGATCGTACGGCTTCTGTTTACTACAAGGTAATATTCTAATTTGCATATTAATGAGCGCTTATGCATAATAATTACTAATCTCGCTTCCCTCTACTTTTGCCCACTAATTCGTTTCGATCAGTTGACTCCTATCATGAAATTTTCATCGAATTTCTTGCTTAGGAGAAAATTTGTCACCATTTTCTTTTAGACCTTTCGTAATTCCGCAGGTTCAAAGATGCATTTTCTTTTGGATTTATCTGGAGATAGACGGAGAGAATTATTGGAAAGATGGAGAACTTCGAGAAAACCACTTTTAGTTATTGTATTTATTGCGCTTTTTCTCGATAATATGCTGCTGACTACAGTCGGTGAGTACTGTAATACCGTAAATCAAGAAATTTCCTCTTTTTTACCCGATACTTTTCTTTGTTGGTAACGAATTTTTCTATAACCTATTAAAACTTTTTTCAATATCAAACAAAAAGTCAACTAATGCATTCTAATTATATATGAAAAGTACTTTCTTTTTTATTTCTACCAACTTTTAACTCAATGTCGAATTTTAATAAGTTTTATAATTAATTAGCTATATTTAAAAGCATTGTAATGATTGTTAGTTTCCGTTTGTCAAACGGTGACAGATTTTTATTTTTTTTCAAATATTTTAAACTTTACATTCTCTTTTATCTTAGAAACCTGAACTATCAATATATTTTCAAATAAAACCATTCCTTATATAAATATATTTACTTTATCTAATGCGTTTTCCGTCAATTCTGTTCAATAGTTACAAAACGCTTTGAAAACAATTCAAATATATGAAAAAAAATACCGGTATTTAAAAATTGAAAAACTGTTCTCTTGCCCTTTCTCTTTCCTCCTTTATCTCTCTTTCCCCCCTCTCTCTCTCTCTCTTTCTCTTTATACATTTTTTTAACTTTTTGTCTATCAAAAAAGGGGAAATTAGTAATTTTGTATAAAAGTTTTTCAACAGTAGAAAAAAAAATGATAAGAAAATCAAATTAAGCAAATCTAATCTTAAGAGCGCCATCTATTTTAAAGGGAAGAAAAGGATTATACGTTAGAACACATTCTATAGATCATGATAACATATGAAAAAAACGAAATTTGTAGACATATTTCATAAAAAATCTCACTGGGCAATTACAAACTGTTACAAAACATGGGAAAGTTTGCAGTTACGTAATAAAACCGTAATATAATATCATTTGTTATTAGTTTGTATTATTTGTCTTAAAGTCAAGTAATGACTATACCTAAAAATAGATTTTTTCTTATGAAATAATTAAAAGAATTGTAAGAGGACAAACTAAGAGCCAGACTAATTTTTTTCCACAGATATTGAGAAAACACAATGTTAAAAATATATTTGAATGAAAAGTTATTTCATTTATTGATATGCTTTTTTATCTTAAGAAAGAACAACTTTTCAATCAGTTCAATATACCTTTTATACGATACTTTTTTTCCATTTTATAGAAACCTATAACTATATATAGAGTATATTATTAACGATTCTACTAGAATTAGACTGGCAACTATCAGAAATTTTGTCATATACTGTATATATATATATATATATATATATATATATATATATAAATATTATGTGAATAGCCTTAGTTTCATGATAAATATGTAAATTTATACAATAAACAATGAACAATACATAAGAATCTATTTTAAGTTATTTTGTTTTATAAATAATCTCTTAATACTTAATCTAATATGTATTTTATAATTTTTAGCAATAGAAATGTTATATAAAGTCATACTGTAACAAGTATTTTTTAGGATTTAGTAGTGATAAATTTTCACCATGTTCTGTTAGCGAAGGTTTATATATAATGTAATAAATTCTAATTAGTTTTTTCTGTTTTTTTCTCTCTCCCTCTCTCTCTATTTAGTACCGATTATACCGAATTTTCTCTTCCAAATGGAGCATCCTGAAGTCTTTAATAAAGAGAACACGAATTCAAACACCAGTGCTATACTTAATTATAATCAAACTGTCTTTGAACCAAATAAAGTACAAACAGGAGTTTACGCAGAAGGCTTCCTCTTAACAACTGAAAGCGCCGAGTCCGGTGAAGCCAAACTCGAAAAGAAATTACATTCGGATATTGTTAACGAAAATGTTGCAGTTGGCTTAATGTTTGCCAGCAAGGCGATTATGCAACTGATTACGAATCCAATTATTGGACCGTTGACGAATCGGTAGGCCTACTATTGATAATCGATACCCGAACGTTTGTAATGATCCGCTTCGTAGTTTGACACGGTTTTGCAATTTGAGATTTCTTTATCCTTATTTTTCTTTTTTTTTCATGACTATTCTAGAATTGGATACAACATCCCAATGTTTTCTGGTTTTGTTATCATGTTCATATCTACTTTGGGTAAGTGTAATCTAATAAAACTTTCTTTAGTTAATTTTATTATTAAAAATTAAGCGTATAAACAATTTAAAACCAGTCGATTGGTAATAAAAGAATCATTGAAATGAAGGTAAATTGGTCAAGGCCAATTAAATTTGATAAATAAATATGGAAAACAAGAATTTGTAATAAACAAAAAAAGGATATAAAACAAACAACAAGACTTTTATCAACATACTTTTAATAAGGAAAATTAAAAGAAGGAAAAGGTAAAATAGAAAAGGATGAGGGAAAAAACATTATCGATTGTTATTGAGATATTTTCAATAATTGCACACGATATAAAGCGTTTTGTTTGTCGGTGATGAAATTTTTCGTAAACTTGAATCTTTTATTCGATACTTCTTTGTTGAATGATCACGCTATAGGGCAATTTAAACAACTGTAACGACTTCAAAGAATTTTACCTATGACTGACCTTTACGATTAACTTTTTCCCATTTCTCCAATTGTTTATATTCAATAAGTGCACGTTTCTTTTATATATATTCTATATATTGTACTATTTTTAAATTATAGATTAAAAAAATTCTCCCTTTATTTTTTTCATTACAGTTTTCGCGTTCGCTCAAAGTTACGGTGTACTTTTTGTAGCAAGAGCTGTCCAGGGTATTGGATCAGCATGTTCCAGCGTTTCCGGTTTGTTTTATTTGCTAACATCTGAAACCCTTTCGGAAAGAGATTAAATTGTGTTTTTTATTATCTTTTAAGGTATGGGTATGTTGGCTGACAGATATCCAGATGACAGAGAAAGAGGAAACGCTATGGCTATTGCTTTGGGTGGATTAGCTTTAGGGGTTTTAGGTTATTAATAATCATAGTAATTTCGTAATATTTTAAAATGAATTGTTTGGCGCTTTTAGTTGGTCCTCCATTCGGAGGAATTCTATATGAATTTGTAGGAAAAGCCGCTCCATTCATCATTCTAGCTGTCTTGGTTATGCTAGACGGATGTAAGTTCTATTACTGTTTATATAAGAGGTTTATGTTGTTTAATAAAAGAGCCTAAACTGATGGAACATTTCTGTTTTTCAGTATTGCAGCTAACAATATTTGATCTGAAAGTTATTCCAGAAACCCAGAAAGGGGCACCTTTAAAAAATCTTTTAAAGGACCCTTACATTCTATTAGCAGCCGGTAGATGTCGCTTTTTTACACAAAAAAAAGAATTTTAATTCTCTTGTTAAATACCATTTATATCTAGGTTCAATAACATTTGCGAATATGGGTATTGCTATGCTGGAACCATCGTTACCCCTTTGGATGTTAGATACAATGAAAGCTAAAAAATGGAAGCAAGGGGCAGCCTTCTTACCAGCAAGTATTTCTTATTTAATTGGAACAAACATTTTTGGGCCATTGGCGCATAAAATGGGCAGGTTTGTAATTTTATTAAAAAGACGAACAAAATCGTCTAACAATAAGTTAAAAATATTAAAAATTTCTTTTATAGATGGTTAAGCGCCCTATTGGGAATGTTAATTATTGGAGCATCATTAGTAGCTGTAAGTGAAAATCCACTTTATTTCTTTAACTATATTCATACGATTCTTTAGTTTTTTAACTTATTAAATGAATTTATTACTTTCGTACTGTAATTAATTTTTCAATGATAATTTTTGGCGGGAAAAAATACTTTAAATATCATCTTGGTTGACTTTTTACCTCGTGGGATAAAATATTGAAACTTACTAAGCAAATTATTGGAAAATAAATATTATTAACCAATTCTTACAGATTCCGTTTGCCAAGAATATAGGTCATTTAATTGTTCCTAATTTTGGCTTAGGCTTTTCGATTGGTGAGAATTGGAAACAATTCCTCTTTTTCTCTTTTGTTTCTTTTTATTCTCTTTTATAACAAAAAAGAGTTAAAAATTCAACTTTTATCCCTTTTTTTGTTTTTTTTTTCATTTGTTTTGAATTCTATTTATTCCTTTAATTTTTTTTTGTTTTTGTACTCTTTTGCACATGAACAAAAACTATAAAAATAGTAAAGAACTGTTCTATCTTATTGACTAACAGCATGTCTGAAAGAAACTAAACTCTTTAAAATAAAGGATATCTTTTCATAACTTTCCTTTTTGAATAATTCATTCGTTAAATTCAATAATTTGTCATTTAAGTATGATTTATTTAGAGGAAAAACAAGATTTTATATATTTTTTACACAGAGAATTCTCTATTTTTATCATACGTGTTTACCTATATAGCATGTGAGAACTGCATTAGTATCTTTCCAGATTCCATTTTCTACTAATATTTATCATCTACTTGCACCTAATTTTTTCATGGGCTTTGCCATAGGTAATTCCTTATTTTTTCTTTTTTCTTTTCCTCCAATTCCCCTTTCTACTCTTAAAGTCAGTAAAAGATAACTTTTTGATAAATAGTATTGTTAAGAATCATTGTTAATGGTGTTTAGGAATGGTTGATTCTTCCATGATGCCTATTATGGGTTATCTGGTAGATATTAGACATGTCGCAGTATACGGAAGTGTTTATGCTATTGCCGACGTTGCATTCTGCTTAGGATATGCCATTGGACCAGCCCTTAGTGGCTCCATGGTAAAGGCCATCGGATTCTCGTGGATGCTGTTTGTTATAGCAATTATCAATTTCCTCTATGCTCCCTTGATGATTTTCCTGCGGAACCCTCCGGTATTACAGGTTGAGAAACAGGTAAATTTCCGCCTTTACATTTGCTATCACAGAATTATCAATATTCAACTTTTGTATTTTCTACAGTGTTTAGTTATGGGCGATAGTAGTAATGTAAAATATGTTCAATATACTGAAGAATCCCCAGAAGCTAGTCCGATTAAGGATAGCACCTTAGAAACAGAACGCAGTAAATTCGTATCTTCCCCACCTCAGTATGATTCTACAGCAGAAAAGCAATGTCCTTGATAAAATTCACTTAAAAATGGGTAATTTGGTGCCATGAATAACAAAGCAATGGATTGAAAGAAAACAAAAAAAATGAAAAAATAAGGAAAAAAATTGCCAAATTGAGGGGGAAAAAAGGAGAGGAATGCTTCTTCTTCAAATTATCATTTAAGATAATCAATAATTAAATATTTATTAATTAAATATGAATTTAAATAAATTAATTAATTAAGTTCTGTTGTATATTAATGTTGTGGTTTTAGGTACATGAAAGAAGAAAACGTTTAATTATAGAAAGCATGATAATATAAATTTGTGCCTACTGCAAATGATAACAAAGTATAATAAAGAACTTAGATCTCATGAATAAACTATTTATTGTGCTGCAAAAGGAAAAAAACGCATGTTATTTTTAGTTTAAAAGATAGGGTAACAACAATATAACTTTTATATGTTATATGCATAGTTATGGTATGGTTCATTAAACCTATGTAAAAATTACATTGCCAATATTGTACAATACATTTACATCTAGGTCTTTAAATATGCCCTGATAAAGCATTCTAGGTATTTGGCCTGTGACAATAAGTATTTATACCGCCATCTATATTCAAAGCTTTTAGCTAAAAATACAAAATGGCGTACAGCGAAGTCACAGCCGGACCTGGAAAGGTGTTTACTCCAAAAAGTCGAATTGAGTTAACAATATCTTGCAAGTGAGTACTAAGTATAAAGGCGTAAGTTAATAGTAGTATAATGATCCCAAATTATCATCATGATTTTGGATAGTATTGAGGCTATTTATCTTTTTAAAAATTTTCTCTTCTGTTAAGCTCATTATGTCATAACTTTCAATGATTCAAATATTCCACTATGAATCTTATCCATATAAACTTGCAAAAAAAAATAATTTAGATAACATAATTATCATATATTTAAAGACAAATCTCTAATTAAAAGTTAGTATTATAGTAAAAGCTTTTTTAAAATATTCATAATTCGTTCTTTCATTTTCGTTGTTATATTTATATTTTCATAATTGCCTTTCTTTTAGAAATCTAGCAGACAAAGATGTATTTTCGAAATCTGATCCATTGTGCGTTCTTTTTGTTAAACCACCAAGAGCAACTGGATTCGTTGAGGTATATTGGCTTAAAAAAATAAATAGTTCAGTCATTACGCAATATTATTTCATTTTATAGCATGATAGAACGGAAGTCGTCAAAGATTCATTAAATCCTACATTTAAACATAAATTTGTTATTGATTATATGTTTGAAGAAGTTCAAGAATTGAAATTTCAAGTGTATGTATCTGCTGAATAAGAACAGATGATATACTCATCTTTTATCACTTATAGATCAAATAGCAATAACACTCCTTTCTCTATTTTTTTTTAACAGGTACGATTCCGATTCAAAGAGTAGTAATCTCAAAAATCACGTAATATATTTGAACAAGATATATTTCAAATAACTTATAAAGTGTATTATCTACATTTAGGAATTCTTAGGGGAAGCTCAATGCAGATTGTCTGAGATAGTTGGCAAAGGTACGCTTGTGTCTACCTTAAAGTCGTCTGGATCCTTTAAGAAAAGTTCCATTTCAAGTAAATTATCTGTCAAGTTGAAATATTTTCCCAAAAATAATGTCATGTTTGTTTTATTTTCAAGTTCGAAGTCAAGAAGTTGCTCATTCCAATGTAAGTCGATTGTTCAAGCTCATACTTTGTGAATTTTCTTTTAAGTCGCACGTTATTTTTTTAAGGATAAGGTTTTATTGCAATTCCATGCCAATAATTTGGATAAAAAAGATTTTTTGGGAAAATCGGATCCTTATGTTGTTTTATATAGAGAAAATATGGATAGAACGTTAGTTAAGATTATAAGAGTCTTTTTTATTTAGCGAACATTTTGAAATTGTCTTTCTATTAACAGGTTTACAGTTATTCACAAAACGGAAGTTATTCAAAATACATTGAATCCGAAATGGAGAGCTTTTCAACTTCCAGTACAGTCGATAGCTTTGAAAAGTGGTGATGCAGACTTGAAGATAGAGATCTATGATTGGGATAAAAACTCCTCGTAAGTTTTTATAATAACGTTGACGAAAATTCAATTTCAATCGGTATATTTAATAAGTAGCGATGATTTAATTGGAATATGCTCTACCTCATTTACTAAGCTAAAAGCAGGACCAGGACAACATAATACCTATGAGGTTTGTTTTCTATATAAAAGTTTCATTTTTTTTAGCTTTTTTCATTAAAAATTAGGTTATTAATCCGAAAAAGAAAAGTAAGAAATCTTATAAGAATTCTGGGACTATCAGTTTAACCCAGTATCAATACGTTCAAGAGCCCTCTTTCCTAGATTTCATTCAAGGAGGGTAAGTTGAAACATGGCGTTCTTATTTAAATATATGTAACATGCCTACATATTTTTCAGTTTGGAAATAAATCTTATAATATCCATCGATTTTACTCAATCAAATGGCCATCCACAATCCCGAGATTCTTTACATTACTATACCCAAAATAAGCATAGTCAATATGGATTAGCATTGTATTCTGTTGGAGAAATTTTACAAGATTATGACCAGTAAAATAATTTGTAAACTTAAAAACTATTGAATTTAAAGTTCTCTTTCTTTATCAGCAAAAAGAGGTTTCCTGCTCTTGGATTTGGAGGTTTATTGCCAAATCAACAAGTATCGCATTGTTTTTTTCTGGTAACCATTTTAATAAAAATTCTATAAATAGCCACAACTGGATATTTTTATTATTTTATTTAGAATGGTAGTTCATCAGATCCTGATTGTTTGGGAATTCCAGGAATAATGCAAGCTTATTATTCTTCCTTGCAAACTGTGAATCTATATGGACCAACCAATTTTTCTCCATGTATTAATTATACAGCCAAGTAAGATTAATAAACATTATATTCTATCAATAGTTTACGCTTTTTTTTTACAAAAATTAGCCGTGTGAGACAGAGCTCATCACCTGACAAGTATACGATCCTGTTAATTATAACTGATGGTATTATAACAGATATGCATGAAACAATCAGAGCTATTATTGATGTAAGTAGAAAAAAGTTATTGATCCATTCTTTTAAGGTTTACAAGTTTTCTATTTTACAGGCATCTTTCTTGCCGCTTTCAATTATTATAGTCGGTGTTGGTCGAGCAGATTTTTCAGGTTTGAAAATTGATAAATTTCAAACTTATAGGGATTATATATTGATGATACTCATTTCTCTTAACAAATTTAGCAATGGATCATCTAGATGCTGATAAAAGAAATCTTTCTTCCGGTGGGAGAACAGCGTGTCGAGATATTGTTCAATTTGTACCATTTCAGAGTATTTTGGATAGGTACGGAAATAATATTGATGCCGCTAAAGCAGAATTGGCAAAATGCGTTCTTGCTGAAGTACCTCAACAAGTTATTGGTTATATGAAATTTAAAAATATTAAACCTAGCGCTAGAAAATCTTTTCGCGGCCAGCCAGGCGGTCCAGAACCTCAAGGTCCACCTCCTGCTAACCCTGTTTATCCTACACCTGGCGCCCCCTCTGGACCCAGCCAGAATGCTGGACAATTACCGTATCCTGGGCAAAATGCTTATCCTGCGCCTGGGGCACCATCGGCTCCATATAATAATGCTGGACAAGCACCTTATCCAGGGCAGAATCCTTATCCTGGATCAGCACCTATACCTGGAGCACCGCCAGCTTCCCAACAAAATTCCGGATATAGTCCTTATCCTGGTTCGGCTCCTCTTCCAGGAGCACCGCCGTCATCTCAACCAAGCTCTGCACCTAGTCCTTATCCTGGGACAGCCCCATCAGCGCCAAATTTCAATTCTGGACAAGCACCTTATCCTTCGGGAGGACCATCCAACCAAGTACCATACCCTGGAGGCGGTCCTATGGCACCTGGAGCAAATCCAGCTCAAGCTCCCTATCCTGGAGGAGGCTTTATGGCACCATCCTCGCAGGCTTCGCAGTCCCCTTATCCAAATTTTTCGGGATCGAACTCTAATACCTATCCTACCGCACCTCCGGGAAACCAACAAGGACAGAGTCCCTATCCAAATAATCAACAGCACTATCCAAGCCCTTATCCTAATCCTTAATTATCGAAATTTTGACATAAAAGTAACGTTCTAGTTGAATAGTCGCTTTATATTTTTTTTGAATTACTGACTGACTGATGATTGATAAATAAACTTACATTTATATATTAGTACATATGTACAAAAAGCTTGTTATACCATAATAAAAAAGACAGGTGTCTTTTAAGATATCTTATACAAGCCTAAGAAAAAAAGGTCGACAACCCATTATGCAGGAGATCATTAACTTAGTGCCACCTGTCGTTCTTAAATTGTTTTCTATTTATTACTTAGGAAGGAGACAACTTCATATAACTAACTTCAATTTTCTCCAGGTAAATAATTATCTTCTTTTCATATTTACCCAATACATTTTCTGTTATCTGATTTACTACAGTCATTTAAAATATATAAATATTATCTTATGAATTTATCATATTAAATTTTATATGTTTTATAGAATCTTTATATTAATATTAATAATAATAATGTATAATTCTTCGAAGAGGTCGGAATATGATGAATTTACTTCGCCACGGTCTACTTTTATATGGTATTTCATATTATACTTCTTTAGTATGTAAGTTCTTCCGTATTCAAGACTTAATAGACCAACTTTAATATAAAAAATTATACTTTAGATTCTGAAAATCAAGAGTATAAATTAAAACAAAAGCTATTTAAAAATTATGACCCAACTGTTAGACCAGTTAAAGATGTTAGAACTATAACTAAAGTTGCTTTTAGCTACTCTTTAGGATTCATTGAAAGCTTGGTGAGTAGACTTTAACTCTTTGCTAATCAGCCATAAAAACCTAAATGGATGCATTATATTTCTTATTAATATTTATTTATGCAGAATGAGAAAGAACAATATCTTAAATCACTTGGCTGGTTGCATTATGTAAGGGGATCAATTGCTTTTCATCTAGAATTTTGTTAATTAATCTTTAAATGTCTAATTAATAATTTAATGCATTAGTCCTGGAAAGATGAATTTCTTTCATGGGACTTTAGAAAAGAGAATGTAACATCTATAGTAACAACATCGGATAAAATTTGGATGCCTGAAATGTCGCTAAGAAACGGCATGGAGGCTATTGGAGATTTGTCATTCAGAGGAAAGAATAGGATAAGAATATTCTTTTCAGGAGCCGTGATATTTATAACTAATTTACAAGTAAAGACTTCGTGCTTAGTCAATATTCAGAGATTTCCACACGACATTCAGGTAAACTTTGAAATGTGTTTTGACGATGTATACTTATTTATACGTATACTTAAAGGTATGTCACATAGAATTTGTAACAATTTCTAGTAACATTGGTGACGTATCATACGAACCTCTCAATCAATCAATTAAGTCGGATTTCTCAACGTCAAATTCCGAGTGGATAGTAATAAATTCAAAAATTGGGTCTAAAACTTCAATAACGCCCGAAATGGCAAATTTAACATTGAGCTACGTATCACTGGTTTTACAGAGGAAATCTTTATATTATAATTTAATACTAACTGGACCACTATTCCTAATAACTTTGGTATCATTTTGTACATTTTTATTACCTTGCGAAAGCGGTGAAAAGATTTCACTTGGAATCAGCGTTTTGCTATCTTATTCCGTTCTAACATTGATGATGTCTGAAGTTCTACCGAAAAATTCAGAGAAACCACCAATGCTAAGTAGTTATTAATGACCTATTTATTAAACAATAACAATAATATTTTCATATTTTTTTGTTCTTTTAGTGATATCAGTCTTTGTAAATATGATATTTACCGCTTTATGCCTTCTGTTCAACGTTGTTGTTTTGAACTTATTCAACCGACCAACCCCAATGCCGAAAAGTGTAAAATTCATAATTTTTCGAGTAATTGGACGCTATATACATTGCAGATTGCCAGAAAATTATGATAATACACCAAAGGTGAAAAAAAATCGAAAGAGAACCTATATATTCTAATAAGAGAGTTTGTTTTTTTAATTTTTACAGATCAATATACGAGGAAGGTTGAATACAAAGTCAAAAAATTCTACTCATTCCCTAATTGAACACTACTTTGAAGAAAAACTCGAAAAGCGAAATAAAGATGTTTTACTAGAGTACAACAAGGAATGCTGGCGTCAAGCGTCCCGGGTGTGTAATACATTTTTTTTAATATTAAGTATTGTATTGTTTTCTGTATTTTTATTATTCTTCTTTTTATATAACTATGCATCAGTAGAATCTTATGACATTAAGCGAAATTTGGGTAAAATATAAGGCTAAACTATTAGTTATGTTAAAAATAAATAATTTGTTCAAGAAGAATAATACAGATTCATTATTTTTTCCGTAAAATGTACGAACATAACAACCTAATTGAAATACATCTATAATTCGGAATTATTCACACCAAGTTGCTTTTTACATTGTTTGGAAAATGTTTATGTACAAGTTATTTTTGTTGTTTGTTTGTTTTAACAAATAAATTTAACAATATTAATCAATTTCACATAGAATAAATCTTTCCATTATCTTTGGTAATTGTAATCGATAAACACCATTTGGATAGTTACCTGCGCTAAGTAGGTGTTTCATTATCACTAATCGGCAAGATTTTTTCAGCGAGAATCGGCAGAACCATCTAAATTCTTCTAAAATTGGCATGAAACTTAAGACCTTCTCTAAACAATATATGTTCCCAAATTCGTTGCTTGATCTGAATATCATTTGGAGGCATGTGATCTTTGATTCAAGTTCCGTTTCTATTCCGTAATTTGACCATTGTTCTTCGTCAAGTTCACCCTGCCATATTTCAATTACTTTATGAGCTCTATAAATATCCCTTAGAATTAATCGAGATATTATTCCAAAGAAAACGTTATCGAGAAAAACTCCTCTTTGAACGAGTTGGCAGAGAAATTCTGGATCTTGTAAACCGTTGTCTTTCACACGGTACATAGCTACAATGAAGTAGTAGAGATTAAAACTTGTGAGAAAATCTGTGCATGCAGCCAGGGCATCTGCTTTGAAACTTATTGAGTAGTATGACGATTGTAGAACCAGTGAAACATCGTTTAGACACCCAAGTATATCTGATCTGAAAGATGGAATAGAAAAATACCATTGAAACTATCTCATTTAATTGACCATGCTTTTTCATCAAAAATAACATTTTAGATAATCCTTACTGTAATTGATCAGGATCCTCATTTTTCGCAAAATAAAGGGCTAGATTTTTCCTAGCCTCCTCAACTGATCCTCTTCTTAATAGATCGATAAAGTAATTTTGAGGAAAAACACAAGGAAATGACATTTTAACTTGCTAGTTTAGTCCGTGGGAAACGATTGAATTGTTTTGAACTTTCTTCTGGTGTATTTTACACTCCACGCATGCGCTAAAGTACCCGTTTTGAATTCATTGACCTAATCGTACTTGCTTATCAAGAAAAAACTATCAAGATTCTTTATTTAGTCACAAAAAGAAAATTCTATTTTTAGTTTGTTGTTTTTTTTTTTTAATTCATCTACTTTCGCCCATTCAACCATTCAACTTGATCGACTTTATTCGAGGCAAAAGTTTACAAACATTTTATACATTTTAGGTATATAGCAACTTTCAAGCGAATGCCCCCTAGATTGGAATTCAAAACTTTTACAAATAAATTAACCCTATTCAGTGGAGATACTACTTAACGAAGTATATGTTTAATTAAAGAGTTGATCGGCTAAGTGTAACAGAAGTCATATAGAGTATCGAGGTACATACAGGGTATTCTTGATTTGGGCTCAAAATGCTCTCAATATAGCTTTTTGAATAATTAAGAGGAGAGAGCGTTATGTTATTGTGACTAATTGTCCCAATAGGTGCATTAGTTATTCGATTTTCATTTAACATTCCTATACTACAGAATATCAATAAGATAGAAACTCATAGAAAAGTTTAAACAATGTAACAAAAAAAAAAGAACTTTTTCCACTTAGTTTTAACTATTGCGTCATATATAAAAGTATGTAGCTTGTTTGCTTGTAATTGCATTCGCTTAGAGATTTTCAAGTTTTAAAATCAAAGTAATAAGAGCTATAAATATCAAAATTGTAGATTTTTAGATAGAAACTAAAAGGCTAATTTATAATTTAGCTAGCAATATCTGGTTGCAGATATAGTAAAATTAGTTGCTATTCAAGGGTAATTAGCAATATTATAAATAGAATATTTGATAAAGCCTATTAATTTAAATAAACTTTTACTATTGCCTAAAAATATAAGTTTCCTCTAATTGATTGACAAAAAGAAGCTTATTGATTTATAAGTATTTTATAATACATGTTTGATGATTGCATTGTTTGTCAGATAGAAAAGCATTAGTCTGTTAAAACATTTATAGATAATTGAAGTATACATGTGACTGAAAGGTTTGCATGAGTCAGTTGATGAATGCCAAGACATAATGAACTTTTCTTGGTGTGTTATCTATCTTTTAGTTATTAGTTTCTTATTTTACAGGACTACCTGTCAAGGTAAATTAAATAAGTAAAATAATAATCGCTAATTAGTATTAATTTTCATATTATGAATAAATTAGAGAGCGTCGAATATCGGCTCGTGAAGCGACTTTTTAAAGATTATAATAAAGATGTTAGACCTAAAAAGGATCCTACAAAAGCTATATATGTCGATATTGCATTTTACTTGGGTAAAATTGATCAACTGGTATATAACATTCATTTTATTTTTATTAAATAAGAAACTTATATTAAGTCTACGTAAATACTTTTTCTTAGAATGAAAAAGAGCAATACCTTATGTCTTACGGATGGTTAGGATTGGTAAGGAATGTATTTTTAATGATAAAAGTTCGTTACGCTATTTTCAAAAACTTTTAGAGCTGGTTTGATGAGTTTCTAAAATGGAATAAAACGGAAGAAAAAGTAGACTATATAATTGTTCCTTACGACAAAGTTTGGTTACCTGAGCTCTGTTTAAAGAATAGTATTACTGAGAGCAATGATCTAACTGTGAAGCTTAAGTATAAAATAAAAGTTCAACATAATGGAAATGTAGTATATGTACCCGGAGCAAACTTCCTAACAAGTTGTAAAGTTCAATTAACTTATTTTCCTTTTGATGTGCAAGTTTGTCATTTGGAATTTGTGAAATGGATGACATTCAACGATCAAATGGAGTATAGGAACTCAACCACCGATGTAAACTTGCAATTGTTTGTACAAAATCACGAATGGACAATACTGGAGACAAAGAGTGGAGTAAAACCCGTCATCGTTGCAAACAAAGGGGGTTTAGATTTGTTTTATGCAACCATAGTTTTAAAGAGAAAGCCTCTATATTACACAATGACGCTGACGTTTCCTCTATGCCTAACAACAATTCTAACATTCTATATGTTCCTTTTACCTTGTGAGAGCGGAGAGAAGGTTTCTTTAGGTATTAGCGTCCTCTTATCGTATTCTGTATTATTACTTTTAATATCGGATATTTTACCACGGAATTCAGAGACTGCTCCATTGCTAAGTAAGTTTAGCTGTATAATTCTTAATAAGCATCCCAGTGTAATCACTCCAGAAAACTTTTATAGTGATAATTGTTCTCATGAATATGACATTTACGGCGTTTTGTCTTCTTATAACGGTAATTATCATAAATATTCATCATCATTCACCGGAGAAGCCAATGCCTTCATGGTTAAAAACTTTTCTTTTCGACTACGTGGCCAATCTAGTGTTTTGTAAAATATGCGTTTGTCGAAAGAAAGTAATATTTCGCTTTATAATTTAACTTATTTATAAATTGTTTGCATCTTTCACAGATTGACTGTAAATGTGATGATAAGATGGGATTGGAGAAAAAAAATGCTTTTAATGAAAACATTAATGAATTTTATACAACTGTAAATTTATCTAATGAAGTAAAAGAATTCATTAGGAAGAAAATAGCTGACGATACCGAGCAAGATAGTTTAGATAAAAGTCGAAAGGAGTGGAATAAAGCGGCCAGAATTCTAGATAGATTTTGGGCAATATTGATGTCAGTTGTTTTAGTAATATACCTGTCCATTATTCTTAATCATTTGGCTACAGCTGGAAATAATTATACAACTGAAGATAATCTCAGTTAAAGTTACGTTTGAAATATCCGTCGTAACGTCGAAAGATGAAATTCAAACATGACACTTAAAAATATGAAATTTTCAAGATAACTACCATTTTCCCTTGAGAGGTTTTTTCTCTTGTTTATATAACAAATTTTAATGTTTATATTAACTCGAAAGAAATAAAACATCTTTACTTACGTTTTACTAAATTTATTATACTTTTAGTTAAATGGTATTTATTTCAAGTTTATACGAAGATTAAAGTTTACCAGTTAATATTCGTTATTTATTAGTACTCAAAACTGCTTAATACTGTAACTTTTTTGAATAATTGACTTGTATACTGTTATAGTATTCTAAATAGTATTTCAGATATATATATATAAATTTATATATTATATTCTTTTAAAGAAGATTTGAAATAATTGACGGGATTTCTATTATTTCTAATTAGATAATAAAAAAAATGTCAGGTTTTTTTTTTAAAAAAAAAATATAAATAAAACTTACAAGCATGTTTGTTTTGAATTAGTATTGAAAGTTTGTGATGACCGTTAAACGAACATGACTATGTAGAAAGTGAAATTAGAAGATTAACAATCAAGTTAGTTATTGATTGTTAATCTTAAAAAACAAAACAAAACTACATAAAATGTTTAGTAATCTATTGAACTATAACCTTTTAAAATAAGTTATTAGCCTTATTAGTCTTAAGGCTATGTTGAAAACAATCATCGTATTATTGTGATAGTTATAGATAATGATGAGTTAATATTATCTATCTAATCTGCTATGAGTGGATTATTATCATTTTATAAAAATATATTAAAGGATCAGGTAATTTTATCGGCAGATATGAAACGTTTATATAATTATTAATTGATTATTAAATAATATATTTTCTACTATTAAAAGTATTTATTTCATAAATATTTCATAACATTCGCGGGAATTTCTAAAAGGGAAAATGATGTTGATGTTATAGCCTTAAATTAAATATTCATTCTTATTTTCGTATGCAAATAGATTCTTTCCCTTAATCTAAAACTGTCTCCTAAGCTAACCAATCGAATGTCTTAGCAGATAATGTTCCTCTAAATTGCATATCTTATAACCCAGAGGACTATCTGTCTTCGACAATGATATTGCAGTTGATATACATCTCTCTATCGTTTGAATTAATTTCCTCATAATAATAATAATAATAATAATATCAATGTAGTTTTCGATCAGATGAATAATCAACAGCAAAAATACAGTTACATTATTCATAAAGATATGGTACTGATTGAACTTTTTATCTGCTCATTCTACCTACTTTACTAAGAAAGAAAGCTAGTTTATGCATGATTTATATCATTTTATTTGGTATCTATTTTCACTGATCAATCAAAATTACTAAACGACTCAACCAGAGTCAATGATGATAAATTATTAACTAAGCATTAAAGCCGCCAATGATTGCATAGGGATGATAAACCGCTAACGCCATCTGTTTTTATATTGCAGAGTTCGCAATTACTAATTCGTCTGAATAATCAGACAGTGAAGTGACTAACTTTTCTTATCTTAGTAAATATTCATAAGCCTATTAGTCACCTTTCACAAACAATTTACAATCGTATATCTTATACATGCGTTTGTATGAATACAATAGATATAGTAAAAAAAAAGAAAGAGAAGAATGGTTAATGTCTATATATTTAACCGTAATAAATTTTTAAAATTTCTTATTGTTCTCTCTATTTTTTATGTTTTAGAGAGTGAAAACGACTTCCAAATTCCAAAACTTCAAGGTTTCCTATATAATTTCTTTTTCCAATAATGTATTACTTTTTGGCTTTATCAACAAAAACATTAAAATAAACAACGAAATAAAATATTTGCCTAATACTAGTTTATCAGTGTTGCGTAATCACCATTCTTCATAAACGGTTTCTTGTTGTTGTTGTTGTTGTTGTTGTCGTTGTACAAACACTGAAAAAGACACCCTTTTTTTCTACATTATAAGTAGAATGTATTTGTGAAAACTACGTTTGACTAACAAAACGAAATATTATCTATAAGCATTAAAAACATATTTAGGACTAGAATGTAATAGATATCGAAAACGTTGTTGACCAGCTTTTAAGACGAAAAACAAAAACTAGTTGAATTTCCAAGTAAGAAATCTATAAAATATTTTCCAACATTGCTTTGTTAGATAAATCTAATTGATATCCTAATGAATCAGATATCTCTCTTTTGTTTTTGTTATTGTTGCTGTCTTTTTTTTATTTCGTTTGTTTATTTTCAGTTTCTTTATTCCAGTTCACCTGAAGATTTTACATTGCAAAAAATCAGTTCATTATAATACTAAATGAGAGTATAGAAGAATAAAATCTTTGATAACTTGTTTTTAGCTTTCTGTAGCTTTCTTATACCTATAAAATATTCATGGAGGTTTTGGATTAAATTGTAAAAACCTTTAAGCTTTCGTATAAGAAATGAATTGAAAGAAATAATTTTAATATTTTATAAAGCGGAGTATAAAAACTGTTTTTATCTAATTTGTACTGATTTCAACTTTTATTTTTCTTTTTACTATCGGCATGTTTACCAAGATAAAAAATAGACGTTACTTAATACCAACTGAAAACCATTTTAAAACTGTTTGTACTAAAAAGAAGAGTCCGGTAATAGATAAAAAATACTGATAAATATAATACTTTTGCATTTGAATTTAGACAAGTGTCGATAAAAATCGGACTACCTTTAGATTAAATAAATAAGAAAATTATTTTTCTAATACTGCACAGTATATATGTTGCACGTGTATATTTGTATTTATATTTTTCTTGTTTTTATTTGTTTATTTATATATAGCATGCTACACAGCACAATTTTTTTAATATATATATATATATATATTTATATACACGTAATAGATTTGCTTGAAAACTGAGAAAAGAAATCTTTTAAAATATCCAAATCCTAGGAAAATAAATAATGGATAAATTTGAGTTTTTATGAGCTCAATAACTGAGACTCAAATGAAAGACTTTCAAAAAGCGTCCTGATAAAAGAAAAAATAGTCAATTCCTTTAAGCTTGAATAAACTTAAAGAAAGGATGATAATTTTCCTCTAAGCTATAGGTGGTTTTTCTTGTCCAATAACTGAGCAATTAGTATTTGAGGACTCCATTTCAATTTCACCTATAATTAAAATAACATTAGATTAGATTTCTGATTATGGGTATTAAATTATTTTTTAAGCCTACCCTTATGAACGACATCATTAACTGCTTTTCGGTCTTTTGAGATAAAGTGCGCAGTGGCAAAGAAACAAATTGCACCCAATGAGCAAACAACTGAATTTATATACATAGAATACTGAAGAGATTTATAAGATCTGTATATCTCCGTCGAATTTGTCATACTTTTTCCTATTCCGTCAGCAATCTGTTTACAAATTATTCAGAGGATTAGTTGAAGGTTAAACCTTTGGCAATGGTATTGTTTACCTGTCCTACTAAGAATGGGCTTCCCGCGTCCCCGAAGGCATGTGATATTAGAATTTGAATAGCTTCGGCCATTGACCTTCTTGTAGGAATTACAACGCACATAAGAATATCGGCGACAATTGACCAATTTAAGGAAAGAAACAGCTCGGAAATAAATATGAAAGCCCACGTCGCTTTGAGATTAATACAAGATAACGCAATTGCTATAAAAATTGTTGGTGCAGCAACAGCCAAGCCAATTCCACAGACAATTGGATCAGACTTTTGAGTCCATCTTCTGAGGAATCTTGCGCTTGTAGCACCAATTGCCACACCTAATAAACCTGTTATGCATGTGCATACTCCAAAAGTTATATTAATAGTTTCTTTTGACATTGGTTGAAGTATTCCTCTCTCCTCAAAATTAACTTTAAGAGAATCACTTATATAATAAGGCGTCCAAAGCGCCAGTGCACCAGCCACGAAAGATACACAAGTAAAGCCTAATGTTGAGAACATAAAGCTGCCATTGGCCAGCAAATACTTTATGTCTTTTTTGAGAGAAGTGTTCTTAAGGTGAACTGCCCCTTCAGAAGCTCCTCTAGCTGGGATACGGATGAAAAATAAGCCAAATATACAAAATACACCTAATATGGGCGTGACTCTAAACGACCAAGCCCATTCGCCAGAGGCGGCTTTAGCAACACCTGACGACATTATATAACCTAAACCAGACCCAACTGGAATAGCAAAATAGAATACAGCGAGCATTTTACTCCTCATACCATCAATAAAGTAATCGGCTATAATCGTTGGAGCTATAGTTGAATAACTAGCTTCTCCAATACCAACAAGAGCTCTCATCAGTAAAAAAGTCCAATAATTCTAATTTATGATAAAATTCAACTATTAAATACGAAAATACGACCTAAAAACTCGAAAAGTTCAACTTACTTTAGTAACAAATGAGCTAACCAACGTTATAACAGACCAAAAACCTATACCAACAATCATAAGAGCTTTCCTATTATAGCGATCACCCAAAAATCCAAATATAGGTGAGAATATCATGTAAGATATAACAAAAGCTGTTTGTAATAAACCTAATTGGCTACGGTTGTTTCCTTCTTCCCCGAAGAATTCAATCTCAATCAGTTTCAGAACGCCTGTTAAAATATATATATATATATATATATTCCATCAATGTAAGAACGTGTTTTGCTTAAATATAGAAAAAAGTCAATAATGCAAACTACAGCAGAATGGTAAAATCGTAAATTTATTGTATGTTTGTTTTTTTGTAAACTTCCTCTCCTCTGTCTATCATTCTGGTACATCCTCCCCCTCCTTTGAAATAAAACAAGTTACTTTATATATTCAACTTTTGAACCTAGAAGACTGGATGAAAATCACGGTATCTGGTTTCGTACAATAACAAGACATTATTTCGTTTATTCTTTAAAAAGTATTTTTAGCTGATTACCCGCTGCTTAACAATTTAAAAATATACTTTATTTATCAACATGTCTCCACGAGTCTATTATATAATTTTACTATATTGTTCAAAGAAAAATGATAAGTTTTATCTATTTATTTTGATTATAAATCCTATTAGTTCTTTGTATTTTTATCAGTTATTAAACTCATTATAGTACTATGAGATAGCTGATATTTTTTATCAATACATACCGTCTGCATAGAATTATGTATACATTATACGGGAAAGTAATGTTCAATTTACCTGCAACTGTATATCTATCCATATAGTTCAGAATGTTGGCAAGGGTCAGTACAAATACAACCAATACTTTTTGGAATGTAGTTGGCTGGAAAACGGTTGATCTCCAGTTGTCTTTTTCACCAAGGAGACCCTGACAGCTTTCACTGGGTGTTACTTCCTTTATTTCTTGCGAGTCTTGAGATTGTTGAGAACGTCTTTCCTCCATTAGATTTTCTAAACTGCTTGAGGTCGTCACTGCTGCTATACAAGGTAAATGTAGAGATGTAAGGCTGTTAGTTCGTCTATCTTTCTCAAAATTTCCACTTCGAGCTTCGGAGGGCGAAGACCTGTGTCTAGACCTCCCTTTCGGTCTCTCAACTATCAACTCCTGCTTTGGAATCAGGCTATCACAGTTCTTGAAGGATCCGGCTGTCATCCTTACGTAATAATTATTGTTTGTCCGACCTTGTGTAGATAGTTCTCACCGGCGGCAGAGAATTCGTTTAAATGGCACACGTCGGTCGTTTCAGATAGCGTTGTTAATATTCATGAGCAAAAGATCAGCCGATGTGACGTCATCTGGGATTCTCCTCATTCAGAATTTGAGGGGAAAATCTCCATATATGGTTACGCCTTGCAATATGGCGTAGTCGGTTATCGCTTATTGGTTACTTTCGAATTGACCCACTATCATACCAGTAGGCGGATACCGCTAGGAGTTACCAACAACAAATAAGTCAAATACATATTTGTCCCTTTTTTTCAATGAACCATGTCGATTATAGTCTACATAGGTACAGGCATTGACATTTTAACTTTACCCTTGATCTTAACCTATTTTGTTTACTGTTTTTGAAAAAATTTTAATTCATAATTTCAGTTATCAAATTGTATAAGTATCTTTAAAAATATATCTAGACTATACTTAGACAAAGAGATGTTTTTAATAAGATTACTTCCTCTGTTTTTACACATGCTGCTCATCTATTGTTTTTTACCAGTTTCTCCAATTTGCTCAATCGCACACTTTTGCCTTTTTCCCACAATCCATGTGGTTGTGTCGTAAGAGTTCAGCCCTGTTTCAACAACTCTTTGGCTTGGTAAATATCCAAAGAATGCCTTTTTATGCGGTTCGTTTAGGACGAGTTCCTGGCATCTATGATACATGGTTTGTTCTAATTTTATATTTTTGCCTTTGATGTGAATTTAAACTACATTAGGGACGAGTGTTCGAAACAAGTAAATGGCTATTCTAGAGCTCAATTTAAGAAGTTTCCAACAAGAGAATTAGCAACGCAGTTTATAAGCAATCCATCCACGAATACAAATAGACCGAGAAATAGTTCATTCACAAATCGAAGGTTAAAAAGAAAATTTAGCGAATCCTGTCCAATGCCCCCGTTGCTTGACGAATCAGCAGCAGCTGTTGATGATACAAAAATAAATGTCGAAGATTCAAAAAGGGCTTGCTTTGGTAATAATGATCGATTCGTAGTATACACAGATGGTGCGTGCTTTAATAACGGATCAAAATCGGCTAAAGCGGGTATTGGCGTCTATTGGGGAAAGGAGAGCAAGTTTAACCTTTCTGAACCTCTGGAAGGAAGGCAAACGAATAATAGAGCAGAAATCCATGCAGCAATTAGAGCAGTAGAACAGGCAAATTATCAAGGAATATCTAAACTTACCATTCGTACCGACAGTAACTTTCTAAAGAATTCCTTCCATAGATGGGTTTGTAGAATAATAAACTTTACATTCATTAACTAAAAGGAAATTACATTTTTAGATAGCAAACTGGCAGGTAAATGGTTGGAAACTAGCTGATGGAACAACTGTAAAGAATAAGGATGATTTCATACGACTTCTTGAAGTTTCTAAAAATATTGATTTAAATTTTGAGCATGTTAAGGGGCATTCAAACATTGAAGGAAATGAAGAAGCTGACCGACTAGCTAACTTGGGAGCAATGAAAAAAAAGTAATACTCGATTCATAAACTGGTATTAATATGACTTTTATATTTAAACGATACATGAAAAAACTACTGCAGCATATTTTAATTTTTTCAAACTTTATCTTTCTACTTTGGTATTTTTACTATATCAGATTCTATGCATCATTACAAAAGTGAAAACATGAAACTTGAATCAAAATTGTTTCTTATTTTGTACGATGTCCAAACTCTAGAATAGTAGGGCAGTTGATGTATCAAACACATGTGACTTTCTTTGCTTTTCTTTGCTAATCCAATCAAACTGCTTCATCTTTATACAGTGTTTCAAGAAAATAGTTACAAACCGGTAAGAAATATACTAGTTTAAATATTTATTTTTTTACGATTGTTAATATTTTCTCTTTATTACATGATAAAAATCCAGGACACAATTTTAAAATGATAGCAAAATAGCTGATAGCAAACATTTTTTATGATATCGAGGATTAGTTATATTTAATATGCAGTTTATAATAATACAAATTCTAGGTTTGTAAACTTTTATTCTTTTATTACTTTGTAAAAATGTAAATTTTTAATTTAGCGAGCCTTTTATATTACGGAGTCGAGTGTTTAAATTTCGAGAACAATGGATATACGCCTTTTCTGGAAATGTCATCGGGCAGTTTCTCTTCAAATAACAACATTAAATGCCCTTCAGCCCCTGATATTTGCCATTTAATAATAAGCGATCAATATACAAATACGTCTCATTTTGGAACCACTTTTGAGGATTGTAGAATATGTATAAAAGACTTTCATTTGGAAGCTAATAATCTTAAATTCATTAATTCATCAATATTAATTTTTTCGCATGAGAATAAGTCATCATTAACTCTTCGTCAAAGTCTTTTAGTGAATTCTCGAGTAATCTTAGGACCCGATTGTTTTTGGAATAGTTCGGAAAATTGTTCGCATAATTCTATAGCCTTAACATTACTGGATACAGCTATGATTGAAGCTGGAACTGTTATAAAAACGAAAAATACTATTAAAAGTGTCCACGTTTCTTTTATTAACACAACTATTGAAAATACGCAAAATTTCTTAGACTTTGCTAATTATAATCACCTTTCCTTAAATATTTCAAGTACTGTTATAAAGAAGGCTATGGCACTTTTAAACGTTATTCGGGTGTTTAATAATGATTTTTCTCAAGCTTTTATCAGTATAACGAACAGTATCTTTGAAAATAGTACTAGCAGTTTGGGTGGAATTATACATATCCAGAATAAGGAAAAAGGTAGATTTATTCTACTTTTGGAAGAATGTATATTTAGAAGGAATAAGGCTGTGGTAGCTGGTAGCGTTGTGCAAATAGATTCTCTAAATTTATCGGATAAATCTATTATTCGTGTGAAATCAACGACATTCATTAACAATACTAATCAAGAGAGTGCGGCTGCTATTTATGTTTACGGAGCACAGATTGAAATAGATCAAACGAAATTCTTAAATAATCATGTTAGATTGAATTCAAAAGGTTTAATACATAGAGGATCATTCCCTACCCCAACACAGAGACAGGGAGCTGGTGGAGCTATATATGCTCATATAACTAGTCGAGTGAAAATAACTAATTGTATTTTCATTAACAATACGGCAACTTGGTTCGGAGGTTCAATAGCTGGTGAGGGAGAATTAACAATCAAAGATAGTGAATTTGAAAATGGTGACTCTTTTGAACACGCTACATCAGGAGATATACTCTTTTTAAGCGGTAATTGCATCCTCTCCAATATAACTTTCAGAGTTAAATCTACGGCAAACAATCTTGCAATTATCTGGTATAGCAGTCCTGGAGATAGCTATCTAACAGGGGAGCAGGATATAAAAGTTTCCTGTCCAGTTGGATCCAAACTGAGAACTGATACCTTACCTGAAATATTCATAAGCGAAACACTTTCTATAGTTTATAAGGATTTTTTGCTCTTTTGCGATCCTTGTCCAGATCAAACATATAGTTTAGACGGAGGAACTCTTTTTGGAAGTCTATCTAGTAAAAATTTGACTATTACACCAACTGATTGCATCAGTTGCCCTTATGGTGGTTCTTGTTCTCGAGGTAAAGTGGGTGCTAATGAAAACTTTTGGGGATTTAAGAAAAAGAATAAAAATGAGATTAAGTTCATTAATTGTCAGGATTCGTATTGTTGCACTAAAAAAAGATGCGATAGCTACAACGAATGTGCCCCAAACAGAGTAGGTCCATTGTGTGGAGAATGCAGAGCTGATATGTCCGAGGTATTATTTTCACCCGATTGCAGAGAAAATGAAAAATGTACTGATAGTTGGTTCATTATAATTGAAATTATTTCGATTTTTATCTCCTTCTTATTCTTTGCTTATCAAATGGAAATTACACTATTTATAATGCAAAGACTACTGTGGGTTCCAATAACACATTCAGACGATGCAGCAATGGCTGGTTACATAAAATCTATATTCTATTTCTATCAGACAGTACCCTTGGTTGTTGTTTGGAGAAATAGAGCCGAATCTGTCATCAGCACTCATATTCAACCAGTTATTGTTACCATAATGAGTTTTGCACCGATTGCTGCGTTTGTACGAGTCTGCCCTTTTTTAGGTTTAACTAGTATTGGCAAATTAATATATACAAATAGCAAGCTAACTCTCTCTCTAGTCGCCTTACTTTTATTTGTTTTATTGCGATATATTTTTGTCAAGCTAAGAGTGCTGTGGAAAAAGAGAAGAAGACGCACTCAGGAATTAGCTGAGAATGACCTATTGTTGGAAGAAAATCACAATCCTGATTTATGCCCAGAGCCAAGTTTTAAAATCAGGATGATAATTGCTGCTTTAAATATAATTATTTATAACTACGTTAATGTGTCAACTCTTATTTTCTCTCTTCTTTCTTGCACAAACGTTGGTCAAGAAAACGCAGTTTTATATTTCGACGGTAATGTCAATTGTGGAGAGTGGTGGCAATATTTTGTTGGAATTATGGCATTCGCTTATGTTATACCATTCTTTCTTCAAGTTATAATCTCCAGAATGTTACTTGATAGAGATGTTATTACTCCAAAGCAGTTTATGCTATCGTATCTATTCCCGTTACCAATGCTAATTTATTTCGGAATAAAGCATGCCAGTTTCAAGGAGTTTAAACATATTTTGCAACGAACAAACTCCCATATCTCAATAACAGCTAGAGACAGACCAGATTTGCTGGAAGAGTTAGATGAAACAGAACGATTGAGAGCTCTATGTCTCTTTGTTGTTGAAGAACCATTTTTGAAGAAGGGTTATGAAGACTTAGATAAGTCACACAAGTATTGGGAAGGTGTTTTGGTCTTTCGCCGTCTTGTTGTGATACTTATGAGAGCTTTTATACAGGATCCCTTATCTTGCACTACATGTCAGACCCTCGCCTCCCTTGCATTTTTGCTATGGCATCTTCACTTTCGACCCTTTGCTGCAAAGTCTGCACAGAATTTAGAAACGGCCGGACTTTCTGGTTTGTTGATAATAGGCATAATGCATATGGTTGAAGCAACTTTTATTGCTTCTGGCGTTCAACCCTCTGGACCTAACAACACCAGAGTCCTTATTTTCGATACCATAGAACTCATAATTATAGCTGCTCTACCTTTATTGCTTGGAGTAGGACTTGTTTTCAGCATGCTTGCAAAACTCCTACTTTCTATTTATAACAAAATTAAGGCGGGACATGGCAATTAACTACATTTTAAGCTTATATCACTATTTACAAAGATAAACTCTACTTGTACACATCGTCATTGCTATCTACTTGATGAGAAAACATTGATTATTTAGTTGTATATTGAGACATATAATCCAGATGATTGTTTTTAGAAAGAATACATAAAAGTAGAGTAGTAGATTAATATATTAATCTATTACTATTATTTCAATATCAACTTTCATTTAACGAGCAGTTTATTCGCTATTTTTAGACCTATAGCATATAGATCAATAAACTTTATGTCATTTTTACAGTTATCAAACGTATGTAATATCAAAATATTAACGTGAATAAATTGATATTCTTATTTGCTTGTTAATTTTATTCTTAAAAAAAAAAGCCATTCTATCTGGTTTACAAATTATTTTCCGCAAATGATAAACACCGTTGCCCATTCAACGTTTAATTCATTGTTAGCCACTGCCCAGTCTGAATACTCTGACTCGATTTCGTAGGCTCCTTGTATATTACCACAAGCGTGTAAAAGTGCGTTAAGCAATTCAAATGCTTTACTAATCCATTTCAAGAAAACTTTTTGAGTGTATGGCGGAGGTTGCAAAGCTTTTCTGAGTATATTAATAGCTTCAACTGGAGCGGATATTTCGTTGTAGAATGAACCAATTAATACTTGTAAATATGTACTTGAGTGACGTTGTTCAATAACTTCGAGAGCAGCTCTTGCTTCATCAGTCCTAAGGAATTAAGCATGTTTAGATGCAAATTATGAACTCTTTATAGTTCACACTTACTTTCCTAATTTCGTTTGAATTTGAGCTAGGAGGGCTGTTGCTAAAGCTGTTTTAATGCTCTCTTCACCCCAATGTAGCCGGTACATTTCCAGAACCGTAGACGCTTCTTTTTCGGCCCATGTAAGTTCTTCCTTTTTGTTTTCTAAACGGCCCACACAGTAAAGACATTGAGCAAGTGTAGCACGAAAGTATGCTATTTTAGGATGATTTGGTGGATAAAGTTCCTGAGCCGTTTCTACAGCTTTCGTTGCACAATTGTACCATCTAGTGAAGAATAAAAAGTTTGCTCTTGTATAATACTTTACAATTTACTCACTTGGATTGATCCTGTTGTAGGGCAATCATGATGCTTGCCATTAATCGGTTAACATCAGCTACTAATAAAGAAAGACCTGAATCATAACACGTTTCAACACTGTATAAAAGTCTTTTTGTGAGTTTATATAATTCAATATCGTTGTTAAATTGCTTCAAAATTTCAAAATAGTTCAAACATGCTCTATAAAAGATTGGATGACGTTTTCCATAATTAGCTTCTGCAACCAAAAAAGCATTTTGAGATGTTTCTTCTGCGTCTTTCAACCTCCACATTAAGGCTTCCGTCAATGACATCTCAATTTTTGCATTTATAGAATCTTCTGTTTTAAACGTTTCTTCACCAGCAGCTTCTTCTAACGCTTTTTTACTGTATTCCAATGCGGCCTCTAGGTTACCTTCTTCTCTGTTCAACCTCGCTGTTTGTACATAAATTGCGCTCTTCTCAAACTTTGGAGATTCTTGAATTAAAGCCCTAGCTTCATTAAATTCAGCCCTGTCTATGTGGATTTTTATGAGTACAGCGTCCAATCTATAATACCAAACTACATCCGGATTTGTTAGATTCTTAGCTGCTCTTAAGAGATTTTCGGCTTTGTTTTCATTACCCATTTCTAGTAAGATATCTGCTAGACCAAGTACAATTTCAAAAATTTTGATCAAATCTCGTTCAGTCTTCGTTTTAGGTTCATTCAATATTTCTATCATTCTTGAAGAGACTTCATCAATAATATCAATGGAATTTGAATCTTTAAGAGAGTGTAAATATTTTAAATATGCAGGAATGTAATGAGTATCCGTAACAAATTTATGGAAAAAGTTGGATAAACATAATTCAAATTCATCTGTTAATAGATCATCATTTTGTAGCGTAAAAAGAAATTCCAGTTTTTTCATAGTTTCCAATGCAGTTTCTTCTCTACTTAACTGCTTTTTATCTTCCTCTTTTTTTGACTGAGACAGTTGATTGAAGAGTCTATCCGACTCAGTTAATTTTGATTGGTACCAGGCCGGAAATATCACATTTGCTTCGTCTAAATCTACTAATGTAAAAGAACATTTTTTCTTTCTTCGTCCACTGCGGCCATTCTCTTCATCCGTCTCTGAAGTTCGAGGAGCTTCTTTCGTCCCAGTCCAGAATTTACTTATACCTGGTATAGGCCTGTAGTAAGGTAATCTTCCAGCATCACTTCCTCGTCTTTCCGTTTCGACTTGTAATTGCTCAGGTAATAGAGTATTCTCCATAAAATCAATTAGCATCCTGTATTGCTTCTTTATATCCTCTGAATCGGTATCCGGATTCATTAAAGACTTCTTAAATAATTTGTACCAATCACATTGACCTGTTTTTGTGGGTAAAATATCAACAAGAATCCGTGCCCTGTCCGTTGGGTTTTCGCAGCCAATAATAAAATCACATTCTCTCCTCGTTAGCACACCCTCGTCATGTAAATAATCTAAAATGTGCTCTACTTTCAATTGTTGAACAATAGCAACTCGATTTATTTTCAATTTTAGTAAATTTTGCAGTTGAATATCTGACCAATTATCCAAACTTGATTTGGTCCATCTACTACTATCATAAAACCGAAAAGCAACCGGAGGTAAGAACTTCGATGACATTTTTGATTCTAATTGTTTGCTGTTGCTATGCGGATTAATTGATTCTTGGTAAGCCTATATTTTTAAATATTCTTATAAAAAATCAGAGTATGGATTTGCATTAAAGGTGGAATATCAATGGTAAAATGCTTAATTCTCTTTCTCTGGCGATAAAAATTGAATTGATAAAGAGCAATCTATAAAAATGTTATATTTTTTCCTTGAAATTGTAAAAATCTAAAACCTTTCAATAAAACAAATAATATCAACATGGCACAACTAGGAAAAATCTACAAAACGTCACTAATTTATATGGGATAAAACATCTAATAAACCTTTAGCAGACGGTCTACTTTTTGGGTCTCCTTGCCAACATTGTGTAAAAATGTCTTTGTATATGGATTCTTCTTCGGAGGAGTCTAACAGTCGAATAGATGGTCTTCGATTTTGAGATACAACTTTAAATGCTATTATATGATGATGTACATTTTCGTAAGGTACTCTCCTCTCTTTCATTTGCCACATGCTTATGCCCGTAGAGTATATATCAGACTTATCAGAAGGATATTGACCTCTAAAAAGTTCTGGTGCCCTGTAGGCATAAGTACCAACAACATTACTCTCCACTGAGTGAGAATCTCCCAGCTTTTGTACACAACCAAAATCTCCCAATTTACAAGTATCTGTTACTGAATCAATAATAATATTGGCTGGTTTAACATCTAAATGAACAAAGTCTTTAGAATGCATGTATTCAAGAGCTTTCAGTAAGTCAGTCAGATATCTTATTCTTGTATTCATAGGTAATACTTCGTCGTAATTGTCAATTATATGTTGCAAATTCTTTCTTCCTGCATATTCCATAACAATTATAGTTTCTGCTTCACAGCTATCAATTGTATCTACCCAAAATACACGAACAATATTTGGGTGTGAAAAATTTAGAGCGTACTCTTCCGATGTTATACATTCATCTCTAGCTGTCTTCTTCTTTAATTTCTTAATGGCTACTTTCCGTCCATTCCATCTTCCTGCGTACACTTTTCCAAATCCTCCTGCACCAATGAGTTTCTCTAATCTAATAGAAGGTCGCCTATTTTTTATTGCACTTAAAGGACTATTGGTAATCTCTGTAACTGACTTTCTAGGCAATTCGTTGAAATTAAATACAGCAGGAGAAGTAGGTGTTGTTAAATTAGCAGACGGCCCCCTATTTTGATATATAATTGAATTAATAGCCAAAGAGCTCCGTCTAGGAGGTGTTGGACAAATACGCGGGGAAGCATTTGATAGTCGTCTTCTTATCGATGTTAAAGCACTTTTACTGATGTTTGGTGAAAGAGGACTAAATAACATTCTTTAAAAATCTATAAACGCTTCCTTTTCAGTTGTTAATTTATTTAAAAATTTGTTTATGAACATTAACTCACTTTTTGAACTAAGAGTACTTTTCAAAATGACAGCGCCACCTGGTGTTTGTTAATTATTTTCGTCTGCTAGGAGAGAGTATTTTATAGGGCATGTTTCGATCTCGCTCACTGTTATTACCTAGAAGAATAATGTCTACTTTCGTAACTCAAAAGAGATATTTTCACCCAACTGTTACAAAAGATTATATACGAAGAGTTCTAAGAGATAACTTCCAATGTGAGGAGTTTACTTTAGCTGGCGAGAAAGGCAAAGCTCTAAGAGGTTTGGCCAACTCTTCCTGTTACGCAATTTTAATAAAGATGATTGAAGGCCATCCTCATATGTTATGTACAATTCGTTCATCGAGTGTAACCTTGTCAAAGGGTTGGGTTGTACCTGCTGGTGGAATGATTGATGATGGCGAAACCGAGATTGAGGCAGCAAAGAGAGAAGCCTACGAAGAGATCGGTTTGCCAATGGAAGACTTTGATATTATTGGTGGAGCTAAGCCTCTCCCAATGATATTTAGCACAAACAAGCAGACGCATTTTTATCTTTCCTGGTCAATATTTGGTTTAGTTCCGGATAACTTTACTCCCGTAATAAACGAAGAAGTTGAAGATTATTTCTATATTCCGCTGTACGAATTCGTAGATCAACTAGATAGTAGTCATTCAATAACTGAGGTAGATTACTTTTATGATCAGAAAGTTTTTTATCATAATTTCAAATGGACACATAAGAATAAATTGTATAAAATATCTGGTGCAGTTGGACATATTGGACTTATATCGGCAATAGCTATTTATCAAAGAAAAAAATATGTTAAATTTGGACCTGTAATAGAAGTAAGCCGCCATAATCTTAAACATGTCAACGATTGGTTTTGTTATACAACTGTTAATTTCTTGAAAAAACACATGTCCCCATCAAAACTTTAACGATTAAGAAAACAAATATCAATAATTCAATATATATACTAATATATATAGTTTATATTATATAAGATATTTGATTATACTTATATATATATATTTTTCTTCATTTAACCTATGAACTTTATCCTAAATTCGTGAATAATGCAATAAATTGTTCAATAACGAAAAAAAAAATTAATAATTATGTTATTTTTCAAAACAGCAAGCTCACGGAAGAGAGATGTAATTCTCAAAAAAGTTTATAATTAGTTGGAAAAAAAAATAATAAAGTAAGGTCATTATGAGCATGCTTCTAATTATTATCAACAAAATGAATTTGATTGAATTTTTTTTTTGAGTAAATGTTCTTTTTTTCGCCATTTATATTCTATGTACTTAGAGTCGTTGGGCGTTTATCGGTGAAAAAACTCTTCAAAACTATAATTTGACCTATGCCGACTATCAAAACTATTATGGATTCTCCTATCGACCAGAACTGAAGAGAAAATAAAGGGTTTTTGTAGAATATGTGTATAATCGAAAGTAAAGATATTTAAATGTAATACCTGAACTTTTTCGTTTAGTTCTTCTGCGTATACTCTTCCTTGAGCTTCTCTCAAGCGATGATGAGTTTGAAAGTCTCTTATACTCTTCAAAGCTTCATGTACAGATACTGCAGACGTTTCCATCTGATAGAATAATTTGTGAGATTATTTGAAAGGATCAGGAGGAAGATTGATTCGGTTTACCTGCGTTAAAGCTGTATGATGGCTTTCCATACCCTTCGTTAAGGGTTTTTCTTCTCCAACCATTAAATCCATATATACTACTTTATGAGTGAAAGTTGAAAATTCATTACTAAAGCAAAACACATGTTCACCATCTTCATCAGCTGCCCACTAAAGGTATTTGTAACAGCATTTTGTAAATACATATTGATATATTATATATTTGTTCTGACGTGTAAATACATACGTTGAATGTATCATATTGCTTCTTTTGTTCCTTGTACAAAATTTTACCTCCTGGGCCTTTTACTTCTAAATCGACATCATAATTACCACCGGTAACAACCTGTGAAGTAATAATAGTCAAATATGATAAAAATTATTATGATTACCTGTAATATTACCTGGTACTCAATGGTTGCTTTTGTTCCTTTCTTAATAATTTCGTGAAAACACTGTACAGCATTATCCGGTAGTTCAAACGTTAATTCAGAAGCAGACACTTTGTATGCGAAAAGCATAAGTAGTATAATGGGAATTCGAACCATTTTTTAAGCCAGAGATTCAAAAAAATCAAGTAATTTTAATCTTGATGAAATTTGAATTTTTTAAAATTCTATTTAACTCTCTTTCAAACAAATCTGTCTTGCCGAAATGTTACGTGGATGTCGTGGCAACTTCCCGGATGTTTATGGCGGTAATGTGGTACTCTTTCAAAAATTTCTTAATAAAAATTACTTGACGGGGAATACGTTCCAGACTATTTACTGCCTCTAAATACTTCAATCGTTTACTAGAATGAAGTTATATATGAGAGCAGTTAGAAAATGTAGAATAAATATTTTTGGATTATTTGTATTATGCTTTTTATCCTATCAAATTTTTATTTTATGCGATTTTATCAATTTGAAAGAAACAACCAGCTTAAATGAAAATCATTTAGCAAACAATCTAAAAGATTCGAAATTAGGTAATGTATTTCAACTTTCAATACTCCTTTTAAAGTCATTGTCATTCATTTTAAACAAAAGATAAGTATACGAATAGCATTTCAGTAAACTTATTTATAGTAATAAATATGATATATGAAAGTTTTAGGTTATTGATTTATAGAATATAGAATAAAAGGTAAATAAAATTGTTTATTATATTTGTTTTGTAGGTCGAGAATTATTAGAATTGGAAGAAAGATATGAAAATGTTAGAAAAATAATAAACAGAAGAAGAGGAATATTTCAAGGAGTACAATTGGAATTCTTAAATTTTATTCAACATTATTTCAAGTGAGTAAGCCTTTTATTTGCAAGTTTTTTAATAGGCTGAATCGTTTATAGTATGATAGATAATTCTTATCATTAAATTCACTTTCTATTAGTACCGCAATATATTCTTCTATTCTTTAAATTACTATTATAATTCATAGCTGATTATGATGGTCTTAGCTACCAATATAGTCGTGTTATAAATCTGTTTTAATAACGAAAGTTATTTTATCTAACCTCTTGCTGCACAAAGCCTTAGCTTTAAGGCCAATATTTTAGAATACCAAGGCAATACTATCCTATACATTTTGAGGTGTATATTCTATATCATACCTAATATAGACATGTGACACTGATAACTTATCCTAAGCTTCTTGTCTATTTATCTTAAATACATTTATCAATCATTAGTATTGTTGACCACAGTTTGACAAACTAAACCAGTTTAGTAGATAAATTGTCATCGATAAGACAACACGTGTTTTGAATTATCATATATTAAGAAGCGCATATTTCTCGAACAGCTAAAATTTGCCTTAAACAATCAATAAATGTTTGTTTGTCATTTATTGTATAGTAGCAAGAGATCTGTAACCTAGTGGCTTACTACAGTATATATATATATATATATATATATATATAATATTGTACATATTCTTTTTTTTATATAGATTAAATAGTTCACTATATACATTGGAATCTTGGGATTCCAGTTCCAGTAATTTCTTCCGCTATTTACCGCACTTGAAATTTCCACTGAGACAATATTTCCTAAGTTCAAATAAGTTAAATGATAAAACGCCATCACGCAAATTCGGTAAGTAACAGTTAAATAATTTATACATAAGCTATGGGCTTTAATAAATGAAAGATTATAAATTTTAGATGTGATTATTGGTGTACCAACTATTAAAAGAAAAACTTCGTATCTTGCTGAAACATTAAATTCTATATTTACTCAATTAAATACAAGTGCAAGCCAGTCAAATGTAATAGTTGTGGTAATGATAGCAGAGGTATTTCAGAATCAATGATTATAATTCTAAAAACTATATAATTTTCTTGAAATTAGCCATTGGATACTAGTTTTACACAGACAATAGTGGCATTGCTATCGAAAAAGTTATTAAATTGATTTCTTAAAGATATGATATAATACTCCTATTTTTCTTTTATGAATATTTTCACAGATTTATGTCATTTTATCAAGCAGGAATTCTAGATTTTATCATACCCCCTAAAGATTTCTATCCTAGTCTCTCTAAAGAAGAGCTATTCTTCATAGGAAATGACGATTATGAAAGAACAAAGTTATTGAATAGCATAATTAACTCTGATGTAAACTGTATGTTTTTCAGGTGGAGAACAAAACAAAATATCGATTTGATATATTTAATGCTATATTCACTTAATTTAAATGGAAAGTACTATTTGCAATTAGAAGATGATATAATTGTTGAAACGAACTTTATAGAAAAGATCTTAGACTATGTCTCCTTCTTGGAAAGCGAAAACTCTCAATGGGTTGTAATAAATTTCTCAAATTTAGGCTTAATTGGTAAGTAAAGTAGTTATAATATAGGATAATGTTACTACTATTAGTTCATTATTTTATTTACTCAGGAAAATTTTTCAAATTTGATACTTTTCCGATTTTTATCCAATTTGTTGCCATGTTTTATAAAGATAAACCAATTGATTGGCTTTTATACTATTTTTTGGTATCACACACTTGTTCACCAACCGAAAGTCAGGCGTTAATTGTAAATTTATAAAATGTCTGTAAATTATAAACTACTGCTACTAAAAATCATTGAAACAGAAACAATGCAATAACGAAATAGAGCATACTTCAATAACGTATTATCCAACTCCGTTATTTCAACATGTTGGGTTATTTTCATCTTTAAAAGGGAAAAAGCAGAAATTAAAGGTGGAAAACTACTTATAAAGATTTTTATCTTAGTATTAAAAGCGTATTCTCTCACAGGAAGTGCATTTTGGAAAGAAGAGCAGAATTAATCCTCAGGGAATAATTATAAACACGTTTCACTTTATAGGAAATAAATTCCCCCATTTGTATTTAAAAGGAAACTATAAAATTAAAACTTTAACACCACCGACAAGCAGGGATATGATCATCATTAAATTTGATGAGGATATTATCCTATCCAAGTAAACGCTGTACAGAATGTATTATTAAAATTCTTAATATCCTCTACGATTTAGATATGAATTGAAGTTTGAACAAATTAATAATGCTGTTATAGAGTTAAAACAGGTATTATTTTTCCAATTATTCAAGTTTTTTATTAGTAAACGGAATACTCTTTCTTCTTAAAATACGTTCATTAGCGAAATAAGGATTATGTTATAGCACAAGAAATCAGCTTTGGAAGCCATATAGAAAAGGATAATCTGGAAAACTATGGTCCTATAAAATATTTCCGATTAAGATTATCCAAAAATCAATTACTGCCTTTAACATTTCTAGAGGTAAAGAAAGAGAGATTGATACTTGATTTTCTCGATATTAAAAGATTATCTGTTTTATTTTTTATGAACAGATGAAAATTCTAAAGATTTAAAGAACAAGAGAAGAAACTTTGTTTGTAATTATTTTATTTTGCGTCATATTTGTTTCATTTATTTGTTGAAAAGAAAAAGCAGAAAATTACTTTTTACGTATGAAATTATTGTATGCAGCTGCGCCGCATACACCTCCAACTAAGCCCCAAACACCAGGTACTACCATACCTTTACCCATTACAGTGCCTCCTATGGCTCCAACAGTCGCTAGGCCAACCGAAGCCTGATCGACAAGAACTTGACCGCGATTATGCCGTAAACGATAGGCCCTATCGTAAAGTCCGTCATGCTCAAGTTTCTTCTTTTCAATCACTACTAGTGAGAGAATCGTTCCTGCTACGGCCCCAATAGCAGCACCTTTTGCACCTGTTCTAGCTCCTTTAATTACAAAGTTTCTTGGGCAAAGGTCTTTCTTTACCATTTGTCTCACCGGGTGAAATATTAAAGTACCAACAATTGAAAACAACTGGGATGTTTTCAGAGTAATGTGGGTTATTAATTCTGCCTTTGGATGTGATATATCGGCCATTTCCTCATCGTTAAGATTGAATCCCAAATTATTTAGAAAATAGTTTTTCATTTTGAAAGTCTTTGAAAGTCAGATAAAGTATAGTTTCCGGTACGAGAGATTTGTGTCATATAGGTTATCGTCTGCTGTGCGATCACGTGACTTTGTGAGTTCTTGCAAACAATCTACAAGTCTGAAAATATCTAGTAACGTAAGTGATCGGGATAGACTTTTTTAAATGTCTACCTTACAACTCAATAAAAACTTGTTTTTTCTTTTAACATCATGTATTGAGCGATATTACCTTACTGAATAAATATAATTTAGACTGTAGCTCTTAATTTGACGCTTAGAAATTTACCTGCACAGAAAATGTCCAAGTACTACTTGATTAACCTTGCGGGGGGAACCATAGAGGAGGAGAAAATGAGAGAAATTCCTCATCCTTACCTAGAGTTAGGATTACATATTACCCTGAAGACAACTCAGGCGTTCGCTCTTTTGGGTTTGGGCGCTGTGGGCCCAATCCTTGGTCTTACTCAAGGAAAAGATAAGAAAGAAATGGCCATGAAGTGCTGTCAAATGGGAGCAGTTGGTGGAGCTCTATTTGGACCAGTCCTTTCCATGTTGGTTAGTTTCTATGCATAACAATTTATAATAAGAGGAAATAAATTAACAAGTAATACCACAGACAATGAAGAATATGTCAGCTGAAGGAGCATATGACAGAGCCTATAGATTGAGGTTGCTATATAAAACTTGCAATGCCAAATGACTGAAATCTTTATACGTGTATTCTACAGATACAACGCAAATCAAGTTAATGTTGATAGAGTATCTCTACTTGGAGCAGCAGGAGCAACGGCAGCAGCTTCGTACATGTTCACTCCGGATCAGAAAATGGCACCTAAGGCCTGTGCAGTAGGTCTAGCTGGGGGTGTTGTTCTCGGTTCTCTATACAACATGTTATTCCGTCGTTAAGGAGCGAAAATACTGCGAAAGAAAGAGAGAGAGAGAGATTATTTTACATCTCTTTTTAACCTTTCTAAAAGCATCTTAAATGCTGATTAACTATGAACAAAGTTTACTTTATTAACTGTTTTTCTTTTCCCTTTAATATACTAATAATAAATTCAATAGTTGATTTAAAAGAATTAAGTCTTGTATTTAAATAATATAAAACGTTGTATTTTATTAATAAAGTTTTACATATAGAAAAGAAAAGAGAAAAAAAAAAACACATTTGTAAATGGCGAATTTTTCAACTTAAGAAGTCTAGGCCTATATTTTTATTATGCGTTTCTCTATCAAGATTTTTATATATATATATATATATATTGTGGTGCAATAAGGAGAAAAAATAATGTATTAATATGTTAATTGTTTCTAAAGTTATAAGAATATATAAGAATTAATAAGTAAAAATTTGAATATATAAATAATTAATAATTATAATGATATATATAAAAAATATAATAAGAAAACCGATTTTCGATCAATTAAGCCCATAAAAAAAATAAAATTTGTTAACGTTTTGAAAAAGAACTTTTGGTTTACATAAAATAAAAAAAAGGACAAAAAAAAAAGTCTTTTTTTTCAAGCTTTACAACACAAATTTGTATTTTTTTAAGATAAACAAATAAATATACGAAAATAAGCAGAGAAAAGAGTTTTTTAAAAGTTTGAGGAATTTTGAACATGAAAAATTTTTTTTTAAAAAGAGAAAAAGACAAAGAAAAAGTAAAAATGAAAAAATAAAGTCTTTTTTACTTCGTTGAATAAATTAAATCATCTTTTTAAACGACAGAAGGTTTCGGAAATAAATAAATAAAGCACCACACTTTGCTAGGCTAAAACACTATAATAAGTATAAATAGGTTAAAGCTAAAGAAATCATAATTCAGTTCGTTTCCGTTTTATCAATGTTAAGAATTTCACTTCTGTTTTCTGTTGAATTTCAATAAAAAGAAAAAGGCTTCTATTAGTTAAAATAAATTTTTAAATGTTTGATTGACTTACCAAGAATTTAGAAAATGTACCAGGGCATTGGTCTATGGCTAGGGAGAGTACATCTTCCACAAATGCTGAAGCTGATGCCGTTGTCTTGGTTGCAGCGGCATTGTTGACATTCTCTGGCAGGTGAAGTTTTAACGATAGCCTTGGCGAATTCATCGATGAAGCTCTTAATCTTTTTTGGTCTGGATTCTTTCAAGAATTTTCCGTTGAAGATGACACCTTCGTTGTGTTCAGATAGAGCAATGCATCTATCAGATGGTTCGTTGACGTTCTTTCTGTCGTCGATATGCAATTTTTCGAATCGGGCTCCGATTTTGTCGGTGTAGAGTCTGTTGTGGTCAACTCCGAAGATGTTGGCTGGGAAAGCTCCTTTTGGGGCCTTGAAGTGCTCATCGATCAACATATGAAAATGAACATCGTGTCTGTGAAGGATTCTGTTGATGGCGAATAAATCTCCTCTGGAGGCAGAGCATCTTCCGCATGGAATGAAGACAACAGATTTGGTTGATCCGGATCTGAATGGGAAGTTACGAGTAGCTTCAGTAACAGCTTCAACAATGTTTCCTCTGCTTTCAGTTTCAGTTCTATAGTGTTCATTGATCTTGTTCAAGAATCTGTGAATTTCATTGACGCTGGTAAGAATTTCTCCATTGGCAGTGTGAGTTTGGGCACCATAGTGGGGTCCTTGTCCTCCAAATCCTACCAAACCGAATTTAACATCCATACCGCTGTATTCTCTTGCAACACGTTTAGCGATCTTGGGCAAAGAATCAATGATTTTTTGGTTGTAATCGCATTTTTCAACAACAAAGACAACATCGGCTTCTTGGTTTCTTTCCAAGTTGTATCTTTCGCCAGAGGTGCATTTAATACATTCTCTTGGCAAGTTAACGTTGATTCTCTTCTTAGAACATTCAGCTCTGTAGAATTCGGCAATAGCGCACATATCTTCAGTGTTTCTTGTCATCTGGCACATTTGTTGGAATTTTTCAGTGCTCAATTGTCCGAAGCATTTTCTCATTGGAGAGGTGTATTCGGTGAACATTTTCTTGCATTTTTCAGTTACTTCACGGTCGTTATCGATATCAACGGTGCTTCTCTGGCATCTGGATCCTACACTCCAAGATTGAGCCATTTCTTGTTCATCATCGGCAAGTTGTCTGTCGGATTTCAACAAGTCGGTGGCTGGTTCATTGTCATAGGTTCCCATAAGACCAGCAGTTTTACCGTAATACCATCCAGAGACGGAAACGGTGCATCTGTCGAATCTAAGTTCGCATTCAACGCTCAATCCTCTGTTAGTGTTATTGACAACAATCATGCCTCCTTTGCGGCTGATCATGGTTTCATCTTCAACAATTGGTAAATCAACATTTCTTCCGTTCAATCTAACTTGTTCACCTTCAATTTCAAAAGTGTTTGGTCCAGTGATAACGCTAATGATTTTATTGGTCTTTTCGTTGGTTCTCTTGGTGTAATCAACAAGGACGGCGAATTTACCGTTCAAGAAATCTCTAGCCAAAACGTATTTACAAGTTCCAACAAAGTTGTAGAATCTCTTATCGAAAGTCATAACTCCGTGTCTGCCAATTGTGGCATGAGATTTGAATGGTGGAATGTAGTCGATTAGGTTCATGGAAGTTGGTCTGTATTTGTAGTAGATATCGTAGAGAACTCCGAAATCTGGTACCTTATCTTTTGGAAGAGCGCTCAACAAACTTTGGCTAACATCTCCGAACCATTCTCTGATTTTAGGCATGATTCTTGGCATATGGTGAAGATCGATGATTTCAAATGGGCTGTAAATTTGGAAAGAAACAACTCCAGCTTCTGGCTCATATCTGTTGAACTTGGTCAATTCTGGTTTCAAGTACTTTTGGATGTATTCGTTGACAGTTCTGTATACAAGTCTGATGGTTTTTCTTGACAAATTTCTAACGTCTTGTGGCATTTGAGTATAAGTCTTGTGCCATTGAGTTGGGAGCATCATCTTTCTAAACAAGTTAGCGCTAGCTTGGGCGAAGTAAGAAAGAACAGGACTGTTGTAAATTTTTCTGTAGACATTTCTCATGTATCTTTGTGCTCTAAGAATAGTTCTTTGATGGAATTCGGTGTTGTAAACGAAATTGTAGATATTTCTGGTAAGGTAGTTGGTACTGAGACATTGGTGGATGTACTCGACGTAGTGGTATGTCATGGCAACAATTCTGTCGTAAATTTGGTTTAATTTTCCATTAGCCCAACGGATCCAATAGTTGATCTCTTCAATAACAAGAGTTACGTAAGTTTTAAAGATGTAATAGACGGTTTCATAAACTGTTTGAACGTAGCTTCCCAAACGGTAAAGGATTTCTCCTAAGTGTCTTACGCCAATCATAGCAACGTCCATAGCTTGGGATACTTTGTTACAAATTGATCTCAAATAGAATTTGTTTTCATAGTAAGCTTGTTTGACATCTTCAACGACTGGTCTAACGATTTCTTCATAGGTTTCCATTTTCATGCTGTATTCACGTGCAACGGAAGAGATGGTCATTTCGTATAGATCTTCAAGTTTTGCTTGGAAGTTTCTATTCAATTTGGTCAAGAAATGTTTGCAGTGTGGTTCCCATTTGGCATCAAAGAGGGCCAAGTTTCTGGAATCGAGGGAGACAAGGAAGTGTCCATCAACATTTCTCTTAGATCCGTGTTCGTGTTCAAGAGCCAATTTAATGTGTCTGTTGTCGGCGTAATGAGCATAAGCGTAGAATTTACGTCCGTTATGATTGAAAGTTGACTGTAAACGTTTAGCTCTCATATCCATATCAACATCAGCGGTGAAAGATTCATCGTCGATTTTTCCAGTGATTTCAAAGACGTTTTGTAGAGCCTTAAATTGCTTTCTCTTGGCTACAAGGCCAACAGTGGTGATTGGAGTAGTAGCAGTAATTTCGAATTCTTGTTTGTTCAAATCAAGAAGGAAATCTCCAAGTAATTCCTTAACTTCTCTATCGTAAGATGTCAAGTAGTTCAATTTCATTTTACCTCCAACTCCGTTTGCGGAATTTCTGATTTCTCCATCAAACTTAACATCAAGATTGGCTTGTGGGTGTTGAAGAGTCCATTCAGCTCTCAATTCTCTTTCATAATCGATCAGTCCAGCAGTTTGGAAATGATGACGTCCAGCTTTCAAGTCGATAGATCCTTCAATTTTTCCTGGGATGATGAGAGACTCTACCTTCAAGTATGGAGTAACACCGTAAATTGGAGTATTAACTTCAAGAGTGATTACTCTCTTTCCGTTTCTTTGTCTTTGAACTCTGATGACATTGTTCCATTTGTTTTCATAATTTCTGTTGCTATAAGAATATTCGCTGATGTACTTAACTTCATCGTATTGTTCTTTGCGTTCCAAGTTTAAGTTCAAGTTCATTCCTTGGTATCCTTTGTATTCAACATAAAGTTGTTTACCGTAGATCATCTTGTATACTCCGTTGCATCTTTTTCCCATGTGAGAAACTGTGAAGTCGATATCTACATTGGGGTAAAGAGAGTTCATGGTAAGAGTGAGCTCTCCTTGCATTGGTTTGGTCAAGAGTATGGTCATGACATTGTCCTTGTGTTCTGCGGCAAGTTCAACATTGAATTCGTTCATGTTGAATTTGACTTTGGTGTTCAAATTTCCAGATTTACGTTGGCTATCAAAGTCGAGGCTGAAAGTTCTGAAGAATGGGCATGGAGTGCTCAAGTGAGCAACAATTCTCATGTCGTGAGTTCCCCACCATTGACTATCATCTCTCTTAGACATCATGTTTCCGTTGATTTTTTTGTCTCCGTAAGATAAATCGAATTCAGTGTTGAAATCGTCGAGAGAGACCATTTTGTTCTTGATGTTAGTAGAATATTTTCTTCCGTACATATCAATAGAACCAATAGTGTGCGTGGTGTCGCCGCGAATATCGTGAGTCAAGGAGTATTTGTGGCTCATGCCTTGCCATTGTCCGTCCATGCTGGTTTTAAATCCTTGTTTATGGCAGGTGAAAGTCTTTTTCAAGGAGAAGTTGGGGATGGAGTCCCATGGGAAAGCTCCTTCAGCAGCGGTTTCGAAGTTAGACCAAGTTCCTTTGCTTTCAAGATCAATGTTGAATTGAACAGGTGAAACCATTTGTGCACTAACAGTAATGACATCCTTGTTTCTGACAAAGGAAGTTTCGCCTTCAAATCTGTTTTCTTTGAAGGTAGCATCGATATGAGTTTTAAATCCGCCTCTAAGGAGTTTGTGAGTCATTTTGGTAGAGATCATTGGGATGGCCAATTCGAAACGGATGGTTTGATCTTCTTTCTTAAGAGTCAAGCTGAATGGGAGAGCTCTGTTGGCAATGAAACATTTTCCATTGACTTCAAATCCTTCTTTAGATGGTTCAAATCTGAAGTTTACTCCAGATTTTTGAGATTTTACAGTTACAATGACATTGAAGTCCAAATCGTTTTCAGCTCCCAAGTTGTAGTTGATAACAGCCTTGTTGTGGTTTCTTGGAGATCTGATTTCAATAACGGTATCCATACCTCTCCAGTAAGATTTGGTTTCGTAGTTAAGAGTAAATTCGTAAGTTTGTTGATTCTTGTAAAGAGCATTTACACTGACTCCATTAGATTTCAATTCAGCCTTGAGTTCACCAGAGATTTCTTTGTCTTCGGGAGAGAGTTCAAGTTTGAATTCGGTGGCCAATTCTTTGTTTTTAAGAGTGTTAACAAATGTCAAAGATCTCTTTTGGATAGATCCCCGATAATTGGGATAGGTAGCCTTGGTGTTTAATTCTACGTTATATCTGTTAGCTTCGAGAGAAGTTTCCAATTTATATTTATATTCTTTGTAGTCTACTTCCATTTCATTTTTGAAGTTCAATAGACCTCCCTTGTGCTCGATTTCAGCATCAAATAGTTCATCAATGTCGATTTCGTATTTCAAACCATCATTTTGAAGTTCAAATGTCATTTCGGCTTTGTGTTCTTGACCTCCGAGGATAACTTTTCCGGTTTGTTTGAAGTTAGTCAATGGTCCTTCATGTCTGATTTCGAATCCGTAGGTTTCTGGGATTCTGACCATGGCTTTCAAATCAAAGGTAGATCCTAAGACCAATTCAGCGTTGAATTTGTATTCTTGGTCCATATTCAAACTGATTTCAATTGGGTATCTTGGGGAAGAAGTTAAATCGTAGTTGATTTTGAGGGTCATGGGTTTGAAAATGTTCATGCTGATTTGACATGTTGGGTTCATAAGAGAACCTTCATGAATCATTTCGATTTCAAGATTTTTGTAACCTCTGATTGGAGTGTTAACAACAGTTTTCAAGGTAACGTCTGGGAGATTGATTTTGCCGTTAAGTTCAGCAGACCATTCTTCTTTTTGGGCGGTCAAAGTTAGAGAGTTGGTGAAAGAAGACATAGAGCCTCGGCTGCTGATTTTCAATTTCATTGGATGAGTAGCTGGAGTTTCCAATTTAACATCAAAGGACAATTCTTCAGCGCTTAGACTGTAGTCGTGTCTGTAGCTAACTTCATCATTCTTAAGGAATGCTTCAACTTTCAAGGTATCTTTGCCCAAAGGCCAGTAAGTCAATCTAGATTCTCTTTCGACAATGATTCCAAATCTTTCATAACCGTAGATTGGTGTTGCGAAGGTTAGATAACCCTTATTCATATTACCCTTCAAGTTCATTTCATAAGTTCCTGCTGGGGTCTTGTAGTAGACATGGAACTTGTTGATTTCTAGACCACTAATATCGGTTTCGTAACCAGCGCTGTATTGTTTGCCACTGTATCCCAAGTTCATGTTAGCATTGACTTTACGAGACATGTAGTTGTAGCTGTTTTCTAAAGCAGTTTCAAAGTCGAGGGTGATGTCTCTGAAAGTTGGTCCGGTAATTCTTAGATTTCCCTTGGATGCAGTAATGGCCAAATCATAATCGTAGACAATTTCGTAAGTTCCATAAGGAGTGACAAATTTTTGTTCGTGATTTTCAATTTTGAAAGGAGATGGCATTTTCAAGCTGCTGATGTAAGCATACTTCATTCCCATGTATTCAACTTGTAGTTCCTCAGTCATTTCGATGGGGTATTTGTAATAATAATTATTACCGTTGTACTTGCCGGAAATACCGAAGTATGTTTGGCTTGGTGAATAAGCTTTAATCATGAGTTCGGCTGATTTTTCTTCAATGCTGTAAGTAGTGTCAAACTTGTATTCTCCTCTTGGGTGAGAGTAGACTAAGTTATAGTCGACGTTCATGTAGTCAGTGGAAACCTTGAGAACTTCATCAACACGGTAATCTACATTCATGATAGTACACTTGACAGTGACATCGCTATTGACGATGTATTTGTTATCAGCTGGGTTTTGGAGAACAACATCAACACCAAGGATTTTCATGCTTGGAGAGATGATATTCAATTTACCCATAGTTTCAGTTGGCTCGTATTTGTAACTACCTTCAAGTTCATATTTGACACCATTGATTGTTAAATCTCCATCTAAGGTTTTCAAATGTTGCCAAGTTGGATAGTGAACGTTGTGATTGTATCTGAATTTGTTATTACCGAATTCACCGTTAAGAGAGCCAACACTTCCTGATTTGCTCATGTCAAGAACATGTTCGAGATCGAATTTTAATCTTCTGGTCATTGGAGTGTTGATGAGGAATTTCATTTTGTGTTCCTTTGAAGGTCCGTTGTGGTTGATTTCATAATCGGTGTTGATTTTGTAATGAGAACCTGGAGCTTTCAATGTTATGATGGCTTTGTTCAATTTGTTCCATCCTTCAAGATCGAAATCATGTCTGTACTCATACATATGCTTGCCTCCAATGCTAATACGATGGATCATGAAAGAGTTTCCAATAGGCAATTCATTAACATCAGATGATTTGTGTTGAGATTTAATTTTCCATTCATTCATTCCAGTTCCTGTAACGATAAGATCCAAGTTGTATTGGCCGTTGCCCTTGAAGCGGCAAGTTCCCTCAAGTGTAGTTTCAAAATCGCCTCTTTGGAATTTACCATTAATTCTAAGGTTGTTCATTTTTCCTTGGTAGGAACCTTCAATATTGAAGTTGGACTCAGGCATGTAGTTGTTTTCGTAAGAGAAAGTGATCATCTTCTTGTTTCCGAAAGTACATTCAATGTCTTGCTTAGTTTCCATACCGTTGTAACGGAAAACAGAGATGCTAGTCCATTTTCTGCTTCCCTTCATGCCGGTTTCAGTTTTGTAGGAAAGTCTTTTCAATGTTTGGAATGGAGTCTTGATTCTGATTTCTCCCTCGACAGTGTAAGCGTTTTCGTATCTTCCTTCACCAGATACAGATATGACTTGGTTGTTTCTGATTAATTCGTTGTTGAATTTAATTTCACTGCCCCATTGGTTGTCCAATTTAAGAGTATACTCGTCTTTTGGGAGGGTAAGGCCTAGGGTAGCTTCCAAAGACTCACCGAGGAATTGCAAAGTTTGTGTCAATTTGTATTCAACGCTGTTGTATTTGTATACAAGCTCGGTGTTAGTATTTCTCCACCAGATGGTATCACACTCATGTTTCATGACGACAGCCATCATGTCTTTCTCTCCGTAGTTTTCCATTGACAACTTAGCTTCGACATCTAATTTGTTGATCTTGCCCAATTTCATTTCACCGGCGATTCTCATTTGGTGATTGTATTTGGGGTGTTTATAGGCTCCTTCAAGAACAAGTTTCATATCTTTCATTTCGTAATTCCAGGTGGTTGAGATTGGTGAATTGTCTTTGCATGGGAATCGAAGAGTAATTTCTCCCTTGTTCCTTCTCATGAAGCTAGGATCGTGATTCATTTCAAATCTCAATTCAGCATCCTTATTATTCCATTGGCACATTAAACTGACGAGTTTTTGTTCTTTGAAGTTTTGAAGGTTGAATGTGGCAGACCATTCTCTAACGGATCGGAATGATGTTCTCAAAGTACCACGGGTCTTGATCTTGGTAATAGCGTAATCTTGTCTATCGAGTTTAGTCAAGAAGGTAGTATCGATAAATCCGTTGGTGCCCCAAGTTGTCTTAAAGGTGATGGATGGTTGAACGCCATTGATATCGATTTTGTTCAAAATGGTAAAGACATTTTCAGAATCAGATTTTATTTTCATGAAGGTGTTGAAGACTCTTTCAGTGCTTTCAAGTTTAAAGTCAAGGGTCAATTTGGGCCAGAATGGAGTATCCAAACTGTTTTCAGTGCGGATAATAGCTTGGCTTAAGTCAACTTTTCCTTCGGAAACGAGGGTGATTTTTTTGTTGTTGATAGATCCAATAGCTTTAACGATGTATTCACCGTTATTTCTGAAATTGTACATCATGCTTTCCTTTATACTGCGAATACGGTATGGAGTGGTGATTTCAAATTCAGCCTTTGCGGATTGCCATCCATTCAATTTTTCGATGACGTAGTTCATTCCAAGAACATGTTGTTTCCAAGCATAATCGGCTTCGACCTTGTACATGTTTCTAGTATATTCGTAGTTCATGTTAAGTTCCATTTTTTCCATCAAAGATGATTCAAGAACAGCTTTAGCATTATAGTTGTATTTGCCAACTTTAGCGGAGGTTCTCAATTCAATGGTTTCTCCTCCAACCATGGTCTTGATTTTAAGTTGGGGTCTTTGAGGATCAGCAACGAATCTGGTTTCAACGGAACCTTCAAGTTGATTGAAGTTCATTGAGAGTTTAGTTTCGTAGGTTTGTCTTTCCTTGTTCACAACTGCTCTCATTTTGGATTGGTGAACTGGGCTGGCGCTTCTCAAGTTGGTTTCAATTCTAAATCCTTCAGATGTTCTTCTGATTGACCAGTCAGCTGCAGAAGAGACTTTAACTCCCCACATGCTAGCTTCGATGTCACCTTGATAATTCATCAAATTTCTGTTGGTGTTTCCCTTGATGTACATTTTTTCGGTAAAAGGATTGGTAAGAGTGGATGAGAAGCTGATTACTTCTCCAAGGGTGACATGTCCGTCCAATCTAAATTCATTGCCCCAAACAGAGACAAGAAGGTTGTTGTTATATCTGTTTTCACCGGATGGTTTCAAAGAATGTTCCAAAACAATGTATTTCTTAGAGTAGACAGAAACATGGCCGTAGGTAGCGACTTCAAGTCTGTTCATTCTTCTTTCATGTTCAATCTGGACTTCGAATTCGTTATCTCCTTGGCTTTCGCTTACCAATTTAAGCATGTATTTGGCTGGAGATTTGAGGGTCTTTTTAGCGATCAACTCAAAATCACGATGAATGTTAAGTGGGGTATGTTTAACTTCAATTTCAGCAATCATATCATCATTCAATCCTTGTCCTCTATTTTCCAATTTAAGAGCCAAAGTGGATCTTTCGTTCTTCAAGTAATTTACGTTCATGTCGACGTTAAGACTTCTTCTATCCTTTTCGTATTTGGTGTTCAAGTTGAAATTGGCTTTAGGAGCAAAACGGTTTTCCATTTCCATTTTAAGTGCAAGAGCAGTCTTAACTCTGGAAGAAGAATCTTCCAATCTACCAGTGAATGAAACCATTTTGTTTCCGTTGAGGTTGTACAAAACATTTAGGATGCTGGTTGAGTCTCTCTTGTTTGGTAGTCTGACGGTCATGTAGGCAATATCTTTTCTGTCTCCATAAGAGTTGCGCATTTGTAGTTTATAAGCTCCATTTGACATAAAGCTAACACTTCCGTGAAGTTTTCCTTGACGTGGAAGCAAGTTCTTGTGCTTGATATCAAAAGACATTTCATTCTCGAGGTTAGCCTCAACGCTGAATTTAATGTCATCTCTGTTTGGTCTAACGATAGAGATTTCGGCATTGTGAGTTCCCTTTCTGTATTCATTTCTTGCTTTCAAGGCCCAAGTTTTTTCTTCGGCTTCAATTTCCAAAGTAAGATCTTGGCTTCTTTGTGGTTGGTAGTTCAAGTCTCCTCTCAAATGAGCTCTGGATTGTTTCCATGGAGCAGAGCCTCTCAAGCTCAATTCTCTACCCTTGGTGACAAGGTCCAAAACAATTTTTCTGTCGATAGAAGAGCCTGGGGTATCAAAGATGAATTTCATTTGGGGTTCTGGCATAGTTGGCTTAATGTCAAAGAAAAGCTTGATCTTTTGGTAAGTATCAGTCTTCTTAAGAGCAACTCCAAGAGAGAGTGGTCCTGATAAAGGAGAGGAAGTTCTGCTGCCCATATTGGCGCAAAGTTCCAAGCCCAAGACATTTCTTGGTCCAAAGCATTTTTCAAAACGAGCCATTCTGTTTTCTGGTTCTGCAACTTCGGTATCTTCTCTCCAGATCATGAAGAATTTTCTGTCAACGCTGAAGACGTCCATTTTTTCTTTTGGTACGTTGATTTCCATATCGACCTTGCTGTCTTTGTTGAAGATGATTCTTCCATCGGCAGCGGTAGATGTGTGCAAAGTGCTGATAGTCTTCAATCCAGATTTAGCATAGATAGCATCGACGCTGATTTCAGCTTGAACGGCCAAAGCAGCAGATGGACGAAGTTGTCCATTGATGTCGAGTTGTCCCATAAAGAGACTTCTGAAATCAGCTTTGCCCTGAGCTTTCAAGTTCATGGTAGAGGAAGCGGTCAATTTAAGTTTCAATGGCAAACCCATGTGAGTTGGGATCGACATTTCAAGATCAAGGAATTGAACAGATTTTGTGAAATCCATTGCGGATGAACCATCAGCCATATTTTGGAACATTTCCATGTAGCTAGCTCTGTTGGTACTTGGGAAATTCCAGTCATGGACATCAGTGTAGTAGATTTCGTTTCCAAAGACTCTAGCGAAAGCGCTGGCTTGCATTCTTTCTTTTTGTTGTCCGAATTTTCCATCAAGGTATTTCATAACGCTGTTGTCATCAGCGGGCATTTCCTTTCTCTTGCTGAGGTATTTTTCAAGAACATCTTCAACTCCTTGAACTCTTCCTCCAACTTCCAAAAGGTTGATGGAAGAACCGAACATATCAACAGTCAAGTTAAGAGAAGCAGATCGTGGAACGAAAGATTGGGTGGAGAAAATGACGTTGGATTCGGCTTTAGCACCCAAATTCAACATTTCAAGGTATCTGGAAATTTCAATGTTTCTGGAGAACTTTCTCTTATCCATATCGAAATTTTTCTTTAATTCTTGGTTTTCAACGATTCTTCTGATATCGGATTTGAAGATATCACTGGTTTCTTTAAGGTTGGTCAAGTGAGTCCAAACAAAGCTGGAAACTTGGTTGATTTTCTCTTCAAGAAGCATGTTGTTGATTTTGCGGAATAATTGTTCAGTTGGGCATCTCATGGTGGAAATGTAGGCGTTGATTCTCAATTCAGAATCAAATTGTTCATTGGCAACGATTTCGCTCAATTTTTCGCTGTATTCTCTGTTGCATGGCATTCTTCTGAAAGCCTTAACAGCTTCAACTCTGGTTTCCATATCGGCAGATTCGGTGTTGGCGCATCTGACCAATGCATCGACGGTGTTTGAATCTCCACAACCCATGTTTCCAAGACCCTTAAGAGACATAACAATTCTATCATGATCAGCCTTGTCTCTGGCTTGGCAGTTTTCAATGTTCTTCAAGAAGAAATCTCTGATATTCATAACTGGGATACTATTATCACAGCTGCCATGTTGCTTGCAGTAAGTGGCAACGACAGAACCAGCGGTAAGGGCCAATGATTTTCTGTATGGAACGCTGCTGAGCAATTGGTAAATTTGTTCAATGGTGGCAGTGGATGGAGAGTTGATGAAAGTAAGGGAAGTGATCCAAGTATCAGCTTGTGAGCCAGACAAGTCTTTGCTGTTGATCAATTCATTGATCATCTTTATAGATGCAGGGCTTGACAACATAGGGATAGAATCTCTAATGTATTTCTTGGCTCTTGGGCACATAGATTGGAGGGTCTTTCTGTTGTACAATTCAGAAAGGCTTTCAGCGTTCAATTTACGAAGAGAGCGGATCAATTCAGAGAACAGAATTGGAGTTTCCTTAGTAATTTCTTCATTGCTGCACAATTGCTTGAGAATTTTTTCAGCATCTCCGGTTTCGGAAATTTCTTCTTCTTCCATCATGTGGTCGAACAACAAAGATGTCTTGATGTTTGAATCATCGTATCTTCTGATTCCTCTTGAGTTTCTTGTTTCAGTGACATATTTAAGATTTTGTTCAATCTTCGTTTCCATGCCCTGGCCGTAAGAATCAAAAGGCTTGTTGACGTGAGTTTCAATGCAGATAGATTCGCGAAGATAGCCTTTGGAGTTGTATTTTTGTTGGCATTCTGCTTTGGAATCGATTATTGGGACGCTTTGCCTTTCAGTTTTGAATGGAATAGCTTGGATTGGAGTGTTAAATGCATAACGGTGTGTGCATCTAGGAATGTCTTTGACCTTTCTGATGGTGCTCTCAGTCCATCCGTTAGAAACGGTGTAAGTTACTGGGCATTCACCATGAATGGATCGCTAATTAGAAAGAGAGAAAAGATTAGCGGATATTTAACAAGATAAATGGTAAAAACGTACTTCCAAGCCTTGGTGATTTTCCTTGAGATCTGCCTGAGTATTCTGGAATGCAGAAATGATAGCCCTCTTAGCGTTGATTATACGCTTGTCATCTTTGGGAGATGGGCAAACGCTTTCGACGACGCCATTGATCATGGAGAATCGAATTGCATTTTGTTGCATAGAACGAGTGAATTCTCTCTCCTGGGAGGCTTGCAAAGTTTGTTGGGTACGTGGGTGAACATCAAACAATTTGACATTCTCCATACGTAAACCGAATTCACAGTTGCTCAAGGCCTCTAGAAGGACTCTGGCTTCCATTTTCATTTCCGATCTGTCAGTTGGGACGTCGCGCATCGTTGTTGTGACGAGGGACTTGTATTCATATTCATAGACGGTTCCGGGCTTGTAACCCAATTTAGTTTGTTCTGTAACATAATTAATATCATTAACCTCTTTTCTTGTCTTATCTAGTCAAGATAGATGGCGCTTCCCTCGAGAAAGATGCGCGTGCGCACCTAACCGATTATCAAAGTCCGTCTCTGGACGACAAACAATCTGTTTTGGCAATCTACCAAAATTGTTAAGAACTTAGGCCTTAAGAAGGCTATTTTATCATAAACCGATAACGGATATCTAAAACAGCTGATCATATGATAAGTGCACAAACATGTGCTTATGTAGCCTTGTTTTCCTCGTTCAAATTATTTGTTACATAAAGAGGAAGACATTTTTTCCTTTCAATTCATCATTCTCCTAGATAAAAGATCAATAAAAAAATTGAATACTTACCAGGGCACGTTTGAGTACCACATTGTGAAGTTGTGTCAAAGTTTAAAGGAACTGTAAGGGTAAAATGAGAAAGTAAGATATGCGTAAAAACTTGAAAAACTTTGTAAAGAAGTAATTAAATATTCCATAACGACGGGAGAAAGAATTTTATCGTTTAGTGTTTTAAATTAAGAAACAAGACAAAAGTTTTAGAAAGATGTTTGTCTCTAAGAAAATATTCTTTAGTTATCTTTTCTAATATAAAATGAATAAAACGAATTTTTGTGTAGTAAGTTGAGAATATAGTTAAATCCAATTTTAAAACGAAATTGCCTATATATATATACGATACATAAAATTCTGATATATAAATAATTCTTTTAATCCATAAAGTGCTTTGTAAATATATAGGAAATGCTAAAGAAGAAAGGAGAATAATGTAAGTTAATAGTAATATCCTAGAGAGTATTTTCCAAATGATTTTAAGAGGTATCCCATTGTGCAAAAAATATGCTTTCTTGTTCAAAATATTAAATATATATATATATATATTTATATATATTATATAAAAATGATAAAAGGATACTAACCGGCCGATGCAGCTGCCAAAAGTATGGCAAATATTACAGGGCTACTAAACCCCATCCTTCGGCTTTGGAATATCGCTGTGAGCTGAAGTCGTATTTCTAATGCTGAGTTTATATAGCAATGTTTTAGATTAAAGGTTAAAGTCCAAACTTTCATATAATCTCCATAATCTTTTTTTCGTAATATTTTAACCAAGTATTATAATCAGCGTGCCTCATTAGAACGAAGATTATTACCTTATCAAGTTTTTTTTGTAAGTTTTAAAGGTCGACGAACGTCCTCTCTAGAACATATCGAACTCCTTGTGCAATAACCACTTTTTTAAAATTATAGTTGTTTAGAAGAATAAAGTCTTACTAAGCCTGTTTGTCAGCCAAAGATTAATAACGAGTATAAAGGTCACCGAAGAGATTTAGTAAGCAGGATCTTAGGTTAATTTTTTTTATAAATTATTAAGTACAGTAAGTTCTTTTAGCAAAATTGTTTGTTCTTTTAAATGATTTTCACGTAGTTTTCAAATGTTGGATATTTTAAGTCTTGGGTGAGTACGGTTTAAAGCACTGTATTCTATGTTGATATCCAATTAATCAACATATCTAATTGGGATTGCAAACCTAAATTATGGACAAATTTGAAATTTAACAATTCATCTGTTATCTCGTTTAGATTTCATTAGAGCCTTAGATAAGATTTCAATTCTAATCAAAGTTCGAGCTCTCTCGGGTCGTGACCGGGTTAGGGTAGTAAGTATTAGCCAATACGAATGTAATAATTTATTGATATTATATAAAAAAAAGTAATTTTTTTCTCTCAGTTTCATAACATCAGTGAACTTGGGACTCTTTCTAGGCTATAATCGATTGATATCAAACGGTATTTGCTTAAGGATGATTGTTCATAAATTAAATTATATTGATTTAAAATTGAATTTGGGTTAAATATGTATAGTTGATATTATATTTTGTTTTTATCTGCTATTTAACCCATTTAATGTATTTATTTGAATAAAATTCAGTTATAGTTCATAAATAGTTTCTAATTGCACTTGGTCATCTTTGGTCATCTTATTACATATTTTCTTTTATCTTTGTGCAAAAATCTTGATTATAGAAAAATCGAAGGATCTTTTGACAAAATTTGATAATAAAGAGAACAAAGTAAGATAAGAAAAAATAAAGAATTTATAGGATTAATGAAATCTGAAAAATAGAGAAAAAAAATCTTTGTTCAAATTTTTCTATTGCTGAGTAATTTTAGCAAAGATCAAGGACAAATTCTAGCAAAAAACATACCTAATCTAACCAACGTAATAGGTTACATAACAATACTTATCCGATAAATATTCACCGCACATTTGATAAGTTGAACAATTGAAAAACACGAGTGATGGGAATTATATTACGTAAGTGCGCAGGAAATTACACCTAGATCCTTATACCTTTTGTTATAATAATAATAAAAAAACAGCATCAAAAGAGATAAAGATATCGATATTTCGAGGTTGTTGAATATGCTATTTTGGTACGCTTATGTAATCTTTAAATAAATAAATCTATCCGAAACGGGATTGTGCAAAAATTGGCTTAAAAACAAACAACACCATTTTGGAATTTGAGCCTAACTTTTATCTTAGGCCTAACTTCCTCGAATGCGTAAACAAGCTCAAAGATAGGATGGATTAATAAAGGATGTTGAAAAGGAGATAAAAATAAAAAGTAAAACCTTTTTTGACTATAGAGCAAATAAACAAGTTTACGAACTCGATTAAGGAAGAGTCAAGAGTTCAATAAGGTTCTTTGTTTCGACAGATGAAAGTTCAATTATTGGACACTCTTTTTTTTCATTTAATATAAAAACCGATCAAAGGTGAAGATGATTTTGTAAACAAGGCGTAGGATAGTAAAATTTTCCTCTTGTTTATAATAATTTTATTCAACTGGTAGCCGAATAAAAATTTAGAGAAGATGCATTTTCTCTTTTTCCTCCTTTTTTTTTCTTTTTTTTAAATTCAAAGAACTGGACTTTTTACCGAAAGTAATTGGTTTATTTTTGCAGGATAAGATTACATAATAACAAAGTAGTGAACTTTGTCCGATAATAATAATAATAATGATAATAAAGGAACAGTGATAATATAATATGATAATATGATAATATTATTAACAAAGTGAACTACTGAAATAATATCAAGTTCATTAAGTAAAGTTTGATGCAGATTCAGAAGCGAGACTCAGAGATGTCGCCCTAGATCTATTTCCGGCTTCGATTGGCTTTAATTTCTTCGGCTTAGCTGGGGCAGTACGTTTAGTTTGCAGGCCTTTTGATAAGCCTTTTATTAGGGATCCCTTATGATTCTAAAATAAATTACATTGCACAACCATGTTAAAAATAACTATAACAATTTATTAAAGATGTAGAACGATCGTATCATTTCAACTTACCGATTGAATGGTTCCGTGTGAATTTTTCATTCTTGTTTCGTGATCAAGTATATATTTAGGAAATAACGTTTTCTCATCGTACGCCGCTTTTAGTCCTTTAAGAAGAGATATGTAAATAAATAGCAATTATATCAATTTTCATTTAAACAATGGATAATTTAAGCCTATAAATTTTTTTTCTTTTGAAATTATACACCCTAAATGCGTATAAACCAATATTTATAGAAAATTGTATTACTACGGAATTAAACGTACTATGAGCAAGTGAAGGTGAAGATAACAGCTTTCCGCCTTCGTTTGAACTATCAGGTCTAGTGCCAAAGTATTTATTCTGATTGATTATAAAATCCGACTTCTTTAACGACTGATCTACTTGTTCTAATTCCCTAGTTTCCAAAGAGTAGTAAGGACCGTAGGGCGGGGCATTCATACGGTCTGAATGTAAGTACGGAAGGTCTTGTATTATTTTTGGTTGCTTTCGCTCTCGTTTTTGGACACGAAGCTCTTGATAGTCCTTACCCAAATACGTTCTCTCCCATGTATTAACTCTATATTCTGCTGGTTTTGTTGTTGCTAGCTCATCGGGTTGCCAGTTATCATCTTCTAAAGTGTATTTTAAAGTGTTGTCCATGATCTAAATTATGGGAAAAAACAATATGCTTAAATGACTGTTTATGTATTGTTTTTCTTTTTTTTAAATAGCAGGAAGAGAAGCAGCGTCATTTTAATATTAAGTTTCCAAAAGAAAAAAATTTTACCATACACAACGCTTAAATTAACATTAGACGCTTTTTAATTCTAATAGCATCACCCGGCAACGATATACAAGAAACAAAAGGCCTATATCGTCGCCGATTGCACTAAATAGATACGCCTAATCTCAATTTTTGTCGTTGGTCAAAACTAAGTGACCGTCATCTTTGCCTGTTTTTTAACTTTAAATATATATATATATCACTTTGTAACTATATTTGAAGAACTTGAAAAAATAAAATCAGTCAACAGGACTATAAGGACGTCACGTGACCGCCGACTAAAAATAGCTTTTTTGTAGAAACTATGAAAAAAAGATGTTTTAGATTTTTTTCTTTTTATAGCATTTCTCCTTGGCATAGTTTTTTTTTAAAAGAAAAAAAAGTATGGAATATCTGGAGAACTAGGAGAATTAAGAGGAAACATGTAAACTGAATAAACCACATGTTTATACATATAATAGTATACAGTATAATATATAGAGAAAGTTAATTGATAAGTAAATAATAAAACCAAAAAAAAAACACCCAAAGTTTTTGTCATGCAAAACTAAATATAAATTAGAAGGATAAAATAATAGATACACTATATAATGTCTTTCTCATCACCTGTTCAATTTGTGAGTCATCACCAGTGCTTCGAGCGTCACTTTGTGCCGACTGTTAATTTTTTTACATGCATAAAAAAAACACACTCTTCTTAGATTTATCACTAACACTTGAACTATTTTTAATTGATTATTCAATTAAAAATTATTATTTAAAAAGATATTTGAATTTAAAAAAAAAGATTTTTTGGTGATCAAAATCGTGTTGTAAAAAAGCTAAATGCAAACTTTGATAATGGTGCATAATTTACCTGAACGTTTGATCTATCGAGTTTGTCATCTTCGTCGTCTTCATCTTTCTTTGGTAATTCAACTTTCCAATGTTGTTCTTGGCCAAAAACGCCTACTTTGTGAGCATCTACGTCGTGAACTGATACGGAGCAATCTGAACTTGCTACGACGATCAAAGTTCTTCCTGATCTCTCCATTATATCAATAGAGCAGATCGAGTCGATATGAGCTGTGTATTGAGACTGAAGGAAGGGAGGTTCTTCAACTGGTCCTTCTTTTGCATAATCTCCTATTCTCCAAACTTTAACTGCTCCCTCTACATCACCGGTAATTAACAATTCGTTTTTTGGTTCATCTACAGTCATTGTTATACTAGCCGCGTTCGGATGAGCCTGAAATTCAGCGAATAGAGAAGCTGACGCTGAACTCCAAAACCGAACCCAGCCATTAGCACCACAGGATATTAAATTTCCTTGGGAAATTGGTCTCGAACGGAGGAATTTTAGCTCGGAAACGGCAAAACTGGCTTGAATATCTTCCTCCTCTTCCTTATCAATCGGTCTCTGATTGGACCTAGTAACAGGTCTAGTTCTTTGATTTAATCTCTTTGAGGGTAGTTCAGAATTATTATTCCAAATTACAATTTCTCCGTCGTATGAAGCAGTCGCCAATGTTGAAGGCGGTAGAAAGTCTAGGGCTAGAATATCGTCAGAATGATGCTGACCTCCTTTCCATTCTTCCGGTTCTACCCTTGGCTGACGCATGGAATGATTACGAAATACTGTTAGATGCTTTGCCCATCCTACAGCAAGAATGGCGCGCTTTAGAACTAGAATATTCCCAATATCTGGTGATGAATTTTCGGTATTGCAATCCAATAAGTGGTGAACGTATCCATTTACGTCCATAATCCTAATAATTCCATCTGTTCCAGCTGCGTAAATTCTCGAGCCAGTTTGATCGACCGTAAGATGAGTAATTTCACAGCCGACAGACAACTCTTTTAATTTTTGGCCACTGTCCAGTTGCCAAAACGTAATTGAGCCATCGTTAGCGGCCGTAACTACTTGAGAGAGGAGTGGAAGTAGTCTGCCAGCTATAACAGGCTTATTATGAGTAACTACGCGATCTTTGACATCTTTTTTCATTTCCAAAACAGTTATAATAGAGTTAAAAGTTATAAAGAATCTGTCGTATGTTTCGTGGACGAGCAATTGAGATCCCACTTCTGGTCCCTTGGGAAACATGCCAGCCACTCTTTGAACGCATACCTGTAGCTGAACATCCCAAATTCTTAAAACTTTATCTTTGGATAAGCTGACTAATTGACCACGATTTCGACTGAAAGAAACTTGAATAACTGGTGCCATATGACCACGCAAAACTCCTGTTGGTTTTGACACCACATACGGATTCCAAAGACAAACGTGATTGTTAACATTAGCAGTAGCTGATTGTAAAAATTAAAATTAGGCCCATTCAAAACAAAAATAAAAAATCCAATATCTATAGTACCTATTACATTCATTTTTTGATAATAATCGAAGCAATTCACTCCTTGCGTTATATCAAATTTGGTTCTGTAAAAAGGATATAGATTTTTGCTGATTAATCAATTCAAAGATGGAAAATTTATACGATTTTTATAAATAGGAAATTCGTATTATGAACTCAGTATATACATATAGAATTACTTTTATTTTCATTGTATATAAACAATATATATAGAAATTATCAAATAGCTAGAAAAAAAAACAATATACATATATATATATATATATTATCTTATTTACTGTATATATTGAGTTCAAACACTAACATTTCCTCTATAAAGTGTTAGTTATTGAAGATGCTATTAATTGTTAATATAATTAAAAATTGGTAATTTATTTCAGTCTAATTCGACTAGCATTTTGTGAAAAGTGAAAAGTTTTTTTTAAAGGAAAAAAAAAAAAACTTAAAATAAAACAAAAAAATGTTAAGGAAAAAACTTTACTGCAAATTTTTAAAGAAAAGGAAAAATCTTCTCTTTAAATGAGAAATTAAAACAAACAAAACAAAAATTTTGATACAAAAAATTATTAATTTTACTTTATAAAAATATTATTTTTTTTTTTTTTTAAAAAACAAAAAGAAACAAAAATTTTTCAAAATATGTTAATTGGAATAATAAATTTACGCGCGCTTTGAAATATCAAAAAAAGAAAAAAATTTTAAAATTTTAATTCTTGTCCTAAGCGTATCACCAAGCTTGTCGTTATCTATGGGTTCATAAACGTTATTTAGCATATACTATATATACAATATATATTGTATACATAGAATATACTGTTTAAATTTATCGGCCAATACAAAGACGTAGTTTGTTATACTTTCTTTTTCCTATTAATTTGTTTAATCTTGGAAAATATCTGTTCTATATCCTTGAAACTATGTATTAAAAACTTCTTTTTATCACACTATCGGCGCTATCTGGTGGATTATTTTTATTTTAGAGAGAAAAAAAGCCACCAGACGGCAGTTTTGTTCTCGACCGAGTAAAGATTTCGCCTTAATATTTTGACTACCCCATAGAAAACGACTTCAGAGGCAACAGTATAGTGTGGCGTATCATGCATTTAGGGAAGGCATACTTTCCAAACTTACTTTCTCATAATCGTCTTTACACTCCTGCTAGTACCATTAATATCAAGTCACAAATAAAGAATAGGAACGAAGCAGAGAGAAAAAAATAATAATGTATAAACTCTACTAATGCAAAAAAAAAATAAAATATAAAAAAAATGTAAAGAAAAAGACTTTGTCCCCTTTTTACAGCTTAGAAAGTTTTCTCTAAGGTATAGGCTTTTATCTATATAAGCTAAAATAAAGTTCATAAAAAGAAAAAAGCCTGGCGCAATTGTTTCTTACATTTTATCCAATTTTCTTGTGTCTCTATCAACCGTTGGTAGAGCATATCGATCTATTCTGATAATATTATCAAAAACCGGTCACGTACAATTTGTGCAGTTAATAAAACAATGTAATATAACATAAAACTGCAAATATAGTAATAAAAGCCTAAAATCATCTCTTTATACTAACATTTTTGTTGATGTATGTTTCTCCATCCATCCTATTACCAAAGAAGATTTTGACGTTGTTGCGCAAGTTATGAAGCACTCTAAATGACTGGAATAAATTAAATGACGAATCCATTCGGTATGAGCTTCGTATTTCATGTGGGTAGCATTTTTATATTTTCCCTTGGTAACATCAATTAACTTGACATTTAAACAGGGCTCTGAAGAATACAAGATAAAGAAATTTAATATTAAAAAGAAAGAAATTGTCATAAGTTTTCAAAGAAATCAAAATTAAAAAAAAAATAATATAAATGATTATTAAAACATTGAAATAAAAAAATAAAATTTGCTCCAAAAGCAAGACGACGACTTCCATCTGTTTTCTTTCTTCTCTCTTTTTTTGTTTTTGAACTTAAAAAAATAATCAATTCTTTTTTCTTCTCTCTCTCTCTGTGACAAACATTGTCTTTTTTGTTGTTTTTCATGCAGTTTCAAAAAACTTCCAATAGTATATGTTTTAATAAATAAAAAAGAAAACAATGTGATAAAAATAAACTGAGAGCTCTTCTAAGTAGAACAAGAAGATTGAAAAAAAAAGATAGATTTGATAGATATTAGGAATGAATGAATGCAGATAGAATTAAAAACAAAGACGAGAATCTTTCAGAATTGGTGTTTTTGCTTTTTTCAAAGATGAATATTTGTAATAATATCTATAATTGATAAATAAAACATGAAAATAATAGTGTTTTCAAAGATTATCTCTTTTCAATTGATCATACAAAGGCTTTTATATCATTTTTCATAAGAAATTTTTTTGTTTTCGTTTCAAAAAACTGCAAAGATGAAAAAGGAAAAAACCAGAAAACTTACGCATTGACCATGCATCTTCCTTAGAAAAATTTGTATCCATAGCTTTTTTAATTGGTTAAATAAATTAAAAAGTAAAAAGAAATTTTCATAAATTGATTGTTATTTTTTTTTTTATAAAAAAATTATTTAAATCTTAGCGAAGTTACGTAATAGAGAATGATAAATTATTAGTAGAGTTATTTTCTTTAATAATGATAAAGCTTGTTAATTAAAATATTATTAATAGTTTTTTTTTGTTTTTACCTTGTTTTTCACTAGTTGGCGCTGCTGGTCTTTCAAATAGAGCAATTGTCGCTGAATTGAAATGAAGAGCGTGCAATTGTCTATTGGCAGAAAAAGTATTTATTAAGTAATTGCGTATTTGGTAGAACAGAAGGATAAGGGGAAAGGGTAAAGAGGAGATGGGGGAGACATAGATGTGGGGGGGGGGGTCGCGGGGAGAGGGAGAATAAGATGTATTTTATAGTAGATTTGTGCATGTACAAAGGCAAAAAATACTAGGAAATGCAGCTTTTATAAAATAACATACCCTGCGGTATCTCCCCAACAAAGTAATGATTCGTTACTGTTGTCTTCTGAAGCCCAGTACTCCAAACAAAGAGGAGTATACGTTAAGCCTATTAAGATAAATATTGATAATAAAAACAAAAGAATTTTTGTGCAACGTTTTAGAAATATACAAAAAGTAAGTTAATTATGGTGCCATCTGACGGGTCAAGTTGACTCACCCTGAACGCAGTATTGCCGTTTTAAGTCCAACTTGCTGGATAGATCATATAGAGCAATTTCCTTACTCGTAAAGGACAACGCTAATTTATTCACGTTGTGCAAGACTACAAAGTGCGTTACCCAAACATCTCTTTGTTTGCAAGCATCAGTTTGTGTTTTAAGAGATCTTTGCAATTTTAAGTTAGAGGACCACATGGAAACGCAACCTTCCTTAGAGACGGCCATGTATCTATTAGTTTGTTTGACATAAACAAATCTTTGGATAATATCCTTGTGAGGACTACTTGATAGATGCTTTATATCTTTCCATTGGGGCACCTGAGTGGATTTTACTTTATCGTCCTTTTCCTTAAACTCTCTCATCATATGTGTTGTTAATTTATCCCAATCAACCGTTCCTTCCCCTAGCACATCTATCTCGTCAAATAATTCTATGTAATCACGTCGCGTTCCCTTTCTTAAAATCAATTCCAATGCCTCACAGAAATCATGCTTCGTCAAACTTAGTTTATTGTCATGACTGTTACCATCAAACTGATAAAACGATGCGGAACAGGGGAAATATTTCAGCATTTTAAAGAAAAGGGAATAATAGTGTTAATACTACCATAAAAGCAGTTTCTAAAGCTTTTAAATCCTGCAAGGTTAACTTAGCTTCTAATCGGTCGTCATAAGTTCCGGTGACGCTCGGTGCTGTCGCCCTTGACAAAGGATGAAAAATGCTATTAAAAGGTAATAAAGGAAATAGTATCATAAAAAGGAGGAAGATAGCTACGTATTCCTTTCGACTCTCGCTGTCGCCTCCGTCCTAGTGGGGCTGCTGGCTATTGTAGACATATCAACTAATTTTTATCATTTATTCATAATAAAATAAATTGGTAAACGGCGAATAATATCCTTTTTGGCTTCAAAATCACTAAAATTCCACTTTAAATCAATGATTTTTCTAAGTGGAATCCCCCTTGGCAACCGTCAGAAGCGTAAACAATTCGATTCTTTATACAGATGTCTCTACTTGTTTTATACCAATAGTTTTACAACATCTCTTACAAACATCAACATTGTAGCCTGAATGACAATTATCACAAATATATAGAAGCATAAATATATATTTTTGTGTATATATTTATATCCTTTGTATAATATGTACTTATGTACAAGTTCAAAACAAAAACTGAAGAGAATGTATAAAAACGGCTGTTTTTCAAAGATTCAAACCCTCAAAATTTCCAAATGGTTATTATAACATATAGCAATCCAGTCCGGTTGGGTAGCGCTCCACTGAATTTGATTAATTTCACCTTGTGCTTGATACGCTAAAATTGGGTCTTCAATGGCTCTAGGCATTTGCTGAATATCCCAGATTAGTGCTTGCTTATCCTCGCCAGCCGTGCAAAGATGGCAGGATGAATGAGGTGCCCAAGCCAAACCATTAACGCAACTCCTGTGGTTTCGTAATCGTGCCACTGGTGTACATGGGACCCTGACATCTAAAATGATTACTTCGTTGGCATCTAGAGCCATGGTTGCCAAATAATTTGGATCCTGCTTATTCCAAGCTAATCTGAGCAAAGACTTTCTATTTGGGTCTTCGTAAATAATAGTTGAATGCTCCAAATGCCGTAAATCAAACATCCTAACACTACCGTCGGCTCCGACGCTGGCAAACATGTCTCTTCCACCACCAGCTCGGCTGAAGGCGATATCGTATACTTCTTTATCGTGTGCGATTAATTGAGTCTTTACATGACCAGTGACAGGCACGCCAACTCTCCCTATAGGTTGTCCAGTTTCTAAGCCCCAAATTGTACATGTTGTATCAATACTAGAAGTTCCTAGTATATTTGCATCCACTTCATTCCAATCGAATGATGTTAATGGCGCGCAAAAATCCGAATTCTTGTTGTTATTAAGTAAGGCTTCTTGTCGTACTTCACTATCATCTATTACTCTCCATATTCTCAGATAATCACCGGTGGTAGCAAATAAATCTGGAAGATTACCCTTGGAATCTGGTATCCACATTATTTTCGTAGTGGGATAGGGATGATCTACCGTGGCGAGGGCTTGAAATTCGGCGGAGTCTTCATTTAGTCGAACAATTTGAACTTTGTTGTTATACTCTTCGACAAAACTCCCAAGAGCCAGACGAAAGCGCTGATCTGGTCTTATACTCCAGTTCATACTGTACAGTTGCCATTGGGCTTCATACTTATAAATTTCCTTGCGTTTAACGCTACCGTTTGACGCCTGTCCAACGGACATAGACATTTTCTCGACGATCAGTGACTTGGGATGCGAAAACAGCTTGCCTGAGTGATAAATCAGCACTTGATGTTGAGACAAAAATTTGTAGACTGCAGTATTAAGCTGAACAAAGAGGTAGAACGAATAGCAAATATAAGAGTCGATTGATTCACATTAGACCGGAAATTCAATTCACAATGCGCATGCGCAGAATTCACCGTTAATTTTGACCATTTTAGACTATAGATGGCGCAGTTAATTATAGCCAAACATTTATTAATTATTAATAGTTATGTAAACTATTTCAGATAAATAAATAATCATATAATAAACAATATGTACAAACAAAAAGAAAATTTCAACATAAACATTATCTTCATTTCAAATTTTCTCTTACAGACAATTTGATAAAGTATTTTCGAGATGTAAGGTCGTAGTCTGGATATTTATCATAAATTGTTTCACAAACTTTCTTCATTGTGATTTTCTCTAAATCGGCTGTCTCTAAAATCTTCTTAATATCTTCTGTCAATTGATGATCCTAGAGAAAGATTAATCGATTTTAAAAGTGTTCTCAACTCTAATTAATTAAAGCTTACGGTAGGGGGTTGTCCTTTAGATTTCTTAGCAGGAGTTGCTTTGCTCTTTGCCTTCTTTGCTTTCTTTGCGTTACTATTCTTAGATGATGCGTTTCCTTTATTTTTTGTCTCGTTGCTGGACTTCTTTGTTGCTTTTTCTTTTTTTGGTGTATCCTTCTTACTTTTTTTAGGAGAGGGCTGTTTCAACAAAATTAAAATATAACTTATTAAAATATACTCCAATTTCATTTAAAAATAACCTCAGATGACCCAGCATCCGCTTTTTTTTTAGTAGTCGATGATCTGCTTCCTTTTTCTAGAAAACGTAATTGATATTATTATTATTGAAATTTATTATCTCGATAAAAACTGCTAACTTGCTGATTTGGGGATAGCTTTTCCAGAGGCTTTAGGACACATAAGAAAATCTATTATTTTATTGACGAAATCTTCTTTTGTTTTAGCATATTCGATATCAAGTACTTTACAGAACACCTTCATTTGGGCCATTGTCAATCTGTATACCAATATATATATATATATATATAGTCATTACTTTTTGGTAAATAAGACTTACTTGTTTAATCTATCACGCTTTCTCTTAAATTCTGGATCCTCTTTCTTGAAACCAAATCCAGAAAATTGTAAAATATTTCTTTTGATTAGTTTTGAATTTACAAGTCTATTAAACAGAAAGTTATGGAGAGTTCTTAATTCTTCGGCCTTATGCTTTGAAAACTCAAGCTCTATTCTTGGAATTTCGCGTAATTTTGTGCCTTTTCCTACATGAATTTCTATTTTATGCTCCTTTTGAGGTGATTGTTGATAGGATATTCTTTCTACTTGCTTGCGTTCTCGTTTCCCTTCTATAACAACAGGTCTCTCCAAGAGTCCTGGTCCTAAAAAGAAACATATTTAGCATTTTTTTAACCTTTACTTGTATCTTTTATATACCAATGTCATTGTCACTTTCATTACTTTTAACCTCCCGAGTCGATTTACGTTTACGAGGGGACTTAGGCTTCTCAGCTTCGTCTTTTAACGGCTTATCAGTTTTTTCAGACTCATTTTTCGTTGTTGGACTTTTAACTTCTTCAATTTCCACTCCAGTTACTTTTTTATCATCTTTTGGTACATTGTCCTCTTGTTTAGTTTCGCTTGTATTTGAAGCCGCTTTATCTTCCTGTTTTCCTTCTGCTTTAGATTTTTTCGCAATCGAATTGACTCCAGTATCTCCCTTCGCATACTCAGAACTCTATTAAAAAAATTTTGGTAAACATAGGCGAAAATCGCGATACTATTTTTGAAAGCGGTAAGGGGAAGAAAAAGAAGTGCAATTACAGAAACAATTTTAGTCGCAAATTAAATCTTCATGGCATATTAAAGGTCAGCGATATTTTTCACAGAATATACAAATACATAAAACTTGCTAAAAATGTACCTTTGATAAATCTCCTTCAATTTTGGCGGGTTCTGGAACTTCCATTCTGTGACCGGAAATCAACGTCTATAAAAATACGCATGCGTAATAAAAGCGTCGTCAAATCTACCAATCAGAAATTATATTTAATTTTTAAACACCAGATGACGCTAAAAGTCAAATTATTTCGTAAAATAGAAATATTTATTAAATATTTTGCCGAAACAGTTAAACAAGTAAACAAATAACTTTTCCAGAGAAAAGTTTGAAATTTATCAAGTACGAAATAGTAATGTTAATATATTCCGGAAATATTTCGAAAAGATATGTTTTTAATATTAAAAATACGCAAATGAGGAAAATATATAATTAAGCTTTTTGAATCCTTTTCTGCCGACACACAAAAAATTTTTTAAAACTTATTAAATAGTTGTTAGTTGTTAACGTTTTTGATAATGATGGAATCAACAAGATCGAGTCGAAGTAGCTCACTTTCGAGTAGTCCTTTAAATTCAACAGTATCAACTTGCACTGTGGATAGCTTGAAGACGAAAGTAATTTGTAAACTCTGCCTTGAATTTCGGCTCGTTAATTTTAAAATTCAAGATTGTGGTTGCGTATTTTGTAGAGACTGTATGCAGGAATATGTACGAGTGCTCATAACGGAGGGTCTCATAGCCAGTTTAACATGCCCCGATCCAGATTGTATACCCCCTGGAAAGATTAAAGCATCGGAAATTCAAGATTTAGTTGATCCTAAAATATGGGCTAGGTATCGACGATTACGATTAGAGCATGAAGTTAGTTTTTCATTTCTTTTGTATTTCGATATCTAGATCTTCCTTTTCAGGTTAATACTGATCCCAGTAGGACGTGGTGTCCCGCCGCGGGCTGTGATACGATCTGCCAAATTTGGCAAAATTCAAGACCTATGGCAGTTCATTGTCAGAAATGTCACTTAGAATTCTGTTCATCTTGTAAAGCAATCTGGAAAGGTCACGGAGGAGCATGTGAAATGAACTGGTGGGGGCAAGCAGGAATATGCTCTAATGGGGAGCCTAAAATTAAGAGATGTCCTGTTTGTAATGTACCTATTGAAAGAGATTCAGGGTGTGCTCAAATGATGTGTCGACGCTGTAAACATGTTTTTTGTTGGCATTGTCTTGCACCATTGGACAATGATTATATGTTAAGACATTACGATTCTGGACCCTGTAAGGATAAACTTGGTCACTCCCAAGCTTCTGTTTTTGCTCATCGCCTGCAAGTCATCGCCTTATTTGCCGGTTTCGGCTTGTTAGTTCTTATTGCCTCTCCAGTATTAATGCTTGTTGTCCCCTGTTTGGCGTGTTGTAAATGTAAGTTATGCCGAAAATGCAACGAAAGTGATGATGAAGAGGATATTGACCAAGCTAATTACGAATACTCCAGAAAATAACTTTCTACTGATCTTCGATAGATGGAGCTGTCTATGTGTATGGCCATATCAATGATATATACTGTAATTTACAATATATACTTATATGTACACAGTATGTATACACACATATATATATGTGTGTATGTCTCTGTATGTACTTATATTATTGTGTTTTTCATATTTATGTACAGATATACAATTATAACATGCATATATACATATATAAGAATATTTGAATATAATTATAAATATTATATGTATATATATGTCTATGTATATACAATATTTTTTCGATGTTTATTATACATTTATTGATGAATGAAACTTCAGATGGCGCCATTTAGTGTTCAGTGAGTGTATTGAATTTATTAATTTTATTATATTTTGTATAATTATACGTTCCATACGGTCACTTGTGTACGTATATCAAGTTTATAGACATACATACTGTATATACCAGATAACCCTGTACATATATGAATAGATTTAAGTATAAAAGTTTATATCTTTATGCTTAAATGCTGGCATCTATGTATTAATGGATATTTGAGTATATACAGTGTATATATTTTCTTGTTGATTTATTTATACATGCTGTATATATAAACATGACATTCCAAACTCTTAAGATGGCGGTTAGTTAATTGAACCTCTGGGAATAGCCATCTATAGCCTTGAACGGATTTGGAAATAATTAGCTAAAGTCTCTTTAATACCATAAATTGGTACGACGAAACAACAAATCACAGGAAAATTTGCCTTTATTGCAAAATCGATGCATGTAAAACTGAAACGAAGCGAAACCGCCCGTTAGATATTGACAAACTACGAATAATTTATAAGCTTCTCAATTTAGAGCGTCTCCTTCCCGAATAGGCCTTCGATGGGATCGCTGGTCACACTACGTGTATTCTCAAGCAATAAGACATACTATTATCTAATTCCTTCAGAATACGCGCACCAGACACCAGCCGGAGTTATCTATTATCGGCCTTGTTGACGTTAATAAAAAATTCATAACCGTCCCTTTGTAGACGCCGCCGCCTTTTAAACGTTGGTTGATATATTGATTGAAGAAAAAACAAGCAATACTTTCTCTCCGAAGAAATTTGACATTTATTATGCACAGGGACTTTTGTCGAAGAAGGCCTAGCACAACGGTCGTTGGAAAGTAACGCCCCATTATCGCGAAGCGTCTAATTGTAGCATATGGTCGACCGTTTCTGGGCGCGTCTAGTTTGTAAATCAAGTAGAAAATAGACTATAATTTCGTTTTTTGGCATCTGACCGTAATTAGGCTCGGAGTAGGGTTACGCAGGTAAAGCGTCACCGTCAACGTCCGGCATCAATTTTTCTGCCAACAATATGGACACGAATTTTTCGGATTACGCTTATCCGAAATCTTTCTGCCTTAAGCCTACGTTTTGATGGTCGCTGTAAAAGAGACGCTTACATTATTGCGTAATTAAAATATACCTGCTTAATCGGATTGGATGTTTAAAAAAAGGCGTCCACTTGTTGAGAGTTTTCTTCAGAATGACGATCAATATGTACATTGCTAAGACTAGGGGGCGCAACGAACAGCCGTCACTTTTTTTGCAGTCGGCGTATATGTGTTATGTGTATAAAAGCGTCGTCGTCGGACGTCAATTCAGTAAGCCGGTCACGCACCGCGTGCATACAGTTACTGGAATATTGCAGACGCTAAGACGCTGTATAGGCCGATAGAAATTAGACGCCGTTGACAAATCGATTTGTATGGCGCTCACGCGTTGCGTTAAAAGCAGGGAAGAAAAATTAAAAATCTTTTTTTAAACAATATTGTAGACAAGAGACAGAGCGTCTCTGGAATTATTAAGCGGGGAACGCCACTTGGTGCTAAATTAGATTTTCTGCTTCTGTCATCACCTGCTGTTTCTGTAGCGTTCTAATTCCATTCTTTCCAGTCATATTATGAAAGGTAATGCTCGGTAAACATTCAGAGACGCTTGGTAAATAAATTATTTTGTTTAGGGCGATTGAGCTAGGAATCGGGTAATATTTTTTAATTTACAAGTAATCGGCAAGACGCCGGACGTGAAACCCAAGAAATAAAGGAAACGTATTCTATATTTGCTACCTGTCCCCGTTATCGCTTATCTGATATGAGTGCGTCTAAAAGCGTTCCAGCCGGTCGGTAATTAAGACAAACAGCTGCTTCTTTGTCTATTTAATCATTTCTATTTGCAAGTGACGTCGCAACAAAAATTCGTTAACCTTCTTTTCAACTCGTAACCGGAAATTAGTCTATTGTAGTGCCCTCTATTGAATCGGTAGAGGTAAAGCATCAACTTCTTCATAGACCTGGTTATACAAATCTTCGTAGTCGTTATTTTTCGTAATCATCGCGGTCAGTACCCATTTCTTCGAATTTACTGCTTGTCCAAAGTGCTAAAATAAGTAAAATTATTTATTGGCTCATAAATGACATTGTTGAAATTTTAGTAATCCTACCTCCTTAGATGGTACGTAGCAATATGGAATTTCAGATTCTTCGCACAAAACTGGAAAGTGGCTGATAACGTCGATGGGCGTCACGTCACCAGCTAGAATAACTATCCTGTAGAAAATATAATGTTTAAAAAGTGCCTTCATAAATATTTCAAAGCGTTCTTCGATAGAAAAACTTTATACTTGCCCTTTCTTTTGCTTTCGAATCGACTTTTGTACGGCTTTAACTCCGCGAATAAGACTCTTGTTAGCGTTTGCTAAAATTATAACTTATTAGTACAGAAACATTACAAACAAAGCACTCGTTTACCTTTCTTCACTAACTTGAGTATTCTTTTTGAAAGCTTTCTAGATGCTATAGGGTTCGCAATAGCATTAACTCTCTCCAGTAATTCTTTGAATTGATCTCCTTTGTTTGCTCCGTCATCTGCTTCCTCAACTTCGTCTTTAGTCTTCTTAACTTTTCCCATTTCTGGAAAATATTATAGATAAGAATTGTTATCTTGACAATGTATATTTTTGATATCGGATCTCTCAAGTCCTCTTCTCATTATTTATTCTTTATACACATGCGTGACTAAATGAAGACTTTCAAGAACATATCCATTTCATTCTATTTTTCTCAATAAGGTAAGATTAATAATTTCTTCCAGGACGCATATTGCATAATTGTATGATGGTATATACACTAATACTCTTAGTCATTATCCACCAATTTCATATCACAATTAGTTTAACTTAATTGGTGTTTTTTGAAGATGGGACAATAATAAGTAATTAATACTGATTAAAGTAATTTGAACCTTATAAGACATACTTCTTGTTCGAATGAATAACTTTTTTTATTAATAACCGAAAACTGAATTTGTAATGGCAACCTATATTTAATCTCTCAATAAAAGTATGCTTTTAGGAAGGATATTATATTTACCGTCTTCCTGAGTTAGGTTAAAATGCGAATTTAATAAACAGTTTTCACGTGCTTTAATGACGCTGTGGTAAAATAGTAAATATACAATTCTAGACTGGTATAGGATTCGAATCTGAATGTGAATGAATTTTCTTGATTGATTCTAGCTACCTCACTAAATCAATAAACTGGTAATTTTTCGCGCCTTTTTTTTAATGGATATTTTATTTTCCTTCATTGTCTTTATATTAGTATGCAAGTTTACCGAATAAAAAAACATTATCAATTAATTGTAGAAGCTAAAGTTAATTTGTTATTCCAATGGCCATGCCCATCTCAAAATATACTGAACGGTATCGAAGATTGTGAAACTAATGCCAACCCCTATTGGACCTTTTATCCAATTCATACTAAGACCCTTGTAAAGTCCTCTTCTTAAACCTTCAGTTCGATAGACGTAAACAAATGTTGTCAAAATTGTTTTATAATGCTGATTTCCACCCAGAGCCTCAGAAGTCTGCATTCGCCTTCTGGCAATATCTAAGGGATATGATGAAGTTTGACCCAAAAGCCCCGCAAGTGCTCCAAAACCCAATCGATGTAAGGGAGTTAACGGATCCTGATGAAACCATTTCAAAGACTCATATGTACCAAATGAAACCCCTGCATAAGGTATGACACCTAATACGGAGGCACTATAGCCTCTATAAAGACTCGACACGCCTTCTTCTCTAAGGATATTCATAAAAACTTGAAAAATATTGGCATAGCGGTCTTTAGGTGTGACAGCCATTCTTGCTCTAGCCAGATCTAATGGATAAGTACATGTGGAAGCTGTTACTCCAGCTAGTGATCCAGCGACAAATCTCCAGTGGGAAGGTAGCTCTCGAATTGAATTTGAGCCAGTGAAAAGTACAAGCAGGTTCCTCCATTGCTCGTGAGAAGCATATTGTATTGCTGCAGAAGGGATAATTCTAGCCAAAGTTGCAGTATTTCCTCGCCATAAACTAGTAAAGCCCTCCTTTTTATAAGTCTGAACTAAAAATTTGAAAGCTCCAGTGAATGTGTAACGCCATTGTCGAACCTTGATATATAAGAATTTTTAAGTGATATACGTAAGAGATTTTCATATATTTCATACTACCTGAAAGTTAATTTTACATCTGTCTAGAGGTGCTATTGTAGTCTTAGCAACAGCACCTGCAAATGCGCCAGCAGCTAATGATGTAATCACCTGCCTGCTAGCTGAGACATTTTTATCATCCATTATCACATTTCTATGTGAGAAAAATGATCAAACCATAAATGATTCAATGATTACTAATAGGACAAAAGCTCAAAGGTTAATAAGTAAAACAAAGATAAAACTATTTGCATTTAAGTAGTAACATTATATTACTTGACAGATTTTAATTCTTACCAAATTCAGGGATCTTTTTTTGCTGAATTTATAGAGTGTGACTCCGGGACATCTTAATCTTAGAATCTTAAAAGGCAGGATCTCCTGTGTTATTGCAATAAAACATTTCTTAAATCAAAGGTCGTTTAGGGGTTTGCATATTAATGTCACGGACTTGTCTGTTGTTTGATATTGAAATATAAATTTTCTTAAATATTAACGATTTATTTATATAAAAAAGACTACTATTTATTTTACTGTAATTTATATGAAAGGGAACAAAACGAAATATATTTCCATTTAAATACATCTGTGTGGCGACATCCAACATGAAGTAGCTCCTCGGAATATTTCGCCAGCTGTGATAAATTCTAACTAGATTGCATAAACCAGAGAATGTCTTTTGAAAACTCTCTAGAAATAAGCTCTTTTTGAAGACGAAAGCTAAGAAATTAGCTAACAGCACAACTTACTCTGTATTTGGCAGATAGAAATGCAAATGCTGTGCCTCAACTAAACTCCTAACGTATTATCGCTCACCGAAAAACGAGTCAAAATGTTCAAAGCCTCGGGATATTTCAAGTCTCATTTATGTCCCTTTTATGCTAACGGTCTTTGCGAAAGACCTCATTGTCACTATAAGCACTCTACGTACTCGGAGAAAGCTATTCGTATGTTAAAAATTTCTTTAAGTTGTTTTTAACTAACCAAATTATAATTCTTCTCCAGCCAAAACTAGCACTCTCATAGCATCTTTAAGTGCAGCTGTACGCAAAACCCAAAGAGAAATTGATGAATACAAAAAGCGTTATAAAGTAGGCAAAACACGTTGTTTTAATAAATTCTTGTAATGTACTTCTTTTACGTCTCCGTAGCAAAGTAAATTGAAGCCAGCCTTAAATTTTCAAGCCGTAAACCGAGCCCCAGTAGCTTTTTATAAACCGACACCTCGACATCTACTTAAATCTCAATCGGACTCTAGTAATAAGGTGCTTTACAATTGCCCACACTTTTACACTATAAACAAAATATTTTTGTCATAAGACACCCTCCACAAGTGACTATGTTCCGACACCAAAATATGAACCGCAGGCGCTAAAGAGGAAGAAAGAGGACAACTCTGATATAGAAACAAAAGAAAAGCGACCAAGAACCGAGAATAATTCTTGTATTAACAACCATTCACATAATAAAATTGATTTTGATGATACTTTAACGGAAACGGATTACGCAATCGTTAAGCAAATCAGTAAAGTCAATTGTAAAGGTTGTCCAGAGAAAACTACCGAAAGTGAAACTGCCGTTAATGTTCATAGTGAGGCTAAGGGCAATCCTTCAAAAGCTGATCAAATTGAAAACTCTGCTGGCATTAATAAATGTCCTATGGAGAGTCTAAAGAAGGAATCGAAAGAGGAAGATAAATCTTCAATTAGTGAGAAAATAATTAAGACCGAAGCGATTGAGAAAGAAAAGAAGGATTTAACAGGGGACCGAGAGATTGATAGAGAAATTGAGAAGACGACTAGTACCAAAGATTCAAAGGATAATGGAGAAGGCAATAAAGATAGCAAGAAAAAATCAAATTCTAGTTATAAAAAGAAGAGTCGTCGACATCACCATTCTGATCGGGATAAAAAGAACGAGGGTAAAAAATCTGACAAAGAAATAGACAAGAGTCATGAGCATGAAAAATCAAGAGATAAAAAACGTTCAGAAGATAAAAAACACTCTTCTAATAAGTCTGAAAGTAAATCGAAAAATAAGAAGGATGAGAAGAAAACATCTAAATCGAAAAACGATTCTAAAAATCAGAAACCCAAACGTATAATAAGTCACGAAGAATTATTCGGTGATTCAAGTAGTGATAATGAAACTATTGTTTGCTTGCGAGATAGCGGAAAAAAAGCTACTCCTAATATAACCGACCCCAGTGTTTCAACATCTGCCAAGAAAAATGATTCATTATCAACCGAAAGTACCCAATTTTCAGACAGTCAATCTAAACATAGAATAGCTCACGCTGGTGCTGAAAAGGTAAAATGATTTAGTGGAAATTTAAATTCTCTTAACAGAGCTTATTGTTGAATTTAAAAGGTAAACCGTCAGCTACCTAAACCAGTTCATGTACCATCGCCTGTGGAAGTCATGCAAAATAGATTATTACATTATCGTCAAATGCGAAACGAGGTGGAGTTTTCTGTATATATAATATATATCATTATACAAATTATTTTAACGTTGACATAGAAGGATAAAGTTAATGCGGCGACAAATAAAAAGATGGCAACTCCATGTGGTACTATTAATAAAGACGGGAAGACTAAACGGGTGGCTCATAATCCTGTTAGCTTTTTAAATTAACTAGATTAAATTCTTAATTAAATTTTGTATACCTAGGGAGTAATTAAGAAGCCTATAATAATTCCGGATTCAAAAGGAATTGTACCTACAAACGTTAGGCAGAGATATTTGAATCTGATAATAGAAGAGTTTTTAAAAATGGGTCTACAGGATAAAGACGCGTACCCTCAGGTAAACCTTCTAATTTCTAGAAATGAATTTTAAAACATATTGTTTAATTAGGCGGAGAATGAGGAAAAACAACTCTGCGCAAGAGCTCCAAGTAAAAAAGGGTATTTGAATCTCGCTATAAACTTGATTAATCGCTTGAGAAAAGCGAACGAAAAGCCGGATATCAAACAGAGCAATAATAAAGAATCAGTTTTGACACACTCAATGATTCTAGGGGGGTATAAAGCGCTTACGACGAATTATACTGTGCGACGCTCTGGAGCTCAATATGACTTTTCTGGAAAATTAAAAGGTACTCATTAATATAATAGAAAAAAGTGCAAGAGACTGCAAATAGGTTTATAAGATTATCCGTCACAGTTATTTATTAAGCAAATATAAAATTACATGTAAATTCTATTTTCAGCGTCTGATTTATATAAACATCTAGAAAAACATATTTTAACTGCACAACAATTAAAGGAAAATGGCTTTCCCCTTGTTAATCCTAATGATCAAACCAAAGTTGTTATTGATACAAGTCTAAGGCCTCCAAAATCTTTAAATAAATTATTAAAACGTAAGTAAAGTAACTTTGTATTTCTCCTTGAAGGAAACTTTGTTAATTAATGATACTATATTTACTATGTCATCTAATAAAGTTGCTAAATTTACACGAAATTAATTTTATTTAATTGATGTAATCAAATAATCCATTCTGATTTTATCTATTTCTCTATCTTTTATCCTATCTCCCGTTAGCGCAAGATAAAATATGCAGTAGATGTGGCGAGGTGTTTTCTATTCTAGAAAGTGGACAATACGAAAGCGAAAGAGAATGCGTTTATCATTACGGAAGGTCTTATAGAAGAAGAGGTACTGTTAATGGGAAAGCTCATGAATAAGTAATTAATTAATTTTGCCTATAGTTGCTGGTTCGGTTGATAATCGTTATACATGTTGCTCTGGTGATTTGAGTGCCAAGGGGTGTTGCTTTGCAAAGGTTGTGATATTAACCAATTTTAATAAATAATATAACAGTAATTATTTTCTGTACCTCAAGAATCACGTTCATGATTCGAATAAATACTTGGATTTCGAAGGATTTGTGCAGACACAGCCGCACTCATTCAAAACAAAAGAAGAGTGCGGAGTTTATGCCGTTGATTGTGAAATGGTTTATACTGTTAAAGGAATGGAATTAGCAAGAGTTACGTTGGTTGACTCAGATTTTGATACAGTTATTGAGATGAAGGTTCTTCCCTCTACTCCTATTATTGATTATAATACTAGATTTAGTGGACTATCGGAAGAAAACATGAAAGGTGTGACCTACAGTCTACAAGAAGCTCAAGATATATTGCGGGATATTATATCATCGCGATCAATTCTTATTGGACACAGTCTAGAGTCTGATTTAATAGCTTTGAAGGTATTTACAATTTAACATTAAAAAAATTGATTGAAAAGGTTTAAAATCATACAATTTAACAGATTAGTCATCGATGTGTGGTTGATACTTCAGTGATATTTCCCCATAAGCTGGGACCGCCTCATAAAAGAGCATTAAAAAACTTGATGAGTCAGTATTTGCAGGTAACCTCCATCATTATAGACGAAACCTACACTACTAGTTTGCAATTATCTTTCAGAAAATAATCCAGAACAATGTTGATGGCCACGATAGCAAAGAAGATGCTGTAGCAGCAATGGAGCTAGCTATTTGGAAAGTTAAAGAAGATTTAAAGGCTAAGAGAGTGGTGTCGTGATCACTGTTTGTATGTGTGACTAGCAAAAATTAATATAGATTTTAAAGACAGAACAAAGTTTCATGTTCTCAATAAACCAAAATTTGTAACATCATATTAAATAACATAACATATCAAAAATCAAATCGTCTTTTCTAATTTTTCTTTATCATTTTTTCCATTTTCATCAGCATTTCTCTTATCCTTTTTCACTTCTTCAACTTCGCTAAATGAACGACGCCACCAGGTATCGTCATCATCTATTGGTTTTTCTCCTCTAGAATTTCTGTAATGAATAAGTTTATTAACTTAGCTTGTTAGAAATATTACAGAACTTACTGTCGCTTGCGCTTGCAGTCCCTTGAAGTATGACCAACGTGTCCACATTTGCGGCAGAGTCTGTCCTTAGGACGCTCTTTTCCAGGATACAAAGCTTGTCTAGAAAATAGGTACTCCTCATAAGATTCAAAATCATCAGGAATATGATCTAGCGGTGTTCCAAAAACTACACGGGCTCGACGAAAAGCTTGTAGTATGAAATTTCGCATTCGACCAGTTAAAAAACCTCCTAAATTATGATTCAAATCGAAAGGATCCTCGATAGCCATAGCGCATCCTGTCCAAAGTTTTTTCAACGTAGATAAACTTTTCTTTTGTCTGATAGATATTACAGTATTGGAAAAGTCAAATTTCTCTGTGTAAAACTTGAGCATATCTAGCCAGAGTTCACCAGCAGATTTTGTGTTTCGGTTACAATTCCAGACTCTTCCCTCCTAAAATTGTTTTGTTTAAAGTATTTTATGCTTATTTTTTTATTAGCTTACAATTATATCTTTAATGTTGTCGAAAAAGTATGTGTTACAGCCTTCAACGTAATACTTTGGAGGTTCAGATCCGTCGTAGAGCTTTAATTATTCTAATGTTAAAATTATGTTTAAATTGTGGTTTAAATATACCTCTTGAAGAACAGGAAGAACAGGGGGTTCGGTTTGTTGTAAAAAGTAAATAACCATTAAAATGTATGCATATGAAGACAGACTGCCCCTTGACGCATCGCCAATATCACACCTCTATCAGAATATCATGTTTGTAAATTTGAATTCATTTGGAAAACATAAAAATATTACCCGAGCAAAAATTTTACTTGTATAACCTAGAATCCGACATCTTTCATCAATCTGAGAGTATGTGTACAATAGTCTAGTATTTCTTAGAGCAAGTGTATTGTACAAGCTTATATCGCCATCTAAGCCAGTGTCCTTATGGGTAAACTTAACAATTGGTACCTTGGCACTGGGAATATCCATGATTTCTCTAAATTCCCCACAGTGTTTCAGAACTTTAGAAACCCTCTTAATAACGTATTCTGAATGTATATTCTTTGGTAAGACTGGCGACCTGCGCAAAGTCATGCAGACATCAATATCAGAATCTTTGAATCCAAAGCCATTGTTTGACGAACCAAACAAGCTAAGCCATACGTCTGGAAATATTTTCAAAGTAGTTATGATAATAGCACAAAAATAGAATTTACCTTTAAATTCAGTGGATATTCGATTTGCAAGTGTTTGCATTACTGTTTCCCTTGCGATGAAATCTTTTTCTTTCAACTCACATAATTCTGAAGCGAATATAGACTTAAAATTTTAACATGAGGACTGAATAAATTCTTACCAGGAATTTTTCTCAGAACATCTGTTAGAGTTTTGTCCCAGCTTTTATTATAAGCAGGAAGCTCCTCAAGTTCTGGAAGTTCTTCATTGGGGCAATTTATTTTTGAGTGTCCCTCCTCGTCACAAAGCGTGCAAACAGATGGTGCAGGCTGAATATGTGAAAGCAGACTTTAAGAAGTTTTCAATAATAAAACTCATTAAAAATACAACCTTAACTAAATTAAAAATTTTAGCATCAATGGTGAATTTAAAATTTTCTTCATCCTCTACTTCCTCTTCTTCTTTGACTTTATCATTCAAGTTCTCATTCTTATCATCGATCTCAGTCGCTTTGGTATCAGCCTCCCTCAAAGTATCTTTCTCAGACACTTCTTTCTGACAATTATCCTTAGTTTCTTTTCGTGACTGCCTACCTAGCTTTTGAATCTCTTCTGGTGATTCTCTTGATTTGCCCGTAGCATTTGTAGTATCAATTTCATCTTTCGATATTGTTTCGTTATCACTTATTTCATCGTCAGTATTCTCCCATAACTTTCTTCCTGTTCCTATATCCCAAGGTCTAATCAACGGTTCTTCATTGGAGAATTTGTTTAACTTTTTGCCGTAATATAAAGCTGCTTTGTACCATGCAGTTTGCAAATAATTAAATCCAGTGGCTGATAAGCTTTTAATCATGTTCATTTTCGGGTTCATCGGATCTGTTTGAGTGAAAATGACAAAAAATTACAATAAAACTCTACTCTTTAAAATGTTTCATAAACACTACCTTCAACAGAGTAGACTTTCCTAAACCATCGTCTATCATATTTTCGTACATCATGGAGTTGGCGGATAGATACAACAAATCTTCGAGCATTAAATTCAATGGCATAAAACATTATAAGATCAAACCATAATTCACCCAGGCTTAAATTATTTAATTTCTTCTCATTTAAACCAATTCTAACTGCCAAAGCAGGATCCCAAATTATTTCTACATCATCCGATCTGTTAAATTTCCGATGTAGCACTGGTAAGACAGGGTATGGTGACTGTTGAAGGAAAAATACTACCATAATGTAGTAAATAAAAGTTGGCATCATTCCCATTTCTAAACACCCTCCATCTATAACATCCACAAGTTTTCTGAAAGCAATGCATAATTTTCTTGCTCTTTGATCTATAATCATAAACGTTTTCAGTAATTTTGTCATATCTCTGGTATTAGATTGAGCAACGGTAATAGTCAAAGGTAGACCATCTTTAACAGCATGAACGCTAGCAACTCGACATTTCTTATTGAATTTTATATCAGTATAGCAATCATTATTTTGTAATAACTGATACACATCGAGTAAAATTTCAGGGTCATCAAATTCAATATCAAGATTCAAATCTGATGATTTAATTCCGGCACCAGTAGCAGTAGAACCAACAATATGTAACTTTACTTCTAAAAATCACAAATTTTTTATAAAATTGATTTTTCTTAATGAAAAATATTTACTTGGATGCACTTCTCGTAATAGTTGCTCCAATTCAATTGCTACTTTCCAACGGTTGTCAAAATCATCTTCTGTCAAACCATTTTCCTCAACAACTGTTTCAATCATTTCAGTTAACAGGTCATTGTGGCTTTTGGATGGGTTACGAATTTTTAATACTATTTGTTTATCCTTTTTCAGCAACAAATTAATTATGTGCTTTTTAGATTGTCCATGTTTATTTGCATCTTCCAAATCACTTTGATGTAAATCACACAGTTGACAAAAGAATCTAGCCCAAGGAAATTTTGCTTTTATCTGAAATTAAATAATTCAAACAGTTCAGGACACAATATGACTTTTATTCTTTTCAAACCTTGCTCAGCGGATATATAAACTCTTTCCTTAATTTTGCTATATCTTCTCTATTTTTTTCTGTAAAATATCGCAGTTTCCTTACAAATTGAAAACTAACTGTAACTAAATACCTTCAAATTCTTTCTGCTCTTCTTTACTCAGAATATGACTGCCTTTGTTTGACTCTTTGGGTTTCTCTTTTTCCTTAGGGATGCTGTTTTCCTCTTTCTTTTCTTTTTCTTTTTCATTTTCACTTTTTTGTCTTGTTCTTGGACTAGGATTAAGAACAGTTTTTTTTACTGGGTCCGTTTTTTCCTTACTATTAGCAGATTTGAGTTTTTCGGTTTTCTCGCTCCTTTCAGTTTTTTCATTCTTTTCCTTTTTTTCTTTGAATCTGTTACCTTTCTGTTGTGACTTCTGATCAATTGGGTGAGACTCAGGAGTATCTCGAATTATTTCTTTATCTTTTTTTCGTTCTGATGATCTAAATCCTACCCTCCGACTTTCGGAATTATCCCGTACAATTCTCAGATCTGGTTTATTGCCTAACAGCATATTATGATTGTCCGCAAATCGTTGTGGTTGCATATTATATTGATCTTTTCCTTGATTAAAAGGATGCGATGGTGTCCTTGGAGGATTATGACTTCGAGCTGACTGATGATCTGCTACATATTTTTTATTATTAAAATTATGAAGTTGACGAGGGTTTGATTGATTTATGGCAATAGGCCTTTGGTGATGCACAGGCTGAGCTTGCACAAAACAATGGGAAGGCACATTTTGATTGATTTGATAAGAGGAATCAAAAGTCTGACGAAGATGCTGTTGTTTGGGAGAGACACTAAATACAGGTTCTTGATGTGCAGTATAAGGTATCATTTGAGGTGGAATATGCGCGGCAGAGATAGGAGTAGGAGAGAGAGAATGTTGTTGTTTTCGTGCTTGTTGTTGACTTGCACTGCTTAATTCTCTGGGCGTAGACGATGGCGATGAATTGTGAGCGGAATTTATGTGTTTCTTGGTTGACGGATTTGGTAATATTGAAGTTTGAACAGTTTCTTGAATATTCTGCATTCGTTAAACGTTGGAATTAATCTTAGCAATGGCACCAGGCAATTTTACTCACATTATTATTATTCATTGTTGTGTTTCGAGTATTATCTACTGGCTGTTCACTTTCGCGAAATTTACTTGACTCTTCAGCTTGTGATTTTTTTCTACTATTGTTGCGCCAGTGTTTTTTGTTCGATTTCTTGTTTTTTGATCGTTGCTTTTGTCGCTTAAAATCTTGACCTTTTTCATCAACCCGTTCTTGAACTTCATCAAGTTTTAAGATCCGTTTTAGATCTGTTTCGATTTCTGAGTTGGAAACTCCGGCCTGAAAGTATAATAATTTACATATTACAAGATAAATTTGTATTCCAATTAGTAAAATGTCATAATTAAAAAAGCCACGAACCATTATATTTTAAAATGTATTCTCTAAATAGCTTATAATTTTTAAAAACAGTCACAATGACTAAAAATTTAGAACCGAAAATACTCAATAACCAGAAATAGCAACAAATATGTCAGCTATACTTATTTTCGTATTTTTTAAAATTATGCGATATATGATAAATAACTACTAAAATATATAATGTTCATTTGCTCAGTAATTACGAACATTTTTTAACATATTAAGTTATTAACTTATATATCTTTAACGAAACTATTAGACGATCCTAGAATTAATATTAACTTATTTGGATTCTATTGGAACCCGAACCATACTAGAAACTCTTTAAATGATAAAATAAAAAAAATCAGCTTCTCAGTCGGATTTAGTGAAGAAAAACGTGAAAAAATATTTTCTTAAATTTAGTTTTACATATAAAATATGAAAATATAGACTACAACATTAATTAAATAAAGTTTACATATTGTAATTAAAGTTGTTTAAAAGTAACAATCATTACATAATAATACTTCTGAGTTAATCGCAATAGTAACGATAATTGATTTAACCTACTTGTGAGAACTTCTTTGCTAATAACGACAAGAAAACTTAGTTCCACTTTCTTTTATTAAAAAATACTTTTAAGCTTTAAAGATCTCACTCATGTCGAGTTTTGAGAACATAGTTAAAATTTACTCAACAAATTTATGTAATTAGGACCATCATGCCTTGTATAAATACTCAGCAACGTGTAATTATGAGTTGTCTATTAAGAAGTCAAGAAATTTATCTGAAAGGTTCAAGCAAACTAGCTGTTTAATTCTTTATAACTAAATGTGAAACTGATTTATAAACTTTAGAGTTGAAGTTATATTCCTTTCCAATCGCGTTGTATGAGTGTAAAATCTTATACCCTACCCCTCCATGTTAACAGTAACATGTGCTTTGTAGAATATCATAAATCTCTAAAAAGTTTTTTGTTGGAATTCTGCGCACTATAATTTTTATTTTAAATACATTTTTGACTTTCAGTATTAAAGTTTTATCTTGTGTCTACAAGAGTCTACATTGTGATATTCTTAGATATTAACTAAAATCATGCTTTACAATATCTTGGATATACTAAATTTGATTTGTTTAAATTCAGAACTTGATTAAATTTCAACAAAAGAATATAAATAAGTCTTTTTAACTTTAACATGTAGTAAGATTCCAAAGAATACTTACTTGAAAGACATTCACCGAGTTTTTTCCTGTAGGTTTAGTCGCGGAAATTTTCAATTGAGTTTTATAAACGAGAATAAACTGGTAGTTAATTTAAAATTTCGTCAACAATACCAGTACCATGTCTAGCAAAATCTTTAGCAGTTATCGAGCTTTAGGTTTCGTTAGCAACCATGTTCCTCTAATATTAAGATATGATCAGAAAAAAAATGAGACTTACGTATATACAAGTGTTGGAAGAGCTTTTCATACATACACAGTAAGTAAACGAGCGATAATATAAGTTTTTACTATGACTATAGCACGTGTATTTAGTCTAGCAAGTTAGGCTTGAAATCTATATCAGATCTACATGACGAGGAGATTGAATGTATAGCAACTGCAAATAATTATATCTTCACAAGCTGTGGAAATGTCACTCGAGCATATGGAAGAAGAGGAAAAGTTATAAAAGAATTTATTGGTCATAAATCGAAAATAAAACACCTCTTACCCTTCCATCGTCATTTAGTGAGCGTCGATAAGGATAATATTGTAATTATTTGGGATGTTCTGACAGAAGGTAATAACTTATTAATAAGGAATGCCACTTAACCGTCTTTCTTTTAGCTCAATACGGACAATGGAACTTAGGGAATTTCAATATTACTGCGGTTATGCAACCAGCTGCATATTTGAACAAGATTTTGTTTGGATCGGAAGACGGTAGCTTGCAGCTGTGGAACTCTCGAAAATGTAAATTAGTCCATAGTTTTGATGGTTGGGGAAGCAGCGTCACAGCTTTGACACAAGTATATATTTTTTATTTTAAATACTTGTAATAACTTGTCTAAAAACTTTATTGTTAGTCAACCGTTGCTGACATTGTAGCAATTGGTTTAGCAAATGGTCAAATAATTTTATTTGATTTGAAAACGGATAGAATTGTTGAAAAGTTTTTACAAGAATGGGGACCGGTGACATCCATTGCCTTCAGATTAGGTAAGAGAAAAACTTAGTAGACAATAATTAATTAAACTCATGTCAAACTCTAAAGATGGTCAGGAATATATGACAACTGGATCGACAACTGGACATATTGCAATATGGAATTTAGAGAAGAAGAAAATTCAATCTCAAATTCAAAATGCGCATGATAATAGCGTTTGTGGAATGGAATTTCTTAAAAATGAGCCTTTAATGGTTACCAATAGCGGAGACAACTCATTAAAGGTAAGGAGATGACATATAACGCTGATTTCTTTGGATTATTGAATTGTTTGATTTGCACTCAAATAAATATGCGAACAGATTTGGATATTTGATCAAGCAGATGGCGGTGCTCGTTTGTTGAAAAGTAGGGCAGGGCATAGTTCTCCTCCTACGAATGTGGGTTTTTCTATCGAATTATAAATTCATACTTCAATTTATTGATTACAGATTAGATTTTATGACGATGTTAGCATACTTAGCGCCGGTGAGGATTCGACCCTTCGATCTTTTTCAATAAGACATGAAAGTGAAAATAAAAGCCTGGGAAGGGCAACTTACAATAAAAGCGTATCTAAACGAAAGGGTTTGAAGTTCAACGCTCTATTAATGCCACCTATTGTTAAATTCGACAATCGTAAGTAAAATGTAACAATAATAGACGCAATACACGATGGATGTTCTTTACTACAGAATCTTGTCGTCAAAGTGACTGGGATTCTATTGTTGCAATCCATAAAAATAGTAGAGAAGCTACTACTTGGGATTTTGTCAGATCAACAATGGGAAAGTTTCGTTTAGAAAATGAAAGATTTAAAAACGATGAAGCAAAGTATAAAAATGAAAAAGCCACTGTTTGTATAATATTGTTAAAAGCAAACATATTTGAAATATGCTTTCTTTCAGGCCGTTTCGATGACGCCTTGTGGTAATTTTTGCGTTATTGGGTATAGCAGTGGTCATGTTGATATGTTCAATATGCAATCAGGAATGCATAGGGGCCAATTCGGAAAAAATAGGGGTATTTATTTGCTTAAAAAGTAATGAATTATATTGTTAACAAAATCAAATTTTGACAAAGCTCACAAGGCATCTGTACGGGGAGTGTCAATTGATGAGTTAAGTGAACGGGTTATTACGACCGGGGCTGATTGTGCCGTGAAATTTTGGAAGCTAAAACAGAAGATATTACTTAATTCTTTGATTTTACATTCACCTGCTAGTCAGTCAATATTACATAGAAGCAGTGCTTTGCTAGCAATTTCTCACGACGATTTTAGTATATCATTAATTGATATAGACACGCAAAGAACTGTGAGAAAATTCTCTGGTCATACTAGCTTCATTGAAGATATGGTAGATATAAATTTATATATTTGAACAGACAATTTTATTTGCTATAATACACTGTTAATACCATTCTTTCTAGGTATTTAGTAACGATTGCCGATGGCTCATTTCCAGTTCTTTAGACAAATCGATAAGAGTTTGGGACCTTTTAACAGGAAGGTACGCATGTTTTTTGTTATCTATTTTTTTGTGTTAAGCTATGTTTAATAATTGAACGTTGGTATATTCAGCTTGATCGATTGTTTTCTTGTTCGTTCTCCTGCAAAGAGCTTAGCATTTTCTCCAACGAACGAGTTTTTCGTTACAACTCACGTAGACGATGTCGGTGTCTATTTATGGACAAATAAATTACTTTACGCTCACGTTCCTCTCAAGCCTCTTCCACATGATTTCAATCCATCAATTTTGGAACTTCCAACCACTAGCGAAAGAATAGAAGATAATTCTAATGAGATGGATGTCGATTATACAGATAATCAGTATGAAAGTCCAAATCAAATTTCAACTGACCTCCTAACACTGTCAGGACTCCCGAGCTCCAGATGGGAAAATTTATTGCATTTGGATGTAATAAAGGCTAGAAACAAGCCAAAAGAACCACCAAAGAAGCCTCAGAATGCACCATTTTTCCTCCCAACAGTTCCTGGCTTAGTCCCTAAGTTTACAAAGCCAGAGGAGGAAAAAGAAAAAATAGAAGTTGTAAAGGCAAACTTTCTCAGTCAAACGGAATTTGGTCGTCTTCTAGTTGAGAATAAGAGTAAGACTGACTTTATTGTATTTAATTAGTATTTTTGAAATATCTCATATTTTAGGCGATGAAGCATTTGAATTCTTGAGATCCCAGGGTCCAAGTGGGATTGAAGCGGATATTTTAAGTTTGGCAATGGAAGATAGCACTATGGTTCTCTTCCTTGATATGATTGAGAATGGCTTAAAAACTTATAAGAATTTCGAACTGTATGAATCATACCTGGCTTTGTTCCTTAAAGTAAACAATTATAACTTTTTAAGATTTTCTTTAAACATTAAATTTTTACAGCTGCATACCGTTGAAATATTGGAAAGTAAGGAGCTACAGGAAAAGTTAAATTCTGTACATAAAATTGAAAAAGAAATTTGGAATGAATTAAAAGAATTATTTTCCGAAACTATTTGTTTAACTGAATATCTTAAAAATACGTTATTTTAAGTTTTGTATCAGCTGTTACATTTGTTTTTATATATTTGTAACGATATTTATTAAATATACATCAGCCTTTTGTGAAGAAGTCTTTTTATGTGCGTATCGAATATTGAATGAACTAGTGACACCTGTATTGTGTCGACTATGCACCGGAAATGCAAAGTGCTCACCAGGTTCGAGTTCCTTAAGTATTTACAAAATAGGGCTGTATTATCGGAGCAGGAGGCCCGACTCGAAATGCCGACAGACAACATTTTCGGCGGTGGAAATGCACTAATCATTAGAAACATTGATCCAACATTGCCCGTGACGATACTTAATTAGCTTTTGAATCAAAATTTAAAAGTTTGGATACAATAGCGACCTGTTTGAAGTATCGATAATATGGAAATGCGTCAGAGAGACCAATGGGGCGGGTCGAGTAAGTTCTTTTTTCATTTCAGCTTTATTCTAAAACTTTAAAGTACGCGCAAATTTATATTTTCCTTTTAATGGTTAATTATTGACTTGTTTCATCTTATCTAAAATCGGCGCTTCGTTGAAAGATTCATAATCTGTCATTATCACATGTACGCGTTCGGCTAAAAGATTTCAATCAGACCAAAAACAAAAGCGTCGTCTTAGAAAATGGCGTGACGTCGGCTAATCGTTTTATCATGTATACGAAAATAAACAATTCATCGTCCTGTAAAGCAGGCTAAAAGTTCAAAGACGCGTTCATGCCCGTAACCGATAGCCCCCAAAAAACCCAGAGATACATTCCTTTAAGGATAGTATCGATCGTTATCGTACGACATTGAGGATTTAAGTCGATCCGTATGGAAAGCTCTTTTTTTGATTCCCATATAATAAACTCATCAGCTACCTGATTAGACGTTAGTTTACTTGCTTTATCAATACCTCAGATCGTGTCCTATCGACGTTATAAAGGAAATCGTGATGAAGAGACATATTTTAAAACATTGGTTAATTTATTTATTGAGTTCTGTTAAGTTGAGGGTTATTAAAATATTTTAAGTATTAGAGTCCGTCTGATTCCTGTGTGGCGCTTGTCGGCAAGATCAATTGTAATGCGAATTTAAAAGAGTCGATAATTGGTAGATTCCAAACTCTTCAACGATACTTTTTTAAATAGTAACTCATCTATTTCAAATTATTCATTTTGAGATTATATCTCAATGAAATTTCAAGGCTAATTTTGCGTGAAGAAACACATGCTGAGAATGTAAATAACACTAATGTAAGACGGCGAAACAAGAGAAAATACTCTTATTTTATAATATAAATAGCCAAGGTTAGTGTACGTATTCAAATCGCCCCATCCTACGCATTTTTAACATTCCTTATATTTTCACCTCACCATTTTTAAGGATTGCATTGGGAAAAATTCCGTTTATTATATATTCTTTGAGTAAAAAAAGGCCTTAAAAGGTAGAAAAAATTTACTAGGGGATTTCTTTCCTTTCTTATTCTCAAACTTTTATTGAGATCTTTTAAAAATAAGCGATAGAATAAAAATAAAATTGGTTAAATCTCATTATAAACTTTTCGTGTATAAGTCCCTTAAGCCTCGCAAAGACTAATCTCACATTAGGATTTTGAATAGGCTTTTTAATTAGTTACAAGGGCGCAGATTACCAATTGAAAAAAAGAATTATTCCGATCGTTAACTTCTACAAACCGCTTTCTTCGTTCAACAGCCCAATATTGTTTTCCGTTAGGGAAGTTGTTTCGAAAATCCCCTCCTCCATTTCCGGTACAAAAAACTTGCTCTCATTTTCAACTGAGTTAATACTCGGGAGGCTTGTGCTCTGGAGTTGATCGCAGGCGTCAGGGAAAGTGAATTTTCCCAAAACTGCATCATTAAATATAATTATTTTGTCCTCTCTAGCTTCATCTGAAGTAATGTTATGGATAAATTTATTATCTAGTATAAACTTTTCTCTTTTCTTGACTTTGAAGCAAGAAGCTGGACAAGAAGCTCTTTCTACAATTGTCAATTCGCTCTTATCTCTTTTGAACTTCTTATATTTTTTTATCTTTAGTTCAAAAGAATCTATCACTTCATGCTCCTTTTCCATACGTTTAGTCAATTTCATCACATCTTCAAAGCTAACCTCGTGAGCGCATAGGAATTGCCTCATTTTATGAGACATATGAAGAGATTTCCCGCATAATAATTTTTGCATTGTTCGCATTTCATCGTAGAGAGAAACTGAAAAGTGTCTCACTATGTCATTTGGTGGTCTGGATAAGATACTCTTTGTATTAGTCATTATAAATTCGATAAACATGACCATGATTTTATCTATACCACTCTTAAAATCTTGATGGTCAAAATCCGATTCTATAACATCTTGTATGATGTTCTTTCTTAGCTCTAAATCTTCTTTGCAATAGTAATTCTCCTCATTAAAAGAATTATCCGTGCAGCTCCTTTCAAGTTTACCGCAACTTACTTCCATTGAAACGGAATTGATTTTGGCCCTTGAGAATGTTTTGGGTGTTTCATTTGAATCGATTACAACGGTTGGCGGTAGTTGGTATTTAAAGCGTTCCGCTTCGTAGGAACAATTAAAAGTTTCATTATTAAAAATAAAAGATGGCGATATTGAAATATTTGGCGGTACGCAAACCGTAGTTTGACGTAGATCATTTGAAATATCGAACGTTGGACAAGCCTTTGTTTTGCTAATCTGAAAAAAAAATACTCGATTTATCACTTTTTAACTCTTTTGCTTTTTGCTATCACGTATTTGTATTTAAATAAAAAAGTACTTTACGTTTTCCTTGGTATCGACTTCCTCACAATCTTGCTCTTTGTGTCTTTTCTTCATTTCCTATCTACAATTAATTGAACAGAAAAGATTTCCTTTATTGTGTTCTTCTCTCGTAAATGTCAATTGTTTTGCCCGATAGAAGAGAATACTAAATGAAATAACAAAGATGCAGGAATCTGGAACTATTTAGGGTCGATGCCGACTGTAATCTGTCAAATAGTTCGTTCGTTCTATTTACTTAACTTGATTCGTTCGCTGAGTTTTCAACGACTTCTTTGTCGTGTTTCCGTCAGAACGAGTCCATCAAAAATTTAATGAAGTAATAAAAGTCAATTATTATTAAATAAACATTTAGTTTCGTGAATATATTTTAAATATCAAAAAAGGCATCACTCGTTGCGAGAAACGTATGTAGACTTTACGGTAGGCGATCTTTTGGTATTGTAGCACCTGAGAAGCTGAACTTTATTGACATGAAAGTAAACAAAATTCTATGAATATTTGTTCCTGATTTTTTCCATTTTACTCTTTACCTCTGCTCCTCCCCTTCTTTTGGAAATAAACTAACCCTATGGCTTTCTATAATACTATGAAATTGATGACTGTAAAGATATTTCTTTATTTAAGCTTTTTTTATTTTCCCTAGACTTTGATCCAGACAAGTACGAAACAATGACAATCACCGGATCAAAGTAAGTACTATTTATTATATGTACTTGTTCAGGTTATAATGGTACTAATATATATATATATATATACTGTACAGTATACTGTACGTAGACTCTATATTCATAGTAGGGTAGACTAGTCATTACAAAAAAGTGAATGCATTTGCTTTTGCAACATAATAAAGATATTACAATAGAGAAAATATATAATAGAACTATATCCGCTTTTTCTGAGTCAAGATACATCCACACTGTCAGGATCTTTTAAAATTAACTGTTTTTTAATATTTCTTATTTTAAAAAGCGTTCAATTCGCATGAATGCATTTGTGTAGAAATTTAATAGCCACCTTTCCACCGCTCATCCCTTTTCTCATGAGAATTATTGATGCAATAAAATCTGGACGAAAGCCAATTAATAATATGGTACATTGACACGTGCCAATAAAGAAAGGGAACTACAAATGCTTTTGAAAGGCCTTTAGGCCTAACAGTATGAATGTTGTTTTTAGAAAAAGGGCTGTAGGTAAAAGAAAAATTTAGTAGTATTAAATAGAGTAACGAGAAACTATTTGGTGGACGTAGCCGCCCTAATTTAGTTTTCATTGATTGGAATTTTGAGGGAAATGATCGCTTCCGATTGCTCTTGCAATAGCTGTGTCAATTCCAATTAGAATGACTCCCGGGCCGGATGAAGTCGATTCTGACAGGAAACAAGTGTACATGTCGTTAGAAACAAACTGTGTTTGAAATTCGAAACATGCTGCTTCCGATAAGAGCTTACGTACTTTAAAGTAACGGTTCGAAACCGGATGCCCGATTTTACGGAGAGGGATTACGCTTTTCAAGTAGAATTTTACTTTAGACGTAATGTTTGTTTATGCCATCTACCGCCTATTTTGATCCTTCCCCTATCAAAGTTGTGCCCTCTACGGTAGATCCAAGTTATATAAATAAGCGACTGGCCCATTAGACACTCTCTATCAACGGAATAAGTTCGGTTATCTTCTAAAGAAAACTGGCAGTTGTCTTAGTTGATTATTGATATATACCGCTTTCATTTGTAAGTGTTGCTTCCTTATTTTTGCTTTTAAATCTAAATGATAATCAAGCTTGGTTTATAGTTTCCTTCTCTTAAAATAATGGGATAAACTCGAAATGAATTATACAGAATATGCAAATTTAAGGAATATTTTACTTATTTAAGCGAAATTTAATATTTTTTTGTTTTATAATTAGTAAATGATTTTATTAAAATTCAAATTAACTCTTTCAGTTCTCCTACAAAATACGGTCATCCTTATTCTACTGTTCATAATATCTATCCAGATGTTAGTCATGATGATAGTTTAGTAAGTATTATCTTGAATTATTTCAATTTCTTTTAAATGGTGTGGCTGTTGAGTATATAACTGAGAAAGAAATACGAGAGAACCGAATGAACTTTCACCGTCCGCTGTTTCTCATTGGTTTTATTATCGCGATACCGTCCGAAACAGTGGCTAACAACTTTCCCTCTACCGCAAACCTTTCATTTGTACCACCGCCCACTTTCTTATTTTTTTTTTTATTTTATACATGTCTAATTTACGAACGTGTAGAAGATTGTGTGAGAGATTTGCTAATTAGGGAAATAATGGTAATAAATAATAATTTTACTTTGTTACTAAAGCCGAGCATCACTTGATTAGGTTTAAGAGCCATTCAGTACTAAATCAAAGTATTTTAAGAATTGTAAAAATAATCAATAATCCTCTATCGAAAATATCTAAAAAAGAAAAATTTACATGCCAATATAATTTGGCAATAAACTTGAGCCTGATGAAAGGATGATTGCAAAAGTAAACTGATAAGATAAATAAGGGAAATATTGGTTAAAAATTTTTTTTGAAATTCATTAGTTGAAATTCACGCATGTGTTCTCAGGTAACAAATTTTGTGGTCTAATTAATTTATTTATAAAAGCGGTAACCAGCGAGAACATCTGCAGTAATGTTTACAAGGTGGCCTAATATTGCTTACAGCTGTCTAGTGGTGCGAGGAAAGTGATTCGATAAAAGTTACACTTATTTTTCGCTAATCTGCTAGTTGTAATTGATTCGTAGCAGATTAACAAATTCTATCAATAATACAAGTGAAAACTGTTTTTCGCATCTTGCAAAGGAATAGATAGTTGTACTGTTTTTTATTTTAAATTTACTATTTTTAATGGCCTATTTTTAAGAAAGCTTTAAAGGAAATGTATCGTGCAATATTTATAAGATGTTTGTCGATAGTGATTTACTTTTGCATTTGCTTATTAAAAAGGATTTTCATTAACAATACCATCAATTACTTTTAACAAATTTATGGGTATCTTTTGCTAGTATTTAAAAACACTCCATTTTTATGCCATAGAAGAAGAGCGTGGCAAGCATTAGTTTTACAGCAGGTATACAAGTGTAAACAAATCTTGTACTAAAATTGTCGAATCACTCAAGTCTACGTTTGTTTGAATTATCGTCAGTTTTAAAGGGAATTGTACATGTTTCTATTTTGACTTAATTAATTCTCCAATAACAAAGCCATTTATCATGCTGATTTAAACTACTATCTTTAGACGATGTTGGACTGTTGGGAGAGAGATTATTTAGACGTGAGTCTGAAAAAAAAACAATGATTTACTGTCAATTTTATTGCAAACTATTCAAGTTAAGGTTTTTTTTAGTGTGCTATTCTCACTGTAATTTTTGTTTCTATTCCTTCTGCTGTACATGTTTTGACTAGGACTTGATTGATGCTTAATAAGTATGCGCGGTGTGAGTTCTTCGGTATGTATGCACAATATACTTTTCGTATGCCTGCATATATGCCCAGCTTTAATATAATTTATTTTATTTTATGTTATTGGTATCTATCTTGTTATTGTTATATTTTCTCAAGATAATAAACTAATTTTTCCACTACACAGGGCGACGCCACGATGTGGGAAACACACCACGTGACTCTAAGTAAGGTGCAACCTTACGGATTCGGTATAGCCGTTAGCGGAGGTCGAGACAATCCTCACTTTTCAAGTGGGGAACCGTCAATAGCTATATCCGACGTATTGAGAGGAGGCCCGGCTGAAGGTCGTCTATTGTAAGAAAAATATATAAACAGTGGGGGGTCTCTATTACTTAATACTTTCCTTTCGTCTTATAGCCATAATGATCGGGTACTTTTCGTCAATTCCGTCAGTCTGGAGAACGTGGATTATAATACAGCCATATCAGTGTTGAAAGAGTGCGGAGATACGGTTCATTTAATCGTTAGACGTAAGGCCTCCCCTCAATCGCAATGCCGAGAAGCAACCCTATTGAGAACATTGGAAAATTCTCATCTTCCTTGGGGAGTTGTATTTGGCTGCAAACTCTTCGTGTCACGAATATTGCCCGATTCTATAGCTTCCAAAGAAAAAAACATACATGAAGGCGACGTCATATTATCTATTAATGGTCAAAAGACTAGTCATTTGTCTTTAGTTGAAGCTCAAAAATTGGTTGACAGGTGTAGAGATCGCCATTTAAAAATGAATGTGTCGAAGCACGAAAGAGAAATATTAAATAGAACAGGAATTTCCGACAATTCAACAGATTTAAATCAAAACTATAGCAGTAGTCCAAGATTGAACGAGGAAAAAATATATTCTAGTAAGTGGATCATTGCTAAACAATTCTTCTGCTTAATAATTGTTGCTTTAATTTGAACGCCTCTGTATATATTCATTAAAAACTATAATTCAATCAATATATACAGCTAATACAGCAAAGTCATCAGCAGATGATGGTCCCCCTAGACCACCCTTACCCGCCTGCTTGGGTATTCGCTTATTTTATAATTAATCTCATTCTAGTATACTAGGCAACTTGTGTTTGATATTTTTATAGACTCGAATTATCAGCAAGTTCCGATAAAGAAGACAGCTACGGGATCGCCTAGCCAACAAGCACCACTCGATTCTCGAGTACGTATAGTGCAATTTACAAAATATAAATCTGGGCTTGGAATAAGAGTTTCTGGTGGAAATCGAACCGGTGTCTTTGTTGCAACTGTTAATTATGGAACACCTGCTTATGGTTTACTGTTTGAAGGCGATGTACTATTATCCGTTAATGGTATGGAGTTGGGTGGAAGGACTCGAGAAGAGGTTGTAACAGTTTTAATGAATCTTCGAGAGCAGGTGGAATTGCAGGTTCAAAATAGAAAAGAAGATTTCAGCAGGCTAATGCAAGATGGTGGATCTGGGGATTCATTCTATGTTAGAGCTCATTTTTCATACGATAATCCCGATAAGGATTGCATGCCGTTTAAAAATTCTGATGTCTTTCACGTTACGGACACTTTATACAATGGTGTACCAGGATTTTGGTGTGTGAGAAAACTGGGAAAAGGTAATAAGACCGTTGAGATTGGAGTGATTCCGAATCTAGAGAAGTAAGTGTTATTGGCCTTTAAGTTGGTAATTCATTTGTGATTGGTAAAAATTGTTTTTAACGCAGGGCCAGAGAATATGTTGCAAAGCAGAGAGAAATTGCTCAAAGTACCGAAGATAAAGAGAATAAAAGGAGCTCTAGTATATTTTTTATGAAAAGAGCAAGAAGATCAAAGTCTTTAAGTAAAGATCATTGGGAAGAAGTTGTGTTTTGTAAGTTTGCATTGCACAATGTCAAAAAATATCTATTTTTTTTTCGTTTTAATAATAGCGAATCCTACTACGAAGTTCGACGCATACGAAAGAGTTGTACTCAGAGATCGTAAGTGCTCAAATTATAATGATTTATTTATATCTGATGACTAGAGTAACTCACTGAATTTTTCATAAAATAGCTAACATTATTATTAAAACACAAACCACACTAATAGGAAGTCCTTTAAGTTCAAGCTGTTTGAAAAAGAAAATAGGTTTTAAAACATTAGGTTTCGTTAATAAGAAAGTTATTTAAAACTTACGATATAATTTACGGATAGCATTGATATCATCCATGTGCAATTTAAAGTTGGGATTGTAGCTACGATAAATTGGGTACATGACTGAATCTCTAACTCTACTGTGACGAATGCCAAGAGCATGTCCAAGTTCGTGAACTGAAACGTAGTACAAATTCTTTCCGCTTCTGCTTCTATCTGTCCAGTATTCGTCATCATCGAAATGCACGTCACCATTGGTGGGATAGAAGGCGTGAGCCAAGATTCTTCCTCTACCATCGAAGGGAGAGAAGCAACCGTGGTTTCTTACACCCCATTTCATTTTTAAGTCACAGCTCCTGCTTGATGTATATCTGATATTCAAGTTTCCGTATCTGGTCCAAGCTCTAACGGCATCTGAGATGACTCGGCGAGCAGTGCTTGGTGAAAGATCTTTTGTGTAGTCTGTAATGCAATAAGAAAGGGTTCTTTTTGGAGAGTATTTAAACCAGCTTGTCCAGACTTGATAATCTTGACTATTGTCACCATCACCACCATCGGTAATACCACAACGATCTTCTTTCATTAAAGTTAAGGTTTCTTCATTGAGTCTGCCTGTTTCTTCTAAACCAACTTCACGTTGGAATCTCTTAACAGCTTCGTTAAATTCTTCTGTTTCCCAACTGGCCACAAGAGTATTTTCCGATTTTTTATAGCCAGCAAATTGAGCCAAATACGATTCAATTTCTTCTAAATCGACCGGAGGATCCGCTGCAGTAGCTGCTGCAACAAGTAGGAAAGCAAATAGGAGAACCATGTCTTTAGTTGTAGTTGTAGTTGTCTTTCTCGATTTTACATCAAATAAAGTTTTTCCACTTCTTATATACTATTGCCGGTTACTATTTTCAGTCCAATTAGCACCTTTAGAAAAATTTTTGTTATAAATACTTTTGTGAATAGTGACACAATCTACTTATTTTTATATTTTACTAGCGCCTTTCGTGAGACCTGTGGTTATTTTTGGATCCTTAGCTGATGTTGCAAGAGAGCATTTATTAAAGAATTATTCAAAATCTTATGAATCACCTCGTAAGTCCTTAAATATTTTCTTTTATTATAACTTTGATAAATATTTCATCAATCCACATTTGCTTTTCTGATGCAATCTTAAAACACGTTTAGAAGCTGAGAGCAACACTAAAGGCAGATCAGGGATAATCAAGTTACAGAGCATCCGTAAAGTGATAGAAACACAAAAACACTGTTTACTTGATGTTACCCCATCGGCTGTTGACAGACTCCAACACGCCCAATACGTCCCCATCGTTGTCTTTTTAAAGGCTGCGTCAAAGGCAACCGTTAAATACCTACGCAACAAATCTGTTAAGAAGAGCAGAAAATCACCAAAAAGTCTATTCGACCAAAGCGAAAAGCTGGAAAAGATTTATAGTCATCTCTTTACAACATATGTCTATTTAGAAGGGGAAAAGTGGCTTAATAAGCTTGAAGAGACGATTAATGCACAACAACAACAGCCAGTTTGGATGACCCATGAGGCACCTGAAATGGACGTTGATGATGAATATTTCTTTCCTATGGCAGGAGGTTACTATTAATTAATCCTATTGTGCTAAAATATCAGTTATATTTTTCTAATTTAATTTTTTCCTTTAGCTGACAATCGTCATAGTTATGCGTCTGGACCAGAAGATCTAGGAGAAATCGACGCGGTATGGAATCAACAGGAGCATGAGCATGTTTCCCAACCCCAGCATCGTATTTCAGGCAGAAAACATTTTTATAGAACTAATTCAGATCCTAGTTTATCAACTACTGAAAGGGTGCCTGGAATCCCTCCTTACCCTAATCCACCGGCATACATGCATGGTTATGAACCCCCAGCTGTACCGCCTCTGCCGGTAGGCGATTAGATTTTTTTTTTTACTATTTTATTAACACTATCAAATGTCATAAGAATGCACTTATTTTAATTTATTTTATCTTAAAATTTACAAACAATTCACATTATTAGCAAAAGAATGGACCTAGCAAATCACACACGGACATAGCACATTATCCGTATGACAACGGTAAATAAATGACGATCTCAGTTTATTTTATTATTCTTCTAATTGTGTAAAATGATCTCACTTAGAATTGAGTAGACGTGGTGAACCACTATACAGCCGGGTGCACGCCAAACAATATCAGGTCGTTGAGCAAGCAACACATAAAAACCATCAAGATCCTAAAACCTACAGCTCAACCCCTAGTCTAAGAGAATATCGAGTAAATTTTTTATTCTTCATTTATAAATTTATTAGACAGACAGGCTAGTAACCTCTATTAATATTTTGCTCTTAGAATCAGGCAGTCATGGATGATTATTTGGCTAATCAACAAGATGATGTCAAGCTGAGAGTTAAAGAAGCATCCTCCAGAAGGGAGCCCACTTACACTAGGGTGCCAGTACGACAACCATTGTCACCTGCTACTTCCGGTTACACTTCAGATGATCAAAAATTAAGTAGACGTGAAACTCGTGATGGATCTCCCCAAAGTAAGCCACCACCGAATCGTATGAACTACGAAAGGAACAGACCAAGGAGCACAGTTGTAAATCAAGCATTTCCAAAATATCCAGGTCACGATAGACCAGTATCGCATTATGTTGACCGTCCAAACTTTGATTGGCTTCAGAAGCAAAAACAGCAGAAAAACTGGGTTTCAGAAGCAGATAAGCTAGCTAAAGAAGAGAGTCCATATGGAAAGCTAAGCGATTTTCAATCGGAAGTTAGCCCACCCAGAAGAAACGTGCCAACGCATTTGGACAATCCTATTTACGTTGACGCTAACCAAATTCGGCGAGCTAAACATTCTGCAAGACCTGGAAAGGGTAATCCGTACTCTTCCACAAGCACTTTCCAGAAAAATGATAGAATAATAGGGAGATTGAACGCCAATAAAACAAATGGAGAAAAGCTCGCCGCCATTAAATCATCTCAAAAGTAGGTGTTATTTGTATTTATTTGTGATTTTTGGTTTTTTTTTTGCTTAGTGCATTTATTAAGGATTTTATTTTGTTTTACTTTTCCCCTGCATGTAGTCACTTTTCTGATTATTCTCGATTTACAAATCAACACTCATACCATCAAGATTCGCAGCAAAGAGAAACTCCGCCACCACCACCACCACCTCCCCCCCCTAAACCACCTATTTCTTCCTCATCTTCATTTCAATCTTATAAAAAATTAGTTACTAGCCCCGGTTTTTATGCTACTTCTTCGTCCAATGGTGTTCCGCAAGTTCAGCGTGACAGGTAGCATTAGCTTTAGATCGATAGAACGATTGCGTCATGTGTCGGATTTTAATTGATCATTAATTGTTTTTATAGGCTTCAATCAGAAGAAGGTGAGCACGAGGTAGTTGCAACCGCCTCAGGTGTATTTGGATATGAGGGGGGAATTTTAGATTCTCCCGAATCTGGCGTCTCTATTGTAATACCAAAAGGTGCTATACCGCATGGAGTGCAACAGAATATATATTTTAAGGTAACTTTGCGCGCCATCTATTGGATTTATATTTGCCCTTTTCAATGAAAACATTTAGGGCTTGACGGTTTTTTTGCTAAAGGGTACAAACGATGAAATTCTTTTCAGGTCTGTAAGGATAATTCACTTATGCCTCCTTTGGACAAGGAAAAGGGAGAAACATTGCTGAGTCCGTTGGTGATGTGCGGTCCTCACGGTTTAAAGTTCGATCAACCTGTAGAGCTTAGATTACCGCATTGCGCTTCCGTAAACCCAGATTCCTGGGCATTTGCTCTAAAATCATCATCAGACACAACATCGGGTAAATAAAAATTCTCATTACGAAGTGATATAGTATAAATAGATGATTTCTTTTTGACAGGAGATGGTTCAAAATGGCAGGACGTACAATTAGCCGGTTTGGATGCCCTCTCTCAGGGCGTTGTAGGCAAAAATTCCGTATCTGTTCTTGTTGATCATTTTTAAAATATTTTTTTAATGATTTTTTATTATTTAAGTATATGTAATTGTTTTCCTCTACTAAACAAAAAAACAATCCGGGTGTTTTCTATTTGCTAATACCGTTCAGGCAGTCAAAATTTTTTTGTAATGCAATGTTTACTACGCTTATTTTGTGTAAGCTATTGACAAAAAAGAGAAAAGGAAAAAAAAATAGCCTGTTTACAAATTCTTTTTATATTCAGTAAAAATATAACGAAAAAAAAAACCGTTTATAAATCAGCGTTTTATATATATATATACATATACTGTATATATATAAAAAATTAATAGTCTCATTTTTATCTGCGCATCAAATTTTCTTTTTAGTTTCTCTCTTGTGTTTCTAGATTTAATAGCGAACAGAGAAAAGCTAATCGGATGGTTGCTCAACTTGAAAGTCAGGCTAAAATTTAGTTAAGGAAATCCTCCTGTTTGATAGGCACCGAAACGTAACTCTGAATCTCTGAATTCGTATAGTGTCAACAGCAATTATTTACTTTACATAATGGAAGGCGTTGAATTGCAATTTATTATAGATAGACGCCTCTTTGCTTTCTTCCACCAGAAGTTCATTGATTTTTGAGAAAAAAAGTCTTAATCGTTTTTTTTTTTATAGTGAATGTTTATATTTACATACACGAGATAACTTGTGTATGAACGTTGAACGGAAATTTACGAACTATATCTAAACAGTTTAAGGAGATTAATATTGAGAGTAGTCTGCAGATGGCGAGGCCGTACAAAAACAAACTGTCGGTAACGTCCTAATGAGAATTCCCCGAATGACTATCAATGAACATCAACAACAGCTTCCGATTAATCAAACGTAAAATACCAAGCGGAATTCGAGGATTTGAAAAAAAACGCGTATGGAAGAAATTTTCTTATCTTGGTCTAATCAGGTCTGATAGCATCGTGGTCGGTGTTCGCACAATTTTATAGAATCGATTTCGAATACATAATAGGAAAACACTTTTCATCTTTTTCATTTCTGTTCTCTTCTCAATCTCCATCAATCTTGTGGAATGTAGAGTTTGTTTATTTCTTAAAAAGGAACAAGTGAGTGTGAGTAGCGCCTGATCCATCATCTTCGCCTCCACCCTCCATAAATTTCCTAGCACGACTGGAACGCGGTCGAATGCGAGTATAATAAATGTAAGCGTAGATAGCGCCAAGGATTGCGCACAAAGCTGCTAGCACGCATAGAGCGATAACGCCAGGCGTCAACTGCAAAACTGAAGACTGTGGTTTAGCGGTCGTCAATTCCATCAAACCCGCTTGTTTTTTCAGCGCCGTTATTGTTATTGCTGGGGAAATATAGTTTATATCCCTTTCTTCCTCTATTTACTATTTTGCTTTAGTTCACTTTTCCTTTCTTCTTTATAGGTAAATATTTGCTCAACACTATCAAATAGTTATAAGTTCTGCTTTCCCGCTACTCACCTTTCGCGGGACGACGTTCATCATTCTCAGTTTGTTTTGTAGAGTGTTTTGCAGTACGCCGCCGCAAAAAAGATGCTGGAGCGCCACGCAAGCAGTTGCTATGGAAATATTGCAGACACGTGACAAATTACGGCCTTCGTCTATCTCAAATAATTGCAAGATATCCTCATTTATTCTGGGATTTATTTACTTAAATTATATAAAAGAATTAAATAGAAAAGACAAAATATCAGAATGGCAAAATTGATTTTAATATCAAGTATAATCATTAGACTAAACCTTATTTCTTTTCACGACTATAGATAAAGGTAACAGATTACTGATCTTTCTGCTTTTCAGTCTCATGATCCATTTGACTTTTAACAGGAAGATACAATTGTTGACCATCTAGTAAATTACCTTTAAGTTGAACCTGCACTTTTGGAACCGGTTCAGCCCAGGGTTGTTGTTTAGCGGAGCCGAAAATTGAATAAAATGCGGTACAGAAGAACAGAACACAAGATGAAAGTAGGAAGACATTCTGCCACTGTTCTACTGTCTGTAAAGAAAATTAGAAATTACACGGAACAAACGTTCCTAATAAATTCTCATTTTACATTAGTACTCATTAGATCAGAATATTATTTTCTCTTAATTTTCGTCTTTTGCATTTTCGACACGTCAATTTTTTTATATTTTATTTATTCTCTCGCGACAAGGATGAAAATGTTAATAGAAATTTGAAAAGTAGTTTTTTTTTATTGAAATTTTTTTTAAAAAGAAACAACAAAACCGAGAAATGAAATTACTTTCTCTGTTGGAAATAATTTTTACCCTCAGTACTAAAAGAAGACTTAAAAGGTGTTTGTAGGCTAATGGTCACTCTCGACTACTTAGAAAATATACCTAAATAGTCTATGGGAACAAAAGTGAACATGTTCGGACTCTCAGGACTAACGTGTTATTTATTTCTTAATTATATAGATTGCATCTTAAAGAAATTAGATTGCCTATCTTTTCATTGAGAGTTGAGGTCGTGCCAGTGCAACAGACTATAAGAAAGTAAAAAGACGCCCTTACAGAGACTATTAAGGGTAATTTTTTCCTGTTAGGTATAAAGAAATTTACCTGATCTTTAGTCATTTGACCAACTAGAGTGGGATTTAGTATTCCTGCAACAGTTCCTACCGCTGTAGTAATACCTACTAGTACACTAGCGTATCTCGGCGATAGGTCTAGGTGATTTATTTGCCAACCGGAAATGCTAAAGCCGCTAAATCCGACTCCAATAGTCAAATATATAAGCGCCAAAGTCCCATCCCTAATAAAAACCAGCAAGAGCATACACGTCCCCTCCATTCCAAAACCTTTAAATCGGAAATAATTGGGACTTTCATTAGCTGGTTAATTGCTCGAAAATTGGATATATACCTATTCCAGTAAAGAGCTTCCTAACTTGCGTAGGTGTTACCATCCCACCATTGATTAAGTAATCAGCCATAGGGCCACTTAAGCCTGAAAATATAGCCATAAAAAGATGAGGCATTGCCGAATATAATCCATTCTGAAGCATGATGAAATTTAATCCATTAAAAGATATGATTTTCCCATTATATTTATTAGATAATGTTAATTGTCTATATATCTACCTCGGCAATTGTAAAACCGAAAACATTTAAATATTCTGGCTCGTTTGTTAATAATAGAAAAAATATGAAACTTCTGGCAAAATTACAAAGATTGAGAGCGTTTACTGGTAGAGATAGAAATATTTGTTTCCAAGGTACTTGATCATCCTGGAATAGAAATATAAGAGCAACAAAAACACTTTTAGGTAAACGAGAAGAATGATGGAATTATATAAGTTATTTGATTACTTCATGCACAATGGCGGTTTGACCTTGAGAAGCTTCAATATGTTTAATTTCATCTTGTGAAATAAATCGATGGTGAGATGGCTTCTCGAAACCAAGGAATAACCATATTATAAACCAAAATATTCCAATTCCACCTAGATTTTTATATTATACATGAGAAGAAGATGAAAATTTATTTCATATCTACACAATCAGCCACGTTTATGATAATAAATCTATTTTCTAGTTGAATTTCCTTACCGTGAAAGTAATACACATAGTTCCAACCTAAATAATGAGTAATAAAACCAGAAATTGGTAAGCCTATAACTGCTCCAGAGTAAACTCCTGTCAATACGACTGAACCCATTCTACTCTTTTCTTCTGGTGTAACCCAGTGACGCATAATCGCATAAGAACTAGGAAATAGCAAACCCTGTGTAAAATAAGAGAATGATAGAGAGAGACGTTAATACATAGTTAAGTATACAAAATGTACCTAAAGAGGAAGATGAAGATTCAAAGAGATTTCAATATACTTTATTTAATGTCATTTTTCGTTAGAAGTCGTATGCGTTCGACATGTATTTAGACGACTTCCTATTTAACGACGTTACAAGGAATATACTATATATGTAACGGAAATATCCTCTTACCTACATCTTGGATTGATATATGATTAAATTTTGACGGATAAATATAGAATATAGAAGTATATTCTGTTATAATACATTATATAATAAATTAATATTTATTTGTATATATGTTGAAATAAATCAGCAGTAAATTGCCTTTACAAAGTACAATAAATAATGCAATAGAACTAGTTCTCAATAGTCTTTATGAATTTATATTGAAATGTTGAATATCTCGCCATTCACAAAGTTTTTATTGCACTTACATACAGTATTATACAGTATATATGTATATATATATATATATATATATGTATTTACGATTTTATAGGCTTGTGTGAACTGTGCTTGTACAGATTAAGAATTTCTATATACTCTGTATTTGTGGTGAATATCTTATTGGATATTTTTTACCTCGCTTAATCCTTGTAAAGCGCGAACTGCTGCTGCCATTCCATAGCCAACTTGTTCAATGCAAATTGGAAGTAATAAGTTTAGAGTACAAGATACTAATATACATCCTCCGAATATTCTAAAAATAAGTTAATAAATAAAATTAGACTCTTCCTTTTTTGATATAAAGCAATTCTATCAATTAAAATAATAGGAAAATACTATAAATTCATTTTTATATTCCACCGTGATGGATGCTTTTGTACAGTTTTATGCTTGTTGACAATAAAACGTATATATATATTAAGAGTATTATACAAAACTGAATATAGAAATTTAATATAATTTTCATAAAACCTGTGAGCGGGAAACATTTGAGCTAAGATACCTCCAGGTATTTGTGTGAATAAATATCCTGTGTAGAATATACTATGCAAATATCCAACCATTTGGGACGACCAATTAACACTTGGGAGATTGAAAACGGCTTCGGCAGTTCCAACTTTTGTATGAGGTTTCTTATCCAAAAAAGTAATAGCGGTTACGGCTATATTTACTCTCATAGCATGTATAACAATCATTCCTAAACTTGTCATAATTACTATAATAAAACGTCTTGGAAAGTAGAAATCCATAATTATAGCAGATGAAAATTGTTGTTTAATATGAAATTTTCTGCGACACAAATATTAACAAATCTAAATTCATAACGAGTTAAAAGTTTTAAAACTTCGCTTAGTCATCTTGCCATCTGAAAAAATATGTTGGATTTTTAGTCGAAATGCTTTGTTAAGCCTATATTTCTTTTTTATACAATTTTATGCATTCACATCGATTATTCTTTCAAACATTTACAAACAGAGCAAATTTCAATGTACACAGCTGTTCATCTGCCAGTTTTGACTTAATTACCGTAAATGTTGCCGATTTGGTAATGTTATATCAAGACTTCCATCATTATCATCGGGTACTTTGTGAAATGAATAAGTGCAGCACTGTTCCTAGGATAACTATAACCTACTTTTTCAATATTGAAAACTATATAATAACTGGGCCATTATTTTATTTTCAAAGTCCTATATAGCGTAGTATAACAATAACTACAACAAAATAGAATAAGCATTTAATATGCTCAGACCATCTAAGTCCGAACACAACATTATAGATGGAGCCTTATATGGTTTTGGCTTATTTACGAGTTCGCCATCTATTGGAATACAGCTATAATGTATTTCTGACGTAAAAAGATCGATATTAGACGCTTATGGCGTCACATATACAGTAGTTGAGCGAATATTCCACAGCATTCACGATGATGTGGAAATTCGTTCTGATTTCGCTGGCGTTGGTTGAACTCTCCTCCAGTTGGCCGCAATATCATGGAAAAGAGAATCTAGACGAGGTATTTAATTTATATCATCTCTTACAGGACCATATTGTTCATACTTTATTTTAGTCTTTGTTTTTGTTATGTGTTTTCATTTCCAATCTTGTTGAACAGCTGATGAAAGAATTTTTTGGTGACAATTTGGAGGGAAAGCCATCATATGTATCAGAAGTTGAAGAAACTGTAGAAGGGGAAGAAAATGACCTTGATCTGCATGAGGACACTAAGTGGAACGTTCCTTCAGGAGAGGTTGGCGGACTCGCTGTAGATAGAAATGGTCTATTGGGTGTTTTTCATCGGGCCGAGAGAATCTGGAAATTAGAGTAAATAAAACAAATCTTTAAAGGTTTCAAATCAATCACTCTAATTTCTTCTTTTTCTATTTTATAGTGATTTTTCAAAGAACGGAACCTATTTGAAAAAGAACGAAGGACCAATATCTAGCCCCACTTTAATGGTGGTTGATCCAAGTGGAAAAATCCTCAAATCCTTTGGTGAAAATGAGTAAGCAGTCATTAATTATTTTCAACATATATGAATAAGCTATAAATAAGATTAACTATAGATTAATAATAATTATAATTGCAACTATAGACAGCAATTTAGCAATATATGGAATCTTCTGTAATCTTTCGTTCATTTATAAGAGCAATACATCATTGTATTTTCCAGATACTATATGCCGCATGGATTAACAATTGATAAAGATGGCAATTACTGGCTGACTGACGTAGCCAGGCATCAAGTATTTAAAATAAACAAGGGAGAGGAGAAACCTACGCTCACGCTTGGAACAGCTTTTGTACCAGCAAAAGATAATCAAGATTTAAAAAATTTCTGCAAACCAACTGACGTTGCTGTTGCTTCAAATGGAGAATTCTTCGTAAGCGATGGGTAAATAATTTATTATCAAAGGATATTTATACTTTATGTATAATGTAAGAGAAGAAGAGAGATTGTTATTTTAGGACAAAATCATGATTTATCTATTTATATTGAAGCTCTTTGCTTAATGTAACATTTGTCTACATTTAGTGTCCTGTAATTTTGTAATTGCATACTGGTTATTTGAAGCTATGTAATAATTTCTAAAACAGATACTGCAATAGTCGTGTACTGAAATATAGTCCGGATGGAAATTTAATTGGAATTATAGGAGAGGGTGATTTTGCCATCCCACACAGTCTAGCAATTAACGAAGATCTTGACATTATCTGCGTTGCTGATAGAGAACATGAAAGGTTTGAAAATGAAACATATATTCTTTATTCTGTTTTCATAATAAATTCAATAGATGTATTAAGTTAAAGTTGCTTTGTTTCCTTTCCTAGGATAACCTGTTATAAAGCCGGAATAAGGGATAAAGCCTACACAGGTCTAAAGATTGGACAAATCAATGAGAATGTTGGCAGGGTCTTTGCAATTGAATTTGGGTCCAACGGTAGGTTAAAAATAAAATAAATTCTAGAAAATGTAACAAGATTAGAGTTAGACAGAGAGCAGAACGTGCTCGTTTATCTCATTGTTTAAAAACTCCTTTTCCCATTCTTACAAATTAACCACCAGATGGCAGTTAATGTTATCAAATCAGCTTTATTTCTATGAACAGTTGTTTTTATTCTGTTTCTAGAAAAGAAAAACAATCATAAATATCTTAGCAAAAAGGTTAAAAAACTCACTTATCATTTAAAATTCACTAAAAGAGAGAGAGAGAGAGAGAAAGTTTGCTCAAATTATGATACTTTAAAAAGAAACTCATTTCCTCTTTTGTTCATTGTGCCAGTGTTCATAATAATAATTATGTAAAAAAGATATCAAAAACATTGAAGGAAAGTAACAGTAGAAGGGGAAGTTTATAAAATTAATTGTTCATTTATTTCCTTTTCTAAAAGAATAAAAGAAACAAATTGTAAAAAAAAAAAAGAATGAGAGAGAATTGTTGAAAGAAACAATTTGTATCAAAATTTAAGAAAACAAACAATATGCTCATTTTCTGTTATAATTTACAGGAAGACTGTACGCTGTTAGTGGAAACTCTGAACGCCTAGCTCCAATCGGTATGACTATTGAATTGGGTGAGGATGAAAGGGGAGTGTGGTCTTACGGTATTGTTTCTCTATGGTCTCCAGAAAAGGTTTGCGGAATGTTTTATAATTAAAAAGTTTATGTTAATTTTGTTTGTAAAATAATTTTAGAAATTCCAAAGTCCTCACGACTTAGCAGTGTCACTTGACGAAAGCAGCGTTTATGTCGGAGAGCTAAAAACCGAAGCTGGTTCAAAGAATCTGCATAAATTAACACATAAGGCCGTTGTCTTTAAAGATGTTTTACTAAATGATAATGGCAAAATTAAAGAAGAACAAGATATGGAAATTGTAAAGAAAAGTTATATGTAAGAAGATAAATCATAAAGATACATTTCTTCTTATGTACTATATAATTACATAGTATATGCACTTGTCTATATTTATAGACTATAGACATTGTTTATATGCTATATTACATGATTATATACAATAATAATGAAGCGTGGTGAATTTTAAGAGAAGTGACAAAGATTCACTTCGCATAAGACTTTTTTCTTTAAAAAAAAAATGTCTTGTCCACTGACAAATCTCCTTTTTCTCCTCTTTGCATAATTTAAAAAAAAGGAATACAATGCCAAATGTATCCAAAAATCTGTTAACAACAAAAAGAGAAATTTCTTTATTTATCTATCTATCTATCTTTTTGTCTCTGTAAAAAGAAATAAGATGAATAAAAATTAATAATCCTAAGTACTCGTATACCCAATTAGAATAATCCCCCCTTTAATAATCAGTCTAAATGATGCTTCATTTTGTGAAGAAAATGTATAAATACTTAATAACAAAAAAAAAAAACATCTCATTTAAGTTTTGTACTCGCGAATAAAAGTCTCTCCATTTCAACATTTCTGTTAGGTCTAGCTGACGGTAGGGCGTTTCGCTTTAGTGCAAAAGGAGACCTCTTTCTCTTCCTATCTTTTGTTAAAGCTATTAATTTTATTTTATATTTTGCAATCGACAACAGAAAAAAAATCGAATAGAATATGTCGATTTTATTTTCAACAATTGCAAATTATCGAATAAAAGATAGTTAGGCTTAACGTTAAGAGAAGAAATATATTAAATAATTAAGATATTCAATATTAAAATTGAACCTGGGAGGTTCTTAATTCAGATTACCAATATAACAGAAATAAATAAAGTATTTCTTACCAAATTATCAACGCCTATTCCTGAGCCTTTTAATTTGCATATAATTATTTTTGCCGCTTGTTAAAATACATTGTAATGCGCAAAAAGTACAAGAGAAGATAGATACAACATTCAATATTTATCGTGTAAATATTCTCTGTAGACCTCATTATATCATGATATAGAGAATATTTTGTTATTTATTTGTATTGAAGGAAAAAACGCCAAAATAATGATATGCTCAGAAGGAAGGCAATTAAAAGAAAAATTATCTATAAAAGCTAAAGGGGCGCAATAGAAAATTATTGAGCGGTCATTGAATTATTGAACATTCCATTCTCTTACCTATTTTACTCTTATATCTTTCTCACATTTCTTTCATACTCTCTCTCTCTCTCTCTCTCTCTCTCTCTCTCACTCTCTCTTTCTAAAAGCAATCACTTTTTTTCATATATATATGTATGTATACACACCTTTTTATATATGTGTATTTCTCAGAAACTGCAAATATAAAAGAACAAACTGCACTCGTGTCGAAAAAATCTGATACAATCTTATATCATTAAATAATTGATAACTTATCTATGCATAGGAACATATAATAAGTTTTAACAAGTAATACAAATTCAAAAAGGATTTTTCTTCTGCAAGCAAAATAAAATTATAATTAAAGAATAGACTCTCCTGGTAATGAAAACACCAAGGAAAAACAAGACACTCAATATATTAAAAACAAAAAAAAAAGAAAAATCTCTCGTTTATCTTATCTTTGGTGCTGAACGGTCGTTAGTGACTGTTTTTCTCAGTGTCACACTGGTAAACGGATTATTTACAGGGGGTGGTTCCTCCTCTTGATGTATTATAGGTGGTGGTGGCGGTAGAGCACTTGTACCCGAATAACCAGAACTGCTATTTGGCGGCGACGGGGTAAATGATCCTCTATGGTTGTGAGCATTATTAACAATTCCATTAATGTCGGGAGGAGGAGGTGGTGGGGGTGGAGCTGGTGGACCATCAGACTGTGTAGGCGGTATGGGCGGTGGCCGCTCAGGCCTAACTATGTAAATTTCATGCTTTTCTTGTTTTTCATGTCGCGGTGTATTTGTTCCAGTATTTCTTCTTGAGGTGTGCGGTGTTGACGACGAAGTATGAGCATGTCCACTTTCCGGATCGATGTAAGTGTTGGGCAATGTTGCCAGGTCTCCCAGACTTTTAACTCTATTAGCGCTCGATACTCCATCAGCCGGTACTGTGAACGATGCAGGGAACCAGCCCATCAAGTTACTTCTCTCATTCTGTCCATACAACCAGCCACCTCCCCTATTAGATCCCGCAACGACATTAATTACGTCACCTTCCGCTATTGATAGTTGTGTACCAGAATTCCCTGCTGTAAAGGAATATACAGCGCGAACTTTTTTCCAATCATCCTCATAAGGTCTTCTAGCCTTAGATCTTGCGAATTCGGCATGCTCGTAATCGGCTGTCGAACTATCAGGCTCTTGTTCACTGGGTGAAGAGTATACCTCTTCGTTTTGCTGACTCGAATTGGAGTGTGGATGGGGAGAAGAAACGCCATTTGTTTGGGAAACGTTCAAAGGATGAGCAAAGTTCATTAAGAAAGATTCAGACGATTCTGGTAACTTTTGCCACATTGATCCAATTGACGTCCATTCTGGCAGTCTATGTGTTAGTAACTCATGTGATTTGCTGTGTAGAGAAGCTGTTGATCTAATTATATTCAATATTCTATTAAGAAGATTACAGCTCCATCTTCGCTCACTTAAAAATGCCGATTTTAAACTTTGAACACGAAAATTGTCCAGGCGTGCCTGAGCGTCATTCAAGTCTCGTTCTATTTGCGCTTGCTTAGGGTCTATTCCTCCGAACTTGGAGGATTTTGATCGCTTTCTATGTTTTCTCAAGTTAGAATATAGTTTGTCTCTTGAAGTACAAGCTATCTTATGAGATGCTGTGTAACGTTTCAAGACAGTCTGAGGGGTAGGTTCAGTCGAAGCAAGACTATACTCGAGCGAAGCTACAAGTTCACTTTCGAATGTTTTTATCTACAAAGTTTTAAGCGTTGATTTAAAATAAAATTGTTAACTAACAAACTACGTACGTTATCTAGGATATTATTATTGATTTCCTTGTGAACTTCGGCTATTTGTAGTAAAGCACCACCTGTAAAAAAAAATCATCGTACAGGCCTATTTACTCATCGCTACAGCAACACGCGCCGGCTATATGCAGCAATCAATGCCATAGCCGTTACAGTTGACTAACATAGGCCTATAGTTCCTTTCATTGTGTATTCGTGTATATACACAGTACATTATATCCAACTTTTTCATGTTGATATATATATATATACATCATTTATGCGTTAGGTATTACGTTTTATATTTAATATTACGAAATTATATAAGATTTCCTCACCAACATCGAGACTTGCTCCCCGTCCAGCCTGAGTAATATGCGCCAAAGAGTAAAGGGCGTCAACAAACGATTTGCAGGAGGTAGTAACGCCTGTTTTTTTTTTTAAATATACTTCAAGTATATCCTTTTTATGGCTAATATTAATAATATTTTATATAAAGCTTATAGTAGATGTATTATACTTTCTATTTATAATACATTATCAATTATTATATTGAAAATAAAATTATTCTAATGAACTAAAAGGAAACTGGTTAATTTTTTTTACCATGCATAGCCTTTTGGTAGGCCTTTGTACTTGAAATTAACTGTTTTATTCCGGGTAAGAGATGCTCGTGCATATTCTGTAAATTATGAAATAAAATAATATGATTAGTAAAACGTTATTGAAATGAAAATGTTATGATTAAGCGGTGACATCATGTATAATGAAAGACGTCGAACTATATAGACAGAATGGGGAAACAAGTATATGGTCACATACACACACCTGTGTATAAATATATACATGTAGAGAGGGAGAGAGAGAGATAGAGGAGGGGGCGGAAGGGAGGGGAGAAGAGATAGAATACAGTTCAGAAATGATAATCTCTTTAAAATTTATAAAACAACTATTTAGACGAGGAAAAATTGAACGATAAAGACATATAAATTTTCGACAAATTAGGAATATTATTTTACTTACTCTATACACGGCCTCAGTTAAGAGATGAGCTCGTTCAGTAGTTTCCGGCGTCATTTTAGCCGTCCGATATACTAAAAAAGGGCGTGGTATTAACTACGACTGCAATGCCGCCTATCTTTAGACGTCCGTACTATGTAAACGCGAATAAATAATTTATATTCCACATTTCAATAGTAAAAGAAATTAAAGCTGATCGCTAATCAAAACTCAAAGAGTAAATGTTCGGCATGTGTTGTTTATCGGAACGTAGGCCTAGAGTCTGGTCAATTATCAAAGCTGGTTAAGCGGACATATGTTCAACTCGAATTCAATTACGAGGACATTTACCACACTTTAAGTGTCTGTTCATTTGGTCCTATTATATTATGTATAGATTGACAGAAAAGAAGGTCCAAATAGGCCTTGTAAAATGTCTCTATAATACGATATTGTATATAACAGTATACTCGATTAAATTTATCCTTTATTTTCTGTAAATAACCTAGCGTGCTTAACGATATTTAATTTATAGTAGTCACGTGATCAAACCAAACATTCAACTATTGGTTTAAGCTAAAAGGTATTAAAATAAAAATATACTCAATTGTTTTTGTTTTAAACTGGAAATATGTCTATAAATACTTTATTGATTAAGATATAATTGATATGTTTATAATTAATCTAAAAAACAATAATAACAAAAAAAAGAAAAGAAAATAATGAAAGGACAAAGAAAAAAAATCATTCATTAAGATATTTTTGATTTTCTTAAAGAAAGCTGTGGATTAATATCAAAATGGATATATATTTATATAAAGCGTACATATAGTATAGATGTTTGTATGTATGTGTCTATAGTACAAATTTTACCTGTAAATCTCATTGAATTTGCTGTATAATGCATAGATAAAAATGATATATGCTACATATATTATATACTCCTATACTGCATGTATATATTACTTTTATATAATATTTATATTTTGAAGTGTATATACTCTATTACGTAAATTACCATCAAACAATCTAATTAAATAAACTGAATTAATTAAGAAAAAGAAAACTAATTATCTTATTACTAATAATATATCATATTCATCATGATAGATATGATAAAAAAAATGGGAAATTGTTTTAATCTTTTCTCTTTTATCCTATTATATTTTTATAATTATCTATCGATAGATTTTTAAGATAAAGACTATTTTTCTTTCTATAAAAAGTATATATAGTGTATTGAATTTCTGTATTATTTATTAGATAATTGAAAAACGGTGTTGAAATATTATATGCACTAATATATCAGAGTAAGTACTACACCTGACATATACTGTATATATAAGGGATACATATACATGTATACATATTCTAATATATGATGTTGTATAACAAAACGATAGAAATAATAGAATTACTTTAATTCTTATGGTTTTGTCAATAAGAAAAAGGAAAAAAAAGCTATTTGTAAACAAAATCTCCTTTTTTCCTTTATCGTTTCTCTCCACAGCGTACTTCTATTAAATAAAAATTTCTTTATTACTCTATTATATACTGTTTATTTATGTATATATGTAAGGTTTCGTCTTTCATACATACAATGTATGCTTTGTATTTGAATTTCTAGTTTTTCTCTCTTTTCAATTTGTTCAAAGTTTTATGTTAGAATTGTTTATGAAATAATCTACTACGCAATATCTTGAGGCCCAAAGCTAAAAAGAGAGATAGTATAATTATAGCTAAAGTAGCCTATAAAGTAAGAATTATATCTAAAATTTCAATGATTTTTTCCTTTATTTATTAAGTCTTATTTTATATTGATATAATTTCATTATTCGTCCTGAAAAGGGGACTTATTCACAAGAAAAAAGAAAATAAAAAAAAAGTAGTCCTTTTTTATTATGAATAGTAATTTTAGAAGATTAACAAGTTGGTTTCTAAGCAAGGTTATTTAATAAAACACTTGAACCTATATAATATTATCTATTGAATACATATATACTGTATATAATAATTCAAGAATAAAAATTAGAGATTCTACTATAAATAACCTTTTCGAACTGTAATATATTGTATAAAATTCACTCATTTTATTCATCTCTTGTGGTGGATATGAGTTATATATTGTTGAAATATTGTAAATATTTAATAATTAGTCCTGTATTTAGTAATAAACTAGGTAATTTAACCTTTTAGTTTATTTTCTTAAAGTTTTGCCTTGTTTTTATTTTTTGTTTTCCCTTCTCCCTACCACTTCCCTTTCCGCCCCTCTATTTGTCTAATGCATAATTGAAACATTTTGATTATTTATACACAAAATGAGTTTCTTACGCAATATACCAGATAAATTTACATATATATATATACGTATGTATACATTATATATGCATATATGTGTGTATTAGATTTAAAAGGTTATCTTTGATTGTATAGTAAACGTCATCTGTTAAAATGCTATTGCGTTTTCTTTCTTTTTCTCATTAGTATCATGTTAGTTAGACCATTGTGTAAAAGAGTGTTGGCGAGGGTAGTCAACACAGGTCGATATGAATTTTTACTGAACAACATACTGCATGGATTAAGGATACTGGTTTTTTAATAAGATTGTTCCTTTAGAATATTTTTACCTGTTCAATTAAGAGTAAAATTTCTGCTGAACAAAAAAACCTATCGACATCTATAAAAGGAATATTTCAAGTAAAAACACTTCATAAATATTAATGAAGTTTTTTTTTTAAATAACGTCACTTGGCTGAGTACGAATCGATCTTACTATGACAAAAAATGACCAAAAGCAACTTCAGTTACAAACAATATGTTATAGTCTAGCAAAAGATGTCGCTTTTTCTATATAGGCGCCATCTATTGTTCACAAGGGTATAATCCTTATTACAGATAAATTTAAATAAATCTTAATGAAGTGTGTAGCTATTTTATTTAGTTTTTTATGAGAACTAATATAAAAATTCCAATAGGATTCTACAACATAAAATTTCATCGCTTTCTTCCAAAATATTTCGTTATCCTATCAGCTAAACGAAAAAATCAAGTATAAGTTTCTAGCCAATCAGAATCGTTTGTTGCCCCCTATTATTGAAGAGAAGCGAGATAGATCGACACTCAGTCGCTATCGAGATTTCAGTGTGAGAACTAAATAACGAAAATTTATTCTCTCTTTTGTTACGAACGAAAAAGGAAGAAGAAGTTAGAAGATAGAGAGAAGAGAAGAGAGGAGAGAAAATATTAATTTAAACTTAATTATTCTACATTTATAGATCGGACTATTATAATCTAAAAGAAAAACTATGCTAATTTATAATGTTATTAGTTGTATTTCGGTAGTAATGATGGTATTAATGGGAAAATGTTGTTCTTTGAGTATAAGAAGGTTTCCGAAAAATACGACAGTTAGTGTGAATAGTAATACGATGTTAACAGCTGAGATAGATGGTTTATCATCATCTAGTGATTTGCAATGGATTCAACAGCCTGTTAACGGCAAAGTTAAGATAATCTCGTGGAATGACTTAACGTCTACAACAGATATTAACTATGAAGTAACAAAAACATCTATCGGATCTACTTTAAAATACGTATTAGTTATAAAGAAGATAAGACGATCTGATAGAGCTTTTTACAAAATTTTCATAAACGGGAATGATTTACTTAACCGAACAGCGTTTGTGAACGTGCAAGGTAAGATTTATTTTCTTCTTATTGTTATTTAAATAGTAGATTTATTAGAAAAAGATGGACAAGGGGAAGTAAAGGGAGAGGAATAGGCGTTGGTTAAAAAAAAAATAACGTCCTTTTAATATATAATCTAATTTGCATAATAACATACGCTGGATGGAAACTTTACGTAATAGTTGGTAATCGAGCCATTCCTCTGACTCCTTCAACTGTAAAGAAAAATGCAATATGTTTGCCCAACTTTTTTTCTCTTTTAACACCGTTTTATTATTACAATTATTCAAAGTAAAGAACGCGCGCGAAAGGTTTAAAGGATATACAATAAAAAAAGAGGAGGCGGAAAAGGTCGATTTGGAATTTATTATGTATTTAAGACTATTAGTAAAAAAAAAAAAATCTTATTCAAGTTTATTCAAGTTTATTCCCCAAACGTGCGTAGTATATATTTTTACTATAGCAAATGTATTCAACTCTTTTAAATAGCCGCCGGCTATATCGTATATGAAATACGTTTTTATCATTGTACTCTTACACATATCTTGTAGATATTGTATATGTATGTCTTTGTATATATGAATAGTTTTAACTATTTATTGCTCATATCGATCGAAATCACAAATATGAAAAAAAAATGAAATTTTCTCCACTATTGCAGTAACCGAAAGATAATACTGTAAAAATAGAGAATGGTATCATTATCTGCATTAGCACTTTGCTTCGTAACTTTAGAATAGAATTTTCGATCGAAAGATGAAAAAGAGACGGGCGACGCCTGATGTTTTTCAATCGACGAGTTGAAACTCGTTTTTGTTTTTCTTCTATTCACCCTTCTTCCTCTTTGAGGTAGGAGGAGTTAATGGGTGGAAAGAAAGGCGGGAAGGGAAGGAATATCGTAGAAGGGGGAATAAGGGAAATTGTTCGTCATAAAAGTTACGCGCTTCGAAAAAATGTCAAGTCGTAAATCGTGAATTAGTGCATAGAAAAGGGGAAAATAGGAGAAAATAAGAAAAAAAGGGTCCTTACAAAGAGTTTCATTGTACCCTTTTTCTCTTCTTTTCCCCCTTTTTTTTATCGCTGCCTTTCTTTCTCTCTCTATCACTATCTATCTTTCACTGCTAATCTACTAAACGACCTCCCCTCCCTAGTCCATCTCTTCCTTTCTCTTCTCAAATTCTTTCTCTTATCAAATATGTTGAACAGGTGAAGAGGAAGGGGTAATTAGCTTAGTTGTTTATCTCTAGATTCGACGACAAGGGAATTTCGATGCTGTCGAGTTAATTCGTAGTTTTGAGATAAGAAAGATTAATGCGAATCCAACGACGTCTTTTTCTTAGGCCTAAAATTAGTTTAAACTAGAAAAAAATGAAGCCGGTTTAAGGGTTGCTTGGCGACAGACCCGAAATATTTAAAGGTCGCCGATTGTCGGTATTTAGCGGGATTAGAAATCTGTTCTAAATCGCCTTTTAGCTTGTTTTTTATTATCTGAAAAAGGTTTTGAAGAACCTCTATTCCACAACATTGTATTTGTTCAATTTTTTCAAGACGTCTCAT